AGAGCAAAGTCTTTGTTATATGCATCACTTTTTCTCTGAAGATGCAGTTGGAATCCACCGGACTCCGTGTCAACCACACTAACTTCATGAAACGGACCCCCACTGAGCTCCGTTCCGATTAAAAAAATAGCCAGATGGCGCTCCACTATTAGGAGATTAGGCAACTGGACGTTGCAAGTGCAAAAAGAAACTCTCCCTCGGGGAATCGAACCCCGGTCTCCCGCGCTTATCGGTGTTAATGACAAGCGGAAATCATCACCACTAGACCAAGGAAGATTGAATGACCGAGTTACTGCTCGACCACTTGGCTGGTTGATAAAACTATAATGACCTATGCAGGTATTCGACGGCGGAAGTTGAAGGTCGACATACGAACTTCGGCATGCATGGCGAAACCCGATTGTAAAAAAACGGATGGTCTATTCTCTACAGCGCGCGTTAGTTAAATTTATGTGGGTGGGCCAGGAACGCAGCTTCTGAGAAACTAGGGCTGCCAAGCCGGGAAACCCAAGCAAGAGCTGCGTGGATATCAGGCCAAGGTAATTGAGCAAAGTTGATAGCATTTGTTGTGAGCGACGCCTCTATTGGTAGTAGGCTAGTGTAATTTCTAAACTACACCCTACTAGGCCTTGGCCATAATTACCCTTAGAAAAAGTTTGATTTGGTCTGTCTCGAATGACCCTCTGAGGGCGAGAGGAACATAGCAATGCTTGTATATATCTTGGGCGTAGGACTATTCTTAGCGCTGTCCTACTCTGCTTAAGACAGTTTCCGCACTCACCGGGCATATGAACCCTATTTCATTCGACCCAAATTAGACTTATCGACTCGAGTCCTCCAAATGTTCCACAGCGGTAGGTATATCGGAACACTCGGGGTATACGGGTGTACTGGAGCACACAAAGGGCAGTTTACACATGATGCTCGACTTACCTTGCTGCCAAGAGACAAATTCTAGATAGAAATTGTCTGAATGTTGCTTGGTGAGTGCTTCATGGCCGAGATAAGGGATCAAGCAGCTTTCATTTACATATCGTCCGCGGAAGTTGTCCGTCTGCTGTTGAGTATATTTGCTCGGTATGGAATATTGATTGAAGTACAAAGATCATCGAATGGACGTTTAACGGCAGACGTATTAATTGAAAAGACAAAAAATGGCAATAGTTTCCGAAAGCTGACTAGGCGACTAGAAAAATGGAAAGATGGATAGAAGTATACAAACCGGGCCTCCATTCGATTTTCTCCGTAAGCTTTCGTACTACAACGGCCAAGAAACAAGGGGATCACTGCGGCTAAATGCAAATATCATTCGCTGACTGGGCTATGGAGGGACAAAGTCCTGTTCTCCGGGTAATTGGGTTCGTTTTCCATTCTCGCATTTACTCAGCAGAAGAGCGGGTGGTGCGCTTGGTGGCACCGCTCTTGCCAGTGTCGGCAGAGGAGCTGGAGGCCTCTTCCTTCTTCTCCTTGGGAGAACCAGCGGCGGCCTTGCCCTTCTTCTCGGGGGCGGAGGCGGGGCTGCTGGCACCAATGGCACCAACGATGATGAGGATCATAGTCAGAAGGAGAGCACCAAGGCCACCGGCAACCTCAGGCAGAGCCTTGACAGCATTGACGGGGTCCTCCTTGGCCAGGTCAACAAAGTGGTTGACCTTCTGGCGGACGAAAGTGACGGGGTCCTCCTGGAAGGTGACGGTGGTACCATCCTCCTTAACCTCGGGCTTGGGCTTGGAAGCCTCCTCCTCGGCCTCCTCGACGGGGAACTTGACATCGAAGGTCTCCTTGCGGAGCTTCTCCGCATCCTCAACGGAGTGACCGATGTAGACGTTGTCGAACAGGATGTCACTCTGCATGGTCCAGATCTCGAAACCAATAGCGCCCATAGGCTCAAAGTTAGAGGGAGTCTTGTCCTCGAAATAAGCGGGGTTGTTGATCTTGCGGGGAGCCCAGACGCCCTTGTAGGCAGGGTTGTCGATGAGAGGAGCCTCCCACTTGCCCTTGTAGGCGGGGTTCTTGGTCATGGGGCGAGTCCACTTGCCGCAGCCAGAAACATCGGCACACTTGGGGTTGGGAACAGTAGGGGCGAGCCAATCTCCATCCTCCTCGTCATCCCAGTCCTCGGGCTTCTCAGCCTCGGGGTCGGGAATGCTGGTAGCCTCATCCTCGAGCCAGTCGGCGGGCTGAGTGGCCTCCTCGTCGAGGATCTCGAAGGGAGCCTCCTCATCCCAGTCAGCGGGCTTGCTAGCCTCGGGGTCAGCAATCTGGACCTCGTCAACCCAGTCGGCGGGCTTCTTGTCCTTGGGGTCGTCAATCTCTTTCTCGGGGTTGACAGAGGGGCTGAAGTCCTCAAGGAGGTTGCCGGCCTTGGCAGACTCGCCGTTGATAAGGATCTCGAAAGTCTGATCGGGCTTGACGATCAGGGTGTAGAGGGAGGTGACCTTGTTGGTGCGGGCCACAGGGGGAGTCTTGAGGTGCTTCTCCTCGTATTCGCCGGTCTTGGGGTTCTTGTGGCGGAAGATGAAGTGAACCTAGAGACAATTAGTACATAATGCGAAGCTCGAGGGTGTAGAGTGTCGTACCTTGTTGGTGGCACCGCACTTGTCGGGACCAAACATGATCACATAGGGAGTGCCGTTAGAGAATTCCTCCTGGTGGAGCTTCTTGTTCTCTTGGAGAAGCTTGAGGTATGCACCACCGCAAACCAGAGAGTCTATAGAGGGCGATTGATTTAGCGCATGATAACTCAAGCGGTTCCTGGTATCAATGACTTACTCTGTGGCTTGACCTCGTACTGAACAACCAGGGTCTTGCCCTTGTTGTCAATCTTCTTGGGGAACTTGGCGGAGATGGCGTGGTGGGCAGCGGCGTTCTTCACGACCAGACCCTTGTCGCCATCGATACCCTTGAAGACGGAGGGCTCTTCAACAGCCCATTCGCCAACGTAGGCCCACTCATCCTCCGACTTGTCGTCCTTCTTCGCGTGGGAAGGCTTCCACCGCGACTCCCAGTCGTCCGTGAACTGCTCCAGGAAGGGAGCCTTGAGGGTGGTAGGCTACAATGAGGCAACGTATGTTAGCAATGAGCAGATGGGAATGAATTGGCGACGTACAGTGAAGGCAGGCTTCTCAACAGCGACGGTGGCATCAGCTTCCTCCTCCGCATGGGCATAGCCCATGAGGCTAGCGGAGGAGACCAGAGCCGAAGTGAGCGCGGTGTTAAAGCGCATGATGGCAGACTATAACAAAACAAAGAATGAGAAGTGGAGAGTAAAAGAGGAGAAGGTTTTATAGAAGCGGACAGTTCTGGGGGAAGGTCCAGGTGGCCTCTTCACTAAGCTACCCAATCGGGACTAGGGTGTATACACATGGGGTTCGATGCTGTTCTATACTTCGTTTAATACTGTCTTTCGTGTTTTTGTTGTTATTCTTTGATAGTTCATAGTTTACTTAGCTATTAATACAATATACTTCATTGTTTTCTACTCTGTTTTGTCCCGAATCCATTTGATCCCCATTTATGCGCAGATCCCGACTCCCCGCCCAATTTGTTAGTGGAACCTCGTCGCAAACCTCGTCCAGTCCTCCCAGCGAGTCCCGTCCATAACAAAATTGATTGCAAGTCTTAGGTGAGCTTTTCGGCCGCCAATGGCCGCGCATTGCATCGCATTGCCTAGTCTGTCCCCCTTGCATTCCTCAGCTTTGCTAATTCGTCGCAGCCCACAAGCCCACTATGTGCCCTACCGACAAGGCCGTTGCGCCGGCCGACAACAATGACCACCTGGTCCAGTCCGAGGATCCCGAGCACCCTGCCAACCTCATTCCCAATCTCTGCCGCAACTTCTACAACTGGGGATGGGTAACCGGCACTGGAGGTGGTGTAAGCTTTGACCGATCCGGCGCAACGGTGCCCCGCTGATTGAAAAGTAGGCTTCGATCCGTGAGGGCGACCACATCTACATTGCTCCGTCCGGAGTCCAGAAGGAATTGATTCAGCCTCACAACATCTTCGTCCTCGAATGGCCCACCCCCAAGTATCCCGCCTCGGACCGTAACTATATCCGCAAGCCCCTCAAGCTTAACCCCTCCGCCTGCACCCCACTGTTCCTCACAGCCTTTGAGCAGGGAGCTGGCTGCTGCATCCATACTCACTCGCAATGGGCGGTTCTGGTCACTCTGTTGGTGGAGCGTGAGAAGGGTCCCGACGCTTGTTTCGAGATCAACAACATTGAGCAGATCAAGGGGATTCCTCGCGGCAAAGGCAAGGGTATGCTTGGATTCTTCGATACTCTCAGCATTCCCATCATTGAGAACACCGCATTCGAGGAGGACTTGACTAGTGGCCTGGAGGCTGCAATGAACAAGTACCCGGACACATATGCTGTGCTGGTCCGGAGACATGGAATGTAAGTCATGGAAACCCAGATGTCCATGATTTTGATCAATATGCTAATGCGCTGTTCCTGCAGCTATGTCTGGGGAGACAATGTCGCCAAGGCCAAGACTCAGTGTGAGAGTCTAGACTACCTGTTCAAGCTTGCTGTGGAAATGCACAAGCTGGGTCTTCCTTGGATCAAATAGATCTGCGGATGTTATTGACACTTTATGCTGATGTGTGATAAGAGGGGACATGGTGCCTAGCTCAGCAGTAGGAAGCTTCAATAGATATGATGTGACGCATTGCTGAGGCATTCGAAACGTGGGGACTGTAGGTTGATCCTGGGCCGAGGTATAGAGGAATGGAGCGCAACACCAGTAAACCTCTAGTTCAGCATTGTCAGCAATGCTGGTACGTGTAAAGGTGAAATGTCAACAAAAGGCCGGACACCTTGTGGGTTGGGGATCCCGTGAGTGACTAAGGGCGATCGCCCTCTCCACCAACTACCACAGCTTCCTCTCCAACTACAAGTTTGGATCTTCACACCACCATCAACGTCAATTTCTTGAGCCATTGTTTATCTTGTTACTTCTTCTTCGCGCGCTTTACTCATCTAATCGGTATCAATGGATCTCGACTCTGGAGACTCCCCGTGGGGCGGTAGGCAGTCATGATACCACAGCTCTTTGAATTGCGGTCTGATTTAGCATGCAGATGAGCCCTCACAGTTCAAGACCACCCAAGACCCAACCAAGCCTGACACTCAGGAAGGTGGTATGATTCCCTCTCAGTTTCCTTAGTCTTTCCGCGACCCCTCACTAAGCGCAGTTCATCCTACAGCAGCCGCACAACCCGACGCTACAACCAACTCCCCCGCTGTCCGTACACCGGGACGACGAGGCCCCCGAGGCACCCGCAAGATCAGCGCACAAGCCACAAAACTCGAATCCGTTGATGATTCCGTCGATCCTCTCGGTCCATTAGGAGAAGCGCCAGCCGAGGCTTTCCCGACGCCTACAGAGGAGGCCCCTGTACCACCCCAAAAGGAGCCATTCGCTGGACGTAGTGCGCGGCCACTCTCTTCGCCCTCTCAGACCAGCGGATCAGGGTTAGAGCAATCTGTCAATCTCGAAGATGAAGCTGCGGGCTTCCGGGGCCCCCCGCCCGTGCAGCCACCGGTGGAATCAGATGGACCTAAGAGACAGACCCAGCCTAGCATGAGCGTGGAGCAAGCTGCGAAGCCGACTTTCGAGATCAACGTGGGAGACCCGCATAAAGTTGGAGATTTGACCAGCAGTCACATTGTCTATGCCGTGCGGACAAAGGTAATCGGGCATTGAGATTCGTGCTTCCGTGAAGCGAGAAAGACTGACAACGCTTTGCATAATTAGACATCATCTAAAGCTTACCGTCAACCCGAGTTCACAGTCAGCCGTCGATACCGTGATTTCCTTTGGCTTTATAATTCCATGCACAGCAACAACCCCGGAGTGGTTGTTGCCCCTCCGCCTGAGAAGCAAGCCGTTGGCCGATTTGACACCAACTTTGTGGAGTCGCGGAGAGCTGCTCTGGAACGCATGCTTAACAAGATTGCCGGTCATCCCATTCTTCAACATGATGGAGACCTGAAAATCTTCCTTGAGAGTGAAGCTTTCAATGTCGATGTTAAGAATAAGGAAAATCGGGAACCTGATATTGGCCAAAGCAAGGGAATGCTGAGCTCCTTTGGTATCTCAGTCGGTGGTGGAAGCAAGTTTGTGGAGCACGACGACGTAAGTGGAGTGTTTATATGCTAATACCCATCCCTGCTAACATGAGAAAAGTGGTTCCATGACCGCAAGATCTACTTGGATGCCCTGGAGAACCAACTCAAGGCATTGATGAAATCAATGGACACCGTGGTTCTGCAACGAAAGGGTCTTGCCGATGCCGCAGGGGACTTTTCTAGCTCACTACACGCTCTATCTGCTGTCGAGCTATCTCCGGCTCTTTCCTCCCCATTGGATGGCCTTTCAGAACTTCAATTGCGCATCCGGGAACTCTATGATCGCCAGGCACAACAGGACGTTCTGACTCTTGGAATCACAATCGACGAATACATTCGTCTAATCGGAAGTGTCAAAATGGCCTTCACACAACGGCAAAAGGCCTTCCATACCTGGCACGCAGCCGAGTCTGACTTACAGAAGCGGAAGAACACCCAAGACAAGCTACTCCGCCAGGGCAAGACCCAGCAAGACCGCTTGAACCAGGCCAACGCCGATGTCGCGGATGCAGAGCGCAAGGTCCACCAAACACGACTACTCTTCGAGGATATGGGCCGACTCATGCGAAATGAGTTGCAAAGATTCGAGAAGGAGAAGGTGGAGGACTTCAAGTCTGGTGTGGAGACGTTCCTGGAGAGTGCAGTTGAGGGTCAGAAAGAGGTGCGATTATTTTCCTTTGCTACATGATTATGTTCATTCAACTCACCTATGACTCACAGTTGATCGAACTATGGGAAACTTTCCTACTCCGTCTGGATGCCGGCGAGGAAGGCCTTCCCTACTACGTCCCTCAATCCGAGACCGAGACGGGCGACGCAGCTCCCCCGACGGAGAACGCAGAATCGGCCCCACTTGTTGCTGAAGATAACGCTTGATATCACGTACCTGTTTCCGATCCTTGAATGCTTGTGTAAAAAATCGAAAGTAGTACCCGTGTTACCTCGTCTCGTCTTGTATCCCCTGTGTGTGGGACAGCTCCTTCTCTTGATTTTTTTGTCGATTTATGTCATGGTGTAACTGATGATAGTCCTCAGCGAGCTTGAAGGGCTCTGTGTTTGTTTTTCTCTATTCATGTTCGCTTCATCCGAATACCACTGTTCGCGTATTGTAGCAAATATAGTTCATTAATGAAGCTGTGCTATGGTAACTTGGCAGATCGCTACGACTCATTTTATAGGGCGGAAATTCGTAGGCAAATTCGACGTGAGCAAGGTATCAAGTCTTGCAGTCCAAATATGGATCGGCCTTGGAAGCTCAAGTTGTCCCAACTGGTATGGTTTCATTGAATGCTTGTGAATAGAGCTTGGAGTCTGCCCATGAGCATCTAGAGTGAGATTGAGCGGGCATAGATGTTGTTTTCCCGGTCTTTTGGGCTGTGATAGTTTCAATAGATAGCAATTCTAGTAAATAGAGGGATACACTGTCATGCGTTTACAGTAAAGTTATCATTGGTAGTATGTTCTATGGATATACATCTACTTTGAGCGCTTTTGGGAGTAGCCTGGAATTTTGTCGGTTCCAAAAGACTTTTCCCCTAGCATGCTTGACGCGAGTATCCAGTATATCGATTGTTTGTTATAATTTCCATTTCAAGGGCGAAGCACTGACAACCTTCTTCCTTGTTCGATGGAGTGTTTGCGTTTTGCGGATTGCTGAGTGGGTCCTTGGCTTATCCTATTCATTTTCAAGACCATTTCAACTCTATAACCAACGCTATTTACTCGATAACGTTTATAATTGTAGAGCTTTACAATTGTGAAAGAAAAAGGGAGAAGTAATATTTGGCTGTTCGTAACATTCAATGTCATTTTTAGTCACATTCACCTAAAGAGTAGGGGCCTGTTCAGCTGTCTAGATCCAGGATCCCAGTCCTATTTCCCAAACCGAATTTCTCAGTGGATGTGATTCAAACATTGTATAATATTGTTTGATATATTTCGTGACGCGATATATGACGGTCATCTACTAGCGAAAAGACGTTTCATACCTGATCATGTGATGTAAGCGCTAATATCATGTTGAAAATTGACAGCGTAGCTAATGTATATCGCACAATCTAGGGGAGAGAAAATTCTATCTGATAAATTCCTCCCCAGTCCTATAGTAGATCACATGAGCTTGAATCATATCAAGCCAGTGGTGCCAAAGACTGCGATCTCGACGATATAGAGTTGAAAGGGGTCCACGCTACTGCAAAGCCCTAATCCGAAACAGGCGTAGGTATACAAATGAACTCCAAACAGAGACCCAAAACACAGACGATGAAAAGGACGTTCTATTGGCTGCTCGTAGGATCAACACCATCATGCTTGCCAGTGACAGGGATGCTTATTGCCGCTTGAGGCTTGTTTCGAACGTATCGAGTCCCGACGAAGGCCATGGGCAATTACCACCAACACGCGCTCGAGGGTGAACTTGGCTTACTTCTGGCCCCCAATTCCTAATTTAAAGTGCCCATGCTTTTTGCAGTGCTTACTCGAATGATGGAGGCTTGGGCCTTTTAATAGGTCCACTAAGCCCAGTTGTCCCAAATGGCTTAAACCCGTTTGGAAATAACTTCTAATTCTGCCTTGCCCCCGCTGACGGCGCAAATTGCCGTGAAGTTCATAACCAATCGCACCGGAATCTCCGACTTTTGCTTTCATTTTTCTGCCTTGAGCCTTTCCTTGCGAAGTTGATCAGTATGACTTCCACGAACTATGCAGACTATTCTACCGGTACCGGCTTTATAGGATGGTATATCGCAGCAACGCGTATGTGTCATATTCTCATCATAACAAGCGGGAGATATCGATGGCACTTTGGCTAACTTGCATGTCACAGCTGAGCCAATTATCTGTACGTCCAATGGCGCCTTCACTACAAGCGGCACCATCGGTGACTGTAGTGAGTCGTCCGGAGATCAACTAGCCACAGCGTGCCATGCCGGATCAAGTGTTGTGAGAGGTTCTTCTACGACAGCATGGTACGTTTCGTCGCGAACCATATCTATCACTGGCTAACTATGATCCAGCGGTACCGGCTCGACGTGCGACTATTACAGAATCTTTAATACTGTCGGCCAAGATGGACTGGGCGCCTTGACAAGATACGCCTGTGTGGATAATTGGGCTGCCAACAGTCTTTATCGAACTCTGCCTGCGGAATACCTGGCTACTACTACATCATCTTCGGCTGCACCGACTTCTGCTACAACGACGGGGACAACCAAATCGACAAACACTTCGTTCTGTACGTATCCAACGTATTTCAAAGATCTCCAAGCATGAAAGCTAATGTTTCACTCACGCGGAATAGCTACTTCCACGTCTGCAACCACGACGTCCCCAACACCAACCGGCGGCGCCGGTACATCGGGCTCTTCCAGCTCAGGCCTCGGCGGCGGGGCAATTGCAGGAATCGTCGTAGGATGTGTGGCAGCTGGCGCTATCCTTGCTGTGCTGGTTGTCTTCCGCAGGAGACTTATGAGCTGCTTTGGATATCACAAGACAACTGACTCTCACGGACCCTGGTCTCCCGTCTACATGCCACCGCAGACGCAGTCGGTATCCCAGTCAAACTCTCAATCTCAGCCAATTTCCGAGCTTTCTGGGCAGCGAAATGTTTACGAGATTGGGTCTTCGCAGGTTGGGGCTGATGCTGTTCCTGAGATGAGATCTTGATGTTTGTGAATTTTTGATCGATATACCCTTTTCTTATATATGTTTTGTTAATCTGTTGTTGCATAGAGCATTCATATACGTATAATTTGCTAATGAATTCATTCCTTCGATTTTCGCTCCTCTTACTAGCAAGTATTGCTACCCATGGACAAACTACAGTAGGCATTTTGTGAAAATGTCAAAGGAGCAATACAGAGAAGATTCCAACTTGAGCCACAAACGGTCTTACAGAAAGGATCTAGGTCACATGGGCTAGAAGTAAGATGAATTCTTGGTATACAGCAGGCTCATACCAGACAAATGTATATTGTACAAGATCAATGCAACAGGAAATATAAAAAAGACAAGAGAAGAATCCCAACTCCACCCAAGCAGTAAAGAAAACCAGACAGATGAAGCCCAGTCCCAAAACTGAAGGAGATAATCAATCACAACTCACACACACCCTTGCCAGCAGAACAAGCCTATTTCTTGAAAGGCTTCTTCTCAGGCGGAGGAGCCTCATTCTGACCGAAAGAGCTAATCAAATCAAGTAAATTATCCTCCTCCTCCTGTTCAGCATCAGCCTGAGCCTTGGCAGCAGCCTCCTTCTCCTTGACCGCAGCCGCATCCTTAGGATCAACCGGCTCAGCGGGCGTGTTGACATCGTACCCACGACCGAAACGGGCACGGAAAGCGGCCAGACGACCAGCCTCGTCGTCTTCGACGTTCATCAGCTTGCTGCTGGAGGGGTTCCAAAGGAGCGAGTTGCGCGTGTCGCGTGTGGAGCGGTAGATGGGTGCCGGGGAGGTCGTGCGGTGCGTGAATGTGCTGCCGTCGCTGAGGGTGATCAGTTGTGTGAAGGTGTAGGGGCGCTTAGGGCGGCGGAGGAGGGTGGCATGTCGACATTGAGAGCAGATGAAGGTTGTTGCCGTGGGTTGGGTTGGGAGTCTTGGGAGGATGGAGGTTGTTGAGTTGGTTATCGTGGCCGCGGTGCGGCGGAGAGAGGTGTGCATTGACATTTTGGATGGATTGGGACAATCCGGACGGAAGGATTGCACAGGGGGGATTGAGCCGAGAAGGAATTGACTGGCGCGCAATGCGTTCGGGGAGGATGCGGAGGTTGGAAGTTGATGCTATCCGCAGGAGAAATTATCGCGGGTTATGTAAGCGGGATGTTATTTTTCGGGATTTTCAGTTCTCGGCCAAATGACTTCATATTGTCTTTGTTTCTGGTATCTTGAGTTGCTTTGCTAGCTTGGTAGGCATGACTTTGAATTGATCAGCTATCTTTGGTCTTGTACACGGAGCCCTTGAGCGCCCTTCAAGCGCATTTTCCAGGCGGGATGAAGCTCGCATTTCCACCAGTAGCGCATGGAGCTACTCGGAGAGGGTTAGGAGGTAAGATATCCCCCACACAACCTCAATGCTTCTTTGCAGAATACTGACGAGTCTCATTAGTATCATTATGCAATAAGAACTATACAACCCGATCCCTAGGGACGGCCCTCACCCTCCGAAGCTCTCCGCTTGTACCATATCACCAACACCGATCACGTTCACAATGCGCCAAACGACACAACAGCGATGCCGCAGCACCTTTGACAAAGAACCCCAATACAAATACAAATGGAAATCAAACACACACGCCCATCTCTATATCCGACCAAGTCCGCCTCCTCATGCGACGAGTCCCTTACCCAGTCGCAATCATAACAGCAACCGACCCCTCTGGCCCGGCCGATACATCTTCCTTCCGCGGAATGACAGTCTCGTCATTTAGCACCGTAACTCTTACACCGCACCCCGTCATCTCATTTAATGTGCGCCGGCCATCAGAGACGCTAAACGCATTGCTTGCTTCGGGCCGGTTCCTGGTTCACCTGCTAGCACCAGGTCCCGCGACAGCGACACTAGCGAGGGATTTCTCTAGGGGGAATAATACGCTGGCAGCTATGTTGAGTGGGCATGGGGAGTTTGAGTTTGCTGCTTTGGATGTTGGGGCTGAGGGGCATCAGAGACCACTTCCCATTCTGAGGCGGAGGGGCGAGGGTTTAACACCGGAGCAGAAGGGTGCTGACTTCCCTTTTGTCTTTGAGTGTGAGCTTCATCCTAGTAAGATTGAGGTCCACGACCACTCTATTGTGCTAGGTACTGTTGTGAGGACGATTGGGGGTTCTGAATTTGTTTCCTCAGACTTGGATGAACATTCGCCTGGGCGGCTTTGTTTGACATATGCCAATACCAAATTTTGGAAGATGGGGGAGGAGTTTTGAAACAAGATAGGCATGACTTATTTTGTTCATGGTGTCGCATATCATATGCCTGAGGGCATGGCATTGTCTATACATTGGAGGATTCGGCGCCTATTTGTACATACTTTAATTAGACCAACGATGTGACCGGCTACTATACATTCAAGCGGTAAAACGGGACGTAATAGGTAGCAATGCTTTGATGATGATAATGTGTCTACGGGTTGTCAGAAGAGTATACAGAACACTTTTGTTGTTTCGGTGTTAAGCACAGAACTGCCATCCATCTTCAATCGGACCAAAGCCTACTATCTCATTGCGAGATACTTGCGCTCCATCAGAATGATTCAAATATATATGAGCCATCACAGCACAAGCCAATGAGAAGAACGTTGACTCAAGGCGAAGATCCACTCAGATAAGAATGAAAGCACAACGATAACCCCAAGACCATAGAAGACGGGCACTGCGGACGGAACATGCATTCAAGAGCCCCATGGTGGGGTTTAATCACGCGAAGAATGCGGACTGCCGGTTCCACTTCCACTGCCACCGCTACCGCTACCAGTACCACTGCCTCGACTTGCTGCTCGCTGGAACGGACTCAGAACAGGACGGCCACCTTGGTGCAGAAAGCCATTTCCTTCAGACCCGGGCCGAGGCTTGTCAGACAACAGTTCAGACAGGTCAAGCTGGAGAGGCGGCATGCGGTTCGAGTCCAAGAAGTCAGAGCCATATTGACTGCTGCGAGTGGAGCGATTGGAGAACGAACGATCCCGGTGATTGATGTCTGAGCCAAAGTAAGAGCCTCCAGTACCGACTGGGGAGCTTGGAAACTGCGGGAGGAATGGAATGTCCTGGGACGGGCTTGTTGGGTGTGACGAAGGATCGCGGACTGGAGAGGACGAGATCTGCAGTGGACTAGACCTCGCGGGAGGGAAGCTAAGACCCAACAGAGCTCGGGCAGTGGGTGCAGTGGAAGTAGATGCGTTCAATGGCATTCCGCTGGTCTCGGGAAGAGGATTGGTACCGGGCAGATTACCCTCGGGTGTCAGAGGACCAGAATCAATGAGCATCTGTTGCTGTTGCTGTTGAATGGACTGCTCAATCGCAGATGCCTGCTGCCAGAGTTGACTGGTGCGCAGCTGGAAATCCTGAACGGATTGGCTGATGCTTCCAAATTGCTCGTGGAAATTGGCTTCCATCTTCGACTGATCCTGCTCCCTGGCAAATTGTTCCGCGGCACGGCGTTCTCTTTCGTTTAATCCTTGGGCATTGGCCGAGATGATGCGCTCATACTGCTCATTCACGCGGGTGCGGCGGCTTTGGAGGCGCTCGCGCTTCTGAACAGCCTGAGTCAATTCTGACTCAAGTGCGGCCACATCTTGAGCGCCAGCTGCCCGAGCAGCAGTCACATCCTCCTTGATAGCGTTGAACAATTCCAGCTCGCGCTCGAAGTCTTTCTTGCGTGCGTTCCATTCTTCCATCTCTTCTTCTGGGACAGTTTCCATGCTGTCTAGTTGTGTTTCCAGAGCTGCGGTAGCTTCCTCAGTTTGCCGAATATTTCGTTCCAGCTGGAATGAACGTTGTTTTTGCCGATTCTCGTCTGTTCCGCTGTGGAGGCGTTGGTTGAAATTGTCGAGCTCTTTCCGTATCTTCGAGATGACAACTTTGTGGTCGTTCTTTGTCTTCTTGAGGCGCGCGCGTTTTTCATTTAGCTTGGATTCCGCATTGACGATGGAGTTTTTGAGCGTGGTTGTAGGGGATGATGGTCGATATGGCGGTTGCGGGGGTGTCGATACCGCGGAAATAACTATTCGATCAATGAGATACGTGAACAAATGTAGTAGGAAAACGCGATTTTCGCGAACTCACCTTGCTCTGTGTCGGTCGTTGCAGGCGTCTTGACACTCATGACACAGATTTCCTCGTCGGTATTGCTTCGCACGAAAGCGCAGGTATAGGCGCAATTCGGAGCAAGTCCAGAGATCTCACCACGCCATTGAACGACATTTGGCCCTTTGACATCTGAAACCCTGCATATAGTGGCAGTAGCCCAGAGCGCACCATTGACACAAACGTAGAACGGTTCCATGTCTCCGTCCAAGCGGCCTCCTTCGAATGATCCCGATACAGCGGGATCATCGGTAAATTCACCCGCAGCATATTTGATCGAAGAGCTGTCCACATCCGTGATCCACACTAGTCCATCATCAAGAGAAGCACCTTGGAGATCTTCCTCCGTCATAGTAAGATTGCGTGCCGTTTTAGATATAGCCCGTGAATGCTCGTATTCTCGCATGACCGTAACCTTTGTACTCGCAAGCGCGGCCCAAAACGGTTGCCGACTCCGAACTTGATTGGCTTGCCTTCTGCGTTTCTTGGCCGAAGTAAATCGATCCTTCCCATCCTTAAGTTGGCCATCCGGCCCAACAAAAGAAGACGAAACACTGGCAGCCGATTCAAGAGCGGAATCAGCTTGGCCCTGGGAACCCGCGGAAGCTTCTGTATCCCCGCGTTTTCCCGTCCGTAATGGTGTAGGTGAGCGATTCTTGGCCATCGATCGTCGAGCCATGGCGGTTCCTGCCTGTGCTAGAATATGTACAGCAAGAAGGCTGCGGAGCCAGCTCGGGGACGTTTGTGTTTCGGATCGTCGGAACTCGGCGGGTAACAGGTGCGAATACTGAGAGAGCGCATCGGGACTGATAAGTTTAGTAGAAACAAGGTGACCCAGAACAAAGTCCTGGATGCCTTTGCTGCGAACAAGATGAAGAAGCAGAACTATTCCGACACAGAGACCATTGACCCCGCTGTTCTTCCCGGACCCCCCGCCGCCCAAGGTGATAGCAACCTGAACATGCGCGAGGTCGATGGCAAAGTTCTGCGCCCAGGTCCACATAAAGAGGCCCCAGAGAAGTATACAGAACCCATCCATCGCAATCATCGTCCCAAGCGACGGAGTTCCAGCCGGACCCTGAAAAATATCAAAATTCGACGACAAAGAACCGGCCGCGGCGCCACTGGGAGGCATGAAAGTCAAGGAAGCGAACAAGAACTGAACCAGAGTCAAGACCATCGGAGGAAGTTGTAGCAGGAAAATCAAGATGGCGATTGTGTCGTACATCGGGCACGATTTCAAAATGGTCGAGGCGAGTTGGAGCGGATTAATTGACGCATTGGAACCGGATCGTTTCGAAGTTCCACTGCGAGAGCCATGAGCTGCCACGCCCCCGTTCTGGGGCACAGCACCGTTCGACTGATCATACGCCATCTCCTCACCCTTGCTGTGTCCATTCACCCGCACATTTCCGTCCGCCTTGGCACTATCCCCTTTACTGACAGTCGGAGAGGTCAGGGCCGTGTCGCTTGTAGAACGTACGGAGGATAGATCGAAGTGAGCGGACGCGCCCGGACCGGTAGCAGAGCCGTTGCCCGAGTTGCCGTTGAGTTGACTGCTTGACTTTTGCTTGGTTACTTTCTTGCCGGGACCGACGAGGCCATTTTCCTGCCGATTGCTCTGGTTCTTCCTAGCCGCAGCTGATGAGCGTGGCATGGGAGCCCAAAACCCAGGTCCGAGTCAGCTTGGCGGGATGAAGCCAAGGACTGGGACCAGGAAAAAGGGAAAATTGGGAGATTAAAAAGGGAAATTGATGTAAAGAGTGAGGAATATAGAAAGGTGGGAAGGAAAGAGTGTGGAACGTGAAGGGGAGGAAGAGGAAAAGAGAATAGAAGAAACGAGTTGGTATGGTATGGTAATATGCCGTCGATCATTGTTGCCTTTTGGGTAGGCGGTACCCCGTGCAATACCATGTATTATATTATTTACTTCGTTTTGATATCTTCATGCTTCCTTCCTTTCTTTCCTTCTTTTTCATTCTTGTCTGTTCCTTGCTGTGATCGATCACGTCGTATTCGTATTGCATGTCTGACTAGGGCTTTCAGACTCTGCCGGGTCATGCAATGCGGATACCTAAACGTCAACCTCTGCCTAGCTCTGTTTGGAGGTTTCGGCTGACTCGGCCCAATGCAGTCGACTTTTTGAACCGGAGGCTAAGTTATTTCCACTAGGCTGGCACAATTGTGATCACGGCCCGGGTCAACTTTCAATATTCCGGTCCCTCGATCCTATTTGCTACACTACCAGACCGACTAGATGCACGCCGTAACTGGGCTGACGATCGACCGTTGTTTAGCCCATTCACTGCGGGGTCATCCTTGCCTTCAATTGTGCGATGCGACACGAATCCCCAGAATTCAGAAGTGAGGGCTCTGTTGGGGGGGGGGGGGGGGGGGGGGGCACCTGCAGGCTTGAACACGCCACACCGGTCCAAAAAGGTGTAGACGGAAGATCAGCAAGCTTGTTCTGTGTCAAAGTTGCTCACATTCTTCCTAGGATCATCACATGCTCGGCTATCTCGTGCATCGTGAAGGCTCCGCACAATATATCGGATGATCCACCGATTCCCTGCGATAATGGGTTTGTGGATCCTCGCGAAAGGCCATTTCAGGCCAGGTTCTGCACATCAAGACCAAAAAGAAATACTACCGGATCAAAGGAGGAAATACAGAATCCTGTTATACATGTAGAAGCAAAGACAACCCCTCTTGTACCCAGTCTTGGCAGGGTTTTGTAGATCCACAAAGTTAGTTAAGATCGACGCAGGCTTAGTTGTGGCTTGCTTATTTTTATGCATGCGGTGAGCCCTACTCCATAAGGTGATCGTACCTAAACTGCTCTTTAACATGGGGTAACTTACAGATTAAACTGCGTGGTCTTCCAATCTGTTTTGCCTCTCAATTTCGCCATCTAAACAAGTTCTTTTTTTTTTTACTTTTAGCTTGTCGATCATTTCGCTTTTCCTACTTGTTCCGGCCTTTCCCCTAATTTGGTAAGGCGTCCGAGGTCTTCGTATGCCTAATCTAGGGGGCGGCAACACTATCGGATAGCCACCTCGGAGATATACATTGAATCTTCCAGGTTTCAAGTACTGGATAGTGTGAAGCCTAATTAGGCTTGGATTCAATTCCTGTGCGCTAAGTTACGTGCATGCAATCAAGAACCTCAGCTCCTGGCTTTCCTAGGGCTTTAATACCCTGCTTGACTCAAACCCAGACCCCAGGGGCTTTTACTCTTTGGCATGAATATCGACAAAGAGTGATACACACCACCTAGTTAGGTGCTTCTGCCCCGGGCAAAGATCGAGGTCGCAAGGTTATTTACTCGAAAGTCGCCTCACTCCTTATCGTACCTCATTTTGAGCCCATCGAAGCCAATCAATGCCAGTGCGTTTCGTCGCTTCTCAACAATTCTCACCACCAAGATACTTCAACGTTTCAAATCGCATTATGGGAGTGTCCTTGTGGTGACAGACAAAATATGTGTCAAGCACGGGAGTCGTATCAATTTAACAGAAGCTTCAACAATGCGGTTCATATCTGAAAATACCGATATACCAGTTCCTCAGGTTTCTGTATGAAGAAAACTGCGACCTTTGATTTGTTAACGCAGAAATAGACAATACCGTAGTGGGCTGGGTGGACATTTATGGGTTATCTTTGTATCCCGTGGGTGGGAGCCATCACGAACTAGTTGAGCTATTGTTATTTGTGATTACCAGAAGCGTGTGCGGGAGCTGTTTGTTTGTTCTTTCGTTTTTGTTGCTAAAATTGTTGCTAAATCGTGACAGCCGTTTTTATGCGAGCTGTTATTCCTTTTGTAGATTTCCCACCTTGCGGGACTTGAAGATCGAACATAGTAAAGGGACGCAAAAAGGATTGTATTGACACAGTGAGCGAAAAATGTAGACAACTCATAAGTGAAGACTTGGAGGATGGACAGTAACTTCGGGGCAGAGTCTTATGCCACCTAACATATCCACAACCTAAAAAGAGGGCGATTTGGGTAGTAGAGCGAGTTTTCTAACGTGGTATCAATATCATAATTGCTGTCTATTTAATCCTTAGATGCCGAAGTTGACATCCGTTCTATATACCAGTTTTCTCCATTATGTTACTGAGTATTCAAAGGTCAATTCATCCCTCTCATAAGATACTTGGACAAAAACACAGGAACCTTGCCCTGCCCTGCCCTACTCGTCATCAGGATTAGTCCGTTGATTCTCTTCAATAGGTGATCTAACCGTCTGAATCAATGTGAAGGCCTTACTGCGACCAGAGTTACTAAGCGCTAGGTGTGAGAGTCCTATCCTTAGTCTCTGGATCTAATGAATGAATTCCGGGGGTCTGATATACAGCAAGTAAATGAGAGCAGAGCAAGGTGCGATTTCATGGTAAAGGAAGAGAGGCGATTCCCAGATTACCAACGTAGCTTGAATAGAAACCCCCGTGGACTTGGTGACACATCTCAGCTGGTTGTGGGCCCATTCATAGCTTAGTGTGCATGGAGATATTAGTCCAAAAATCTTATACAGCCTCTATGATGCCACTCAAAAGAGATTAGTGGATAAAACGTCGAGAGCCAGCAGAATTCGTCATTTCCCATGGATCTATTGTTGTTTCGGATTGAGCGGTTACGCTATATACATCACGACAAGTGATACAAAGCTGGTGCTGTAAGGTGTAAGTAAATATCTAGATATCCAGCCGTTAAAAAAAAGATTTTCTGCTTCATAGTAGAGAACGAAGGTGGATAACAGAAGGCAGAAACGGAAAAAATAAAAGAGATGTGAGATTCGAAAAGTCAAGTATTTAGTGACCATCTAGAATATAGGATGGAGACTCGCCGGAAAACCTCTGCGTCATCAAGGACTTATGGTAGTCAAACCTAGTTATTTTCATCGTCCACGTCGCATCCACATTGGGATATTTCCTTCCTGAACTGGAACATCCTTGTAGGTCTTCGACAGAGTTGAAAACCGGCTTTCTCATCTTGCATCGGGTTTCACACAACCCTTCAGATGCCGAATGGTCTGTAAGCACCCATTAAAGCACTCCATTCGGCTTTCGCGATGGAGGATCCAAGAGTGGGGAGGTGCATTGGGAGATCTTCGATACCATCTGGCAGAATTTTGCCAAATCGCTTTTCAAAGGGTTCTCATGGCAGTTTGAACCGAGAAAGGTTTGTAGCGGGGTCATTGGTAACCATCCACTTCTGTTCAGCTTCCATAATGGCGAGAGCCCTTGAAAGTTTCATTAGGGCAGAAAGCCTTATCCTAAAGTTTTCCATCATATCGGTGGCATCTAACGCCATATATTCCCGAGACCAGTCCTTCGATTCTGTATGATGAGTCATGAGTAACATCTGATCGTATTGCTTGATTTTCGTGTCAAATACCACGGTAAAATTGAGAACCGACCGTAAAAGCAAGAGAACAAGAAGCTTGCTTGTACAATCAACCCCAAGATACCCTGCTAAAAGAGATCCAACATCATTTATTTGGATGAATGTGTTGTAGCACGCGCAACTGGGATTTCCGGGCTTGGTGTACTTGAGCTGTTTTGCCATAGGGGCTTCGTGGCCGGTGTTCGATGGGAGCTTTCGCTTATTGGGAATTATGTTAGATGCAGTCTGCTTAAGACATGTTAGAAAGAGTCACACTAGGGTATTCGAGCCTGAAGCTTTACGCTGTTGGCTTCTTCGTTCGTGGACTCCATGGTTGCTGCAGTGGATAGTTCGATTCAAGGCACTGAAAATGAAGAAAGAAGAATTGTTCATGAACATAGTACAGTACCACAAATACCGTAGACTCCTTGCACCATTTCTGGCTAGAAATGGAGCATCGTTTGATAAATACAAGTTCCTACCTTTTTCTGGCCTCTCATTGGCTGATTTGGTGGACGGGCCTATTTGGTCCGCCAAGCCTTACCCCAACAAAAGCGAGAATTACATTTTATATTGGTCTTTTACCCTCTCGACCTCACTTCTATGCCTTATGCTTGGTATTTTCGGAACGGCATTCTTGCTTTGATAAGATCCTTGAACCTGGCTTTAATTAGGGCCGAATTGCGTATGTTATACTCGGATTAAAAATAGGCGTGAATATGGGGGCGTTAGACCTAAGCTTTAGTAAGTCATACTTCCCGTACTACGGACCTTTTAAGGGAAGCTTTACCTGCAAGTGCAAACAAAGGGCTATAATACCCACGTTCTATATACAATGACGTATATAGACTTCAGTGTATAGGAATATTGAACTGGTCAATGATCCTCACTGGCGATTTGTCAGACCGAGAAAAATAGGCCTTAGCTTGACTTCTTGCAGTCAATTGATCACCGCATTCCTTTTTTTCTGACTCTGAAGCCCTCTATACAATGGGTTTATAGAACAAGTAGAATTTCAGCAAATAATATCCTTCTCCGTTAACAAGTCGTAAGTTGCAGGCTTCTTCATATCAAATTTGCCCAGCCCATCAAAACGATGCTCGTCTTTCTTCCGTTGACAATACGCCATTGATTCATCTCGTACCTTGGTCCAATCAAGGACACACGTACCCAATGTCTTTTCCTCGGCCAGCCCTTTCAGGGCCTCCTTCACCCACGAAATACAATTCCATCCAGACTGACCACCACGGATAGGCGTACCGCGTAATGTCTCGATTAGGTGAGGGACATTTGCTACTTTGCCAACCATTATACGGACGAGAAGCATGCTATCAGCAGAAAGTGGACAAGGACTCTCTTCGAATTGCCATTCAGAGCCCCCTATCTTTATGCGTTCTTTGGCGTGATATCGAACACCTGTTTTGTTGTCTGTTTCAACCTTTGGTCCCACTATCAAGCCCCAATGGTAGCTAGCTCAGTTCTAATTTTAGTAATTCTGGCTTTTGCGAAGCTGGATCGTGAACTCACGTATCCTCTTTATTTGGCATAGTTGCCTTGCCTCCTCGTACATAAAGAGCAACATATAGCCTGTCTTTGTTGGAGGGCATTCTAAGTGACCTCAGGACAGGTGATTGAGAGCTCTGCAAGCTGCCTGAGAAACACTTGTGTTAGAGCGGCAAACCGAGTTGATTCCTATTTCTCCACTGCAACAAACTACCCCTCCACCACGTGATTTGACCGCTCATTAGCCAGTAAGATTGCTTTGTGAATAGCCATCCTTGCATTATGTTTCAAATTCGGTAAGGAGAGGAGGAGCTTTACCTGGCCTCTCAAAGGGACACTTCCTGCAATAGAAAAAGACTGGTAGAGCCAATTATAGTTGACGATCGAAAAGATGATGGACAAACCCCACGACGGAGCTGGAATTCTGGGCTTCTTCAGGAACTGAATACTTGAATTGGTCCCTGTTCGCTAATGGCCGCCCGACGACCATGTTAACTAAGCTGGACTTCATAGCCATGGGAGAAAAGGTAGTATTTAATGATGCTTGCGTTGCCGCCCATTTTAATACACAGGGCGGATTTGAACTGCGATAGATCAAGGCCTGCTCGGGATGTGTTCTATGTACGGCTCCGGGATTGATGTCTGGAGCGTTGATGCGAGATGTTTGTCTACTTGAGCACCCATGTATCTTGCTGGACGATCATGCTCGTCACAGGACTGCATATCAAGGATGGCCTGCTGTTTTATTTGAAGTGGAACAGGAGACGTCCAGTCCTTAGTTGGCTATTTTTAGGAAACAGCTTTATGTTGCATTCCAGTGGGTCAAGGGAAAAGCGTTCCTCTCTTAGTCTAAGGTCTAAGCATAGTTTGTGGTTCAATTTTCTAGCACTTCAATCTAACACAACATGGCCGAAATATCTAAAAATTGACCAATGCTGTACTCTACTAAATGGTCCTCTCAAATACCCCAGATGACGATGTCATTACTAGTTCTAGAACGGCCCGAGGGAGGCGTGCGGCTCCTGACGAGTGGAGTGGATCCAATACCCTAATTAGGTCTAGCAGCGTGTCAACCAGCCTGTAACTGCACGTCTGGCTAATTTATCCGCCTATCACCTCATGGCCAAACAACAGCCAGCAAACAATTAGGCCTCAAACTACATATGGTGTTGCGGTCGGTTCCGAGATTCTCAACCAAATCTAGTAAGCCGACCGGGCTGGGATGCTGCAATCCACGTTTCATTTCGACATTCCATCCATTACTTTTGCAACACCGAATGAACACATCTTGAACCTCGTATTTTTGCTCATGACTTTCTATCAACTGCCAGATGCGGCGGGATTTTAGAATCCCGAGCTATGTTTTCCATGGTAATGCTGCAGCTTCATTTCTCACCAGCAGAGATCAGCCCGCATATGGAGCGATCTTCGCAGTCTTCAGAATTGAATGACAAGCTCTATTGACCACAGGAGCGTGGGGACGAAAGGTATTTAAATGCCGTCGATGCTTCGCATGTTTCAATTTTTTCAACAATCAAACTCATCCTCCAAACAATCCCTCAAATACCCTCTACCAAGATTCAAGATCAATTTCCATTCAACATGAAGGTTCCAGGACTCGCTGTCTTCGTTCTCTCCTACCTCTCTACTGCGGCCCTTGCCAACCCTCACCACGTCGACTCCGTCACCATCCAACTGGCGAACGACCAGTCTGGCGCAAATGCCAACGTTGATATCCCCACTGATGGTCAAAAGCGCTCTGTCGAGTCTCTCTGGGGCCATACATCCGTCGCAAAGGATGGCGTTGTGTATGCATCCAGCGCACAGCTCGTTGCTTTCCAACAGGACACCGTGTGTGTGATCTTCGGCGATGGTGATCACGCTCAATTGAACGCCCGGCAAACTTGGGTGTCTCTGAAGGACGGCAAAGTGGTCAAGTTGGACCACGCATATGTTGTTTGCGAGGATGTCTAAGCCCTTTTACATGGAAATGGTGAGCTAGCCAGCTTTTGTTGACTGCTCGCACTCTCTGGGGCCATGGGCCAGAGACACTGATACTTTTTGCATTCTAATCTTTTGTTTGTTACTTTATGGTTTTATCAAAAGCAAGAAATATCATGATTGGCTTCTTAAGTTTATTCTTGACATCTGCGAAATATTCACTCATGGATTCTAAGTCAAGATCTGATATGTAGACCACCTCAATTCATGTGCGACCTCTCACAACTCCACAGACTTACATTCCCCCGTTTGTGCAAATAAACGATTCTATTTCCGTTCGATTTAGAACCCATTGTCTCTGACAAAACGATAAAGCATCTAACGAGGATATTTCTTAGGCTTTCATTATTGTTCTTTGACTCCTCATTGTCTTCGACTGTTGACTTATTGTCTTTATACTACATGTCCTTGTTCTCTCGAGGGCCTCTAGTATATAATGTGGACGCGTTCTCGAGTCAAGTCTTCAACACACTCACACTCACACTCACACAGAATCATCTACAATTACACACAAATTAACCGCCACGTTTGACCTAGCACAATGGCGCAAGATCTGCTCTCCGTAGGAGGAGAAGGGAAAGGCACTCCAGAACTGAAATAAAGGTTCAGGTGAAACAAAATGCCACTACCCTAAGTCCACTCTCGATTTGATATGGCGTAGTCTCTAGCAGGACTGACTTGTTAAGCAAAAGCTTGCATCTCCTAAGCTGGCATTGCGTAATGCTCTTCAGATTCGCGGAGCCATTCCATGATTTCATTCGATCGAGATTAACCAGCGTGACAAAGGACCACCGATTTGGTGGGTAGGGCGAATTGGACAAGGATAAGTTATTATTGACGAAATGTTCCGCTCTACCACGTCCGAGGATCTGTTCATGTCGGAATTCACCAAGGCTGCCTATCAGCGGGCTTTCTCGCTAGACAAGCTCAAGTTGGTTGTCACCGCTGAATTCAACAAAAAGGGTACACTTGGGGCTGTCAAACGTATTTACAAGCCCCAGAGGCTTTCCCATCCATCCAGCACAAAGAAGTCTTGGTTTCCATCTGGCGTACAACATACTTGGTACCCATCTCCACCCGAACATCAGATCATTCTAGAAACTGGTATTGGTAGAGTCATTGCTGCTTTTGTTTTGTGGTGCATGGGGCCAACGTGCCAAGAAGATCGTTAACATTGTTACTTTCTTTGTGGATTCTGATATCCATAAATTGTACATTCGATTTGAGGTGGAAGATAAATGGAAGGAATCCTTTACTTGGGGTTTCGATTCTATCTTTGAGAGCTCGTTCTAATTTGACATATCGATAGTCTGTGGAGGAAATAAAAGAAATTTGAAAAGAAGGCGTCTGGTGTGACTTGTTTATTTTTGAAAATTCGATTATCTTCGCAAGAAGCGTCGTCGTAGTTATACAGTAGATAAGAGTTAAATAAGCGATAGAGATGAACTTGTGACAGGGCTTAGAAACACACCTCCAACTCCATTAACAGATCACCAACTAGCTTACATGTTACTGATGAAAGAGCACCAGGATTCATCATTTGAGTCTGATTAGTTCACCTGCCACCACACCAATAGTAAGTTGTTAACAATTCCTCGTAGAAACCTTCATAGACAACGACTGGGCCTTTCTCCTCGGGTTGAAGCTAGCCTTGAGAAACTTGCAAAAGAGCTCTGAATTGTAGAACAACCAAAAAAAACTCGGTTATATCTCGCTTTGGCCAGTGAGATGCTGTTTAACAATAGTGCCACGTCGAAGAAGATCATGAGCTGCTATAATCACAGCGAAATTAGAGAAGATCAGATTATCGAAAGAGTAAGACGTACCTTCTGGAGGCTCAATGGGCTCACCCACGGGGACCTTGGCGTACTTGATAGAGTCGGACGGAATGGATATCTTTCTCGAGAGTGAGTAAAACTTAAAATGATACTATTATGGAGAGCGCTTTACATTATTAGCCTCAAGTTCCGCAACAACCAGTTCTGCAGTTTTTTCGATATGCCGCAGCTGGCTTTGCAAGTCCGCGGTATGTGATGAAATTGATAAAAGTGGTAGACGATATTTGGACAGAAATTGCTTCAAGCTGTACCACTTGACCGACGTTGCTGGAATCGTGTAGTTTTTCTTGGACAACCACGATATAAACTCCATATGGGTGTAGGCTAGAAATAAGCCCCGGTTGACACAATGAGGATTTTGTTTCGACGCGTATATTAGTTTGCCATCCGAAGCTGCTCTATGGGAGTAATCGAGAAGAAGCTTTTGGAACTTAGTTCGATCAAGTCGATTAGCTCGTAGATTGGTTGCGATGGTTTGTATAGTAACTCCTATGTCCGTTAAGAATTCAACTGCCGTGATTTCTTCATGAGACATGATAAACAGTTTTGAAAGTGTTCGCAGGAATTTCTTTCAGGGTTAATGTGATAGTTGAAGAGGAAAAGAAAATTACTTATTTCCTAAAGATTTGGTCAGACAATGACACAGGCAAGTCTTTATAGGTGGCTGGTTAGAGCCATTGATTGGAACTAGAAAGTCAGGCGATCAGAAGATGAATCATCATTGAACAAATCTATACGAACTTGGCCGCGTTTCCCTTTCGAGCAGCCCCCGCACGAGCGATCCATGGGATGACGGATTAGATAAAGCCATGGGATTTTATCCAAGGTTCCAATTTTGATATATTTAGGAAATCAAATAAGGTATTCATTATACGAGACCAATAGAGTTACAATGTCAGTAGGGTAATGTCCAGCTAACTAATTGCTGGTTGAAGAAAATGTCCACGGATACAAGGGGTATTGCGTTGGTTTATGCAAAACGATGACGCGAGTTTGCAAGATTCCAGTTTCCCTTTAGTTTGCCATGGTTTCTGGTCCCTAGTTGCATGTGCTAGTAGCGATTCAATGAGCATACGACTGATCTTAGGAGCAAATTTCGGACTACAAGTGGAAAATTTCGACAGGATTGCCTTGTAGGATCCCTTCGATTTGAATTTCATTGTCAGTAGATTCTTTCACAGTGTGTGCCATGACCCATGTTATTTTAAAAATGGAAGATATTGTGTAGTTTGGTTTTTGTTGTTTAGAGGCACTAGGTCTATCAGCTGTAAAGCTCCTGTCTCTCATGGTTCATTTTCTTTCTTAATCATCTCTCGAATCAAAAGCGCATCCATACGCTCAAGTTGTTAGTCGCAACTTTTCCCTTCCTCTTTCTAGGTCCAGCTTTCATACTCGACTTTGCAGATCTTTGGAAGCCGTTAATACATGAAAACCACGGGGACTCTTATTCAACGTCTCCTGTATCTGCCCATCTAGCCGCACATGGCGTTTATCAAGCATGAAGTTCTGCAGTCGTCATGGCTTCTTACGCGGCAGCAGGCTTCACCTGGGGAGCGACTGCGGGTGCGACAGCACCTGCTTCCATTATTATTTGCATGCTGCGTACGGGGCGTGTGAAGTAGCCCGTGCAGTTGTTGTATTGGCACCGATACCCTGAGTTATGAGGCTATAATGCAGCCGCATCTAGGCCAAAATACTTTCGATTTGAATTGGGTTTAAAAATGGTTCAAACTCAGTTGTGTTCTTATCAACGCAGTTGTGATCTTGCGATGTTGAGATGGCTGATCAATCATCAAGAAGCAGGAGCTAGTACCCTCGTGACATCTTGTGCTGGTGGTGTGCTCGTATAGAAAGATAGATTCGGTCAACTCGGCTACTCGCATTTAATTTAATTAGGGGGCTACAGTATAGATCTAAGTATCTAGGATTGGCCTTGCATTATGGCTAAATAAAGCTTGTGTAATACAATTACGATACGAGACCTAATCAAATCAATAGAGTGAAGGAAGGATCCAGATGCTAAAGATGAAGGTTGGTTTAATGATGTCCTTCCTCATTCCCTTTCTCTCGGTCTATCAAACAGTACAGGCTGCTGAAGCAACGGATAAGCCTCCAAAACACTCAATGGCACCCAGCAGTACTTTTGCGGTGCACCCTTAAAGAAGCCAAGCTTAATACCGTGCTCCAAGCTTACAGACTGCTCCAGCTTCCATAACTTGAGAATTTCATATGCGTAGTTGGATTTCTTCATGCCCGCGTTGAACTCCGCATTTCCGATACCACCATCCTCTGGAACTTGCCCGGGTACTTTACCCTGGGAAATGTAGGCGACATGTTCAACTCGCTGGATTGGTTTTGTGGTGTAGAACCAGATTCGTCGCACATCTGATGGTAGGAGATAACTGCGATATTCATGGTTCTTTGTACCGGATGCGATGTTGCTCATGTGCTCGGGCTTGATGCTCATGAAGATGTCGATACTTGATTTCTCCGTTGCCATAACTTGCGAAGGATATCTGATATGACATTCAATAAAGAAAGACAAATATCGATGCTGGGACCGTCAATGTTGAAAGACTGATGGATGAGCGGTGAAAACAATGATTGAGGCTGAGGGTGATTTCCCCACCTATCCTCAAGATCGGCTGGTTCCAACTGCAACTGAGCGCGCCGATTAGATCGAATAGATGGTAGCAGTAAGTTTGAATAATTGAAATACCACCAAGAGTTGCAAGCCCTGAGCTGTATAAACTCTGGATATTTCCGTGATGAATTAGTCAGCCAAGGTCACGTATTTCTAAGTTTTGGACATTCTGACAACCTAGATCTGATATCAACTCGGAAATCCTCAAACAAAAACTACTCAAGTCTGGAAAGACATCAACAGATAATTACAAAGATGACACAGCTCGAGTCCAAATTTCTCTTACGAGAGCCCTTGGTAAGCAAAGCTTAATCAACATCAGATTCACCGTGCTTATCTCTCCGTACTCCAGGATTCCAAAGACGCGCGCTGGAAACGCTTAGTCAAAACACATTACATTGACCCCAATGGAGTACAGCGAGACTGGGAGTCAGCTGAGCGACAGGTATGTATATCGTTGACGCGCAAATAAATCATTTTCTGATCATTTGCATAGACAAGACCTAAAGATTCCCTCGTGGATGGAGTCAACATTGTAGCATTCTTGAACAAATCAACGGGCTCGGAACTCCTCCTTGAGAAGCAATACCGGCCACCAATTGACCAAGTTGTCATTGAGCTTCCGGCCGGCCTCATCGATGCCGGCGAAACAGCTGAACAGGCTGCCGTTCGGGAGCTCAAAGAGGAGACTGGGTTTATTGGTGTTGCTACTAAGAGCACTGGGATTATGTACAATGGTGAGTACGGAGTACATGCATATATAACTGGCCTATCGCTTGATGTTGAACCGTTTCTGACATTGATATCTAGATCCTGGGTTCTGCAATGCTAATTTCAACATGGTGTACGTTCAGGTTGACATGTCTCTGCCGGAGAACCAGAACCCCAAGCCTAATCTTGAGGAAAATGAGTTCATTGAGTGTTTCACGGTTCCGGTTTCGAGGCTTGGTGTTGAGCTTGAGAAACTAGAGAAGAAGGGTTATGCTATTGATGCTCGCGTGGGGTCTATAGCTGAAGGGATCGAGATTGCGAAGAGTTTGAAATTTTGATTTCTTGCTAGGAGGGAATGGCGATTCTTATTCTAGCATTATTTTTCGTGATGGCTTTCATGAAGTACATGGTCTGTAGACTATAGAGTGACGTCTCATGATAATCTTGCTCTCCAAAAACTGCAATATACGCGATTTTGATATTCCGTCTATGATCTACTAATAGTTTCATTCTAAGTTAGGCTCAAGTCGGGGTTCAGTAAAATCTCTGTAAGGGACCGTTCTTATTCTAGGATCCTCCTCTCTAAGACATAGCCACAATATTCCCGTGGCTCACTGGATCAATCATCGAGACAATATGTACAAAAGCGACTCAATGACAGGGGAGTACAGAACTTATAACCTCCGTCTCTGGCCCTGCCATGGGACACTGGATTCTCTGTTAAGAAGACCCTTTATCCTCAATGGCATCCACACGATCCCAGCTTTCAAGCTCAAGAGTCCGTACCCGATTCTCAATCTCGGCAACCTGCTGCTGCCATTCCTTCTGAGCCTGTTCCTGTAATTCATAGATAACCTTGAACTGGTCCTTGACAAAAGGAGGAAGATTGTGTGTCTTCTGGTTCTTCTTGTAGTCATATGTCACAATATCCTCGTGGCAACGGGCAGCAGGACGTTGCTTTGCTTCTGAAAGGATCAAGACCTGCAGCTGGAATGCAGATTGTCTCGCGAGAAATGAATTTGGGTCGGGCACCAGCCTTTGGTAGACAGTTATCTTATCGGGCGATGTCATGGGCTGCTTGATGGTTAGTTATTGTCGTATTGAAGCACGTGAGCTTCATTTCGGGGATGCTGTACAAATTTATAGTCCACCTTGATGCTTCGCAAGATGAGTCCAATTCCCGTCGAGCCAACAAGATTGTTCCATTCTTTCTTATTTGCGGGATCGATGTGAGTTCCGATATTTCGTGTCCAGTTTACTCGGGCTGTCTCGGCATATCGAACGTAGGTGACGTTGTTGACATGGCCTATAAATCGGTTACTTTAGGAAGGCTCGCTCAGAGCTAAAGAATGCTGAGTGTTGATTTGAAGCATACCCTGGTTTCAATGTTAGCGTTATTTCATGTTCAAGAGGGGAGAGTCCCTTACCATAATATCCTGTTCAACCACCAAGCAGCTACAAGTTAGCAGCAATTCATCTATACCCTTGAGATATCATATATAGGGTCCAGATTCATACCTGTTCACCCCAGACAACATTATGCCGAAACAAACTACGCCGCTTCTTATCGGTCAAGAAGCCCTCACTTCCAGCAATCAATTCACGCCAGTCATTGGCCAATTGCTGCAGTATCTTCCCTCCTTCATCAACCTGATCTGGTTTCAGTCCAAACATCATGCATTTCCCAATCCGTCGCTTGATCATTGTAAGCCATCGCGGGTCGATGGTATGCGGCTTTGCCAGCGCGTGGTCCGAGGTGGTGCCTCGGGCATGTTGTGCAGAGGAGGTAGTCGATGACAGGCGGCACGCAGGGATCTGGTATGACAAAATCGGCGCTGCGAGCTGCGTTCGAAGGACTGGTCGTAGCATGGTGTGTGTGGAGAGGAAGCTCCGTACTCTTAGGCGGGACATCGTTCAACTTATCCCCGGAGCTTGGGCCAGTTCGGACTGAACCCCGCGCGGTTATATTCGGTGTCGGCTGTGGAAGTATGGGGATATGATAATTAAAAAAGAACTAGTCTTCATTGATATACTCCTAGAAAGGAAAAAGAAAATAGATTGTGCTGCTAAAAGTTGAGATCGGGCCCTAGATCTCATACTTGCAGTATTTCCGGGCGACGTCACCGATAACACCCGAAGCTTTTCAGCTTTCAGCTGCGCCTCCTCACTTCCTCAACTCCCAACATCAACTCCCTCCCAAGTTCATGTGAATGGAGCAGCCATGGTGAACTACGAGCTGCGTCGGCAGGTCATCACTGTCTACAAGGGTATGTCAATACAATCAGGAGTGGTCTCGTTGGTCTCGGACTAACACCAGCAAGAGCTCTTGTTCCTGGGGCGTGAATATCCCCTAGGTTATCAGTATTTCAGAGATCGACTACATCGGGCATTTGCGAGTCAGGCTCAAATTACAGACGATGAGCAAATCCGCAAGGGCATCGCGAGAGCTGAGTTCGTGAAGAAAGGCGAGTTTTGGTCTTGTTTTGCCATCTGTCGAGATAACACTTATTTCAATGGTTATGGCATCTTGCTAACTGCATTTTACAGAAGTGGAAGCACTGTAAGATCAACCCCCACACCCACTCCATCTCCCGTCTCCCGCGTGTTGCATCGACCATCTTTCTCCATGTTCCCAACATGCGCTTCGGTGACTACACAACGGATGCGATATATTCGTACAAGTCATTCTTCTATAGATTTTGCGCATATTGCGGCAGTGTCTGGCTAGATACACCGTGCATCCACTCCTCATTATACGTCATACCATCATACAAGCACAATTTCGAACCCGACAGACCCTTTGCAACGATGACCAACTGACACGATAAAAAAACCAGATACTATTTGAAGCGGTACCGGACGCTGAAAAAGCGGTATGAAAGTAGCTGAGGCCTTTTGTGGCTCTCAACTCCAGAATGTTCAGATATAGAAACCCAGAAAGACAAGAAATAAAACCGGGGTATAACCAATACGAAGTGCAGAATTGTCACTGTTTGACTTTCGTTCGCCAGAACTCCAAATTGACTCGAGAGGGCTTCATTTTTTGCGTCCCCACCAGGCACTCACTTCCAGACACTCGCCGCTGGCAAGTCCGCCTTTTTGCAGGAGGTCGGCTGTCATTGCGGCCCACCATCGATCCCATTCATCGCGGCCCTTTCCGCTTGACTCCATGAGCATGGGCTCGAGACCTTCGATCATCTGGATCGTTGTGAGAAGTGCCGTTCGCCGGATGGATATCTGTTCCGGGGTCAAGGCTTTTCGTGGACGGCCCTTGGAGTCCTTGCCTTGGCCCTCGCGCTCCCATCGCAATTCACCCAGTGGGATTGCGACGCGGCGACTGTCGACATTTTCCAACAAGTCTACCTCGGAGTTAAACGATAAGCCGATTGTGGCGCACGGTAGCGCTGTCAACTTGCGTTGGTCGAACGACTTCTCTACCCACGAATTATAATCCACCAGATATTTGTTCTGCGCTCGTGTGAATGGCGTCGCAGAGGAAAATGTATATGTAGCCGTCGTGTCGGCATTCTCTTGTTCCTTCGAGGAGGTTTTGCGGGCCGGGGCTGGATTAGGGAGCAGCGAGCGGAAACTCCAGTCTGAATCCCATACTTCCAATATTCCCCCGGATTTCAACACCCGCAGAGGTTCGCTCAACCCGGACGCCGATTGCGCAGGACTGGCGGGACACATGCCGGCATCTTTGATAAATACGAAATCGAAATAATCGTCCGGGAAAGGCAAGCGGGGTCGGCGTAGGTCATGACGTTTGAACTGCCAGTTCATGCCTTGTTTGCGCAAATCAGGCGCAATGGAGACGACATCAATTCCCGCAAAAGCGATGTTGGGATGACCCCGACGAGAGAAGTATTCGTGGCACAGACCGGACCATAAGCCGGACCCGCATGCGATCTCTAGGATGCGTTTGGGCGGGCGATTGGCCAAGTGGGGATTGCAAAACGGGCCGCCTAAGACGCGCAGTAGCATCAACGTGCGCAGGCTCTGGCGGTGGATCTCGGGCAGGTCGCAGGGCAGAGGGTATATATTCTCCGGGTCGCGGAAGTAGGTGCGGTCGCCTTGTTTGATCAGAGGGTATGTTGAGTAGTCCGTGAGGGAGTTCAGGGAGGAGGAGGAAGCTGCCAATGTCGAACTCAGGTTGGAGTGCAGGTCGGTCCCGGAGGCCGTTAGTGTGGTTAAACCAAGTGCCATTGTGTCCGTCACTCAAGTTGTCGCCTTATACTGGATCGGTCGCATTCTCGGCGCGAGGTAGGAGCTTCATGAGCAGCGAGACATGGCAGGAAGGGAAGTCCGGGTGAAATTCAAGGAATTAAAATTAAGGTCGGCACGATGACGGATCAAAGCGGGCTCGGAAAATATCCTTGGTGTCAGACGTGAAGAAATTTCGTCCAACGTCAATGTACTCTATAAGTATAAAGAGTACAGAGTAGAGAAGAGAAAGAGAATTGGGGGGAGAAACCAGTTCGACCCCTGGATCAAAGTGGCATATTGTATCCACTCGAGTCTAGTTTCTCTTCACGTAAGTATAGTCCTATGGGGTAACAATACTAATCCTTGGCTTACGGTACTCCGAGTACAACGGGTTACTCCAATATGATAGACAGGTTCGGAGTACTGCAGACATATAGTTGACATCATGAGTCAATCCAGAGCCATGGCTGCAATGACCGGAAAGGGAAATGCTGAAAATATGGCAACCCAATAGATTCAATAGACTGCGAACTATAAACTTTATTCCCTAACTATTTACACTCCTTAGATGCTTATACATATTTTTCAGTTCTTTTCGTTCCCTTAGCAGGGTTCTCTGCCCGGTGCGTGCGTATGCAGCATGAAACCGGGGCGAACTGATCTATAAACCAGACCCTACTTTTCTGAGATACATCTCACACAAAAGTACAATGTGCCTTTCGTTTATTGACCCAATAGTATCTGATAGGACTATTCAGGGCTACTCCAACGGCCGTAAAACTGAATACAGAAACGCCGGAGATCCTTGCCCGCCATGTCCATAGCGTCCATAGTCCACCCGCCAGGTACCGGGTCTGGCCACGGAAAAAAAAAAAAATAAAACCTGAGACCTTAGTTGGTCTCTCTATCTGATACTTGCTCCGTGCCCTAATCCGAGTCCCAGACACCTGGTACAGCGGCTTGGGATACGAGAAATTCCGTACTTCTTCTAGGACCTGGTCGTGATCTGTGCCCCTTATATTTCCAGTCGTTCGGTAGATAAATATGGGACCAACCGACTGCCCCCCCCCTGCAGGATACGTGTAGTGGGTCGACAACATATAGTCTCTGCCACGTACTTTGGTCTTGGAGGTGTCGGATTGTGTGATTTTGAGACATTTGGTGAGGGGGGGGGCAATTGCTGGCGATGGGAATGTGGGAATGTGGCAAGGGGGGAGGCGGATAAGTGTTGCCATGTGTTGCAAAGTCGCCTTAACGGTCTCTATGTGATTATGCATGTACGGTGGGCCTGTCCTACCGGATATACATGTACATGTCCGCTGCCAAGTGTCAGGTGAATATGATACACTGGGGTGTATACCAGTAGGCTGGGGTAGAGACGCAAACTATAGGCCCAAGAACCAGGGGTAAGAAGTATATGTGGCTCTCCAAGCTTGCATGTAGCTCGGATGAAAGGTTCCGGTCAGGGTTAGTCTCATCTCACTCTGCTACCCCTACTGACAACTTGGAGTGAGAATACAAAGACCAGATAGCCGGGGAGGCTACCTAGACAGAGGTTCGTCGATCTCGCTTTAACCTGAGCCCTTTTCTTTCTCTCTTAATTTCTCCCTCTCCCTGTCTTCTTCCTATGTTTCAGCTTTCATTCGTTTAAGCTTTGAGACATAGATAAGCCTGGCTATCATTCTTGACTAGGGTCAAATGCTTTATACAAGGGTGGTTTAGGAGTTCCCATACTTTCCAGACAGCCAAGTGATCCTACGCTAAGGTAGAATATCTCCCAGAGTATATTGCCATAGACCTAACTCATCAATCCCCTACGAATCCTCCAGAGACGATTCATATACTCCGTTTTGAGTAGAATATAAGACTGCATCTCTTGGCACCCCCAGCTGCAAGCTAAAGACTTGGCATCACGTGATGTGTCGTATGCACGTGACTACCGCCTTCGATGCAGACCACCAGTGTCATCTCAGAACCCGTCCTCATCGACCTGGAGACAATCGTGTGATTTTACCCATCTTTGCGACCTCAAGCTTTGCCCTCGGGCTCACCTCGACTTTTGAACCCCCGATCACTTGGAATTCTTCGATCTCACCTCCTTTTGACGTTTCCGACCAACTCTCCGCCCTTAGGTATTCCGTTCATCGACTGCTGCCAAGGCTGTAGCGACCCCCCAATTCTGCTCTAATCCAAGAGCTTTCACGAAAGGTCTCTATGTGGAAGAAGAGAAGAGACCGTCTCCGATCCTCTACTCCTCTCCTCGCGTCCTCGGTCGACCTCCATCTAGCGCCGCTCGCCAACCAACCGGTTTTCCACCAGGGAAACAACACACGGTCTCGTCTGCCACGTTAAATGGCAGATGGTACCTACAGGTTCCAGCAGCCTGGGGCCGGGCAGTTCTACTTCCAAACTCAAGCGCAACAGAACCCTCACCAGCGACACATCGTTCGAAACGGGACCAATTCTCCGACGGGGAGACTGAAATTCAACCCCGACACCCCCTCCCCCTCCCGTTCCCCTGCCCTGAACCCAGCTGCTGCTCTCGGTTCTTTCAACATGTATGGCCAAACTCACCAGGGTCAGCATGTCATGATGAATGGCGGTCAAGCCCACCAGCGGTTTGGCATGCAGATCCCAAAGTTCCAATCGCAAACCCACCACTCCCATCACGCACAGCAGCCGCACCACCATGCCCACCACACACAAGCCACTCACAACCTCACCCACCAACACAATTTTGCCGGCGGCGCGCTGGCATCTACTACGACCTCCCACTTCACTTCTACTCATTTGCAGAATGGTGTACCGACCGCCGTTGACGATGACATGGACGAATCGATGAACGAGCACTGGCAACAACAACTCCAGCTGGCAGCTGAGTCGAGACAGGCCACTTCCCCGCATTACTACGCCCGCGTCATTGCGCAACAGTCGAAAGGGATCCAGATCATGAGTCAGAATGAGGAGAATGGAGCAGAAGGGCGTAATGGTGCATCTGGGTCCAAGCCATCCAGTCGACAAGGCTGGAATGCGCTTGATTTCGGTGGCCAAGGACTGCGCGCTTTGACTACATCTCTGTTCAGCTATGACTTCATTGAGAAGCTATATCTCAACTCCAACAAGCTTAAGACGCTGCCTTCGGCGATAGGACAACTTCGGAAGCTGAGCCACCTGGACCTCTCGGGCAATGACTTGACAGAACTGCCAGAAGAGATTGGTATGCTTTCAAATCTGAAGAAGCTATATCTCTTTGACAACAACATTCGCAACCTTCCCTACGAGATGGGCTATTTATACAGACTAGATACTCTGGGTGTTGAGGGCAACCCCCTCAACGATGTTCTCAAGTCCCAGATCATGAAAGATGGTACAAAGGCGCTCATCAAGTACCTAAAGGAAGAGATGCCAGGTGTGTTAACGATGCCTTCAACATGATTTGTGAAATCATGCCCGCTAACCTTATCATTCTAGTTCACCTCCCTCCCCCCGACCGTGATTGGGTCATTCTTGACGAAACCTCTAGCTCGAGCAACAGTCCCACGGAAAAGATCACCGTTCTGTCATACAACACCCTGTGCGACTCCTCTGCTACTCAATCGCACTACGGCTACGTCCCCTCCCGCGTGCTGGCCTGGGAGTACCGCCGCGAGCTCATCATCAACGAATTACGATCCCACAGCTCCGACATCATCTGCCTTCAAGAGGTTGACCAGGGAAGCTACAACAATTACTTCCGAGAACAGCTTGCCTACAATGATTACAAGGGTGTCTATTGGCCAAGAGGACGTGCAATGGGAATGCAGGAGGAAGATGCACGGTCGGTCGATGGCTGTGCTACTTTCTTCAAGGGAAGCAAGTACATCCTGCTGGACAAGCAATTGATCAACTTTGGTCAGACAGCTGTCCGACGTCCTGATGCCAAGGGTCAAGATGATATCTACAACCGACTGTGGCAGAAGGACCACATTGCCGTTGTGATCTTCCTGGAGAACCGCCAGACCGGTGCCCGTTTCATCAGTGTCAACGCCCATCTGTACTGGGATCCCGCCTTTAAGGATGTCAAGCTGATCCAGACCGCCATTCTCATGGAGGAAATCACCAAGCTCTCAGACAAGTACGCGAAATGGCCCGCTTGTACTGATAAGACCGCATTCCGCTTCTCGGAGGCCGAAAGTGGCCCAGAGAACGCCCCCGTAGTGGAACCGGCTCCGTCAATGGAGTACTCTAGTGGTGATCAAATCCCCGTTCTCATGTGCGGTGATTTCAACTCTTCCCCGGGATCCGCGGCTTACAACCTGATTTCTACTGGCCGACTGCCCGAAGAACACCCTGATCTCGAGAAGCGACTGTACGGAAACCTCAGTAAGGTGGGAATGACCCACCCCTTCAAGCTGAAGTCAGCCTACGGCTCTATGGGTGAGCTCAGCTTCACCAACTACACCTCCGATTTCACGGCCATCCTGGATTACGTCTGGTACTCTTCCAACACACTCCATGTGTCGGCATTGCTCGGCGAAGTTGACAAGGAATACCTACGCCGTGTCCCCGGATTCCCCAACTTCCACTTCCCCAGTGACCACGTAGCATTGCTCGCGGAGTTTACGGTGAAGGGAAAGAAGGGCAAGGTGGTGGAGGCAGACTTCGGACCGCAACGGCACTAACGAATTGGAGCATTTGAAGATGGGTGTTTGTGCAATCGGTTTCCTTTCTTACTGTTTGTTATCTCGGAATCTTTTTTTGGGTGGTGGCCTTGCAGCTAGCCGTCTTATGGTGTTTTTACGTATCTCTTTTCTACCGTTCGCTGTCTTCTCTCCTGTTTATGAACGTCCTTGATCCTCTCTCGTGTTCTCTCTCTCTCTCTTTACTCCCGCTCTCTTGATTTGCAAGCGGAGCATTCGTTCACCACGAACAATGTCCCTGGCCTTGTGTCTCGTGTCCCTTGGGTGTAGCCTTTGGCACGGCAATATTGCATATCACCCTCAACTCTCCTGTATCTTCCGCGTTCCCTCTTCCCTCCTGCCTCTCCCTCTTTGTCTCTCTTCTCCTGTGTCTTTGTGTTTCCTGAATTATTTCGGTTTCATCTCACCTTATTTCTAACGTCATCTGAGACGGCTTCACGACGCTTAGGATGGGAGGTTGGTTGGTGTTCGGGTGGAACAGGTGGGCTGAAGGGTATGGTTTTTTTGCCCTGTGACGAGGTTGCTTTTTTGTCTTCTGTTTGGGCGAAGGGAGTTTTCTGTTCCATGTACGTTTGTTTTATTTTGTCATCTGTCCTACGCGAGGTACAGTCGAGAATAGAGCGTGGCTTTGTTCCATTCTCCTTTCAACTTTTGGTACTTGTCCACTTATGATGTAGAATGTATAGACAAGGGGCCTCGCTGGCGCAGGGCTGGGTCCCGCGGTTCCTTGTTCACCGTGGCACAGGATACATGTATGACTGCCACCTGGCTCCTTGCATTACTTGCTTTACATGTACAACCACAAAGTCCAAACAAGCGTGGAAGCCGTGTCGTGCATCGAAATGAACCTCATGGTGTAACAGTTAGAAACTCGTTTCCTTGATATGCATAGATCCCACTTGCACCGCGTACTTGGTGTACCTTGCAAGATTAAACATCACGACCAAAGTGACCTTGAAATGCCATATGCCTATCAAATCCATCACTAGCACGACAGTACAATACAGAGCCCAAAAGAGTAGAGTGTTCCCATAATAAACATCTATCTTACACATTCCCACACATGCCAACAATCAAGTATACAAATACACCTTACACCCCTCATAACACCCAATGTAAAGCGCACTCCCAACAACAGCAGTCACAAAAGTCAACCCAGACCCCCGAAACAACCCAGCAATCCCCTCTTTACAAAGCACATCCCTAGCAACAGCGAACGCCCCAGTTCGAGTCTGCAAGCTGGTCCTTATCCCGTCAATGCCGAGCTTAGGCACCCGTGTCTGTCCATGTCCATGTTCCCCGATAGCTAGTCTCATCCTCGTCTTGACCACGTCGATGGGAACAAAGAACCAAGATGCACAACCGCCTGCGATGCCCGCGCTCAGAACAGTGGCTTGTAATTGCTTCGCTGGATCATTGTTCTCTTTTTGATAGTTCCATCGCTCGAGTAATGTCTCTTTTATCATCTCATACAGACAGAATGTCAGGCATATACTCGGCAGTTGGCTCGCCACTAGGGCGGTGTAGCCGGTCCAGAGTTTTGACGGCTGTCTCTGGAATTGTTTTAGTATTTCAGCGGTTGGAGATGTAGATATCCCGGAAACAGAAGTTGATGGGGGTCTCTGAACAACCTGAGCATTCTGCTTCAATACCTCGGCTGGGTTTAGAATTGCACAGGCAATGAGTTCAGCTAGGGCACTACTAGCAACGTGGAAGACAGATCGAGGCACACCAAGCATGTATCCAGCTGACTGGGCATTCTCAAAAGCTTTCTTTGAGGCTTCGTATGTGGTGAAGAATGCTGCTGAGGATAATGTGCCCGCTAGAAGAGTTGGTCCAAAGCCTTGGTAGAGGCCGTGGAAGATAGTTCGGTTGAGGGACCCATTGCTGTGTTTGTAGATTGTTGTATAGACCGGAGATTGCATTCGCGTTATTATTGTGTCCATTGGGTGGATTATTATTTCGCTTGTTAGGGCGGCGATTGTTGCGGCCTCGGTTTTTGTTAGGTTGGTTTGGTTGAAGGGAGAAGTGGCTTACTTGGGTTATTTCTGTGTTTGTACTTAAAGACATCTTGGAAGGTAGAGTAGGGCGGGCATGAGTCGTAAAGAGGACTTTTTCTCTGGGTTATTGCCTGTGAAGCTGAAATGAAGGGATAGAGGTAGTCGGGCTCCGCGGAACCCGATCACTTACATGTTATCTATCGCTACGTTAGTTGAATACAGAGGTCATGTCTATGATAATGTTCTTTTCTTAAATTTAGATCTGGTTGTGGTTATTGATCTCTAAGGATGCCCGTAGAACGCCTTTGGATTGTTCTTAGAATAGTGCCTAGAATATTTTCAGTCATAGGTATAAATCAGTTAGCTAGTTCATGGCTTAGAGAATTCTTTCTTCTTCTTCCCCTTTGCATCCTCATTTACCGTAAGAATGCAACGTTGCAGTCAGGACCTAAGTCATTTGATCACGCTGCAGGGTTATAAAGCACTTTCTATGTGTCTTCCAGCAGACTGCGTTGAGCGTCCGGAACCTCGGGGTTTCTCCTTTCGGTGCTGAATATGATCGTGGATGAGGAAATTGAGAAAAAGATTTGTTAAGTAGCTGCCAGGGGAAAAAACCAATTGTTTCGACTTTGGTGCACCGAACATAACCAACCATTGAAGAAATATATATCCAGCATTCTGAAATTGTACCATGGTCTCAATGTAAGGTTCCATAGGTTGCGTTTGAAACGTTCTTAGATATGTTATATAAGAGGATACACTTTAATCCATGACCAAGTAAGATATCAGCTGTGAGTAGTGAGGCCCTCGGGATGTGCAGATATCGTCCGTGCACTGCAGATCACATGCCGACAAGGTGAGATCGACTCGATTTCACCTCACTTCAGCTACTCAACATTTCACAAGATGACCGAGGGAACGCACACTCTGCCTGATGGCCTCGAGCTGTATACCAAGACATGGGAGGTGAGTGAAATGCACAACCAGAGCGAGTTGAGCTTCGATCGAACTTGCCTCGAGCTACATGAGCTTGTCTCTCTCAACATGTTTCGTGCAAATACTGACAGAGAAATAGTGCAGCGGACCTCCACGTGCCATCTTGGCTTTTATCCATGGCTTCAGTGATCACTGTAAGTCTTGACGCTGGATGAGCCAGCATAGCGACGCTTGTTTACAAGTTAATAAAACTTGCTAGGCAATGCCTACTACGACATGTTCCCAAACCTGGCCGAAGCTGGAATCGAGGTCAGGTCTTTTGATCAGAGGTATGTATCGGAACTAGCTGTCCCATGCTATCATCCCCCCCCCCCCCAACGCAAAGACCACAACAAGCACACCTCAATATCAAAACAAACAACAAACTAACACAACTACAGAGGCTGGGGTCGCGAGGTCAAGAAGTCCAGCGACAAGGGCAACACAGGCCCAACAAGCCAAGTCCTCGCAGACATGCACTCTTTCCTTCTCACGCTCCCATCAGAGTCCAGCACCCCCATCTTCCTAATGGGCCACAGCATGGGCGGCGGCCAAACCCTTAACTACATCTTCCACCCAGAGTCCCCCTATAACAAAGACTCCAGACGGCCCAAGCTAACTGGAGTCTTGCTTTACTCCCCCCTAATCGCCCTTGACCCGGCCTCGCGCCCGTCAAAGCTCGTCGTCGTGGCCGGCCGCCTTACTTCCAAGCTTCTCCCGCACAAGCAGCGCTATTCTCCACTTGACTATAAGCTCTTGTCTCGGGTTCCGTCTGTCGTCGAGGATTGCATTGCTGATAAGTTGTGTCATGATACCGGTACGCTGGAGGGCCTGGCGGGTATGTTGGACCGTGGACTGTGGCTTGAGGCGATGTTTGACACGGAGGCTTCGTCTGGCGAGTGGGTTGATTGTTCGTTGCCTTTCTGGTTTGGTCACGGTGATGGGGATCGCATTACTAGTTTCCCTGCTACCAAGGACTTTGCTGGGGAGTTGACCAAGCGCGGGAAGGATGCTACTTTTGTTGGTTATGATGGGGCTTATCATCGCTTGCATTCTGAGTTGCCTGAGACTACGACGAAGTTTGTTGCTGATATTAGAGACTGGATTCTGACCAAGGCGGGTGGTATTTCTGCTCAGGGCGAGGATGCTGCTGAGGCCGACAAAGCTAGACTTTGATGTGTTGTGTTAGATATCCTTTCGGTCTCTTATTGTTATTATGTTAGTGTTCTAGCAGATACGCTATAGTATACAGACGCTATATATTACAGGGGTGGTTATGTTCTCAATATACACGGAGTAGCAGGTCACCGAGTAGAATCCTCGATACGCCGCCAGACTCCTATAAAGCCGCCGCCCTGAATGCGAACTCCGACCTTGGGCCGGCAGACCAGGACAGGTTCTCCTCCTTTCGGGGATTCCTCTACAGACGCCTCCGAAACAGCGTCGCTGGCACTGACTTCTTCGGTCTCAGCAGCAGGGGTAGCACCCTCCGCATCCGAAGAAACAACCCAAGACGATGGGTCAGCGCCGGACTTCTTAGTCGCGAAACGCACATCCCATAGGCGACCACCACTGATTCCATTACCAAGCTCGACCACCCGCTCTTGAACGAGAGGCAACCGGTGGTCCTTGATCAGTTGCAAACACTCGCCGATCTGCGTGATGCTAGGCATGAAGACTACTAGGTAGCCATTGCGTTTCAAAGCCGGTGTAACGTGCGGAATCCTGAGGTTCGAGGAAGGCATGTCCAAAATAACGTGGGACAAGAAGGGCTCAACAGTGTCATTCCCAGTCAACGCAGCCAGACCGGTCTTCTTCCGCTGTTGCATCTGCTGCGCAATCCACTTTTCCACGGGACCCACGTAGAAGTCGGTGTTGCCGGCGTAGATTCCGCGACGGAAGCCTCGCACGTTCTTCTCGGCTAAGGCTGAGAACTTGGGCGAGACATCCACCGTGTGAACTATGGCATTGCGCTGCGCTCGCCAGGCATCCCATTCGGCTTGTACTGGGTCTGCGGCTGTCTCGGCTGCCTTCTCCTTGGATTGTTCCGTTTCCGTTTCTCCTGGCCTGTTGGCCCGGCCTTCGAGGTAGGTGATCTGCGATCGGGACGGGTGAGGTGGCGGTGTGCTGTTGGCTGCATGGATAGCACGCGCCAGGTGTAATGTCAAAGACCCGTGGCCTGTTCCGGACTCGAGGATTTCCAGCGGGGGTTGGTCCTCACCCGCGGCAGGGGTATTGGGGTGGATGTCGAGGAGGGAAGCAATCAAATTCGCATCCTGGGGATAGATCTACTAGGATAGCGTGAGTCCAAGGTGTCTATCCATGCGTGGCTCTTAGAGGGATGAGCATACCGGCGTGACCAGGCGAGGAGTCAGGGCGACGTATTCTTCCAGCGTGGGAAGGCTGAGTCGAATTGATGTACCTGCGCATAGCATTTGGGTCAGTGATAGCCCGTAGTTGAGAGCATGGGTGTTACGGACCTTTGCTCGACTGTACTGTATCCCATACGCGTTTGCTGAGGATAGTGTCATGGTCCACGGTTCCCCGATGACTCTGTAGCTTCTCGCCCTTCTTCAGTGGCTTCGACAATGAGGGCTGTTTGCCATGTAGCACAATTCGGTCTCCTTCTGCGCGCGTTGTTAGTCGGATGTCGGGGAGCGAGAGGAGCGCATTTAGGGACGCAATTACCTCTGAACACAGAAAAATTGGTGTCAATGGCTCGAGGCCGTAGAGCACCCTGTGACGGGGTAGCCCCTAGGACTCTCTGTAGAGCCTGGCGCAAACGAAACATAATGCGACAAATCAACAAATTGTAGTTGGAGCTAAAAATCACCAGAAGAGGAAAATCTTGCTCCATCGAGACTAACCCGCTATGGCACTGACCCACCCCCAGTTCTGAGAGACCGAGGGGTCAATTCTTCTTTTCTTCATTGCTCTTCTGTTCTGCATTCTACATTCACATCACAATGGGCTCTCACTCGCTCCCTTATATGGAGACCAATCCTAAGCTGATCTTCTTCACCGACTTTGATGGCACAATTACCGTCGACGACAGTAGGTGTTCCCCCGCAAAGCGCCACTTCAAGGCTGACGAGAACAGGCAATGACTTCATGGTATATCGCATTTATTCTCCTCGTCTAGCACATCACTGACACCATCTAGATCGACAACCTTGGCTTCGGCAAGGCAAACCGCCTGGTCCTGAACGAACAGGTCTTGAACGAAACCCTGAGCTTCCGGTGCGCCTATACCGAACCATTTTCGTCGAAAACACAAGCTAATCGGCCTTCTTTACTTGCAGTGATGCCTTCCGCGAAATGCTCGGATCTATCAAGACCCCCTACGACCAGTGCATCCAGACCCTGCTTCAGAACATGAAGCTGGACCCTTACTTCGAGGAGTTCTACTACTGGGCCCGTGATAACAATGTCCCCATTGTCATTCTGTCTTCTGGCATGCGCCCTATTATTAGCGCTCTCCTAGAGAAGTTCCTTGGCCACAAGCCGGCTGAGCACCTCACCATTATCTCGAATGAGCCCGTGGGCCGCGACGGCAAAGACATCAACGAGGAGGGTGGCTGGGGTATTGAGTACCACGATGACAGGTAAATTGCTACCAATTTGCATTGCTATCGGACCAGCCTTGCTAACAACCATTTCCCAGCCACTTCGGCCATGACAAGTCTTTGGAGATCAAGCCTTACGCCGCATTGCCTGATGGCGAGCGCCCAGTTCTTCTCTATGCCGGAGACGGTGTCTCAGATCTGTCTGCTGCCGCGGAAACTGATCTTCTCTTCGCCAAGCAGGGTAAAGGTATTGATTTGCTTCTGCTATCTTAACTTTCGCCACGATACTAACTTTATTACAGATCTGGTCACCTACTGCCAGCGCAGAGGCATGCCCTACACAACTTTTGAGAATTGGTCTACTATTCTCAAGACCACTCAAGACATTTTGGCTGGTAAGGTGACGGCCGGTGAGGTCGCCGCCAAGGCCACTTTGGGTGCGTAGACTCTAAATAGATATAGAGGAAATAGAGGGCAGATGGATATGAATGATGAATTTTCGGGTATATTAGATAGTAATGAAAATAGTCTTGAAACGTATACTTACACTTGGGAAATAAGCATAAACTAACAAAGAGAGGCTGGACCCCGTCAGGAGTCGAAAAGTCCGTGACCGCTTTCCAGGGTCCAAGCGTGGCCACCTTCGTCCTTCAAACATTCCCTCCCTATATATATTCCTCTAGAGTTGAACTGTGTTCTTCTCTGCATCCTCCCCCTCTTTCGGCTTGTGGGCACCATGCGACACTGCGCCACGCCCTTCTTCAAGTCCTTGCCAGGGTGATTTCCATCTCATTATGGCTCGCCGACTAGTATGACACAACTCATTGACAGGTGTGAACCATTTGGCTAACATCTTGACAGGTCCGAGCGAGCGTACAGCTCGGTCTAGTCGTTACATTCATACTACTCGTGATAGTCGTTCTCGATAATCGATTTCGTGTCCTTCCTTCCTCTATTCACGGCCATCTCCCGTCGCATTACTCCGGCTATGTGATCACCGATGTCACGGTCACCACATGTAACTCCATCAATCCCTTTTCCAGTTGTAAACTGGATCCAGATCACTGGTACCGCGTCGACAAAGACCTTTACCTGCGCACGGGCTGGACCTCGAGCGCCTACATCCAATTCAAGCGGAAGAAGGAGGAGGAATTGGGACCTGATGACAAGGTGGTCGTCGACTTGAAGATCAGTCGTCTGACACCGCCATCCGAATATGTTGCGAAACAAGCAGATATCGGGGCTTGGGAGCCCCGACCGGGCGGCCTCTGGCTTAGGCGCTCGTCTTCTCGTCATGCCAGTGACTCTGAAAGTGCTGTGACATATGTCGATGTTCTCTACGGTGCGGATGCCGTCGACCCTCGTCCAAATTGGGAAGTGAAGGACACTCCCATTCTTTTGGATAGTCGGACGGAGCAGCTGGAGACTCGCCTTAGCATTCGGAGAGGTCACCCAACCAAACCCAAGAAACCTACTCCCAGAATCAATGAAAATGGAAAGTTCAAGGTGATGCAATTGGCAGATCTTCACATGAGCACGGGTCTTGGCTCATGTCGCGACCCTGTTCCTGCGGAATTGGTGCCTGGCCAGAAGTGCGAAGCCGATCCTCGAACCTTGGAATTCGTCGAACGACTTCTCGATGAAGAGAAGCCTGACATGGTCATCTTCTCCGGTGACCAGGTTAATGGCGAAACCGCCCCTGATGCACAAAGCGCCCTTTACAAATCCGTGAAGCTTTTGGTCGACCGCAAAATCCCCTACGCAGCGATCTTTGGAAACCACGACGACGAGGGTGACCTGAATCGAGCTCAACTCATGACTATATATGAAGATCTTCCTTATTCACTCTCAGCTGCCGGCCCCGAAGACATTGACGGAGTCGGAAATTACATCGTCGAAATCCTCGACCGGGGCAAGAGCACCCATTCTGCCCTGACCTTCTATCTCCTTGACACACACTCCTACTCTCCGGATGAACGTCAGTTCCGTGGCTATGATTGGATTAAGCCAAGTCAAACGCGGTGGTTCAAAAACACTGCACAAAGCCTTCGAAGAAAACATCTCGAATACTCACATATCCACATGAACGTGGCATTCATTCACATCCCCCTTCCTGAGTATCGCACTGCAGGAAAATACTTCAAGGGTGCCTGGATGGAAGCTCCTACCGCACCAGGGTTTAACTCTGGCTTTAAGGACGCTCTCGAAGAAGAGGGCGTTTTGTTCGTCAGTTGTGGACAGTAAGATACCTTTCCCATTCTTCATTCTTCACAAAGCTAACCTATTCTAGTGACCATGTCAACGACTATTGTATGCTCGAGCAGGATGCTAACGAAAAGCCCTCGCTCTGGATGTGCTACGGCGGCGGCGTCGGAATGGGCGGTTACGGAGGCTACGAAGACTTCGTCCGCCGAGTTCGATTCTTCGACTTCGACATGGGCCCCGGCCGAGTCTCCACATACAAACGTCTTGAATGGGGCCAGACCGAGGCCAAGATTGACGAGATGATGATCGTCGATGGTGGCACTGTCAACGGCCCCACTGAAGCATCCTAACGAAGTCTCACTTCATTTCCCTTTTTTCCTTTTCTCCACCCTACCTTGAGATGCAAGTGTCATTATACATTGCTCTTCTCACATACTGTCGTTTCCGTTGGTTGCAGCGGCTTTTTCTTTATCTCACTGTATATATATCTTTCTGCGCCTTGCCTGTAATAGGCCAGCGTCTTGGGGAGTCTACTTTATTGAATATTCAAGCATTTCTCCTGCTCTCATATCTTGGATTGATTCTCGTAGATCTGCTTTTGAGTTCATGTTTAGAACGCCTCCAATGAACAATGAATGTATCACCACCACTTCTCAAAGAATATCCTCTTCTTCCCACCCTCTCCAAGCATCCTGCCCAATACATCAACCATTGCATCGGTCATAGCAGGCGGTCCACAGACATAGCAAACCGTATCTCTCAAATCATTTCTCTCACTTGCACCCACAGCTACCTCATGCAAATAAGTCTCAGTGATCCGCCCTGTGTGAACCGAAAGACCAGCTTCTTCAAGCCCAAACTGATCGGATACCGCAGTAAGGTCGGTCAAAAAAAGATCCAAATGAATTTCAGTTCGCCGGGACTGAATCTGGGACTTCATGATCTGGCGTAGACGAGGCAGAAAGAGAATCTGCTCTAGCTTTTCTTCCAGCGAGAGATTCTCGTGGCCTTTTGGTAACCTTGTTGAGTATAGGATATGAATCTTAGATGGACATATTGTGTTTGGGTCGTTATTGTTTAGGTGGGAGATGATCGAGATTAGTGGGCTGCATTTTGTTAGTATTTATTGCGATGGGATGGATGTAGATTCGATAGACAGCAAGAAAGAAGTTTACTTACTTGATACCAACACCGCCAGCAATAAAGACACCATTTTTCACATCTTTACTGTCCACCCCAGTAGGCGGCCAGGTAAAGCTCCCGCCTACACGGATACTCAGTTCCTTACCGAGGATGTCCTCTTTCGGTCTCCATAGCCATGCGGCAGCCGGATTTCCTGGCGAATCTTGCACGGCTAATTCTACGTACGGGGGCCTGCCTTGGAAATTTATTGACGAGGCTAGGGGTTCCTCAGCTGGAGCTGTGGATGCCTCGGGTGATGGCAGTACTTGTGCATCTGCTGGGGTGGACGTGATGGTAAATCCACCCGCTTTGGCGATGGATGGGATGTGAACATCCAGCCATTGGCCCGGAAGAAAATTAAATGATTGCTGGGCGTTGTTCTGTGTCCCTGTTAGTAATATGTCTCTAACAAAGAAAGTGTATGATTCTGAATGTTGACGGGGATCGGGATTGGTAGCCGCAGAGCATATGCTTCAACGGTGTGGCGGATATCCACCCGGATTGTAGCCGGGTTGGTGTATGATTAGTGACGTGGCAGTAGATGCAGTAGATTCATAGAATACTCTCATGAATCAAGAATGACAAAAAGTATCATACATTATTCTCTTGGGTGGGCAGAGCGAACTGCAGTAATCGCACGGAGGGATTGACCTGCTCGATGTGCGATAGCCGCACAGTATGGAGTCTGTTTTGTCGGGGCTCTGCAGCTGTGCGGAGCTCGTGGGGAATCGAATCCTCTCTTTCAGAACTCATTTGGCGGTTGGTGTTTGAAATCGACCGTAGTTGGTTAGTCCGCGCAATGTGCGTGGATGTGATGGGTAGCCGCGGGATAGATGAGCACAGGCGGAAGGGCTTCATCAGATAAGACGCTACAAGGTTGGATTCGGGAGAGTCGGGGGTCAGTCGTTGAAGGAATAAGTTATAGTATGGATGTTTGAAGCAGTGATCATTGCTGTACTGGTAGTTACTCTCTCCCGACCACATGACTTCCTCTCCATAACTTCCACTCTACAACCAACTTATGATATTATCAACCCGACAAGTTGAGGCCCTAAACAGTATGGGTTAGTACTGTATAATAGTGCGATTCTCCTCTTTGTGATGGGATTTAACATGGGAATCAACATGGGTATATGTACACTGCAAACCAAGTCACAGCGACACCTATCACTCCAGCGTTTCGCCAGGCGCTAAGAGCTGCAAGTTCCCAGCCAAAGCGCCAAAGAGCAGGACGAACGAGCGAGTTCTGTGATGGCTATGGTGCAGATCTGCCAACCCATCACACCTAGTGTGTGACCGGCAGCCAACCCTCGATCCCCGCCATTTCATTGGTGTGATGGCCCTGGGTTACGACCTGCGGCGCTTTGCCGCTGACAAGCATTGGCCAGATGCAACTCTCAAACACACATTAGCTGCTATGCATGTCCCATGCTGATTCGTGCCCCTCTCTGCATTGCCATGGAGCCTGCCACTCGGCCTCGAGCTCATATCTAACGCTCGTCGTCCGGATTGCCCAGACTTGTGCTTTTCTGAATTTTTGAAACTCCCAAGTTCAAGCATCTGCTCTCTTGCGCCTATGCCAGCCGGTCTGGCAGAGTTGCACTGTACATCTCTTTAATCCCCCGGCGCTTCAGCTGAACGGTCATCCTCAAATTTCAGTGTCAGCTTCCCCAGCGCACCGCATCAACCGCCACAATGCAGTTCTTCTTCCCTAAGAAGCACAAGCACCATAAGATCACTCTTTACTTGATGCTGGCCGAATTCCCGATCACTATTGTCATGCTCACCCTGACCGGTATTGCTTCACACAATCTATACCGGACATTGCTATGGCAAGACGGCGCAGACAATGGGTTCAACAGCGCTCCGAACGAGGCACTCTATGCAGCATCAAACTATAGACCATACAAGGCCCCAATAGTTTGGTCTGGATTGTATGTTTTCCAATATACTCATATCCAGAAGCGAGCTAACTGAAGCAGCATCACCAACTACAACCTGGTCCTCGGAGTGCTAAGCACATTCTTCCTGATCGTTAAACTGCCTGTCCACTGGATGAATCTACTTTACCCTCCTGTCGCGACTGGGATCCATACGTCCCTCATCGTCCTCTATATTGTATCAGCCCGGTACCAAGGTGGCTCTGACATGTCGGATCCAAGTCACCCCCAACCAGGAGCACCGTGGTACATTGCGAAGAGCTGCAGTGTCGCCTCTCATAAATCCAATATCCCATACTGCATGCAAGCAAAAGCGCTGTTTGCTGTTACGGTCATCATCATGTTCGTCGATCATCCATCCCACTTCACCTTTCACAAGACACAGCTAGCTAATACACCGACAGTATCTACTATTGCGTGATCCTCGGCTTCAACGTCCACTCCTGCTTCATCACCCCTGAAGAACGCGAGGAGATCTTGGAACGCAGGGAAGAGCGCCGAATCGAGAAGGAGTTCGAGGAGGAGATCATGAAGTCTCCAAGTATGATCCCGATGACACCAGGCTCAATGCCCCGAGGCCCAGGCATGGTCCCTCGCACCCCTGGCATCCCGCCAATGGCCGTCGGAGGAAGCATCTCACCGTTCGCTCCGCGCCATCTGGCTTTTAATCGCCTTGGTAATGGCAGCACTGCCTCAGACCTCCCGTTGCGAAACAACTCCCAATCGCACGACCAATACCAGTCACCACATCCGCAGTCGCAGACGGTAAGCCCGGAGAGTCAGACCGGTTCGCCGATGTATTTCCCACCTCCGCCGAAGAAGGCTGCTAAGACTTGAGTGGTGCGAGTTGGATAGTTGCTCTTTTTTTGTGATACCAATTTTTGTCGCTGCTCTTATATCACGTTCATTATGATTGCTGGGGCAGAACGGTGTTCAGATGTGGTTGATATTCCTTTCCATTCTTTTTTTTTTCTAGGCCCATTTCGACATTTTATGGATTTCGGCTGTGACGGTTGTTATTACACAAAATCTGCCTGCAAGTACCGTACTCAGAACGAAGTACAGTACATACTACCCTCATCTTCGGCGTTGGGCTTTTAATTTACACCGACTTTGTTTAATACCGCAAGTCGTTCCAGATATCCAAAGGAGAAATACTTTCGCGTGTTCACGAAGACTAGTAGAAACATTGTCCGCAAAGTAGACCAGAGCCCAAAAAAATTGACCAACTATATACATTGAATCAAAGACAAGTCAGAATCACAGGACATAACATCATCACCCATACAACTATGGGGTTTGAATCTCAAAAATCACAACCTAGGAACCCCAAACCAAAAATACGAGCGCTAGAAAATAATAGGAAGCACAACAGGAGCAGAAAACGGATCAGGTCGACTCCTGACGTTTCTTCTCCTTCTTAGACCAACGCACTAAAAGATGACAGGATTAGCCCGTATGCCAAGAGTGGATAGGTAGAGCGAATTAAGCGTTGGGAACTTACAGCCACAGGCGTTGCATAGGGTCTTAGGCCCATTGGGCCCTTTCCTCCATTCTGGCGAGTCGGCCGTTCCGCAGTCACCACAGACATGCTGGCTCTTGAGTCGCTTGCGGCGGTCGCCTTCCTGCGCGTTACGCTCTTGGTCCGCTGCGGTGGTTATGTCGATGTCGCAGTGGACTAGACGGCCGCGACTGTTTCCTGTACTCAAGCCTTGGGATCTCTCGCCTTCGCCGTAGTAGAGACCTGTCATGACTTCAATGCCGTCGATGTGCGAGGGATACTCGCTGCGGTTGATTTCTTGGTAATCGACCGATGGGTTTGCATCGGAGTCGTCTGATGTCTGCGCGACTGTGTCTGTGGATTCCTGGTCGCTGGATCCGCCTTCTGGTGCTGAGGTTTGACTGTGCGATTCAAATGTCTGGGCTAGATCTTGCGCCTGGGGGGCTCGAATCACGCTCGCCTCTTCGTCTTCTTCTTTCTTCAATTGGGCAATTTGTTGAATCAGACGTGCGTTCTCAATCTTGTGCTCCAGGAATGAGTCGAGAAGCTGCGAGATCTTGTTGGGATACGGTCGGCACATTAAGAAGAAGCCGGTGCAGCGCGCCGCGGTAGGTGATACCCTCCCAGTCTGGCGCTCACCCTGTTTCGCAATGTGTGGATGTCCGCATGCTTCTATGAGGCAATATGTGTTGTTTGTCTTTTGGAATCGTAAATGGGTGCGGAAAGACTGGTTCGAGGCGACGGCGTCGTCCATGTCTTTCTGGAAGATTGCCTGGTCGTCCTCATGGATGAACTGCGTTAAGAGGCTTCCCTCGAGTTGTGCCGAGGCACGGCCGGTGATATTCTTGCATGACGGACTGGCATAGGAGACTCGACCCTGTGGGGTAAGGAGAAGAAGCATGTCCTTCATTTCGTCGAGGACTCGCTCTGTCCAGCCCGGTTCGTTTCGTGCTAGATTGCCTGCATACTGAGCACCTTGGATTCCATAGTGTCCACCATAGGAGCCAGGAATTTGTTGCTGATCCATGGCGTAAACCGGAGATCCTTCGTTGGGGCCGGAGTAGACCTGTGCAGGAGCGGGTCTGCTCTCATATGGCTGCGGGCGACTTAGAGCCATATCGAGGGTGGCACAAGGAGCATAAATGGGGCAAATACAAAAGGTCGCGGCCGTACTTCGTTATGGGCGTATTCAGTGACAATCATTAACCCTCTTTAGAGAAATCGCAGTTCCTGGGGTTCGGAAATGGTTATAGAGCGGATGAGGGGGTGGGAATGACCATGATCCAGTACAGTAGACTGAAGTTCAAGGGGCCAGGGGGTTATTAAAGGATACACATCGCGGGCCTGGATCCTGTTCAAACGAGCAAAAGGACAAAAGTCAGGGAACTGGCCTCCGTTGACGCCGCCGATCTCAGTGGGACTCGCATTCGTATCGTACACGTGACTTCGTGTTGCCTCAACGCGGGACTATGTGATCAGTCACAACCGTCGAGGCGATCCGAGCACTATCTTTCTCCAGTTGGACTCCTTTGTCAGTGGATGTTGACTTCCTTCTTGGGACTGAGTTAACGGGCGTCACCGCACCTACCGCAGCTCTCCACTCAAAATGTACGTGCGGATCATTCCCCGAGCCCGTGTCGCGATGCTAACTCGCTTTTAGGTGTAAGTGCGACAATGTGCTTTCTCGGCATGAACAAAAGTCCCAACGGTCATCTAACAGGTCGCAGCGAAAATCGATAAGCTGTCTATCCTGGGGTACGTCTCAACGATTATGATCCGCGTACAACCCCGGCGGAGGACTATTGCAATGCTGACCAAAAGACTCGTTTTCTAGAGTTCGCTCTTTCGATAATACGCGCAGCGAGACAATCCAATTCCATACCCCTCTCACGTTGATTGTCGGATACAATGGCTCGGGAAAGACGGTACGACTTCACCAAGCAGCCGACTGGATGCTCTATACAGCCAGCTCGGAATGAACGACAGAGCACTAACGGAGATATAGACTATCATTGAATGTCTGAAATATGCTACGACGGGTGATCTTCCTCCGAACAGCAAGGGCGGTGCTTTCATCCACGACCCGAAGCTATGCGGCGAGAAAGAGGTACTGGCCCAGGTGAAGCTATCATTCAAAGGTACCTCCGGGGCTAAAATGGTTGCCACGCGCAGTCTGCAGCTTACGGTTAAGAAAACAACCCGGCAACAGAAGACGCTGGAAGGACAGTTGCTCATGGTGAAGAATGGTGAGCGTACCGCTATCTCATCACGGGTAGCGGAACTCGACCAAATTATGCCACAGTATCTGGGTGTGTCGAAGGCCGTGCTGGATTCGGTTATTTTCTGCCACCAAGACGAAAGTTTATGGCCAATGAGTGAACCTTCGGTGCTGAAAAAGCGCTTCGATGAGATATTCGAGGCCATGAAGTACACCAAGGCCATTGATAACATCAAAGCCTTGCGAAAGAAGCAGAATGAGGAACTTGGCAAGTACAAAATCATGGAGCAGCATTCCAAGGAGGACAAAGATAAGGCAGACCGGGCCGAAAAGCGGTCTGTTAAGCTTCAAGATGAAATTGAAGCTCTGCGCGAGGAGACTCAGCAGATGTCCAAGGAGATGAGACGGGTTGCTGAGCTTGCCGATAAGGCCTGGACACAATCAGAAAGCTATGCGCAGGTTCTCGGTGCTCTTGAGGGCAAGCGAATCGAAGCAAAGAGTGTACAGACAACCATTGACAACCTTAAGAGGCACCTGGTTGAGCTTGAGGAGTCTGATGAATGGCTGGAGTCCACTCTGGAGCAGTTTGAAACGAAACAGATTCAATACCAGCAACAAGAAGAGTCACAAAAGGAAACATACATGGAAATCAAGGAGCGCATTGAGCAGACTCGGCACCAGCTGGGCTTGAAGCAGGCCGAGTACGGAAAATTCGAGAATGACAAGGCCAATTTCGAGCGTCAGGTCCAAAGACGCCAGAACATGATCAACGACATTGCCCGCGGGAGCAACATCCGTGGTATTGATGAGACAATGGATCAAGCCGATATCGATGCCTTCATGCAGAAGATCAAACGCCTTCTGCGGGAGCAAAATCAGTCGCTCGACCGTGTCAAGCGTGAAGCGCAGAAAGAGCTGCGCGAGGTCCAGGATACCTTGAATGAGATCGGGCAACGCAAGTCTGCACTCCAGGAGAGCAAGAACTCGTCCAAACGTCAGATCGCGGCCAATGACAAAGAAGCGGCGACTTACCAAGGAAAGCTCAATGCCATTGAGGTTGATGAGGGTTTCCAGGCTACTCTTGAGTCAAATGTTGAAGACATTTCCTCGAACCTAGAAAAAACGAAAGAGCGAGCCAATAACGCTTCCTGGGATCACGAAATCCAGAATGCCAACACAGAAATCCGTCGTCTTGAAGATGAAAGTTCAAGATTGAACACCGAGTTGATTGAATCGACCAAGATGGCTGGCGAATTGGCTCACTTGGACCACCTTAAAAAAGAGTCCAAGGACCGAGAGCGTAGCTTGCAGACCATGAAAGGCGCTCATGGCGATCGTCTTGAGAAGGCTATTGGCGCAGACTGGCAGCCAGAGACATTGGAGCGTGGGTTCCAACAAGCTCTTGACACCGAATCAAAACAGGTTTCCGATGCCGAGCGAGAGCGTGATGGCGTCAGCAGAGAACTCGAGCATGTAGAGTTCAAACTGAAGACTGCCAAGAAGAACCTCAAACAACGCGAGAAGGAGTTGGACGAGTGCGTGAAGGAACTTCATGAAGCGGTTGACGCTGAGCCGGCTGAGTACCCTGAAATTGTCCAGGAACGGCAGGCCCAGTATGACCTTGCTCGCAAAGATGCTGATCAATACGCTGGAATGGGAGAGTATCTCACCAAGTGTCTTGACGCTGCAAAGCGAACTAAGTTGTGCCGGACATGCCAGAGATCGTTCAAGAACGAAAATGAATTGCAGACATTTACTAGGAAACTAGAGGCTTTGGTGAAGAAGGCTGGTCTCGACGCCGAAGATGAGACGTTGAAGAGTCTTGAAGAAGATCTTGAAACTGCTCGCAGTGTTAGTGCATCCTACGATACGTGGGTTCGTCTATCAGAGACGGATATCCCCGAACTTGAAAAAGAAGAGCAAGCTTGTGAAGCGCAGCGTGATCAGCTTCTGGATAAGTTGGAAACTCACGACGGAACGGTCAGCGCAAAGACGGAAAGCAAGCGTGAGGTTGAAGGGCTTGCCAAGACTGTCAACACCATTGCCCGCTACGATGCTGAGATCAAGACCATCAAATCCCAAATCCGAGAACTTTCCTCCAAAAAGCAAGTTACAACCAGTGCACGCACTCTGCAGGACATCCAGGACGAGATTGCCGTCATCAGCGAAAAGGCGCGAGAGTTGAAGAAGATTCTAGCCAAGGTGACAAATGAGAAGGAAGAGACACGTTCTGAAATCAACCGCCTGGAGCTTGAGTTCAGAGATGCGAAGAGCAACCTGGACAACGCCAAATTCCAACTTGAAAAGAAGGCCGACCTCACTGTTCGGATGGAGGAGTATAAGAGGCTCAACACCCAACAGCGAGAAGCAATCGAAAAGGCGGATCGAGACATTGAAGCCCTCACACCAGAATTGCTCCAAGCCCAAGCCCGCTATGATGATATCAGTCAACGGGCCGACGAGCGCGAGCGGGGTCTGCAGCATGGGATTACTCGTCTGTCTGAGAACATTCATCAACTTGATCTTTCCAATGAAGATATCAACTCTTACAATGAGCGAGGAGGTCCAGACCAGCTTGAACAAAGCAAACACGAGCTTGAAACAATTGAAGCAGACATAGGCAAACTCGAGGCTGAACTGGGCGAAATCACAAAGCAAATCAACAAAATCTCGACCGCACTCAAGGATAGCGAGAATACAAAGCGGCAATACTCGGACAATCTGACATATCGCCAAGCCACTCGGTCTCTCGACACAGTGATGGAAGAGGTTGAGCAACTGGAGGCTCAGAATGCCGAAGTTGACCGTGGCCGTTTCAAGCAAGAGTCAGAACGCTGGACCCGCGAGCACAATGCCTTGGCCGCCAAACAGGCTAGCAAAATGGGTGAAATGAAATCGAAGGACGACCAACTCATGCAACTGCTGGCCGACTGGAACACAGACTACAAGGATGCGGCTTCTAAGTACAAAGAGTCACATATCAAGGTCGAAACCACCAAAGCCGCGGTCGAGGATCTGGCTCGCTACGGTGGAGCCCTCGACAAAGCAATCATGCGCTACCACGGTCTAAAGATGGAAGAAATCAACGCAATCGTTGGCGAGCTCTGGCAGAAGACCTATCGCGGAACAGATGTCGACACAATCCTCATCCGGTCCGACAACGAGAATGCCAAGGGCAACCGATCCTACAACTACCGCGTGTGCATGGTCAAGTCAGGTGCCGAGATGGACATGCGAGGCCGTTGCAGTGCAGGCCAGAAGGTTTTAGCTAGTATCATCATCCGCCTGGCCCTTGCTGAATGTTTCGGTGTCAATTGCGGTCTCATCGCTCTCGATGAACCTACCACAAACCTGGACCGAGACAACATTCGCTCCTTGGCTGAGTCGCTGCATGACATTATCCGTACTCGTCAGCAGCAGGCTAATTTCCAGTTGATCGTCATTACCCACGACGAGGAGTTCCTGCGTCATATGCAATGTGGTGACTTTAGTGACTACTATTACCGGGTTTCGCGCAATGAGAGACAGAAGTCGATTATTGAGCGCCAATCCATTGCCGAGGTATGTTTTGTCGAGCCTACAGATTCATCTCCTTCATACTAACTACTCTTTAGGTCATGTAATTCTTTAAAAAAAATCTGTCCTTCGTCTTTTTCCCAGATATCCCATGTATAGCTTTGCCCGGAGTGATGTCTTTCTCCAAAAGATCTACTGCCTGAACGTTTCAAAACAAGCATATCTAGCGTTGCTATACCAAGAGCTTTTGCATTTTACTTCTATTGATACCGATTAAGCAAGCTCAATCCAGGCGTTATTGCAAAGCAATTGTGGAGAAGATGCGATGAGCGCATTATAAATATTCTCAAGAAATACATAGTTGTAGGAAAAAGAAAGATGCTATGCTACAGACAGCCGGTTCCTCAAATGAAAAAGAAACCAACAGGATCGATCACTCGACTCCCAAGACAAACCCAGACCAAAACTGCTCTATCTTACACTTGCTTAGTCTTGTCCACCTCGCCACGAGCCACGGCAAGCATGCGCTCCTGGTCCTTCTTCGCCTGCCGGAGAGCGTTCACACGCTGCCGATCCGCGCCAGACTTGTCCTGAATGTCCTTCCACCGCTTCAGCTGCTCCTTGTCCTCCGCGGTGCCAGAGACCTGCTGCGCATTGGTTATAGCCTGTACGCGGTCCCAGATCTGTTGGTATGTAAAATCCTTGATGTTCAGGACAATGGCTTCCTCGTTGGTGTCGGCAGCTGGTGCATGCGAGTCTTGTACCTTCTTTTGGTTTGCGACCACTTTGGCTGCCTCGCTAGCCTTCTCGGCGAAGTAGATTGACAATGCGGCGGGTCCTTGTTGATCGGTCGTCTGTTGTACTGTCATCGGCACACCGGGGTTGTGGTACTTCAGTCGTGGGAGGCACTTGCGCCAGAAATGCCGTGCGCCCTGGTGGCCGCCTTCGAGTCTTTGCGCATATGTGAGGTGGAGCCGGGTGACGGCTGGAAATTCTTTTGATGCGGATGCGATGGAAGGGAGGACGGCGGCACCGGTGCCGAGTCTGGTATCGAGGAGCTGGAAGAGAGAAAGTGTTAGTGATCAATTATACCGCGATGAGGTTATTGAGCCGGCCGGCGTGCTGCTGCGGAGGTCGAAGGATCGGATATCTCAACAAGGAACAAAGGCTCGACTTACTCTCTGTTGGCAAGAATGATTAAGTCAGTCAATCGATTTCAAAATACTTGGCACTTGTAGACTTGGATGCTTGACGTACAGTTTGCAGCTTGCGGAGCCGCTTCATCAGGTTGACCATTGTGCAAGGCTGTTTCGCACAGGGACTGACCCTTGTGCAATTGTGTGTTGGTTATCGGAAGCAAGGCAAAAGTGCAAGATCAATTGACAGCGCTGACACCGATAGATATGTGGAAAGAGGCCCAAATGTGAGTTTGTTGATTGGGTAAATTTATCGCGGATGCTCTTGTCGGCGAAGAAGTTGCTCCGTGATGTGGTCACGTGTGCCAATATCTATAGACGTAATTTATACAACGGACAAATGATGCTGTTATTCGATGGCATCACAATTAAAATGTTTGATTTTATGGGGCTAGATTCAACTATCTCTCTCCTCTATATTCTCATGACCATCATATAATATAATATTGTTCTTTCATACTGCTACCTACAAAGTGCAAAATTACCAGTGGAGCTGGCCGTTACCATACCTTACTTGACTCACAAACCGAACAAACATCGATTTTATATCTCGCCCCGCCATATTTTGTTCCCCTTCGATACTCAAGGGCAATTTCGGTCAATTCTGTATCAGAAATCATGGCCGCTGCCGCTGCTTCCGCAGCTGCGCTCGATCCGAGTAACAGCACAAAAAACACCCTCAAACTCGAAAACGTTGATCTGCCCCTCCCCCTCCATCAAATTTCTCTTGCTAACTGTTGTCCACCAACCAGACTGAGAAACGTGACACCTTGATCGCCATCGAAAAGAAGTACCAGGCCCAATGGAAGGAGAACAAGGTCTTCGAGGTCGATGCGCCCTCGTTCGAGGAAGCCCCCCAGGGCTCCATGACCCCCGCCGAGCTCCGTGAGAAGTACCCCAAGTTCTTCGGTACTATGGCCTACCCCTACATGAACGGTACCTTGCACGCCGGTCACAGTTTCACTGCCAGTAAGGTGGAATTTATGGCTGGTTTCGCCCGCATGGAGGGCAAGCGTGCTCTGTTCCCTCTGGGTTTCCACTGCACTGGTATGCCCATCAAGGCCTGTGCCGATAAGCTCGCCAACGAGGTTAAGATGTTCGGCCAGAACTTTGAAGGATACGACGAGGAGGCCGAGAGTGCTGAGGCTGAAGGCGCCCCGGCCCCCACACAAGAGGTCAAGGCCGAGGCTGAGAAGTTCTCTGGCAAGAAGAGCAAGGCCGCCGCTAAGACCGTCAAGATGAAGTACCAATTCCAGATCATGCTGGCTATTGGTGTTCCCATTGACCAGATCCACAAATTCTCTGATACTGCCCATTGGTTGGACCACTTCCCCCCTCTCGCCATCCGTGACCTTGATAGCATGGGTGCCCGCGTCGACTGGCGCCGTCAGTTCGTCACTACTGATGCCAACCCTTACTATGATGCTTTCGTCCGCTGGCAGATGAACCGCCTGCACGAGCTCGGCAAAATTATGTATGGCAACCGTTACACCATCTACTCCCCCAAGGACGGCCAGCCTTGCATGGATCACGACCGCACCGAAGGTGAGGGCATTGGCCCCCAGGAATACACCGCCATGAAGCTCCAGGTCAAGGAATGGTCTCCAAAGATGGCTGAGCTCGTGAAGGGTAAGATCGAGGACGACGCCAAGGTCTACTTCGTTCCCGCTACTCTGCGTCCCGAGACCATGTACGGCCAGAACAGCTGCTTCCTCGGCCCCAAGATCAACTACGGTCTGTTCAAGCTCAAGGAGAAGGAGTATGTTATTGTGACCAAGCGTGCTGCCTGGAACATGGCCTTCCAGGGCCACTTCTTCGGCGACAAGTTCCCCAAGAGCCAGGATGAGCTCCCCCAGGTTCTTGAAGCACCTGGTTCCGCTTACATTGGAACTCTTGTCAATGCTCCCCTGTCATTCCATACCGAGGGTATCCGCATCCTGCCCATGGATAGTGTCTCTGCTTCCAAGGGTACTGGTGTTGTCACCTCTGTGCCTTCCGACAGCCCCGATGACTACGCCACCCTGATGGATCTGGCTAAGAAAGCCGACTACTACGGTATCAAGAAGGAGTGGGCAGAGTTGGAAATTTACCCTCTTATCGATACTCCCACCTACGGCAATTTGACTGCCCCTGCCCTAGTAAAGGAACTCAAGATCAACTCCCCTAAAGACACCGTTCCCCTTGCCAAGGCCAAGGAATTGGCCTACTCGGAAGCCTTCTACAAGGGTACCATGCTGGTTGGTGAGTACAAGGGGGAGCCCGTTAGCGCTGCCAAGGAGAAGGTCCGCAAGGCTCTCTACGAGAGTGGCGATGCTTTCCCCTTCGCTGATCCCATGGGCAAGGTCGTTAGCCGCAGTGGTGACGACTGTGTTGTTGCCTACCTTGGCCAGTGGTTCCTGAACTACGGTGAGAACGACGCTGAGTGGCAGCAGGAGACTCTTAACCACGTTGTCAACAACCTTAACACCTACTCCAACGAGTGTAAGCACGGATTCGAGAAGAACCTGTCTTGGCTCAACCGCTGGGCCTGCGCTCGTACCTACGGTCTTGGATCCAAGCTGCCATGGGACAAGCAGTTCCTTGTAGAGAGTCTGAGTGACAGTACCGTCTACATGGCTTACTACACCATTGCTCACCTGCTTCACGGTGACCGCTTTGGAAAGACCACCGGGTCCTTGAACATCACAGCCGATCAGATGACTGACGAGGTCTGGGACTACGTCTTTACGAGACGCGAGATCAGCGACGAGCTTGTTTCAAAAACCGGAATTAACAAGGACGCTCTGCTGAAGATGCGCCGTGAATTTGAATACTGGTACCCTCTGGATGTCCGTGTCTCCGGAAAGGATCTGATCCAGAACCACTTGACCTTCTTCCTGTATATCCATATTGCTCTCTTCCCCAAGGAGTACTGGCCCCGAGGTGTCCGTGCCAACGGTCATCTGCTCCTTAACGGTGAGAAGATGAGTAAGAGCACTGGAAATTTCCTTACTCTAAAGGATGCTGTTGACAAGTTCGGTGCTGATGCTACCCGTATTGCATTTGCCGATGCTGGTGACAGCATTGAGGACGCCAACTTCGAGGAGACTGTTGCCAACAGCAACATTCTTCGTCTCCACACCCTGAAGGACTGGGTTGAGGAGATTGCCAAGGACGAGACTCTCCGTACCGGCCCTGCCGATGCTTTTGCTGACAAGCTCTTCATCAACGAGATTAACAACCTCGTTCGCGAGACCCAGAAGCATTATCAGGAGTAAGTCTACATTAACTTTCATTTATACTGGTATCTAACCTTATCTAGCACCGACTTTAAGCTTGCCCTGAAGTCCGGCCTGTACGACTTCACTAGCGCCCGTGATAGCTACCGTGAAGCTTCCAACGCCGCTGGTGTCGCTATGCACAAGGACACCATCCTGCGCTACATTGAGCTGCAGACCCTCATGCTGGCCCCTATCACTCCTCACTGGTCTGAGCATGTCTGGCTCGAGGTTCTCAAGAAGGTCAGTGATTTTACCCTAGACTATTTTCTCATAATCTAACCCCGTGCAGCCCGAGTCCGTCCACTTCGCTCAGTTCCCTACTGTGCCAGAGCCCTCCCCCGAGCTCACCGCCGCTCAGAACTACGTCCGCAGCACTGCGTCCAACATCCTGTCCTCGGAGGCCAACTTCGCCAAGAAGCTCTCCAAGGGCAAGGCTGCTGGCTTCGACCCCCGCAAGCCCAAGAAGCTCACCATCTACGCTGCCAAGAAGTACCCTGCCTGGCAGGAGAAGTACATCGACCTTGTGCGTGATGCCTTTGACTCTCTGAACATCTCCATCAATGACAAGGAGCTCAACGCCAAGGTTGGCAAGCTCGGTGAGATGAAGAAGGCCATGCCCTTCATTCAGACCCTGAAGCGCCGTTTGATTCAGACCCGCGAGGCTCCCGACACTGTATTCGATCGCAAGCTTCCCTTCGACGAGTTGTCCGTTCTGTCTGAGATGACTGGTGGTCTCATCCGTACTGCTGGCTTCAAGGCGATTGAGGTTATTGCTGTCAACGAGGGCGGTAAGACTGGAGAGGTTGTTGGCTCTGGCGAGACCCGCGAGGGTCTGAATGCTGAGAACGCCGTCCCTGGTCAGCCTACATTCCAGTTCACCAATGTCGAGTAGATGACTTCTTGTCGTGTCTCGAAAATTTCTTTTCGTTTGCTGGATTTGCTGGCTTAAGATTCATGTTTGATGAGTTTATGTTGGAATATAAAAAATAAAGCATGAAGCATTTCATTGATCTAAAGCTTTTCCGATATACTCGTAGCTTATGTCCATGTCTCTAATAAGTCTATCTGTTCACACGGACTATTGTGCCTTTGCAAATATACTCAAAGAAGTCCATCATGCGCTCGATTTCAAGACGCTAAGCAACCTTCATTATAAAGACAATCAGCAAATTCCAAACTTAGCAAAAAGACAAAAGCAGAAAACTCACCTTCTAAACCCTTCCTTCAGGATATCCTCCTCCTGAGAGAAAACCAACCGAAACCACCCAACATCCTTCGAATGCTCTTCCCCCGGATGCAAAAATACACCAGCATCAACAAGTCTCTGCGCAAGACTAAACTCCCTTTCACGGGGAGATAGTTCCTCCTCAGATGGGAGGTATGGTGACAAGTCAATGTAGACAAAGAAGCCAGCATTTCTATGCCTAATCAGTCGATGCTTAGATTGGCTCTTTCATCTTTAACTTACCCGCCCTTGATGTAACTAATCCCTTCTTTTTCCAACATTGATGTGGTGAGCTGGTACCCCGATGCAAGACTTCTCCTCGATTTGGTTGTGAAGCTCGATACAAAGGCTTGGTCTTCTAGAATTGTTGTTCCGATTGTGACAGCTGCCTGAGATGCACCATGGAGTCTCCTATGAGGAATTAGCTTGATACGTAGGATGTAAATTGCTGGTATATCAGTTTGGGGCATGAGTGAAGCTTACAGGATTGCTTGGCAGGCCTGACGAAGCTTTTTGTTCTGAGTCACTAGGAATCCAAGATGTAGACCCCCAGAAGCAAAATCCTGAAACAATATATGTTAATACCCTGAGGATTGAGTCTTTTGGCTGGCACTTACCTTGCTGAAGCCGTATAACACATGGACGAGGCTAGGATCTATCAATCCAGCGAGACCGAGTGAAAGTATCGAAGTAAATGGAACGGCATCTGGGTCATCTGTTTCAAAAAAACAGGACGCATAGACTTCATCGCTGATCAGATGGAGACCATGCTTCTGACAGAATCGGGCGATTGCCTTTAGTGTCTCGACTGGATAACAGCGTCCTAAATTTAACCAATTAGCCAATCATCCGATAAATAAAACAGCAAATGTAACTGACCTACTGGATTATGCGGGTTAACAAGCAAAACCGCCCGAATCCACATCCCACGTTCCCTCGCAGCCTCCAAAGCTAGTTCATACTTATCAACGGACGCTGGAGAGAACGCCTCCTCTGGCGCGGTATCAGCATACACCACCTCAACACCTGCCTCAACACCATAGTCGAGCTCGAATCTGCCATATACAGGCCTGTTGACGAGGATTCCATCCCCGCGTTCTGCCAGACTATATCCTAGCATATTACCCAGGGAAGTAGCCGAATCTGCGACCACGACATCCTCGGATTGGATTGGGACATTTGGACTTAGAATGTTGTTTAAGTGGGTTGCTGCTGCGGCTGGTAATCTTGCAGCCGTTGGTGCACTGGAGCGGTAGCTTATTGAGTCTTCGGTAAAGGTCACCTGTATATGGTTGTTAAGCCTGCATTCTTTATATAGAGTTGGGAATAGTGAGGCTGTTGTGTATGAACCTTTTCGTTGATGTATTTGGCTATCTCGGCTCTCATTGGTTTCTGGTGCTAAGTCAGTGACCGATCCTGAAGTGTGAGGGTAATCTGAATGTATACATTCTCTGCTAGTCCAAATGAGATGAGTCCCGTTGGATTTGTCTCTGGGTCATAGGTCTGAGTGTGGCTGAAACGCCAGGGAACACCTAGCTCCTGGACATTTCTGTGTCCCCGAGATGATAGCATTTGGAAGTAGTTGGCTGGTAATTATAGCAGTAATAGAAGTAGAATGAGTAGTGTGTCAATGCACAGAAGTTGACACTTGTCAGATGAGATGAACAGGGGGTTGGAATAAAGTTGAGTTGAAGGTCCCCCCACTTTGTGGGGACCCCGAGAGCACATCTTAAGTATTCAACTCACTACAGCACACCTGAGATGGATGCAAATATATCTACTAAAGACTCTTTTTAAATCTACATATAGTGCGAAAGACTACAGTTGGGATATTCCTTCTATGCACGGCATGGTACCCGTGAAAGCGACCGGCCACCTTGCCTGTACAGGTATACCGCTAATGATGCACTCGGAAAAGCTTCCAGCTAGTCGGAGAGTGAGGGAGTTTAACGCTAGATTGAGAAGTCTCGTTCCCGTTACATTTTTCTCGGAATCATTCAAGATAGCCTTTGCATAGACGGAAACATTGACAAGTACCTAGAAGGTGTACAGGACTAATATGTGCTTCGAGAAGAACGCTAGTGAATGGCTGCTATATCCTGACCACGCACTATTACTGTTGCCATTCTTCAAAGTGTCCTGTCGAAGCATTGATATAGCTTTCACAAACTCATTCATCATCACCGTCATCATCTTCATCGTCATTTCCATCATCATCAGGACCGTCATCACACACACACTATTCTCAATTCATGTCAGGTAGGTGTAATTATCAACATAATATCTCAATTTCAGTTCAGCCACTTACATCTTTGATGCTACCGCAGATGACGGTATTGTTTCTGCGGCACTAAGTGGAGCCATTTTGGTCAGCAAATTAATCCCAAGCACTGTTCGAGACCGAGAATCAACAACTTACACACCAGCTGCAGTCGCTCTCTCTGGCCTGAAGCGTGCTAGCTTCTCTGGCTCGGAGAGGGTTCGTCGCGGGGATTGCAACCACGGAAGTCGCGAAGATGGCCGCAGAGAGGATAGTGAAGATCTTCATCTTGCTCACTGTGTTTTTCTTTTAGATTTCTTGCGTTTTTGAGTATTCAGGAGCCAATGTTTGGGAGATAGAATGTAGTGAATGTGATCGAGACAGTGAGGTAGTTGCTCTGTACTTATAATCATATTACAAGCTGTCTAGGCAGATGTTAGTAAAGACAAACAGCGGAATCTACGTCATTCCCCCAGGTTCATAGTCTGTATTTCTCATTCAGCCAGCCCGAATACTTGCATGCATAAATATTGCAGCTGGATGATGTAAAATACTAATCCACGCCCCGTATATTTAATCATGATCAAGTTTTTGTATATTATAATAAATTGCATATGCAGATTATACATCCAATACTGCAAATAGTTCGTGACTTCTACCTGTGAACTATGTGACATACGACCTCGTGCATGGAATGTTTCACCACATCACCTGTATATCTGCTGATCTACTATGATCTGCAGTGTGGATTGAGTTAACCGATCGATAGTAGGTATTTGGAATCTTTTGAATGATTGCGGTGAGGCTTACCTATCCAATAGAATAGGTTAATATCTGGTGAGATATATGTTTGTATCGTGGCAAAAAACTAATACCTACAAAGAAAGAGGATTGGTGAATTTCCAACAGATAGGCTATGATGCAGGGCCCAACGAGCACTTAAGACCCCAGACATGCCTATAACAACCGATTACTTCCTACTTAGGGCTTCACCGAACGTGTTCACGCGATCTGCAAGATCTGACCCCTTCGATATACTGTATTGTCACTTCTAAGGCTCTCATGAGCTGTTTGTGGATCTCAGTCACGCAGATCTTATAGTTACATAAATCTTGCTGCTATGCTTTTTGCTAACTTGGCTTTTCTACCGCTCGAGAATCAAAACGGGATCGCCAATATGGACATGGAGGTAGATTGACATTATTGAAGACGTGCATTAGTACTGCTATATTTGTGAGTGGTTATAAAGTCGTGGCCAATTTTTCGATTTACGGGCTGCAAAACCTTCTCAAATACCCTTGGTTCGCTAATGCAAGGTGCGGTGCTGTTGAGTGGGTTGACCATGACGCAGAAATAAGCAAGCATACATGCTCCTAGCGCAGCTACTAGTCAACTAGCGCGTGCTTTGGGTAAGATCAACAGATCTACCAAAGCAATCCTGCGTGTTTCCCTTTTTCTTGTCACATTCACTCAAAGATGCAGGATCTTTAAGGCGTTGAACGAAACTGGAAAAAGACCAGGCTAAATTGTGGAGAGTTAAGCGGTAGAGTGCATAGGCATAAGAAAGAACTACGGCTACAAAATGGTTTGATTGTAATTAAATGGTTTTACTTCGAATTAAAGTGATCATAAAATGTGGTATCATATTCAATCTCGGAAGAGATAAACTTCATACTCTAACATAGGCAAAGAAAAGAAAAAGCCGCGTTTATCCCTCGCATATGACATGTTATATTGAATTCATGCCTTGATCAGCGTCACAGTCTTCTTTGAGTGGAAGTCACGGCTACTGAATCCAGCCTTGAAGGTGAAAGACCCAATAGGAATTCGCCAGTCCTGAGCAGTGACATCCCAGTAAATAAAATCCCGACGCATCAGGTCAAACTTGGCAGTCTTCTTCTCGCCAGCTGTGAGGTGGACCTTGTCAAATCCACGAAGCTGGCTTGGTGGAGTTCCAGCTGGTGTCGAAGCAGGGAATTCAATGTATAGTTGCGGCACAGCGAATCCATCAACGTCACCGGTGTTGGAGACTTCAGCCTCGAGGGTGACCACTGTATCCCAGAGAGCGGGGTTACCACCGGGCTGGGTAGCCTGCTTAACAGGGAGGGCAGTCAGATTGGAGGGGACAGAGCTCTTTGCCTTAATATTCTACAGGTCGAAGGAAGTATAACTCAGACCGAAACCGAACTCGTAGCGGACGGAGATGTTGTTGGCATCGAAGTAGCGGTATCCAACTTCGAGTTCTTCGTCAAACCAGCTCTGCCAGTCCCAAGTGCCGTTGGTCTCAACACCTGTGGTCAAGGGGGCGTTGTAGTCTGTCTCGTTGTAGGCAATCACGTATGGCAGCTTGCCAGATGGGTTGACATCACCGTAGAGAACATCGGCGATGGCGTTGCCAGACTCCTCTCCGGCGTAATGCTGGGCCAAGATAGCAGTCACATTAGGGTTATCGGCGAAGGGCATGACGTTGATACCACCAGAGTTTGTGACCACGACAGTGTTGTTGCAGACGTTGGCGACAGACTCGACAACAGCATTTCCGTTCCAGTCGAGGTTCAAGGAAGTCCGGTCCTTACCCTCAGCAGCAAATGACTTAAGGAAGACAAGGCAAACGTCAGGCTGCTGTGGGATCCACAGGGGAGGCTCCAATTCCTCTGTAGTGAGCAAGGTGTTGTTGAGGTAAGATTGGACCAAGGAGTCATCCTTGCGAGCCCGGGCGTTAAAGGCATCCATCAAGGGGAGTTGAAAGGAATGAGAAACGGCAAGAACCAGAGCCCGAAGAGCCAGCGAGATGGCCATATTCGAAGTCGGCCTGAAGGTTGGGAACTTGCGTAAGAGGACCGGCATCATTACCGGCAATCACGCTGTTGCGAGGCTTGCGAAGTGGCAATGCATTGCGTTCATTCTTGAGCAGGACAGTGGAGGAGGCACCGCGCTCGCGGATCATGGCACTATGGTTAGTCCGAACGTCACGGTTGGTTTCGCCAGTGAACTTCCAGTCATAGAGCCAAGTATCAGGAGCGGAATCAACATTGAGCGGGCCCACTGAAGCATCAACGCTGGGGTAGTTCTTCTCCTGGCCAAGCCAGAAGTATGGTGTCATGATGCGCACGATCATGTGATTCAGACGAGAGACTTCAACAGTGCGGTTCCTCACAGCTAAAGTCAGGTTCTTGCCCAAGAAAGAACCCTCGGTCCATTCCTCTCCATAGAGAGTGAAACCTCCAGGCATGGTCATGTCCATTCCGCTTTTAACGGATGCAACACCACTGTGGGTAGCACCCCAGTCTGACATGACATAACCCTGGAAGCCAAGCTCGCCCTTGAGAAGGTGGTTTAGAAGGCAAGAGTTCTGGCACGAGTGGGAGCCGTTGACACGGTTATACGAGCACATAGCACTAGCCACCTTCGCATGGACGGCATTTGCAAAGGGCCACATGTAGATCTCATGCAGGGTACTATCATTGATGTTTGCAGAGACCGAATCCTGGATGTAGGTGGTCTCGTTGGCGTCCGGGGCGTATGAAGGGTTTCGCTGGGTTTCTTGCTCGTTGACAATGAAGTGCTTAGCATTGGACTGAATACCAGCATTTTGCATGCCGTTGATGGTCTCCTCCGTGCACACACCAGTGAGGTAGGGGTCTGCAGCAAAGCCCTCCCATGTGGGAGAATCATAGGGACTGCGGCCCAATGGTCCTCCGATAGGTCCCAAGATGACATGGGAGCCCTTTGCCTTATGTTCCTTGGCCATGGCGTTACCTCTATCTTACAGCAATTGACGGTCCCAGCTTGCGGCGGCTGAGACACCACTGATAAAGACACTGGAGTAGTCTCCTTGCTGCACGCACTGAGGACCATTCTGGAGGCAAAGACCAGTGAAGTTGAGACGGGGAATGGGAAGAACGTTTCCAACACAGGGGCCGGGCTGGCCTGTTGCCATCCAAGACTTTTCTTCAAGCGTGGGCTTATTCACAAATTTCTTGGCTTTGACTAGGGCTGCTTCCCATCCACCATTGCCAGTCATGTTTGCTATTTAGTGTCAGTGGATGCAAGCCCCATAGTATAGAAGATGTTTGATTGGACATGGATTACTCACGTGAAGGAAGAAAAGCTGAAGAGTGACCATCAGTCAAGATAGTCGTATTCCGAGGTTGAACATAGCTGTAAGGCTCTCCCGGGTGGTTAATGGGCGCCTGGCAGGTCTCAGCCAGGGCCGAAGGAACCGCTGAGAGCAGCAGTGCTCCTACTAGAGCTTGAGGCGACAACATAACGAAGTCTTGTATAAAGAGAAGACTTTCAAATCAGCCAAGCAAAGCCAAGGTGTCGTGTCTATCTCCCGGACGGCTGGAGACCTCCCTTAAATAGCTTAACTTTGGACATTCCTTGGACGTACCACCCCGCATACTCCTCAGGAAGACTTGACAGACCTCACAGATCCACCCGTGGCGGGCTTTACCTTGTAATGAGAAAAAAACTTCCAGGTGGAGTAATTGTTGACAATCCCCGAAGTCGGCATACGGAAAGTCGCCGGATCGACTGCTCACTGTCCCGTCGGTATGCCGGTGTGCCGAAAGGAACGTTTTTGTTGCTGTTTTTCTTCATAGGATGCTCAAAGACTATCAAGAAACACGCATAGAAAGAATGTTGCGACTCTGGGGTACATCCCCAGATAGTTGCATATGGCAAAGGGTCTGACGCAACGGCGAATACTCCGGCCCAACTTCGGCTAGACCCCCACACATCGGCCCATCAGTCATATCTGGGGCTCCACGGGGATTCGGCAAAGCCATTACGAGGGGTTTCTGAGGTCAATGCTGCCATTTCTCCACAGGCAAAACCATTACCAAGAAAGTAAAGAGAGAGAAGCACCTTGCGGCGTTTTTTGACCTTCCATTTCAGGTTTGTATGGCATCACGGTCCGACAAACTTGCCTACGCGGGCAATGATCGCCTTTGGCCCAGGCAGAAACAGAAATTCATTGTATTTCGGTGTTCAAAGCAAGAGAAAGAGCATTCGGCTTTCCTTCTGTCGCTGTCGGTTGAAATGGCCGGCTTGGCTGCCGAAACCTGCCCGACTCCACTATACATCGTGGAGGTGAGGCAATTCACAACAGGCACTGCGAACATAACTTATTCAATGCTATGGACATGGAGCCTTGTGAAGTCTGCAGGAAAGTATTCACAACTTAGAGAATAGCCTAGTGTCAACGTGATTAATTAGCGCCAATGATATCAGCCGAGAAAGGCCACATGGGCACTAAGCCGAGGGGTAAACCGTGACTGAGACCCTGCAGAATTACTTATTTTGGAGCTTCTTCTCCTTCATTAACACAATAATTCCACACATTCATGAAGATCAAATATTTGAATATGTCCGCAGCCACCGATGACATGCACACTGCCGAATTCGCCGTCCTAACAGACCTCTTCAGCGACAATATAGCTGCCCAAAATGCAGCTGAAACCTTGGCCTCAATCCAATTATCGGGCACCACGGAACCAGAATCAAACATATCCTCCCTATGGAGCTTCATAATCAAATGCGCCTATGAATTCCCAGAACACCAAACTAAACTGGTCGATACGCTAGTACAGTTGTCGAAACTCCCCGACGCAAAAGCCGCCAATGGAGATCCCATTCTCCTCTATGATATGCGCGTCTGGAAGGACCTCCCAATGCTAGGGTGGCAATTTCGAGAGGAGTGGAATGCATCTATACCGACTGGACCGTCTGATCAACGAGCCAATGCAATCTCGCGGATGATCAATCGTGATAAATTCACTGCGCTCTTGATGGCGACTAAAGAACCGGTGTTTAATTACTCATGGTTTGCACTTATTACTTTCCGTGAGGCGTTGGAAGAACCTGAAACCCAGAAGGCAGGCCGATTGGATGGTCTCATTCCCGTTGCTGCTACCTGGATTCAGATTCTCGGCGCAGAGATCTATACGTGGAATGAGGATTTTGGCCGTAGAGGTAGAGGTGGTTCGCTCTGGCATGGAAAAGAGGGCTTTTGTGTGGAACGGTGGCACCTTTGGAGGGAGAGATTCGGGGAGATGGCTAAAATGGAGGAACTCGACGATGGAGCGAGAAGGGCGGCAGGGGATGCTGAGCAGATAATGCGGAAGATTGAAAGTCAACCTCAAAGCTAGATAAATTATATATGCAATAAACATAGAGAGGAGTAACGCCTGGCCGCAATGCTGAGTAGAATAATGTACATGTTCAAATATGACAATCAGACAAACCCCGATCACTGGCGTCTTGTGCGTGGGAGCTTGCGCTTGTCTTTTTTGTGCTTGTCTGCAATAAATTGCCAACACTCCATCGGACGCCGGATCCCGATGTGTTTCCCTTTTGGAGTGAATACTTCGACCCGTGGATAGGATGCTTCGTCCTCAGCACCACGCTTGCTGCGGATTTGAATGCTCAGTTCGATCCAACCACAGCCTTCAACAAGAATATCAGCTGACATCACCCGATATGGTAGTGAAGGAATAGGGATTCCCTTGTCTGCAACTGCCTTGGCAAGGGATGTTGGCAGGTGCGATCTGGTGACATCCCACTTGATATCGAATTTGCCGGCGGAGGCCATCGTGCTTCCAGTGCCTTCTTTCATGAGAACGATTCCCCGGTACGGACGCTCCTCTGCCTGTGTCTCAATTGCTTTCTGCGTATTGGTGATATGTGACTCAATAGGCAGGAAGCTGGCTACCATAACTGTGTCTTGAGGGTTTGTGGGAGTGATTCGAATGAGACCACCGCCAAGCAGAAGAGACTGGCCTGGCTTGATGGTTGAGCGATCGGGCTTGATCCGCTTCGTCATGATCAGATCCCGCTTGTGCTCATCTTTTACATAGTCCTCCAATAGACCACGTTCAAGACCTGGAAGGTCAATGACCTCACCCCTTCCGCGACCAAATGGAATACGGATAGGCGAGACAGTGGTACCTGGCAGAGAAGACACCACTGGGAGCACAGGATACAAATCTTCTTGAGGAGCAGGGGGCAGGAGACTATTCGGGTCGTCAAGAGAGGCTTGTCGCTTGTTTGGAATCTCTTCCTCCCGACGGGATCCAATATACTCCTCGATTTTCTCCAAGCTCTTCGTATCCTTGGGGAAACAGGCTTCAATAAAGCTGCTCTTTCCAACGTTGGCTTTGCCAACAACCCAGATACCGCCGCCGTGGTCTCGAATTTCCTCCTTGACATCTTTAGTCCACCAACCACGGTGCGCACTAATCATATGCACGCCACCGAGACGGGCATCTTTCCCCGTCCGTCCTAGAGCTGCTCGGAGTTCTGTACGAATATACTCCATCTTCGAATCGACTTGTTCCTTAGTCGCCGCCAAAAGATCTGAGCGCGTGATAATAAACGAGATAGTTGGTAGTTTATTGCCGCGCGAATATTTATCGTGCGTAGCTCGTCGGTTCTGCGAACGCTGCTGCAATGACAATGCCCAGTGAATTCGTGGAACGAGAGACATGGGAAAATCGGCGGCATCAATGATATGATATACACGGTTCCATTTGTAAGGTGATTCCTCCAGGTAATTTCGTATAGACAGGATTGTTGGTTTAGGCGAGGCAACTGCTTTGTTGTGGTGTATCAAGTCATGGCAACGGTCGCAGACATGCGTGACTCGTTTTGATGAGCCAAGGAAGTCGCTAACCGGCTCAATGGCATTATTCGGGAAGGCTCCATCTTTATGTTCTATTAGCCAATGTCGCGCGCCAACTAGACCAGGTTTCTTACCTTGAATGGGACGCGGTGGTTCTGAACCCACGACATTATCATTATCGTGTACTTCCACAATATCATTGTTATCAGGTTCGGGTAGTTTCTTGCTTGCGGCCAGTAGCTTCCGTGTCTGTTTCCGTGATGTGCTATAATATCCAGGCTCGTCTGCTTCCACCGTTTGCGAGAATGCACCACATCCTGGACAGCAAACAGGTAGAACTTCGGTCACTGGATCAACGGATGTTTGTTCTGATCGGTAACGTGTTGTCGAGAAAGCGCAACATTGGCTGCGGAGGATCGGTATGACATTGATCTGCGTCGCGACAGGGGATCGGGAGACTAGGGTAAGGGTTGGTGATCGAGGAGTGACTCTCGAAGTCAGGCGTAGCAAGTTCAGCCTCGGGCTCCTGAGTATTGCGCCCCGGGCACAGAGCAACATGATGAGCGTGTAGCTTTGCGGAGTTTCGGAGCTTTTTTTTTCTTGGGAAGCCTGTTATCGATAGCGGTCATGGTACTTTCCGGTCGCCGTAGAAGTATGAAGTGCGCAAATACTTTTTATTGGTTTTATAAAATGGCAAATAATAATTTTTCTAAACACTGATTGCAAGATTTTTATATTGCTCTTGTGAGATACTAAAGCTATTTGACAGTGTCGGAAATCAGATGCGCTAAGAAACTCCAAAATGATACCGCAGATGAACGCCGTCATAATCCGTAAGGTGAAAACAACTGTGTTTTGTACAAGCTCAAGCACGAGCCTTCCCTTTCCCCTTGTCGATGTCTTCCATCTCCTCGTCTTCAGAAGAGCTCATGAACTCATCGTCATCATCATCGAATCCAATGAACTTCCGGGGCGCCGCCCTTTGTGGGACAGATGAACCCGCAGCAGTCGACGACTCGCCGTTTTCTTCATTCTCATCCTCAGAACTGGATGAACCATCATCCTCACTGCCCTCACTAGCGCTAGTACTGGATCCACCGAGAATGGCGTCACGGAGGCTGTCCGTCCATTGACCGTCCTTCATAGCCTGCAAAACTGCCTCACGGGCTTTCTCATTCATCTCATCCTTATCTTCCATCCACTGGCCATCGATCTTTGCCTTGCCAGAGCCGTTCTTCAATTCTTCTTGGCGCTTTTCGGCGATGTCGACAACAGCTTGCCACCTTTTCTGGCGCTCTTCTTTTTCCTTCTTGTCCATCTCAGGCTTGACGGCAAGGTATTCTGCGAGGGCCTTCGCCTCGTTGACGGTACGCAGTCGGCGGCCGTCCAAGTTTCGGCTGGAGCTGTTGTTGTCGCCTTGATTGCGCTTGCGCTTGCTAGACATGCGGCCACCTGCCGCACGCAGCTGAGATCCAAAACCACCCTTTCCACCTCGCACTGGGGCTGTGAGACGGAGGGGAAGGAGAGTAGAGGTAGACGCGCCATCGCAGATAGAGAGGATCGATTTGGCGCAGTTTGCGGGCGTAAGGTACTTGTTGCTTGTTGTGGTGAGGGCGAGAGACTCTAGCGAGATTGAAGATGGAAGGTATGAGGCGACCTTCTCTGTCAAGTCGGAGATGCTGGATGTCGAAGGTAAGGTGAATGACAGGGTCGATGGAAGGGAAAGTCCCGGGAAGGACGTCAATAGGACGTTGACATTGGGAGATTCCATTTTGAATAGGCTCTGAGAGTCTGACTGGAAGAAGTTGGTACTTGGCAACGAGACCGAAGTTGGTGAGGTATGAGAAGATGTTACGATAAGATGGCGACCTGACTCCACGTGATGACTCTGATGGATGAGTCACGCCTGAATCAGCAGGCAATATCACCTGACCCGACCCAAACTCCTGTTAGGGCACAAACCCTACGCTCAAAGTGGCCGGTCGCACTTTTCCGCAGCGAAGCTCCACTTTCACTCCATCATTTAAATCTACCATTATTTCGGGCGTTGTCAAAGCGATTCCCCGAATTGCAACAGGAACTCGCGACAATGTGAGTATACACAGCTATCGCGCTTATTTTGGACCGTTTCACTGACAATGGCACAGGCTTATCCCCAAGGACGACCGCAAGAAGATCCACGAGTACCTCTTCCGTGGTATGTAGCGAGAACCCTCGCCGACGCGCAAAATTCATATGAACGACTTTGCTAACTCGCCTCTCAGAGGGTGTGCTCGTGGCCAAGAAGGACTACAACCTTCCCAAGCACGGTGACATTGACACCAAGAACCTCTATGTCATCAAGGCCCTCCAGTCCCTGGACTCCCGCGGCTATGTCAAGACCCAGTTCTCGTGGCAGTACTACTACTACACCCTCACCCCCGAGGTACGAAGTATTCCAACATGATCCAACGACTGAACAGCATACTAATTGAACAACAGGGTCTGGACTACCTCCGTGAGTGGCTCCACCTCCCCGCCGAGGTTGTCCCCGCCACCCACATCAAGCAGCAGCGTTCCCACGCTCCCCCCCGCGGCATGATGGGCGGAGAGGAGCGCGGCGAGCGTCGTCCCCGTGCTCCCCGTGAGGGTGGCTACCGCCGCCGCGAGGAGGGTGGCAAGGAGGGCGGTGCCCCCGGCGAGTTCGCTCCCTCTTTCCGCGGTGGCTTCGGCCGTGGCCGTGGTGCTGCTCCCCAGCAGTAAATGCTGAGCCAAGAGGTCTTGGTGTCCTGTCATCCACTTCTCGGTCTTCCTAGGGGCTTGTTGGTGTGATCGGTTTCGGTTTGGAGTAGGGTTATTTGAAACGAACTGATCTTCGGTGCATCATGATCCCGTCCCAGTTTTGCTGGGACTTGAGGATACAGGAAACAAAATAAAAAAATCCAAATCTTTGATTCCATGTCATCATATTGTAAATCTTATCAGGCGTACCCAATACCTGCTGCTATACGTAGTCTTGAATCCCTCATGTCCTGTATAGTCGTCATGTTATTTTTGCAGTATATACAATTCTCGTTGGATTCAGACCAGCTACATGAACCTCTTCCGGTCATAACGAACCACAGCCTGCAAGATTACGGACGCTCCAGTGGCACAGTCATCGGCAGTAGAGAATTCCTCGGGGTGATGGCTCAGACCGTCTTTGCAAGGAATGAAGATCATACTAGTGGGAACACGCTTCGAGGTGAACACACTATCATGACCAGCACCGCTCATGATAGACCGCACAAGCGATTTGGTGTCGGCAACGGGCGTATCCGCAACAACCGCATGTGCCGACTGCTGCACGCAATCAATGCAGTCTTCGTGGAACTTGACAGCCGGCGAATCGAAGTCAAGGGTCCATTCAACACGACAAGGCTTGCCAATGCCAGCACCCTCAGCTGCAGCGATGGCATCAAAGTCGGATCTCAGCTTCTTCTCAACCTCTTCAACAAGTACTGTTTCGGGACCACGGATATCCAAGCTGAAGCTCACCAGGCCAGGAACAGTGTTTACACTACCAGGCTTCGCCTCGACGATACCAACACTGGCTAGACAGCCATTTGCAGCTGCGACCTCGCGCGCTCGCACCATCATACGGGAAAATGCATAGAGTGCATCTGCGCGGTGCTCAAAGGCCGTTGTGCCAGTGTGTGTATCACGTCCGATGATGTTGAGTCTGAACCATCTATACGCCTGCACAGCTGTCACCACTCCCACGCGCTGGCCTGCCGACACAAGATGAGGACCTTGCTCAATATGTAGTTCGAAATGAGCTGCCATTGGCGTGGACTTGTATGAACATGGAACATCACCAAGGAAGTCGATCTTCTCCAAGGCACTCTTCATTGTCTCCGGTGCAGATGCTGCTGTCGGTAACGAGGCAACGGTTGGCACCTCTTTGAGAGCATGCGCTTGCTCCAATGGGATACTCTCAGCCCATACGCCACTTGCAACCATACTAATTGGGAATCGAGCTCCCTCCTCGCTGTGCCGATATTGTTAGCTCGCCGATTGGACAACATGCGCTGAGATGAATCTCACTTGGTCCAGTTAACGACTCCAACTCCTCCTTCTGTTTCCAGGCCCATATCATTCATCGTCTTGAGAGTTTCAATTCCAGACAGAACACCCAGAATTCCATCGTACCGTCCACCAGTGGGCTGTGTGTCAAGATGGCTGCCGATGAAGGTGGGAGGCACATCTGCTCTCCGGCCAGGGCGAACAGCAAAGATGTTACCCATCTGATCCACGGTGACATTACATCTGAGGTCTTGCATCGTTTTGATAAACCAGTTGCGGACATTTCTGTCTTCTTCCGAAAGCGCTAAGCGCTGCATGCCTGTATCTGTAGGAGCTCTATCGATAGCCGTGGTCAGCAATCATGCCCCAACAAGAAATGTCAATAACTTACTCTCCCCATCTGATTCCAAATCCCCATTGACAGGAATGGTGCAAGTCTTCTGCCAGTCTCTCTTTGCTGGCTCTGAGGGCAGATACCTCCGCCTCGGAAAGCTCCGTAGTCAACATAGCTTGGATCTTTGATGTGGAGAATGTGCAAATGGGGCGATATACGAGAAGCTTAGAGGCCTGAAGACAAGGTCTGAGATTACCACGTAAAATATAAGACCACGCCATGACAGCTTTGAGCGCCTTATAGAGGGGAGATGGCGTTGATAAGGGTGGAGTGTCGGACTTTGGTCCGCCACGTCCGCGATAGATATACTTCCAACCCCGCATGGAACGTCGGCAATTACTCGACTTCTCCAATCGGCTTTCACTTGTTTGTTTTGTTATCTTTGTTGCTTGTGTGCTTGATGAGTTTTGTTGAAATACTGGATTGGCTCACATATGGCACATTGATTCAAGTATGCTCCGGTTCCTGTCGACCTCTTAAGACCTCGATTTCAGTGAGATTCAGTGATCTTTAAAGTGTAACCTCTCACGGAACTATTGGAGTCATAGTATTAGCTGTTGGGGTAACTTAAGTACGCTCCAATTTTGGAGTCGTCTAGGTAGCTCAAGCGGTGTTATTGGGAACCACATGCGGGAGCACAGAGATCGGTCTCACAACAACCCAGGCCAGACTTCTCAATGGTCCTTTTCCTCCAAGCATTAAGAAATCTTAAAATAGACGCAAATGGAACAGAAGAAGCATCTTACTAGAAAGCCTGGGCGAGGTTGCGATCACCAGCTAGGGCCACATGTATCACGTGAACAGCAACGGTTCAGATGGCATGGAAAGAAGTATTCTATGTCAGAATGCCACTGGGCCCTAGCCGGTAACGATCTCTAGTGAAATCTCCAGATTCGACGCTACCAGCGAAGGTGCAGGCTGGAATCTCCTTCGGTACAATCATAAGCGGTTTACCAAGCTTCAATACTGCCCGCTGTTGCGATTCAGTACTTCTCATTCTGTCCCTCGACTGGCTTGCCGTCGGTCCCGATGGCGAGTGACCCCAATTTCTTTTTCCCCTTGAATCTTGTTTTTCTTCTTGCTCCGTCCTCTGTCGGTTCATGAAGACTCTTGACAATGTCGACGGGCCAGCTCACATCGGCACCTTGTACAGGGCGGATATTTTTCAGGCTTGAACCTTTTGTAAATACAAATCATTGGTCTTCATAATAGTTATGTTGGTCTCTCAAACTGTGACGTTGTCCTGTGTAGAAGGTTGAGTTTGACTTCTGTCAACTTTATTGTGGCGAGATTCCAATCTCAAACCGCAAGCACGCCCTTGTGCCATTCCCCTTTTCCTGTGCCTTCCTCTCTGTCATCACTCACCATCACCGGCCATCAATCTTTTGACTTATCTTTATAGTAGGCAGTGCCATGGCTCAGCCCAACGAGTTCGATGACCAGAAGAATGATCCCGCGATGGTTGACTGCCTCCCGGCCAATAATTCTATGATTGAAGGCAATAAGAAAAAGCTGAACAAGAGATGGAAAAACAAGAAGAACTCCAAAGTGCGCCAGTATCCTCTCAGTCTGGGGATGGACCAGCAGGCCAGCCAGGTAGTGAGTATGCCCATATCCAACGCATCCGAACCATGAAGATCCATGCGGCCAACCTCCCATGGCAGTGTAGTCGCTGATACTGATACATCTGTCTTATAGTCTGCCCCAACACAGTGTATCCAAGATCAAGATCTTGCTTCCAAGAAGAAGCAAGACCGCAAGCCCCGCAACGCCTGGAACAGCACGCGCCAGAAAAAGCTGAGATCCAAAGGGCGGAAGGCAGACAAAGCCAAAAAGCGCGAAAGTACGTCAGGCTATGATATCGGACGAGAGCCAGCGCTGATACTTGATAGAAAGATCCCGCCATGCTACTGCTGCTACGAAGCAAGGTTCAACTACTGTCCAAGCCATGGGGCCATTCGCCGACTTGGTGACGTCCTCCGATCTTACTATGGCTCTTCCACAGGCCAGTGTCTTTGTCGAGTCTCATCAAACCGACATTGTTGAGAGAGAGGATAAAGGCAAGGACGCGGAGATGGGCGATGTCAACATAGAGGGAGGAAGAAACACTCTCTTGAAATCTGTGCAGGGTTCCACTCACGCTGTGACTCTCTCCTTCAGACCGAAAGTCTAGCCATTGAAAGGAAGCAGACCCTGGTGGATGTTACTGATACCTGCTGTTTAATATTTCGTACTGTCTGTGCCTAGTGAGAGTCTAGGTTGCCTAGAAGAATATGAAACAGAGTGAGGATTTTCAAGACACTCTTCAATGCTCAATGGTCATTATCATGTTGTTTTGAAACAAAAGAAAAGCATTTGATCAGTTTTGTACTATGGCACAGCCTTATAGACTCCAGAATCCTGCGCTAGCTGAGAAGCAAAGAAAAATATCACAATCGATGGTAAATGGCAGAGACTAACTACCGTATTTGTCAAGGTTCTCGCGGATGTCTTTGACAGGGCTGTCCGATGGGTCGAGGAGACCCAGGACCAACAATTTCCCACTCAAAAGACTCCTGGGCAGGCTCTTCCTTCTCTCTCATCTTTTTAGCAAACTCCCGGTTCCAGCCCTGTACCTGAGATTCCCACGCGTAGTCCAGGAACTCCGAGATGTAAGACTCCTCAACCTCAGGGACGGACAAAGCAGGAGCCAGCAGGGCATCAGTGGCAGCCGAAGCGTAGGTAATGTTCGAGCTGAGGGTGGGCACAAACGAAGCAATCACGGAAAAAGTGGTGGTCAGAGTGGGGGAGGCCACAAATGGCCCAGGAGTAGGAGAGGCAGCGACGTCAGAGCTTCCAGCGACAAACGAGGTTGGGACAGCGGAAGTAGCAGTTGACTGGGCCACATCGGGGATTTCAGACGAGGGTGCAAGTTCGTACCTCGGAGAGCTTCCCCCGGCAACATCACTGGCGGCATCGTCAGCAGCATCATCGTTGACAGCGTCGACATGTAGATTAGTCGTGGCAGCAGCAGCGGCCTCTTCCAAAACATCAGCATCCGTCTAAAGTCAACTATGATCATAGCACGTACTCTGTGCCTTGTTTGCATAGTGCTTGCTGGGATCCTTACGGGTCCGGACCTCCTTGGGAGGCAAGGCTGGATTCCGAGTGCGCTGGGGCCGGAAGGGCTATTAGTCCCAAATGTGAGCATGAGAGTGACCAAAAATGTTCTGGTCTGGTTGATGAGGCTGCCAGGTCACACTGGTAGGCGAGGTTTTTATGGATCGGATTGAACGAGGCATGGTATACTCACAACCTGGATACCCTGCTTGCGGAGCAGCTTGCGCATGTTGAAGTTCTTCTTTTTCTTCTCTGAAGGACTGCCCTCAAATATAGGGCGCTCGGGGACCTCAGGGACGGGTTCGGTCTTTCTGAAGGGTTGGGCAACAACACGTTGGTAACGTGTGTTGCGGAAGAGGAAATATTGAGGCGTGGAGAAAGAAGAAGAAAAAAAGGAAAGAGAAGAGGTGATCGTGTTAGAGGTGTTTATGCTCGACACAATGAGTCGTGTCAAACGGGCAGAGTGCCTTCTAGGCTACGCTTCCGTGTCTATGTCAGTGAAATCTACTTTCACCCCAATCAACGATGTACCAGCCAAGCGCTGTCTTTTGGGCTATATCCACAAAGTATGTGACCTCTTCAATTCTAATTACCCTAGGAGCAAATCACGTACATCAGCAGTGCCAGTCCCTGGGTCGCGGATCAAGACATTTGATATGGTCTACTCAGATGAAGTCAGATGCTGCGGTCCTTTGATACAGCGTCTTGTGGGAGCTAGAGGACAAGAAAAACGATAATAACGAGTTGCTTCCTGGTAATTTGGCCAAAAGACCAACACACCATACCAGCTATCCTAGGGATCATACTCGAACCTATGTGACCTGGCCTGGTTAGGGCTGGGGTATCACATGACATTCATTTTGAGACCGCTATGATTAAAGTCTCTCGAGACTAAATAATAATAAAGGTATTGAAGTTATGCCTACTAAGTTCATTTCTACGATGAGTGGATTTGTGGGGGAAGTCAAGATTGGGGTGTGGTAGGAAAGGCGGCCTTCGATAACTGATCCAAAGTGATCTGGGTCACATATCACCAATCCCTTCCCCAGCACAGCCGTATGAGAGACATGGTAAGATAGCTTTGAAACCACAGAGGCAACATTATTGGGAATATATAGAAGAAATCATCCGGCGCTTCAAGTCTCATTCCCTTTTGCAGATCATTCTCTCCCTTTTTTTTAACCCTTTTCTGGTCATTTTAGATTCGTTATCAACCCTTCCACGAAACACCGGGATACTTGATTCTCTAGGCCAAAGCATGTTAAACATATATATCATGATTCAAGACATAACACTGATCAATTATCTACTAAGTCTGCATGCAGCACGACAGAAGCGTGGCACAAAGTTTTGTGGCGTCTGTAGCAAGGAAACATGCTTATTGGGTAAATCAGTCAAATCGAAGCCTGAGACATTGAGTGACATGTTTCAGCCTCAATTCAGTGTTCAGCCAATTGGTCAAGCAATTCACAATGATTTCACCTATGCCTCAACAGGAATGCAGATCGACTTAGGGCAAAAGGATCCACTCAGGGGATCGACATGCACTCTACAATTGGTGCTGCATGTTTCAAAAAGAAGAACAGAAGAACTAAATGTAATTACGCAACAATATTTGAGAATATTCCACTAAATATACCTGAAATATCCAGAAAAAGAATGATGATAGATCAACTGTGATATGTGGCACAGTCTGGTGCCGATCACGTGCAATTGCCTTCCCGACCACTGGTCGACACTCAATTTTTTTCGCCGGGGGCAAATAACCTGCATGAGATCTTTGTTTAAGAAATAGAGAAACACACGGTCAGCACCCGCGATACCCTGCATCAGTGCATTCCAGCCCGACACGAAACCCTCGACACCCTCCGCAAGCCGCCACAACCTCCGATCTCCATTCCTCATCCGCAGATCCTCGACAACTCTATAACAACTATATACACCAATTCCCTCGAGCAGCAATCTAGACAGCGTTATACAGCCTACGAGCAATATGTTCGAAGACTTCTCTTTCACATCACCGTCCTCACGGCCCGCCCGACTAGCCCTGGACCCAGAGGACCGCCTCATGGTCGACGGCGACAGCACGTTAATATCGCCTCTCTCGTCCCGCTGCCCATCACCACAATCGCACCGCTTCCGCAATATCTCACGCTCGCGCTCGTCGCACTTCCACCGCTCCCAACAACCTCCCACCTCCGTCCCCTTCCCCTATGACTCAGACCACAAGCGGCTGTCCATCTCGACCCTGACGCAGAAATTGCACGAGCATACTCTCGCCACGCCGACTAACGATGGCCGCTCAAACCAGAACTCGAATCAACGCTTCGCTCAGGGTCCTGGCCAGGGGGGCGGTGGATACGGCTATGACGGACGTTATACGCCCCGCTCCCGGTATGGCGGCTATAGCCACGGACTCGTCCTTACACCACCGGAGACAGATCATTCAGACGATTCAGGCGTAGAAGGTCTCTCCTCCCCATCTGCATCGTCAAATCCCAGTCCGACATTCATGCCGCCAGACCTCCTCTCTGATTTACCCGATTTCGGGCTGGATAGCCACCCCCATCCTCCGAACTCCCATCCGCTCCAGGACCAGAATCAGGACATAAGAATGCAAAGGCAGCAGATTTCCCGGTTACAATGTAACCAATCGGAAGTAGAAGCCATGCAGCGAAGTCTACTAGCAGAGGAAGGGGGATTAGGGGCAGGCGACCCATCGCGTGAAGAAGACGATTGTCACCCGAGTGATCTACCACCACGATTGTCGCCGCGTCGGAGGGCTGTTACACTTGCGAGATCGAGGTTCGGACCTGAGGCTGGTGCGGATGCTAGGGCTCGGAGGAAGAGTTCTTGTGGGGCTCTTTTGTCGAGTCGTGTTGATAAGAGTCATTTGAGTGGGTATGCTGGGGTCGGGAAGAAGAGGAGTGATAATGGGCTTCGACGGAAGAGTCTTGTGAGTGCTGCTTTGGCTTCTATGGTTGAGAGGGAATAAGAGTCAGGGTGGTCGTTTATATTGAGTGATACCCTTTCATGTTTAGTGGTTCAGGATTGAATATAATGTATTGCCAGATCTATATCCATCCATTTTTTGTATATGTAGTACTGTAGATTGTTGGACTTAGTCTGGCCTTACAGTAGTGGTTCAGGTTAAGAATTAAAGACTGGAAACCATGTGAAAGAAGAATAAAGTATCAAGTCTAAAAAGGTCAAAAGTGATGTATGTATACAACCTGAGTCTCAGACTCAGGCAAGAAGTAACAATAATAAAATGTCTCGTAGAAAGAACAAGTCCGAAGAAGAAAAGAAAAAAGAAGAAGAGAAAAAAAAAACCACAAAGGGAAGCAGTCCAATCCAGTCCATCAATCCAAACAATCTGCGCCATATTCATACCTAAACCCAACACCCCCATTCATGAAGTCATGCATTCGCAAAAACGCAAGTAATGAACCAACAGACTCCCAGAGCCCAGAGACTCACAGACATTCATACTGAATTCCCAGAATCCAGCAAAATCAAACACCATCAGAGAATCCAGAATCTAATTCCCAGACCTCCAACTAAAAAACTTGCGGAACCCCTTCCGTTGCGAAAAAGACATCTTCCGCTCATCACTCTTCCGCCTCTGGAATTCAAACCTAGGACTCAAACCCCTCTCCCGTTCCCCAGTCCTGCGCTGCAACTCTTCAAGAGCGCGCGCAGAGCCACTGGCACTCCTCAACCCCATGTTCTCTGCATTAGCAGCTGCAAGTACAGACTGGACGTGCGGATCTAGATAGACGGGATCGTAGCTGTATGCATCTGCATCGGAAGGAGAATGGGGGTGTGAATAGGATGGGGTGGAGGGTGTTGAGTAGTGATTGGTATAAGTGAAAGGTGGGGGTTTGGGGTATGGGTATGCAGACATCGTCATTGTAGAAGGTTTGTTTGAGTCGAAGGGGGTGTAGGGGGGTGAGGACATTGGAGTGGCGAGGGGTGTTTCCTGAGGCGTATTGAAATCTTGTTCTAGTTCGTAGAAGATTCCTCTGTCGCGCTCGTTTACTTGGGCCCATTCACCATTGGCGTAGACGGGGGAACCCGGTTCGCCGATTTCGCTTTCTTCGGAGAAGGTTTGTTGGGAGGGAGAGACGGGGCGGGAGTCTGTTTCTGTGTGCGAGAGAGGTGGTGGGTTTGTTTCCGAGGATGAGGTTATCGTCTGTGGTGATGTGTCTCTGTAAGGATTTGGGCAGTGATTTTGGTAGTCGTCATTGTCGGCATTTGTGTCATTGTCTGTGTCGGCGTCTGTGTCTTGGATCAGGTCGATGTGGGAGGCTGGTTCCTCTTGTACAGATTGGCTCCAGTGGCTGAAGTGTGGGTTGTATGGGAACTCTGATAGAGAGCGGACATGGTCGCGGATTCCGGGTGAGGATGATGGGATATCCGTTGTTTGGGGCTTTGGTGTTGAGCAATCCGGTTGCATCGAAGTAAACAGAGAGTTGGTAGAGTAGAATGATGGCAATGAGGCATCAGTGAGCTGGGACAGGGACACCCGGTCCAGTCCATGCTCGAGGGAGAATACCGAGTCTCGGTTGTCCAGCATGGAGCATCCATCGACGTCTTCGATGTATGAGACGATACGTGCGAGGTCCAGCGACTTGCGCGGATTCAAGATCTCAAAGGAGGCACCACCGTGCGAAACGGTGGGGACGGCCTGCGTGTGAGCCAACATTGAGTCGGATTGTTGAGCTCTGGCTTTAGCTTCAGCCTGGGCCTGGGCTTTTTTTTGAAGCTTTTCACGGAAAGTGTTCTGTTATTGTTAGCTGGTTGCCTTGTTTATGTGTTTCAGGTCACTCACCAATCGTTTCCTGTTATTAGGTCTGACACGAGTCCCGTTCTCTGAGACAACAGTCACTCGTGGGGATTGAGGCTGGAGGTGCACTGTGCAGGGGTGTCAATAAATAAACAGCCAAAGTCAATCTAGTCTGATCGATCACTTACCAGGCTGAGCTTCGCCGATTTCGGGCTCTTCGCTCCACGTTGAGATAACACTGTGCGAATAGGAAGGCGACAGTGGCGGAGGAGTAGATGCGCCGGAGGACACAGAAACAGAAGAAGGAGGAAGAGCAGATGGGCGGTTCAAATGCAACGCAGCAGTCTTTCGCTTCAATTTCCCACCTGCATGATCGACGGGATCCGCAGAAAGTAACTTGCGGTAATCATGGAGCGATAATGACCCCGTGATAGATCTGATGGGTCTCCTCGCGTCAAAGGGCGTACATGCATGAACACAGCTGTCCGGCAGCTCCCAGTTCCCTATCTCGTTCATGATCTGACGAGTCCGTATCTTCTCAATCTTTTTTCTCAACTGGTATATCTTTAGGTGTTCGTCGCTTAGACTAACATCTCGTAGATCGAACCCACTTCTCCACACTAGAAGTGATTCGTCAGATTTGACTGCAAGGGAGTGAGGGGGTAGTGTACCGGTCACAAAATGCAAGGTACGGAGATTTGAGATTAAAAATTTAATGAAGGAGAGAGAGGTGATTAAAGTAGAGACTGCGGGATGAGCGGAGGTACCTGGCTACACAATGTATATCCACATATCCACGTTAAACCCACATGGAAAAAAGACGAACTAGAAGCCAAAAGACCCAATCAGGCTACAAAAGGACCCAATTCAGACGAGTCCAGACTTTTTCAGGAACGCTGGGTCTAGCGAACCGTGGTTGGCTTCTTCATGTAGACGTCATGATGAAAATTTCAAAAGAGCGAAAAGAGAAAGAGAGAGATCAAATAGTAGAAAAGTCGGTGAAACGTGGATATCCAAGCACCCAGAATAAGAAAGAATAAAAGAAATAATAGAGAATAGGATTGTGCACATCTCACACATCACCTACATCGATCTAAGAGATCTCCCCCCCCCCCTTAGTGCGCCCCTAAACCCTTTAGTGCCACACCCTCCCGCATTCCTCCCCCAATCATCTCCCCAAGACACCACATTGACATGAACTACTCACAATTCAATTACCCAGTCGGCGCCCAGAGCGAGGCACCTGTCTTACACTCCCCAAGGCTGAAGCGAGGCAATAGGCGAACAATCGGGCGAAAACCAACTTGGCCACCCTGATTGGCCACTCATTACGGGAGTATGAAGTATTTGCTCGGGCTCTAGGGGCCAGTGGCGACGTGAATTTTCTGCATTACGCGCACTGGGTCCAGACATCAGCCTTGGAAGGGCAAGGGTGTTATGGCGTTCTGCGTGTTATGGAGTACGGCATGTACGCATCATACCCTAACTTGCTCGGTGCATGGTACATGCATTAATACTGTATCTTGCTACTTGGTACCTGAACCGGAGGTAAGGGTCGTTCGTTCTGGGTTTCTGGCGGCGTTACCCGCTGGCTCTTCTGTTTGGGGTATTTTCGCTGTTTCTGTCTGCCGGTGATCCCGTTCATCCAGACTTGTTTCATGATTCATGATTCATGTCTGCGTGGCTGGTTCTGCGTTGGTTTGTTACTGGTTCTTATGGAGGTACCCAGGCCCTTGTTCCTTGGGTAGGCACAAGGCACTCATGCATACTCGAATCATTTGCATTCGCACATGTACGACTGCCCCAGATTAGGGATCATCACACATGCAGAGACGTTCTTTGTTTTAACGGGTTGGGGTTTGGTGATCGCCCGAATTGTACACACCCTCTTCAACACGAAGTGGCGAAGTGCAGCGTTCCGTGACCACGCGATCGGGTCTTTCTATTCTTGTAGAGTGGTCGTTTGCATCTAGATTGAGATTTACTTTGTTTCCGTCGTGTTTATTCAACTTTATTCACAGGACTCTGGGACTTCTTAAGCCATGCACACTAAATAGAAACAGCAATTTTACAAACGTCAATGTGGTATCGAAGCGAATAAGCAAGCGAATAAGAATGTCAAAGATCGAAAATAAGAATAAGAAATAAGCACGCGAAAAAATCAAACTCAAATCGGTCAGTATCAGCCGAGAAGCTTCATGTAGGGGTCTTTAATCCGACCAATACAAGCCCAGCCCCAGTCGCCTGCACTCAGTGACGTTTATACTTCTGTAGAAAAGGTCAGCCACATACCCTGAACCATTGACCGTTGGGAAACCCCTGCCACCCACGACTTGCAGCCCCGGAGTCGGGACCAGTCGGGACAGTCGGGTGTTCGTGAAACCACTCACATCTTCCATTTTGCGCCGATTACTCGGATCCAAAGTATTGCCCGCACCAAGCAGAGTCTGTCCCACAGCCTTCGAAACGCCAATTGCCGGTCTGAGGATGACAGTCGGCGCCCGTTTCCACACAGCCTTTGCTGCTGCCTTTGCACTGCCGCTTTCGACTACTTCGCCTGGTACGGCGACGATGGCGTCGCGTGCTAAAAGGAGATCGCGCTCTAGTCCGCTGAATGCTCCGCGTAGACCTTGGACCACTCCGACCGGTTGATCCGCGTACAGAGAGATCTTCTTGGCTTCGTCTTCGTCTGCGTTGTCGTCTTCGGGTAGGGCGGATGGGGTCGTGAGGAGGTCTTCAGCGCCTTGGAGGACGGTCTGGGTGCCGATGGCTAGTTTGGCGCCGAGCTTGACTAGCTCGTTGGAGGTTGTCTTGGCGAAGGCTAGTGCGCCCTTCTGGAAACTGCGGACTATCCGGCCATCTTTTTTATATTCGCGCATAGGGACCACGACTAGGTCGCGGACGCCGCTGCCGACGTTAACCAGGGACCGGATTGGGGCGAGGCCGGCTAGAACGCCGGGGAGTTGGTTTTGCTTCACGTCTGGCATCCAGATGTCGTTTAGGGTTTGGCCCATTCGGTCGAAACCGGAGATTCCGTAGATGATTACATGTCGTAGAACCATGTCCGCGCCGTCTAACACGAAGAAGTTCATGAATTCGGTTGTACGGCCGGATCGGAGGCCGGCGTAGTCAACCCGCTTGGGCTTGAAGTCTAGTTTGACTTGTACGGCGTTGATTTCGACTCGTTGGAGGAATGGGACGTCACCGGGTTTGCTGTTCTCCTCGGCGCTTTCATCTCTGAACTCAAAGAATCGACTCATGAAGTCGAGGGCGTCTTGGTCGACATGCAATCGGAGTGGAAGAACGGTGGCCTGGTAAAGTTAGATGCTGGTCTGGGCAGTAAAGGCTTGAGTAACTTACTTTTAGGACGATTTCAGACGCAGCTAGCTCTGGAATTGGCTTCACAGTCAGAATTTCAAGGTGAACCATGCTCGTACCACTCTCTTTCTCTCCGGCCTCGTGCATGTAGGTGGCGAACTTCTTCCACGTCGAAGTAGGAACATGGTCGTAGATCTCTAGGTCCTTGATCCGGACATCCAGCGAACTCTGCGTTTCCTCTGAGTCTGGCGGGAAGAGGACTAAATCAGCACAGACACCCTTGAGCTCGAAGGTCATCTTATGGTGCTTGCTCCGGTGCAGACGAAGCTTCTTCTCCCTCTTGGAGGTTGCTCGGCCCTGGCGGCTAGAAGCTCCAGTGATGGTAGTGGAGGTCGCATAACTGCCAGTCTCGCTTGTCAAATCATCAATGTCGTTATTGATCTCGCGGTGGAGTTCCCGTGGGTCCTTGTTCGCAGGAATGCCAATATAAATCGAGTTGAAGAGGAAGTCTCCGATCACGGATTCCTCTTCGTCTTCTGCCGAAGGTGATACTCGAGATCCCCTGGCACGCCGCTCTGTAGCCTTGGTCTCCACATCTTTGACAGCCTTGGAGATTGTATCTCGGGTTCGTTGCCAGTCGTACCCATCAAAGAGATTCCAGATGACATGCACATCCCGCACTCTCACTCGCAATGGACTCCGTTGGAGCTTGGTGTCATTGGAAAGACCGTATGTGTTTTGGGTAGAATCCCATCGATGCGCAGTTCCACCGACGGCGGATTGCTTCGCAAAATGATCATCCTGGAAGTCCAATTCCCCGATGCTTGAAGAGACTGAATACTGGGAATGGAAGCTATCCAGAAGCTCATGTGAACTCGCCTCCATACTTTCACCTGCAACAGCAAAGTCCCGCTTGACTGGGTAGAAATCGCTAACGTATTCAATCTCATCATTCAGCTCATTTTCCTTGTATGGCTCTTCAGAGATGGTTGTCAAGTCATCATGGTCGCTATCGGGAAGAGAATCAGCTGCGAAAGCATCTCCAGTAAACGAAGCAAACATGTCTTGGATAGGCATGACTTCTGTTCGATACTTGACATTGATATTTGGTGGTGCCGGAGGCTGAAGTCCATTGATGATGCTGATAAGCGTCTGAGTCGAATCGGCACACGTCTCCAGAATCAAGAGATCGTCTCTCAACTCAACATCCAGAGACTTGGTGCCACCTTCTCCAAGGCGAGCCAGCTTCACACCAGCTGTTGCTGATGAAATGGACGAAACAGGCACGTAGCCATTGTCTATGTATGCCTGGGATTGACTGCTTTGGGAGACGGCAGAGTCACGTTGATGCAGGTTACCAGCGTTTCCATTGTTAGATACATCATCAATGATCATCAATGATGCCTTTCTGATATCCAACGAGGCTTCGGCAGATTCCTCTCCATCCATGCTACCGACAAATTTGGCGTTGGTGAGAACAGCAAGACCCTTGGCAGGAGAATTGCGAGGGTTCAATCCAACAACGCAATCTCTAAAGACTACTGAGAGTTTGAGTGGCTTTGCAGGTGACTTGGATTTGTCACTCCTTGGTGACCCCGACATTGGCGATGGCATAGAATGTTCCGCAAGATTAGCAATAGAGTTAGCCATGTCACTGGCCAAGTCTCCACTTGTCTTGTCATTGCCAAGTCCAAGGAAGGCCGTAACAGATGGTATTGTGTACTCGACGAGCAGGTTGTGCAGCTTGATCCGGTAGGTGGGGTCCATCTCATCGGGTATGAATCGAGCCATAAGGACCGGCGGTCGTGAATTAAGTGCCGCTTCAAATTTGCTTGGTGGCCACAGTGCCTCTCCCACCAATACTTCGTCGTCATTCCGCTTCACTGTGATTGTTCCGACTTGGGCCGCAGTAAGTGAGGGCATGGTAATGATTGCCACCTCAGCGTCGGTGAGATTAATGTTGATGTCCCCAACGTCGCCGCCAATGTGTACATGTCCGTCTAACTCGCGAAGCAACACCAGGGTAAGAATCCCAGGACGGTCGTCTTCCGGTAGATACTTGGTGACATTTGAAAGACGGCTCAGCTCAACACCCAGGGATGAGAGAGGCTCTAACCCGCTGATGTCAGAAATCACTGCCTTAACGCCTGCCACGGTGACACGAAGAACAGAGCCTTGTCGTCGCTGTCGCAACAGAGTTTCCAACATGATATCGTCTTCCTCCTCGTATTTATCCTTTGACGGGGTGATCAACTTCAAAAGACGATCGAGATCAGGTTCCTTAGGTGCAAAGAGGAATTCAACGCGAATGTTGTTCAAAGTGATCTTGGCCGGGGAATCCGCTGAGTCGTCAAGAAGAAGGGGTCCGAGCAGTTTCGCCTTGTCTATTTGGATGCCAATACCTTCAAACCTGCTAACGATTTTGACAGCAGTGGTGGTGAGTTGGAGACAATGCGTTTCTCCGATGACGTCCAGTGAAATCCCACCAATTCTAGCGTTGACCTTCCACAGCGGCGAATCACTATTCACTTTTTCGGGAGCAAGAGCAGGGGTTTCGAAATGTACACCACGCTTCTTCGGAGGTGGTTGCCCGCCTTTTACCGTGGACACCGATGAGATAGAGCTTCCGAGCTCAAGAATGGTGCTCAACCCACCCATCCACCCCAGGACTTCTTCGAGGCGCTGCACATTGAGATTTACATGGAGCGGCAGCGTAGAGATATCGACCTTGGCCAAGTTTGGTGACTTGATCAAAGCGATCGAGATGTCGCCCGAAGATGCCGCGGTATCACGAGTAGATTCGCGCATCTTTAAGGTTTCGTTGAAAGAGATGAGATCTTCAGAAGCAAATCCGAACGCAAATCTCCAAACACCAAGTTTCAACTTCATAGTAGTGTTTTGGGACGAGATTCGGCCATTCAGATCGGATGCCGTGACACGAAGGATGACATCTTCCATACTATACGAGGGCGGTAGAGGTGAGCCGGAGTCCCCAGAAGAATGGGCATAGCCCGTGACATGTTCAAGAAACTTGACTGAGATATCATGGATGACCAAATGTAAAGGCGGCGTGGGTGGCGGTCGATCGTTGGGCAGTTGCTTTTCAGAGGGAGCTTTTCCAGCCAAGCTTAGAGCATGCAAAACCTTTTGCCCTATTTTTGTCAAAAGCCAACCGGTTGCGATATCAAAGTGCACGGAGACCGAGAACATTTCAACGGCAATTTCATGTGGACTAATGCTAAAGCTCGTCTGGTAAGGCTCTGGGGTCTGGGCATCTCTTCCGAACCCCGGCGACTCGCTTGAACGTCTCTCAAACCTGGTGGAGGCATAAGTCTTGGAAGCGACCAGGCTATCTTCAACCGCAGAATCCCGGAAGCTGACAGTAGAATCTATCAGGTCACTGTCCGCTCTCTGTCTTGGTGGAGTAGGTGAAGGATAGCTGGGAACTTCTTCCTCGAGTGGAGAGAAAGTAGACGGTACCCAGACTAGGATTCTGTCAAGACTGAATATTGGCTTGTTCGTTTCATTGATTCTGTAAATGTCAGGCGATGATGGAGTCGATGCCCTATCTCTGTGCACAAAAGTCTGCTCTTGATGATCCAGAGTCTGATCGACAAAGTATTCCTGTGACGGAGCTGTGATTTTCGGCGTATCATCCGATTCGATATTCACAGAGTGATAATCAGATACGCTATTCTGGTCTCCTGCAGAGTTGTATGATTCCCATGCTCCAGGCATGTTTGGCATGAAACTCTCACTTGGCTCTTGTCTGTTGGGTTCTTGGCTGATTGCACTCATATAGAGGCTTTGTGCCTCATCGTGAGAGAAATACTTAGATTCCATGAGGTCAGCATTGGGAACAGCGTCTTGTAAGCCTGTACTGCCACGCTCTGAGGTTGGAGAAGGTGTATAAGAAGGTTGTGGCGCTGCGCTTATATGAGATCTTTCATTATATTCGTTGTCGTCGTAAACATTTACATTGTGCACGGGCTGTACTGCCTCGTGAGGCTCGGAGCCAGTCTGGCTCTGATGTGAGTCGTAAAGATGGCGCACGTGAAGACTCTCTGGTCGAAGTGAAGCTTGTGAATAGTGTTCAGCATCGTAGCTCAGGCTCATGCGTTCTGGGTTGGGAGACGAGTCGCTTCTTCCACTTTGTGCTAGTTCATTCTCGCTTTGTTGTATAAATGGTGGCTGCCCGTCATCAAAGTCATCGAATTGATTGTCAATAACCGAATCGAGATACCCTGGGTTGTCTTGGAATGGGTCGTCTCCAAAGACCTGAGAGTCTTCGATATATCCGCCATGATGACTTCCCTCGGAATCCGCATCTGAAAAACGGCCGTGGGAGAAGGTTGACGCTTCTAAATCATGTCCAGTAACATTTGAACGGTAAAGGTCTTGCGGTGGTTCAAAGATAGTTGATTGTGTCATGGAGAGGGGTTCTGGGTCCGAATGATCCAGTAAAGGATGTGATGGTGATGGCGCTCTGCTTGATGGCTGACTTTCTTTTGATCGCGTTGTTGTCGGCGAGGGGGAGCCGCAAACCGGGAGTAATTCGAAAATACCATTGGGTCCGAAATCAACCCAACATTTATGTCCACGATTGAAATGAGTCGCTTCCCATTACGGGAAGGAATTCCCTCCTCTGGCTTGGCTGTGTTCTCAGATATCCCGTAGACATCGATCTCCCTGACGGTTAACAGGCCCGCAACGAGGTCCGGTTTGTCCTCTGGCTGCCTTTTAGACATCCCATCCTGTTTCAACTCCATATCCACTCGAACAGAAACATTCTTGATTGAGAGTTGTAACCGATCCACCACACCCCTAACGAAGCCAGCAACGAAGCTCGGCAACGACGTCGTCTCGCTTCCAAGACCAAGCTCATCTTCCTCCTCATCACCATAAGCCAACGGGTCATGCTGTAAGACCTGAGACTGTGACGAAATAGCAGCCCTCAACTCATCCCGCTCCTCCTTCGGCTCAGACTCGAGGAACGACTGCGCCAGATCAGTTGCTGTAGGCACCGCGGCCGAAGCAGACTTAGTTCCTCTCTCCTTCCCATGTTTCCCTAAACTCGACTCGTCCGACGAAAACCGAATATGCACATCGATACCACTGGCCTCACAAATGACCCCGCTGCTGTAGATATCGGCCGGGATGGTTATTCGTAGGAGCTGGATTCTCGCACCGAGCAGTTCACACGACGAAGGAAGGTTCAAAAGCGTCGCTAGTTTCTATCCATATCATAATGAGCTGTCAGTCCTCGCGTTTTCCACTTCATACTTGATGATCAAATGGGACCTTCTCCCCGCGGCCCGCACCAGACATCGATCACCACTCCAACCACGTCCCACTCCTGACTTCACACTCACCTCTGTTTTTAACCCGACGTCTCGTAATTCGACTGTGCTTCTTTGGCCCCAGCGGATGCCCAAGTTGTCCAGGTCCAGCGCCTCGGTGTCCACTAGGCCGACGCGGGAGAGAGCGTACTTGAGCAACCGCTTCTGAAAGAACGATGGCAGAAAGTAGCCCATCGTTAGTGCGAGCCTTGAAATGGCATCAAGGGCTGGAGGAAATCATCGAAAAGAAGCCCCGAGGGGAGTGAAGGGAGGAGAGTTCGATGACGTTCCAGGCAGCTGATAAGGGCGATAAGTGACCCGAGTCAGGCGGCGACCGTTTGTTGACCCAATGTCTTTAGTACTCTGCTTTTCTTACTTTGACTATTTGAAAGATTTAAGCAATACTGTAATAATGAGTAACGCCATGCATGCTTGCTCTTAGGTGACTATATATTGTCTTCACATCCTGTGATCAAGCTAGTCATCAGCATCAAACTCAGCAAACTCCAGGACAATCCACTCGCAGAACTTCTCAAATTCAGAGCCAAAGTCACGCAGTCGCTCGGATTTTAGTCCCTTGCCCATCACCCCATTCTGGATGCCGGTCTTCCACTCGGCCGCCGATTGATCTTCGTAGCAGCTCCACCGGATGGAGTTCTGAGCCAACATCGATAGGCCGACCAAATCCACATTTTCCAATCCCTGTAACGCTTGCCAGAAATCATGTGTCAGTCCATTGCGTCCATGGCCAAGGATTGCGGGGTCATCATTGCACAGCGAAACGGGGACGCCTCTGGATAATAGTGCTGGGAGAGGGTGGGATTTGATCGAGCTGGCGAGGCGGAGGACCTCGTTTGAGATTGGGCAGCATTCAACCAGGATTTTCTTTTCTTTGACTAGGTCGATCAGGAGAGGGTGTTTGTAAAGGGAGAAGCCATGGCCGATCCGTCGCGTGCCCAGAAGGATGGCATCGAATAGGTTGTGATCGGTCTCATCGCCATCACCCAGACATTCACCGGCGTGGAAGAAGAAGGGGATGTCAACCTCTTCTTCTGCACATTGCTTTCGGAACCAGAATAGAACCGGGACCAAGTCAACAAGTGGTCGTCCCCGATCTTCCTGTCCGACGAGATCGAACCCGCAGAACAGATCGGGGAATGCCTGCTTCGATTCAATGCATTGCTTCATACTCTGGATAATGAGGTCATTGGAAAAGCGACGAAGCGTAGTCCAGATCAGTCGAGCATCGTAAAAGTGCTTCCCTTCCTCGGACTCTTTGAACTGATCCACCACCTCTTCCATCACGCGAGCCCACTCGAGGAAGTCAGTGTCAGGCTCATCATTCCCTTGTCTCCTGTACTTGAAGTTGAACCCGATCCGGAATTCCACGTATCGGATTCCATCGGCAGCTAATTGTCCAAGCATACGGGTAAGACAGACTCGGAAGATAGGCTCGTACATAAGCAGGGAATCGATGATGGGAAAGGTATTCTGGAACAGACCCCAAATCGCATCCACTCCATGATGGTGGTGGTATGAGTGCTCGGGCATGAGTACACAGCGACTAGTCAGCCAATCCCGGAACCCCTTCTCGCCTCCATTGGGGAAAGATGAAGCAGCCTTCTGGATCGAGATCAATGACGAAGGCTCGTATGTCTGAGTCCAGATACTTGGCTTTTCCTCTGAAACACTAGGTGGCTGCGATGAATACTGGAACGTCAAGGGCGCAGAGTCCAAGTCTTTCTGTGTGATCAATGGACCCGGGGCAGTCATGTGTATGCCGGGCGTGGAGAAAGCCTGATCAAGCAAGAATTCGATATCGAACATGGCATCCATGTGCGCGTGAAGAAGAGAACCCTTCGGCATCTTCTCCACAATCTTCCACAACTTGGTTTTCTCCATGTGCCCTTTGGCCAGGTTAAACATCACGCCCGGGTAGAGAATCTCATCTGCCTGGTGGGCGGCAGCTTCGTCTAATCCACTGGTCCATACTTCGTTCTGCTCCTGGGCTCGGATCTGTGAAACGATCTTCGATGCCCGGGCGGCTATAGGCGACAGTGATTTGCGGAGGTTTGCATCTGGGGAAATCAGTTTGGCTATACAGGAGCTGGAGGGAGGGTAGGGAACTACCATGACGTCTTTTTTGCTCTTCCACGATTAAAGCATCGCGACCTTTCAGATATTGCTGAATAAAGGGGTCACCAAACTGGGGGATACCCTCTTCGATTTCCCATTCGTTGTCCATGTTGTTGTTAAGAAGAAGTTCGGAGGGGCAGAAGCTCCCCGCCTTTCCCCTTCCGACTGTCTGGGTATTCTTTGTTGTCTGATTCACCTACTCTAAACATTGGAAATTACTATTATTCTTATTCTTTATTTATTTATTTTGATTGGACCAATTTGCCCAAGTCAGCCTCATTAAACCCTGTTATAGTTTCTTCCGCTGACCGTCGGTCTACGAGATATATTGACCCCGGGGTTCGCCGCTAAGATTCCTTGATATAATCTTGTGATATACAATTGACACCGATAACTTGGACAAATAACAGAGAACACAGAAATGAGTGCCAAGCTAACTATCAGCCCGTGGATATCAAGTGGACTCTCGGGCCTTTACCGCTTATCGAGTCTCCAGTTTTTCAACGCTAATTTCACCCTAAATGCCCTTCTGATAATCACACAATGCCCGTTTCTGCGAACTTCCTCTCGTTATTTCAGTCACACAACAGTCGAGGAACTGCTCTAGTGACCCTCGGCCCAAATGCTAAAAATTCTCAGAGCACGCGACCCCACAAACGCGTATAATAAACAGTGCGGAGACACTTTCCAATCGCCTAGTCTGATCTACACGCGACCAATCACCAGCCCGACATGGGTCAAAATGGGTCGGTGGCAAGATATCTCTACCTAAACAGAGCTAGGCCACCGAGATAGTGCAACACTCTTATCAACCGGCTCCAAATCTGTGGTTACATGTGGCTCTAGCTGGCGCTGAATGGCTCTGGGTGGCTCGAGGTGAGACGGGAGCCCCGTCGGCCTGTCCGTTCATTGGAGTGCAGACCCCAGACCTGGACGAGAATGGGGAGGTCTCCGGTGGCTAGCCTTGTTCCTATCCCTGTAGTCTACTTTAATCTTTTTTCCAGAATCCCCGCACAGAGAAATGCCTCGCGTGGCAAGTGGAAAATAGAAAAATAAATTGGGGTGTCAGATAAGTTCGAGATAACTGGCTCTTGTATAAAACCCTGTCTTCGCAGATCTCCCCTTGCTGCTCCGGCGGGTCTTGTCTTCTTTTTGAGTCTTCAGCTCTTCTAAACTGAGTTTGTGTCTGATTCTTCACACTTGAGACAATGGATAAAACCCCAGAGGCTACTACGGCTCCGGCTGTGCCTCATGACCCTGTGTTGGATCCAGAGCACCAACATCACCACACCCATCAGCACCATACTACTTTCGCCGAAGAAGGTCGTACAGATGAAGTCGTCTACTCCAACGATGTTCAATTCGAGAAAGGTGTAGTCCCCGAGCCAACACCACTTGATCACGGCAGCAAATCCAGCTCAAGAGACGAGGAAGCTGGTGAGAACTATCCCCAGCGAACATGGTATCGGCGCGCGATGAAGCAATGGAGACACGCTGTACATGCATTGGTTTTTATTCTATTTACCGGGTGAGTTGATCGAGTCTACTGGCATTTGGAAAGATGGGTATCAACACCCTTGAAACAGAGACTTATGCTTCTTTTAGCTGGTGGATTGCTGGTCTCATTCTGCATCGATATGACCTTGGATGGCTCATCCCATTCCTCCTATGGCTCGCCATCACCCTGCGTCTTATATTTTTCTATATCCCTATCACCATCGTGACGAAGCCTATGAACTTTGTATGGGCACACACTGCCCGTGTGGTCGTGCGTGCCATCCCAGACAGGTTGAGGACGCCCGCAGGCGCCCTGGTATGCATTGCAGTAATCATCATCGGAGCATTCGCCTCCCCAGAATCCGAAGATAACACACGAGCCAGCCGTGCCGTCAGTCTCTTCGGTATGGTCGTCTTCATCTTCGGTCTGTGGCTCACATCCCGCAACCGCAAGAAGATCGTCTGGCACACCGTCATCGTCGGCATGCTGTCGCAGTTCATCGTTGCCCTCTTCGTGCTCCGCTCCGGCGCAGGTTACGACATCTTCAACTTCATCTCCGAGCTAGCTCGTGACCTCCTCGGCTTCGCTATTGACGGTGTAACCTTCCTAACCAGCGATGAATTCTACGCCACCACGAAGCCCTTTGCCCCTGCAAACTTCTTCCTGATCAGCGTTATCCCGGCCATCATCTTCTTCGTATCCATCGTCCAGCTCTTATACTACACTAGTATCCTGCAATGGTTCATCGGCAAATTCGCCGTCTTCTTCTTCTGGAGCATGCGTGTCTCCGGCGCCGAAGCCGTCGTCGCTGCCGCATCACCCTTCATCGGCCAAGGTGAATCAGCAATGCTCATCCGCCCCTTCATCGCCCACCTCACAATGGCCGAACTGCACCAAGTCATGTGCTCGGGTTTCGCTACAATCGCCGGAAGTGTCTTGATCGCCTATATCAGCATGGGCGTCAACCCTCAAGCCCTAGTCAGCTCGTGTGTCATGAGTATCCCCGCCTCCCTGGCCGTGTCGAAGCTGCGTTGGCCGGAAGAAGAAGAAACCCTCACAGCGGGTCGTGTCGTCGTCCCCGATAACGAAGAGCACAAGTCCTCCAACGCCCTGCACGCTTTCTCCAGTGGTGCCTGGCTCGGTCTGAAGATCGCTGCTATGATCGGCGCCACCCTGCTCTGTATCATCTCCCTGGTCGGTCTGGTCAACGGCCTTCTCACCTGGTGGGGCAGGTATCTAAATATCAACGACCCCCCTCTGACCCTGGAATTGATCGTCGGATACATCTGCTACCCGATTGCCTTCCTGCTGGGTGTTTCCCGTAACGGGGATCTCCTCAAAGTCGGCCAGTTGATTGGTCTAAAGCTCGTTACCGTATGTCCCCTTTCATTCCCTATTCGCCTTTTATATCACCATCTAATCATAGTCACAGAACGAATTTGTCGCCTACAACGCCCTCCAGAATGACGAAGCCTATGCTAATCTCACTGACCGCTCCCGTCTTATTGCTACTTATGCGCTCTGCGGTTTCGCTAATATCGGATCACTGGGTAACCAAATTGGTGTGCTGGCGCAGATCTCGCCTGGTCGTGGTGGTGATGTGTCGCGTGTCGCGTTTAGTGCTATGATCACCGGTGCTATTAGTACTTTTACTAGTGCTACTATTGCTGGTCTGCTTATCACTAATGAAAAGCAGTATTTCACTACTACTTAACTGGTTGTTGGTTAATTTGCTAGGTGGATTTTGTTTTTAATATAATATTATATTTGAGTATATACATGTTGGGCCTGTGTGTATTATACTGGTCGTGTCGTCATACTCGTACAGTTGAAGTCAAGTGTACGTTTATATCACATGGTATGTCAAAAATTCCTCTTGATCCATGAAATTTCACTACTACAACCACAAAGTACGCATCTTAACACAAGCATACACCCTAATGCAACAATACACTACACTAACCCCACAAATCTAAGACAAGAGGGCCACCCCCAAAGCCAAAAAAAAAAAGCAAACAACCCAGAATCAAATCTTCAATTCACGGGATACCAAGAACATGCCACGCCTGTACTTGAATGTGCGAAACTCCCAGCGAGTCACCAAATAAAAATAAGACGACAAAAGCAACCAGAAAAAGAAAACTCCCAGGCCCATGGATGTGACCGTTATGCATGTGCAGCACGTTCTCAGACCCCCGAGTGGGCACCTGGACCAACCGACGCCAATGCAGAATGAATACAAAAGGACATGCTATGCACTGTTCAGTCTAATCGTCAAGATCGCGGTGGCGGGCCAGGACGTGGCGCTTGAATTCTTCCTGGTTTGAGTCCCAGAGTTCGGCGGCTTGGGCGTTCAAGGGGCTCGCGCTGTATTTCGTCAGTATATGTTCATGTCCATGTTCATTGCATTGGGCTAATGGGATGGGGTGGGTATGTGCTTACTTGTTCGGTTCACCAAGGAGACTCTGCAAGCTAAGCAGTACGCTCTGGACATTGTAGACGGCACTCCACTTATCCTTGAGGATATCGAGACAGATACGTCCCGAAAAGTCGAAGTTGGGGTGGTAGATTGGGGTCTTGAAGAGAACGGTGGGGGGCGAGTAGGGGTAGTTGTTAGGGAAAGCGAAGGAGAGCTTGAGGGTCAGGCCTTCGTAGGGTGTCTCGGTTGGGCCGGTGATTGTTGCTGTCCACGAAAGGAGGTTGCCGTCTGCGTCCGGGAAGGCGGAGATGCCGGGGGATGGGGAGAGCATGAGCTGCATCAGTTCGGCTTGGAGGCTGCACGCATAAAAGAGATATTGTCAGTATGTTGGTTCCAAAGAGGGGAAAACTGGCACATGGGCTCTGTGCAGCGCGTTTGCGCTGGGGACGAACCGCTTGGTCACGCTTTGCGTGTCGCTTCTTTGGCCGGTGGCGTTGAGCTTGGATTGCTCCAGTGCGTCGGGCGCTGAGTTCTGGGTGTCTTCCATGCTGTAATCCATGTTGGAGGATAAGAGTCAAGGGTCGGAGGTGGTGTTAAGGTAGACTGGAATGCTGGTGTAGCGAGGTTGGAATGACGCCGGATTCGTCAAGTGATCCGCTGAGAACGTCAGATGGGAGGAACCAGAGACCGAGAGACCCAGAGATCGAGAGGGGTGGGAATATTAGAGATTATTGAAGTTAAGAGATAGTTAAGGGTCCAAGTCTGAGTACAGAAAGAAGTCAAAGAAAAAGCCCAAGTGGATTTGTTTACTACTAAGCGCCCCAGCAACGAGACCCCGCTACGAACTTGGTAAGCACAATATGCCATGCCATTCAGAGCCAGCATATAATTGATCTCGGGTAGGGTAGAATAGCTAGAAGGGTTAATGTATAATTTTAAATCTATTTTCAAAGGCTTCGAGCAGGAAATGCAGGCCGATCTGACAGTTAGTGCGATCGGAGTCCATGCGGGTCTGTGCAGTTTCAAATCTATAAGAACTACATAAAGCAGCTATACGAAGTTTACATATACATATATCAAGGATGCTTCGAATCCCTACACAACATGTACAGTACTTACGGCCAGTGGTAGTCAACACACTTCCCGATCAGGATAAAGTGGCCCGCGTATCCCGCGTCCCTTGCGCGTTCAGCCTCATCCCTGCTTCAACCACTCATGATGCCCTTTTAATCTCGAGTATCCCCTGTTAGGTTCAAAGCTCATGGTGAGCTTCCTCCACAATGCAGCATTCGCAGCTTGCTCCGCTCCCAAACGATGTGCCGTTTCGCATCGTGTCCAAGACCATCGGCCAAGGTGCCTATGCCTGGTAAGGCATCCCCTCTTCGTCGCGAACCAGTGCTAACGTGTTTTGGTACCTCGCAGCATCAAGAAAGCGTGCCCACTCGATTCAGATAACCCTGTCTTCGCAGTCAAGTATATTCATAAAGATTACGCCGCCCGCCACGGGAAAATCAGCGCAAGACAGCTACAGTTGGAGGTGACGGTACACAAACATGTCTCTGGCCATGGCAATATCATCAACTTCTACCAAACAGGCGAAGACAGCGTGTGGCGTTGGATCGCGATGGAGTTGGCTGAAGGCGGGGATCTCTTCGATAAGATCGAGGCGGACGAGGGTGTGGGTGAGGACATTGCCCACGTCTATTTCTCCCAACTCGTCAGTGCTGTGAGCTTCATGCACTCCAAAGGCGTGGGGCACCGCGATATCAAGCCTGAGAATATGTTGCTGACCGGAGATGGCAACCTGAAGATTGCGGACTTCGGTCTGGCCGCGCTGTTCGAGTACAAGGGCACGCGCAAGCTATCTACCACGTTCTGTGGGAGTCCGCCGTACATCGCGCCTGAGGTCATTACGAGCAGCACTCGAGGCCAGAACAAGGGATCTGGATATCATCCCGATCTGGTTGATATTTGGTCTTGTGGGATTGTGCTATTCGTTCTCTTGGCAGGCAATACGCCTTGGGATAGTCCCACGGACGATAGCTTCGAGTATCACGAATATGTGGCGACAAATTCACGAACAACAGATGAGCTTTGGCAGAAGTTACCACCGGCCACTTTATCACTGCTGCGTGGCATGCTGACAGTTGATCCCAAGAGTCGGTTCTCGCTGGAGGATGTACGGAGACATCCTTGGTATACACGCGCCAACAAGTTCCTGTCCGCTGATGGCAAGTTGAGAGATCCCATCAATCTTGCTACTTCCATGTTTGAGTCACTTCATATCGATTTCAGCCAGGATCCTCTTTCCCAATCGCGGAAGGGAGCTAGTCGAAGCTTTGACCAGATGGATATGGATATTGATGACAGCGCAAATGCAGGAGGGTTCTCCTCAACACAGCCGGAGATGCTGGGTGGTGGAATGTTGATGGACTGGGACAACCCACAGGAACCAGACGTCTTCTCTTCAACCCAGCCTACCGGGAAACAATTTGCCTCGCAAGATGCAGTTATGGCAGGCCATCTCGAGGACGAGCCGTCCATGTCACAGTTCTCACAGCAGCCTTCAGTGCCAGTGAGCCGTACCCAGAACGCACAGAAGTTCCAGGATATTGTTCCCTCGCGCCCAATGACCCGGTTTTACTCCGCGTGGGAGCTCAAGCTTCTCGTGCCTCTCATTTGTGAGGCACTTCATCGACTCGGAGTTCCCGTTCCGAGTGTCCCTGCTGTTATTGCCGGAGATAGTTCTGCCATGATCCGGGTGATTGCCAAGGATGGTCGGATGTGTCCGTTGCAGGGTAAGGTACTCATCGAATGTGTTTCAGAGGGCGTATTCGAGGTTGAGTTCATCAAAATCAAAGGCGATCCGCTAGAATGGCGACGTTTCTTTAAAAAGGTGGCCATTCTCTGCAAAGAGGCTGTCTTCCGACCAGATGAGTAACAGTGTTGCTATCCATGGATGCCATATACTGTCATCTCTTTTTCTATCTCCCTATCGTGGATTTATTTTTGCTTTAATGTACGAATTATGACTGATTGATGGTGGGAAGATTGGGCCAGGCTGGAGTTTGGCTGTGGGAAACACCAGATATCTGTTTATGTTTAATATGCACATAGCTTGAATCATAGGTTTGATCTCGCATTTGAGTTGCGGCTAAAAGCAGTAGTTCGATCCAGGGTTTGAGCCTGAGCTTAATCTAGTTCTGTTTACCTTCAATAATCAAGTCCAGTGGGATATAGTCCAGTGGATCGGATAAATTTCCCGAGCTTACTCTCACATTGTCACCAGCCCATCACCTATACTTTTGTACTCAAGCCCATAAACCCACGTGACGGTCTGGACTCGCAGATCATCGCGGGGGGGGGGCAAACACAACCTCATCAAAGGACAAACCAACCCCCTTATCCTCAATGCAGTTGTCCCCTCGGCATGGATAAGCTGCCGGTAGAGATTCTATCCAAAATCATCGACCGTAGGCAACCTCCCCAAACCTCCCCGCAGAGCTGATCGGAAAATCAGTCCTCACCCCGCGAGAGAAGGTCCAGCTTCAATGCATCAATAAGACTTTCTTTGACCTCGCCCGCGATAATAGTCAGTGGCGACTACACTGCTATGACCAGTCTTTGGCTGCCCGCCAGGCTTTCCGCCCGGCCCGCGAGTCCGAAAGTTTGCTTTCCGATGCGGCATCGCTGACCAACTTGGGTCAGGACTCGCTGCGTGATCTGATTCAGCCTTCTGTGACCGCTTCAAATGATTTTGAGGATCGCGGTGTGACTTGGGGGGAAAGGGCCCGCGCGGCCACTGATTGGGATTCTTCCGCCAGGGGGGAGCACGTTGATTGGTATTCCGAGTATATTGCTCGCCAGGGTCCTATCTCGTTGACATGGACTCAGCAGCCGCTGGTCCGTAATGGCGATGGGAAAAATGGGCAGGCTTATGAGGTTAAAGGCATAGGTCTGCTTAAGGATTGGAGTTCGGCGAGACAGAATAAGATCGTTGCTCCGCTTGACGATGGCAGTGTGTGCATATGGGATTTAAATCATTCGCATTCTGCTGACTCGCAGGCAAGCAAGGGCAAGATCTTGGGGATTAGTGAGCCCGGGTTGCTTATGAAGAATCTGTCTGGGCGTCGTGATCCTTCTTCGAAGTCTTCGTTGGACTTTATCAACCTGGGTGAAGGCGTTAGTGTGGATTCACTGCGGCAAAGAGCGTACCTTGCAATTGGAAATGTTCTCAATGAAGTTGACCTGGAGACAATGAAAGTAATTTCGCAGCAACGCTATCCGTGGTCCATCTTTGCACTTTCACAGGAAACAGATTACTCCGTGCCTTTGACACTAGCCACAACACTGAGCCTGCAAATATACGACGCTCGACTATCTGCCGTTGAGGAAGAAGAGGCAATCAGCTCACGATGTGAAAAGGTTCTCGGTTCAAGTGACTTGGTTTCAGGCATCTTTGCTCACTCCGATTCGCCCTTACTCAAACTCCAACCAAATGGACAACCACCCAGACGCATTCGCAGTCCAGAACCATCAGAACCGGGAGCCAACTATGCTCCCCTCTTCCAACCAGGCCCTCTTTCCATCCTGCACCCCCCAGCTCCTCATGTAAATACCATTCTCCTCGCAGGTCGCTTCCCCAGCATATTATGCTACGACCGCCGTTTCTTCCCGCGGCTACAGACCACAGTCCATTCCGGAGGTCGATTATGCGGTCTTGCTTCTGTTCCAGCGCCTCGATTCCCTGTCTTCTCAGATGCCACTTACCCAGAATCTCACGCCGTCGTGGCATGCGGTGAATACAATGGCCGAGGCTCATTAGAGTTATACAGCCTGAAGTCAGAATCAGAAAAGAGCTACAGTCCCTCGAACATGACATCTAATCTCAACTCGGAATATAAAAACCGACAGAGCGCCGCCAGTTCCAAGTTGCTGTCTGTGGGTTCTCATGGGAATCGTATCGTCTTCTCTGATGCCGAGGGCAATATCAAATGGACCGAAAGAGATGGTCGTTCAGAGGTCCGTCGGTGGAATATCAATACATCCCAACCGCAGATCCCATTCGGTCGTCGCAGTGGACAGCCAACATCTGGACAAAATGATCAAGACGATGAACCCCGCGGTCTCTGGCCGGGTTCGAACTCTCCAAGTAACAATGAGGTCGCCCGAAAAGTTCTACCAACGGGTGGTAATCTCACTGGAGATGAGCTGCTCGTATGGACAGGCGAGCGTATTGGCCGGCTCAAATTCTCAACCCCGGAGGACTATGAGACGGAACTTGATGACGGCTATCAGTCCGAAGACGATGTATTCATGCATGCCGAAGTCGACGAGGCTACTCGCGAGGCTATGCGACATAAGCGCCGTGATGACTGGGAAAAAGAACAGAGGTACCAAGATAGCATGCGACGTGCGCTTGAGAGACAGGCGGATGAGGTGCGCTGGATGGGTACTCGGGGGTTGGGGCTTGGTTGATAAACTGTGATTTAATTTGTTCTAATACCCTGTATCCTGATTTCTCTCTTTGTCGCGTTGAATGCTATCTTGTAGGTTGGATCAGGCATAGTGGCCCTGAAATTTGAAACGCCGGCTACCTAGACGGTCAATTTCGATTGACTAAACATGTATCACGCACATGAAATGAAACAATCCCCAAGGACTACACTGTAAATAGCCCCTTGCCCGAAGTCCAGTCCCGAACACCAAATTGGGTTTTATAGACCTCGGAGGAAGAATTTCCCCATCTGGTCCCGAGGCTTAACAATCCGCCGGGTCCGGCTCCCCACGCATCACGAGCATTTCTAATGCGCTTGTCAGCCGTTGACTCAGGTTCTACGCGATTCTTCTTTTCCTCTCACACTTTGCATTTTGCTTCCTTCCCAGCTTTCAATTCATACTTACACTTTGTATAATCCTTGTACCCTCCGCTTCGGTACAATCCATCTACCTTGCAATTGCGCAGTGAGGGGCAAAAGTGCCACTCCATACTCCGACCACAATGCCTTCCCCTGCGGATATCGCACACCAATTTGACTCAATTGAGGACACAATTGCAGCATTTAGTGAGTTTCCCGTCTATTTGGACGTTCTCCTCCCCCATCGCGGGCGGAATCCGCTGGCGGGGTACTCCAATTCGACCAGATAACTGACTGTGACGCACAGAGAATGGAGAATTTATCATTGTCCTTGATTCGCAAGACCGCGAGAATGAAGGCGACCTGATCATTGCCGCTGAGTCTATCACGGCCGCGCAAATGGCCTTCCTGGTCCGCTATACAAGGTAAGAGCGCCACCCACCATCGGGATTTGCATGGAATACCTCCAACACATAACCCCTCCTACTTATCTCCCGCCCCGCAATGGCACACAAGCACTACACGTGCAGCAAAGCATATAATTGACCAAACGTACTGACCCTCGCAGTGGTTTAATATGCGCACCGATCACACCAGAGCTCGCCACCCGCCTCGCCCTCCCACAGATGGTCACTGAAAACGCCGACCCAAAGTGCACAGCCTACACAATCACAATCGACTCCAGCGACGACAGTGTAACAACAGGAATCTCCGCCGAAGACCGCGCCCTGACCTGCCGAACACTGGCCTCGCCCACCGCGCAAATCGACTCCTTCCGCCGGCCAGGCCATATCATCCCGCTGCAGGCGCGTCCTGGTGGTGTGCGCGAGCGGACGGGTCACACCGAGGCTGCGGTTGACTTTTGCAAGCTTGCTGGGAAGGCGCCTGCTGGTGTTATTGCTGAGCTTGTTGAGGATGGGGAGGTTGTTGCGGGTGTTCCCGAAATTGGTGGAAATAATGGTATGATGCGTCGTGATGGGTGTTTGGCTTTTGGTAAGAAGTGGGGGATTAAGGTGTGTACTATTGAGGATTTGGTGGATTATTTGGTTAAGACTGAGGGGGCTGGTGTTGCTAATGGGAAGCATTGAGGGTTGAGGTCTTGTTGGTTTTGTCTTGCCCTTTGCTTTTAGGGTTTGTGTGTTCTTGGGTACCTTGTACATCACTACGCCTTCTCCTTGATACCTTTCGATGAATACATGCATATACATAGCGTCGGGTTTATGTTGACGTAGGTTGTGGAATGCACAGTGATTGTAGAATGAACAGTAGTTGATCGCAGAAATGGCATTGCTAGTTTGTGTGGGTATCTATCATTTTCGGCGTGTAATGTACAAAGGGCAAATGCCAGATCAGAAGTGTAAATATCAAAGCTGAGATACTATGCGGTGACAGCAGTCACGCATGCTCTCATCAAACGCCAATGCAATGCAATAAAGGCCCCACCTTGATCAGGTCTCGTTTCCCACTGTAGTATAGGATCAGGGGAACAGAGGAGCAAATAAGCCAGGCGAGTGCCTTGCAGCTATCTGAGCTAGGTCCACTATCGCTTAAGGTGCGAGTAGTCTCTGAGGATGCCCATCATGTGAGTGTTGGTCGTCTTGCCGCTGCGGCGCGGCTTCTTGACCTTTTTGTTTGGAGCTGCGACTCGAGGTCCGACTACCTTATTTTTATTGGTGGGCGTGATGCCTGCCTTTTCGAGTTCCTCCTTGACCGCTGCCGCATCAGGAACCCTGATCTTGTACCAGATCTCTTTGAACTCAACATCGAAATGCTCGATCAAGGACGGATCGTTAGCCCAGACCATCTTGGGATGATCGTCCTTCTTGTTGCGAGTCACGAGTAGCTTCCCTTGTTTCTCCAGTTGGTTTATTTCCTCCTCGACGGTTGGCCAACCCTCCTTGAGCTCCTTGACACTCATTCCGGCGGCAGTAGATTGAGACTGGAGCTTCTGGAGCAGTTGCTCGGCATTTCGAATGTTATGGAGAGGGCGGAACCTGAATGTACCTTCGCCATTTGCACCGCTGGGGTCAAATTCAACCTTTTCGTGGTTCGAGAGAATGCGCCGGAGAGCGTGAACGTAGCCTTGGTCGTGTGCACGGTGCTGAAGAGAAAGGTACGATACGATATCACCAAACTTGAGTGGGGTGTTCTTGGACTTCATGTGCTCGATCGCAAACAACACCTGCGTCATGATATCCTTGCCCGTACCGGTGTTCGCTGGCTGAGAGTAGACGATGTCCGCATCGTGTCGCTTCTTTTTGACTTCGCCAGAGGATGAGGGGGTCGGCGCAGATGATGGGACCTGGGAGCTGCCGCCGGAGGCTGGCTGGTTATTGACCACACGTCTCTGCTGAGGCATCCTGTTCGCCGACTCCATCACACTGGCGTTGAAGTTCTTCAACTGATTCTGAAGGTAGGACATGGTGGCGACGAGTAATCAAGGATCAGTAAAACCGTGGAGATGAAACCAAGAGAGCTTGGTGGACGGCCGGATATTGCCTCGGGTTGACCTAGATCAAGGTCGAGGATTTAAAGAAATCCTAGCATAGAAATGAGGCCTGTGTATTATGCCCAAATAATGAAAGGACAATGAGACACAAGGATGAAGAAGGCGCAAAGAACCCTGTTAACCCAGAAGTGAGTAGAACTGTAGAAGTCATCGATGGATGAGGCAGACAGATGAAGTCACGTGGTACGGACGGCGCTAACCTCCTTTGTCGAACGCAACCAAAGTGCGGAACTGGACGCCCTTGGCCCATCTCTCACATCACCCTTTCATTCAATTCCTTTACCTCTTAGTCGTGCGATCCAACTTTCTTTTGGATCGTCATGACCTGAGGGTTCCCTCGAAGCGCTGTGTGTACTTGTCTCTAAACAGTCCACAGCGCGTCCATTGTTGGAGGCTCAGCTCTAGCTTGCGCCGCGTCTTCATCTTTCTTGATTTCGCCGCCAGAACAGCTCATTGCTGTTGACACTTCGATACCATGGCTGACACCGCCATTCAATTGCCATATTTGGCATCTCACTATTCAGTTCCTGAAACTACGCTTACGAGCTTGACAGAAGCCCCAACGGTGGAGCTTGTCAATCAGCTTTTGCAGTCCCTCACCAAAAGGGCTCATGAACATGACGAGCTCAAGACTGACAAGGAGAGCTTGAGTGTGGAACATGACACTTTTAAACGCAATACTGAGTTGAAGATTAATGCTCTCAAATCCAGTGTTGAAAAGGAACACAAGGAAGTCGAAGGTCTTCGCGAGAAATTGCGTGAATCTGGTATGAATCCCATTTCTCGGCCTTTGGAAAGCTCTATGTTGACTTTACGCAGAAACCACCCGCTCTTCGTTGGAAAAGGAAATTTCGGCACTTACATCTTCATCCACCTCAAACGAATCCGACATCACGTCCCTCAAATCTCGTGTCTCAACCCTTGAGGCATCGAACAGAAATTTACTCGAACAATTTGAATCCAAATCATCTGCTTATGACGAATTGGCACGGGAGCTTTCGGTTCAGCACGAGCAGACCATCGAGCTGCGACGCTCACTCTCTAAGGCCGAGCAACAGGTCCAGGCTCACAATTCGGATTCTAGTCATGCACGTTTCCGCGAACAAAATCTTCAGCAAGAACTGGATCTTATCAACAAGAATAACGAATGGTTTGAGACAGAATTGAAGACGAAATCTACCGAGTACATCAACTTCCGCAAGGAAAAGACTGCTCGAATTTCGGAGCTTCAACGTGAAAATGAGGAGGCAAACTCCACTATCGACCAGCTGAGACGCAGCGAAAACTCACTCAAGAGTCGTCTGGATGAAACGGAACAACGGTATGACGAGTCTCTGGCTACCATCCAGAAGTTGGAGGAAGAAGCCATCCAAGCAACCGAATCGTTCCGTATCGAGCTCGACAGCTCCAATCGACTTGCTGAGTTGCAAGGATCTGCTGCGCAGATGGCCAAGCAACGCGCACAAGAATGTCAACTCAATCTAGAAAAAGCGAAACACGCCGCGGCACAAGAAATCTCTCGTCTGCTTGTGGAGCTTGAGACCGAGACAAAAGAGAAGAACAATGCTGAGTCTCGTATTTCTGAACTTGAGGAGGTGATTGCGCAGGTTGAGTCTGAGACAGCAAGAGGCAGATCTGCAAGCCCTGCTCGTTCTTTGAATGGGGCCGGACCTAGTACACCGATGCGTTCCAGCACCATGCGATTCGGCACTCCAGGGAGTACATTCTCACCGCGAGCCTCGCGTGGCAAGGGTGGTTTGACAGTCACCCAAATGTACTCTGAGTATGACAAGATGCGAGCTGCCTTGGCTGCGGCGGAGAGGAACAATCAAGAATACCGGGCAACGATTGATGAGATGGTGTTGGAGCTGGATTCCACTAGCCCTGACATCGCGCAAAAGGACGCAGAAATCAACCGTCTGAACCAGGCTGTTGTAGATATGTCTACACTGAACGATACGGCCAATAAAGAAAAGGACCATTCGCTGAAGGAGGCACGGAAGTGGCAAGGCCAGGTCGAGGGGTTGGCCCGTGATGGCGATATCCTCCGCCGTCAGCTTCGGGATCTGGGTTCTGAAGTTAAGGTTCTTCTCTTGGAAGTTGCTCTTCTACAGAAGGGCGAAGATTACGATCGCGAGGAGCTTGAGAGAATCGCACGTGGCCAGATTGAAGAATCAGATGCGGATCTGAACGCCACTGGCCGCTTTATCAGCCAGAACCTGACAACTTTCAAGAATCTCCACGAACTTCAGGCTCAAAACGTCAAGCTTCGGCAAATGTTGAGAGACCTCGGTGACAGACTGGAAGGCGAGGAGGCTCGTGAGAAGGAGGCTGCGAGACTGAACGAAATCGATGAACTCAAGGAACTTCGAGTCCGAGCCCAGACAAACTCAGATGAGATTGCCAACCTCACTGCGCAAATGCAAAGCTACGTCAAGGAGCGGGACACCTTCCGCAGCATGCTTATGCACAAGAAACAGAACACCACCGAACAATCTGTATTCTCGCAGTCTATGCCGCTCGGTGCTTCTCCTGGTGCTGGTGAACTAGGACAGGACAACGCTGAAATGCTCGGCAAAGTCCAAGCTCAATTCGACGCCTACCGCGAGGACACCAACACAGAGCATACTAAACTCCGCCAGCAGGTCAATGAGCTTGCTCACGAGAAGAGTAAGCTCTTGTCCGAGATCAGTCGTCTCAATGGCGCAATTACTGCCTCCTCGCGCCGCGAAGAGCTTCTTCGAAGTGAAACAAACATGCACCAAAGCGAAAAGGCCATATTACAGGAGCGTAACTCTCAGCTCTCTGAAAATGCCATCCTCCAAGGAAACCAGCTTCGCGAAGCTGCCGAGAACCTCATTGTTGCCGACGGTAAACAAGAGGAGCTTCAGAAACAATGCACGCAACTTGAAAGGGAGAAGGATCGATTGGAATCGACTGAGAAGAGGTACAAAGAGGAGGTAGAGCATCTCTGGGCTCAAAAGGATGCCTTGCAATCATCGAATACAGAGCTTCAGGTCCACATTGCTGAACTCAAACAAACCGAGCAGCGATTCGAGGCCCTTGAATCTAAGTTGAAGGAAACCAAACTCAAGTTGAAGAGCAAGGAGGAAGAGTACGAAAAGCACAACTTGCGCAGGGATTACGAGCATGAACAATCCCAGAAGCAAATCAACGACCTTGTGACTAGCCTGAGTTCGGTCCGCGAGCAACTCGTGGCGACGAAGACAACGCGAGACCATTTGCAATCCCGTGTTAATGAGCTTACCGTCGAGCTGAAGAGTGCGGAAGAGCGCGTGCAAGTCTTGCCGCCACAGCCTAGTGTTTCCGCCGGTCCCGCCGAGCCTCCCGTTGTGGTTTCAGGATCTGGCGAAGGCAATGACCTGACTCCAGAGGAGGAGCTTTCGCTTGAAGTCTCCAATCTTAAGCGTCAGCTAGACTTAACAACTGCTGAACTTGATCATGCCAAGCAATTGGCGCAAGATTACCAAGCCATCAGTCAAGATACTGAAGAACGCCTGGAGTCGGTCACTGAGACACAGGAGCAGTACCGCCAAGAAACCGATGCCCTCATCAAGGAGAAAGACGAGATGATTCAGAGCCTCAAGGATCGAATTGAGGAAATCTCGGCTGAGTTGACAAACACCAATTCCGAGATTTCTCAGCTTAAGGAAAAGCAAAGCGAGGTCACTCGTCACCAAGAAGAACGGGAGGCACATTTCAAATCGGAAATCGGTCGCCTGAATCAGGTCATTGAAGGCCATGTTGCTGCAGCACAATGTCATGAAGAGGACATGAAAGCACAAGCAGAAATTTCTGACCTTGCCCAGCGTAATTACGATCAGGCTCAGCAAAATTACGACAGGGAATTCCTCGAACACGCCAAGGCTGTCGAGAACCTCCAAGCAGTTCGTAACGAGGTCAATGACTTGAAGATACAAATTGTCACATTAACAACGCAATCCGAAACCTACAAGAAAGACCTTGACCAACAGGGAGAGACTATGAAGGAGGAACGGGCCAAGCATGAGGTCGATATCCACGAGCTGAAAAAGCGTCGAGACGAGATGCAGAAGGAGAACGACCACCTTTACACGCTGATAGAAAACCACAAGAGCCAGAACTTGGCCCTTCGGCGTCGGGTCGAAGGTTCGGATGAAATGTCGGAGAGTAACCAGGTAGCCTCTGACTCCCAAGCTGAAGAAGACATCATCGCCTCCTTGCGAAATCAGCTGAAGATCGTCCAGAACGAATTTGAAGTTGCCGCCTTGGCAAAAGGGCGACTCGAAAAGGAGATTGGCAGGGTTAATTCTAGGTTCCTTGCTCTACAATCTTCATATGATACAGCACGCGAGGATCTCGAGAAGTTCCGCTCCGAATCTGACACTCAGGCTAGAGAGGCGAATGAGAAGCGTCAAAGAAGTATCGATGAGCTGAAAGAGTCCTGCGACAAAACCACCCGCCTCTTCCAAGATCAATTGAAGGAGAAGGAAAACACTCTTCAGCAAAAGTCAGCTCAGGTGGTTGAGCTTTCCACGCAAATCGCACGCCATGAGTTCAGGATTGGCGAGTTGGAGGATGAGGCTGAGGCCAAGAACAGAGAGCTACAATTGCTGCAAGAAAGTCACGACCATTATGCGAAACTCGTCCAAAATAACTCTCACGGCGAAATGGAGCAAACACTTGCCACCCTTGAAAACGAGAAAAACACGGCCGTATCTGAACGAGATGCACTCATTACCGAACGCACTAGCCTTCAGGCCCAGCTCACCGAGTCATCCCAGAAGTTTGATCAGGCCCAGGAGCAGTGGAAAAGCAGACGAAACGATCTCATTGAACAGGCCAAGGCACGTTCCAAGGATCAAACGAATCGTATCAACAACATCTCAGCCGAACTCAAAACGGCTTTGGAGGGCAAGGAAGTCATTCAGCAGGAACTGCAAATCACCAAGGATGAACTGCAAAAACTGAAGGCTAAGGCCTCAGCTGCGTCACATGCATCCGCATCCGCGCCCGCTGAAACAACAGCACCTGCTGAAGCACCAACACCTGCTGCCGCCGCTGTCAACCCTACTCCAGCTTCACAATTCCCCACTGCCACGATCTCAGTCCCCGTTCCCGGTGATGACCAACGGGTCCAGGCCCTCGAGCAGAAAATCCAAAGCCTTCAGCAGAAGATCCAACGCCTCGAAGCTGCCCTTGTCGAGAAGGAACGCCAACACGACGCTAAGATTCAAGAATACAAGACTCAACTTGATAACGCCATTGCCGCTCATCGACAAGAGGTTGAGAAGCTTTCCGCCGGTGGACAGTCTGTTCCCGATATGGCTAGTGGTGTTCCTGAACAAACACCCGCAGCGCCCTCGAAGCCAGAAGACGATTTCGCAGATCGCTTAGCCAACATGAGTGAGCCTGAAGCGTTACAGGTCTGTAAAAATAACAAGCCCATCAACGAAGTTATTAAGAGGTTCCTCCGCAAGAAGGTTGAGGAGAAGGAAAAGGAACACAAAGATAGCATCAGCCAGAAGGACGTGGAATACGCACAACAACTTAAGAAAAAAGACAACGAAATCAAGTTGGCCGGGCAGAAGCCACTCGTGCAGATAAGCATGCTCGAGAAAAGACTCAACAATGCGAATGCCAAGATCGAGGTTGTGAAGATAGCTGCCGCAGAAACCCCAGAAAAAGCTGTGGCTCAAGTCTGGGAGGTCGCACAGAAAGCCCAGCCTGCACCTGCTGCAAAACCAACGGCAACAACCACACCCACGACTCAACCTGCTTCCCCAGCACCGGTTCCAAACCAGCAAGCACCGGTGGCCCCTTCTTCGGCTGCCCCTGCCCCTGTCCCTGCGGCATCCGCTCCAGCTGCCACCTCGGCTCCCCCAGTTCAAGTTTCCCCTAGCCCTGCATCTGAACCGGGACAGGGACAACCTTCCCAGAACCCTCCCGCACAATTCAGTCAATCGCAAATCGAGCAGAACCAGCAACCTTCTAATCTGCCAAATAAACCTCCTGCAGGGAACCCACCAGGGTTGATGCGCGCTCTGCAATCGGGACTTCCAATTGCCAGAGGTGGACGTGGAGGTCGCGTTGGAAGTCAGCAATTTGGCCACGCTCAACAAAATGACCAGCAAGGTCAAACCCAAGCTCAGGTCCAACGTGGTGGGGGAGCTCAACGAGGAAGAGGCGGCCGTGGAGGGCAAGGTCGTGGTGGTCACCAAAACACCAACGTCCAATCTCAACCACAAGCCCAATCCCAAAACCAAACCGCCAATGCTAACCGCGGAAACCTCAACGCCTCAGCTCGCCAATTCATTCCGCAGGGCAACAAGCGCTCTCGTGATGAAGGCTCTGACAATGCCAATGAGGCTGCCAACGCCGGAAAGAGACAGAGAGGTGGCGGTGGACAACAGCCTCGCGGTGGGGGCTCATCTTGAACAATTCCTTCGCATTTCTTTCTACATTTCCTGTTTTTTCTCATCTTTTTTTTTATCAGTACCACATGAACACAGGATTCCCTGCGCTTTTCATAGTCGGTGTTGCATTGCAAAGAGCATAATCGTTCCTTTTGTCATGTATCTACTCCAGTGTATGGCGGCGTTTATCGGATTTTACTTTCAATTGCAGTTTTTAAGAAGACTTTGCATTCTTGTAGACAGATACAGGGGTGATAAGTGTAAGTAACAGGGGTATCATTTGCTCAAAGACAGAAAGATATACTTGAGATCAAAATCCAAAACCACCCACATAATAATCATTTTTTTCTCCCGCCAGCAGCAGGAATAAGCATCCTCGCCAGCACCTCTCTCTCTTTCTGCAAAACCATCAACCTCGCATCCTCAATAACCCTCCCCTCCGGCGCAGGAGCAGGAAGAGGCGCTTGTGTGATCTGTGAGGCGCCAATCACAGCCGGGCTCATGGCTTTCGCACCACGCGCTCTCTTCCTCCGCTGTCCAGGCCCAGAGCCCCAGACTACAAACCATTCACCGACAGGGCCATTGGCAGCAACTTCAACGCCCGAACACACCTTCGAGTGAGACCCGACGTCGGCACCACGGCGGATGATCGCAAGAGCTTCAATGCTAGCAGATGAATGAACATGCGCTCCTGGTTCAATGGTCGATAACGGACCAACAGTGACAAAATATGAGATCCGTGTCACTGCCTCTTTCTTCGAGTTTGTCCCTGTCCCGGATTCGGGGCTTGTGTTTGGATCTGCGGTTCTGGACGGCGACGCTGATCGACTCGATGGACTAGGCGCTGCTCCGATCACGGCTTTCTCGCTGATTACACAGCTGTCGCCGACATATATTGGTCCCTCATATGCGTAGAATCGCGCACGAGGGTGCACCACGGTTCCTGCGCCGATGGTCACCGGGTAGGTGCCCTGGAAGACGACGGTATCGGCGATTGTGGCGGTGACATCGGCTTTTACGGGGGCTTTTGGTGGACCAGAGCTATGAGATGATGACGAGGAGCGGTGTGTATTTGTTGGCGGTTTGAGCGTTGCCATTGTGGTTGTTGTGGGGAGAATAATTTCCCGCGGAGGTCATGATGCGATAGCTCCTGACGTCGGGTATTATTTAGTCAGCTCTATCAGCCGTCCATCTTGCCCACTGGCAGGCAGCATATCCCGTACTTTGCTGCTTTTTATTTATTGATGGGGAAAGGGGGAGCCCTATTCAACATTACGTGAGATTGGTCGAGTATAAGTAAGTAATCAGCCTTGTTTACATTCGATCCAAAGAGACTATTCTGGCCATTGATGATCAGCGAAAATCTCCAGCGGCAGAAGATGGATGCAAATTTGTTGACAATGCAACTGGGTATGCGATGCAAATACGTATGTCGCGGCCTGCTAGGCCTCGGAACAATGGGATCCGTATATCAACACCTTTCCGGCGGGGTATCCAAATCTAAACTCGTTATCTATAAATACAACGCTAACAATCCCTCAAGTATAGAGCCTCTGGACAGTAAAAAACCGTCACTCGTCTTCAACAGTCTTGTTCTTGATCCCGTTCCTCTTCCTCCAAGCTCTCACCCCGCGATCAACCTCTTCTCTTGTCATCCCATCCCTCACCAAGCAAAACGTGACTCCCAACTCTGTCTCCACGTTCCGATTCCGCGCCTCATCATCGAAGAACAGCATCTCCTCATAAGCAACTTCACTTGACTGATGGATCCGCGCGAAATGAGATGTCTTATTACCAGGGAATATCTGAATGTGGTCGAAATAATCTAGCGCGCGAATGGTTTTCGCATTGGCGGCCGGGTTATCGGAGAAAGTGGGAATGATATGCAGGGCTTTGAGCATGTCGCGTGCCAGATCAGGTGCGTGTGTTCGAGATGCCAAGGCTAATGGGATTGAACGGTGTTTACAGGCGTAGATTATCGACGAGACTGCTGGGTAGAAGGCGAAAGACTCACCCCAACTGTTTGTCAAATGCGGGGGTTAGTAGTTGGTTCTTGGTTTGGAAAATATTCATGAGAAGTATAACTAGGGGTGTCAAGCATACCGGTCCACGGTGCGTGAGTTGTTGTCTCGTGCTTTCACAGGGGCACTGACGTGCGTATCTACCCAGAACGGCCACAGTGTATAGTCGAGGTCGAAGGCAATCAATTTCGGTAGTGGAAGGCCGTCAGTGAAGGTCTCCGGCGCCACGGATGCATCTTCTAAAGGCTGAGTGTTTTGTCGCTTCGCTCGGAGCATGGTGTGAGTGAGGGATGATGTAGAAAGAAGGTTTAAGAATCAGAAGGGTGGGGACCATGGAGTTGGAGGAACGAGCCGGGGTTGAGGCTCGGGAAGCACGTGCCTTGGCTTGCATTTCCAAGTTATCTAGATCGACTTTTGTTCCCCGAAATACATGGCTTGAAGACGATTCAAATCTACTTTCAGCATCTCAATGATTGTATTATAAGCTACTCTGTAGAACACAAAAATAAGTCTAAGCACCAGTTCCGAACGTGCACCAGGCGTCATCTCAACACTGCTCGTCTATGATGACAGAGCAGTGGTATTTACAACATTTTTCCAGCTCTGAATTGGTTTCTTAGTCCTGGATGGAATCCTAGATAGAATTCTGCTTTTGGGCCTCCGGAATACATGACTGCATTTCAATCTTAATACCGGTATAAAGCCGGCGGTAATCATTTCGGATAGACGAAGCAAAGAAACGAGAAAAAGTGGGAGTGAACACCAGAAACAGGAAAAAGAAAATGGACAATAGAAAAAGCTAAGACAATGATAGAAAGGGCAAACTCAGTGGACGGTTGCTGTTCAAGTCCAAGCAACCTGTTCATGAAGTTCAAGTCCTCTTTCTCGAGGCTTTCCGTAGCGGCTGTACTACCTTGGCTGACGCTTCATACATGTTCGGCATACCCGTCAAAAGCCATTGTTTTATAGTCTGCACCATGGTTTTTGAGGCATCCAGCCACTTTATATGACCCCAGAACGCTGCTGAATGCAAAACCGTTCTTCCATCGAAACCTCTTCAGCGTAATTCTGAGGCGCTTGATCATTCACCACATCAATCAGATTGGAAGCTGCTGCCAGATGCAAAATCTTCGACGATACTTTATTCCAGTCCACGAGACATTGGGCAGTGCCAAAAAAGAAGATCGCCAATGCCAAAACGCATGATCGAGCAGTGTATCTTATCTTTTGGTACGTGTTTTTGCCAACTACCAGCTTTCTCTGCATGGGCAAAAATATTCAAGGTGGCGTACGTGAAGAATGGTCGTCTTTTGAGAAATACTGTCAGTTCTTCGACAATTTCCCCGTTGATAAAACTATCTCAGAGGCCGTACTCGAGAGACTACATCTTTACAGGCAGAACAAACACGATTGTAACCCATCACTTGGGATTCGAAGAAATTTTCTGGGCTACTCATGGGCGTACTCTTGTAGTCGCGCAAGTTGTGCAGAAGTCCAGGTCCTTTTGCATGCATGAATTCACTGAAACTACTTGTATAGTGCCTTCACTGTCGTAGCTTGTTTTCAATTCAGCGAGTCCGCCAGACACCCCTTGAGCCTTCTGGAGAAAGCGCTTTTTCAGTTTGCTTAACGCATCTCTGTCAATCTTCATGTTTATGCTGGCCACCACTTGATGAAAATCCGAATCGATGTACGCTTTGCTGTCTTCCTGATTTTATATCTCAATCTCAATCTTCATATTTGGGTCAGGTTGCAAAGGGGGATTGTTTAGACACGAGATGCATGTTCTGATGCTGCCGCCTTCCGGATTCTTCTTATCGATGGACTGGCCGATAAAACATTTGAGGTCGTGTAGATATCTGTTAATTTCCTTGGCAGGGCCCATGCCAGCCTCGTCTAGGGCATCGAGGCCTCTTAGACATGGACACATATGTTGGGCTCTAGGGCCACAATGCAGCTATTGAGTAGACCGAAGGACAATGACAAGCTTTATATCGATGCTGGCCGCCAGGTTAAAGTAGTGGTCTTTTAGTGCAGCCATTGTATAGTAATATCAGGTACTGTGTCCCGGTGAGAGACGGAACAGATTAGATCTATGCATAGTATAGCAATTAATGGTTCATACAAGCCTGATTCAGTTAGTTTATATGCAGGTCTATGGATGTGGTTCATTCTGATCGTCTTGTTGTGCATGGTTTGATCTGGCGCGTCGCCTGGTTTCAGTTCCTGGTGATCAACAGCCGCATAGCAGAAATTAATTATTTCGCTACAGAACCTGGAACTGGCATCAGATGTCTTGTCTGCCTCGAATTAGTAGACCCAGGCGGTTTCTTTGTTCTAATCTCTCCCCCTTTATTGTGCCTCACTCAAATCAGCCGCCCAGGTAAATGTGCAGCGAACAACCCGGGTGAACATTTATAATCATATGAAGGTCGTCACTGAATTGTTTAGACTAGACAGTGACCAAGTAAGTAACAACTGAGGCCCGAGAAAATCAGAGCCAATTATATGTACTTTTATGACATGTGTGCTCAATGGAGCTTCAGCGAAGTCTCTCACAATTGTAGAACAGGATGCCAAAGAACTTCGTTAAATCATTTCAAGGTCACAAGCTTTCAGATATCATGATTGTGTTTCATTAAACTGCTAAATGGCGATGAATTAGGATTGTGATGTGAGATACTGGGATAGGCAGAATAGCTCTACTACAGTCTTTTGCACTGTATTTCGGCAAAAGGTATTAAGTTGGGAGATTTTTAAGGACATATACCACTGAACCAGACCAGGAAGACCAACAGGCGGAATAGGGATTCCAGGGTTTCCTCATTTCTTTACAGGTGCGGGTGGTATTAGTGCTGCAATATGTTGTTCATCACAACATGACGATATATAATCAACTCGATAGCCAGTATTGGTTCTGGAATCCCAGGTTGGGTGGTATTGTGAGGTGCGGCTCCGGATATATATAGTCTGTATTCTGAAGTACACTGGTTCGGCTGTACTATAGGCCGTGGGGGGCGCACTCATTTGTGACATACACCTCTTGAAGTCTTTCAAATAACTAGAATATCAAGATACGTCGGTGTGCGGTTTTTTTGTTTCCATTAGGATGCTTATACACCTGACTATCTCTGACCGGGGGCAAGGGTAAAGCATGTACGAGAAGAGAACAATAGAGATCACTCGTGAGTGTCAAGATACAAAGTTGCCAACGGCGTATTCGTCAAACAGGGGTGAAACTAGACGCAAATTTCCAGTCCAGTGCCCAAAGGATTTGCAAACAAGAATGTTATTGATATCAAAAATGAAAAACCAACTCCTTTACCCAGAATTGATAGACCGCATCGGTCACACTCAGGAAGCGCGCCCTTCGGTTTAAACCATGGTTCGTTCCATGTAGCATCCGATGGGACGCAGGCTCTCTTGAAAAGCAGGATCTTTCACCTCACTCGGCTTGATTCCTTCTCCGTGGTTTCGGCACCTCATGATGCAAAGACACGGACCTTCAGATCAACACTACCAGTCGCCAGGACGCATCTAATAGACATCTTGGTTGCATTTGGGTCTTCTTTTGCACTTGATTTGCCAACGTCTGTGCCGTTGGCATCCTCGGATCCGGTATCCTTGATTAACGGGGGTGCCCATCGAATCGAGCTGACGAAGTGGTCATGAGCAGCAATGGTGCGCACACATTTGCATTCTTGTGTAAGATCCCAGCAGCGTAAGGTCTTGTCATCGGACACAGAGAGAAGGTATTTTCCACCGGGGTGGAAAACCAATGCACGAACCCAATTATCGTGTCCAACCAGAGTTTTGATTAGATTTCCGCGGGAATCCCAGAGACGAATGCTCTTATCACGAGATCCTGTGGCCACGAATTCGGCAGACGACGATGCGGCGGGGGGCTTTTTCAGTCCTGCAAGAGGGGCGAGGTGGGGATAGCTCGTTGGTGGGGCGAAGGCAACACATTCGATAACATGCTCGTGGCCTAGGAAGGTGGACTTCGTTTCACCGGAAGAAACATCCCACAGTCGAGGAACTTGGTCATCTCCTGCCGAGAATAGGAAGCGACCATCAGGGGAAGGCGCAACATCTCGAACCCACGATGCGTGGCCCTGTAGGGTCTTGACACAATATCCAGTTGTGACATCCCAAATCCGTAAAGTATGATCGCGAGACGCCGAGACTAGCAGGTTTCCTGACATGGGAGATCCCGCTGCTCCAGATGGAATGAAACGCACTGCTGAGACGCTGTGGTCATGTCCTGGCAGGGTTCGGATATTCTTGTATTCGTCTGCTGGGTCCCACAACTTAATTGTTAGATCCGAAGAACAGGACGCAAGGAGGGTTCCTCCACGCGGTCCTCCATAGTCAACGTCTAGCACTGCTCTTGTGTGTCCTTTGATGGTCCTCTCTAGCTCACCCAGCTCCCAATCCCAAATCTTGATTGTGGTATCTTCTGAACCGGACGCGAGGGAGGAAAATATTGGGTGAAAAGCGACACATGTGACTGGTGAGCGATGCGATTCGAGATCGTGACGCGCTGGGGCTCGCGGCAGCCAGGATGCTGGGTCTTGATTTCGTCGAGAGAGAGATGTGGGGGTTGCAGTGTCTAGTTCAGCCTGCAATGAGGCGCATCGTGATTCTAAATCCATGATCTATACTAGAATGTATCATTAATAAACCGACGTTCTTGGCTTCTGCAATCTTCACACGCACCTTCTTTTGTAGGCGGACAACGCTCGTCCACTTCTTCTCCAGCAGACCCTCATACTTCTTGAGGGTGCTGTCGTCCACGGTAATCGAGTCGCCGAGCTCTTCTCGTAGAGCAACCGAGCTTTGAGGCAGGTTTGCAGATGCTAGATATGCGATGATACCTTTGTGCCTGTCGCAAGAAGCGAACATCAGCAATCAGAACCCCTAAATGAGCCGAGATGGGTCACCTGCAGCTCCTCCGCCTGGCGCGGAGTGAGAAATTGGCTCATAGTTGCAGCGCCTGTATGTGTGTTCCAAGCAATTTGCGCCAATTTCCCCGCGCATGTAATTCAGGCGTTGTGTATGTGTTCGAGTTGGAAAAGTGCGATTTGGGGGGGGGGGGCGGTGTCGGATACGGCGAGGGCGAATTGGATATTGGGCACTAACAAAAAGCAAAACAGGAGTAGCCAGACAAGTCGAGAGACAACTCGGACCAGAAGATCATTCAAAAAGACAAGTTACAAGAGAAAAGAAAGAGAGAAGAAAAGAGAAGCCGATCCACCGCGGGGTCACAACAAACCCGTGCCAAGCCGCTTGTTTACTTCCCGATCTCCAACTGTTTATTTCTTCTCTCCACCTCCCTTGGATGCTCTCATCACTCGACTGAGACAACTCGATTATTTCACTCTCTGCTTGAACTGTTACTCTGGTACACCTGAGTTAGCCTTCGACTTTTGCCCTTTCCGGCATAATCTAGTTGGAGCGCACACCGGACACCCGCAGCAGTGCTGACATCCATCCTGTTCTCAGAGATCGCAGTGGTTCCGCAGTCGCCTAGAGAATTGACGCCAGGATGGCTGACGGCGAAGAGGACTTCTCTTCCTTGCCTCTGGAGGAGCGCTTCGCTCATAAGGTGAGATACATGCTCTATCTCCAGGTCGATTGAACCTCATGACAATGACTGACGGCGTGTTGTATAGGTCTGGAAAGTTCGCAAGGAAGCATACGGAAGTGCAAAAGTTACATTTGAAAACACCGCCGATGAATCAGACCCGGCGTTTGTGCCGTTCCTACAAGACCCCGATTTGTGGAAAGGGGTAGTCACAGATTCCCATGTCGCCGCGCAAGCCGATGGTCTTGCAGCATACTGCGCGTTCCTTAAATTTGGAGGTGCCCAGGCCTGTACAAGGTGCGTGCCATATGCTTCAGTTACGAGAATGGTCAATTCGACCTGAATTTAACTGACAGTTCACTTAGGACCCGTGGATTCACGATTGGCCCAATCGCCGACAAATGTCTGCCCGCCCCGAGAGCTAAACCTGGTGCTCTAGAAGCGATCTTGTTATTTGTGAAATTCGACAAGGCCGATCCGGTATTTGAGGCACTTGTGCCCCAACTCACACACAAACTGCCTAAGATGGTTGCCGCCACATTTTCAGCCTTCACTGCTATCCATCACAACTATGGATGCAAGACAGTCGACCCTAAGCAAACATTGAAGACGCTACCAACTGGATTCGCTCATGCCGATAAGAACGTTCGTACCGAAGTACAAAACCTTGCAGCTGAACTATATCGGTGGCTCGGGGAGGCTATCAAGCCTTTCTTCTGGGCTGGACTTAAGCCCACTCAGCAAGCCGACCTAGAAAAGTTATTCGAGAAGGTGAAACAGGATCCGCCGCCGCAGCAAATAATGTTCACAGCAGCACAAGAATATGCCATGGCCACCGCCCCGGCAGCCGAAGAAGGCAGAGAAGCAGCCGAGGGATTTGGTGATGAGGGCGAGGAAGAAGAGGTTGATGTGTACAACTTGGCAGATCCGGTCGATGTCATGTCTAAAATCCCCAAGGACTTCCAGGACCAAATGGCCTCCAAGAAATGGCAAGAACGCGTGGAAGCGTTGGAAGCTCTTCACAATGCCATTGATGTTTTCAGAATCAAACCCGGTCCCTTCGATGACATTGTGCAGACCTTGGCCGCGAATGTGGGCAACGTCAATATCAAGGTCATGAGTGGCGCTGCGAACTGCATTAGTAAGTTGGCCACTGGTTTACGCGGTGGGTTCCTCGCAAAATACCGCGGTGAGGTCATGAGGCCTCTTTTCTCTCGTCTGAAGGAAGTAGGTGAAAAGGCAAAGCCTTGTTTTGGCGCTTTGGTAGCTGTCTTCGAAACAGCGACGCTTTCGGATTGTTTAGAAACAACTCTCGAATTCCTCAAGGATAAGAATCCACGAATCAAGCAGAGTACATGCGACTTCTTGGTTCACTGCTTGGAAAAAACCAAAACGGTGCCATCCAAGGCAGAACAGAAAGAGATCGCAGAGGCAGGCGGAAAACTCCTGCCCGAGTCCGCACCGGCAACCCGTGAAGGAGGTGCTAAGATACTGGGCACTTTGATGAAGATCGCGGGCGAACGAGCTACATATGCGTATCTTACGGGTGTCGACAAGCTTGACAAATACAAACCAAAAATCGCCGAATACCATGAGACCGCAAAGGTGGTCGCCAAGGAGCGCCCCAAGCCTATCGTGGCACCCCCGAAGCCCGCAGCTCCAGCTGGTAAGAAGGTTGTTGGCAAGAAACCAGCCTTGGGAATGAAGAAACCAGCACCTGCGGCCGCTGCACCTCCAGCGCCCGAGTCTCCGGCTAAACCTGCGCCCAGAGCTTTGCCTTCAAAGCTAGGCGGTGTCCCCAAACCTGGTGGTCTTCCCACTCCTGGATCTGGCCTCAAGCTTCAAAGAAAGTTGGCTGGTCCAGGAGGCGCTGCTTCTCCTTCGAGACGACCCGCTGAACCCCCGTCCGAAGACACCGCACCCCCGCCAGCTGCCCCCAAGTTTGGTCTTGGTCGGGGTCTTGCTGGGCGTCCCATTGCGAAGCCATCAGCCCCTGTTGAACCCACTCCGAGCCCAGTTTCCCCCGCAATGAACGCCATGTCTGCCGCCGATCGTGCTGAGTTGGAGGAACTTCGTATGGAGAAGGAAAACTCCAGCCGAACAATTGAAGATATGAAGTCAGAGCGTTCGAGACTCAATTCAACAATCACTGAGCTCCAGAACCAGAATGCACAGCTTATTGAAGACCACACACGAGATGTTTTGGGCATCAAGGCCAAAGAGACTCAATTGGTCCGCGCACGGAGTGATGCTGAAGCCGCAGAGGCGAATGTCCAGAAACAACAAAGAGAGATCGAACGCCTGAAGCGTGAATTGGCACGCGCACTTCGTCCATCTGCCATGAGCCCACCTAACGCAACATCCGATACCGGTAGCATTGGTATTCCGGAGACCTCTTCGATTTACCAAGAACCCGCCGGAAGCGCACACGCCTTTGCACGAAATGGACTTCATGCCGGATCCCGCTTTGAGAGCGCCCGCCCTCGCAGCATTGTCTCTGCTAGTCCGAGTGAAGAGAAAGAAAACGCCGGTCTAGAATCGCCAGGGTTCGGCAGTCGAGAAGGCCTCGGCCGACGCAAGTTAAGCCCTACATATGGCTACTCGGGCATCGGCAGTCCGACACGCTCATCCACCAGGAACTCCAACACCAACCTCGCCGAAGACGACCAACATCAACCCAGATCTACTGAGCCTGCTGAGAACTGGAAGCGCGCAGCCGAAGTCACAAGCCAACTGAAGGCGAGAATTGAACAAATGAAGGTAAGCATATATCCTTTACACCTATTGATATACAAGGGTGATATCTAACTTGAACAGGTACGACAAGGGCTTTCACGACAACCCGCCCAACGTTAATGACCGAATGACCTTGATCACGTTTATGTCTCTTGTCCTTTATACACCCTTTTTTTCGCCTGCCTCAATTTGCCTCAACTTGTGTTTTTAGGCGGGCGCTTTGATGCCACCGTCTCTTTCTTAAAGCCGGCGATGAGTATTTTCTATTTCTTCTATGGTCGTCTGGGAGCACAGGGTCTGATTTCTGGGTTTCTTTTTGTACTTTTCCTGCGTCTGCATTTGCCATGGACTTCTAGGTCCCTGTAACTTCATCATACGAACCTTGTCTTCTTCTCTTATTCTTGTTCTGGTCCTCATTGTGAAGACAGATTGTCCGTCAGGTGGGATACGAGGTCTTTGGTTCGCCATTATTATGTTTGTGCTATCACTTCCCGTCCGTTCTTCTGTTTCGACGTACAAACTTCGTCCTGTGATATCATTACTCGATTCTTACTTTGATTGTTCTGCGGTTACTGTCTGGCAGAGCTGCATCATCTTGTATCGCTCTCATTTGGGGCTTGTGTGGTTAGAAGGATGGTTGCATTATGTGCCTTAAGATACCCAAGTTGGACAGTATAGGTTTAGGTTGGGGCGAGGGATAGGGAAAATTGATTTTTGGCCAAATGATTCTGCTTCCGGTGTACCTCCGAATGTATGTATATATCCATCAACGTCGTCCCAGGGCGTAGATCTCATGAGAACATCTCACCTTTAACCCATCGAAAGGGGCCAATCATTTATTTTTTGAAGGTTTCAATGGTCCAAGTCCGAGTAGATTGTTACAGTATATCTATCTATAACCCTCGAAAGTGGCGCTTGCTCTTACAGGTAGTCTTTGAATGGCGAGATCATGGCTATCGACAGCATTAAGCATGACAATTTAGGAGCGATACAAAGATAGCCTACAAAGTTTCTAGAAATGGGAAACCAAGGGCCATACTTCGCAAAGCTCCGTAATGTGGTTGGATGTAGACATAGATGCATGGGGTGTCAACCGGCGTGTCTAACCGATATAGAGAACTGGCCCACCAGAATTCCTCCAGGACTGGGACAAGACCCGCCGAGAAAACCGCACACTTGCAAAATTTGCACAAGTTGGCACTCAACCAAATTGAACAAACAAGTTACAATTACAACTACACATACGAAGCAGACGACATGAATGCCTAATTCAGATGGGACTATACAAGCCATCAATAGGATTGAACAGGTAAAAATGCATTCATGGGTATCTGCAGAAAGTGGTACATGGGGGCCATTGGAGTTCGTAAGAGAAAAAATGTCTTTTTTGTTAGAACAGGATCCAAAAAAGGCCCAAGGGCTCTTTCGCACCCATCTAAAGCTAAAAAGAATCGGCCGTCAATAAGTCACCCAGAGCCTTGAACACCTTAATGGTTTCCCATTAAACTTTTTATGAGAGCCGAGCGCTTTTAAAACGATCCCGTCAAACAGACATCTCGGACAAAGCTGCAGTTACACAAGCTTAGACCTTGATGGCGGCATCAATAGCCTTCTGCTTCTTCTCAATGCGGGCGTTGGCCTTGGCACCCATGATACCACCACCCCAGTGGCGGCGGGAGTCCTCGTACTTGTCGGTGTAACCCTCCTTGATGGCGGAGAGGAGCTTGGCGAACTCGGCCTTGTCCTCGGAGCGGGTCTCGGTGAGAGCCAGGACGGCGGAGGTCTTCTTGTGGACGACGGTACCGAGACGGGCCTTACCCTTGACGATGGCGTAGGGGACACCCATCTTGCGGCAGAGAGCGGGGAGGAAGACAACCAACTCAATGGGGTCAACGTCGTGAGCGATCAGGACGAGGGAAGCCTTCTTGTTCTCAACGAGGCCGACGACGTGGTTGAGACCGTACTTGACGTGGTAGGGCTTCTTGGAGACATCCTCCTTCTTCTTGCCCTCGGAGACGGCGGTGGCCTCCTGGACGAGACGCTCCTTCTTCTCGGCCTTGGTCTCAGGGCGGTACTTGGAGAGGAGCTTGAAGGTCTGGGCAGCGGTGTTGCGGTCCAGAGTGGCCTGGAACTGAGCGATGGAAGGAGGAACCTTCAGACGCATGTTCAGGATCTTCTTCTGGCGCTGAAGACGGACATACTCGGGCCACTTGACGAAGCGGGAGAGGTTGCGCTTGGGCTGGATGTCCTGGCCGATACCGAAGTTGCGGGAACGCTTCTCGATGAGAGGGTTCTGTTAAGGGTAAGAGGGGTTAGCGTCTTCAAGACTCAATGCACTCCTAGTGGAAAGAGAAAACTAACCTTAGCGGCCTTCTTGCCAGTGCCAGCCTTGCCCTGGGGGTAGGGCATAGCGGCGGTCTTCTTTCCGGACTTAGGAGGCTATCATTGAGAAAAGAAGATCAGCGTGCTGTCCACCGAATGCTGCATCTTCTTTGAACTCTAAGGAGAGCGACGAGCCAAGCCGTGTTACGGGCATTGGACTCATGCTTCCAGCCAAATCATCACACGATGCAACACATCTCTTTCGAGGCTGTGTGCGATCGGCGGAATTGCTTAGATATCAAATCTGAAGCAGTGCGAATGTGTTTTACGACATTGCAGGAACTAGAATCTCTGATAGAAACATCAAGAGATGATCAAGTACTCACCACCATGTTGTCGACTGGGATCGTTGCGCTGGTTGACGATTGACGGATGAGAAGAGAAAAAGTTCGAGTGGATGCAACTTATGAATTTGTCGTGGGTCGCGCTAGTGCGGTCAGGTGACAGGGTTAGGGTTAGCGCTTAGGGTAGATCCACCTAGTCAGGTGATGAATCACATGATATCAAATTGCCAGTCCATGTAGAGAAATAATGTGTTTGAATAAAGTCATTATTTGGGTATCTGATTGCTCTCCTCATGCAGCTTTCTGTTTCCTTATGGTGTGTAGCCACAGCATGTCCATAATCCGATCACCGAGTCACCATCCCCGAGTCCCGCTAAAGCAAGTCAAATTACATACAACTAAACGCCATAGATACACCAGATCAGATCAAATTATCATCAAAGTCATCTTATGCAGCAGATCCACATCTTGTTTTGAGATTTCAATCACCTCCAAGCCCCAAGTCCAGGCAAAGCACCCCGTCCCAAACCAGCACTAGCGGCCTGGACAGCCTTCTTCTTACCTAACGAACCCTCCTGGGCCCGAACACCAGCAATAATCTTTTCAATATGAGTCTCAACAACAACACCGCCAACAATCATCTCACCCAGCACTGCATGTAGCGTCTCATACCCAAAGATAAGGTCCAATTCGCAGACATTCTCAAACATACGGTCTAGAGACTCAACAAACACCTGGATCAAATCGATAAGAGCCAGTGGCGACTCCGTAGATGTAGAAATCATAATAAACGACAGCGTTGCGTAGGTTCGGTAAGTGATCTGGGTGGGGGTATCGGAGGGACCGGTAGCGGAGGAGCTGGCGCCCTGGGAGAGGAGAGGAGGAAGCGGTAGAAAGTTGCAAGCGCTTGCTGGGCGCTGTGCGACTAGGCGGTATATTTGCGCGATGAGGGATTGCTGGGTTTGAGTGTCCTGGGGTAAGGTGTCATTTGGGATATCCGGCGCGGAGTCCGCGGAGTAGCGGGGCGTCAGCTTGAGGACTTACGAGCTGTGTGTAAAACTTGGTCAGCCGGGGCTGGCCATTGTTATTGAAGACCAGGACTGCGTTGATCATCTTGACTGGCGAGGAAAAAGAAGTGGTTGTAGCGCTGTAGATGCGAGAGTGGCTTATCGATAGTTGCCGTCTTGGCTCGACCTGCCCCGTGCGCCGATCTGGACTTCTTTTTTGTTCTGAGTCTTGATTGTCGTCATTCAAGAAAAGATATGATGAATTCAAGTTCACTGTGCAGGCGACCTGCGCCTAAGAGAATCATATATACAACAATCCGAGCCCTATCCTCCGCCCCCAGTACGCAGAAACGTGAGCTCAAAGATCTCACCCCGTCCGACCTCTGCTACTATTGGGACACGCAACCTCCCCGACCTGACCAATTAGCCTTTGCCGACAAGGTCTTCACTCCATCTCGTCATTCTCCTTTAAAGCTATGGTCTGCAGCCAAATTCCGCACGACACCACTCTCATCGACAGACCCCGAAGTCGCATTCCTTGGCCGGTCAAATGTCGGCAAGAGCTCACTCTTGAACGCAATAATGGGGCAGGAGGTCTGCTGGACATCCTCAAAACCAGGGCGAACGAGAGAAATGAACGCTTTTGGAATTGGTGGCACAAAAGGCGGCGAACATAAAGTTGTGTTGCTTGATATGCCGGGTTATGGAAAGGCTAGTCGAGCTGAGTGGGGAGCGGAGATTATGAAGTATCTCCAGGGACGCAAGCAGTACGTTATACTTCCCTATGGCCTTGTTTTCTCGTTTTGCAAGGCCTACGTCAACTAGGATATATTGTTTCAGCAGCTAACATCCCCACCACAGACTCCGTCGAGCATTCATCCTCATCGATAGCACACATGGCATAAAACAAACCGACGCTGATATCCTCCAAATGTTCCGACACTACGCAATCCCACACCAAATAATTCTATCCAAAGTCGACAAATTTCTCGCGAAAAAGATGAAGTTAATAAAGTCCGGTGTATCACCATACCACCTTGAACGACTTCAGGTTCTGTTGCAGGGCGTCAAACCTATTATTCAGCCTGATTCCCGAGTCTCTGAGGGGCCTGGTGCCCTTGGTGAGATCTTGACTTGCAGTGCTGAGGCGCAGATTGGTCCTGGTCGAATGTTGGGGATTGATGCTATTCGCTGGTCGATTTTGTCTGCTGCTGGTATTGATGGGAGTTTAGAGGGAGTTCGGCCTGCTGAGCCGGTGCCTGCTGAGGACCAGTCGGATTCTATATGGTGATTGCCTTTATGGTGGAGTTTCGATATCATCTACACTTTTGTCGCGATTCTGACTTGACTTGTTGGCGCGACTATACACCATCAAATGTCTGTCTTCATGCAGACCGTCATCTGGCCATTTATAAAACTTTGTATTATATTCACCTGCTACAGGAACATACCATACGATATACCCGAGATAGAAATAGTAAAATAAAGATCATAATCAATCTATTACAGTCCGATAGAGACAAAGCAAAGCATAAAAAGTATGTAAAAGAATCCACCGGACTCAACATGGATATGATGTAGCCGGTATGGCTCAGATAGGATAGGAATTCACATACGCATCAGGCAAAGACAAAAAAAAACGTATCGTGGCAGATGCAAGGGCAAGGGATGATATTTGGGGATACAGAAGGATAGAAACCCTCAAATAGGAAAAAGTTGATATGAGAAAAAGAAAAAGATAACGCCTGGCCCCCATCATAATGCTGCAAGACCAAAGAATGCCGACCACGCTATGCAAAGGTTTGTTCCGATGGAAGACGAGAGCTGTAAGGATGGGTATCGTGAATTGAGAGTTTGGGGTATTGAGAGATCACAGAGGAATGTAGAAAATGTAGAAAGGATGGTTCGTCGAATGTGGTTTGGTGTCAATATTTAAAGCAGACTTGCTTTCAGTCGGATAGATCGTCGTCTTCATCGAGATTTTGGACCTCCTGTCCGCGGGCGTTGACAACAATGCGGGAGGCGAGTTTGCTTTCTGGGACTCCATCGCGTGCAGCGCCAAAGTCAAGTACCTGGGAAGTTTGTTAGCAATAAGCTCTCGAAATATTGATATATCCAACTTACTTCAATGTAAGTCAAGCTGTCACGTTGCACCGCAGCGACGCATCGGCGATCATTGAATTTGACCTGCCACACGCCACTGAGATCAGATAGAAGGTCTCGCACGCAGTCGCCTGTCGTCACATCCCACATCTTCAAGGTACGGTCAGATCCGGAGATGACCTTTTGCCCGTCGTGTTGGAAGCAGGTGATGGCGCCAGTGTGTGCAGTCAGCGTGTTCTTGCAGTGACCGTGGACAGAGTCCCAAATTCGCAGGGTAGAGTCCGCGGCCGCTGAGACAAGGAAATCATTCTGCAAAGCAAGTAGACCAACAAGAGAGGTGTGGCCTTCAAGGTTATAGAGAACAGATCCATCATCAAGGGACCACACCTTGACCATGTGATCCATTGCTCCACTGATGCAACGGTTGCGCTTGTGGTCAAGCACAACGCTGTATACCTTCATAGAATGCCCCTGCAAGGTGTGCAATGTTTGCCCGGTAGATATCTTCCAGACCTTCACGGTACAATCATAGCTACCGCTCACAAGGGTATCGCCATGGGCTGCAATAGCACGAACGGAATGCTGATGGCCAGTGAGAACGCGGAGGAAGTAGGGACAGTCAGTGTCATCGACAAGTGGACCACCCTGGTAATAAACCGGGTCTCCCGACTTTGGGAGTTTCCAAACCCGCAGATTTGAATCCCGAGATCCAGTAATGATCAACGGCTCTTTGGGCATCATTTCAGGCTGGCCATGGATGTTTTTGCCCACGTCGGTTGGAAGGACGATTTGCAAGCACCGAACGGTGGAGGTGTGACCGTGGAAAATCTGAGTACATCTGGCCTGCTCAATATCCCAGACTCGAACGGAGCGATCTGTGGAACCAGACACCAGGGTGTTGCCATAATATTCAAGAGCCCAAACACCACCTTCATGGCCCTCCAGGGTTGCCTTCAACGCGCCTGTTTTCGTATCATATACATTGATGTTGGTATCATCACTTCCAGTAAGAACCTTGTCAGCGTCAAACTGCAAACAGGTGACGACGTGGCGGTCATGGGCACGGAACGCGATGTGTTGCGGTTTTACTTCCGGCTTCATCCATCCCTTGCGGATAGCATCATGGCGACGGTAGAGAACCTTATATAAATAAAGCCCCCGAAGAGAGGGGCTGCCAACTTCAGCATAAGGCACCGCAGCGGCTGCAGCGCTGGCGGCGGCGTAAGGAGCCTCAGAAGCCGCAAGGTCTTTCTTCCAACACAGATCATTGTACTCTCCCCCACTGGATGAGATCTTGCGCTTGGCTAATTTACGGCTTGTAGCACGTGTATTGGCCTTGCGCTTGGGTCGTCGTAACGACGACGACATGGATGGATACGAGGACCGGCTGCTTGACTCCATTCCCAATGGGACAGGAGACTCCTCTCTATCCGCCCTGAGAAACGCCAGGAGGCTGAGATCTTGCTCAGGTTCTTCAGGGCTGTGAGGAAGCTGCCATCCCCATCCCTGTCTGATGGCCCGCTCCAATTCACCGTCAGAAAGAGAATATCCATCCTGGTCAATGAGGTGCTTCCAGGACTTTTCATCTGAATTCGTGATGTGTCTCCACCGCTTGGACACCTGCGCAGCACGGCACATACTTTGGACGTCAAGATATTTGGTGATGTTGAGACTGAGCTCGAGAGGAAGGAGAGCGAGGAAGTCGCACTTCAATGTTGGATTGACCACATCTGCTACAAAATGAAGGGTGGGTTTGGAGCATCGTCGGAGGAACTGATACATAAGATAGGTCTTCATCTCCTCGGGCACCGAATCAAAGAATTCAAGTACCTTGGGCATATCCAAAAGAGAGGGAGGCGACCGTGAGTTTGGTCCATTTGCTGCATCCTGAAGTCGCATGGCCTTGGAGAAGCGGGAGACATTATGATCAAGACTGGAATCCGTATCAACGTCAGGTCCTTCCGAGTCGAATGAGGACTCGCCATGAAGAGCGTTCATTGCGGCAACCGGAGAGAGGCTAGGACTTGGCAGACACATATCTTGTGCCATGGCATTGTCAATTGCGGAGAGTTGGGAGGTAAGTTCTGGTCTCTGCGATGCGGATTCTTGTGTTCCATATGTCGTATCCTGGCTGAAGGAAGACGATTCATGTGCATTGGGGCAGTTCTGGCCCACCTCAGCTGCTTGAGGCTCCTGGTTCCCAGAACTGGAGCGAAGACCGAGTAGTTCATTTTGTTGCACGGCATCTTGATTCACCTGCTGTGGACCTTTGGCTCCGATTTCAGAAGATAGAGGAGACGGCAAAGGAGGCTCTCTGCGAGGGAACACCGAACTGTGGATTCTCTGCCTCGGCGCTACTAGCTCGCCAGACCCACCAAAGTTTGCCTCAGTATCTGGTGTGGCCAGACCAGCGGCAAGAAGAGTTGGTGCCACACCACTTTGGCGGGTGCGGCGTGTAACGGGTTCAGAAGGAACGCGAGATGAACGAGTGCGGGGAAGAGTCGAGGATCGTGGCTCGGGGATGGAGACGGGGGATACGGCACGACGACGAGAGTTGAAAGGATGGCTGGAGGGTTGGCTCGCGATCCTTGAAGGAACCAGCCGCCGGGTGGGGTTGTCGCCCTCGGAGGTGAACGAACTCACAGAGCGTATCTGACCGTTCGCCGCCTTCAACGCCTCATTTTTCTCCTTTGTCTACGTACTGTTAGCATTTCAACCGAGAAAATCGACGGTGAAAAAACCTTACCTCGCCGGCAGCAGTTTTCGTGTCCTCGGGTTCGTTGAAAACTATAGGTCTGTCGCCGATCTTGAACTTGAGATTCCTCAAAGATGCTGGCGTCGGGGCTGAGGCGAGAGGGTACTGTCTGGTGTCCAAATCCTTGACGGAACGCGGGGGTTTGATGACCAAAGGAGGAAAGGAGGTAGTTGTAGTCGTGGTCGTAGTCACCACCGTGGTTCGAGTCGCTGGAGCGAAAGAAAACTGCCCGAGGGCAGCATCCGACGGCCCTTGAGCCAGTTCATCTCTTTCCGGCTCGTCCATTCTATGTCGTGAAGCAGGTCGAGCGTCCGGGCTGTGGGCGACATGTGATGAAAGCTTAGACTTGTTGTGATCGGCGTGTGTCAAATCAGGGATTTGAGAGGTATTGTTCATGGACATGGTGCTCAAGAGGGGAGCATCGAGTAGGAAAGAAGTCACCACGATGTCCAGGTGTTAGAAAGTCGCCCCTGCAAACCATGAGAAAAGATCAGTGCATTTCGGATAAAGTGCAAAGGGGATAGGTAGAAGCAAGGAAGTCAAAGGAAGGGGAGAAACAGTGGCGGCTGACAAGGAGTTGGGGCGGAGAACAACAATTATTCCGACGATGTCATGGCCCAACCTCATTTTTGCACGTTCTTTTATGGTTTCTTTGAGATAACATATGGTATATTATATTCTTTATTATCACTATATTTCACTTAACTATTGCTCTTCCTCCTTTCTATCTCTTCCATTTCCTCTTATCTGGACGGAAGAAATATCAACCCTGTAGCCTCTAGGCCTCACAAGTGGGACTGGGCACACTAAGCCGTTACATCCAGTCTAGTCTAGCCTTTGGCCACTTTGCCTGCACTTTGCCAATTTGCCCGCACTTGGAAACTGCATCTGCCATATATGACTTTTTCTTCCCGGTTTCTTCGGTCTCGCCACATATCACGTGAAGTGGGGGCGTGGCTATATAGATTCCCAACTTGAATTCCAGAAGATCCTGTGGATGATTCATTGGACGTGTTTTTTGTCCTGCTATCTTTCCTTAAATGCTTGGATCTCTGCAACTTCCTAAGGTGGAAACTTCCCCACATTTTCTTCAAGGGCGTGGGCCACCTCTATCATATACTGTGGAGATTTTTATAGAAATTAATGTTCCACACATGGGGGCCTGTCATTTGATATCTTAGTGTGAGTCTCTTCTTATGGAAGAGTCAATCTAGTGCCTTGATGCAAATAACTCTGCTATATACTTGGCCGTAACGTGGTGGCTAATCAACGCTACTAGGTAAGACATACATGTTGTGTTGCACGCTAGATAGGCAAGTAATATTTCAAGTAGTTTTTTTGGATGATGATGATGATGATGATAATGATGGAGCCCCGAGGGATCTACCAACTAGGGTCTGCTTTCTAAAGCTCTGTGACATTGACAGGTCGGCTATAAGGCTGCAAATTAGCCCACAAGTGCTTGCAAGAATGACAAAATGCCTGAATGATACAGCGCTTCTAGAGATGGAGAAACATAGGTGTGCTAATCCTGACTCATAGTTGAATGTCTACTAGCCCTGGTGAAACCCTCTTATTTCATATGTTGCCCTAGTTACAAACACAACAAAGGTTACTGTTCAAGTCGTCTCCCTGTTTCCTGTTTCACAACCTTTAATTCCTTCTCTAATTGCTTAGCTTCATCAACAAAAACGCCGATTTGAAAGAGTATAAATATATATTTAGCAACAGTCTTTGCAACCCCAACAAACCTATTATCAACAAGAAACCATGGAACAACGTAGCTCGTTTGAACTCTTCGCAGAAGCTCGCTTTAAGCTCCAGGATCTCATTAAACGAATAAGCTTTGATCTCAAAAACAACTACTCATTACTTCGCGAGGAAATTAGAGCAGGCCTAGCATTTCTATGCATTTATGTGGACGTTATCAGAGGACTTGACCGTTTAATAGACGAATGTCTAAATTGTGGGCCTATTCGGCTTGTACTGCAAAAATCCACCCATGCCTCTGACCCCCGTAAGGAATCTCATGCTGATCTCAAAAGGGCTTGTCGCTACACTGATGAAACGGTACACATTCTATCGCGTGATCTAGAACTCGATAGGGATATCGAGCCAATTATCCATAGCCTTGAGCTGCTCAACCACCGTTAAGGTTTGGATGGCTCCTTCCCTCGCGAGCATCACCTCTAGAGGTTGCCAAAGCTGGGGAAGACACTTCCCAACTAATGCCAGTTTGGGAACTGAGGACGTTCATCATGGACCTCGAGAGCCTGAACGCGGTCTTTGGGCTCGCCAGGCCCGGGCGTCTGTGAACTCCTCGGTAACCTGGCTATTGCATCTGGCGAATCAGCTTCTTCGTCGTTAATATTCTCTGCTACCTCGGGGGGGGGGGGGGGGGGGCGCTTTGCTAGCTTTTGCGTTGAGTGGATGCCCCTCTGGTAGGGGTGGGTAATATGTCCGACTTGTCTTTTGCGAGGACTTTCTAGTTTGAGTTAGTAGCTATTCAGATTATTTTTCAATATAGAGGGAACGCTTACTGGACGTCCTCTATGAGATGAGCTTTTTTCATTCTTTCCCTGGTGGGCATCTGCTCGGTGATGCCGCAGTAAGCCCACTCTATTGTGTCAATATATCAGCTTGTGTTTATACAGCTGGAACTGGCGTTATAAATACGGAGATTTCCCTATTGAACTTCATTTCCGTCTTCATCTAGAGGCAAATATGTAACTAGAGAAGGGTCGAAGGGATAGTTTTCACTGCAAGTGCTTTTAACTGTGGGGGAATACTCATCCCCCATCATCGGTATCGAAACCTGGTGAATCTCAGTCTCGCTAACGCGAGGCATCTTATCATTTTATCTTGCGTCTAGCAATTCCAAAGGAGTCTCCAGGTCAATGGTTGGGGGGACCAGATGGCTCACTCGCAATCCGAAACTGCATCAGGCCAGCCTAGCCCAGGAAGCATAAACACGGTAGTTCAGATATAAACAGAAAAAAGAACATTCTTATGATATCCACTATCAAATCTCTCACACAACCGAGGCAATTTCAACCAATCCTCAGCAGTAGGGTATCCAATAGTCCCATCATGGACAGCGGCGCGGGCAAAGCCGGGAATCTCACGAAACAAAACCACAAATATGAACTGTCGCTTTTCAGACCCGGCTCTTAAGTGAGGCAACATTTCTTACGAATGTCAGAGTATACGCTTCTGCCTCACCTGGACTGGAGTCTAATTCTGCAACACCAGAAGGTCCATTCTGGGCATGCCTCGAAGATATTCAATTTGACAGGTCTGGGAAATTGGTCTCATTGTAGAGAGAGATCAAGATCAATCTATTCAGATTGACAAGAAGGGCCCCTGCTCAACCAAATAATCCGAATCTTTTTCATCCTTGGAAGCCGAAGGGCTGGCCAACGGGCTTTCCTAGAGATTCGTGAAATGCAGAAAGCTGAAGTGCAGCCTACTGCCAAACCCTTGATGGTGCATTATGCTGAAAATCGAGTAGTGCCGTTATATAAGTGCCCTGATCAGACTCCTAACAGGGAAAGTTCATCGCTCTGTGCCGTTGATCAAATTGATGATACTCGGCGCGAGTGTAGTACTCAGAATGAATATAAGCCTGACTTCATGGTAGGTGAGGACCATCGTGGAATGCACAGAGCTAATTTATTCCTGATAGATCAAATTTGCCAGCTGCAAATTCCCCCAACACGCCAAGTGCTACGAATACCGACATAGCAAAGACAACCAACCGCCTTCCCAAGATCCACTACTGCTACACCTGCCTGATAGGCTACCACTTCGGCAGCGAACTAATAGAAAAGTATAGAAGCTCATCAGAATGCGACAGGCAGTTAGGACAACTCTCTTCGAGGGTATCCGTCGTCGAACGCGATTCTAGCCGCTCCCCTTGGTAAGAACCTATCACATAAATTCAAAGGCCCCATTCTAATTTGATACAGGTTGCACCAGAGATAAAGCCCGAGATCTCGTATACAGTTTCCGAAAACTGGGTCTCCTGACCAGTAGTCTTGGATGGAAAGCTCAAGGGCAATGATCCCAATTCACGTTCGGGACTAAAGGACCTAGTATACTAACTATGGTTAATGAAGGGCTTAATCCGATGTTGCATATTCAGCAATATATAAGTATCAACAGCAACCCCTAATGGAGTGTGTATGGCCTACTAATAGCTAAGTAGTATGGTTTCCCAGTCTGCGAACCTCCTCCCCTTTTCGGTTCGGGTTTCCCCATTCGGTCCACCTAGGATGGAGGATATGGCTACACCTTCATCTGAATCAAGTAAGAAGCGCAAGAATGGGCAAGAAGTTCTGTTTCAGCAGTTTTATGATGGCGATGATATCCAGCGGAGACGAACCGAAAGTCTAAAAGGGCTAAAAAGATTAAGAGGCTCAGGGAGTTTCAGGGTCAGAAGAAAGGAAAGCGAAGGTTGACAGGAGTGTTTGAGGATTCGGATCTGCTTATTCTTAAAGTATTTTTACGTTACGTGAATGCGTTCTTTTTCGAGTCTGAAACTCCCTATCATGGCAGTGTTTACAGGGCAGTCCACAATCTCAAAATTTGGACTCAGCCTCGGCCAAAGACCGCTCAAGGCGTTTTGCTTTTGTTCATGTATAATTTGAGCCGCTGGACATATCAATTTCATATCTTTGTTATGTTCTCCTTTTCATCTCGCTTGAACAACTCGAGGGCGAAATTCAAAAATATGCTTATGAGCTTAAAAATTAGCTATGATCTACGCACATGGGGACATCAAAGAATAACGCGTTTCAGAACCTTGGTAGGGCTCCAAGCTATTGAGGTGGACTATTGGCAATCATCAGGGGTTAACCGCGACCATTTCACATAGTGGAAACTGTCAAACCAAATCTTTGGGTTCAATAGTGTTTCCAGCTGAGAGTTTCCGGGTGTTTGCGAATGTCAAAACCCGAGTTTCTGTGATTGCTCCTTTACATATTCACAAATTCACACAAGAACACATCCTCGGCATCGCAACCAGTTCACAGGTTGACACCCCTCGGGATGGCAGGCCAAACAGGGAAAGCGTCACCTACCCAACAGGGATATTAATCGACAGTCGGCTAATAGATCTCAGCCAGACCAGGATTATCGCTTTTCCGCTCACGGGCGTCTCGTGGGGCACACACGGGCTGGCGCCATGATCCCCCGATCACGAATCTCCTGGACTATTGACTTGATTGGGAATTGAACACCGTGCCGTGCAAGATAAGACACGATATATGTCCGTGCCTGCGTCTGAAACGTTCATCTCCAGGTCGGCGAGAGTCCGTTCAAGCCAGTCTCCGCAACTAAGAGGCTGTCAACCTGTCAACTCAATCCTGGGACCCATGTCTCAATCTGCTTAATCTGCACCGGTGAGACATGCAAAATTACAGGATGTGAGTTACTATTGGGGCAATGGATGTGCAATGTACAGAGAGTACAACGCTGGCACACATGGACCGCGTCGATCCCTGCCAGTTCCTGTCTGTCCCGTCAGGATTCGACGCGAATACGTCTAGGCACTGCCACCAGGGTTGGATTCGGGATAGATATTTGTCACAGCCCGCACGAGGTGGAGGCGTTTATCTGCATCGCTTGAAGCCACGATCGAGAGCCGAGCTGCCCGACGCGCTGGGTCGATATAAGATCGATTTGCCGATCTGCTCGCGGACGCGACTGTGTGTGATTCACAGTGGAGGAGGCGTCTATCGTAGTGGATGCTCCATAGTTCCTCTATGGAATCCACACGCGGCTGCTAGCTCGCGATTTGAATAGGTGCCTGAACATCCGGAGTACGCACGGAGACGCACGGAGTACAACATGGAGAGAGCAAGATCAAGTATCTTGAATGGACAACTGCGGAGAGAAGTGGGTTTAGACAGAAAAATAATTCCCCGTAGCCCTTGACGAGGGTGGGCGTCGATAGCCTCTATTTAGTGTTGGTTTCTGCACCCCGGTTTCCAGAAGACCTTCACGTGTATTCTTAGGTTCAGGGGTAATCTTCCTACTCGGCTTTAGGAGGAATGACAATTAGGTGCATATTATATCAAATTACAGAGTGTATAGTACGCTACATGTAATATAATCTGTCATAACAACACAAGACACACCCCCCTGAATTAGGGCCTTTCCATGGTTAACCAAGTCAAGTACCATAGTTATACTCACACATCTACATCCTATTGCCCAATTGCCCACTTCATCGTCGATCCCTACTAGCTTCTCTGCCCAGTCCAACTTCTACCGAGATCCACCACAATAAATGAAATCAATGGAAATAAATGAAACACCGTGCCACTCTCTCGCAGCCTATAAGATTTCATCTTCCCTCGAAGCCTACAATCCACAGCTGTGGAACTCCCCCTTTAAGCGTGCCGTGAGTCTAAACCAGTCTTAACTCGCTCTACAAAAACAATCCATACCCTGGTATCCCCAATCTTGATTTCTAACTTCCTCCCCGCCTCCGAGACATCTGGTTACTGTACTTCGGTATGTGAAAGGATCAGGACCACCCCCAATTCCACTACTAACATTTGACTGGTGGAGTAGATCGCCAACTTTTAGAAGCGAATACTGGAACCCACTTAACCCGAGTCCACACGCAGAGCTCAAGAGCTCAAGAGTCTATGCGCTGGAGCAACTAAAAGTGTATCCGATGCTGGCACGAGAACGCTCACCAGTCCATATACCACTGCGCACATCAAGCCGCCAAATGGAGAGCCAGGAAGACCTCGGGATGGACCGCAAGGCTTCCAAAGCCCAGCGGTTCTTCGGCACCGAGCTATCACTCCCCGAACATACACAAACATGGGAGAAGAAACAACGCCGACCGAGCTATAAAACACCGCCCAGCAGTTCCCGCAGTGCCCCAAGGCAGAGCATGGGCTTGACGCCTTTTCCCTCGGAGAATGCGCCCATCCCGGACCAGAACCTGCGCGTGCGGGCTTCGTCGCCTCTGTTGGGCGTGGACTACCGATCGCAAGAGGCCGTGCCGCCGCTCCCCCAAGCCCTCGAAAAAAATCCACCACTCTGGTTCTTCGTCAACGCTATTTTCATACTTCAGCTCCAAGGATTCGTCCAAGTCGGCCAAGACCGAATCACTCCAGCCTAGGGTGCGCAATGGATTGGGTCTTGAGCCGCAAGTGACATTCAGCGAGGCGCCGAATCCACCGAAAGAGTCGAAGCGGAAGATGCGTCCTCCCAGAATTGATCTTTCCGTATTGTTCCCAAAGCCTCGGAATACCAGTGCGCCTGGTGGTCTGTTGTCTCCACAACGCATGACCAACTCCCCTTCCCCTGTTTCAACTGTGGTGTCGGAGTTCCCTCCCAATCCTCCCCATATGCCCATTTCTATTCCCAGCAAGGCGGAAAGGACTACCGGCCATTCGAGCAAGAGATATTCGGAAGCACCGCCTCGTCGATCATCCCTTCAAAAGCACGAGCCCCACAAGAGCGAGTCATCTAAAAAGCTCGTTGACAGTTCGGATCTGCCATCTATCGCTGAGACCAAAAACAGCGAGTGGTATGACCAGCCGCTGGAGCGCACGGTAGGAACAAGCGAGATCGATCTGGCCCTGGACAGATACGCAGGCCGGCGCTCGCTCTTCAGTCGCTCCAGTGTATATTCCAACAGCCGAGAGAATCTGCCATTAGAACGGCAACGGACCCCGGAGTCTAAACCGCCCCCAAGGCGCGCTCAAAGCCCCTCTACCAGGGCTAAGGATATGTATCTGAGCCCGACTGCTCGCCCAGAGACGGTTCGTCCTCGCGGCATGAGTGCCTCGCAGGAATCCTGGAAGACCAAGAAGAGCGAAAAGAGCTCGACATCTAAGAAAAGCAACAAGAGCACCCTGAAGAACAAGGATCTGCAAAACTCCAGTGTTCTTTGCCTTTCCTCTTCATCCGAGGACGAGGATGAAGAAATTACTCCCACTGAGCCGAAGCGCAGTGGAAGGAAGAACTACAGGGACAGTGTCGCTACCTTTGACGATGATGAACCTGAGATCTTCACAGCTTCTACAGCAAAGGCGACCACAGCCACAACTCCCACTCTACGCCGCTTTGATCGGCAGCCATCAACCGGCAGTCTCAAATCCCAACCTGAAAAGAGTCAGCCGGCTCCAGCGCGTCGCAAGGCTTCTCATTCCTCTACAGGGAAGTCTTCCACCGGCAAGTCTTCACAGGCAACCCGTCACACTACTCAAACTCGTCGCTCGAGTGGGGTTCCCACCATTGAGGCAGACCTTCTCGCACAGTTCCCCCAGCAGCCTCTTCGCTCCCCTGCAGAGTTGAAGGAACTGAACCGGAGAAGTCGTGTCATTGCTGTGACCCGGCAAGAACAGGACCTCCTCGAGGCCATGCGTGTTCGAAAGGGCAAAGTCACACCGAGTCTCTTCAACTATGGAAACCTCCCCGAAGCAGACCGACGCTCAATCCTCTCAGGTCCCTCGCGCGATTCCTTCTGTGGATCTGATACCTCCTTCCTACGTCTCAGCAACGTTTTCCCGCCATTCAATACTCCCTCAGTGAAAGGTGCAGCCCACTTGGACAATGATGGCACACCCTCCCAAAGCTCAGGCTCTGATACTGAACAGAAAACCGGTAACTCAGTTGCCTCCCCGGGCTTCAGTGCCAATTACTCCGAGAGCCTGCCCTCTCCCGCCACTAGCGGTGCCTCGCCGCTCACTCCCACCCTCCCCATCCATCGCTTCTCGCCGCTTCCGTCCCCCAAGCCGCCCCCGAGGGGACCCCCGCCTGCCATCCCCGAAGATCAAAAGCGACACTCCCGCCGCCGCACTGATAGCAGCGAAGCTATCATGCTGGAAGAGAGCTGTGACCCGAAGAGCAACGGGGGTCTTCCTCTCTGGTCGTTCAACTTCGATTGGGACCAGGAGCGCGCCGGCATTGCTACCGTGCACTGAATCATGGCCGGCCTGGAATCATTCCTCGACATTCACTCAAACTATCTTTCCTATTCTTACCCTTCACTCTCTGTATACCTTCACGTCTTCAAGCATCCCTCTACAATCTTTCTCAGCGATTTTCTTGTCTCATTTGCACCCCAGGTTCTTCATCTCGGACTTTATCATCTACATAGACTTCCTGTCTTCTCCTTACACTATTTCCATGACCTTCTCACTCATGTCTTCCTATCGTGTTTCCTTTGAATTAGCGTCCAACAGGTTTCAAAAACCAGCTTTCATGTTTCACCTGGGTGGTTTCCGCACCCAAAATTCATGTCTTTATATCTCACCATAATACTCCTCAATTGATCAGCCCTCGTTCGCAACTGATCTCCGATCTCCGGTTCTCCACGTAGACCCATAGAAATACGCTCCAGCTGGACCGGTGTTGCACAGGGGATGTACCAGTTGACAGAGTGTGGCTGATATGCAACAGCAAGCCCAATCAGACGGTGGCTGGCTGGGCTACTGCCGACTGGACCAACTCGCAATGCAGCAACTAGGCTGTACAGTAGACAAAAATCATACATGCACTTCTTCGCAGATGGAAATATACGAGAATACCGACGAATGACAAGCTCTCAACACTGAGGGGGCAAGGAGACGTGGGCCCGGTGGCAGGCCTTGACGTCACATAAGGCCGTAGGGGCTGGGGGTCAAACAAAGACTACATTTGAAGAATGCCTAAAGGAAACTAGCGAATCTTGCCTGCCCAAGCCGAACATCTTGCTAAGTACAAGTAACAGGAGAGACCTCAAGTTCGACTCTTGGTCTGGACCCGTGACCCACACCGCCCATTCTCTATACAACCCCGGATTGCGACTTGGCTGTGTTATTGCGACCTTTCTCTTCACTTTCCAAGTATTGACTGCCTATTCTCTCCTTTCTTCGCTTCCGTGATCGTCCTCGGGAGCCCTGACATCAGGCCCTAAGGAAGATCTCCAAAACAAGCCCCTGGTTCGCAGATCGGCCACAGCTTGCCCCCATACCTTTTTTTTCCCCAGTTCCCTCCTTCTTCTAGCCACTAGTCTCACTTTCGCGTCCTACCTGGGAATTATCTACCCCCTTTCCCTGCGGAATCTCCTTCGCCACGGTTTATAGCTCCGGAACACGCGATCGCGATCGAAGATCTTCGTCATGGCGGATCGCGCTCAACGTCAGCCCTCTGGGCTGCGGGCTGTAGCTAATAACGCACCGTGGGTTCTGGTACGAGTTATCTGCTGGCATCACATCAGTGCTGGCATGTGTCTGTGTTTGCTGCTAACCTGTTCTCCTTATAGCTGACCGCGGAGTCTACTGCGTTTGTGCTGGTAAGTGGTTTGTTTGCGCGCCGACGACATTCTCGCGATCGTATCGATGACTGACCTCTGCTTCCAAACTACAGCTTGCCCATTATTCTCGAGTTATGCCCCCCGCCGGCGGGAAACGCTACCTTACATCTACGGCCGTCTTCCTAGTCGAAGTTGTCAAGCTGGCCATCTCCCTCACAATGGCCCTCTATAACGTTTCGAAAACCGCTCCTCCCTCCATGCCCGCCACCTCCCTTTTCTTCTCTCTCACAAGCGCGGTATTCTCCGGCGATAGCTGGAAAATGGCTATCCCGGCTGGTCTAGACGTCTTGTCTAATTCGCTTCTCTACATTGCGCTGTCGAACCTGCGCGCTGCGACGTTCCAGGTTACTTTCCAGCTGAAATTCTTTACAACGGCCATCTTCGGTCTGATGCTTGTGAGACGGAGTATTACAGCCCGGAAGTGGGGCCTGCTCCTGTTGCTCGTGGTCGGCGTGGCGTTGGTGCAGATCCCCGATGCAAGCACTGAGCAGATGCTGCAGGATGACCATGCGAACCACTATTTCCCTCGTTCGCTGGAGGAGTGGAAGGCTGTCAAGCAAGGCTCCGGCTCTGGCAACTCTGGCAGTAGTCTACACAAGCGGTCTGCCACGTACGAGGGTATCGAAGAGGATATCCTTACTGCTGACCCGCATCTGAACTCGACTATTGGCCTCCTTGCAACTATCGGTGCAGCTTTGGCTTCTGGGCTGGCTAGTACTTACTTTGAGAAAGTGCTCAAGGACAGCTCGAGCCATATCTCGTTGTGGGTTCGCAATGTGCAGCTGGCTGTTTACTCTATCTTCCCTGCTCTCTTCATTGGAATTGTTTTCCGTGATGGCGAGAAAATTGCCGAAGATGGCTTCTTCCAGGGTTACAATTGGGCGGTGTGGTCTACCATCGCTATCCAGGCTCTTGGTGGCATTTTCTCAGCCTTTTACGTCAGCCATGCGCAGAAGGATGCAAGGAGTTTGGCGACAACCGTCAATATTATCCTGAGCATTATCGGGAGTGTTTGGTTCTTTGAATTTGAGCTTACTGCAAGCGTATGTCCCTTACCTGTTCGGTTCCTTGGTTTGCAAGGCCTCACATATGACTTTCAAATACTGACTGAATTAGTTTCTCCTGGGCTCGGCTGCAGTGCTGGTAGCAACCCACTACTACGGCAACCCAAGCTTCACTCCCACAGTCGGCGGCTCTCGCCCGCCTCCAATTCGTGTCGACACGTACGAAAAGGACGTCGGAGAACCCGACGGCTCCCCTGTCGTTCCCACATCCAACGAATTTTCTATCAAACTTCCAACCACTCCATTCCTATCAGACGGTGTGTCATCATCTCGTCCGACTTCCCCAGCGCCAGGCCACGCTAGGTTAAGCTCTAGCCGGAATGTAAGTACAAGCAGCTATTTCGACGAGAAATAATTGCCATTGCAAACAATACATTACTGGTCTGGGATCAGCTTGACATGTTCTCTTTACGGGAAATGATATTGGATGCCGATAGAAGCAGAAACAAATGCGGTGTTCGTTGAATTGCCACAAATCAACACTTTGTAACATTCTTTGGTGCTCGGTACTGGCCCTCCATGTTGGAGTTGGCCGCTTGCTCTTTGCTAGCCTCTTGCATGTCCATTCGCCGTCCGGGATCTCCATCTTTTTCTCGGTTTGGCTCATATATGCATATATACGAAGCAATGAAATTCTTTCATATACCCCAAATCATTTACCGTGTCTGCTAGTCTTGCAATAGTTACTTAGTCCCGGTACGTAACATGAGATTGGGTGTCCACGTGCTATCACATGGTCACCTCCCACGGACCAGCCGTACAGCCCTACCACCGTAGTTCAACTCACTTCATCACACTTACTCTCAATTGGCCAAAATAGAGGCATCATGCGAAGGTATCATCAATCACAGCCTTTCAAACCCTTCCATATCTCCTCCCAACGGGTCCCAGCTATACCATATCAATCCTGCCCATACCAGAGTAGAGCAGAAGCTATCGACCAAAGACTCGTCGAAGGCTCGCAGCAACAACGACACAGCAGTCCATCGCCACAACGGCCTTTCAGTACTCTGGCACCCTCTCTCCAGAATGAAGATCCGGGATTGGATGCTTTTGGTAGGTCTTCCATCCCAAACCCATAACATCTGCTGATGGACTAGATCTGGAATTACTAGCTCAGAACGACGGAGAGATGGCGAATAATGATGCAAATCTAGGTTCCCTTCAGTTGACTTTCCAGTGTGGATCTCAGCCGGAGAATATCTCTCGCTTCTTTCAGCGTGAGTTGGGTTGATTTGACTACGGATTGATTTGCGGTGTTGCGTGAGATGTTAACACGCAATAGCGAGTTCTAGTATGACTCCTTACAGCGGCGAGGCGTCTACTTCGTCGGATCATGGTCCCAAAATACCGCTCAGCCCATTGGCATTCGTTCGTCAGAGGACGGAGGTGAGGCAGATGGAACAAAGGGATCTTGAGATGAATCGGGGTTTATACCATGTGGAGGCCACACAATCCTCGCCCCAGTATTTGGCTACCCATCCGAGTCCTGGGGTGATGACTGGAAACCGGCGACAAGGACCTTTCATTCATATCCCGCCGTCCGTTCGGGGCATTGTACTCGTTTCCGTTAACGATCTACCGGAGAATTATCGCTCGATGTTCCCTTTTCCATTGTTCAACACCATCCAGTCCAAATCCTTCCACGCTGTCTACAACAGTAACGACAACATCGTTCTGTCTGCCCCAACGGGCAGTGGCAAGACAGTGATCATGGAACTGGCCATCTGCAGACTCCTCAATACTTTGAAAGACGAATGCTTCAAAGTTGTCTACCAAGCACCCACAAAATCCCTCTGCGCCGAAAGATTCAGAGACTGGTACTCGAAGTTCTCAACCCTGAACCTCAATTGCGCAGAGCTAACCGGTGACACGGATCACATGCAACTGCGCGCTGTGCAAAGCAGCCAGATAATCATCACAACACCAGAGAAGTGGGATAGCATGACGCGGAAATGGAAAGATTACGGGAAGTTAATGCAACTCGTGAAACTATTCCTCATTGATGAAGTGCACATTCTCAAAGAAACTCGTGGCGCAACTCTCGAGGCGGTCGTATCCCGCATGAAAAATATCGGATCGAATGTTCGCTTCGTCGCGCTTAGTGCTACTGTTCCCAATTCTGAGGATATAGCTACTTGGCTTGGGAAGGATGCCACGAATCAACATATTCCTGCGCACAGAGAGCATTTCGGGGAGGAGTTCCGTCCTGTGAAGCTCAAGAAGGTTGTTTATGGGTATCAGTCTACTCTGAATGACTTTGCTTTTGACAAAGTCTGTGGTTCGAAGTATGTATCCCTTTCTTCCTGGACTTGCTGCTTAGCGGGGTATTGACGAGGTTTTGAAAGGTTGCCAGAGGTCATTGGGATGCATTCGAGCCAGAAACCCATTATGATTTTCTGTTGTACTCGCAACTCATCTCTTTCGACGGCGAAGGAGCTGGCTCGTCTTTGGACGATGACGAACCCGCCAGCTAGGCTTTGGAAGGGACCTGTGAGACCCCTCGATACTCATAACGATGACCTAAAGAGTATTTATTCCGTTCGTTTAACCCTTCTGATTCGGTTCTAATGGCAAATAGCAACCATCGCCGCGGGTGTCGCATTCCACCACGCCGGCTTAGGACCCGCAGACCGCCACACAGTCGAAGCAGGCTTTAGAGATGGACACATCAGCGTGATATGTTGCACATCAACCCTCGCAGTGGGCGTCAATTTACCATGCCACCTGGTGATAATCAAAAACACCGTCAGCTGGCAAGAAGGCGGCTGCAAGGAGTATTCTGATCTAGAGATGATGCAAATGCTGGGCCGCGCAGGACGGCCTCAATTTGACGACAGTGCAACGGCGGTTATCCTCACTCGAAAGGAACGGGTGAACCACTACGAGAAACTCGTTTCTGGGTCGGAAAGTTTGGAAAGCTGTCTGCATTTGAATTTGATTGATCATCTCAATGCTGAAATTGGGCTGGGGAATATCTCTGATATTGATTCTGCTATCAAGTGGCTTGCTGGGACTTTTCTGTTTGTTCGACTTCGGCGCAATCCTACTCATTTCAAGCTGAAAGAGGGTGCGAATCAGGAGGATGAGGATGAGCTCTTACGACAGATTTGCAAGAAGGATATTCATCTCCTGAGGGAGGTTGGGCTTATTGAGGCTGATAGCCTTTGCTCGACTCAATTTGGCAATGCCATGGCTCGGTACTACATTCGCTTTGAGACGATGAAGGTCTTGTTGTCATTGAAGCCACAAGCAACACTATCAGAGACCGTGAGATTCATCGCTCCCATGAAACTACCTTCATGCTAACAATGATAATATAGCTCACCGTGATCTCCCAAGGCGACGAATTCCGTGAAGTCCGCCTGAAAGGAGGCGAAAAGTCCCTGTACCGCGAAATCAACCGTGATCCCGGCATCCGATTTCCCATAAAAGTCGATATAGCACTCCCATGCCACAAAACCTCCCTCCTCTTGCAATCCGAACTCGGGGCAATCGATTACCCAGACAGCGATCAACTTCAAAAACACAAATTCACCTTCAATCAAGACAAAACCCTCGTCTTCGCCCATGTCAACCGACTTGTCCGCTGTTTAATCGACTGCCAAATCGCGCGTGGAGATTCAGTTGCTATCCTCAACGCCATGGAACTTGCTCGAAGCTTCGGTGCTAAGGTCTGGGATCACTCCCCTCTCCAGATGAAGCAGATTGAACAAGTTGGTGTCGTGGCTGTTCGGAAATTCGCTGCTGCTGGTATTACCAGCCTTGAAACTCTGGAAGAAACGGAGGCTTATCGGATTGATATGATCTTGAGTAAGAATCCGCCTTTCGGGGCGAAGTTGTTATCGAGATTGAAGGGGTTTCCTAAGTTGAGGGTTGCGGTGAGGATGCTGGGGAAGGTTTGTGGATAATTGCATATCTGGTTCACTTTTGCTGATCATTGATACAGGAAGTCAAGAATGGGGGTGTGACTCTCCGATTCAAGGTCGAAGTTGCTTTTATGAATGAAAAGATTCCGACATTCTTTCAGCGCCGGTCTGTTTATGTGTGCTGTTTGACCGAGACGTCTGACGGCCGCATGGTTGATTTTCGACGGACTTGTGCGAGAAAGCTCCAGGAGCGCTTGGAGATTGATCTTTCTGCGGAGTTGATGAGTGCTGAGCAGTTTGTTGTTTGTCATGTCATGTGCGATGGCATTGGTAAGTATTTTTTTTACCGTATCCTGACCTGTGGCTAACAGTGAAAAGCTGGAACGGGGAGGATGGCTGAGCTCAAACCCCAGCTTTCGCCTTCGTTATTTGCTCCTGTGCGAGAAGGGTCTCCGACTCCCGTTCATGCTCGTCGCCCAACGGAAAACATCCGTAGGATAGTTGGTACCAACACTTCGAGACCTCGCCAAGTTGCGAAAAATCTTGCCCAAGGGCAGGCCACTCGTTCAAATGGCCCCGTCTTGATAAATGATACTCCCAAACCCCATCGAGACTTGGACGATCTCGACTTCGATGGCGACGATCTACAGCTGGATGATTTCCTGGTCGTCAATGGCCGCACAACCAAACTCAAACATCATTCCAAGCCAATGTTTCAGCCAAATGATGAGATTGACTGGTTCTCGATTGATACCACCCCAAGTCCGTCCCATCGGGGAAAGAAGGCTTCAAACTCTCGAGAAGATGGATGGGCCCCAGAAACGGGCGAACAAGAAGACGAGAGCCCTGAGCCAATCCGACTTGCCAATGGAAAGTGGGCTTGCAATCACAGGTGTAAAGACAAAACAAGGTTTGCAAGATTCATTGCTTTATTCAAGATCAGACTGACTGTCCCAGTTGCAAGCACTTTTGCTGCCGAGATGGCTTGGACAAGCCTCCAAAGCCAGCGAAAAAGCGGACTATTCCTGCGAACCCAAAGGAGAGTGTTCTCAATCAATTGACGATTTCTGACAGTAACACAAAAGTCACTCCCTTAAACAATGCGCGTACGGGAAGCCAAGTGGCAAAGCAACGGAATGGCCAATCCAAGAAAGCTGACAATCTCTCAAAGGCAAAGAGCTTGACATCCCAGGTCGGAAAGAAAGCTTCAATCCAAGGAAAGTTCGCTCTATCAGACAGAAGCAGAAGTATGTTTTCAAACAAGACCAAGCGAGTGTTGAGCCCAATGAGAATCCATTCGAGTGACTATGGTGACGACGACTTCAGCGATCTTATCTCTCCGTCCTCCCTCCTAGGAGAACCAGGTAACAGCTTTGCAAGACCAGACTCGCCAATGACAGAACCACAAACACAAAATGCTTTCACGGCTATGAATTCCAGACCAAAGAAGCATTCAATAAGTTCAGCACCGTCTGCTCCCCAGGCTGAGTCGTCCTCTCTTGGAAGCCAAACCAAACCATCAAGCCCCCAGACTCAACACGAGGTAATCGAAATTCAGGATGACACATCCCCGGAATCTGTGAAGCGAGCAGTCTCAAAACACAGGAAACTTGCGAAGCAAAGCACACTCCCAGTCACAATGGAAAGGAATTCGGCACGCAACCTGAAACGAAAGGCAAGTCAAACTGAGCCCAAGGACGAAGAAAGCCAAGGCGACTCCAGGCGACACTCTTCTATCTCCTCTTTTCTGATGCAGCCTTTGAAATACATGGGTGTTCGAACACCACACCCACCACAGAAGGATGCGCCTTCTTTCCCCATGGATGAAGCTGACATGGCGCTCCCTGCTGAATGGCATGATGATGATACTTCTGATTTGCCTGATATCTTCAATGATATCATTGATTTTGACTAGGTGATGGATTAATTGTTCTTTTTATCTTCCTTGCTTCATTCTCAGGGGAAGTTTTACGTTGTTGTATGAGTTACGGGTAGGCTTCCATCTCTATATATTACTTACTGGGACTGTATGTCTTTGCCTTGTTATATTTGATTTGCATCTCGAATGGTTGGCATGCGATAATGTTAGTATATCATAGACATGAGTTAGATATGTAGGCATCTGTTAATCGAACTGGATACCTTTTTTGCGTTCTTGTTGATATCTCTTCGGTCTGGTACTGACCGAAGACCTGGAGTCTTGCAGCAATTGGCTCATGTTATTTGGACCTGGGCTTGGGTGGGTATGTTCTGTGGTCGCTGTTGATTCCGATTCCTGAATCTTCGTCGTCGTCGCCGTCTTGGTCGTCACTATCAGGATCCTCTGAATGCACAGCGTAAAGCTCAGAAGGAATCCCATTTTGGCCTGGATCAAAATGAAGCTCACTGCTGAGGTAGGCCTCAACGAGAGTCTCCATGCCGGCAGGTCTATCTTCACTAAAGTCAAGTCTCTTGAGCATATAGCAATTCTCGAAAAAGTCTAGGGAAATCTTCCACTTAACCAGCTGATCAGCCGTAACAACCTCAATCAGATTTTCTGACAAATCAAGTTCGCGCAGGTCTTCCGAGCTAAGTCGGATTGCCTCTGCGAGCTTTGACAAAGACTCAACTGTGAGGCAGTTGCCCTGGATGTGCAATTCAACTAACCGGCTGAAGCCATGGAAATTTTCAAAGCCTACATAGCTGCGACTCTGAATAGAGACATCTATGATGTCGTCGAGATCGCTATGTGTTCGTGGTCACTGACATGAATCGCAACTGTGGGATCTCGGGCAGATTTGTCGGCCCTTGTTCCTCCTGGGAGTCATCTTCTCTATAAAAGATTTAGCAATGATTAGAATTACTTGGACTTAAAGGTTCATAACAGATCTCTGGAGACTACGCCGGCAAGTTCGCTGCCCATCGTCGTACGCTGTAAATCGTTTGGTTTCGTATACATGTTGAGTGCGGGTATGTACGGAAGAATAATTCATGCGAGTCATGATTGAGATAGCTCAGTGTGTTGATAATGAGTTTGGTTCTGCGGCGGCTGAATGAAACTGGTAAATGCTGAGGTATTCGATATCTTAATGAAATCTGATTTGTGTCTACAATATCCCCAAACTGCATGAACCCTTTTGTACCTGAGTAGCCCTGCTATCAAATTTATAGTTACGTCCTCTCACGTCCCCTAATAAGGTCCAAAAGAAAATGTCCCAAGGTATATGCACCATGGACGGGGTCAAGGTGAGCTAGGCTAAGATGTCGAAGAAAGATCACAATGCCCATCATCTTGCATCGGGAGTATCAAACATAGTAAAAGAATCCAGATTGGACATGTCCCTTTGCTTTTGAGACCATTGGACCGATATGAGACACGAGCAAGGAAATAGTTCGTCTCGTATTTGGAGCCTTTCAACGACTGAAAGACATGAGTGGCAAGAAAGAAATCTTATTATCGATAGTGTTCTAACATAGCTAGATGCTCAGTCTCTTGTATATTATCAATATAATTATGTATCCCTTTCTCTGTCGGTATATCTTATGAACAACTACCACTGCAAAATCCCTCGGGTAGTCAGCCCTAGACCTAGATAATTGACATTAAATACGATGAAAGATCTCAACTAATGATGATAATGCAATGAAATAAATTGAAGCGGTATAGTACAGTACATTGAATCCGACATGCAACACCAAGACGGAGCATCAAACGAGATATGATGACAAGGAATACCAATCAGGCACCTCCAATACAGATATAAAACAAGCCCAATTAACTGGGTATGAAGCACCAAGTCAAGAGAAAAGAAGAAGCCTACTCCATCTCCATCCTCTCTCTAACAAGCTTCTTAATCTTTCCAACACGCTCCTGGCCCCCGTGATACTCGCGAATCAATTGAGCCGTGGACAGCCCCTCAAAAGCAGCCTCATCAACAGCCTCGCCCCTCTGAACCGCCATCTCCAAAGCCTCAGCCCTGAGATTAACCTCGCGACCCAGAACCCTCCCCTCGCGTCGTACATACTTCTCGGCCCAGCGCGCCTCCCGCTCAGCATCACGCTCAGCGCGGGACATCACAGCCGGCCGCTCAGAAATAGCACTACCGAACGGTGTGATGATGCGCTCGACGACGTGGTGGACGTTTTTGCTCTTCGGCGCGCCGGACGAGAACTCGATTACGTCGCCGTCGCGGAGGCTGTTGCGCGGGTCCGAGACTAGGTAGCTCGTTTCCTTGGGGTAGTACTTGCCGATGTGGCGGTCGTAGGTGTTGTGTCTGTGGCAGACGCGGACGGTGCGGTCCATTCGGCCGACGGAGACTACTGTGCCTGTCTTCAGGACTGAGGCGTAGGCGCGCAGGCGGGGTGGCAGGGTTAGGGTGTCTGGGGTGTTTGTCGGTTTGGGTTGTGTGCTGGTTGTCTTTTGGCGGGTGATAGTTGTGATTTGGGGAGTTTGGAGGAGGGTTGGGCGTGTCACGGACAGTGGTGTCATTGTTCGGAGTGGCATCGCGGCCCGGAGGAAATGGTTTGGTGCCATTGTGTTTGGCTGGGTGCCTAGTGGCTGCTCCCTTGGTGGATTTGGGTTGGATTGGGAAGGGACTTTGAGCTAGGGAGGCGGATCGCTCGGAATTGGTTGTGGTGGTGATGGTACTCTCCCAATGGCTGTGAGCTTGAGGTGTTTGAAGTTGAGATTTCGAGAATTTCTCGGGGAAGCATGTTTGCACTGTTTGCATCGTAGTATATAGATCTGATCTCCGAATACGTACGCTGTGCAGTACTTAGATTAACAGAGCCAATTGGATTGTGAATTGTTCTATTTGGATATCTATCTATTCTTTTGTTGGCTTTGGCCCGAAGTCGATGAAACGTGAATTTCATGGGCTGTTCCTATGTCCTCCAAGTTCTCTACGCGTCAACACGCCTCGAACATGTCCTACAAAGCAAACATGAATCTCCGCGTAAAGTACTGGATTAATTGGCCAGTGGCCGAGGAATACACAATTGAATTCAAGACCAACATGACGTTGCAGCCGCCTGTCCAAATACTGCAAGTCTCAGCCCCATGGGTAACGCCCAGCTGAGGAAATGTTGGACGCATCTTGGATGGTCTTGATCACGCTTGAAGGGGGTTTGAGTCTATGAAGGTAGTAGACCGCTACCATAAACCATGCAAATCTCTTTCCGATCTACAGCAGTGTCCATAAGGGTTTCAACGCACACCTCTAGTCATCCAGATGATCAACCTAAGGCACTCGAAAATGGCCACAGAAGAAATGAGAAAAGAAAAGAGAGGCCAACTTCAGGCACAAACAATGTAACAAATAGATGTGCTTGAACAGAAATTGTCTGATGCTTTATGGCAGTGTCAACAGATTTCTGGCCCCGGTTTTAGTATACAAGGAATGATACACTACACCAAACCAAAGCCGAAGGGGGGCGGAAAAAAGAGGAGTAGAGAACTTCAAATGCATACAAGTGTAGTCTAAACCGAATAACGTGGACTATATCTGCAATTATTCCTAGAGACCCAACACAGAGCCGAAAACCCCACGCATCCAGAAAAAAAAGGCAACAAGAAAGAATAAAAGGAGTTACGAACTCCAAGAAAATAGCATTCGCCTCATCCATGTTCGTGAGTGTCTAAAAGGGGTTTATCCGGAAGGCCCGTTCAGATGGCCAGAAACCGGTACTGGCACAGAGAAAGATGAACTATTACGTGGCTTTGTTGACAATGCCCTCGCCTTGTGCTCTCTTGACTTGGAATTTGTCGGCGGAGTGGGCTGAGATGCGGGTGAGTTCGGTGACGAAGGATTGGCCCCAGAAGGCACTGTGGATGTTAGTCTATATTAAAATACTAAGACTGGCTGAACAACTCACCTGGTGTACTTGGACACGTATCTGTCCAGCTTGGCGAAATTGAGTGCTCGCTGTTCGTCACTCATGGTCACGGCTTCTTGGTAGGCACCTGCGAGTTCTTCCGTGTTCCAAGGGTTGACAATGATGCTGCCGTTCAGACTTTGGGCTGCACCGGCGAACTCGGAAAGGACCAGGACGCCATGGCGCTTTTGTTGTGTGGCGATGTATTCGTAGGCCACCAGATTCATGCCGTCGCGAGTTGACGAGACGATACAGGCATCTGATACGGCGTAGAGGGCAATAAGTTCGTCGAAGTTGACGGACTTGTGCAGGAAGTGAATAGGTTGGAATTCGACCGTGCCTGGTTCAATTAGTGATTGCTCAAGCTGAAATCGAGAGAGGACTCACCGAACTTTCCGTTGATCCGACCAACCAATTCATTTACCACGGCTCTCAGATTCTGGTATTCCTCGACATCTTGTCGACTGGGAACAGCAACTTGTACTAGAACAACCTTTCCAACCCATTCTGGGTGGTCGCTGAGGAATACCTCGAGGGCATGCAGCTTCTGGGGTACACCCTTGATGTAATCAAGACGGTCAACACCGACCATCAACTTGACGCCCTGGAACTTCTGTTCGAGAGTAGCGATGCGCTTCTGGACCTTCTCTTTCTTCAATCCTTCTTTGAACTTCTCGGGGTCAATACCAATGGGAAATGCTCCGCATGTGATGATCTTGCCCTGGAATTCAATCCCGTTAGGTGTAGTTGCAAGACCACTAGCTCTGTTAGTGACAGCCTCCAAAAATCCGAGAGAGTAAGCTTACAGTAAACGCGAACAACTGCTCAAGAAATGACGGGTGTAGTCGTAAGTGTGGAAACCGATAAGATCGCAATGCAAAACGCCCAAAAGCAATTCATTGCGCACGGGCAGAATTCGATAGATTTCACTGCTAGGGAACGGAGTATGCAAGAAGAAGCCGATTTTAACATTCTTCTTGCTGTTACCGATCTCTTCGCGCAGCATCTCAGGAAGCAGCATCAAGTGGTAATCGTGCACCCAGATCAGATCGCCATCCTCCACTTCCTTGGAGATAGCCTTTGCGAACAGACGATTGGCTTCTTTGTATGCCTCCCAGGCAGATTCGTCGAAGGTGATTTCACCGGGGTGGTAGTGGAATAGCGGCCAAAGAATGGAGTCTATGTAAAGTTGGAAGATCAGCATGTCTGCGGCTAGCTCTGCGGGGAACAGCTACTCACTTGAGAACCCATTGTAGTGGCGGTCTGCCAGCTCATCGTCAATGAAGACGGGTACAGCGCCGTATTCTTCCTTCAGACGCTGTTTTACCACTGGGATCTCAGGCTCGGGGACCTCCAGACCAGGCCAGCCGTACCACTGGAAAGTGGTGGATTTGGATAAACCGCTCAACCCGCTGACCAGGCCTCCGGAGGACATGGAGAAATCGTACTTTCCATCTTCGGATCGCTTGATGGTGATCGGTAGGCGGTTGGAGACGAGAAGTAGACGAGCCTCACTCTGCTTCGGTTCTTCCTCATTGGAAGCCATGACGGGAAATTGGAGAACGGAACGCGGATACGAAGAGATGAGTCGAAGAACAGGTGCCAAGTCAGGCGAGGCTGGACTCCTGGATGAAGAACAAAACCTTCAGACAAGAAGAAAGACCAGGCAACCAAACTCCATTCAAAAAAGTCTTGGAGGGGAAAGGCGGAAAGTCAGCAAGGGCGGGGAGCCGAGTGAGGTCACCCCGAACAAACTTGGAAATGCGGTGGAGTTCTTCAATAGCGATCACATTAGGCAAAGCAGGGAATAGAGAGAAGAGATGAATTTATATGATACGGTCTGGAGGGTCTCTTCTTTCTAACAGGGCAAATCAGCCCAACCACTCACAGGTCACCTGCTTTTCCAATGACCGCGCGCTGACGTCGCTGGGCTTACGTAACGCGATCTATAAAATATAGCCACCGATACAGATATCGATATAAGGGGACATATGTATGGATAAACAGCTAATATCATATCAAATATGATAAAGTCAGAGTGAAATTGCCCATTTCTGGCCAGAGTAACCTTCTCTCCTACAAATATAGAGTGGCCAAACATCATGATTCAGAGGCTTAAACCCAAAATTCTAGAACCAAAACTACACTATGTAACCCATACGTACTAAGTTATAGCCATGAATTCACGAATCCCCGAGCACAATATCAAACTCTACAAAGCAGACCTCTCACTCAACCTCCAACCCCCATTCCCATCATCAACAACTCTCCCCTCCCCCTCTAACTTCCCAAGAACCTGCAACACGCCCCCAGATGCAGGCAAGTGCAAACTCTCAGGAACATCCCGGTAAATAACCTTCACAAGCTCAATTGGCGTCCAGGCCTTCTTCCAATCATTCTCACCCTCACCCCCACTCCCACTCTCTCCATCCGAAACATCAAGTTTGCCATACCGTAACACACGCAATACCTCATCTTCCCGCTGTTGCCGATGCTTGATATACTCTCCAATACGCGAACCGGTATTTTCAAGGATAGCTCCATGTCCTGGATACCCACGTCCTGTAGAGACGCGCTCGCGCATGCGGTGTAGACTTGATAGGTAAGTTTTGAGATCCTGGAAGACGGCTGTGCCGTGGCCAAGGACGTCTATACTTGTTAGATTGTATGTTTCAGTAGATACCATATACACATATGCATATGTATACGGATTGGTGATTGGACACTTACTATCACCAGTAAACATAGCCCCCTCCTCCTCAAACAAGAAAACCATATGGTCAGTCGTGTGGCCCGGCGTATGAATCGCCCTCAGGGTAATACCTTCAACAGAGAAGACCTGGCCGTCGGTAATATCATTTTGGTCGGTGTCAGGGTCATTTTTGAAGATTTGTGTATTTGGGCAGATCTTTTGTAGGTCTGGGAGGCCGTTTACGTGGTCGTGATGCCAGTGTGTTAGGAGGGTTTGGGTAATTGTGGCTTTTTCTGTTGTTAGGAGGTTTTGCAGGGTTGCGGCCCAGCTTGGTTTGCCTTCGCCCGTGTCGATTAAGATTCTTTGAGGGCCGTGGCCTAGGAGGTACGTGTTTGTTCCTGTATTTTGTTAGGGTTGAACTGCAGGGGTGGATTGATTGGTGCTGGTTGGTACCTTGGAGTGTGAACTGTAGGCTCGGTTAGCTTGGGCTAAGTGGTCTATGTATAAAAATCTACTCACCTTTCCCGGGTTGCCACCTAGGATTCGAATTACCGAGGCGCTGAGTCGCTCCACTTCAGGGAGCTGGACGAGTTGTGTGGCCATGTTTGATATGAACTGGTGCCAGTAAGCCCTGGTCAAGTGGCAAGTAACAGTGACCAATCAGTGATCGGTTATTATTCAAGATGGCAAAGCTCTGGCGTGACGTTAACAGAGCTGTCGGGACAAGGCACTACTAGTACATCGACACAAATTCTTCCGATGACTCTGTGGTTTTATATGAGTTGCTATATGAGTTGCAACGCGGGGTGCGATGGGCCTCGGCAGCTTATCTCAGCTCCGAGGTGCATAATTTGGCCGCATATATCGTTATGTACGGGTCAACGGACTTGAAGTTACAGTTTAAAGGTTACAAGAGTAGTTACGTTGCCATGAGTGAACAGAAAATTGTGTTGTATGCCATTCCTAACATACAAAAACTGAAATCAGAGTATATCCATTGAACCCACCCAAATATCGGGAATCAACGCAGAAAACACAGGATCATTCATAATTTTTCCCAGAGCGCAACTCCTCATACCCTGCTCGGAAAGGGACACGCGCACCACAGACAATCCATTATAATGGGCCGCCGCGTCACACCGTGTTTCTCAAAGCATGTATCTGAATCGTTCAACACACAAGAGAAACGTAGTTTACACAGGTACCGGGGTTATAACCGAGGTACCTGAAGGTTTTAATTGTTGAGTCATGAAAGAGGAAACCATTTAAGCCTTGCGGGCCATGGTGTTGAGGGCAGAGCCGTCGTGGAACCACTCGATCTGAGACTCATTGAAGGTGTGGCTGAGGGAAACGTCGAAGGCGGGGGCACCAGACTTGGGGTGGACACGGAGAGTCATGGGCTTACCAACCTCGAGCTGAGTGCACATGAGGTCGACCTTGTCCTCGGGCTTGATCTTCTCGTAGTCGGCGGGGTCGGAGAAGGTGAGGGGAAGCATACCCTGCTTCTTCAGGTTGGTCTCGTGGATACGAGCGAAGGAGCGGGTGATGATGGCGAGACCACCGAGGTGGCGGGGCTCAAGAGCAGCGTGCTCACGAGAAGAACCCTCGCCGTAGTTCCAGTCACCAATGACAACCCACTTGATGCCGCGGGCCTTGTAGTCACGGGCGGTGGCGGGGACAGCGTCGTATTCGCCGGTGAAGGCGTTCTTGACCTTGTTGGCCTCACCGTTCTCCTCGTTGATGGCACCGATCAGCATGTTGTTGGAGATGTTGTCCAAGTGGCCACGGTACTTCAACCAAGGGCCAGCCATGGAGATGTGGTCAGTGGTGGTCTTGCCCTGGCACTTAATGAGGATGGGGATGTCAGTGGCATCCTTGCGGTCCCAGGCGGCGAAGCCCTCGAGGATCTGAAGACGGTCACTGGAGGGGGAGACGGCAACGTTGACCGAGGCACGGTCAGCGGGGGGAGCCTGGTAGGTGTCACGGCCAGCATCGTAGCCACGGCTGGGAAGACCGTCGCCGGTGGGAGCCTTGAGCATGAAGTCGTTGCCATCCTTGTCCTTGAGGGAGTCGGTGACGGGGTTGAAGTTGAGGGTACCGGCAACGGTCATGGCGACGACGAGGTCGGGGGAGGCGACGAAGGCGTGGGTGGCGGGGTTGGCGTCGTTACGGCCAGTGAAGTTACGGTTGTAGGAGGAGATGATGGAGTTGGCCTCACCCTTCTTCACGTCCTTACGGTCCCACTGACCAATGCAAGGGCCACAGGCGTTGGCAAGGATGACACCGCCGTACTCCTCGAGGGTCTGGAGCTGACCGTCACGCTCGATGGTAGCGCGAATCTGCTCGGAACCGGGGGTGATGGTGAAGAGAGACTTGGACTTGAGGCCGTGGTCGAGGGCGTCACGGGCGATGGAGGCAGCGCGGGACATATCTTCGTAGGAAGAGTTGGTGCAAGATCCGATCAGACCGACCTTGAGCTCCTCGGGCCACTTGTTGGCCTTGACAGCCTCCTTGAACTTGGAGAGAGGGGTAGCAAGATCGGGAGTGAAGGGACCGTTGACGTGGGGCTCGAGCTCAGACAGGTTGATCTCGACGAGCTGGTCGTACTGGGCACCCTCGTCCTCACGGAGCTGGGCGGCGTACTCGCGGGAGAAGTCACCAATGTGCTGACGCTTGGTGGCCTTCAGGTAGTCGTACATGCGGTCGTTGAAGGGGAACATGGAGGTGGTGGCACCAATTTCGGCACCCATGTTACAAATGGTACCCATACCAGTGCAAGACAGGGATTCGACACCGGGTCCGTGGTATTCAATGATGGCACCGGTACCACCCTTGACGGTGAGGAGACCAGCGACCTTGAGGATGATATCCTTGGGGGTGGTCCAGCCAGACATCTGGCCAGTGAGACGGACACCAATGACGTTGGGGGCCTTCAACTCCCAGGGGAGACCAGCCATGACATCGACGGCATCAGCACCACCGACACCGATGGCAGCAGTAGCGAGACCACCAGCATTGGGGGTGTGAGAGTCAGTACCGATGATCAGACCACCGGGGAAAGCGTAGTTCTCCAGAACGATCTGATGAATGATACCGGAACCGGGCTTCCAGAAACCGATGTTGTACTTGGCAGTAGCGGAGGCAAGGAAGTCGTAGACCTCCTTGTTGATCTCATTGGCACGAGCAAGATCCTTGTCACCGCCAATCTGGGCCTCAATCAAGTGGTCACAGTGGACGGTGGTGGGGGTCTGGACGGAGTCCATACCAGCAGACATGAACTGGAGGATGGCCATCTGGGCAGTGGCGTCCTGGCAAGCAACGCGGTCGGGGCGGAGCTTGAGGTAGGAGGCACCACGCTGGATGTCCTGTCCATGAGGATCGTCAAGGTGAGAGTAGAGGACCTTCTCGGCGTAGGTGAGAGGGCGCTGAAGACGAGAACGGACAATGTCGAGGTTCTCGGACATCTTCTTGTAGTTGATGTAGTGGCCCTACATTGGGTTAGTTGATTGCTAGTGGAACTGCCGGATAGCCACTTACAGTTTCGTGGTTGGTCATCTCGACCTTCTTGTCGAGGGGGTCATTGCCAATGGTAGCGTAGGCCCGGGTCCCGAAAAGCTATTTCATGTTAGTATCTGCAGATATGACGATCCGCCGGCAGCAGCTGTGCGTGCCACGTGTGGCTGGAGCTTGGTTGTGCTTACAAGACGGGACTTTGGGGCCTATTCAGGAAGACAGTTAGCTTTGGATTCATTCAAATTGCGGTCTTGAGGTCGGTCGAGGATGGCAGATGCCAGCCTCGCCGCGACGAGCCGAGGATATGGGAATATAGGATAGACGTACCAGCGCACCGGCGCGCGCGAGGCGGGTAGCGATCATGATTGAAGCTCTTAACAGATGATATAGTACATCCAAGAGCTAGTAACCACCTTCAATGTGAGAGTGGAGAGTGAAGAAGGAAAAAAAGGAAGGAGAAATGGACGAAAGCTTGCTTTTGAGTGGGAGAAAGATTCTACGGGGCCCGAGACAAGAGCCGTAACCGCTTGTTACCCCGGCGATACAGTACGGTATTGGAGCTAAGCCCGCATGCGACGGCAAAGCGATTACAAGGAGTATGGCTGTTCCCGACAATTCTTGAGTTGAGGAATGATAGTCCCTATTGCAGCTATATAATAATTGACTATTAGATCTTGAACACATGAATTCTACTGTTGTTCGAGCATAGTGTACTTCCATGTGAACGTAATGGTGATACCAGACATGTGACGGGTATAATTCGGCCACCAATCAAGTTATTCCCAATTACAACCCCAGTTCGGACCAAAGGCGAAGGTCTGAACTCGGCCTGTTACCCCGGCATGTGGGTTCATCTGATACACGTGTACCCTAGCTCTGCCACTTATAGTCCAGCTATATCAAACTCTAGAGCATAATAATAATGAATGTAAAATGATAAATGTAAAATCAAGGATAGGATATACGGAGCATCATACTGCATGCAGACGTCATCCCAATACAGCGTAAACCGGTGACGCTGAGCCGAGGCGTGCCGACGGCAATCCCGCATCATCGCCGCCTTTGCCTACCAGCCAATCACAGCCCAGGCGTTTCAATCGGGCCCCGTGACCCACAGTCAGCGGAAATTTCATCGCTCAAACTGAACAACTTGGACCCGCTTGGTCTTCTTTCACTCCGGAAATCGGTGGTATCTTTTTTTCACTTGCATCTACGCTGATCGGCTATCCGAGGTTATCGGCAACAATGGGTGCTCTCAGGAGAATCAAGACCAAGCGTCGCACAAGGTATGTCAACATGCACTCTATATTGTCCTCGTTTTATCCGTTCAATGATGTGTTGTGCTAACTCCATCCCAGAGACTACGACCAGGTCCTTCGGGATATCGACTCCCCCCGTCACCTTGAGATCTTTAAGGATAGCAAGGATGTTGAAGACCTCCCTGGCCTAGGCCAGCACTACTGCTTGGAGTGCGCTAAATGGTTTGAGAGTGAATACAACCTCAAGGCTCACACAAAGGGCAAGAACCACAAGAAGAGGTGAGCACACATATGGTGGACCGCCTTCGTGCATCACATATCGCGTATTTACCACGCATCTTTTCTAACGCGCTCTTCCCCAGACTTAAAATCCTCAAGGAAGAGCCTCACAGCCAGGAACTCGCCGAACGTGCTATTGGACTGGGTGTCCCAGACAACGGCAAGCGATCCAAGGAGAACCCCGACGCGATGGAGGATTAAACCAGCCCAAATTCGGCCGGGAAAACAATAAAAGAATCAGAAGCAAAGAAGCACACCTGCTACGCGACCACGACTCTGTTCCAGCACTGAACACCGAATAAAAGTTTCCATCTCTTGACTGTTGATCTAAAGTCACGTGCGGCACCTTTTTTTTATATTGCCGATACTCGCCGGGTTTCCGCTCTTCCGGTTTGCGGGTGACCAAAAACCGCCGACGGTCGGCGAAAACGGCCTGGAAATTTACCCCTTGGCAATACTTCCGAGTAATTCCAATAGAAATCCCTCAATACCAAATAGAATCTAACCTGAACGGGCTTTCGGTATGTTCATGTAGATTGTCTTCACTTTGTGTGGGGGTACTAAGTTATCCGTAGATATACACCGCTAGCTTCATATCCCCAAATCCACTGGTTGTGTACCCAATTGGTTAAAGCTCTTCATTAGCCATTCGTATGCCGCCCACTGTATCAATATTAGTTCCAACCTCGTAATTGAAAAAGGAGGAACATACCTGAACAGCATTCACAATGAATGCCCGAACACTGCAAACCCCCAGACCACGGTAGAATGCCTTCACACCCTCGGCCCGATATGTCTCCTTGGCAATTTGGAAAGAGCTCAATTTCCGTCGTCCCAATAAAGCCTGGCTTTCGGATACCTGGCCATGGTCCCCAATCGTCTGCGCCTGCAACCTCGTCTTAATAACATCCAAAGGGAATACCGAGCCCCAAGTGACAACCCCAGCAATACCCCCACACAGCAAAATATTCATAGCAGATTGATATGTACCGTCATCATCAGAAATCATAAATCGTTTGCATAGTTCGTAGGACCAGAAACTGTCAAATATCAGTAACCAAACACATATACATTTCCCAAGAGAAATATCAAAATATATATCCACAGGGATATAGCATAGATCCGGGGGTGGCGTGGACATACTAGAACCCATAGCCAATTGCATCCCTAGCGCTAGTAATACCTCCACCAAAATAAAGACCCCTCCAGCCGCGCGTGCGGATGATGTCCTTAGCCACCGCCCACGACGATACCTCGGCTCGTGGATCTAGCTGCGCACGACATTTGATGAATTCCGTGGGCGAGGAGATCGTCCAGCTGGCCAGTCCGCCTGCGGCTCCAGCTAGCCAGATTTTGTATGGTGAGACCCCAGTTGGGTTTGTTGGATCTGCTATGGAATTGTCTAGGCTTGTTAGTGTGCGGTTGTAGGCCACGAAGAGGATGGCGTTTAGGGCTCCGTAGCCTAGGATTGGGGCTGCGGCGCCTATATAGAATTGAATATTAATGTGGTGCTTGAGGACTGCAGTGTGATTGTGGTGACAGACCTCGAACTAATGAGGTTGCTTTTTCCAGGCGGCTTAGATGTGTCGGTGATGCAGCTGTATGCCCATCTCCCGCCTGCAGCCGGACTTTGATGACATCAAGAGGGTTGCCGATTATTATTCCTAGTGCACCACTTAGGTAGCCCGCCCAGAAGTCGGAAGCCATGGATTCTAGGCTGAATATGAGTCCGAGAGAGGGGAATGTCCACAGCTAAGTCCAAGTCCATGCCCGAAGCTCCCCCGGCTTTCTGGCGGGGCTGCCCCTCGGCATATCACGTGGAGCCGTGTCTATTTGGTGTAGGCAGACGCGACAGGATCGCGTTGACTTTGACTCATCAACAACCATCGACTTTGAGGACGTGTATAGTGATCTCGTGTACTTTGGCTTGGATTTGGAGCGATGTGCGATGATTGCTGGGCTTATTGGCATCTTTAATTAATTTGCTAACACTGGCAACCAGGTATCGACCACGACCCGCTGGTGAGGGCACGCCCAAAACACCCTTACAACCCAAATCCGTGAACTCGATTGATCGTCTTGTGAGACCGTTTAAATGTCCCGGCTCGGCGACGCCCACACGCGTATCCGAGAAACCGTCCAGGAAGAAGCGGAAGGTTAATTATACCAATGCTGATGGGAGTGTCGAGGATGGGGCGGAGAAACCATACACGAATGAGGACCGGCTTGCTTTGGCGACGAGGGAGGTCAATAAATTTCCTGTGTTTAAGCCTAAGGACAAGGATATGGCGTTTCGAGCGCGGTTTCAAATTCCGTTTATCAATAAGGCTGGCGATGGATACAATGCCGGCCGGGCTGCTCCCACATTGGGCATGAGGCAGGGTGCAACATTTGTTGTTAAACCGCTGCATGATCCTAGTGGAGAGTTTGCGATTGTGTTGTATGATCCCACGGTGGATGACGTTCCTGCTGAGCCTGAGCCTAAGGCTTTGGAGGCGCCCACCGAGGAGAAGCCGATACTAGATGAGCCCATTGTGCACAAGAGTTTGGCGGACATTCTTGGGTTGAAAAAGGATACGGATGAGCGACCGAAGGTGCCTGTTGTCATTGATCCGAGACTTTGCAAAGTGCTACGGCCACATCAAGTGGAGGGAGTAAAGGTATGGTTCCTGCTGGGCCTGCTAGATGAGGAAGCTGATACAATTTAGTTCTTATATCGATGTACCACTGGGCTGGTTGATAAGAATGCAAACGGTTGCATTATGGCAGACGGCATGGGTCTTGGAAAAACAGTACGTTTTAATGTTCTAATTCCCTTGCCTAGTGCTAACAGATACAGCTTCAATGTATTGCATTGATGTGGACACTTTTGAAACAGTCTTCCGAGGCAGGAAGAACAACAATTCAGAAATGTGTTATTGCATGCCCGTCAAGTTTGGTCGGCAATTGGGCCAACGAGTTGACAAAATGGCTTGGGAAGGACGCCACAACTCCCTTTGCAGTGGATGGAAAGGCTTCAAAGACAGAGCTCACTGCCCAGATCAAGCAGTGGGCCATTGCATCAGGGCGTGGAATCGTCAGGCCTTGTCTCATCGTGTCTTATGAGACGCTTCGTATGTATGTTGATGCATTGAAGGATGCACCCATTGGACTTCTCCTGTGTGACGAAGGCCATCGACTTAAGAACAAAGAAAGCTTGACATGGACTGCTTTGAACAGCCTGAACGTTACTCGCCGAGTCATCCTTTCTGGAACACCCATCCAGAATGACTTGTCTGAGTACTTTGCTTTGCTCCACTTTGCCAACCCAAATCTTCTCGGTTCACAAGCCGATTTCCGGAAAAGATTCGAGCTGCCAATCTTGCGAGGTCGAGACGCTGCAGGTACCGACGAAGAAAAGAAATTGGGTGATGAACGACTCTCGGAGCTCTCCGGCGTTGTCAACAAATTCATTATTCGCCGAACCAATGAGCTGCTCTCCAAGTACTTGCCGATCAAGTATGAGCATGTCGTGTTCTGCAATATGTCACAGTTCCAGCGTGGTCTATACGACCATTTTATCCAGAGTCCCGAGATTCGAAGCCTTCTACGTGGAAAGGGCAGTCAGCCGTTGAAAGCAATTGGCATTTTGAAAAAGCTTTGCAACCACCCTGATCTTCTTGACCTTCAGAACGATCTTCCAGGGTGCGAGCATACATTCCCCGAAGACTACTCACCTCCCGATTCTCGAGGACGTGATCGAGAGATCAAGAGTTGGTATTCCGGGAAAATGATGGTTCTTGACCGCATGCTAGCCCGAATCCGACAAGACACAAACGACAAGATCGTTCTGATCAGCAACTACACCCAGACGCTGGATCTATTCGAAAAGCTATGTCGATCGCGTGCATACGGTTGCCTGCGACTTGACGGTACCATGAACATCAAGAAACGCTCTAAGCTGGTTGACAAGTTTAACGACCCAGATGGCCCTGAATTTGTGTTCCTCTTGAGTAGCAAGGCTGGTGGATGTGGTCTGAACTTGATCGGCGCCAACCGTCTGGTGCTTTTCGATCCCGACTGGAACCCAGCTGCTGACCAGCAAGCGCTGGCACGAGTGTGGCGTGACGGACAGAAGAAGGACTGTTTCGTCTACCGTTTCATTGCAACCGGTTCGATTGAAGAGAAGATCTTCCAGCGACAGTCCCATAAGCAATCACTATCATCATGTGTCGTCGACTCTGCAGAAGATGTCGAGCGTCACTTTTCTTTGGATTCTCTGCGCGAACTCTTCCAGTTTAAACCCGACACGCGCAGCGATACCCACGATACCTTCAAATGCAAACGGTGCCGACCCGACGGCACACAATACATCAAGGCCCCAGCTATGTTGTATGGTGACACGAGCTCGTGGAACCACTTGATCAATACCGGAGAGAAAGGCCCTATGAATCAAATCCAGGATCTGTTATTGAGACAAGAGACCAGTGAACGAGACGTTTCTGCGGTCTTCCAGTACATCAGTCATTAATGGAATTATTTGGCATACTTGGCAGTTTCGGGATTTTGTTACAGTCGTTGGCATTTGGTCTTTTTGTATCTTTTGGAGCGTATCATTTGGAGCGAGCGATCATGATCATAAACGAATTCGGGATTTTATTGAATATCAAACTCAAATGGGCTTTCACTGTTTGTAGCTGGATTCGAGTAGTTCGAGGGCATCGACTAAACTGAAATCTTCGCGTCTGTCGGACGACCGATGGGCTACAACGCTGTAAGTTAATATGCCCACATCCAATACGCTAACATCTAGCTTAATCGATAAAGCAAGGCAAAGGGACGCTATCGGTGAAGAACGAACATACGGCCGATTTTTCGCCGATAGCATCTTTTCCACTTGTTTCATTGATTAAGCTAGATGTTAGCGTATTGAAAGTGATGCATTGGACTTCTAGGGTTATTGCGGAATGCTTATGGCTTTGCATTTCTCCGGTTTAGCGACAGAGGCGGAGGTATTGTTGTAGTCGATACCTTCGATTCGTTCCAATCCACGTATTACCTTTATCCTGATGTTTTCGCCTTCCACGCCTCTCCTGATATAGAAACCCTTCTCGCAGACTTTGGTGTGGCGGTGAAGGCGAAGGGACCAAATCAAAGCCAAGTGGACCTTCTCGTCTTATAGCTTGCATACGTGGCTGTCGAGTTCAATGACATTGTAGCCTTGTGCGCTTGCTCATCGATAGCGGAGTAATCCAAGGATCATCATGAAAGAGTAGTCTCTCAGTGCCTAGATAGGATAGGAAAAAGTCCCAGGCTGAAGGCGAAGATGAGTGAAAGTGTGGCCAGGCGGCTGTCAAAAGTTTGTTAAACAAAGGCGGTCAATGCAGCTCAAGTCCAGACCCACTGCTGACATCACAATCTCCGCGTTGACAACGCATCTGTCTTCAAACACTTTGACCTCACTCCTCGATCTGGGCCTCTGACTTGTGGCGTGAATCTCCCTAGTGACGGTCTTCTTTCAGCGCGTCTCTTCACTATGAACATTGCTTAGCCTTGGCTGGAGGAGAACCCGCATCTCACGCGATTCGGAGCGATGGACCAAACAATCCAGCGGTTGCTGAACGATAAGCTCTATGACAAGAGGAAGCAGGGGGCTTTAGAGTATGCCAGCCTTGAGACAGCCCGCCAAAACAATGAGCTAGGGCCTATACTGACCGATGTTTTTCGACAGGCTAGAGAAAATCGTCCGCGACGCCGTTTTCCAAGCGGACCAGGAGAAAATTCAAAAGATCGTTGAACAGCTTTGTCACGACTATGCCTATGCTGTTCACCAGCCCCACGCTCGGAATGGAGGGTTGATCGGTTTGGCGGCTGCCTCGATCGCTCTGGGATCTGTGAGTTTGAGATAACCGTGTACTGCGGGGAAATGTGCTGATACCGGGTTCAGGAAGGGGTTGCGCCGTACTTGGGTGAGATTGTTCCGCCTGTACTGGCGTGCTTTTCGGACCAGGATGCACGAGTGCGTTACTATGCTTGCGAGAGCATGTATAATATTGCCAAGGTTGCCAAAGGAGAAATTCTTCTTTTCTTCAATGAGATCTTCGATGCTTTAGCTAAGGTGAGTGCTGATATGCGTGATGGGGTGCTGCAGAGCTAACAGGTGGTATAGCTTGCGTCGGATTCGGAGTTGTCAGTCAAAAATGGTGCGGAGCTGCTGGATCGACTGGTGAAGGATATCGTGGCCGAATCGGCCGCTTCCTATGTGTCTATTCTACAGCTGTCCGAGAAGGATCGAATGGATCCGGACGCTTTGGATGACCCTGATCTCCCTACCGCTTTCTCTCTTGCGAGATTTATCCCCTTGCTCCAGGATCGTATCCATGTGATCCAGCCGTTCACTCGCAACTTCTTGGTCTCGTGGCTTACTCTTCTAGATACTATTCCTGATCTAGAGCTTGTCAGCTATTTACCGGATTTCCTGGAGGGATTGATAAAGTTCCTTGGCGGTCCCAACAAAGACGTTAATGTTGCGACCCAAAACCTTCTCGATCGATTCTTGGCGGAAATTAAAAGGATCACACGACTGAAGAAAGGTATAGAGGAAAGCCGGAAGGGACAGAAAAGCAACAGGAACTCGGCCGCAAGTGACGGCATGAGTGTCTCAACCGAGCAGAATGTCAACGCCGACGGTGCAAGTGATTCGAAGGGCGACATCGCTGTTGAGGACTCAGACTCGGAATCAATCTTCGATGGAGAGCTCATTCAAACTGACGGGGACTGGATCCCCGGACAGGATGTACAAATCGATCACCCCAAGATTCTTGGTATTCTTGTCGGCTTTGTCAACACCACCTATGAGGAAGAAATGCAACTGACGGCCCTTCGATGGATTGATGCTTTCTTTGAGATTAGCCCGGAGGATATCTTGCCTTTTGTTCCGCGTCTTTTGACCCAGGTGCTCCCAGCCATGTCGAGTGGCTCGGACGGAGTACGACAAGCAGCAAACCAAGTCAACAAATCGCTTCTCGAGTACATATACTCTCTATCGGATGATACAACGGAGGAGACTCAACCCTCTTCGAAGATTCCATTTAACACTGCCAGCAAAGAGACTATAGAGCGTAGGTCATCTACTCCCGGAATCAGGCCTTCAACGGAGACGGTGAGCATCGACATCAGGAAGCAGTCAGCGCAGGACGCTTCCATTGCAGCCACACCACGAAGCAGCGTTGTCTCTACGCCTCTGCCTACTGCTGACCTTGATTATGCCGCCGCTGTCAACTCCCTCACTTTGCAATTTCTCAACGAGCATGAAGCCACACGTGTCGCAGCTCTGTCCTGGCTTATCATGCTACATCGCAAAGCACCACGAAAGGTCGTCGCGTTCAATGATGGAACTTTTCCGGCACTGCTAAAAACGCTATCAGACCCTGCAGAGGCTGTTGTGACTAAGGACTTACAGCTCCTTTCACAAATATCTAGAAACAGCGAGGACAGCTACTTCACTTCTTTCATGGTCAATCTACTACAGCTGTTCTCCACTGACAGGCATTTGCTTGAAGTGCGCGGAAACTTAATTATCAGACAGCTGTGTTTGAATTTGAGCCCGGAGCGTATCTACCGTACTCTGGCAGACTGTCTCGAGAAGGAAGAAGTAAGTGAACTCATCATCTTTCAGCGCTCTATGCTAACATATGCAGGATCTCGAATTTGCCAGCATCATGGTGCAGAATTTGAACAACAATTTAATTACTGCGCCAGAGCTCTCGGAGTTAAGAAAACGCCTGAGAAATCTTGATTCAAGAGTGATATTCCCCGATACCTATGCTTTATACAGAGGCTCACACAATTTTCAGGATGGGCAAATGTTCTTTGTTGCTCTTTTCAGGTCATGGTGCCACAATGCTGTGTCCACCTTTTCTCTCTGCCTTCTTGCTCAAGCCTATGAGCAAGCATACAACTTACTTCAGATCTTGTCAGTGCACCAACATTCTGGATTATGGTCTCCTACTAACACTAGCTTAGTGCCGAACTCGAGATGACAGTCAACATGCTGATTCAGATCGATAAGCTGGTCCAACTCCTTGAATCCCCGGTGTTCACCTGTATGTGTCCGTCTTTCATCCTTCGAGAATCCATAACTAACATCCACACAGACCTCCGCCTACAACTCCTGGAACCCGAAAAATATCCCTACCTCTACAAATGTCTGTACGGTGTCCTCATGCTCCTCCCCCAGAGCTCCGCCTTCGCAGCCCTCAAAAATCGCCTGAACAGTGTCAGCAACATCGGCTTCCTCCACAGTGGCCCCCGCAGGTATGCCAGAAGATTCCCCGCTCCCCTCTGTCCCCCACGAGACTGATTGAGGCCCAATCCAGCACCGCTCAAACTGCCCCATCCTCCTCATTCGACCGGTCCTCTGGTCCGCGCCTCAAAACCCGCGACGAAAACACAATCCGCTGGGTTGACCTCCTCGATAAATTCAAGTCCGTTCAGGAACGCGCTCGCCGCTCCCAGGCTTCACAGCGCCATTCTCTCGACCCCTCCGATACCCTGCTTAATCCTACCCTCACTGCAGCCCTCTCTGCCGCCGCCGCTGACAGATCAAAGGATCGTCCCGGTCTTCCTGATGCTCCGCGTGGTTCTCCGGCCATGAATACCACTGGTAACGCCGGAGCTAGTGGCCCTGGCATTGGCAATGCTGCCGGTCGTGGGCTGGATAGTGGAGTGACGAAGTCGGTTATCCCGGGTCCATCCCACAAGCACAAATCGAGTCTTCCTAACCTGGGACGATTGGGCATTGGAGGACGGAAGAAGAAATAGGGGTTTGCTGGTGCTTTCTTATGCATAGCTTCATTGTTCCTTGTACGTACTTAAACTGGAGATACCCAGCATCCGAGGTTTCTTTGGACAACAGTCTTTTACTATTTACCATTTGCAATGAAATCATTTCTTGTGGCCATGCTTCGATGAAGATCTAGGATGTAAAATTACGCATCTATTCTGAGGATACAAAACGTATGGAGAAGACCAAATCATGAATATTGCAAACACAAGTCCCAAAATAGACTATGAACGAAGAAAAATCAAATATAAATGCAATGAGAAACAGAGGTAGACACATCACAGAAGCACATCTAACCCAAGCCCTTGACTTGTAGCTTGGGAAAAAAAAAAAGTACTTTTTTTCAATTCGGTTTCCCGGTACATGGAGCACATGAGACAGACCATAAACAATCCCAACTAGTGAGAAAGAAAAGAGAAGCAAAAAGACATGGGGACTATACAAGAACCCAGGATTCACCGAGACTCCGCGGAAGCATCACGCGAAGAGTGAAGGAACAGAAAAGGAGTGAAAGAAGAGGAAAATGCTAAAAAAAAAAAAAGAAACAGAAACAGAAACGGCGCCCATAACCCCGCGCAAATGGAAATGGCTTAGACAAGACCACAGAGAGAAAAAAAATAGAGACAGAGTAAATTTAGAGCTCAGCTCAACTTAGCTCGGCTCCTCACCGTGACGCTTGGCTACTGCCACTTCCCCACCCCGATGGCCGCCAGGAGCCTGTAGAATGTTTGGAGACGGTGCTAGTGGGTGAGTTTGCGCCAGTTGAGTAGACATACTCGCCGTCGATGTACTGCGCGCCCGTGGAGAATGTGCTGCGGTGCTTGCGGCGGGCGTACCGTTGTTCGAGGCGGTAGAGCTCGAGTTCTGTTGTTTGTTAGTTGTATTTTCAGTCATGTTTCGTCGGGAGAGTGTGGAGCGAGTCGAAATGGTTCCGGTGTTGGTGCATTGACCGAGTTCGAGGTGTGTTATGTTTCAGAGTTGTGGGGGAGGGGGGAATTCGAGGGCTGGACTGGCGGGGAGAGGGTGGCACGTACTGGCTTGTAGCTTGTCCATGAGACCCATTGTGAATGAAATGTGCAGAGATCAGAATATCTCAGAGAGAAATATTGCGTTGGTTTTGTTCAGAACGAGCGAAGACGGAAACTTGTTGGCGACAATCGTTCCCTTATGCAGCAATTGGGAACGTGAGCGGTTGGTGCCGGATATGGTGGTCGCTGTGCGGGCGTGTGTCAGTTTCTGCTATTGATAGAACCATTGGCTTGGATTGCTTGAATTGTCTGGGTTCTCTAGATCGACCTGGGCTGATCTGATCTGGATCGGTGTGTGTCTGTGTCTCCCTTACCTTGTTTCAGTAGGCGCTGAGATCTCAAGAGAATATGCGGGTCGCGTGGAATGCTGCCGGAAGGAATGTGTCGGATTGAAAGAGAGGAAAGGGTGATTGGTCCCCGGTAAAGAGTGAATAGCGATTGACGCAGGATAGAAGCGAAGATAGAAGAACAGAAGAAGAGAAAGGGGTGGGGAGAGAACGTGGATTGTGGAGTTCACTAGTCAGGGCCGATGACACCGCGTCGTCGTTTCAGATTTAGAGGGTCAACACGCTACTTCAATGTAACTAGGAGAAAGCAAAGGAGTTGTCCGTTGAAAAGATCGATTCTAGAAGAGTGCTATCTTCATTCTAGGCATATCTACCTCGTATGTATCACATCGAGAGCTTCAGACCTCCAAGTCTAGCCCGCGCACGGATAGCACTAGATTAATCGCGCATAGGCTAGAACAGGTTTAGGCTCACTTGACTATTGAGCTTTGTTCGCCGGGAAACAAATAAGTTGACGCTAGTCAACTGTGTATCATCATCAACCATATACGGAGTACTCCTATCTCGGCCATCCCCTTTCCTTCTTAGGGCTTCACTGGAGTAAAACGGGTGACATAAGCATCAACACCGTCATGTCACGTGCCTCTGATCGAACAGCCCTATTATCCAAGTGATCTTTCGTAGACTGGCAAGCGTCCAGATGAATGGATAGAAATTGGATTTTAATAGATCCGAAGATTGATACAAATCCTCGAAGACTGCATACACTACTCCAGAGAACAGCTGGGAAACACAAGACTGGATATCTAGTCAACAATGTACCGCTAATCCTATGTACTCCCATCAATCATAGCCTATATCATTCACGGCTTAGTCTCAATCTCATCCTCACCCTGGTTCCGCTCCAGCTCCAAATCCTGAGCCATAGACAGTTCCTGGGCTATGAAACAAAGTTAGTAATCAAGAATTCAAACATGCAACATTGCAGCACTCACCATTCCAGAGTTCCGCATAAATCCCATTATGATCAAGTAGTTCACGGTGCGAGCCCGTCTCTGCTACGTGACCTTCTTTCAGAACTAGGATCTGGTCACTGTCACAGATGGTGCGCAGGCGGTGAGCGACGAAGACACTGGTACGGCTTCGTTCTTTGAGAATACTATTGATGTTCTGGAGGAGGGCCTGCTCCGTGTAGGTGTCGAGGGCAGATGTCTGGATAGAGATTAGCTGACTGTCCCCTTTGGGTGTTGATAAGTACTCACTGCCTCGTCGAAGAAGAATAGTTGCGGATCCTTCAGAATCAACCGGGAGATTGCTAGCCGCTGCTTCTCACCACCCGAGATCATCATACCGCGCTCACCAACTGCGGTCTGGTAGCCCTCTGGCAGACCTTCGATCAGCTTGTGAATGTGGGCGCGCTCGGCGGCTCGGCGCACTTCTTCGTCGGATGCATCAATGCGTCCGTAGCGAATGTTGTGGGCGATGGTGTCATTGAATAAGGGTGTATCCTGTGGCACCACTCCAATGATCTTGCGAAGACTGTCAAGGCTGACGTCCCGGACGTCTTGACCGTCAATGAGGATACGGCCAGATTGGACGTCGTAGAAGCGGAACAGAAGGCGCAGAATTGTAGACTTGCCGCAGCCACTTGGGCCAACAATGGCAAACTTCTGTCCAGCGGGAATTGTGAAGGTGGCATTCTTCAGAATTGGGCGCTCTGGGTGGTATCCAAAAGTCACATTCTCGAAGCGAATCTCGCCGCCCTGGGTAAGCTGCAGGGGCTTGGCATTGGGGCGTTCGGTAATTGTGACATTGACCTTCTGCAAGTTAAAGAGAGTCTCCATGTCCAATAAAGACTGGCGCAACTCGCGGTAGACAGAGCCCAAGAAGTTGAGGGGCACGGAGAGCTGGAAGACAAGCTGATTCACCATGACCAGGTCACCGACGGTCAAGGCACCGGTTGCAACTCCATCGCAGGCCAAGTACATCATTGCGGCCAGCGCAGAGGAGAAGATCATGTTCTGACCGGAGTTGAGGAATGCCAAGGAAGTGGTAACCTTGATAGATGCATCTTCGTAGCTCTTCAAGGCATTTCCGTATCGTGCAACTTCGAATTTCTCGTTGTTAAAGTACTTGACGGCCTCGTAGTTGATGAGTGAGTCCACGGCAACAGTTGCGCCGCGGTTATCAGCTGCGTTAGCCTGACGGCGGAACTTGGTTCGCCACGCAGTTGTAGTGATGGTGAATGCTGTGTATGCGATCATGGTGGTGGTGGTAATGGCAGCAAATTGGAGACCATATTGGTAAGTCTGGGAAGTTAGTAGACTTCACCCAAATTTCGGCGTCAAAGCATACCAGAATACCGCAGACAAGCGAAATTTCAAGAGCAGTCGGCACCACATGGAAGACCATAGAGGTCAAAAGGAAGCTGATGCCCTTGGTACCTCGATCAATCGCACGAGTGAGACCGCCGGTCTGCCGGGAAAGGTGGAAGTTGAGATCCAGTCGCAAGAGATGTTCAAACACATTCGAAGCCACTTTTCGGATTGCTTTCTGCGCAACACTAGCAAACACTGCATTGCGCAGTTCTTGGAACACTGTAGCTCCAATTCGAGTCACACCATCTAAGATATCCATTAGCCAGCTTTCTCCGTTCTTGGATGGTTGCTCTCTCACAGGCAATAATCATTGATCCAGCCACAGTGTAGGCAGTTCCGCCAATAGAAGCAAAGTCTACATTCATCGAGTCGACAATGCTCTTGAAGTAGAAGGGGATTTCCACATTGAGAATCTGCATAGATCGTATTAGTATAACCGAATTCTCCCAATTCCGAAGATAAACTGACCTTTGCGCCAACAAGCAATGATAATGCGGTGCCGACACGGAGCTTTGTACCCCAATCATCCTGCATCTAATCAATACCCGATCATCGTACACAATAGCACTCGGGTATTACCTTTGGCCACAGATACTTGGCCATTTCCCTCATAATAGCCCAATCCGCCTTCCTTTGGTCCTTTGTCGCAGCCATAGGCTCGCTCAGTAAATCCTTCTTCGGTGTCTTCGCATCACCATCTTTGGGCGTTTGGACGATGTTGACGCTGGCCAATTGCGACGGGGCCGGGGTGGAGGTACCATCTTTCGTAGGTGTCTTATCTTTGTTTTCTGTAGTTTTGTTCCGCAATGGTTTACCACCCGATGTGAATACACGCAGTTGCGTTCCGATAAGTCGCGTGCACCGTGACCGGCCGGCGAAGCTCGGGTATGCGAGTTGCGCCGTGCGCCAACACGGCGATCGCGCGGCTCTGAGCAGCATGGCTGCTTGATAAATTATGTTTCTGGCTCCGGTAGTCGTTTGAGTCACTGGAGAGCTCAGGGGAGCATAGTGAGTGCAAGTGAGGTTGTCGGCAGCTGTCCCGATAGCTCGTGGGGGGGGAAGCCGCCGGGTTCGGAGAAAAGTATCGGGGTCCCCAATGCCGGAATAGTATGAGCAGGGTAGAGTGAAGAATAAAGACACAGTAAAGAGGAACTGCTGCACCACTTTATATAGAAATAGTCCAATGTCGCAATTCCGAGCGTCAGTTGTGTACTTCGTAGGTGTTCGGCGCCAAGATTTCCCGACTCTCGCGGCTTCCTGACGTAAACTTCGTCCGGACTCTCTTCGTCTGCGCCATACACAACATGCGTCCTTCTCTACAGCAGGTCGTTCGGCCTTTGTCCTGGACACGAGTCATTCCTTGTAGGCAAACGCGCTATGTTCAGATTCGCACCGCGCCTTCGGGGGTGCCTTCGGTGAACGACCACCTGCCCCTCGCTAACACGCCCAGCTCTGTTGAATCGCGAGGTAATTAGGCTTCTACCGCGGTCAAATTGTTGGCATCGAGGCATAGGCTAACATTGCCGGGAAATAGATGCGCGATTTGACGTTGTTGGCGCTCCATATTCGCTCCTTTCGGTTTCACTCTCGGCGTCGCAAAACTTGTACACACGACGAGGAACACTGGTTGGCTTGAGTGGAAAGGCGGATAATGTAGGAAATGCGACTATTGTGATGCTCTAAGAGATAATCCGTGCTAATGCGCCGATTCCAGGTGATTTCGACATTGAGCGTTCTAGAACCTTTCCGCAGGGCTGTCGTTGGAGTGCCCTTCCTTTACCAGAAGGTATATTGAACCTATAAGTTCAGCTGTAAATCAAGGAGTCAGCTACTAACATACTTATAGGTCTCCTCCGCCACCCCCGTCACAGCTCTCGTCTCCGTTCGATCACCCAACACTTCCTTCGCCGTTGTGAATGTTAATGGATCCGTGGACTGGATGGTTGCCCAAAGACGGGCTTTGCTTGCATGGACGGGCCGGTCTCTGTCTATCAAGCCGACTATCAATGCCAACATGGTTAGTTAGACATCTCTCTCCCGCGGAATATGATGCTAATTTGTGCAGAGCTTGTCTCATTGGGGTAGCTCCGAAGTCACCGGCCGAGGATTAATAGCCTTGGTTGGTAACGGACAGCTCTATTCGGTTGAGTTGAAGGAGGGCGAGCAATATATTGCGCACCCCAGGTTCGTTTTTATACCAAAATTGCGTGTTGCGCACAGCTAATTCTCCATAGCAATGTCGTCGCCTACACCATGTCCTCCAACCCTCCCCGTCCCTACCGCTTCAAATCCACAACCCTCAGCTTCCAAGTCCCAGGCTTGAAGGCTCTCCCAAGCCTTTTCCAGAAGGCCAAGTTTGTCCGCGACATGTCCGATTCCAAAGCATACAAGACCACCATGGCGTGGTTCCACAAGTTGCGTACCTGGTCTCGTATGACCATCTGGGGAGATAGAGTATGTCGCTTTCTTCTTCTGTCAATTTTCATCGGCTAATTTTATAATCAGCTCTTCATGCAGTTCGATGGTCCCACAACTATCCTTGTCCAATCTCGCGGCCCTCGTCTTAACGACGTTTTGTCGGGAGATGAAGTTAACGAGATTGCTGGCACCCCTCGGGGCCTGACCTCCTCCCCTTATCAGACCAACGAAGCTGAGAAGACCGAGTCCAAGTCCGCCGGCAACGCCTCGGACCTTGAGCGCTCGTTAGACCAACTGGAGCAGGAAATCCGGGGAACCAGCCAGAGCGTTGCGAAGGTTCGCAAAGATGGCAAGGTGGAAATTGAAGAAGTTGGTCGCAACTAGATGTAGACCATGTCTGGGAGTTCTTCGCATTGGGTTCTGTAGGGCTAGGGCGGTCTCCGTTTAGGATGAGTATTACGTTGCATCCTGTACAGTATAAGCATTTCTTTTCTCTTGGTACCACTTGATTTGATCAATCTCTATTCCCTTGCTTCTGCGCTTTATTTCTCAAAGTTTGACACAACAGTAGCCTGAAATGCGTTGGAGGAGCAAGTCGAAGTGATGTGGCGAGGCTGATTTTGGCGCAGGATGGCGCAGGAAGAGCACATCCTGCGCCACAGGCACAGTACTTTTTTTTCTGGCATTCATAGGTCGAGGTCTTCTTGAGTCACTGCCTCTTCTCTATATTGCCTGCTATACTAGCACGGAACTGAAGGCATTTTAGATATACTGGCCGCAAGTTCACTCCGTTCAATGTGGCTTTGCAACATAGTCATGATGCATATCCCAATCTGTTGCAAAAAGCTGTTGGGTTTTTGTTTGGAATCAGGCGCCAGTGTATACTTGTGCCCAACAGCAAACATGTACTTTTTGCTATTATCAAATTGCTATACTATAAATTGATATGTTGCCCACCTGTTCCACCATCAGTTAGTCAACCAGCAATCTTCTCATCGCCTGGTTATCTTATTTTCCATCAACCCATCCCTCATCTTTATACTACACTTCTGTCTAGAGATTAGCTATCTCCTTTGCAATGTCTGGCCTTGGAAATCGAATGTGGCAATCTCGAAACACGAGAAACAGGAACAATATCGGAATGGGTGGCCAGTATGACAAGATATGCAGGCACTTTCAGCGTGGAACTTGCCGATTTGGTTCAGATTGCAAGTTTTCTCATGACAGCAACACTGCCAAAGAATCTAGATCAAATCGGGCCGCATCCCATCCTACGGCCGACGATTTGGATGCACAAAACCGATACCTCGACTGGAGGCGGATTCTCAGATACGGGAATTTTGGAATTTTTCCTGGTAAAACAGAGCACTCACATATCCTCAAGCTGTGGGAAGGGGCTCTTGATATCCTTGACGGCGACAATAGGGGCAATCATCAGCTTCTCGCCAGAGACCTTGTGGATGACAAGCTTCATGGACACAAATTCATCCTGGAAACTACTCATACCACAAGCCAGTATGCAACATACGCCATTCCTGTCTATGTTGAGCCATTCATCAAAGTCATGACTCATCCGTCTCTCTTGAACTGTCTCTCTGTTGATTCGTTTGTTGGAACAATGTACGCATCCTTCGGTGGCCCGAATGGAGATCGAGCAATCGGCTTTCTCGAAAGCGTTTGTCGGTCCCTTGTCAGAGTCTATGAGCAGCAGAGTGACACTGAGACATCTATGAAGCCAGATCTCATGAAATCACTGGTGAATGTGCTTTACCAGCTTCTATACAGAGTCCGACAGGCACGATTCCATGATGACCTTCTTATACTTCTCGATTTATTGGAAGAACTGCTGAGAGTATACCCCAGAGTGTGCTCCACGACGGACTTAGATGCTCTTTCCAGCAGACTGGAGGTCATGCGCTGCATGGTCGCTGCCGCAAACAGCAACCTTGCTCCAGCAAATCCGACTGAGGAGCCTCAGGGGACCGGGGTAGTTCGGTTGTCGTTCCCACTGGAAATGGAGCTTCCTGGAGGCAGGCATGACAATGATCTTGCCGACATCTCTGAGATCACACTGCTTCCTACCTATGGAGAGATTGTCAGCGAGAACTCGGAATATTTACCATCCACCAACCTTTCCCAGCCCCAGTTCTTACAAGATCCCCTGCTCAGATACATTGATTCCACATTCAGACTGCTACGCCATGATATCTTTGGGTCTGTCAAAGATGTGCTTCGAGATTTGTTACAGCAGAGCGATCTCAAACGCCCCTACCTATCCGACAAGAGTAGCCAGACACATCTTTATATGGCATCACAGGTCCGATCCGTTTTCATCAACGAAAAACATGAGCTTGAAGCCATTGTTTCCTTCGCAGATCCACAGCAAATTCGCAAGAGCTCTACTGTCGAAAGATGCAAATGGTGGCAAGATTCCAACCGACTAGAAGAGGGCACCCTGGTCTGTTTTTTGGCTTCTGAAGGCAAACAAAATAAAGTCCTTTTCCTCGAAGTGACAGGCAAAAATGCTTCCAAGGACCAAACGGGAAAGAGCAAGAGTAGCCTCGTATCTGACGGGTATCAACCTAGCATCACGGTCAAGCTTGCCGCATGCTTGCCTGAAGATCTGAAACTTCTAGGTCAGCTCTACAGTGAAGAGCTTCCTGGTATTCTCGTTGACTTCCGGGGCCTAATGCCTGCCACCTTTTCCCCCATTCTCCAGAATCTACAGCGAATTCAGCGGGAGAAAGAGTTGGCATTCCAAAAATGGATTTTGCCAGCCCGTTACGATGAGTGCGACAGTTCCAACATACCACCGCCGGCATACACTCGACGACCACAATTTGTCTTTCCGCTTGCCTCTATTACAAAGACCGGTACTCAAGAGCTCACTTTGGATCCCAACGCCCCAGGATCCATTGATATCCTGAAAATGGAAACCCTGACTGGTCTCGACCGTGGCCAGTGCCAAGGACTGATTGCCGCTCTGACACGAGAATATGCCCTCATTCAAGGCCCACCGGGAACTGGGAAGTCCTACCTAGGTGTCAAACTTGTTCAGGTTCTTCTAGCCATCAAGAAAAAGGCAAGACTAGGCCCGATTGTTGTGATGTGAGTTCCTGTGAGCCCTATGCCCTGAGAGACTATCGCTAATGAACATACAGATGTTACACAAACCACGCTCTGGATCAATTCTTGAAGTCTCTTCTTGCTATTGGTATTCAAAAGACCATACGTGCTGGCGGGCGCAGCCAGGCCACCGAACTGGAAGGCAAGAACCTTCGCATTGTGAGCAATAGCATCAGCAAGACGAGGGTGGAATCTCAAACTCTCGGTCAGTCGTATAATGAAGTCGAAAAGTACATGAAGTCCGCTGCATATTCCATGCAGCCTCTCCACCAGTCTCGAAAAGGTCCTACTTGGGATCGAATGCAGCAATTTTTGAGCCGCAAGTGGCCCAAGATTCACAGACAACTGACGGGGGGGGACAAGGACGGATTTGAAGTCATCAGCAAGGAGAAGGATCCCCTGCTCAGCTGGCTGGAGCTGACATCAAGAGACTTTTGGAGATTGAGAAAGGAAAAAGAGGCTGAATATGTGCATCTGGAAAATCTGACGCGCATTGCGAATCAAAGCATTTACGGCCTCGAGATGTCAGATCGTCGAGCTCTCGCGAGGAGTTGGTTTAAAGAATGGTATGAGGAAGAAACCGCCCCGCTCTTCGAAGCAGTCGATAGCGCTGAACGTCTTCGCAAAGATATAAGCGCCGTTCATGAAGAAATCAACCGCCGAGCTCTAATTCAAGCCGACGTAATAGGCATCACGACAACGGGTCTCGCGCGTCATGTTGACACATTACGCCGCATAGAAGCGAAAGTCGTTATATGTGAGGAGGCTGCTGAGGTTATGGAAGCTCATGTCATCTCAGCCCTCATGCCAGGTGTTGAGCACTTCATCCAGATCGGTGATCATCGTCAACTACGGCCCCAGATTCAAAATCACTCGCTTAGCCTTGAGACAACTTCTGGAATGTCCTGGCAGCTTGACCGAAGCCAGTTTGAGAGAAGGGCTGTTGGAGAGCCGGGCCTTCGTGCTGTTCCCGTCGCGCAACTCAATGTTCAAAGAAGGATGAGGCCTGAGATCTCGAGATTGATTGGAAGCGTCTATCCAAAACTCGAGGACCACGAAAGCGTTTTGAATCTGCCAAATGTGGTCGGAATGCAAAACAATATTTTCTGGCTAGATCATCGGCGCAATGAAGACGCAAGAGATGACGGCAGTCGGGTGAAATCACACAGCAATCAGTGGGAGGTCGACATGGCCACTGCTCTTGTGCGTCATCTTGTTCGACAGGGAGAGTACAAGCCTGAAGATATCGCTCTTCTCACCCCCTATACCGGCCAACTGCGAAATCTACGGGCATCTCTCAGCAAGTATTTCGAAATTTGCCTCAGCGAGCGAGACTTGGAGACTTTGGCAGCGGAGGGATTCGAGAAGAGTTCCTATGAGTCCTCGGAAACTAATAACCAAAAATCAATTGAGAAAAAGACACTGCTTCAGACACTCCGTCTTGCTACGGTTGACAACTTCCAAGGTGAAGAGGCCAAGGTGATCGTCGTGTCTCTGGTCCGCAGTAACTCAAACCGCAAGGTTGGCTTCCTCCGAACAGAGAACAGAATCAATGTACTTCTTAGTCGAGCACAGCATGGGATGTACCTAATTGGAAACTCGGAGACCTACCTCAATGTTCCAATGTGGGCTGATGTTTATGCACAGCTCGCCAACAAAAACGCAGTCGGTACTGAGTTAGCCCTCTGTTGTCCCCGTCACACAGAGGTACCTATTCTCTGCTCTGAGCCTCACGACTTTGAGAAGAAGAGCCCTGAAGGCGGTTGTGATCTCCCGTGTACTCGTCGACTTGAGCCATGTGGACACCAATGCCAGGCTAAATGCCATGCATCAGTTCTCCACGACGCATTTTCTTGCTGCAAGCCTTGCCCTCGGGTTCGAAAAACCTGTGATCACGCGTGTCCCAAGTTCTGTGGTGAGAAATGTGGTCTTTGTTTGGTCAAAATCCCTGATGTCCTGCTTCCCTGTGGTCATGTTAAAGAGAAGATCTTTTGCCATCAGATGAATAATCTGGCAGCCATCAAGTGCGATGTGAAGGTTGAAAAGACAGTCTCGCGCTGTGGCCATCCCATCCAAATCGGTTGTTTTGCAGACGTCACATCTGAGTCCTTCCATTGTCCAAAACCATGCATACAGATTCTCAGCTGTGGTCATAAATGTGAAGCTACGTGTGGAAGATGTCTTCAAAAGAGCGATAGTGGCGTGGAATCTTTTGATCACCCAGCTTGCAAGAAGAAATGTGACCGTCCATATGGTACATGCAATCACAAGTGCCTCAAGGTGTGCCATGATGGTAAAAGCTGCGGCAGTTGTGAGGCAAAGTGCGAGGTAAGTTGACCTTTTTTTCCCCCTACTTTCTAGCTGCGCATGTTGGATGCTAATAATATGAAGGTTCGATGCTCGCACTCGGCATGTAAATCTCCCTGCGCAAAGGCATGTGCACCATGTATCGAGAAATGCACATGGTCCTGCCCTCATCAAGGCTCCTGTTCGATGCCTTGCGCAGCACTCTGTGACCGACTTCCTTGCGAAGAACGATGTGATAAGATCCTCAAGTGTGGACATCGATGCCCGAGTCTTTGCGGAGAAGACTGTCCAAGTGGTCTATGTCAAGAATGTGGCGACAAGGGAGATGCTCGTGTGGACTTTTTGGAATCAAAACTCTACTCCGAGATCAACCTCGACGAAACTCCAATTGTTCTTCTTGGGTGTGGTCATTTCTTTACTAGTGAGTCTGTTGATGGAGTAGTTGGCCTGGATGAGGTGTATACCAGAGGCAAGACTGGCAAATTTAACGGTCTTCGGGATGTATCTGCCTCTCTTGCAAGCACCATGCCCTCATGTCCTGACTGCAGGATGCCTATTCGTCAATTTGTGACAAAGCGGTACAATCGCGTTATCAATCGCGCTGTTATGGACGAAACAACCAAACGATTCCTTACAAACGGACAAGCCGACCTTGCAAGTCTGCAATCTCGTCTCAAGAGTTTCGAAATTTCGCTTTCTGTTAAGAGAGACACAGGGTCAATATTCGTCGGCAAAGCACAGCCGAAATCTTTATATCTGGAAGGTTTGCAAATCTCAAAAGAGGCTGCAGCTCTCAGCAAAAAGATGGGTGTAGAGCATCAGCCAACAAAGCGACTTATGGATGCAATCGCTCTGTCTCAGAGGCCTCTGTCGGACGAAACTATCTCCATATCAAGCCAGATGAAGAAACTTAAAATAGTGGCCCCACAGCCTGACGACCAGATCTCTCTCGGTGCACGATTGATTAATATCAAGACTCGGGGAATCATTCTTCGGCATCAATTCGGAGAGATGTCAAAACGGATGTCTAATGACCGAGCCCTGGCCCGGTTCCTGGGGACGACTCAGCCTCAGTCCCAAGAGCTTTGTCAAGACAGCATGCCTTTTCTCAAGGACTGTCAAGGTTTGATCATTCAAGCTAAGGCTGTAAGCCTCTCTCGTATTGTCATCACTGCAACGCTCGCATTTGCCATGGTCATCCAACTGAAAGGATGGTCTGATCGTAGTTCTCCAAGAACTACCACAGAAGATGACTCTGATATGGACAAATTGAAGGGCACAGGCTTGGAAACAGTTGCGGATCGTATCAACATCACTCGTGACTTCCTGAAAGATGCCTTGAGTCGATGTCAGGAGCTAGGGAACTGCCAGGACCTTCAGGAGAGGGTTAATGAGATGACTCGCTTATTTGAAGGTCCTCGCTACGAGAACGTGACTCCAGAGGAACTTGCGTCTATCAAGATTGCCATGGTTGGTGGTCCAAGAGGGATTGCGACTAACTCTGGGCACTGGTACAATTGTGTCAATGGGCATCCAGTGAGTGTTCCCTTGTCCTCGGGCATTGATCTTGGTGGATATAATACTGACCTATCTGTTTTTGATAGTTTGCCGTTGGAGAATGTGGTATGCCAATGGAGCTTGCTACATGTCCCGAGTGTGGAGCGGGTATCGGAGGTCGAAATCACCAGGCTGTCGAAGGAGTATCGCGTGCAGAACAGATGGAGTAAGGAATTATGGAATTGCCATTTGATTTGGGTTGTGGATAGGTATCATCAATCTTAACTCAGATAATGACTAGATTGAAATTATCTTGCACCTTCATCTTACTTTCCCTTTAGGCCTGCCTCCTAGGTTCAAGTCTGATTCAATATGCAACTATAAACTCTCAAATCCCGCAGGTACTTCAAACCCTCCAATCCAAGCCCTGATCATAGAAACAAAAAGAGCAGGATCCTGCTGATGCCAGGGATGTCTCATTCGAGGATGCACAACAGCAATCGTCCTATCATTAAGCTCACGGCCAATAGCAGCCAATTTCCGTGCATCGTCGGGGTGGTCATACGAAGGGATCACTCCTCCACGACCAGCAGCCACAATGAGTGTGGGTGCAGGCCAGGGCTCAGGTAACATGGCCGTATTCATTGCCTCTGCGATCTCTCTGCAGGCCTTCATTGTTGGATAGGATCGGCCGATACGCGCACCATCCATCAGCCACCTAATTGCCGGGCGAGGAACTAGGTTCTCCACGCGATTCATTGTCCAGAGTGTGCGAGATAGCCAAGGGGTTGATGGCAAGGAAGGGTAGATTTCGAAACCTGATACTATTTGGGTTCTGATGACGTTTGGGTATTTTTCTGCTAGTCGGATCGCGACTTGGGCACCCAGGCTATGGCCGACGACATGTGCCTTGCCGCCTGTTGCGGATTCTCGTATAAGCTTATGGATTGAATCGGCTGCATTGTCCACGGTGAAAATTGATTCTGTGGCATCTCCATGGCCTGGTAGGTCGGGGGTTAGGACGTGGAATGACTGTGCAAGATCCGAGGCTATCTGCTTCCAGTCGTTGGAGGTTGTGAAAGCGCCATGAATGAGGGCGATTGTTTCTTTTCCTGTCATGTTTAATATCGGACGCTATGCTGGAATGTCAATTGGGCGTAAAAGGGAAGATGCCCGGGGGGGCTTGGAAGGATTCGGCCCCCAAATCCAACGCTTACTTCTGATCTTACTGCATGACTAGCAGATAGCGTGCTAAACCGTTGCAATATTTAGAATCTAGTTACTACCCCAGCTTCCTCAAGCCCTGTCTGCCTGCATGTAGGTATTCTGCCTCGCTTAGGAACGCCTACCGGTGACCCCTAGCCCCAGGCCCCTTAGATACACACTCGACTCCAACATAAACCCCCTTAGAATTCACTCCTTATGCCTTATCTGACATGATTGAATGAGGATATACTTCTGATTGCGCATGAATTGCGATCGCAAAATGATCTCGGCGCCTTGGTCTAAGTCAACCACCGGCTGTACCTTCTAACGAAGCACATCTTGTATCGATACAATCTTCATCATCAGAGTGGCCATGGCATGATCCATGCAGCTGAAAGAGGATCTGTTTCAGTGGTAGCCCAATTCATCGAATTAGGATATCCCATGAAAGATCGCCCAATCCACATGGAGGCCTGTGACAATACCAGAGAAAGTTGCGAATGCCGTTGTCCATTCAAACATCCGATTCTCGATGCCGCCGAGCATGGACATGTCGAACTCGTCAAGTACCTTTTTGAAGCAGGTTCAGTTCTCGATTTTGAAAGCAATGAGAGGCGCACACCCATCCATCTGGCCGCAAAGAATGGGGGGTTCTCCCAGTGGTCGAGATCTTACTGGACAAAAGCGGCTCAAAACTGCCTGTGGATCGCAATCCCAAATCAGAAGATTCTCCCGTTCAACTTGCTGCATGCAAAGTGCACAAGCAAGTTGTTGAATATGTCAAGGCGCTTTTGGCTCGTGGTGCTGATGTCAGTGATGATTCCTTCTGTGTGGCTGTCACTTACTGTAATAATAAAGCACTTGACCTATTCTTCACTAAGTTTGTGCATGGGAAGTGCCAAATCACACTCTTGGAATTGGCAGTGATAGACAGTAACATGGAAATTTTCAAGATGCCGTTGGATCAAGGTTTCGACCGGGAGAAGGCTTTGGTAGAAGCAATTTAGAACGGTCACGAAGAAATTGCGACACTTCTCCTAGAGCAAGGAACAGATCTAGATGTACCGAGCGTCCGCAGAAGCGCCACCGATTACGCGTTATTGTCCAGCATATCGGAATCCTCGAGGCTTTAATGCGCCATGGCGGACATGCTCACCCCGCGGGTTTGAAATTTGCTGAACATTTTTCTCCTGAGAATACAGTGGGATTGGTCAAGAGCTTTCCACTTGTCTTATAAGAGGAAAGCCATAGTTCCTCCTTCCCCTACATGACATGGACGTACTCTGTCTCTGTTGTAGATTCTATACTTTCTCGGGAATAGCTTGATAGCTGATCAGCCCAATACAGGATATATAGGATTAAAAGCCATACGCAGGCTCAAATGCAAGCAAAATAAATCACAAAGTTGGACGAGAAAGTAGCATTTCTTAATGTAAAAGTTCTTAGTTGAACCTAACCGAACTTTAAAGGGTTCTAATACCTAACAGTAGCATGAGGACCAAGAGAAAATAGTTAAAAGTAGTTTGTATAGTTTGTATTTGCACTAAAAGCATACCTTTGAAATGGTGCATATAGCAAATGTGACGAATTATGCCCGGCAAGCGTAATCTCGGCCTTTCGGGCTCAGACAGGCACATCTCCGAGCTGCGGTTCTCCCCGTTCAAGACCCGCGGACTCTCCTCGGTCTCCACTAACAGGGTCAAGCCAGACTGGATAGGATGGTAAGCCAATAATAGGGAAGCCGCTATGTCTTCGCGTGGTTTAGCTCCAAACGCAAGAAAAATGACCAAGATTAAGCACCGTTCGGACTTAGTGGGATGCGATTGCCGAGACTCCTTATATTATCTCTTTTTCTTCTTCTTTTGATCTTGATCTTGATCTCGATCCTAAATCCACCTTTTTTATACTTTCAGGGTCGTTCGGGGTCTTCAAGGGTCCGTTTCACTACAGATATAACCCTCGAGTCTCGGAGAATTAGCGTCCAAACGGAAATCTCTCCGTTTGCCATTTTCAAGTGAGTCGCATCGCATTTAGAATCAGGCTGTTGCTTCATCGCACAGCGTCGTTTCTTAATTTTATAATTCCCGTCTGCGCGAAGTCTATAAATTCACTTTGGTGGCCCAAACAGCAGTTCTAATATCACTATTTGGAACAGGTATCGGATTCTTCTATACTCGTGCATCCCGTTTCAAGCACTATTATAGAGAGCCCAAGGAAATCTCCTAATAATGGCAGCCCCTAACGCTCCGTCTATCGATAGTACTGCTACAAACATACCTCCATCCGACAACTCAACGCCCGCCGTGAGTGTCCAAGGGAATGAGGACCCCGAAAAGGGTCTCCAAGGAGTAGAGCAGACAACCGAAGCACAACCCTCTGAAAAAGCCACTGCTGCTGGCCCAGCACCCGCAACACCAGCAATTAGCCCGCCGCCTGATGGAGGCGCTGAAGCATGGCTCGTTGTTCTGGGAGCATTCTCCGGTCTATTCGTTAGCTTTGGCTGGATTAACTGTATGTCTGACTTTGTTATATGATATTTCAACATACTAATCTCCACCAGGCATCGGAGTCTTCCAGACATACTATGAGAGTCATCAATTGAGCGAATTCTCTACCAGCACAGTTACATGGATCACATCGCTAGAAACATTTGTGATGTTTTTCTGTGTACGTCCCCTATCGATCTCCAACCAACAAAGACCAACATCTCACAATCTCATAGGGCCCAATCTTCGGAACACTATTTGACAGCTACGGTCCCCGCTGGATCCTCCTCGCAGGCACATTCTTCCACGTCTTCGGTCTGATGATGGCCTCCCTCTCAACAGAATACTACCAATTCATCCTAGCGCAAGGAATCTGCAGCCCAATTGGCGCAAGCGCAATCTTCAACGCCTCCGTCAACTCTGTCAGCACATGGTTCGCCAAACGCCGCGCCTTCGCTCTGGGCGTGACAGCCTCCGGATCCAGTCTGGGTGGTGTTATTTTCCCCATCATGGTGACTCGTTTGATTCCTCAAGTCGGTTTCCCTTGGGCTATGCGTATTTGCGCATTCCTCATTCTCTTCATGTTGGGTATTGCCAATGTTACCCTCAAGTCCAGACTCCCGCATCGTCCCAAGCCTTTTGATATCTGGAGTTTCCTGCGGCCATTGGGAGAGCTGAAGTTCTCGCTTACGCTTGCTGGTGCTTTCTGTTTCTTCTGGGGAATGTTCTTGCCTTTCACTTTTGTTATTACTCAAGCGGAAAGATATGGCATGTCCCCCGGTCTTGCGGGATATCTCATTCCCATTTTGAACGCTGCTAGGTAAGTTTCGGCTTCTCCATTGCCAATTTGTATGGGCTGATCTAACGCAATTGAATAGTATCTTTGGCCGTACACTCCCAGGCTACTTCGCCGACAAAGTCGGCCGTTACAACATGATGGTCGTCACAACTTTCTTCTCCGCAATCCTCGTTCTGGCCCTCTGGCTGCCATCGCGAGGAAACGTCCCTGCCATCATCTTTAGTGCTCTGTATGGTTTCGGCTCTGGTGCTTTCGTCTCCCTCGCTCCAGCCTGTATCGCACAGATCTCGGATCTGCGCCAGGTCGGCGTGCGCAACGGTACTTTCTTTGCTATCATTTCCTTCGCAGCTTTGACGGGCACTCCTATTGGTGGTGCTCTGGTTCCGGATGTGCTTCATGGCTCTTATACTAAACTGCAGATCTTCTGTGGAGTTGTTATGATTGCTGGGTCGACGTTGTTTGTGTTGGCCCGAGTTGTTGTTGGCGGTGGGTTCAAGCTGAACAAGGTGTGAAATGCGGGCAATTGGGTGCCTTGGGTGGCGGCATTAGAGTATATAATAGCATATCAAAAGTTACTTAGTCGATAATTTAATGTTTGCCTAATTTCACTCATTTCTCTCCGGGCTGCAAGGAAGCTTGAATAAGGTTTTCAGGGTGGCAGTGCCAAGGTGACTACGATATATGCAGTACTTCATACATGAATACCAAACGAGTGAACGGGACACATTGAAGCAACCCGTGAACACTTGTAGTCTATATTTTATCTTCTGGTTTTTCGTGGTCAGATAATGACAATTCTGTAAACGTAATTATCAGGCAACTGGAGTCAACCGCCAAGATTTGGTAACTATATAATTTTGTTGGCCTGGTACGTCAGGCTCCAATTTACAATATCAATCAATATGCGCTGGTCACTGCTTGGTCTGTACTGTAAACTATGATAATACTTTTATATTCAATGTGTCAACAAACACAACATGACTAAGAACAAAATATGCCTGTTTTCGTCGAGAAATCACAAATCGGGAAACTGGCGGGAAACATCGGCATGCCGAAAACGGCGCATATGGCACGGTTTCCACCACTTTTTTCACACCCATAATGCCAAACATACGATAATTATTTGCCAACCGCTATTTATTCAGCTACAGACGATCATCACCTCCGATTTCAAATTGAAGATCAACGAAGGCCGTGTAACCCAAAAAAATTACCGGTTTCGGCCGACATCCGCACGGGAAAAATTCAAGGGCTCCACCCAATTCCCGGGGCTTCAGATTTTTTCTTGGCTTTGGGGTAAATTTGCAATTACGAAAATCTGATCTCTGAATCATTCATGCTATCAATGCTGGTATAGTTGCTTTGGCTTATTCATTCGGGCTGCTTTTACCCCAGATACTTCGGGAAAAGCGCCGAGCAGGACAGAATCTGCCCGTCATGAGTGATCAAGAGTCATATGCCGTTCAGGGCAAGGTCATTGATGAACCTTTTCAAAATGACGAGAAACCTTTTGAGGCGAAGGACTTGGAGCCTTTTGGTAATGAGGAGACTGCTGAGGTTAAGTATCGGACTATGAAGTGGTGGTATGTTACTCTTGCTCGCGTTTTATATCAATTGACATGGCTAATCATTCAATTAGGCATTGCGGCATGCGTGAGTCTCTTACTTTGATGTATATCGAACCTAGCTTTGATATCTAACGTTTACGTGCAGTGATGATTGCTGAGAATGTCTCCGTCGGAATTCTTTCTCTCCCATCTGCTGTGGCCACCCTTGGAATGGTCCCGTATGTATCTCCATCAGCATTGTTCTAGCAGCACATTGACTAATTGCAATACAGTGCTGCTATCATGATTCTGTTCATCTCTGCCCTTTCATGGTACACGGGCTATGCCATTGGCCAATTCAAGCTCCGCCACCCTGCCATTCACAGCATGGGAGACGCCGGTGAGCTCTTGATGGGCCGTTTTGGCCGTGAGCTACTCGGTATCGGCCAGCTTTTGCTGCTAATTTTCCTCATGGCTAGCAATATTCTCATGTTCAACATCTTGATGAATGCATTGACGAATCACGGCACTTGTACGCTGGTCTTTGGTGTCGTTGGACTGATTATTTGTTTCCTGGGCGCTTTGCCGCGTACTATGGATAAAGTTTACTGGATGTCTGTTGCTTGTGAGTATTAATCGCGCTTGATGTCTTAATTTACAATCTGGTTGACAATTATCTAGCATTCCTAAGTGTGCTGGTTGCAACAATTATCACCATGATTACCGTGGGTGTCGAGAGCGAGGGCTGGGTCCCTAACGAAGTCACCACGACTGTCAGCTTCCGCGAGGGCTTCTTGGCCGTTACCAACATCATTTTCGCCTACCGTATGTTAACATCTCATGAGAGATATCAAACCTAGTCGGAAGCCGAGCTAACTCAATATAGTTGCCCATGTCGCATATTTCGGCTTCATGTCTGAGACAGAGGACCCAAGAACCTTCAACAAGTCGCTAGCCATGCTTCAAATCGTCGACACGGTTCTGTACCTGGTCAGCGCATTGATTATCTATCACTACGTGGGGCCCGATGTCAAGTCGCCTGCCATTTCTTCTCTGAGTCCCTTGATGAGAAAGATCGCTTGGGGTATGGCTATTCCAACCGTGAGTCTATCGTGCTTTTAGCAGTTCCATCACCCTCGCTAATGTTATACAGACTATCCTTTCCGGTGTCGTCTTGGGCCATGTCGCTTGTAAATACATCTATGTCCGCATGTTCCGTGGCTCAGACAACATGCACAGCCGAAGCTTCCTGTCTATTGGCTCCTGGGTTGCTATTTGTCTTGGAGTCTGGGTTATCTCGTGGGTTGTGGCTGAGTCCATTCCCGTCTTCAACGACTTGCTCAGTCTTATTGTAAGTTTTGAAACGGATTGTGGTTTTACGAGGGATTCTAGCTAACACATTTTTACAGAGTGCACTATTCGGCAGTTGGTTCAGCTGTATGATTACCCCCTTCTCTGCGAATTACTTCCCGTGCAATTGAAAGAACGCTAATTTGTTCCTGAACAGTCGGTCTCCCTGCTATCTTCTGGCTGCACATGAACAAGGGTCAATATTTCAAGAACTGGAGGAAGATTTCTTTGACCATTATCAACATCGGTATCTTGGCTATTGCCTGTGCTATTGTAAGTCTCCTCGGACAATTTTATGCTTTGGCTTTGCGGTTCAGAACTAACTTCGTCTAGTGTGGATTGGGTCTCTGGGTTTCGGGTGTCGCCATTCACGAAGACTCAGGCACTGCCAGCTGGTCTTGCGCCAACGCCACCTGATCACTTATTGGAAAAGCCAACACCAAAACAGGGCATCAGCCCTCACTAGAACTAACGTTAAGCATTAAGCGTCATAATGTCTTTGATAATGTCTTGGACAGGATCCATATTCCAAAACGAAAGAATTACATGTACTCCAAATGAAAGATGATTGATTCAGCAACACCAAAATATCTGTCAAAAGTACACTCCAAAGTACGAATGTATAAACACGAAAACGCCCTAGCACCGTCGCTGAAGGATGGATGCATGAAAAGACCCCCATTATGCCCGGTTATATGCCCAAGGGCTGAAAAATGCAGCAATCAAGCCAAAACTCCCTGTCTCATGTTCTCCACTGTCTTGACCCCGACACCCTTCAGCTGGCTCAGCTGTGCCAGACTGTTCACCTGGAACTGGGGCTGGTCTGAGATCAGTTCGCCGTTGTTTCCATCTGTTGTTGTTTGGTCCATCTCGCAGAGGCAGTCTACAAGTGCCTCTGCCTTCTTGGCTCCTACGCCTTTGAGCAACTTGATCTGGCTGACATCCCTTGAGTTGATAATGGACAGCAGATGCATTGTACGAGGGGAAATGGAGGGATCCTCGTTATCAAGGAAAACGAGATCCCCGTTCTCGCTGTGACGAGGCTTAGTTGAAGCACGTTTTTTGTGTCGCGGGCGTGCTATCTCTTCGTCACTAGAGAAACCGCCACCTGTCTGGTCCATATAATCGTCGTCATCCTCAGCATGACGTTTTCCGAGGGTCTTGGTCGGCTCCTTCTTGAGAGAAAGCATGCTACCAAGTCTGCCCTTAGGTGGGGAGGGTGCTTGCTTCTCCCAGGCTTTAGCATGAATACGCTCCTTCAAGGCAGCAATCTTGCCAGCAAGCTTCTCATTGTGTGGGAAGTGAGGTGCCGCCAGCTGGTACATTCTCAGTGCCGAGGCGTCCTCGCCGCGTGCTTGATGCTGTTTGGCCATGAGTAAGTATGACAGACCCTCGGCCCGCGCATCCTCGGTACCCTCAATACGCTGCTCTAGTTGTTCCAATCGTCGCTGCAATTGCTCATTGAGCTCACGGACCTGTGATTGTTTCGATTGTTCGCTCACAGCTCGTGACGCCAAAATCTCCTCGACCTTTTTCTCGACCATCTCTTCAATCCGGGCAGCTGATAAATCAGCATGGCGCGCAGGAGCTTGTGTGCCTAATGGTTGACGAGATGGCTTCAAGGGAAGACTTGAAGGGGCGTTGGAGAGAGATGCGCGCTTAGGTCCTTCCGGTTTCCGTAGCTGGCTAATGAGCTTGGTCTGTGGCTTGTCGGAATACACGCTGAATGCCTTCACAGGCTTGGTGTCATCTTTCTCTGCTGGTTCCTTAGCAGCAGGGGCTGGCATGTTCACATTGACAGAGGCCGTGAGTGGACGCAAAGGCTGACGCGCACTTGCCAGAGAAGGCCGAACAGCTGGTCTTGCAGGGCCCTTGAACATAGGGTCATTCTCTACTTCCCGAACCTCGATCTTCCGGGTACGGTTTGCGACGTTCAAAGAGCTGATGGTATCCAGATGGTAAGATCGAACAGGAGCGAGGTTGAGAATCATCACAGTCAAGCCGTTGTTTTGTCCCAGAGACAGAATTCTAGTCATCTTCGACTCGCGGTATGGAATGCGGTGTTGCTTCTTGTTGATAGCCTCGACACACTGCGCCAGGACGAACAGGCTCTTGTTGATACTGGCCGATTCCACCATGCGCTCCTTGTCGTTCTCGGTCCGTCGATTATCTTCGGAACCTGCAAGATCGATGGCGGAAGCAGTGCTCACGCGAGTATGTTCAGGCGAGGTAACAGTAACCTTCACGCCGAGAATTGCGTGTGATCGTGATGAGTGCGCATTGAGCTGCAAGTATTTTTTAGCAACAAAGCCAACTGCTTGTCTGTATATCAAAATCTTACCTTCGTGGCAGAAGTCGACCGATTGGTATTGGCCTGGTCATAGAGCTGCTCAAACTCCTTCAAAGTTGTACACGGCTTCTCGCTCAAGCCGCAGACCACTGTCTTTCCACCATTGTCGCGAAGGGGAAGGCCCGCCATTGTGCGCTTCTCGGGCGGTTCGAACAGATCGTACACCTTGTCGTTGTAAATCTCATAATAGCTCAGAGCAACGCGCACCGTGGTCTCTCCCTCGCTATCCTTCTCAATCTTCTTAGCGCGCCTATAGACACCACTGAGTAGTCGAGGAATCACACCCCTGTCCGCCAGGGTTTTACCGCCGCGCATTGTATGTGTTTTTCCTGTTCCAGTAACACCATATGCAAACAACGTGACGTCGAATCCGTTCATGAGGTGCTTGATTGTTGGTGCCACTGTCATTCAAGTCAATATATTGGCCTATAGTCGTCCATGGGGTCGGCATCCGACTCACCCTCGGCATCAAACAATTCCTGCTGTGAAACTTCCGCGTCGTACACCCCATTGAACTGAAAGGCGTATTCTTCGCCCTCATTCTTAGGATTGGGGATCCGCACAACATTGTCTCTATCCCTCAAAGCGGCCAATTTCTTGTCGCTCTTCTCGCCGATGCTGGAAAGACGCGATTTATCGGTGGCAGCTGATCCTGTGCGCAGGATAACATCAAGGTCTCTTTCAGATTTGAGGAGCGGGCGGACACGTGCGACGACTCGGACACTCATTGTGGCGTGGTGGTCATTCGATCCTTTGTTGATGGGCGATATAATCCAATGCAATGCAGGAAAGGACAGACGATAAAAGGGAAATCAAAAGGAGAACAATCAAATCCCCCAAAAGCAAAGAAACGAAACTACCTACTTGTCGACGGATAATGCAGAACTTGAGGTTGGGGAACGTGTGGAGGAGTTCTCTTGTGGTGTGTGTTGTTGGCAGGGCAACCATTGGTTTCTTCCTTGATGGGCATTCTGGAGTACCACCTCACGTCTATAGCCTCCTTCTACTTATGAATCAGTTGGGCCTCATGACAGCTAACAGCAAATAACCAATAATTCAAATGTGGTTAGTAAATCGCCCAAGTATCGTTCCAATCCGTGCGTAGAGCGTTCACGGACCAATTCTACTACAAGTCACCTTTATATACCTTTGTATCCTCAATATTGTATATATATACCTCGTGTCCTCTGATTGGTGTTTGAATAGTGTATGATTCTCGCTGTTTGAAAATTGTGGTGACCTGTTGTGGCATGTAGAAGCGTAGTTATGAAGTTAGCCAACTGAAATTGGGCTTGAATATATATCAATAAACCAATATGTTGTTTTGGTCCTACTTCGTTCCTCCAAGGCAAAAATACAAGACAAACATAGAAACAAACACCAATCAACCTAATGACTTTTCCTGCAAGATATACATGGATGTATATTATATGTTATACCTCAATATGATACCAGGTAGCCGGATGTTGTAACCATGCGATACTGAGGTCAAGCTCTCTCAATTTGACCGACTACTGGCAACCAGCCCCTGCGATATCATGATTCATCAATTGTATGTACTAAATTTCTATCTGCTTTATATCAATTGAAGTATAGAATTGTGCAGTTAACCCCTCGTCACATGGTATCTGGCCTCTGATTGGCTGGGGCAACGCAACCTAAAGGCCACCGTAGACCATCACCGCCTCTCCCACACTCCCTTGGCTTCTTTTGGTGAGCCTCTTGTCACGTACTTTCTTATCCCTGATTTGTTGGTACAGCTTTCCCTGTGCGTAAGCTATTCTCTTCCCCAGTGTTGTTTGGCCGACCAGAAACTGATTGTGGGGGCCCAGGAGCTGTAACCACCTCCTATCAACACCCCGAGTCCGTGCCGGGTGCGATCTCTCCTTCTCCCAAAACTTCCAGTCTAACTTCACACACCCTACCCGACCTCTATGGCAGCACCACAAGGGGGTTACCCTCCCCAGGAAGGGTATGGCCAGCCCGCCTACGGTACCCCGGAACCGACACAGTCCCCCGTCCATGCGCAAGGTGCGCCTCCACCAGCAGCTGGTGGAAAGAAGAAGAGAGCCTACGCCGGTGAAGCCTTTGACTTCGGTTCGGGAGCCAATGCCGCGCTTGGTGGACAGCCCACAGCTGGGGGTGCCTACGGAGCTTACCCCCAACAGCCACAGGCCGCAGGATACCAGCAACCCGCCTACGGTGCGGACCCCAGCCAGATGCAGGCCGCGGCTCCAGCATACGGTTCGCCTGCTGTTCCTGATGTCTCGCAGATGACACAGCAGTTCGGCGCAATGGGCATGGTAGAGCCGCACCACATGCCACCCCCGCAACCCGTGGCCCAAGCCCCTATGCGCCCTCAAGTCCAGCTCAACCAGCTCTACCCAACAGATCTTCGCTCTCAGCCTTTCAATGTTGCTGAATTGGACTACCCCCCTCCACCAATTATCTTGCCCCCGGGAGTATGTGATATACCATGTGCAAACGATCGAGATGCTGACAATTGACAGACTAGTGTTTACCCGTCTCCCGAGGCTAACTGCCCTACGAAATATATGCGCTCCACACTGAACGCAGTGCCAACAACTAATTCGCTCCTGAAGAAATCCAAGTTGCCCTTCGCTCTCGTCATCCAACCTTACGCTTCTCTTCACGATGCCGAGGACCCCATTCCTGTGATTCCCGACCAAGTGATCTCACGATGCCGTCGCTGCCGTTCCTACATCAACCCCTTCGTTACCTTCCTCGACCATGGCCACCGCTGGCGTTGTAACATGTGTAACCTGACAAACGATGTGCCCCAGGCCTTCGATTGGGATTCTACATTGCAGAAGCCTGCCGATCGTGCTCTGCGCCCCGACCTCAACCACAGCATGGTGGAATTTGTTGCGCCGCAAGAGTATATGGTCCGCCCACCGCAGCCTCTCGTCTACCTTTTCCTGATCGATGTGAGCTATTCAGCTGTGACCAACGGTCTTTTGGCAACCACGGCACGCACTATCAAGGAGAGTCTCGACCGCATTCCCAACGCAGACCGGCGGACACGTCTCGGTTTCATTGCAGTAGACTCGAGCTTGCACTACTTCAGCATCCCCCGGGACAACTCAGAGACTTCGGACCCCCGAATGTTGGTTGTCAGTGACTTGGACGAGCCTTTCCTCCCAATCCCTGGTGATCTCCTGGTGACACTCAGTGAATGCCGGGACAACATCGACGTCTTCCTTGACAAGCTGCAAGAAATGTTCCAGAACACCCAGAACAATAGCTGCGCCATGGGCTCGGCCTTGCGCGCCGGTTATAAGCTGATCTCCCCTGTTGGAGGAAAGATGACCGTTTTGAGTGCGTCATTGCCTAACATCGGCCATGGAGCACTCACCATGAGAGAAGATAAGAAGGTGCTGGGCACCAGTAAAGAGTCGGGTCTGCTTCAGACAGGAAACTCCTTCTACAAGAGCTTCGCAGTCGAATGCTCCAAGGCACAGGTTTCCGTGGACATGTTCCTCTTCTCATCTCAATACCAGGATGTGGCATCTCTGAGCAACTTGCCCCGCTACACTGGCGGTCAAACCTACTTCTACCCTGGCTGGAGCGGTGCACGGACGGAGGATGCCATGAAGTTCTACCGTGAATTCTCCGATTACCTGTCTTCAGAGATCGGCTTGGAGGCTGTTCTCCGTGTGCGTGCTACCACTGGTCTCCGCATGAGCACCTTCTACGGTAACTTCTTCAACCGCAGCTCAGATCTCTGTGCCTTCCCTGCCTTCCCTCGTGACCAGGCCTACGTGGTCGAGGTGGCCATTGACGAGACTGTCACAAAGCCGGTTGTCTGCATGCAGGCAGCTGTCCTCCACACTACCTGCAACGGTGAACGTCGTATCCGTGTGTTGACCCTCGCGCTGCCCACTACCACCAACCTGGCAGATATCTATGCCTCTGCCGACCAGCAGGCTATCGCTACATTCTTCAGTCACAAGGCCGTCGAGCGCACATTGAGCAGTGGCCTCGAGCCCGCTCGTGAAGCTCTCCAAGCTAAGATGGTAGAGCTCTTGCAGACATACCGCAAGGAGCTCGCCGGTGGCAGCGTCAGCGGTGGTGGCCTTCAGTTCCCTGCCAACATGAGAGCATTGCCTGTCCTGTTCCTTGCCATGATGAAGAACGTGAGTGTTTCGATCCCTCCAGTTGCAATCCTCTATTGACATTTTCTTTCTAGCTTGGTCTTCGCAAGTCCGCCCAAATCCCAACAGATATGCGCTCTGCCGCACTCTGTCTCCTGTCAACCTTGCCTTTGCCGCTCCTCATTCAATACATCTACCCTCGGATGTACTCTCTCCATGACATGCCCGACAACGCTGGTGTGCCCGACGAGCAGACTGGCCAGATCGTCCTCCCCCCTGCCGTCAACCTTTCCTCCGGCCGCATCGTCCCCTACGGCCTGTACCTCATCGACGATGGCCAAACCCAGTTCCTCTGGGTTGGCCGTGACGCCGTGCCCCAGCTCGTCGAGGACGTCTTCGGTGTGCCCGACAAGACGCAGGTTATGGTGGGCAAGCAGATCCTCCCCGACCTGGAGAACGAGTTCAACCAGCGCGTGCGGGCTGTCGTGGAGAAGAGCCGGGATCACCGGGCCAAGGGCGTCGGCAGCATGATCGTGCCACACCTGTACGTGGTGCGGGAAGACGGCGAGCCGGGCCTGCGCCTCTGGGCCCTGACCATGTTGGTCGAGGACCGTGCCGACCAGAGCGTCAGCCTGGACCAGTGGATGGGTACATTGCAGGAGAAGGTTTGAGTCCTCTGCTCTGGCGGTGTCAGCCAGCACTGACGATGACATCAGGTCGTGCAGTAATGTTCGCTGAATGCTCGCTGTCCGTGTACCATCACCTCGGGAAAATTGAGTGGCATGTTTGGATTTATCTAGTAGATGGTGGGGATATAGCCTGCTGTACTCGCTCTGGTATTACCTCAGAGCCAATGAGTTTTTACGAGTCTGAATATCTATCAGTGTGTATATCCGTCGTACTTGTATCCGTAGTCTCCATAACAGTGGAGATAATACCTCTTTCAGCCTCTCACAGTCTACTCCATAATCTTGAAAATGGAAAATAGCCATATTATGGCCAGTGTGACCGAGTGGTTTAAGGTGCCAGATTTAAGATTCTTCAAAAGAATAAAACCCTGGTGGGGCAACCCGCGCGAGTTCGAACCTCGTCGCTGGCATTTTTTTTATGTTTGCCCATAGAAATGTCATTCAACTCTAACTTGGTCCTTCGCCCCTATCCGTAACCTAGACTGTTTTACCTGAATCTTAGTGTCTCCGGGTGGCTCTCAATAGTGCCTCCAATCCAATCAGTGGGGCTCCCCTTGAGACTAGTGAAACCACCCTCCTCTCCAATCAGAATAACACTGCCAAAGTTGTGATTGTGACAAGTTTCGTCTCCCACGCAGTAGCGCCCTGACACCGGGCCAAGTGTGATGCGACAGGAAGACTTTGGCGCTGTGGCGGGGGTTACCTGCAGGCTACCTGGATTTGGGTCTGAATGGCCGGGTCGGTCAGGTACCCCTCAAGTACCCCTCAGGTGGGGAGAGGTGACCCAAGGTTCAGGGGGATACCATCAACTTAGATCTATCTTTCGTTCTTTGAATAGCTTCTCTTCTCTCGCATCTCCCATTTCTATTCCCTACACTCCCCCTAACTAGTACTCTTCTGGTTAATTCCAAATTGTCTTAGCCTCCACAGCTATTGCCCCACTATCTCTCGTAAGTTGTTTCTCCAGCTTCACTTCCTTTCTTCTCTCTCCTGCCTCGCACCCTGTAAGGGATCCGCACTCCGCTTTGAAGCATCTTGGCTGGACCTCACTAACCATGCCACATTTCTAGACCGAGCTTCCCGTGCATCTGGACATCACCGGTATCTGCCTCACCTTCTCTCGACACCAGCCTAAAGTGTGAGCGTCAATTCACTTGCGCAAACGAATGTAAGACTTGTCTCTCGGTTCTTTGTGCGATAGCTGCGCTTGCGCTACCGAGCTCGGGACTGTTCGCCATTGCCTGGATTTCTTTGCGACTGCCCAGTCCGTGTGCGCGTTCACCGTGTTTTTCTTCCCGGTCCCGGTCGTTTGCCCACGGATTGTTGATGTTCCCCTCGATTCCCGTGGATGTGCCGTCAAGACCTTGAAGCTAATACCTCAACGCCTCAGCCTCACTACGATCCAGTCGATATGGGTCAGCAGAACCCTCCCGCGGGAGGATCTCGAAAGATCTCCTTCAATGTATCCGATCAATATGAAATCCAAGATGTTATCGGCGAAGGCGCCTATGGAGTTGTGTGGTAAGTCGTGCGAGTCTCTCCACAGAGCTCCTCTGACATATTCAGCTCTGCCATTCACAAGCCCTCGGGTCAGAAGGTCGCTATCAAGAAGATCACACCATTCGACCACTCCATGTTCTGTCTGCGAACCCTCCGTGAGATGAAGCTGCTGCGATACTTTAACCACGAAAACATTATCTCGATCCTGGATATCCAACGACCCCGCAACTACGAGGGATTCAACGAAGTTTATCTGATCCAAGTACGTCGGGAGTGATCAAGATCAGATACATGCATAAGATTGGGTACTAATCATAACTGCAGGAGCTGATGGAAACTGATATGCATCGCGTTATTCGTACACAAGATCTCTCCGACGACCACTGCCAATACTTCATCTACCAGACCCTGCGAGCGCTCAAGGCTATGCACTCCGCCAACGTCCTCCACCGAGACCTCAAGCCCTCCAACCTCCTGCTCAACGCCAACTGCGATTTGAAAGTCTGCGACTTCGGTCTAGCACGTTCGGCCGCTTCCACCGACGACAACTCCGGATTCATGACAGAATATGTGGCTACGCGCTGGTACCGTGCGCCCGAAATCATGTTGACATTCAAGGAATACACCAAAGCCATTGATGTGTGGAGTGTCGGCTGTATATTGGCCGAGATGCTGAGCGGGAAGCCTCTATTCCCTGGCAAGGATTGTATGTTCAACTGGCCCAGATGTGAAAGCATAACTAACGTCTCCAGATCACCACCAGTTGACCCTCATCCTGGACGTCCTCGGCACACCCACTATGGAAGACTACTACGGCATCAAATCGCGCCGTGCCCGTGAATACATCCGCTCCCTCCCCTTTAAGAAGAAGATCCCCTTCCGCGCCCTCTTCCCCAAGAGCAACGACCTGGCTCTCGACCTGCTCGAGAAGCTACTCGCTTTCAACCCCGCCAAGCGTATCTCCGTCGAAGATGCCCTGCGCCACCCGTACCTCGAGCCATACCACGATCCCGATGATGAGCCAACTGCGCCGCCTATCCCCGATGGATTCTTTGATTTCGACAAGAACAAGGATGCATTGAGCAAGGAGCAGTTGAAGGGCGGGTCTCCCTTATCCATAATCTTTCCTGCATATACTGACGACCTATATAGTTCTGATCTACGAGGAAATCATGCGATAAATTCGAATCTTCAAAGATCGAGAATGTCGGAGTCGATTCTATTTTATTCTGCACGCACTTGAACTTGGACAGCGTGTGATTTATCATGTTAGAGGTAGCAGGACCACTCCAAATATGATTCTTCAATACTCCCCACGTGCAGCGTAAGGGTATCCTTTTCATACAGGTTAGGCTAAAGGGACATCTTATAGATTGATTGGTTGTTCTACAGTTCTCTGCATATATACAAATCTCTAATCTCCCTCACAGTTCACTCATAAACCTCTCAATCCCCTCGGCAACACCCTCGGGACTAGGCTTCGGCGCACAAACATGCGCCTCGAACCCGAATGCCTGTCGTAGATGATCCCGCGTCGTAGGTCCAATCGTAGCAACAAAGACCCGTCGTCCAGTCTTGCTCTCTACACCAACCCCAGATGAAGACCCAGAGATAGATTCAGAAGAAGAAAAGGGCCCCAAGCCCAGAACCCGCAACATAGCCTCACACCCCGTCGGCGAAAACACAACCACCCAAACCACAGCCTCCCTCTTCACAACCTCCACCCCAACATCCGAATCTTGATCCCGAATCCGCCGTAAACACTCCCCCAAATTACCCTCAAAAGAATCCATCACACCCGTTTCATACACGACCAATTCCTCAACCCCAATTTGACCCATCCCAAGGTCAGGATTCATCAGTGTTTTCGGAATAATATCACGTCGAACTTCACCGACGAGGAAGAGCAGTGCTGGCTTGGTACCCGAGGTAGATGTGGAAGGGTATAATCCATTATAATGCTCCAGAATCATATGTGCGAGAACCTCGCCTGTCCCGGCGTCTGCGCCGTAGATCGTTGCGTGCGGTAGGTGTTTGTTTCGGAGGGTTGTTAGGCTCCGGGCTGTTGCTGGTCCGACTGTGTAGAGGAGGAGTGGGGGTTCATTTGTGGATTGGGTCGCAATGTTGAGTGGTACTGAAGTTATTGTTAGTTTACATCCTGTGCTTGTATGGGAGTTGAGTTGGGGTATGGGGTAGTCCTACCATCTTTCTCATCTTCAATCATCTTCGCGAATCCTTCTACGGCGCGCTGGCTGGTAAAGATGAGACCGCCGTATTTTCGGGTCTTGTTTTCATTGCCATAGCCATATCCGTTGCCATTGGGTTCGCCATTGGGGGAGGGATTCCCAAAAGCACCGGAAACGAACAAGTCCCGTACTTTATTCAAGTTCTCGGTGTGGAAGCGGTGTTCGAGGACGGGGACAAAGGTTGGATCGTAGTTTTGTGATAGGAGGTCTTGGTAGCCATCGTGAGGGGTGGATTTCGTTTTTAGCAGGAGGATTGGAGGCATGGTGGGTGTTAGAGGTGAAGGGAAGTTCGAATTTGGAGGAGTTGGATATCTTATCGGTTGCGGGGAGACTCCAAGGCTCTTGAGCTGCTGTTTTATTGGTTGTACTTTTACATTGGGATTATCTGTTGCTTTTGTATATATTGAATTGAGGCAAATCGGATTGGATACAGTCCGCCTGTCTCTATTTTTTGCAGTTTGGTCGAATGCCACTGAGAGTAGGATGGGCAACTATACTCTCACATAAGCCTTGTCAATCAGACACTACCTATGGCATTATCCCTGGGAACTTACGAGGACAATCTCACTACTCTTTCAAATTCCAAACACAAGGAAATCAGATTGAGTCTAGGAATCGGCTTATATACACATTTAAAAACACAAACTACTGATCGTCCAGCACGTGCAGGTACTTCTTCTCCTCGCGAGTCTCACGCTCCGTGGCAGGAGGGAGATCGTAGTAGGAAGCACTGCGGTAGCCCTGCAGGTAGTGGAAGGTCAGGTTGGCCAGGTCGGCAACCTCCTCCATGCCCAGGTCCTTGAAGGTCTTGGCTGTGGGGTCGATCTCCTGGTCGAGGAACTCGCGCTCCACCTCGTCGGCGGACATAGTGTGCCACCAGAGGTACTTGTTGAGGTAGTGGGCGAGGGGCTTGAGGAGGGGCTTGGGGACGTTGATGTGACGGCGCTTCTTGATGATTTCGCGGTCGACCAGCTCGGCGATCTCGGCGGTGGAGTAGTTCTTGGGGCCATAAAGCTCGAATGTTTGACCAGCGGTGGTGTCGTCGTGCAGCATGCGCTCCAGAGCGGTTCCGACGTCAATGGCCTATGTATGTTAGTTGGCGTTCAATACTGGGCTGTCGGGTGTCTTACGTGAACGGGCCAGTAGCGCTCCTGCATGTGGTTGGCAGTGAAGACGTTGCCAACTCTGGCCAGCTTGTGGAGGAGGTTATCCTCGAAACCGAACATGGGAGCGGGACGGACAATGGTGGTCTCGGGGTAAATGTTGCGGACGATCTCCTCACCCCAGGCCTGGATGAATCAGCATTGCTTGAAATTTTAGCGTTCTCATTGATCACTGACCTTGGTAGCAAAGTACTCAGAGGGCGAGTCCCGGCGGGCATTGTAGGAGGAAACGTGAACGAAACGGTCGACATCGTACTTGGCGACAGCATCCGCGATGCGCTCAACACCGTCAACGTGGACATCCTCGTAGGTAAAGTTCCTGCCATGGTCAACGCTGCTCAACGGGATGTACCAATTCACTCACTTGGTGGGGTATTGGCGGCCGACAAGGTTGTAGACAATGTCGGAGTGACGGACACTCTCCTCGATGGACTGGGTGTTGCGCAAGTCGTATTCCTACAACAGTTAGATACCTCCTTCAAAGACGAAGACAATTAATCTCACCATGAACACAACACGGCCAAGATCACCAGTGACCTTCAAGTGTCTCTTCGCCATCTCCTCACGGTAAGGAACGACGACAGTGCATCCCTGGCGAGCTGCGGGCCATCAGTCACGATCCAAATGCGATATAGCAGCCGCCACCTACCGAGCTTGTTGACAATGTAACGACCAAGGAAACCAGTAGCACCGAAGACGGTCGCAGTGTGACCTAGAAACGAGTGAGCAAAGTGCCGAGGATCAAAGTGGAAGGCTAGCTACCTCCAAGCGAGGAACTGTAGAGCGCGTTAGCAGGCAAGAACAGTGGACCCTTCAGCTTCAATTGATCACTTACCGGCCACCCTGAACCTTCACAAGAGGCTTGCCAGTGCGGGTGATGGCCACATCCTGGAGGCTGCGGCGCTGGAACTGAACCTGAACCCGAGGCGCAAAGGGCCGGGCTAGGGCAGAGTTGATGGTACGGGACTTCTGCATGGTCTCTGATGGAGTGTATCTCTCGAGACCAGCGAATTGGAGCGGAGTGTTGCCAAGAAGGGCGTGGTGATGTGCGATGGGCTTTCGCAGCGTCGAGTCGGAAGAACCGCACGGGACTATTGCGCTAGTCCTGATTCGGAATGCACCCTTTGGGGCAGTAGTAATGCAGCTTCAATATGGCTTCAATGGGCTTGAAATGGTGTATGGGGGTAATTGATGGTGTAATAATATCTTGTGTCTGTTTGATTTATGCATTTTCTCCCTGTGGTGTCCATAATGGTTCAACTCGCCGTTATGATCTGACAACCCGAGGCCTGTGATTGGATGTTCTCCAGGTTTACATACTCTCCTGTATATAAAATGGCTTGCTCTACCCACACAGCATTGATGAGATCTAATATGTATGTATACTGGAGTTCGTCTGCTTTACAGTTTTGACATCATTATTGTTGAATCTAGGCATCTTGGGTATCTGGGAGTTTCTTGTCTACAATAACATATCCATGCCAGAACACAGTACAGAGAAGCAATTTGTATATTAGCACCACCCATCTTTCTGTGAAGATTGATACTTGTTTAATATTTGGTCTCGCGAACCAAGCACTGTAGAGTACACCTCAGAACCACTGTGTGGCCCAGCCATAACCGGATTACCCATGCTACCCATCTGCATAGGACATGCGTGTCCTATACACACGCACCTCGACCCTCATATTTCCACTGCCACAGCCAGCAAAAACCGAAAAAGCACAGAATAATACTACAGAAACAACACCAGACATCACAGTATCCGGCTAACACAAAAAAACAAACGACCGCTGTGTCGCGTTGTGGTTCCAAAGATTGTAAAGAGGAGTATTGTGGGCAAACCACGGTCATCTCTGGTAAAAGGCAAGAAATGAGTTCTGAACTAGCTTGTCCCACTCCTCAGATGCGAGTCCTTTTTACTAGACATATACCCCCTACTTCCACGCTTGGTCCAGACTTTGTGTGTTGGACGGTCGATGTTCGAACGCGCCCTCCCGCGACTTATTTTATTTATTCGACCCCGCATAGCTTACCCGACCCAAGAACAGCTTGACAAGACCTGTAACTTTATACAATTCCACCTGACACATCATGGCTTCTGCTGCTTGTATCTTCTGCAAAATTATCAAGGGTATGATCATTCCATCAATCCTCTCACTGCTCCCCAGTTGGATTTGGCGTTTGCGCATTCGCGTGGCCGTGGACGAGACGTCATCGACTGAAGTCAGTGAAGCAACGGCGCTGACACTCCAGTTGTATAGGTGATATCCCCTCCTTCAAGGTCTTCGAGAGTGACAAGGTCTTTGCCTTCCTCGATATCCAGCCGCTGAGCCGTGGCCATGCGGTGCGCATTCCCCTCTCTCCCCCGCATTCAGTGTGTCCGTGGTAAAACCACTGCTGTGCTTCATCCGGGCCAGCAACTGGACTGGATAATCTCCAATGGAGTGCACAGAATAAAGACGAGGAGCATCTAGCTGACAAAGTTACAGCTCGTCATCCCCAAGTTCCACGGCGCCAAGTTGACCGATATCCCCGACGAGGACCTGCTCGAGATTCTGGTGAGTGGCACCGATCATAACTCCGGATGATGAGAAGGAAAGGATGAATGAAGAAAGAGAGATATACTTCCAAGCCCGGCTTATGATCGACGCGGGGCTGCGTTGCATCACTGGCCCAGATTGTCCCCCAAGGTCCCTGGGGTATCACCGGGACAAGAAAACGCTAACCAGATGATGTACAGCCCGTCGCGAAGAAGATTGCCAAGGCTAGCGGTGCCACTGATTTCAATATCTTGCAGAACAACGGCCGCATTGCGCACCAGGTTGTTGACCATGTATGTTGGAATCCCCGCATTGATATGTTATATAGTGCTGTGCTGACGCTTTCATTCAGGTTCACTTCCACATGGTATGTTCAATATATCAGATCACTGCTTCCTTCGTAGCTTTGAGATTGGTGTGGCTTATATACTAACGAGGCATTTAGATCCCCAAGCCCAATGAGGAGGAGGGCATGACTATTGGCTGGCCTACCCAGGCTACTGATATGGACAAGCTCAAGGCTCTCCATGAGGAGATCAAGTCCAAGATGTAAGGTAGTCTATTTGAACTTTGAGTAAAAGCCAAACGTCAAAATGGGAGCGTTATCCCAGTTCGACATAACCGTCAAGCAACAATCTAGTCAATGAACCCATTCGCAGATAACGACCCGAACTTACCATAACCATGTATTCTCTCTAGCCGGTTACCCCAAAACCATATCTGTATATGTATATACTACAAAATGCCAAACCAGATTCTAAATATCCAACAAAACCAAGTAGGAGACAACATCAACATACTATCAAACCAAAACCAAACTCAACTCAATTATGCAGAAGCATCTTTCTTCTCAGCACCGGGATAGAATTCAATCTTTCCATCCCCCTTGACAATACCAGTCCGATCATACAGCGAGCGAGCACGCACATAAGGGTCAATAACCCAGTACTGCTTTCGAAGCTTCTCAACCAACTCATTACGCTTCTCCTCGGCAGACGAGACTGCAGCAGTCTCCTTCTTGAAGCTGGCACGGATCCACTCGATGGTGACATCTTGGATCTCCTTGGCCAGCTGTTGACGTTCGGCTTGGAGGGTGTCGCGGGTTTCCTTGTCGGCCATCTTGGGGTTCTCATCGCCCGTGATCTCGACGTACTTGTATTCCCAGTCTTCGTCGCCTTCGAGTTCCTTCAACATCTGGCTGGGGTGGATGAATTTTTCGAGATCCGAACGATTCTTCGTGAAGTGGATTTTGGCTGCGACTACTGGGTCGAGCCAGCCCTTGATTACGCTCCAGATGCCTGTGGTCACGTCAGAATTATGTATCGTAGGTGAATAGGGAAAGGGGACGAACTCGAGAAGAGCCAGGGTGCCTTGTGGATGAGGACTGTTCCGAGGGATTCGGGGTAGTTAGCCTCGAAGCACTTGATCATGAACTTGACAGGAGCATAGTCCTAGAAGATGTTAGTACCTTAGCCAAACCAATAAACTAACAGAACAGAACCATACCATGTTAGCAATACCAAAGTCAGTCATATCAAAGACAATGGTAGCAGTCTCAATAGGCGGCGCAAGCAACAAGCGCGCAGTCTCAATGGTATAAACAGTGAATCGCTCCAGACCCTCATTATCCTGATCACCAGCCTTATGCAACCTAACCCTGACAACACAGATAGGCCGACCAGCCCGATCAACCCCATGCAAGAAACTCTTTCCCAGACGCATCTGGGTCAGGAAATCCTCGCCCTTCTTCTTTTCCTTGGGATCAGAACCCTGCGATTGCTTCAGCGCAAGTGCTTCACCGTTGAACATGATATCGTCGTCGACGTGCATCTCCTGCAGGCGCCAGCGCATCGTCGAGATCAGCATCACGAGCGCTTTCTTCGTGTCCCACTTGCGTGCGCGCAGGAATCGGAGGAGCAGGCTGTCTGGGTTGTCGCCTTTCACCATGCTCCAGAAGGCTGTCCGGATTTCTTCTGGTTTCATGTCTTCCAGGGCTTGCTTGTATTCCTTTGACTGGCCGTACTTGTCTTCGCCTTCTGGTGCGGCGATTGGCGAGGCGCTGCTATTATCTTCATCTTTGCTGCCCCAGATTGACCACTTGCCCTTGGATTTCTTCTTGTCAGTCGTTGCGGGGGCGGCGGCTTCGCTGGTCGATTGGCGGCTTGGGGCATCAATGTCGCCGAGGTTTAGACCGAAGACTTTCAGGGCTAGGACCCAGAATTCTTTCAGCTTGATCTCTTGCTCTGGGGTGAGGTTCCCGACTGTTCCGGGGGCTGGTTCGGCGGCCATCGTGAGGGTATCAATTATGCCGAGGACGTTCTGAGATTGTTCTTGTCGAGGGAATCGGGGCGATGGAGCGTCGACTGTCTTTGGGTTGTAGTATCTGTCCTGGAGCCAGGCGCCTCCTCCAACTGCTAGAAGGGTGAATGAAATGGTCCAAAAAGACGAGGCCTTTCTGGGGTCTGGGTACGTGGAGTAGGATCGAAAAGAACGTCGAGGGAAGGGTTTGGCCGAGGAATAAAGACGGCAGAGAGACGAGCCAGCACGCATAAGCAGGGTGGCTGTGTGGTGTAGTGTAGTGTACAAGTGTAGTGCGGAAGAGAAGAAGAATCAAGGAGGCAAATGAAAATGACGATGCGGGGAAGATCTTCGACAGACGAATTACTATACTCTTTTCATACTTCATGCATATTTAAGAGTTGACTTACTATATCAATCAACATACATTGACTACTACATAGTTAACATTGTCGCGTGTGCCCAACCCGTTACTCTGGAGATCAACACTCCCCTCCGCAAATCACTAAAGTCGAGAAACAAATTGCCTCTCTACCGTACACAAACACAACACTCGACTGAAACACAACCTCTAGCTCACCTATACACACAAAAACACATACACAATGGACAGACCACGATCAACCTCGCGCCCTCGCCCCTCCTCACGACCAACAACACCCCTCCGTCCAAGCTCGCGCTCATCATTACGAGAAGCCCACGGCTACGGAAACAGCATCGGCACTGCAGGATACACACAGCCGGCCATAAATGCCCTGGAACCACAATTCGCCGAGCTGGCCGACTCCATGGCCGACCTGGAGGCCAACTTCATGCACCTACAGCTGATGCACGAGAGCCTGACGCGCTTCAGCGAGAGCTTTGCCAGTTTCCTCTACGGATTGAATATGAATGCCTTCTGTGTTGATTTTCCCGAGGTATGATCAAGGACGTGTGAGGAATACTGCGCGACTTGGGTACTGATGCTTTGCATAGGCGCCCATTGGCGATTCTTTCAAGAGGGCTAAACAGCAGGAGCAAGAGAAAGGTACGAGGATAGGAACTGTGCCATGGTGCAGTCTTGCTAATTGATTCTACAGAGGAAGAAGAAGAACCTGCGCGACCGGTTGATGATGGCGAGATGACTTTTATGTGAGTGGGCCGTTGAACTGGACGATTGGCCGATTGGCATAACGTCGGACTCTGGCTGACCATTTTCGCTTTACAGGACTACCGATACGACCTTTGTTGAGAATCCCCCCAGCACTGTATCCTCCAAACCGACCTCCAAGTACAGCGCAGGTGGGCGCGTCGCATCGCGAGGTACTGGTAGTGCCCGTGGAGGCGCGACTAGTCGATACACGTCCCGAGGGACTGCGCGTGGTGCTGCGCGTGGTGCTCGCCCAAGTGCCCTGCCTCGAGGAAGGGGCACTGGGACGAGGTAGAGAGTTGTCGTTATGATGTGATGAGAAGTGCCCATACCAGAGACATCGGAGCGTAGCGCATTTGCATTCGTCCATGTGACAGGCCATGCGCATGATCAGGTGATAGTCTTGCGACGTCGAGATAGACTTTTACGATGGATCGTTTATATCGGACCTGACCTTAGCTCTCATGCTCTGATGCTCCTATGTCCTGTTGCCCTATGCCTTATGCCCCGTCTCTCTGGTGTACCTGTATCTACAGCTTATGATTCCCATAGACATGAACATTATTGAGCTAGTAAGCGCGACAGGTTGTACGACATGAATAGAGGCTCTAAGCGCCGAGTCAAATACATCCATATAAGTTGGTCTAATACACTTAAGTCTGCACGTATAGCTGCTTCTGCCAATCTCCGGCGGTAAATCGGAGGGGCGAAAAACCACCGCCCGCAACCTCCGACAATCAACCAACAGAATCAGAGACATCCATTGTGTCTGAATAGATTGGTCAGTCTATTGTTGAGACTGCTATTCACCCGAGTCAACTGTTCTCCAAGGTTGTGAGTGGACTCTATTCATCCGGCCATTGCCTATTGTCTCTCCTTTCATCCGCCATGAGCCCTTTGGTCTATATTGTATTGATTGCAGCTGACATTCTATAGTTGCAATGCTGGCCCTATTCAGGGGGAGTCCTTGAGGCTAGACGTTGCTTCTGATCCAGTCTATCCCTTGTATCTTGGATCTTTGCATTCAACATCTGGATAGAGGGAGCTTAGTTTGGCATTTGCGTGCCATTGCATATCACTTGTCTGCTACATCTGATCTCATCCCTATTGTCTTATTCTCTCCAGCCTTTCATCTTTTCATACTTTCAATTTTCCCATTCCTTTTCTCTACTTCCCCTTGATTGCCTGATCCATCTCGTCAGTATGGCGACTCTCGATTCTGTGCAAATTCTCTCCGAGGCAGCATTCGGCTGTGGTAAGTACTGATTGTGGTCTTAGTCTTCTTCCATGCTGACTTCGGTAGAACATCTTGCGGCCTTTCTCTCCAAGGACGAGAAGACTGCTGGCCAATTCAAGAATGAGTTTCGCAAGCATGACAGGATGCTGGCTCCGTACTCCAAGACCGAGACGGTTGCCGTTCCAACCACTGGTCTCCGAACGGTCGAGTCTTTAAAGCCAAAGTATCACTGCTTGAGCTGCTCAGAAGTTTGCTTGAGCACGAAACGGAAGGCACATACCGCAGAAACTGGGCATCAATTTTGTATGCTGGCATCGTCCTTCACTGCTGTTCGTTACTGACGCACACCAGACATGGAATCACGCAGCCGCTATCTCTTCTGTGAAAGCTGCAAAGATTTTATTTATGACCATGGTCTGGACAGAATCCGTGGTCCATCAGGAAAGTTTGATATTGGTGGTGGGTTCAGACAATTCCGCAATACCCCAATACACCATGTTTCTCAGGAACTGACGTCTTGTAGAAGGTCGAGCGATTTGGGCCGAGGACTCAGCCTCCGAGGTCTATGTCAAGAACAATGCTTACAAGAACCCATGCATGAAGCGAGGAGCTCGTGGCGTATGGAACATGGGACAGACCTGCTATCAAGCCGTTATTCTTCAAGCTCTCCTCCACGACCCGAGTCTTAATGCTTATTTCCTGGCGGGTGGGCATGACGTTCACACATGCCAGAAGCCATCTTGTCTTGCCTGTGCCACCGCCGAGGTATTCACCGATTTCAACAGCGGCGAGCGAGCCGAGGCCGTATCAGCCGCTACTCTCCTTTACTACGGTTGGGATATGTCCAAGGTATGTGGCATCAGATGATTAATTAGAACAGCCAGCTAACTACTTCACTCTTAGGAAATGGCTGGATACCGCCAGCAAGATGCACACGAATACTTCCAATTCCTAGTCAACGGTCTCCACTCCTGCACACCCGGCCACGCTGAGAGCTACGACAAGCAATGCACCTGTTTCTTCCATCAGATGTTTTACGGCGAGCTACGTAGCAGCGTCATGTGTCACAAATGTGGCCAGACAACTAACACCCACGACCCAATGGCCGATCTCAGTCTTGATGTCCAGCTCCAGAACAAGAAGCGCAAACTGGGTCGCGCGACTACCTCTTCTACTGCTACTTTGATCGGCTGTCTTGAGAGCTTCACTGCAGCTGAGGATCTCCACGCAGATGCACCCTATCACTGCGAGAAATGTGGTAACACTCCCCAGCGCGCTTCGAAGCGTCTCCAAATTCGCAAGTTGCCTGTCATTCTGTGCATGCAACTGAAGGTTTGTGTCATTCCATATAACTCATTTCGTCCCATCGTAACTTACTTCTACAGCGTTATGAACACACCTCAGCCTCATCGGAGAAAGTGGATGGCCACATCGATTTCCCTCTAACAGTCAACATGCTCCCTTACACCGTGAAGAAGGATAACCAGCCGGTTGATATGTCCAAATACATTTACGAACTCTCGACCGTCATCGTTCACCAAGGAACAATGGATACAGGTCATTACTTTGCCTACACTCGTCTTGGAGGTGATAAGGTTTGTACACCCTCTCCTATCCTCTCATTTGTTTTCTGCATATTCTAATATTCTCTGCTCCAGTGGGTACTGATGGATGACAACAAAGTCACCGTCGCCAGCGTTGCCGATGTCCTCCGCCAGGACGCTTATCTCTTGTTTTATAGCATTCGTTCTGTTCGCTCTGATGTGCGACGATAGGTGGTGCTTTGATATGGGATGGTATGCTAATTGAATCCTGGAAGGAACATCGGGAAAATTACTACAGATCATTATGGAACTATGGGATGGCGTTTTTGCTTTGAGATGCATTCATTGTACAGATTAGAACCCGGGGTTTATTTACTTTCTATGAAATTGATTATGTTGTTACCGCTTGCTTTACTGTCGGGCATTTGTAGTGAAGTCCTGTCGTGTAGTGCCGAAGGCCTTTGACGGTTGTCGACTTTATGTTTGGCCTGGAAGGAATATAAAAGAATTAGTACAGTATAAGGGTCCACCGACAGCTTACAGCCCTACGAAATAGCATGCATGGACACAATGGTCTAGAATGTCCATCCCATGCAAGCCAAATATACAGAGGTCCCAAGACAAGACAGAAACAGAGTACTACTCCATCCCACCCAATCCAGACCCCTCAAATCGCACTCAAACAGAGCCGTTACTCGAGTTATCAGAGAAGGAAGAAAACCCAGAGAAAAATTCCCGTCATTGAAATAGGATAAGGAAAAAACCAGGATTCGGGAATAACATGACATCCTCGTTTTTCACGACTCTTCACAACAACCCCCAAAACCTCCACTCGAGCCAAAGTGAATTTAGAAAGAAGAAAATCCACATCCAAGACATCGTCTCCGACATCTTTTCATTGCATCAAAACATCAAAGAAACATCAAAGACGCCATTTTTGAGCTCGTCTGAAACATTCCTCCACACTGGACGTTTTCCCGTTGTCGACCCGGGCACGTAGATGGATTTCGTGGATGTGAACGGTTCGAGAGGAGGGTGTCGGTGGACATGGGTTTTTTTGGTTCGCTTAGCGGTACTGTTAGGTTTGTTGTTAGTTTGGTTCCTTTTTGTGTATTTCTGTGGTCGTGTCTGAGGGTGGGCGGTGATGTTGTGTCGGGTTCCGTCGTCGAATTTGCATGTCGTTGGTTGTATGGTGTGTATTCAAAGTGGGATTGGAGGTGAAATTGTCGAGCGGAGGGTGAACGAACCTTGTTGAAACCGATGTCTGTGGACTTCTCACGGAAGCACTGACGGCAGATGTTCATCTGTATTCCGATTAGCCACTGGGCTCCAATGCCAAATCATACATTCAAAGTGAATGCCAGGGAAGGTTTCCATACACCGTACTTGCGGATGAGACCGGCGCGGTGGGAGCAGACACGGCTGTTCATCAAACAAGTTAGCAAATCCCATTCCATATCCTTGATCGCTTCCTTTGTTCTCTCTCGGTATCGACTGTTTCCATTCTCGGGGGTTATAGAGGGTGAACGAACCATTCGCGGGAGCCCTTGCCGTACCTATCGGGAACCAGTCAGCTTGATCTTTTTTTTCGAGATTGGGAGCGCCTGTGTGCGCTTGAGGGTTGACTTACTTGCGGGGGCGGCTGTACCAAACGCTCTCGTGAGTCATCTTGAGGTTTTGAAGGCGGGACCTGGGAGTTGACGGGGTTGTTGACGAGACGAGAGTCGGCGGCGCTGGGTGTTGAAGAGTCGAAGGCTTAGATTCAATTTTGCGTTGTGTGCTTCCCGAACGGGGAGGGCACGGGCCACCCGGACTCGCTTATGGGGTTATCATGTAAGCTGGTGCCTCAGGCAGAATTTGTATACTTCGCAGTTTTAGTTTCTTATTTGGACCTCTTGATCTCTTTGATTGTATTATTTGGACTATTCCTGGTTTTGACTGTGAGTCAAGAATGTATGACAGACTGTATGGAGTATGCTCACTCAACTGCTTTAGAGGACCACCCCTTTGAATACAAGGTCGATAATGGTCAATGAGATTAGCATCTGGAAAAGAGCAAAGAGCAGAGCTAGCCCACTGTCCAGTTTAGCTTCATCTTTGTGTCTGGTAACTTCAGTTTGAGACTCGGTCGGACACCATCTCTCATCGTTCATGCGACGCTCGGTCTAGGTTGAAACAACAGGAAGATGGATGATCCGTAGGCATTTAATCTCACTTTTGCAGCCCCTATACGAAGTACGGAGTATATTTGGTAAGTTACATGTATAATAATCAACTTTACGAGTGTCCGGGGTAAACATGCCACTTAAATCAGTAATTAACGTTATGCACAAAATATCATTCATTATAACGCCGAGATGCACCCATGCTGATCAAAACGTTCGATGCATTGGGCACCAATTACCCCTGGCGAACGGCTCGATCAGACCCGAGATGCGGAAGTCGTAGTGCCGGGCTTCCGAAGCTATACTCTTCATGGTGATATTCTTCGAGTCTGTGGGAATGTCGATCGTTTGATGTTAAGAGAATCGGAGATTTGATTCACTATCCGTGTCAAATTTGACATCTCTGACTGATGCTATTCTTTTTACAGTGCCGTGGGTTGTTGATCTTGGGCTTGAATATCGGGTACTCTGGCCTGATACATGGACACTTTAGCACACGCACGTTTGCCATACCGTAAGCTAGCCACTGCACAGTACATGTGCTCACTGCCTCAAAGCCATTGGGACAAACAACATGGATGACAATGCAAGGCATGCAGAGTGGCTTTAGGCCACACCGTATGATCTATAGCATTGACTATCCATAGTGCAAAGCAGGTGTACAGTGCGCGCAAATCGACCAGTCGAGTACGCCGTCGCCAGCCACTCGGGCCTCTATGTACACCTAGGCAATATGAACAAGCGTGAGTCATAGGACAGCTCAAAAACACAAGGTATTCGGAAACTCATCGGACTTAGCGTTCCGTGCTAATTAGTTGCAGATCTAGTGCGTGGCTATATCAGCCTTTCAGGTCTAGAGCCGGATGCCCGCGGATGCCGACCGCCAAGATCCGCGGGTTCGGGCTTGGCCTCGACCTGTGTACGAGACCTCTTCAGAGAAAAGTCGGCTTGGTTGAACTGGTGGAATCTGGAGTGCGTTTACTGTGCACATTGCACAGGCCATGAGGCGCGCTGAGGTTATTGGTGTCTTGTAGTTGGTGATTGGAGCCACATGATGCGATGCAGTGCATCTTCACGAGCTAGTTATCAGCAAGTTGATTGTTAATGATGATCATGCTGTGTAGAGGTAAACTTTAAGCAAGGGCGGATCACATCATCGCGCAGGTTCACGAGGATCCTACTTGGGTAATTTCCTCAAAAAAGTACAAAAATGCCGTGTTCCTGTCTGCCGTTCTCCCGTAAGTCCGTACAACTTCCGAATTTTATATGATATATCCGGACAGACCGGCTACTTCCATAATCCACCAGAATGGGGCCAACTCAAAAGTGCGGCTCGGAGAGCTGAGCGCGAGGGCCGAGACAGGGATGTGAAAGGAGCAGCTGACAGGGGGGGCTGATTTACTCTGGGATTATCTCACTGCTGATTGGAGGGATTGATCCCTACATGTTTGTGCCTTGAACGTCATGGTCACTAGTTTTATAGGACCAAGTAGGCAAGTAGGGCTAGAACTACAGATGCATAAAACTAAGTTAAGAGGATATCCACGTAGATCCACGAAAATCAGCCCATCCAGTGTAGACAGAGGGGAAAACCAGTTCTTCAACGAGCGAGATCAGCGGTGAATCCAGGTCCCAATGGGGCAGAGATCGACTACGTCACAATCCAATGCAATAGAGAAAAGACTGTACATACTTGGCAGGGAGAGCGCAAATTCCAGTCAATGCAGTCATACAATCAGGATGAAGTCAGAGAGAGGCTCCCGAGACTCCCGAGCTAAAACTTTTAGTAAATTATATCGCCAAGACTTCCCAGTCTCCAGCCTGGTGCATTCTTTCATTCTTGCATATTCATTCACAGTGAAGAGGAAGGAAGGAAGGAAGAAAGGGGTAAAGCAAACCATAGGTAAACTGCTTTTGCTACACAGCATCATACTTGTATACTAAGTAATAGAATAAAACGCATACTGTAGAACGGAAATGCCGGAGTCATGGATTCGGCCTTGGGGGGTCCGTGGTGCGTGGCAGAAACGCACCCTGTAATCCCGAAGCATTGGAAATCAGCTTTTTTTATTATTAATTTTTTAAACTATTTACCTGGTTTCTGCATTGCTTTATTAATTCTGTATAAGCCCCGCCTGTAAATCTTGATCCTTATATATTGCATTTCCTCCCGGACCCAGTATACTTCCCTCAGCCCTACAGCTACAGCTTCAGCTTCACCACGTCCACCACCAGCACCACCACTTAACATAGGTGCATGACATCAAGTAGTCCGTCATATTGTGGAGGACTATAAAAATAAGCATAATAGTGGGCCTTGTTACCGGGTTTGGCAGCATCGTTACGTCACGATTCAATAGAGCTTCGACCCTCAGGTTGGAGCTCTACATCTCTGAACTTGCCCTTTTGCATTTCTGCACATAACAGTCACGCGATATCGTTCGCTTCTTCATATACCGTTTCCGCGATGCGGCACATGGCCACTCGAGTCGCCTTGGCGGCAGTCGTCTTCGCTTCACTCGCGACCGCGATTCCTCATGGCGACGATGAATCAATGGACATGGGAATGGACATGGGTGCTAGCACTGCCGTGCCACAGCCTTCCACTACTGCGGCTCATGCTACCCCTGATGGTCCGATGAGCTATTTCGCATATGGGAAGCACTCCAGCTCGATTATTGCGCATATTGCGCTGATGGTTTTGGGCTGGTGCTTTGTTCTTCCTGTTGGTAAGTAGCTTGCGAAACTGGGCCTGCGAAGATGAGACTGATTTCCTGGATTTAGCTGTCATGCTTAGTATTGCGCGTTCTCGCATGGCGCTTCCGTCGCAACTCCTTTTCCTGGTGTTCAACGCTTTCGGTCTCCTGTTCGGCATTATCTATAACGACCAGACGCCCGATCTTTACGAAAACAACGCTCACCACAAGATTGGTTGGGTCATTACATCTGTGATCACAGTCCAGGTCGTTCTGGCTTTGGTCTTTGCATATGCTGGTCGCGGACAGTCAGCTGCGCCGAAGTATGAGCGTGCTGATTTCTTGCCTGCCTCGACTGACGAGCGTGAGCACATGTACCCCAGTGGTGCCGTGCACGAGTACCGCTGGTCTCGCGACAGCGGCCAGGGAACTGACAGCAACTCGCCATCTTGCGAATGGTCTGGGTATGATGATGGCTTTGAGAAGCCCGAAGAGTTGCCTACAAAGTCCTCGGACTCCCGCGGCTGGTTCCAAAAGACCAATGTCGGCCGTTTCCTTGCCGAACATGTGCCTGATATGATCTCCAGCCGCGCTCTTCGTGGCTTGAACCTCGTGTACAACTTTGTCGATCGCATCATTCTTCCCTTTGGCTTTGCCGCTATGGCAACTGGCGCTGTTACCTATGGTGGTATCATGAGAGGCCAGGATGTTTTCAACGGGCTTGCCCACTGGATCAAGGGTGGCATTTTCTTCTGGTATGGCGTTCTCACTCTTGGACGTTATGTCGGCTGCTGGGCAGATCTGGGCTGGGCCTGGAACAAGAAGCCCTCGGCTTCTGTTGTGGGTGCCTGGAAGGCTAAGGTTCCCACTGGCGAGGCGACGGAGTCTTTTGTCATCTTCCTCTATGGAGTCACCAATGTCTTCCTGGAGCATCTGTCCAATGCAGGTGATGAATGGTCACCTACTGATCTCGAGCACGTCTCGATCTCCGTGCTGTTCTTCGGCGGTGGTCTGGTAAGTTCCTTGCAGGTCCCTCTTACATATAGATCAATAGCTAACAACCCTAGCTCGGTATGCTTTTCGAGTCAAACACCATCCGCGATTGGCTCAACAGCACTGTCCTGCAGACCCCCCAGGGTTCATCAGACGAAGCTTGGCAACCACCAAAGACCCAGCGTGTCTCCCTGAACCCAATGCCAGCCCTCATCATTATGCTACTGGGCATGATGATGGGCTCACACCATCAAGACAGCATGACCTCGACAATGGTGCACAAGCAATGGGGCAACATGCTAATGGGCTTCGCCATAGCCCGCGGCATGACCTACGTCCTAATCTACCTCAAGCCACCAACCTCATACCTCCCAGCTCGACCCCCAACCGAAATTATCGCATCCTTCTGTCTGATCTCGGGAGGCCTCATTTTCATGATGAGCGTAAGTAACCCCCTCTGCCTTCATGTTACACACAGTGATCCTAACGAATTTCCAGACTCGCAATGTCATCGAAGCAATGGAGTACTACAAGATAGACGCAATGTTCACCTTCACCATTGGCCTGGGCTTCAGCGCCTTCATTATGGCCTACGAAATCCTCTGCATCGCCCTGAAGGCTTGGGTTGTGAAGCGTGCCCAGCGCCCACAGCCTACCTTCCGCTTCCCGTGAATAATCTGCGCTGGTTTTCCTTTGATACCCCCTGTTCCACTGAGGTGTTTTTTTTTTGTTCTTTTGTTCGGGGTATATGGAGTCTGTGTGTGATTCGACATACTTTTCTCCTGTCCTGTTTGCTCACGGGCATGATATTCGATGTGATATGTTTGATGGCCTAATGTGGTAATAAGGGGCGAGTTTCCACGATATATGTGGTACAGATGTCAGAAATAATGCAATGCCATGTCTATGAATCTCATCTCTGTATATCAGGGTCAGATGTAAGCTGACCCGCTCTAGCGTGTGAACCAAGTCATGTTGAACTTAGTAGAAAGCAGAATATATAAGAGAGCAGGAGACAATCTCATAACCCGTCTTTCACATTCCATTCCAACTCCATAATACAAACATGCCATCCGTCAGACAAAGTCTTGATAATATCCAGCAGCGCATCAGGAATGGGCCTAGCAACAGCAACCGTCCTCCTCGCCCGCGGCGCACACCTAGGAATATGCGATGAAAAAGACGACGGACTCACAACCTTCGCCAACACCCTCAACGAAGAACAACAACGCAGAGTAATCACCCAAACAGTCAACATCACAAACCGACCATCCGTATCATCATTCATAAAGTATAGAAATGACTTCTTCGGCCGAATCGACGGTAGTGCCAACGTCGCCGGAACAGCAGGCCACAAATTAGGCCATGGAGAAATCTGGAAAATTGATTAGAAAGAGTATGGCTTCATCATGGACGTCAACGTGAAGGGTCTTTTCAATTTTCTTGGTGAGGTGTTTAAACCTAGTCCCCTGCAGGAACCTGCTAGTATGTACTCTAAACGGGGATTTGCGAAGGGATCTGTTTATAGTGCTAGTAAGCATGCTGTTATTGGGATGGTTACGGGTGCTGCTATTAAGGTTGGGAGACGGGGGATTCGTGTGAACAGTGTTATGCTGTAAGTTTGAGCCGATATGGATTTGGGATGTTTTGAATTGGTGCTAATCTGGTTTGATTTGTTTAACAGTGTTCCCATCGATACTTCTATGCTTCGTGGCACTGCTCCAGTTGTACCATTCGGTCGACTTGGAATTGCAGCCGAAGTTGCGAATGTCGTTGCGATCCTATTGAGAGAGGAAGTCAGATATTTTACAGGTGCGACTTGGAACTCTCTGGGAGAATGTATATCCTTAGGAGACTTTTGGTGGCAACAAGCACGTCTCCGTGGCGCAATTGGTTAGCGCGTCTGACTGTTAATCAGGAGGTTGGAAGTTCGAGCCTTCCCGGGGACGTTCATTTTTTGCTTTTGTTGCATCTTTTCCTTAAAACATAGATTGTTTTTGTTTCGTCATGATGTTCGATACGAGGGTTTTCGGGCTTTGTTCTTGCACAGATCAATTGTATACCCCGACGTCAAAATTCGACTGAATTTCTAAATGCGGAGTTTAATTTTAACGCCGTGCCGACTGCCGAACGGCAACTCCAAGTCTACAGGAACCAGGTACATACGCTATTTCACCTGGCTTAGTGTAGATTTAGCTGATAGTTGCAAAAACCAAGTACAAGTGAAACTTGACCTCTTTCAGATACTCCAGGTTGCAATTGATAGTAGATGTGCAGTGTAACTTATCAGACCTTAATCAGACCTTAGTAATGTCACGAGGGGCAAGTGGAGCATCGGCCAGTTGATTGGAGAGCAAAGCTATGATAAAATGAGACGGCTTAGCGTTTTATAGGAGGGGCTGTCCTACTTTATTTGCTGGACATTCCTTTTAGTCTCATACATACTTCAAAATGGCCTCTAACCCCCCTAGCACTTGCTGCGCCTCCGGCTTCAAGCACGAGGGTACTCCCGTCGGCGAGACCAAGAACATTGACGGCGGTAAGAGAGCCAATGCATATGATCGATGTCGGTTCATATCAGGGATTGCCGCTAACTGCCCGCAGTCGACACCTACGTTGTCTATCCCAAGGACAACAAGAACCCTGAGACGGCCATTGTTTTCCTGACTGATATCTTCGGTATCTTCTCCAACTCCCAGCTCCTCGCTGATGAGTTCGCCAACAATGGCTACCTCACCGTGATCCCAGATCTCTTCCAGGGTGACAAGATCAGCGTTGCCGACATGGACTCTGGCAAGGTTGACTTCCCCACCTGGCTTCCCAAGCACCAGCCTGATGCTGTGGACCCCGTTGTGGAGAAGACTATCAAGTACGTGCGTGAGACTCTTGGTGTGAAGAAGGTCGCCGCTGTTGGCTACTGCTTCGGCGGTAAGGTATGTGTAGTCGCGATCTGAAGATCCAATTCCCGAGCACTGAAGTGCGAAATGCGAATGATGAACTAGTCGCTAATCTCATTGTCAGTACGTCACCCGCTATCTGAAGCCCAACCAGATCGATGTTGGTTTCTCTGCCCACCCCTCTTTCGTGACCCACGAGGAGCTCGGCGCTATCAAGGGTCCCTTCTCCATTGCCGCTGCTGGTAAGTTGCTTGTTAAATCCCCAAAGAAACACCCGCTCATGTGTCAAACAGAGGTCGACCAGATCTTCACCACCCAACTCCGTCACGAGTCTGAGGAGACCCTCATCAAGACTGCCCAGCCTTGGCAGATCAACCTGTTTAGCGGTGTCAGCCACGGCTTCGCTGTGCGCGCCGATCTGAAGGACCCCAAGCAGAAGTGGGCTAAGGAGCAGGCCTTTGGACAGGCTGTCACTTGGTTTAACCAGTACCTGTAAATAGAACACATGGCATATCAATAACATACTCCGTACAGTACTAAATAAGACCAATCCTCGAGGCTGCATATTTTCCCCAGCCGACGTGCTGTAGATCAGCACGTGACCGATGAACGCGTCCGAAGAACAAGTCATTCGAATTGGCCCGACATCCTAGACCTCGTTCTCACCAGTCTTTCTTAGGATCTCAAATCCAGGATTTTATTCGATTACATTTGATACGGTCTTCTTTTCCAATTTGACGGGTCCCAATATTAGAGATCGCGTGCGCTTCGTGAGTTATCCCTGGGATCTCCGGATGTCGGCCTCTAGCGTGCGACGATTGAAAGAAACAAAAAATCTAACGAGCAACACATCCTGCAGTCATTGTTTGAATTAGGAGTCGATTCGCGAACCTTTGCCCTCTCATATTCACGGACTGCGATCGTTTCTCCTCCAATCGCGCTATCTCTCCATTTCCGCTTCTACTCAACCCGTTCGTCTGTTTGGGCTACCGGATAGACTATATCCCTGTCGATTGCAGTTCTTAGAAAACATGGTGACTCCAACTGCTTTACCCCCGCTACCCTTTAATCCGGGTCGGGTACGAACCTATCTCGTCCGGTTACCGCTGTTCACTCGGTTGGTGTTGCTGATCATCTTGGCCTTCTGGTTGCTCGAGTTGCAAACGATGTGGAGTATTGTGCAATGGGGTGCTTTGATTCCAGAGGAAATTAATTTCGGGACGAGTATGTTTAATTCGTGGTTGAGGGCGCATTGGATTCATGCTGACTGACTGAAGTGTACCGACTTAATACCTACCCTTTCATCCATACCGGCTTTTTCCACGCTCTGTTTAATGCTCTCGCTGTTGCCCCATTGTTGGAGCGCTTCGAGGCTGAACATGGTACCCTGACTGCGGTTGCTTTGTTTGTTGGACGTGAGTGCTTCGGGGAATGATCATGAAGCCGATGTGCTAACATTGGGTTATATAGCTCTGTCGACTGTTCCCGCTGGTCTTTATATCTTGATCGAGAGGGTTATGCTCCACAGGAATACCTCTGTGATCGGTGCAAGGTAGGCTCTCGTTGTTCCAACTGAGATTTCCGAGGCTAATGATATGTAGTGTCTGGGTTTTCCTACTCTTGGGCTCCGAGGCCATCAAGACTTACAAGTCTCACCCCAACTTCAGGTATGATCACTCGAGCAGGAATCGCAAGCTGTCACTAACAATTCCAAGTCTTGGTCCTTACAAGATCCCCACCTGGACTTCGCCTCTGTTCGCCTGTATCGTTGTATCGATCCTGATCTCCAACGTGAGTTTCCTCGGTCATCTCTGCGCAATTCTTGTCGGCTATCTACGTGAGTTTCTCTCTTATCCATTTTATTGCCTTCACTAACGGCCTCAGTCGGTCTCGGATACCTTAAGGTCTTCGTTCCCCCAGAGAAGGTCCTCCGCTGGATCGAGGGCAAGCTGAACCTCCTTGGACGCCTTCCCCACTATGTCTCCGTCGATCAAAAGACGTATGGCCGCTACGGAGTCCTCCCTACCGCCAACCAAGCCAGCGAGCAAACACCCCTGAGCTATCTGGGAACATCGCAACGCCTTGGAGCTTGATTTTCTATTCTTGTATATTATTTTCACCATAGTCTTTTTATTTGCAGAATTGGGGGCATTGGATAATAGCATAGCGTGTGCATAGTCCATAACTGCGCAGTTGGTTTCTATCGTCGGTCGTAAAATCCCCTTCTCCATAAACACCGGAGCTCCAGGTATCTCCACTCGGTGGCTTGTACTTTCAGCAATCAATTTACGTTGTTAATTGGGTTCGCCTTCGCGGCACAGATATTCCCCGATGGTCAGAGGCCAATGGCGTTGAAATGTGAGTCCTGCAGCTAGGAAACCACCTGTCCTCCGCGACAGACAGCTAACACCATGCCAGCCGCAATCCGCAATCTGCGGAATAACCCTCACGCTCTCTTCGTTCGCTTGCCAAATATACTCTCCTTCCTTTGCATCGTCGTCGGCGTAGTCTGGCTCCTCCTCCTACCTCTGAACGAATACTCCCGAAACACCTACATCTCCGAGAATGCGCTCCTACCAGGCCAGGTCCATGCCTATTTCACGGGTAGCGAGCAGAATATCTTCCGTGGATATAAACGGGAGCTAGAGGGATTGTTGAATGAAGGACATAATCGAGGTGGAGAAAAGGATGAGGCGGAAGTGACTGCGGCGTAGGTTAATACAATCAGGAAGCTGGACAACTGCTGATGCTGTATAGGGTCTCGGACAAGGTGCAGTCTATCTTGCAAGCGGCTGGGCTCAAGGTTGCTACGCAGAAGTACGAATATACTTCTGCTGGTATTACGCATCAAGGAGAGAATGACTATGCTATTATCCATGCGCCGCGTGGTGATGCTACAGAGGCCATTGTTTTGGTTGCAGCATGGAAGACAGCTGATGATGAGCTGAATCTCAATGGTGTTACTCTAGCCTTGACTCTGGCGAGATACTTTAAGAGCAAGTTGTATACATCTGCGCGTCGAGGCAAATGCTGACAGTTCGCAGGGTGGTCATTATGGTCCAAGGATATCATTTTCTTAATTACTCCAGACAGTAAGAGCGGAACCCAGGCTTGGATCGATGCTTACCATGACATGCATCCCTCATCAGTGCAACCTCTTCCCTTGAAGAGTGGAGCGTTGCAAGGAGCCTTGGTAATCGAATACCCATTCGAGCACCGTTTCAAGTCTCTTCATATCGTCTACGACGGTGTCAACGGCCAACTACCCAACCTCGACGTGTTCAACACCGCCGTTGCCATTGCAGGAGGGCAGATGGGCATCGGAGCTAACCTGCAAGAGATGTGGACCCACGACGACAGCTACGAGCATCGTCTACAGACCATGTTCCGTGGTATGACCAAGCAGGGCCTTGGGTATGCCACTGGTGCGCACAGCAGCTTCATGCCATACCATATTGATGCTATCACTCTACAGACCAAAGGTGAAGGCTGGGAAGATGAAATGGCCCTCGGCCGCACGATCGAGAGTCTCTGTCGCAGTCTGAACAACCTGCTTGAACATCTGCACCAAAGTTTCTTCTTCTACTTGCTCATGGCCTCTCAGCGCTTTGTTAGTATCGGAACTTATCTTCCGAGTGCCATGCTCATCGCTGGTAACTTCACTATCATGGCTATTGCCTTGTGGATGCGCACTGGCTACTACCTAGAAACCACGCCCAAGACCGAGACCGAGAAGTCATCCGATGAGAAACTCAAGGCCAGTCCCATTGCCGAACGCAAACTGGCTCTTCCCCTCTCGCTCGTTGTTGGTCTCCATCTCCTCGGTCTTGCACCCCTCTGGATCTTCAACAACATCTTCCACCAGGTGAGCCCCAACCCGAAACACATGAAACAACATCCATCACTAACAACCACATAGTACTTCAAAACAACAACCTACATCTTCATGATAGTAGACATAATCCTCCCCCTCCTCCTCTCATCTCTCCTCTCAACCCCTTTAGCCCTCAAATCCCCAATAATCCCCCAGCAATACCACCTCATCAAATCCTTCTCCCTCCTCCTCCTAGGCCTCTCCCTCTCAACCCTCGCAACCCTAAACTTCTCCCTCTCCTTCATGATCGGCCTCCTCTGCGCCCCGCTCACCTTCGTCTCCCGCATTCAGGGCTCAGCGCCTTTCCGTTGCGTTACCGCCGCGCTTGGCTTGGTGCTTCTTAACTTGCTTTCCCCGCCGACGGTTTTGGTTGGTGTTTGTTGGTATGCTGGCGTTGATGTTGAGACTGTTCTTACACAGGCGGCGTTTGGCTGGGATGTTTGGGGGATGTGGACTCAGGTTGTTGTTTGGTGTGTTTGGTGGCCGGCTTGGTTGATTGGTTGTGTGCATTTGGGTTCGTCGATGTTTTGATGAATTCTTTGAGTCTGCTTAAGTGGACTGGGCATGATGATGATGCTGTGTATGGTTTTGACCCTGCTGGTTGTCATTAGCCGTATAAGACAACGAGATAATTTCAATTGATTTTCTTTCTATTGACTACATAGACCCCATCTGGAAAATTAGTTTAGTCAGTGATACTATGGCCAAATCTACCCTACTGGTCATTTAATGCGTCAGTATGGTTGCATCAATTGTCATAATATCTAACAATCGTCAAGTACAAATAAGACACCATAGACCACACCATTGTATTCATTATAATAGTAATGGTTCGCAAATCAAAGAACATCTATGCAGCCCAGACATCCTTTCCAACACCCTCGATCCAGTGACCAAGCTGATTAACACCAGCATCCCAGTCCTTAAGACGGTTGCGCATACCATCAATCTGCTTCATATCCAAAACCTTGGGCTGAACCCAATGGATTTGCGCAACACCAGCAACCTGGTCAATCGACCCACGCAGCAAACCAAGTGACAGAGCCTTCATAACCAGGTGCTCAATCTCATCGGGCTGAACCTTCGTCTCGGATGAAATGGCCTGGAAGGAGAGAGAGCGGTCGTGTGGCGGGCGACGGAAGACCATCTCCGTCAGTGCGGACAGAGAGATCTTTTGGTACAGGAATACGCGGTGCGCTTCAAGCAGCTTGTCCTTGCTAATGTTGCCGGCTAGAACGTCGTAGGCTGTCAAGTCGCCCCGGTTGAAGGCGAAGAGAAGCTCGCGGAGCCATTTATGGGGGGTCTCGGTCAGGGAGTCCAGGATCGGGTGCAGGAGTAGCTCGCCGAAGTTGTAGATCGTGTCGGAGACCAGGGCTGCCACGCTGAGGTGGTAGGCGCGTGATGCGCGCTCTTGCTCGGTGAGTTCTTCCAGGTCTATGCAGGCAAGGTAGAGGAGGGCGTTTTTGTAGAAGGAGGCGAATTCTTGCTTGGCCTAAGGAGATGGGTTAGCTGCGAATAGCAAATGGGGTAGTTGCTTCATGTACGTTGTAGTAGTCCGCGTTCACTTTGTAGAATGAGGCGTGCACGACGGTCTCCACCGAGTCAAAAGTGTCCAGCACCCGCTGGCAGGTTGCCAGGTCCTTCTGTGCTCCTTCCAAATCTTTCAATGACAACTTGACATTTGCCACGTCGGCGAGCGCATAGACGTATGCATCCTGTGTATCGGCTGTGTCTACCTTGCTGGCGAGGGATGTGAGGAAACCCAGTCGTTCTTGGTCATCTGGAAATGGTCAGTATCAACACGATCGAGGGAATTCAGTGATGTCCAGCTTCCAAACTATTCCGAGGAGGACTGACCTTGGCATTCTGTTGCGGCCATCAAACCCAGCGACACAAACTTGAGCTGGTTGATCCGGTCGGAGAAGCTGAGCACGAAGGTCTTGAAGATGGCTAACCGCTGAGGGGCACTCTCTGGCATGCGGAAAAATTCAACCAGCGAGTCTGTAAGCTGGTGCCATAGCTTGCGATCCCAGAGGTCTTCAAAGGTGAGGAAGTAGGGTTGCGTCTCCGGGCTGCCTTGTGCTTGCTGCTCGGCCAGGAAATCGGGGATCTTGGACTCCATGGCGGAGAGCTGGTATGTTCGTAAAGTCACGGATAGAGGTTGATGGATTGAAGCTTGCGAAAAAGCCGGGGAGGAAATCGGGGGATGCGGGAATTGAGGTGTTGATGCTGGAGAGCTGATATGATGTCCTCACGGCAGTTTGGGAAGCTCGTTCACCGCCTCAGGTTGGCTTCGACGGCCTTCGACGACTTCACGTCTATCTATCAATCGTTATTTTCTTCTTTTGAATGTTTGTTTTTGTCTTTGCGTGTATGATAGTTTGTTTTTTGGGGCTTCCAGACATACCGCAGCGGCTATTTGTAGTCCGGAGTTGATTTCATGTCACCGATATATCTTGCTCCGTTACGGAGTATAAGACTTCTTAAAAGACATAGGTTAAACAACAAGATATCGAACAAGATATTTAACGCTAGAAACAGAATTCTAGGCTTTTCAAAGATTTAGAAACACCGCAGGAGCTTGTACTGGCGCTTGAATAGCCCAAACCTACTATATATCACAACAAAAGATGAAATAGCGGATGCCAGTACCTGAGGATGACAAGCTTAAAACAACCCGTTACTATGCGAACCTCAAGTAAGAATGGTCATATAATGCTTCAAATGTATGATGCGGATATAAAAAGATCCATGAACACCATTCAACCCTCCATCTTGAACTCCTCATCCAATTTCAGATTATAAGCATCGTGGTGATAGTCAAATCCACCTTGTAGGATCGTTTGCATGTAGCGTCCAATTGCCCCTTCTTCATCTGCACCTGACTTCCGTAGTCTCCAATCTTCTTCGCTGTCAAAATCTTCTCGAAATCTGCATAATGCGAAATCGATCATTACCGGTTTGAACTTGTCTTCCCTGATCCGTTCTATGATAAAGCTTCTTGTTCGGACATCAAGATTCAAGATTCCTCGGTCAGTGCAAATATTGACAATTCGGATTGCGTCTTCACAGATGTATTGCCAGCTTTCCCTCGGAGCGTGTGCAGCAAGATCAACCAAGCGGAACCCTTCAATGTGCTGTAAAAGGATACCTGGGATGTCGGCATACTGCCTCATTGATGCTTCATGCGAAGTAGGCAGTGTGACGCATGCATAATGTTTAGGTACCTCGGTTCCTTGTATATCCTTTAGAGTTCTGTAAGCCCGAATTTCTGACTTGTAGAAATCTGCCGAACGATCATGAGCGTAGGCTTCGTTTTGGGCATCATTGCGTGTGCCACTTTCTTCACTTCTGCTTTCGCTGTTGGTGTTCAGCATTTGAATATTTTTTTCTGCACCGTCATCGAGAATGAACTGGTGATATCTTTCTTCGATATCCAATGTCCACGGGTGGATCTTCTCATCTTCTCTAAGTTGTGTTGCAAAGCGTCGGTCAAAGAGCTTCAGTACCAAGTCGCCTTCCATGTCAAAATCAGGATATTCTAGTCGAACAACCATCACACAGGACAGGGTGAATGGCTCAAAGACCTTGATAATTTTGGCTTTGGTTGTTTGCCCATCATGCGGTGTGTTCAAATGTAGTTCTATCGTATTGCCAACCACATAAGGACATCTATATCAGTCAGTGTTTTCTTCGAGGCTTTGAAGACGGGGTACCCACTTAGTTACTTCATGATGCATTGTGGCTGAGAGTGGGATGCTGTATGCTCGCGCTTGTAAAGAGCAGTGGATGGTTGAAACTGGGCCGAATTTACTCGAGTCGTGATATACAGCGCAAAGTCATTCGAAGCTAACAAGGGGCTGCCAAGTTATGAGTACCCCAGAGATGAAGTTGATCTACTATGGAGTAAGCACTGAGGCGGTGTGGGCTTGTCTCTTTCAACTTCTTGGCCCTGAATGATATCAACATCGTGTATAAATGACTCACGTAATGCATGTAACTCTATAAGTCCCGAAAGCATACTGAATCTGACAGACTCGGGCAATTTGAGATTGATTTGTCAAGTATGACATCGAAAGGAATGTCTCCGTATCTAGCCCCAGAAGCTTTTCTCTTATTTTTGACTTCCAAGAGTTATATTTCATGTGGAAGACAAAGGCTTTGTCCAATAGTATTGCATTATACTTTAAATCAATACTAAGATAGATCAATAAGCCCTATGATCTAGTCCGCTGGACAGTTTGCGCGGTCGTCGGTTAGGGCCAGAAAAGTATCCGAGTAAGTCGCCGAGCCACATATAAAAGTAGACATTCGACCAGTACTACTTTTCTATTCTCAATAACTCATCATTCAACTTCAAACAGTATTTTATGCAAATTTCACCTTTAACACGGAGTTTACAAATCTTCGCCATCATGTCGGACACATTCCAAGAGAGTGTGATGCAAAATTACTTCGAGTAAGTGTCAGATCACAACCAGAAACCTGTTGGACCAAAGAAATCTTACACCTTCTCTCTTATTTATAGCGATATGGCCCCCGTATACCAGGAACGTTTCGCAGAAGGTCTGCGAGTCCTTGCTGAGCAACTCCTACTGAACCGCATGTGGCTCAGCGACAAATGGATCGACACCGAGGCCGGCAAAGCCGAGAATAAAGACGGAGAGGGAGTCACTATGCTCGATTATGCTTGTGGAACTGGTGCAGTCTCACTTGTAAGTCCATCCATCATCACAGTCCCAACAGCGTCAAGTGAACAAAACTGACAAATCAAACCCTAGGCTCTAGCTCCATTTCTCACACAAGTAACAGGGATGGACACATCTCCAAGTATGATTGTGGAATATGAGAAAAATGCACAAGCCGCTCATCTCGGTGAGAAGATAGTCGGCCGGACAGGAGACTTGCTCGCCCCCATTGTCGAAGAGAGTTTATCGGATTTGCCCAAGTTTGATCTCGTTGCTGTTAGCATGGCGCTGCATCATTTCGAGAACCCGGCACTAGGTGTGCAACAGCTGGCGAGGTATATCAAGACCGGTGGTGTCTTTATGGCCATTGATCTTGTTGTTCAGGATCATGGTCCTCATGGATTTGGAGGAGCCGAGGGGACTATCAGTACCCATGGCTTTTCGCGCACAGATATACAGAAGATCTTTGAAGATGCTGGACTGAGTTATTTTGATTACAAGGTCGTTCCAAAGCCTCTCAAGTTTGTGCATGGTGGGAAGGCTATTGAGAAGACTGTTTTCATTGCTCGCGCTCAGCTGGTTTGATGGACATATCAATAGGGATAACTAGATGTTACCATTCTATAGAATGGCGTGGAAGCAGGAAACCTAGCGTGCGAGTATATTTTAAAGTAACGATATCTGCTGTCGATCAATATGAAATTCTATAGATCTCACCCACATTCCCTCAAATTATAAGTCAAGTGAAAAACCAACCCACTTTTTCTTCCATAAAGTATCATAGGAATCCGTTTTACTCGATTGTAAAAAAAGCCAATATTTTGCTGTAACAAAAGGAGAAAAAAATGAGCTATTTTTAGCCCGATCGGAACATCGGCGACTTTTCCAGGGGCTCAAAAGCCACCAACTACATGCAACGCACTAAATCTGCTAAAACCACTAAATCGAGCTAGCAAAGCATAACAAAAACCCTGCGGCTCTTCACGTCTAGCCAGGGCTAATTTCCCCCAAAGCAAACCAAAGCCGGTGGCGTTCCCCTAAAATCAAGGGACCCTACAAAAGCCATGGCGTTCCCCGTTCCCCTGTCAGTTCGTAAACCCCTTCTTTTCTTCGTCTCTCGTTGATTCTTGGACTGGCCGTCACTCGTTATACCCACCAGTCCCTTAAAAACACCCAAAATGAAGTCCTCCACCCTCCCATTCCTCCTCGGCCTAACCAGCCTCGCCAATCTCGCAACAGCCCGCACAGATCTGGAAGGCTGCGTCTCCTCCGAAATTGTCGTTGACTACTACGCCAGCTACCTCTGGTACGTCCCGGATACCGGCGAGATCTGTTCGTTCCTCGACTGTGGTGGCGGTCGCGCCCCTCCGAAGACTGATAAGCCTGGTTGTGGGGGATACCACGGCACTGCTACGGTCACTCCGGATTATATTGAGGGCTGGGGTCCCAATGGGAAGCAGGCTGCTTCTACGACGACCGTTGATGCGACTACTTCTGCTACTGCTGTGGCTGCGATGACTACTTCTGCTTCTCAGTCTGAGGAGTCTGACTCGTCTTCTTCTGGTTCCTCGAATGCTTCTTCTGTTTCTGGATCGCAGACTCCTAGTATTACTGCTGCGCCGTCTAGCTCGACTGCTGCTTCGATGACTACCACTGCTTCGTCTGGCTCGGCTGCGAACTCTACTTCTGCCGCGGCTAGTAGCACTCCTACTGGTAATGCTGCTGTCATGCCTGCGTCCAATGTGCTTGGCGTTGTGGCTCTTATGGGTGCCATGGTTGGAGCTATGGCTCTTTAAGTTCAATTGATTATACGCGCTGGACACTTTGAATGGACGCAATGTAAAATATCAAACGCACAATACAACCAAGTTCAAATATTAATCCCAGTCTCCATCAAGTTCAATCTCTTCGCCTCGCTCTTTGGCGCTTAGGAGTTCATCGATTGTCCATGGTTTATAGACATGCCCTGGTGGAGTGTTGGTATTAGAGAATGGCATACCATCAACCAAATGCGCTAGCACTTTCACGTAGTTTTCGACTGCGTAGCGTTCCGGGTCATGTCTCCAGATCCAAGCAGCGAGTAAACCCTTAGATTTCGATTGTGATAGATTGCCGGAGTTGACAGATCGGTGCCGGGACTCTTGATTAAAAATGCCTAGTTTCTGCAGGCATGCAACTCGCTCGAATCTGATAATGTTAGATCAACTTTTCAATTAGATGAAAGCCCACAGCACCAACCTTAGCTTATTATGAACCTTGGAAGCCCAGGTAACATTATCTTTCCCGGCAATCCCCAAACATGTAGCAATTGACACGGCGTCTTCCATTGCCTGTGTAGCACCGCTACCAGAAGAAGGAAGGAAAGTATGCGCTGCATCGCCAATCTGCACGACACGTCCGTTAGGCGAGACCCAGCAGGGCTGTGGCTCTCGCCACATTAGTTTGAAATCGTGCAGACGGTCAAGGGGCGTGCGCTTGATCACTCGATTTGCGACTTCAGGCCATCCGGGGATAGTAGCTGTCACTTTAAGCACGGTTTCGGGGTCTGTGAGCTTTGACCAGGACTCTGTTTCGTCCCTGTTGTCCTGTGCCAGTGGTTAGTAGTGCCCGTATTCGGGTAGTTGCGCTTGGCTTACTGCGTAAGTCATTGCCCAGGTCATGGTGTCTTCACTTCGTGCAAATAAGACGTGCATTCCAGTTCTGCATATTGTTAGTAGAGTTTCTAATCATCAGTAGAGCTCTTGCAGATTTACCCCATCCACAGCTCCCCCACCGATGTCCCATCCTCCAGCAGCTGGAATCGCTCTTGGACCATAGGATCTACCATTGCTAATTCAACAGGATAGGCAGCTCTGTACATCGCCAACCCAGAAGAACGAGCCCTCATCTCTCGACCCATGGTGACCATTGATGATTTGCTTCCAACCCCATCAGAAGAAATTACAAGATCAGACTCGATCTTCTCTCCATCTTTCAGGGTGACACCAGCTTTGTCGCCAGACTCGTAGTATCCGGTGACTCTCTTACCGTATTCCACAAAGATTCCAATCCTTTCAGCTTGATCCGATAACATCTTGTGGAAAGCAGGACGACTATGTCGGTATACTCGCTGTGGAGCTTCATCTTTACCACTGCTGCTCACAGTAGGGTTGAACCTGAGAGGCTCAGGACCAGAGATTTTCTCGCCGTTGAGTTTGTGCCATGAGATCCATGGACTGTCTGCTATTTTCTCGTTCTCCACTGCCATGTCTGGCCATTGTTGTACGGCACGGATGGCAGTTGGTCCGATGGTGAAGCTGTCTCCTGGTACTTTGTTAAGCTGTATAATTTGTGACAGGTGATTGAACTCGACTTGCCTGATAATAGTCGCGTGGCGCTTTTCTCGATGACTCGGACTTCCTGTCCCTTGCGCCAGCATTCTAGACTGGCCATTAGGCCTGCTACACCGGCACCCACGATCAAGACGGAGACACCGGTTGGGGCTGATCTTTCTGGGACGATACCCTGTAAGCCATTGGTATTTGTGGTATGATTCAAGGTGCATTTTGAGTTATTTTGAGCGACGGTCATGGTGGGCCAAAGTAATCAGGGTTTCGCACACTGTTTGTTTGGTGGTTCAGTCTGCGTCAATTGGCATGAAAAAAAAAAAAAGTAATTCCTTGGATTTGAGCCGCTCTTTATAGCTTGAAATAAAAAAATCTTTTGTGTTTACTCGTACAAAGATGGGAGGTATGGAACGGAGTCCGTTCGGACCGCCTGCCCGGCCTGGTGGGCAACGAAGCGGAAATTAGACATTTCGCGTATAGATCGGCATCTCACCGAACGGAAATAAGATATCGAAAGGCGTATCCAGCATTAAGTTGAAATCGATAGGGGTCATAGCTGCCTGGAACGTGGTCTGCTCCAGCGTGTCTTTTCTCTTCTGATGCATTTGCTTTATCATGCACCCTCGAAGGGCCATTCTTTCAAAAATTTCAGGCAGCTCAGTTGGACCGGATTCCTTCTTTAGAGCCTGCTCGAAGAATGGTCGGTTTTGTTTAAGCTTTTCGCCCATGGTGTTGATTATTTGGTTGAAATTTACCGTGCTTTCGACGTAGGATCTGTCCCAGCCTGGATGATTATAAAGGGAAAGCTGGGAAAGGGTGATCACCGCCTTTCCAAATTGACTCATGATTGTAAATGGAAAGTAAGGAACACTGGAGGCGGGGAGAGAGTAGATGTTTCTGAAGAAGGAACTTGTTGCTTCCAGTGCCCGGTATAGGAGATCTAATCTCGATAAAGGGTAGTCACCGTAGTGAGAATCAGACTGATTTGGGCTCAGGGAAATTCGGTAAAGGTGAATCTCCAATGTATTACAGTGAAATGAGAGAATGGCTATTATACTGTCAGATCCGTGCCCGATTGCCCAAATGATAGTATAACTTACTTGAGTATGGCTCTTCGCACGGCATTCGAGCTTTGAATTGTTTGAGCTCGGCCTCGAGCCATCGGATGCTCAATCCAAGCGGCGGGGACGGGGCCGATGAAAGATGAAGTTCGGTTCGATATAAAGTATTATGAATCTTTTCAGCAAGATTCATGATTCGCACCAATTGAACTAAATAACCGTCAGAAGGATATTCTGCAGCCTGCTCCAGAACATCACAACAATCTTCGGTATATTTTGTAAAGCGGATGATTGTCCCCAAGTCTTTCGCACACGCAGAGAGCCTTGGGGCAATTAGTATAGTTCTAACATGGTTGGGATCGATCAAGAACATACATCGTAGTCATATAGTAGCATCCAAGGTAAGCTCGACGCTCTTCCAGTGTGCGTATAGGATTGTGAATGTCCCCTTGCATGGTCTCTCTTATATAAGTCAACGGATAGTTGAGATTTTTCTGGTAAGCAGGCTCCTGGTTTAAACCCAAGCCCACTGACTGAGCCACAAGGAGATGTACAAAATTATCAACCTGAGCAGTGTTGCGCATAACATGGCGAGCATCTGTCTCGAATCTTGTCGTATCAGAATTGTTTTCACACCAAGCAGTACCCCGTGGGAAACGGCTGACGGTCGTGAACCAAGTCACATTGACAAGAAGACCCTGGAGTAAATCCAGGCTTTGTTCTCCTTTGATGATGATGTGCTCTGCTACATATTCTTGCATCGCATCGGCAATTTCACGTTGACGTATGGCATTCGGACATGCAATCATCGCAATATTCATGTACAGAAATGGTTTGTCTCGACGCAGGTCTTCTGCGGTGACATGCGCAGATATCACCACAAAGGGAAAGAGAGGCAGCATTCTGTTCATGAACACCTCCATCAAAAGCTGGCTGTCGGTGTCACCGGGAGATGCGGCACTCTCTTCCCTGGCAGAATATGATCTTGGAGTTGAATCAGCCTCTACCCGTTCTCGGGCAGTTCGTTCTGAGGCAGCTAGCATAGCGACCATGCGATCAAGTTTTGCTTCCAATATAGCGACGTCGCTGAATGGTTGTTAGGATGACACATAATTAGCATTCCGAATGCTATGATCTACTCACGAGCTGCTTGTTCCTAATTTTTTTGGGCGCCGATGAGCGCCAGGTAGTTGATTGCCACATTCTTTACCCAAGCGGCGGCAACTAAGAGGTGTTAGTATATGCATTAGTATCAAGCCATTTGCATACCGTTGGCACGGCCCGTCGGCCTCTGGTGAACATCGGACTTTAGCCTTGGCGCACGTTAAACATGCTTTCGGATGGCGGCCAGCTGAGTCTTCCATGGCGGAATTTTGGTAATCCACCCCACAAAATCGGACGCAATGTAGTATCCAATTCTGATATGAGCTGGTGGACACTCGAATGACTACAAAGCAGGGAGACGGAGGAAGCGGAAGCGGAGTCCGCTCCTGAACTTTTGGCCCCAATCATGTGATGGGACACTTACTTTCCTCAAAGTCGACAATTATTGACTGAACTGATTTCTGCAGCATATATAGGGTAATTCAAATATCTTAATACTTGCATTAAATGTCACATGTTATCATAGAGCGAAAATGCAAACAGAACAAGTTTATAGAAGCCGTTGCATTCGCATGATGGTCCGAAGTATAGGGAAACCTTTGAGTAGGAAAAATTTTAACCAAGACATATAAACAATAAAGAAGCGTCCAATAAATCAAATATCCCATGACAGTCGATCCTTTCGCATGTTGGGTCTTTCGGATGTGCTGGGGGAGGGGTGTATCAGTAGACAGCACAAAATCAAGGCAATTATGCGTTCTTACATTGATGACGTCTTGCTGATACTATAGTATCATGCAGATTTAATTTGAGAGGCTTCAACAGCTGCCACCCTCGTTATCACAGCAACCGTCACGAGGATCACAGTCTCTCTTCTGACTGCTTGGTCCTGCTACCACAAAAGTGGCAAACAGCAGTGTACAAATCATGGCCAAAAACTTCATATTGCCCAAGATCGCTTTGTTGCACAGTGATATGAGAGATGTTTGAAGTATGAAAATTGAGAATGGTATTAACAACTGTGATTGAGAATGTATCATCGTAGTTGGTAGAAGGCTCGTATTTATACAGTCGGTACACATGAAAAGCACGGCTAGGTAAAGTAAGGGGTAGAAAACATTACGTATCCTGTGATAGATTCCAGGTTTTAATCCCAAGCAAGCATCTGCGTATGCATACAACATTTCAGCTACGCCAAGGCACATCTGCAAGATGGACGCAGATCAACCACAATAATATTGTGGTTGATCTTATGAAGCCCGCTGAGTGAGCTACTGTAATACTTGGATAATTTAGGCTGAGGGATATGAAATCTAAAAAGCCAGGGGTGCAACGAACGTATCGAAGTCAGATGAAAGAAGAAGAAGAAGAAGAAGAAGAAGAAAAAGAGAGAAAAAAGATACAGTACACGTATACAACGTGACGAATTGGGCTCAATATACATCACATCTCTCTCTCTAGTCATATGAAATTGTAATTAGCTTCTGTAATATATGCTAAATATGATTTGGCTATGGGTTGATACTACGGGTCGGACCACACTGAGGCACGTATTATATCTACTAGCTATCCTCCAGAATGACTATCGCAAGCGAAAATTTCGTGTCTAGGCACTCTACAGTCATCTAATCATTTTCGTAACTGTATATTGCTCTGTTGTCTCACCGTTAAGAGGCGAGAACACTTAAACATAATTTTTACCTACCGGTATAAACACGGAGTTTCGAATTTTTCTTCTGCCACCAAGGATTTTCTTGCATTGAATGACTATATGGTACATAATATAGCTTTTCCCCCACCGAATTTTACTCCTTGCTGGCTTAATCATGCTAGAAACTTATTGATTGTATGGGGTAGACCCTGCTTTTCATGCTGAGTGAGATCATTGCTGACCCTACATGTGAATCCCTAAATGCGTAATAAGTCTTAGTCGGAAGGGGATTAAAGTGTATTTTTTGTCCACAATAAACCTCTGCGTACACTTTACCTGAAATTCATAGAATATGGCAAATTGTCGCCAATTTGGGCATTGAATGTAGACTCGGGAAGCAAGCTGACTTACCGGTAGTATAATGGTGAATCTATAACGCCAAACGCATTGATATGGTACCAGTACAGCTTTTTCTTTGTCTAACCTATCTCCACAATCTCAGCCTCAAGTATAAAAATATCAATACATTGATAAGACTATAAAATTGGCCCAATTGCCAGGAATTTGTAATCCGTTGGAGTATCGGAGCGGAGAGTCGGAGTAAGCTTATCGGCGCGATGACCGCCCCCGCAGCCGCATTGCTGTCCGATTCTCTTCTCAACTTCACTTCTTCATATCCCCAACAATGGCTACATTCTTGAAGCAACCTCTTAAGCTGGCCCTGGTGCAGCTTGCATCAGGTAATATCTCCAGGGTCTCTGCCACTGCAGTTCTTGCTGACTAATTGAACTATACAGGAGCGGACAAGGCCGTGAACCTGTCGCATGCTCGGAGCAAAGTCCTCGAAGCTGCGAAGGCCGGCGCACGATTGATAGTCCTCCCCGAGTGCTTCAACTCGCCTTATGGCACGAGCTTTTTCCCTAAATACGCCGAGACTCTCCACCCCTCCCCTCCCACGCAAGAACAGTCGCCCTCCTTCCACGCCTTGTCGGCCATCGCCATCGAGGCAAATGCATACCTGGTTGGAGGAAGTATTCCTGAGCTGGAACCATCCACCAAGAAATACTACAACACCTCGCTGGTATTCTCGCCCACTGGCGCGCTGATTGGCACCCACCGCAAGACCCATCTCTTCGACATTGACATCCCGGGCAAGATCCAATTCAAGGAGAGTGATGTCCTGTCTCCTGGAAACCAATTGACAATCATTGATCTTCCGGACTACGGCAAGATCGGCCTAGCTATTTGCTACGATATTCGTTTCCCTGAGGCTGCCATGATCGCCGCTCGCAAGGGCGCTTTCCTACTCGTCTACCCCGGCGCCTTCAACACCACCACCGGTCCTCTCCACTGGTCTTTACTTGGCCGTGCCCGTGCTGTTGACAATCAGTCATATGTGGCGCTGTGCAGTCCAGCGCGTGATCTGGATGCCTCATACCATGCCTATGGTCACAGCTTGGTCGCCGATCCCAGCGCGAACATTCTGTCTGAGGCTGAAGAGAAGGAGACTATTGTCTATGCTGACTTGACCAATGAAGCTGTTACCAACATCCGGGGTAACATTCCGATCTATACCCAGAGACGATTCGACCTCTATCCTGATGTGAGTGCTGTTCAGGAATAGATTGGTGGAAGGCATGCGGGATATGCTATCAATAAACTCAACAAGAGCAGTATATAGACGATTACAATGAATGTGGTGATCACAGAGTCGATCTTGTCGTAACTATAGGATGCGGCACGTGATGACCTAAATAAGGTAGTTTCAGCCTGAGTTACCAGGCACTAACATTGAGAGTGGACCCGACACCCACCAATCAAACTTCATCCCACAGCGGTAAGCGAGAGCCACACAACGAAAGAAGAAAATCGACCAGCGAACTTTTGCTTCCGACCATCCACCCTACGTCGACCAACCCCTTCAGTCAGTCTCCCTCATCTTACCTCTCGCCAACTCGTCTAACCTCATCGCAGAGATGTCCAACGTCAAGACCGGTAACAAGCGCTCGGCCATCGCCGACGTGGTGTCGCGCGAGTACACCATCAACCTCCACAAGCGTGTATGTTGAAACCCTCCCCCCAGTCTACCTGCGAACGATTCGAATGCGAATGCGTCCCTGGAGGCATAATGGACAGAGAACAAGACCTTTCTCCTGAAATATGGAATTTGTGACGGATCAGAATGTGTGTGTGGTGTGGTATGAGTGTGTGTGTGGAGAGAGAGGGGACACACCCTGATCTCAATCGACACCATTCAACCTCGCCATGACCTGCGGAGAAATACTGCAGTGAAGCTATGGCTCTTGACATGGCTACTTTGTTGTCTTCTCGCAACACAGACAAACAGAGAGGAGAACTTGAAAAAGTCTTCGCTCGCATCCACACATATCCGACCCCGGAACACAAAAGAAGAATTAGTTTTATGAAGTCCACTATGGCCGAAAGACCACAAACATTCATCGCGCAGAGTTTTCTCTTGCAGATGGCATTCGGGCGGAAGACTGATTGCAACTTCTTTTCCGGAATTATAGTGCCACGGTGTCTCCTTCAAGAAGCGTGCTCCTCGTGCCATCAAGGAGATCCGCGCCTTTGCCGAGCAGGCTATGGTAAGTTTCAGACTCAACCCCAACCCTTTCCTCAGCCGAGGCACAGATCGCTAATATGGTTGATATAGGGCACCAAGGACGTCCGCGTTGACCCCCAGCTCAACAAGAAGGTCTGGGAGGCCGGCATCAAGGGTGTCCCCTTCCGTCTCCGTGTCCGCATCTCCCGTAAGCGTAACGACGAGGAGAACGCCAAGGAGCGCCTCTACTCCCACGTCCAGGCCGTCAACGTCAAGGACCCCAAGGGTCTCCACACCACCACCGTCGACGACGCTTAAATGTGTGCATGTCCGTTGCATCTATGGTTCCATATTCCCAGCGGGGGTACGGTCGGGGTTTTACGAAATAAAAAATACCTTTTACCCTTTGGGGCATCTTTGAAACTGTTTCCGTGTAGTAATTGATGTAGTCATATCAAGTCAGGAGATAGGTCTCTGGAATCGTTAGATTATATTGGACATGGCCGTTTAGTCTAGAACCTTGCCTCCGTATCAAAATAGCACTTGGTGTCAATACTTACAGGGTTGAGACTGAAGGGCAAGCTTAACAACATCTACGACCCTTTTTACACCTTGCCATATACTATCCCTGAGAACTGATGCTCTTAGCCATACTTGCCCATTCTCGACATTCAAGAGCGGGACCTGATCTGTCTATAGATAAACGAGGAGAATAACGGAGAACTTGAGGTAGAAATACAACATTGATTGTTGAAGTAGACAAGTACGAATTTGAACGCAAAATTACCCGGGCCATGCTGAGACATAAACATACACTCCCGTTCGGGAGGACAAGATGATAGTGAAATAAAAAGAGATCTAGTTCTTGATCTCTTGTACAAGGTTGAAGAACTCATTGAGCTTCTCCCGCTTGACGCGGATAGCCCACTGAGAGGCAGTGCCGCCCTCTACGGGCACCATCAACTGAACGCTGTTGGTGGTCATTGAGTAGACCAGCTCCTTCTTCAGGAGGGTGTTCAGTACAACGTTTCCACTAGGCTCGGCACGGACGACAATGCGAGCACGCCCGGTGACGGGGTGCTTAAGCAGGCGGACAGGCCCATTGGCCTGGGAGGTCCAGCCAGTAGTGAGCTTGAAAGCCCGGCATTTCTCCTCGAAGACGACGGTCTCCTCTTCTTCGCCGCCGTTGCCCTGGGCAAGGTCGAAAATTTCACCAGGCTCACCTTCTTCGTCATCGGCAGCCGCAGTGGCGGGCTGAGAAGCAGCGGAAGGGGTGGCCGTTGCAGGTCCACCAAACAGAGTAGAAGTGGGGGCGGGAGTGGCAGCGGGAGCGGGGACAGTAGTCTGACTGTTTTGGCCATTTGCAGGCTGCGAATTACCAAATTGAATAGGTGTGCCGGGCTGCCATGTCAGATTTTGTCCATTACCTGATGGAGTTGGGGTTGAAACACGACCAAAAAGACTACCACCGGTGGAAGCAGAAGGAGGCGAAGGCTTGGACTTCTTGGCTAGGGAGTCATCCTCGCTGTCGCTATCGTCGGCCTTGCGCTTGGGCGACGTAGCCTTCAGCCCGCCGAAGATATTCTGAGTAGTAGGAACTGGCTGAGCGGACCCGCCAAAAACGGATGACGTGGCACTGAGAGGAGCAGCGCCGAAGATCGAGGAGCCAGCGGAGCTTGCACCGGTAGCAGGAACCCCAAAGAGACTAGAAGCGGCGGGCTGGGCAGCCGCTCCGAAAAGCGAAGAAGGGGCGAGACTAGTAGCGGGAGCTGCGGAAGTAGACGGAGGTTTAGAAGCACCGTGACTAGCTGGGACAGTCTTGAATCCTTCCCCAGGCACGAAGATATTGATCATTTTACGCTGCTCTTCGCATTTGGCCTTGAACGCAATGGTCTCTTCGTCTTCCGAGTCGGAGTCTTCCGAGTCGGACTCTGTAGGCTTTCCCTTGCTCTGCTGTGAATTGGCAAGGACCTGGGCAGAGGGCCTGAAGCCCCCTTTGCCGAAGCCCGCAGCACCGAAGCTGGGGGCCGAGGGAGTCGAGGTCTTCTGAGAATCTGAAGAAGGAAGGGAAGAGCTAGCCGAGGTTGGCGCAGCAAAGAGAGAGGGAGTAGCAGGAGTTGGGGCAAGCCCGGCAGCGGAGGCAAATACGGCCGGAGTGGCAGACGAGGAAGTTGTGACAGGAGCAGGAGACGAGAAAGACCGGGCGAAAGCATCGACAGTGCTGGAGGTATCCTTCACGGGCTGAGGCGTAGCAATAGGAGCGACAGATGCAGTGGGAGCAGGGGTAGCAGCAACAGGAGCAGAATCCGGTGAGACAGCGGTGGCAGCGGTGGCAGCGGTGGCAGCGGCGGCGGCAGGGACAGCAACAGCTTGAACATTGTCAGGGTGGTCAGGGTTGGGACGAACGGTGCCAAAGGTGATCTCATGCTCGATCAGGTCACTTGAACCAATGGGAACACCGATGTTGCGGCGCATTTCAGCGTAAACCATAATGATATCATCGGGGCAGTCCTTCTCAGGATCAATCTTCGCGATCTCAGCTTGGAACGCATGGGTCAGGTAGCGACAGTAAACAAGGTTTTGGACACCCTTGCGGTCCCACTCGGAGTCTTTGATTCCAGGAGGCATAGTTGCGTCGGTATCAGGAAGATCAAAGGTAACAGGTACGTCAGGTCTTGGTAAAAGACGGTCTGGGTCTGAAAAGTCAAGTGGCGCAGAAAGGATATCTGGTGGAAGAATGTACGGAGGGGAAGAAGTGGAAGAGGTTGAAGTTGTAGTGTGAGGTAAACAAGACGTGGACGCGCTCTGTTTGGAAGAAGAAGAGGAAGGAGCGACTGGAGCTGGCTTTGCGTTCTGTTTGACAGGGCTGGTGTTGTCCAACGCCTTCTCTCCATTTACCGTGACCCTCTCCTCTACCCCCGTTTCCTTTGCAGCCGACTTTGCAACCGAATTTGACCCGAAAAGGGACTTGAATGGAGATGCCTCGGGGGTTTCAGCTGTCTGGTCTTGCTCCGTCGACACTGGCTTAGGCGCAAATGGATTACCAGCAGACGTTTGTCCAGACAAGTTTGCAAATGGAGTGCTAGGCTTGGCTGGAGTTGTCTGCCCATCCCCAGGCTTCGACAAGCTGGAAGGCGCCCCGAACAAGGACCCGAACGGCTGGGCCGCTGCAGGCTTCGCAGGAGTCTGCTCTGCCTCTGTGGACTTTGGAGCAAATATACTACTGGCTGCTGGCTTCTCCTTCTCACCCTCTGAAGGTTTCGGCGTCGCAGACGCACCAAATTTGAATGGTGTCTGCTCGGCAGGCTTTGCAGCCGCAACATCAGCCGGCTTTGGTGCAAACATGTTGCCAAATGCCGGTTGGCTTGTCTTCTCTTTTTCAGCATCTGCAGGCTTTGACGTTGCAGACGCACCGAACATCGACTTGAATGGGCTCTCTGCCGCAGGCTTTGCAGCACCCTCAGATCCAGTGACCTTCGGCGAGGACAGACTACCCAATGAACTCTGGCCTGATAGGTTCGCAAATGGATTGCTAGATGTCGACCTGTCACCAGCAGGCTTGAGTGCAAATAAGTTTCCAGTAGACTCTGAGGGTTTGGGGGTGGTGGTTGCCCCGAATAAGGACCCGAAAGGCTTTGCCGCCTCTGCAGGCTTTGCGGGTGTTTCCTCTGTCGGTGTCTTCGCGCCAAACAGGTTGGTACTGGTTGAAGCCTGAGTTGAAAGATTGACGAATGGATTGCTTGCCGTCGACTTCTCTTTCTCTCCCTCTGAGGGTTTCGATGCCGCAGCACCAAAGAGAGGCTTGAAGGCTGGAGCTTCAGCAGACTTGGGAGCCGTTTCATCTGTGGTGGTTGTCTTGGGTGCAAAGATATTCACAGCCGGTTTCTCTTTCTCTCCCTCGGATGGCTTCGGTGCTGCAGCACCAAAGAGAGGCTTGAAGGCCGGAGCTTCGGCTGGCTTGGAAGCCGTTTGCTCTGTGCTGGTTGTCTTGGGGTCGAATAGATTGGACGCACCCTGGCCTGATAGATTTGCGAATGGATTGGTAGGGGCTGTTCCCCCGACGGCTGGCTGCGATGCGAACATCGACTTCGGCTTGGCATCTGGCGAAGTTTGCATGCTATCATCGGCCGGGGAAGCGGCAGTTTGTTGCCCGAACATCCCAGATTTCGTTGGTGTGCTTGTGTTCTGTTGCGCTCCGAACCCGGAGAAAGACTGAGAAGTCTGGCCGCCGGCATTGAACCCTCCGAAACTGAATCCATTGGTGCTCGGCTGAGCGTTTCCTCCAAATGATGTGTTCACAGAGAACGGATTGCTCGGTGGTGGAGATCCGAAAGAGGTAGGACCGGAACCAAAGCTGAAGCCAGATGAGCCATTCGCCCCCGATGAAAACATGCCACCCTGGTTAGGCGCTGGTGTTGAGCTTGCGCCAGGGAAGCTCTGACTTTGACCAAATGTAAATCCAGCGGATGGAGGAGCCGGGGCTGCCGGGGCAGCTGGAGCAGTGGAGGCAAAGGGATTGAATGAACCTGTATCAGATGCGCCTCCGCTTGGCGTGGGAGCGCGACGTTTACGGACATCTTTGATCCTACACAGCTCAAGCACGTCTTCGGTCAGCTTGTGGCCTTTGCTCGGCAAGGCAGTTTCACTTACTTTCTGCTCGCCATCTGGGCTGCGGTTGCCCTGGAGGGCTTGTCATCTGGTGTGCCCTGTCCAAATCCACCATCGCCTTCTTTGGACCCGTGAGGACCCTGGGCATTGCGTTTCAACATCTTCAAGATGTGTTGATCACCGTTGACGATGTCCGACAGGGTGAAGTTCGAACACGACTGCAATATCCTTGATGTCGACACTGATCGTGATAAAAGAGCGCAATGCAAGTTGATTCGCGATAGAATCCCGTGGGAACTTTCCTCACGTAGGCTCACTTCTGCCTCGGCGGGATGATTTCGGTTACCGCGCCAACTCAACGCAACACACGCGATACCGAATACCCTCGAGGTGATCGTTCACAATCCTCCAGAGTGCAAACCCAATTTATCTCTGAGATTCTTGAATGCGGTTGCACGGTGATCTTCGCGGTTCCGTGACACGTTCGCGAGCCGTCGCGCAGAAGCTGACAGCAAGGGAGCTTTCGAATCCGGTAAAGCTGATCCGAGGACAAAGCGAAGACCTCTGTTGGAAACCTTGTTAACACAAGTCTCGAATATCGAAACACCGCGATGGAGTTCTGTTATTTTTTTTTCGAGAGTCGCAAGGCGGTAAAAATGCAGTGGTCACGTGCCAAGGTCTTGGCTCAAGCTCCGTACTGTGCATACCGCCAGGTACGTGTATTGCGTTGCTGTCGGCCCTTACCCGACCCTGATACGTGTCCCGTATTGAAAATGACAAACAATATCCCCGAACAAACATCACTTTACTAACCTCTGGTGACCTTGCATCACCTCCTATTAGGACATCTACGAGCAAAGGAATTAGATTCGCTCAGAGTATACAGTGAACAGGACGTGTTTGTGGCGAAATTCTATCGAACAGTGCGTGTTCTTTACGCAAGTGCCCCAATTCTAGGAGCATCAACCTTCAAAGTATATGACAAGAGCGCAGCTATCTTTCTTCTCTTTCACTATGGGAATCACTCTATTCACTAATTTCTTGGCAAAACGATGCTTTGCTGAGACCATGAGACTCCTTATTGTGTCTTGGCGCGAGGGGATTAGGAATTTATATCAACCGAAGCAAGGAACTCAACCCCAAAACGCCTTGAAGGGTCGCATCATTCGCGCCAGGTTAAACAAAGTCTGAGTGTGACGTGAAATGAATAAAATCCTTGGTGAGAGGCTTGTTGTTTCCTGCATGGCAGGTCCACGGGTCTTCTGACCTAAAAGCCATTTAGGTTAATCAGAGTTACTTAGCCAAAGTCTGCAACATCACTACAACGTCAGCGTCACTCTACTTATGTCTGAGACTTGTAAAAGTATACATGGAATCAATATCAAATTCCCTGTCTGTCACACGGGACATGACCCCTGAGTCACATTTCTTCAAATGTGGCTGCAATAACTCCTGCAACTAGTCACATTCCATTCCTATTCGGAAATGTCCCGCCCAACTAACAATTTAGCTTGATCTGCTGCACAATGTGATGTGTGGTCTTTGATTGACTATTGGTTGACATGCAGCTATAGACAGGGTCCGATCTCTCTTGTGGAGAAGATCGGCGCTATTCATTCAACTACTCATTTCCACTTGCGCATCATGAGACAAGTAGACAGCGTGACAAATGAAGGACTTCTTCAGAAAGTGGTGCTCTGCCAATTATGAACCCTGTATACCGTCACTCGCAATCTATTTCTCTGGCTCGAGTGGTACCTCGTCCCTAGGCATCGATGTCTTCAGCTGAGCGTGCTGCAGGGAAGAGGATCCACCTCCATTTTTTTGTCACGCGTGGTGCATTCTTGGATCAAGTCTCCGATTGAGTCTGTTTTAGCCAGCCTGAAATACTGCCATATATAAGGGGCCAGGCGTGTCCGGTGATATCCCCCGCGCTCTCTCCTTAGTGGCCCGCATTCTGTCTCACTGACTTGCACTTTCTAGTGCTCGAGAGCCAAGATGTATTGTGCTAAGCTGATTGCCTCGCTCTCTTTGCTAGCATGTGCCAGTGCGCAGCTGCTAGATATCCCTGAATTGGATGATATAATCAGTGAAGCTATGCAGCCCTTTGAGCAGTATACTTCCTTCGATGCTCCCACGGAAATTGCCTCTGCTGCTGCGGCCGTGGAGACGGATGTGGATGTAGCTCAAGAAGTTCTCACCGAAACAGCAGCTGCAGACACTGCATACTGGCTAGCAGACATTGCTCACCAGGGGAAGGCGGCTTTCAATGTAAACCCTTCTACCTATACAGTCTTCCGCAATGTGAAAGATTATGGAGCCAAGGGTGAGCAGTCGGTGGTCATGATCTCAGCCATCTTTACTGATTACTAACAACCATGGTAGGTGATGGAGTCACCGACGATACTGCTGCCATCAACGCAGCCATAAGCGCTGGTGGTCGTTTTGGCCCAGCAGGCAGACAGACCTCGACTACAACACCCGCGATTGTCTACTTTCCCTCTGGAACATACATAATCTCCACATCGATTATTGATTACTATTTTACCCAGCTTATTGGTAATGCGAATGCCATGCCGGTTCTAAAAGCAACTGCAGGTTTCACCGGGTTGGGCCTGATTGATGGTGACCAATACCAAAGCGATGGGAACCAGGGTTGGACATCGACAAATGTGTTCTTCAGACAGATTCGAAATTTGAAACTCGACTTGACTTCAATCCCTGCTGGTACTGCTGCCACTGGTATTCATTGGCCGACTGGTCAAGCTACCAGTATTCAGAATGTTCAAATCGCCATGAGCCCGGCTTCTGGAACTCAACACCAGGGTATCTTTATTGAGAATGGTATGTTCAAACACGATTCTTCTTGGAAATGTCTAATTTAAATCAGGATCTGGGGGGTTCTTGACCGATGTCACCACCACTGGTGGTCTCTACGGAGCCAATGTTGGAAATCAGCAGTTCACGATGAAGAACATGATCATCCAAAATGCAGTGACCGCAATTTCCCAGATCTGGGACTGGGGATGGACATACCAAGGTCTCACCATCATCAACTGCGGCACTGCCATTTCAATTAGCAATGGTGGTGTTGGAAACCAACTAGTTGGCTCGGTAATTGTCATTGACAGCACTATCCAAAACACCCCAACCTTCGTGACCACCGCTTGGCAAAGCTCAACCAATTCTACCGGAAGTCTCATTCTGGAAAATATCGTGCTGAACAATGTCCCTGTTGCAGTTAAGGGCGCAAGCGGCACTGTTCTCGCTGGAACTACAGGCTCAACGACCATCACTGCCTGGGGTCAAGGACACAAGTATACTCCTAATGGACCAACTAATTTCCAGGGCGCTTTTACTCCACCAACACGCCCTAGTGCTTTGCTTGCTAGTGGGTCGACTAAGTACTATTCCAAGACCAAGCCTCAATACTCCCAGTCGCCAGTCGCTTCTTTTATTAGCATCAGAAGCTCTGGTGCTAAGGGAGATGGCTCGACTGATGATACGACTGCCATTCAATCTGCCCTGACCTCTGCTGCGTCCTCCGGCAAGATTCTCTTTTTCGATCAGGGAACCTACAAGATCACCAAGGCCCTTTACGTTCCCCCTGGCTCTAAGATTGTCGGCGAAGCATTCCCCGTCATCATGGCCAGCGGCAGTACATGGTCAAGCATTACCAACCCCGTTCCTGTGATTCAAGTCGGCAAGTCCGGGGAATCTGGCTCGGTGGAATGGTCCGACATGATTCTCAGCACCCAAGGCTCAACGCCAGGCGCTAAGATGGTCGAATGGAACCTGGCTGCCACGTCAGGATCTGGAATGTGGGATGTACACACTCGAATTGGCGGCTTCAAGGGATCTCAGCAACAGGTAGCCCAATGTCCCACTTCAGCAGGTGTCTCTGCCGCTTGTGAGGCTGCTTATATGTCCATGCATATCACCAGTGTTGCGAGTGGTGTTTACCTGGAGAATGTCTGGCTCTGGACTGCTGACCACGATCTTGATACTGGGAATGACATTCAGATCTCGGTTTATACAGGACGTGGTTTGTTGGTGGAGGGCAAGAATGTTTGGCTGTAAGTGGTTTACATGAAGCCTACGATCTCTGAATCTCATCACTAACCTCGTTACAAGATATGGCACTGGCTCCGAACATCACTCGCTATATCAATATCAGTTTTCGGGCGCAACTTCTATCATGGCTGGATTTATCCAGACAGAGACACCGTGAGTGATTTCGATCTAGTCTGGCTGAATATAATCGGATGCAGTGCTAATGATATAGATACTACCAACCAAGCCCCAATGCTGCCAACAGTCCATACCCTACCAACACAGCTCTCAAAGATCCCACCTTTGGCTCGTGCCTTGGTGGAAACTGCAACGCTCTCGGTCTCCGGGTTCTGAACAGCAAGAGCGTCATCGTATACGGAGCCGGTCTGTACAGCTTCTTCAACAACTACAGCACCACATGCTCCACATTCCCCTTACCCGAGAATTGCCAGAGCATGATCTTCAGTATCGAGGGTTCTACCAGTGGATTGGTGGTGTACGCACTCAGTACTGTTGGCACACAGTATATGATTGTGAAGGATGGTGTGGCATTGGCCAAGGTTAGCGATAACCTGGCTACGTACGCTGCCACCATTGCATACTTTACATTGTAGAATTTTGTATCTACTCTCTCATTCAATTTGAATATGATACCGCAAAAGTTCGCCGAGAATAGCCTAAAATGCTTAATTGTACGGAGTATCACCAATCGGATATTTATCCGACTGCGGAGGTCCGGGGATGTGGGGGTATGGATGGGCGCATCAAGATGCACCGAGGCACTACAAGCCGTGGACAATCCACGTTTGATTAGACTCACCTCTCTATCCTTGTTTGCGCCTTCTAGAACTCGACTTTCACACGCCCCAAGTCCAACACCATGTCCAAAACAGACGAGAAACCAATCCCCTTCGAAGCCCTACCACTAGACCCAAAAGGCCCGGGAGGAAATGCCTGGGGTCGCTTTGGCAAAGATGACCAACTGGGAACATTGAATCTGCTCACACCCGAGCGGGTAGTTGAAGCAGCGAAAGAGATCCGAACCGGAGTGCGCATCTCACTCGATTGGCCGCTGAGCATGCCTTCGCATCCTAGCTTTAATCGCGATCCATTCAAGCAGGAGATTGTGCTTCGGACTCCGAGTTGTATCTTTGATGATATCCTGACGTTTAATAGCCAGGGGTCTACTCAATGGGATGGGTTTAGGCATTATGGTTTGTTATTCTTGGAAACACCTATGAGTATGGCTGCGAGTGCTAACTATTCGATGTTGTAGCAAATCAAAAATCGCGAAAATTCTATAATGGACATACCGCCGAAGAGATTCAAGATTCGGATACTATTGGCATTCACTGTATGCACTATATCCTCACCAGAACCCCGAATTTGCCACTAACAACCCAACTCACACAGCTATTTGCGATCATGGCGGCATAACAGGCCGCGGCATCCTCCTCGACTACGCAGAATGGGCCTCTGTTCACTCAATCTCTGTCTCAGCCCTCACATCCGAAGCGATAACCCTAGAAAGCCTCCAAAAAGTAGCAAAAGACCACAACGTGACCTTCCAAAAGGGAGACATCCTCTTCATCCGCGGCGGTTTCACAGAAGCATACAACAGACTAAACGATGGCCAGCGGAGGGAACTGGCATTGCGCCCATCACCGGATTTCAGTGGCGTCGAGGCTACGGAGGGCATGGTGCGTTGGTTGTGGGAGAAGCAGTTTGCTGCTGTTGCAGGTGATGCGCCTAGTTTTGAGCGAGCGCCTATCCGGGGTGCGCATGCTGATAAGGAGTTTAATTTGCATGAGTGGATTCTTGCCGGTTGGGGAACCCCCATTGGGGAAATGTTTGATTTGGAGAATTTGTCTAGGCATTGTAAGGAGGTTGGGCGGTATAGTTTCTTTTTGTCGAGTATGCCGCTTAAGGTGGGTTTATCTCTCCATCCATTTTTGGGGTAGGGCTTTGCTAACTCTTTTTAGGTTGTTGGTGGTGTTGCTAGCCCGCCTAATGCTTTTGCTATTTTCTGATCTGTCTGTTAACGATAACATCTCTCATTATTGAGGTCTTCCTCTCGTAAGACGTGTTTCCTTTTGACTCCAAGCCTAGTGGGGAATTATGGGGTTAGGATATCATTGTTGTCAAACGTGAAGGTGACGATGCCCATTCAATGCCTGTATTTGATTGGTAAAGTTATAGTGCTGGAGACCCAGTGTGGATAACTGGCGGGATGAAGCCGCCAGTGTTCCGCCGAGTGGAGATGAAGTATGAAGGAGAGAACGAGATCGGTTCCCTGCCCCTCAGCAATTCAAAGCTATATAAAGGTATGTGGGATTCCTTCTGTTCCGACAATAGCAAAGCATCTCGAGTTTCAACTCCTTCCAAACCCCCTCCAATCCTCTTCTCTCCACACCCATCATGCCTATCGAAATCCCCGCCGCCAATTCCCTCATGGACCTCTTTAGTCTCAAAGACAAGGTCGTTGTCGTGACAGGTGCCTCCGGCCCACGAGGAATCGGCCTGGAAGCAGCCCGCGGCTGTGCAGAGATGGGTGCCGACATCGCAATTACATACTTCTCCCGCCGCGAAGGCGCAGAAGCCAACGCCAAAGCCCTAGAAGAAGAATACGGCGTCAAAGCCAAAGCCTACAAATGCGACACGGCCAAGTGGAACGAAGTACAAGTCTTCGTTGCGAACGTCGTCGCTGACTTTGGCAAGATCGACTCGTTCATCGCTAATGCCGGTCGCACCGCTGACGCTGGTGTTCTCGATGGCTCTGTTGAAGATTGGGAGAACATCATCCAGGCAGATCTCAACTCTGTCTTTTATTGTGCTAAGGCTGTTGGTCAGCACTTCAAGGCGCGTGGCAAGGGCAGCTTTGTCATTACTGCTTCTATGTCTGGTCACATTGCCAATTATCCTCAGGAGCAGACCTCGTATAATGTTGCCAAGGCTGGGTGCATTCATATGGCGCGATCTTTGGCGAATGAGTGGAGGGACTTTGCTCGTGTCAATACTATCTCACCTGGTTATATTGAGACCGGTCTTGGTGACTTTTGCCCGGCTGAAATGCAGGAGACTTGGAGGAGCTTGATTCCTATGGGACGGCAGAGTCATCCTAAGGAGTTGAAGGGTGCCTATGTGTATTTCGCTAGTGATGCCAGCACCTACACCACTGGTGCCGATCTTAAGATTGATGGTGGTTATACTTGCCGGTAAATGGGCGTTCTTTCTGGAAGCCGAGAGACATTAGGGATATCGGTCTTGTATCTAGAATTAGCATTTGACTTGTCCTGCATATTATTAACAAGATGGGATGCGAATGGAGAGAAGAAAGAAGGAAAATAGGAACATAAGACATTTCATGCATCTAATCTACCATCCAGCACAGCCGTTTCTTGCGGGGCCACTAGCATGTGGGCCAGGTCAGGCAGTACTAGCCTAGACATATGTATTCTCACAGCGCTAGATTGCCACCATTAATGTATTGTGTTTTCTTTTGAATGCGAGGGAGCTCAATAAATCGAATATCGCCGTTGCAACAGATAGCGATGTTCATCCCATTCATAAAAAAGAGCCTGTGTTGGGGATTCTTTGTGAACGACAAGCAATATTATGAATGAGATATCACGGTTGACCCAGAAAACTACCCGTTCCTGATGGCTTAGACAGATCTAGTCTCACAGGGTTAAAGTTCCGCCATCGATAATGATATCAGCACCTGTGATATAGCGACCAGCACGCTGACTGCAAAGAAGGACAACAGCCCCTGTGATCTCCTCAGGATCACCCATCCGACCCATAGGACAACGACTATCCCAAATCTTTCGAATATCCGCAAGTCCATCACCAGCATTGAGAATAGTATCCATATATCCAGGACTGATACTGTTAACTCTGATGCCATGCACCGCCCACTCGGCAGATAGATTCCGAGTCAAATGCGCGACTCCAGCCTTGCTTGCATTGTATGCAGCCTGTGGCTGTGGGAAATTGGTGTAGTGAGCCGACATGGAAGCAGTGAACAAAATACACCCGCCTTTTCCCGCGGCTTCCATACGCTTTGCGGCAGCCTGAGCGCAGAAGAATGATCCGTTTAGGTTCACATCTATTACTCTGTTGAATTGAGCTGGTGTCACTGTGAGAGAGGGTTGGCAGCCAGGAATTCCGGCGAAACAACAGAGAATGTCGATTCCGTCCATGGAGTTGTTTGCCTGCTCAAAGGCGGCTTCGATGGATTCCATAGAGGTCACATCTAGAGGGATCTTGTTGATTTTGGAGTGGGGAAACTTGGACACAAGTTCTTGAATTTGCTTGTCGGATGTGTCGATTGTTCCTGGGAGATCCATGAGACATAGTGCCGATAAACCGTGCTCGAGGAGTGCTTGTGCGGAGATTAAGCCGAGAGCGCCAGCCCCGCCTGTGATGACAGCCTTTCCATTCACCTGAAATCGGGCTGCTGCACGCTCTTGGGCGGATGTGAATGGGACAGGATCAAGAGGGCGAGTAAGAGGATTGGAGCTCTCGGATAAAGTCATTACGGGAATGACTCGTGATGTCAATGAGGCTCGATCCTCCGCAGAAGAGGCTTGGGTAAGCATGACGTGAGTTTGACTTGAGAGATGAAGATGAGAAGTGATGGTGAGACGTAAATGAGATATGAGGGGAAGCTAGCTCTATATAACTTGTCCTAGTGGGGGGGGGGGGAGCTCCCTATCTGAGATTCCCGGCTGCCGCTTTTATACTTGGTTTAGAGTCAGATCATAGTATATAACAACCTGAAATTAGTCTTACTCTATTTAAATAGAGGGAAAGTACTGAATGGTACGGTACGGCTGTGGGTAATAATGTTTCGCTCGGAACATTCAACTTTGCAGCAATCCTAAGGTATTCGGGGTTCTGTGAGCCGAAGTTCTCAGAATAGCGTACTTTTGAGAGATAAATAAGGAATCCGATCAGACGGAGCACACGCAGCCGACCAGAGAGACTTCATTCATGCGGGGACTATACAATCCCCCTCTGTAGATCGGAGCATGGTCGCCCGAGGGGGTTTGTAGGCTTTCTGCCCAGTGAAAATCAGTCTTAAGAGGTATACGTAGAATGCGATGAAATTGCTATTATATAGAACAACATGAAGCTTGGATGTTCCTGATTTTCTCTGAAAAGTTTCAGTCTAAGTTCACCTTCTAGGCGAGAGCACTTGGATCCAAACACCACAGGTCACTGATATTATTCAATGACTGAACTACTTCGGTCTCAGCAAAAGATCAAATATTAAATTCTGTACAAGAAAGAGAACAATAAAATTAAGGGACACAATGTACATCAAGTGGAGATTACGTTAGCGGAAGCCAGGCGGATCCATCCGACTTGGACCTCAACCTACTTGACATTTATCTGCTGGGCTCATGGATCGCCGTAAGCGTGCATCTCTGGCATGCAACCATTGTCGAAAGCGGTAAAACCACATTGCTTAATTTAATGTCTAAATACTGAAGAAGAAACAGAAAGCGCCGCTGTAATGGCGGGATCCCTTCATGTGCCCTATGCGAAGGCTCAGGCGTGGAGTGCGTCTATAATGAAGTCGAGTCATCGAAGTCCGTATACTTAAACAAAAAAAAAATAAGGAGAAGTGCTAAATATTCACAGGCTAAGAGGAGAAACCTCCTCATCAGAGTTCTTTGGGCGTCTTGATGCGATTGAGAATTTCTTGTGGAATCAATCTCGTCTTCCTGCGACACCCCAAACTGGCGAAGCAAGAAACAATGACTTCACATTTCCTTCGGCGGCCTCTGAAAATGACCAGACTGACTTTTCTCAATCTTCAATAATGGTGTCCTCCCCTTCAAGGCCGAACTCTGACATCTCGCGACTCATCGGTACCAATCAGCCTTCTTTCATGCCGCCTGAACATGATATCCCGCCCATGAGTATTCCTATTGGGCACACAACAACAACAGAGTATATGCTGCATATGAACAAAATGAAGACACTATTCGGAGAATTTCCACCAGACCTGTTCATACGCGCAGAGTCAAACCGAGAGATCCCATATCAGCTTTCCTTCGTCCCAGGTACAATTACCGAAAGTCAGTTACCGGCGTTGGATGAATTGAGCTCTTACCCACTGGTGGAAGCATACTTCAGACACGTGCATGTTGAGATGCCAATCCTGGATAAGCCACGATTTATGGATATGTATCACCACCATGTTCGGGCTGGGCTCAAGGTTGATTGCGACTCGGCATTATGTCTTGCAGTACTCGCTTTGGGATTTGCGGCCCTTGAACAGGTGGATCCCATAAAGTCCAGGTGTCCTCACTGGGTGCCTGGGGCAGAGTATATCTCACCCGCGCTGCAAATTTTGATGAATGAATACTTGCTGTCATTCTGCCCGACAATCACTCTTCCTCAGAGCTTGATACTTGTTTCAAAATATTTCGGGTTTCTTTTGCGCCCGCTGCAATCGTGGAAATTGATCCATATGGCTTCCACTAGTATCCAATATCTCAATAGTCGGTATGTCTTCCCTCCCCTTTCTGTTGATGTGCTATACTGATTAATCTATCACCACCAAAGAAGCCAGGCTTCGCCAGATAACCTCGGGCTCAAGTCCAGCATTATTTTACTATCCTGGGCGGCATTCGACACCGAATGGTTAGTTTTCAACTCTATTCAAGAGACGTAACTTATATTGACAATAATGCGGCAGTGATCTCATAGCGGAACATCATTTACCACGAAGTGGCATTGAGCATGTCATTGATCTGACCCCCTTCCCAAGTTTTGCAAACCACGAGGCCGAAGAGACACACCTATTCCTTGCTGAGCTTTCAGTTCGTCGCCTGCTGAATAGAGTCCACCACACAATGTACGGAAGTGACTGGACGAGACGCAGCCTCGGTCTCCAACCCGCATCAAGTGACAGTCCTTCATACGACTTCCAATCCTTATCCAACATCTTGAGTGTCTCTCAAGAGCTTGACCGCCAACTGAATAACTGGTTTGAACTTTTGCCGCGAAATATCAAACCAGACATGAATGACCCGTCACGATGCAGTGGCCTTCAGCTCAATATGCTCCACCGCTTCCACTCCGCCAAAGATATCATCACAAGGCCTTTCCTTCTTTGTGCTATTGATTTCTCGCCAGAGAACGATCTTCCTCCAATGGTGCTGAAGCAATGTGAGGCTAGCTTAGCCAATTGCCGGACATACTTGGACGCTTCAACCCGAAGATTGATGAGCCCATCGGTCTGTGCAGAGATTATCATCCATACGTAAGTACTTATGATAGGATGTCTTGTTTTATGCTTGGCTGACCTAGTTTTTGTATTCTAGAATGTTTTCTTCCATTGTTCTCCTTACTCTGGGTTCGCTCTCGCCGGCTTTGGCGCATCTAGTCCCCGACATCAATGCTTTACAAAAGAACACAATTAGCACGCTACAGCGGTTTGCTGTGAGGGGTTCTTCGATCGAAGAGATTCACGGGGTTATTGTTTTGTTGCATAGCAAGACGAGAGTTCTAAAACGAGCTATGTAGCAGATTAAATCATCTGTTCTTGATACCCAATTTCTCCATTTGACACAGATACTTAAATTGAAATAAAGTGTTCATCTCCTAAGAGAAGAGAAAGCCCCAATTCTGTTGTGTATGAACAAGCATAGCTCTACATGGTGTCCATGCCAAGAAATGCCAGGTGTCGCGGCGGCCCCGCGGCGGATGAGCTTCCGCACCGGTCGACATTTCACGTCGCATTCAGCCATTGAAGTTGGAGCACCACAGTCAATATCACAGTGATCACATCTGAACCGCTCTTATTCTGCCAGCATTACAAGAATGAAGACAATTGCCCCAAGCCCATAGTGGGAGACCGGAGCAAAATTGACCTCGCCCCACGTTAGCACCCGCATCGCCAACGTACGAGCTACCAATGCTCGGATCAAGCATGAATCAGATCCCCCTCACGGCAAGCAGAACGTGTGACCAATTCTGGGTAAGCTGATAATCCCTTGCTTCGGCGCCTATCGGGTTAACCAATCCAGGACTCCCATAATGCGTGGCTGTCACCTTGTGCCTTGCCGTACCTGGCTTGCATCCCGGCAATTTTTGTATTGCTTGTTGCGTTGAGCCATATATTTACATACTTTTCAAACTGGCGTCCTAAGTGGACCGTTCCTTTTGTATCGGAGCTCCGTGATACCCGCGAGCTGCCATTAGATGTGCCAAAGCAGCCGCGGAGATGGACTATTGCCCTCCTTGTTTGTTCGGTTGTTGGTCTCTTAGCTGAGACTGTTCATTTTGTGCCTCCGAAGGTTGATCCATCGGCTTTCGTCCTTGTTGTTTCATGGGTACGCAGCATGTTCCTGGTGAATATCAGCTTCTAACTCTCGTCCAGGCTACCGCAGCAATTTTGATCGCTATCAAGCAACCTAGATCATGTTCGATCTCAATTTTGGTGTATTACATCTTTGAATTTGCAATTGAGCTCTCGTTGGCCACTCACCCGGGTCTTAACACAGACTTCAAGACCATCGCTCGTTACATTGCTGCCGGTGCAGCGGCGGCAGCTTGCCTAACGATTCTTCTGATGCCATTTCGAGAATCGAAGCTTCAGCCGATAGATATCAGTGCTGTTGGTCAACAGCCATCAAGCGAATTTCGCACCCCGGAAGACAATCTAAAGCTTTGGCAATTTCTGACTGTGTCCTGGATGGCACCGCTTATTTCCACTGGATGCAAAAGACAACTCAACGAGCAAGATGTTTGGCAACTTGGATTTGAATTTCAGCATCGACGTTTACATGAGAAGTTTCGGCGTCTCCGGGGGTCTGTTGTTAGTCGACTGCTGAGGGCAAATGGAATTGATGTCTTTATCATCTCTGCCATTTCAACAATTCAGATGCTATGCGGTAAGTGAGTATGAGCTCTTCTTTTGGACACGGCGCTGACAGTATAGCAGACTTTTCTACGCCAGTACTGTTGCAGCAACTGCTACTGGCTATGAATGATCCCACACGACCAAAACGTGTGCCTTTGACCTATGCGCTTTTGTCGTTTGCGCTGAGACTAGTTGCAGCCCAGTCGCAGGTACTACTTCTGTGGTATGGTCGGCGATGCTACGAGAGATCACGCGGTGAAATGATCATGATGGTCTATGAAAAGGCCCTATCAAGAAAGAACGTTGTGGGGCTTATGGTTGAAGACAAGCCAGGGCCATCTAACGGGGAAGCAAATGGAACTGGTGATGAGAGATTAGCCCAAGGGACGCAAACACGTTCAGCTAAAGCAAGCACAAGCTTTTGGCAACGTATCACACAAGAGACACCCAAGAAAGACGAACAGAACAAAACCAAGGAAGCAGCCTCCCTTGGAAAGATCTTCAACTTGTTACGAGGAGACGTCTATGAAGTTGCCCAAAGATTCTGGGAGGTCGACTCCTTGATAGACAAGCCACTGGGACTTGTGATAGCCACAGTCCTTGTCTGGACGCTCTTCGGTCCTTCTTGCTTCCTGGGTATTTTGGCCGTTCTAGTTGCACAGGCGGTAAACGCACTGATTACTAGGGCCCTGCTACGATGGGAGCGAGTCAGACGAGCAGCGACAGACACAAGACTCCAAATAACCTCCCAGTTCGTCGAAGCAATCCGTCACCTACGGTGGTATGGGTGGCAGAACCATTGGCTTCAGCAGGTTATGGAAGCTCGGCAACACGAATTGAATATCCGCATCGTAACCAGTCTATGGAGCATCTTGATTCGCTTTGTCAATGCCTTTGCCAGTGGCGTTTTCCCGGTCGTCGCACTGTACGCTTATACTTTCTTGGCTGGGCATGAGTTGCGGATTGATATCATCTTCCCTGCCTTGCAACTATTTACTATGCTTGAAACTCGCCTGCGAGATATCCCTGGGCTGATCACGTCGCTTATCAATGCGTTCATTGCTCTTGGGCGCATTGAGGATTTCATGTCAGAGCCGGATAAAGAAAGTATGACCTCTGAGCAGTCGGACACCTCTCCCATTACAATGCAGTCATGCTCTTTTGCATGGCCTGGTAAAGCCTCACCGGTCCTTGTTGACCTCGATATCACTATTCCTCAGGGATTGACTGTTGTCACCGGAAAGGTCGGGGCAGGGAAGACTGCTTTCCTACAGGCTCTTCTAGGGGAACTTGACAGACTCAAAGGATCATCACATATCCCGAATGAAATGGTGGGATACTGTGCCCAGACACCATGGCTACAAAGCATGAGCATTCGCGACAATATACTGTTCTCCGCTCCATACCATGATCAACGCTACAAAAGAGCCTTAGAAGCATGTGCCTTGCTTCCTGATCTCGCCCAATTCAAACATGGAGATCTGTCTTTCGTCGGTGAAAATGGCATCGGTCTTTCTGGCGGGCAGAAGGCAAGAGTGGCTCTGGCGCGGGCTGTTTACAGTGCATCCCGCGTTTTGCTTTTGGATGACCCCCTGTCTGCGCTGGATCACAATACTGCCGAGTTGATAGTGCGCAAGTGTCTCTCAGGGTCATTGATGAAAGACCGTACGATTGTTCTTGTGACGCATCGTACTGCGTTAGTTCGCCAAATTGCAGATCAAATTGTGGACATCCGAGATGGACATGCCATTGTTTATGATAAAGAGGCACTCCGAGCTGATGGCATCGAACACTCCTTGCAGTTTACTGACACGGAAAGTGACACAGAAACTGAAATCACACCGGATGAGGAGACCACTGCAGTTCCCGACAAGTTCATTGAGGATGAGCACCGCGCCGAAGGAGGTGTCAAGGCTCGCGTCTATTGGAACTATATAAAGGCTGGAAAATACAAATGGTGGCTTGCCCTCGTCCTCGTCTTGGCCACATACCGATTGATAGCCGTTGCGCAATCCTGGTTCCTAAAAGAATGGGGAGAGGCATATGAGCAGTCAACTGTGCTCAGTGGAAGGTCTTCAGATCTGGACAGTAGATCCTCTCAGGGCTCATTGTTGGTGTCGGCGTCAACGGTGGACACATACTTCATGCCTAAGAATCCGATGGACCGACTGCCGTCCCCGCGCGAGGACGTCCGTCCTTGGCTATGGGCATTCTTTGGCATTATCTCATTTCAAGCGGCAACACTGCTCATTTCGCAGTTGCTCATGCTGGTCATCGTCTACTGCGCTGGACAGTCGTTGTTCCGACAAGTTCTTATTCGGGTCAGCCACGCCACCTTCCGGTATTTGGGTATGTTCTATACAATTTGGCTCGAAATCCACAGCTAACAGCTCTAGATACAATCCCTCTTGGGCGTCTGATGAACCGTCTAACCTCTGACATCGGGGTTGTGGACGGCAATATCAGTGAGCAATTCCAAGTGATCGCATTCCAGTTTATCACCTGGGTTTCATCCGTGCTGGTAATCGCAACCGCAACCCCGATGTTTCTCGTATTCTCTCTCGCTCTCACAATGGCATTCGTGCTAGTCTTCCTACGCTTTCTCCCAACATCACAGAGTCTCCGAAGACTCGAAATGGTATCCCTAAGCCCACTGATATCCAACTTCGGCGAGCTACTCCACGGTCTAACAACCGTCCGCGCTTTCCACGCAGAGTCACGTTTCCAAGACCGAATCATGTCCGTCGTCGACAAGTTCCAAGGAATGGACCATTTCTACTGGTCCCTTCAAAGCTGGCTGATGTACCGCTTCGAAGGCCTCTCCGCATTTTCAACCTTCTGCCTCACAGCCCTGGCTCTATACACCAATACTTCACCGGGACTAGTGGCATTCGTACTAATAGCCGCAAACAACTTCGTCGAATCAACACACGCCCTATGCAAACAGTACGGCCAACTCCAAATGGACTTCGTATCCGTCGAACGCATCGACGAGCTCCTCCACATCGAAGAAGAAACACCAGGCACGGTAAACCCCCCAGCAGCATGGCCAAAATACAGCAGCGATATCGTCTTCAACAATGCAACTTTCCGCTACGCTCCCCATCTCAGCCCTTCCCTACTGAATATCTCCCTTCGCATCCCCGGCGGCTCGACCACCGCCGTCATAGGCCGCACAGGAAGCGGCAAATCAACCCTGGCAATGTCTCTCCTCAGCGTTATAAGACCAGACTCCGGTCGCATTCTCGTTGACGGTATAAACATAGCAGATGTCAATACGCAAGCCCTCCGCACTCGCGTTACCTTCGTCGCACAGGATCCAGTCCTGTTCCCAGGTAGCATCCGGCTGAATCTAGATCCAACGGGCGAATACCCTGATGAGCAGTGTACAGAGATCCTGCAGCGACTGTGTAGCCGGCATGGCTGGCATCTTGATACATACATCGAAGGTGGAGGCAGGAATCTAAGCCAGGGTCAGCGCCAGCTTATCGCTCTCACGCGGGCTGTTCTGCGGCGCAGCGCTATTGTCATTCTGGACGAGGCGACTGCGTCGGTTGATCAGGAGACTTCGCTTGAGATTCAGCAGATTATTAGGGAAGAGTTGCGACTGTCGACTGTTATTACTATTGCGCATCGGATTGAGGCTGTGAAGGATGCGGATTACTTTGTGGTTTTGGATCAGGGTCGTGTCTCGAGGCAGGGTCATGTAAGGGATTTAGAGACTTGACGGAGGAATTACTCTAGACTATGCCCATTCATCGCAATACAATAAAAGATCGTTCACTCGTATATATTGGCAGCGACGCAGGAATTATAGAGACAAATCGACCCATCGGGGGATTCTTATACAAGTTGTCACAAACGGGTATCTAATCTTTACAGCTTGGCTCCGCCCTGGGCCTTCTTCAGGATAGGTTCCATCTTGGTAGCCTTCATGATGTTGCCCTTGATCTTGAGCTTGCCGCCCATGAACAGACGCTGGGCATTGGCCTTGCCGGCGACGAGCTGGGCGAAGTCGGCGTCGGAGAGGGTGAGGGTGACTAAATACACGAAGGAAATCAGTATATGTGTATTTGAGAGAATTGGAAAGGCTGCGGCGGTTCCGCGCTCTCAGGGTATTTCACTCACCATCAGCTTTGCCGCCCTTGGGGGCGAGTCCGTGACCAACCTCGCCCTTCTCCTTTAGGTCGAGATACCAGGCTTCTTCCTTGCCGTCAGAGTTCTTGATGTTGAAGGCGACGACGGCCTTGGCCTTGTCGAGGGCGTCCTTGCGGTCAGCCTCATTGGCCTGGAGCGTCTGGTTGATGACGTCGAAGGCGGCGGAGGAGGGGTGGGAATCTGCTAGTTGTTAGTTGGGAGTTGAGAACAAGGTAGAATACAAATAGCATACCTTTCTTGAGAGACATGGTGAATGTTATGGTGAAGGAACAAAGAGCCCGAACGTGAAGTTCATATAGGAAGAGACCAGCGCATGTGAAGTGGTCAGCCGTGCCGAGGCCCCGTGAATCCACACTCCACTCCGAGCTTCCCCAGTCCTCCCCCAACATCTTGTGGCTTTGTTTGACTTGTGCTAATGAATCTCTGTTTGACATTACTAGCTCCAGATCTACATTCCTAGGCTATTTCCACGTCCTTTCCCTTCCATCTTTCCCTCCGTCTCCACATGTGTACCGCGGTGCCTGGGGGTTGCACTAATACGGTATTCACCGCGACACTAGCCGATGCAAATCCTTGCTGCACAGAGAACCGCAGTCGCGTGTCCCCAACGTCATCGCCAAAATGCCGATGAACGCACGCGATTCATATGATCGGGCTTCCCCGCCAGCAGTTCGCGGATGTTTGATCTCGCTTGCGGCAAGCTTCTCGGAGCCCCGGTTCCCTTCAGTTGCTAAGCATTGATTACCCTTTATAACTGCTTTTGGCTAATGCCAGCCGGACTTAGCACTATCGGCACATCGACGACGACTTCGTCTTGTCCCTGCTTCTATATTTCTCTGCGCGGAGTCTATCTAATGGGGCAAGCGCGTCGTCCCAAGTACCGCTGCGCAATACTACATTTCCGAAGTTGAACTCCCGTAAGGAACCTCTGTGTTCCTGGATGAAAGTTGCTATCTGTGATGCGTCCATCGTGGCATTGGCGAGCTCCATCTGTTGTAAATGTTTGAATTTCAACTGTCGGAACGGCTTCTCGGGGCGCCGAGAACATCCTGGGCTTGGCTCTGCTTTGACTGCGCCGTTGAAACTTGGCTCAGTCGCGAGTTTCAAGGGTAGCAGGCCCCTTTTGCCTTCCCAGCGGAAAACTAATCGCTGCAGGGTGTGAAAGCTGCCGAGATAAGCATGGAGGAGCTTCAAGTGGTCCGTCATTCGGTCGGGCTTATGCGCAAACTTGTTATATGGATTGTCAATTCGTGTATCTGGGCCCAGCACTTGCTCGATGTGCTGGTGATGAGCCAAATCCTGGATTTGGTCGGAGGTATAGAGCCGCTCCGGGATGTACTGACAGTAATGACAGGGTATGCAGGTCTTTTAAAGTCGCTCTTTCAGTGGCCAGGCGCAACGAACTGAGTGCATAGCCTACTACACTTCGGCGGTAGCGATGGCTGGACTCTTGGCCCTTGCAAGAGATTCGTAGATGCTGCAATCCGCTCATCAGTATCAAAGCTTTGACAAATCATGTGGTATTGGTAGCTATGTGAAAAGTGACGGATATTGCTTGACTAGCAAATCGGCCATCTCTCGATTCCCATATGTGGCACTATTGGAACTATTTGGGATATAGACAAAGATTCGCTCGGTGCCCGTGATAGGGTCCAAGATTGGAAGTAGGAATGTGTCTCTACCATGCGGTATCTTAAATGTCATTGCTCGAATATTCCGGCCAATGCGCTCAAGAGCAGCCATTCGTGATGACCTGATGGTTGTATTGCTGCGGAAATGAATCTCGATATTTGCAAACAGAAACCGTTCAAGGTCAAGTGCAAACTTGTGGCAGATGAGACGCATCGCAGCGAGGTCTCTTTCTGCCAAATGCCTCAATACACTCAATATAATCTCTGTATAGGCTTCAGCTTCCACAGTCAAGCCAAAGGTGCTCCGGTGCTATACTAGCATATTTTTCCCTCGTTCTGATTGATGCAGCCCAACTGCACCTCGGAATATTGTATTGCTATTTGTTTCTGGTATGGTTTCCGGTGACTCCATCGGTCCAATATATGAGTCACAGTCATGTCTGAAATTGAGGAGTGGTGTTGTACATGTTGGTTAGAACTACAATTGGGGCTATAACCTGTATATGATGTAGATGATTGACCAGCCGCAATCAGAAACGGTGAGGAAAGAGGTGAAAAAGAGAGACCAAGGAGGGTGGAACAAGGCATGCATCAATCTCGAAGCTTTCATATAGAGACTGTACAATACTTTATAAAAATTGACTGTGCACATGCCAATCTGTATAGGGCCGACCTTGTTTGTCGGGTTTGGCAGATTTGCTCTGTTTGTCCTGGATTGACGCGTTCATCACGTGCCGATAAGATCGCGTCGATATCAAGCAGGAGATTTAGGAAATTCAATTGAAAGAGCAGCAGTAGTCAGATTAAATTCAGAAATGCATGATTATAAAACTGAGACATCTCGAAGTACATGTCTTTCAATGAACTAGCCCAGACGCCTAAGTGGCCCTTTGTAGTAGAACACCCCCTGTATCCTTGGCCGAATGCTCACCATGACATTTTAAGAACTTCAACACCCCGCCAGGCGAACACGGACCAGCCCGGGGTCCATTTGAAGAGTTGAGAGGAGCATCTTGACCTGTTCTCCTTTGGTAGAGTGCGCTATTTTTATGAATCGAGATATATCTCTTCTGTCATCTCGCAATATCTGGAATTGCCCCCTCAGCCTCACCTCACGATTTACCCGGGCGAACTGTCGATCGTACTCGAAAGACTGCATAGTAAGTCTCACCCCTGCTAGGCCCCCACCCCACGGTGTCAGAGACATGATCTATCATCTCCATGCTTTGCTTTGTCTTTTATGCGATCGCCATCTGCCAACTCCCGCTTCTCCTTCCTGTTTGCTCATGAAGGCCCAACTGACGCTCTTTCAGATCACTTATTTCTCGTTTTAGCCTGTCTTTGAGGGTACGTTTGAAACGCGTTCTGGGCATTAATTTGGTGCCATTTTGTCGGCCTTATCTGTTTTGCCGTCTTGCCCCCTTGGGTTCTACCAGTGTCCGGTCCATCGCCACACGTCTGAACTGTTCACGAAAACCTGTTCTTCACCAGAATCGTGACTGTTGAACTTTGGAAATGGCCACAGACACCAATCAGTCCCAAGAGGACAAGATCAAAGATCTACTTGAGGATATTGACCTACACAAATTCCTGTATGAGGATCTCTTGGCGAGCAGGGGCGATGGCGAAGACGCAGCCGAAATGATGGCGACCATCAAGTCGCTGGAGTCCAAAGTCGCTCGGCTCCTTGGGGAAGATGTACCTGAAGAGCCTGCGCCGACACAGCGTGCGCTGATACAGCCTACGGCACAACCAACACTGCCACAGCCTGCCTCATTTCAAAACTCGCCCACACCTGCTCACCAATCCACTCGCATGCCGTTGAATTCACTTTCTGAAAGATTCGGAGACTTTGTTTCACCACCACATCGACCTCCTGTGCTTTCTGCTTCCTCCCTTTCCTCTCTACAGGCAATACCGCAATTTTCACCAATGTCTTCTCCTAGATCACCTCTACCGGAAAGCTCTCGCAAACGTTCGCGTCCGCTTTCTAGCAGCTCGCCCACCCTACCAGGGCCATCTAAGAGGACTGTGCTCCCGAAGCCTAATTCTCACAGATCTAAACTAGATGATCTGATTGCGCGCCAGGAACTCGTGCTTGCTAAGAATCGGGCATTCTTCGAGGAAATGATGCAGCCTGCCTCGTTGGCGGAAGAAGCTAGAATGCAAGAAAAGCCCGTGGCTGATATTCTGAGGGAATTCCGGGAAGAGTTGGAAGATTCGGAAAGGGACATGAAGAAGGAATTCCAACTGGCACGCGACGCGGAATTGGCTCGAATGCTGCAGGCCCAGGAGAATGAATATCAACCCCTTCCTCCTAGCACTCAGAATCGGCCTTCGTGGGATCTTCCTGATCGCAGTCATCCGGCCACGGTGAAGACGGAGGCTCCTATGAACCCCTATTCCCCTTCTCCCCGTGTCCCTGGTCACTACCCTTCTCTTGGCTCCGATGATGATTTTCAAGAAATCACTGCCGATTCATTCAACTCCCGAGCTGGCGCACCGCCATTTCGCCAATCTGGTTTCTTGAGCACCCTCGATAGCCTCCACTCTGTATATCCCCCGAACCCGTTTCTTGCTCAGAACTACTCCAGACCCGGATACCCCTTCCAACCGCATCCTTCTCAGTCGCCATATGCACCACTTTCTCCAAGGCCTCTGCCTTGGTTGGACGAATCACATTTACCTCCAAGTTACGGCCCAGGAACCTATGCGAAGGCTTTTGACTTGGTTCGTAACCAAGAAGAGTTCATGTTCGATGAAGAGGTCAACGTGGAGTATGTTATTTTCCTGCCAAAATGGGTGCATTTGAGACTAACATGACCATAGGGCATACAATGAGAACGAGTTCCCTGAAGACATTAAGAACTTGCTCACCGGTATCAAGGACATCAGCGAAGCAACCAAAGCAGACCAAGATGAGACGCCAGGGGCACTTCGAGTTACATTGATGAAGCACCAGACGATTGGTTTGAATTGGATGAAGGCCAAGGAAGAGAGCAACCACAAAGGTGGAATCCTCGCAGATGACATGGGTCTAGGCAAGACCATCCAGGCGATCGCGCTTATGGTTGCCCGCCCATTCGACGACCCCGATCGACGTCCTAATTTGATCATTGCGCCTAAGTCGCTGATGGATCAATGGAGACTCGAAATCCAGCGCCACGTCAAGGCAGGCCCACATCAATTATCGGTTCTGATCTATCATGGAGTGAAGAAGCCTTGGCGAGATCTCAAGAAATACGATGTCGTTATCACGACATATGGTACGCTCACTGCGAACTACAAGACTTTACTCAGGGCAGAAGAAATGGCAACGCAGGGTAAGGACCAAGACCTGATTCGAGATCTCAAGGATACGGCTGGTCCCCTCAGCCCTCCCTGCAAGTGGCATCGAGTCATCATCGACGAGGCACACAATATCAAGAACCCCAATGCCAAATCTAACATGGCATGCTGTCGCCTCAACTCCACTTATCGCTGGTGCTTGACTGGCACGCCAATGATGAACCGTCTCGAAGACTTCCAATCGCTGTTGGGATTCCTGCGAATCAAGCCCTACAGCAACGCGAACAAATTCAAATCGGTAAGTATTCGCAAACTCAATTATTCACTGGCTGGATCTAATTAACACACTTGTGCAGGACTTCACGAAACGCATCAAACAGGGCTGGGGAGGCGAAGACGTAATGAAGCAGCTACGTGTTCTAGTCAAATCTGTCTGCCTTCGGCGTACCAAAGCCTCCAAAATCGACGGACAACCGATCTTGCAACTCCCACCAAAGGTTACAGAGAAGGTTCATGTGCTGTTCAGTGAAAAGGAACGCGAGGTGTATGACGAACTCAATGCGAACACTCAACGCACGATTAACAGATATCTGGATGCCGGTACCCTGGGAAGGAATTACGGTCATGTCCTGGCTCTTCTTCTTCGTCTTCGACAAGCATGCTGCCACCCGCTTCTCATCAAGGAGTTCCGAACGGAAGGGGCTACAGCTAGCGATCCCGGGGTAGACAAGATCGCCAATGCCAAACTCCTAACTGCTACCGTTGTCGAACGTATCAAGACAAATGACGGCGAAGAAAATGGAACTTGCCCCGTCTGTATGGACAGCGTTGGAAATGCCACAATCTACATTCCCTGTGGACACCATGTATGCTCTGAGTGTTGGATTCGCATCATGGACAACGCAGCCGCAAACCCAGCCGCAATCTCGGATGACGACGTTTCTCCTTTGATCAAGTGTCAAAATTGTCGAGGTCCGGTCGACCCCAACAAGCTCACAGATACGGTTTCCTTCCAGAAAGTCCATGACCCCAGCTCGTTGCCCGAATCCGAATCCGCCGAGACCGATGCAACCAAAGACGCTGAAGATGATGAGGCTACAGCAAGCAGTTCATCAGAATCCGAGAGCGATACTGAGGAAGAGGATACTCCCGCAAAGAAAAAATCCCTTTCTCAACTGCGAATCGCAGCCCACAGAAATAAGAGCGAGAAGAAGAAATATCTCCGCCGACTTGAAAAGGGCTGGTTCCCCAGTACCAAGATTGAAAAAACGATTGAAATCCTCCAAGCAAACGAAGACCGCGGCCTGGGCGAGAAGACTATCATTTTCAGCCAATTCACATCCCTCCTCGATCTACTGGAAGTGCCCATCTTCCGCCGTGGCTGGAATCATACCCGCTTCGACGGAAGCATGGGACTGAGAGAACGCAACAGTGCCGTGACAGCTTTTACCAACGACCCGTCTTGTAGGGTCATGCTTGTCTCTCTCAAGGCCGGAAACTCAGGTCTGAACCTCGTCGCCGCTTCTCACATCATCATGTTCGATCCATTCTGGAACCCTTACATCGAGGACCAGGCGGTCGATCGTGCTCATCGTATTGGTCAGGTTCGCGAGGTCTTCGTTCATCGTTTGCTGATTGAGAATACTGTTGAGGATCGTATTGTCTTCCTTCAGGATCAGAAGCGCGAGTTGATTAGTGGTGCCCTTGATGAAGGTGGTACTATGAATGTCTCCCGTTTGGATGCTCGGGAGCTCGCTTATCTCTTTGTATGTTTCTCCCTCCTTGTCTTGTCTTTTTATATCTTACGTTCTCGATTGGATGTTTTGCTAACGGTTCTATTCTCCACACAGGGTGTGCGTCAATTGAACTAGACTTCAACCCCGGTGCCGCCATGAACTACTTGGTCAGTTTTACCTTCCACTCCCCTGCTTGAGCATGGTTTGAAAATTTTGGGGAGGTATTGTCGTTGCTTCACGGCTCTATCTCTTGTATTTCTTGTCTCATTCTGTGTTTTGCTTTGTTTTGTTGCTTTCATTTTCTTAATCTATGCCCACCTGGAAGGCGTGCGGTGTTTTGCTCTTGGTCTCTGCTTCTCACGTTTGTCTTTTTATACCCTTGTGTTGTTTTCTGGTAGAAAGGAATGCTTTCGAGATTGATGTATTTGCTACGAGACTTGCTCATTTCATTACTCATCATTTTCCTTGCTTTGCGGTTGTCAAATCAAAAGATTTCCACATGTCTAGATCTATCTGCATTGAGTGGAGTAGTCTTGAAAAAAAAATTCCTATGTCTTGAAAGAGAACATGCTTTTGTGTTGCGGTGTGCTCATTTCGGGGAGAAAAAAAAGGACTTGGGATGGTAGGAGTCTAAACTACTAAGGGGAGGAGATTCGGAATTAAAAAAAAAGAACAAAGATGCATGATCGTGCCGCCCGTGTCTTCAAACCACGACTATCCCCCACCCGCTTTCATTGTATCGTGATTCGGAGAACAGACTTTGCTTTTTGCAAGGCAAACCCCAAACTAAAAAAAGGAAACCCCGGGAGTCGTATACTTCGTGCCTCCCACTCGCCAAAATTCGAGTTTAAAAATCGGACATGAGGAGGGGAACTGGGTAATGCGACTCCCAACATTCGTGTCGGAAACTTCGTAGACCCGTTGCTGAGTGCACCGCTTTACAGGTCGGCGTCATCCTCATCGGGGAGGGGCTGGTTCTGGGCCTCCTCCATCTCGCGGCGGTAAGCCTCGAGCTGAGCCTCATCGACGGTGACTTCAGGGGGAGCAAGAGCAAGACCAGCGACGAAGTCCTGTAGGAAAGAGTAGTTAGTATTGACAGGCGAAACAAGTTGGGACGGATCAATGACGTACGAGCTGGGGGTTGCCAACGAGCTTGCGGGCGAGCCAGAGGAAGGGCTTCTCGAAGTTGTAGTTGGACTTGGCGGAGATGTCGTAGTACTGGAGGTTCTTCTTGCGGTGGAAGGTGATAGTCTTGGCCTTGACCTTGCGCTCCTTCACGTCGACCTTGTTACCGGTGAGGACGATGGGGATGTTCTCGCAGACACGGACGAGGTCACCTAATAGTAGTCAGTCATTGAACAATCACAGTCGATTTCGCAGGGGTACCCACGGTGCCAGTTGGGGACGTTCTTGTAGGTGATACGGGAGGTAACATCGAACATGATGATACCGCACTGGCCGTTGATGTAGTAACCATCACGGAGACCACCGAACTTCTCCTGACCAGCGGTATCCCAGACATCGAACTGGATAGCACCGAAGTTCTATACGGGTCGGGGTTAGTTGACGCAATCAAGCGGCGAAACGGCTGCGGGGCTCTTGGGCGGGGCACATACGGTGTTGAAGTTGAGAGGGTGAACCTCGACACCAAGGGTGGCAATGTACTTCTTCTCGAATTCGCCAGTCAAGTGACGCTTGACGAAAGTGGTCTGTGGTTGACTACGTTAGTAATTGAAGTCGCGGTGAGGCGGGGTTGGGCAGGGATTCGAATTTGTTGTTGAGAGTCGCGGGCAAAGAGGAATTCATGATAATCGACTGAATCGGAGTGTATTGTGCAAATCTTGGTCGACAGGATCGACAATCATCGCCGCTTCGATGACCTCTTTGAAACCCCATTCCCATCAACAACAAAACAAAGATGCGCTTACCTTTCCGGTACCACCGTCACCGACCAGGACGAGCTTGAAAGTGGGAGTAGCCTGAGCCATTTTGTGATGCGACGTGTGAAGAAAACCCAAAAAAGGTTGAGTAGTTCGTGTAGAGATGGTTGATGGGGGGAGGGGTGGAGGAAGGGGCCTCAGTGAATAATAACGAAATTTTGCCGGGTCACGTGTATGTGTGCCTGAGGCCTGCTGACGTAGTGTCACAGCGGACTATAGAACTCCATGTTGCCTATCGTACTTGTGGGCATTGTTAGTGCTGCCTGCTTTGTACTATGCTGCGTTTGCTCTATACTGCATTTGTTATGCAATCCTCATTGGTCTATTTTTATCGGTTGGTCTTTCATACACAGTGAGGCGGCTTTACCCAACACCTGATCCAACATCTGATTCAACATGTCTACATTGTCGAATTGCTTACAGGGATCTCAGGTTGCTTATAAATCGGGCAGCAAAGCTTGGAGACATTTCACATTAAATCATGAAGTATACACATCGTAAGGGAATCGGGTCAGTTTGGTCCGGACCGGTGCCTCGAGCTTCTCATAATGGTACTAGATGGCATCCCAGCAAGCCACGACCACCCCAATTTTGCCGAGGTGTAAGTTGAAGATCCAGCTCACTTGGGCTAGATCCGGTCGAGCCTGTCCGGCTGACTTTGACTGATACTGGGCGCTATAAATCAAAGTTAGACATCTGTACATGCCAGAATACTGAAATTCTTAAACTTACCCCTTCATTTTGCTGGACTGTCTCAGCGACCTTGGAAAGACGTTCGTGATTCAGCCAATTGATATTTCCGAAGCTTCGGATGACATCTCCCGCCTTCAGTCCTGCCTGATCTGCTGGACTTCCCGGCACCACGGAATTGACCTTGGCAAATGCTGTCCCCGGTGTAGCGCTTGCGGCTGCTGCTGGCTGCGTTGTTGGTTGGGCGGGTGGAGCAGCGCCAGTGCCATTTGTAGTTGGGCGTGCGTCAGGCGTGTTTTGTAGGTTGGCGAAATGTGCGTGGATGCCCTTCTCGAGCTGTTCCATCACTGCCTTGTGGTCATTGCGTAGGTGTATAATACGCACGCGGGTTGTTCGGACTAAGCTATGCTTTAGCTATGTGTTATGGATAGGCGGGGGAATGGCGGGGCGCACCTTGAGCGATGTCGATGTCATCGCGCGGGTAGCCATCGAAGGTAGTAAGAGACGAGGTCATGCGAACGCCATGCTAGAAGAAGGCATTGTGTTAATAAACGCGACAGAAGCAAGCCGGGTGTTCTTACCGAATCGAGAACAGCGCTCAGAGCTTTGAGCTCATCCTCCAGGCGTTGCTTCTCCTGCATCAGGTCGGTCATCGACAGCTTAGTCAAGTCGCGAGGAGCAGCCCCGGACGAAGGCCCGGAGGCGACAGTCGGTGCGTGGATGTCGTCCATGACTATTCCCATAACATGAGGAAAAGAGCGAAAGTGGCAGATCCCCGGGTGTTCAGGTGGGTCTGAGGCTTTTATATAAGCGCGAATGCTTGGCACTCGAAGTATACAAACTTCAACTTCACTTGCTCTTCCTTTCAAGAGACAGGAGACAATCACCAATTATGTATGATGGAAGTACTCATAGATTGCAATTCCAGCCATGTCTCCCATGACGTACATGGATGAGATTCAAATCTGCGATTCCTTCTTTCTCTCCACACCAACGACGTAGGGCAAGAACATCTGTGGTCTTTCTTACCATGCTAACTCCTGTCTTGAGTTCTTTCCCGCTGTCTGCGTACCAGCTCTGGAATATATCGCCCTGGGTCTTGGTGTCACCATGGAGGAAATCGAGATCGAGAAGCAAGCACTGCTCGATGAATCCGCAGAAAAGCTTCAAGATAAGCCAATGACTTCAGCTGAAAGGCAGCCTCGTCCGTTCAAAAAATGGATGGATAGCTTCAAAGGGCGCAGACACGGATCTCCTACCTTCAAACGACGATACGTGGAAGGCTGGTCGGAAACATCATCGCATGGTTCGCAGAGCCAACAGTCGAATGTGTCCGACTTATCGCAACTGGGAACCATCAAAACGACGACAACGAGCATTGATAGTCAGGGTATGGCAAGATCCAGGGGAGGCACACCAAGTGCAGCGAACCAGAGCTTGTTGTCGGATGTGCGCGATTCCGACGAAAGCCCCCGTCCAGTCTCTAGTCTATACGTCGATGAAGCCGCCGAGGCACGAGCAATCAAAAGGCGCCATATCCTGCGAGAGATCATTGTCACAGAGTCTGATTATGTGCTTGGTCTTAAAGCCCTGGTGGGAGTAAGTGGGTGGGACAATACGTGATCTAGGATCTATGCTGATGTGCTCTTTGGATCTACAGGTCTTTACAATATTTAGTGCAAGGCATGGGATATCTCACAACATCCAGGAGATCCTCGGATTACATGAGCAGTTCTTGTTTCAGCTCCAAATAATCTCGCCCATGTCGGAACCGCATGTTGAACAGGCTGGCCTGTCTGAATTTGCATCCCGGGGGATTTCGAAGCACATTGGGGCCATTGACTTGGGCAGCTTGAGGGGGCTTCAACACCGATCATTGAGGGCTCGAACACTCAAAGCATCTATCAGTCAGCGTCTCAAAGTGCTTGCCGCAGACCCAAGAGAAGCATTTGAAGTTGCGCGGGGAATCGAACACTTGGTGAGCCCTCTCAAAATACAAGTTCTTCGGTAATAAACTAATTCTTCCAATACAGTCGCTCTCATTTTCTGCATATGACCGATTTTGCAGCAACTACGAGCTCCTTACACAAGACGTTGCTCTTCTCCGTCGGTCAGTTGCCAATTGGACAGTATATGACCAGGGAATTGAGGCTCTATCCAAGTCGGTCGCGTCTACCGACCGACGGAGACAAGAAGAAAACAAATCAATGACATTGAATGACCTGTTGATAAAGGTCCGTACTCCAAGCACTCCGTTGACGCATCCCCTGACACGGAAGTAGCCTATCCAACGTCTCTGCAAATATCCCCTCATGCTACAAGACCTGCTCAGAGCTACGCCCGTTAGTGACTGTACATCTTCGCATGATGGGATTCGACAGATTTTGGAGAGTATGCGTACATTAGTTACGCACATCAATTCAGCCACTGGAAATCCGATAAACAAAGATCGCATTCACAAGACAATACTTCTCCAGCGCAAAGTGGAAATTCCACAGTCGGTAGGTATCCAAACTCTTTTGGAACTAAAAAGGTTCAACTAACAGGTTTCGTCCAGGGTGCTCTTGAAGGCATATACAGAGATCTCGGCCCGATGATTCTCTGCGGTGTTCTTCATGTCACATACCAAACACCAGAAACCACCACCGGGGATTTCATGGTCTGCGTTCTTTTCAATTACTACCTTCTTTTGGCCAAAGGAATTGATGACCTGCATAGACTGGAAGCAGTGGCCTGTATTTCTTTGGATCAAGTCAAGATTGATACACTCCAGAATGGGAAAGGTGAGCAGAATACAATCGATCATAGAATACCAGCTAACCCAACAGGTCTGTATTGCTATGGATGTCTTTTTTCGTGGAAGCTTCAGTTCCGAGAAGAAGAAACCTACGAGTTCGTCCTCAGTGCATCATCGGTCGCGGAAGAAAAGCAGTGGAACACAGAGATTCTCAAAGCCTCCGCGGCATTGGTCGAACCGGGTCAACATGATACGAGGGAGCCCAAAAAATATTCTTTCTTGGCCCTTCGCTTAGCGCCTCTTGATCGTGTCCAGTACGCAGTGTCATCTCTGGCTCGAAGATCCTCCATGAATTCCACGTCACTTGCACGCAGGTCCCATGTCCAGCATGTGGTGATCAAAAAGACGCACCGCCCACGCAACGCCGAAGAGTCAGCCACACCAGTTGAAGGTGAGATTGAACGGCCCAGGATTCCAGTTTCACCGGGAGCATTAGTTTTCACCGCTCGACGGATCGATCGTATCCGCTTGGAGCGTCTGATTGCAGATGTGTACACCAAAGACCTTCTCCCGCTGCCCGGAATGGTACTTGGACGAGGCGATTTATTTCGACGTGGATCGATCATGAGACGACTGAGTCTCCATACCGGATTCACCAAGCACTCCAACTCTGTCAGAACTTCGCGTTCAGGGCCAGCTACCAGCGATTTCATTTCGAACGATGACGAGGAGGACAAGTATATCACAGGCGGCAGCGAAGTGTTTGATGACAAGGATGTCGAGCTAGAGTCGCTCCAAGCACTTGCAACGCCGCGACGATCGCGAACACTCCGGTTCAGAGGGTCGCCGAAAAAGTCTCCCAAGTCTCCGAAGTCGCCCAAGTCGCCAAAGTCCCCGATTTCAAGTCCTTCATCTCGCGGCGAAAAGCAATGGAGCCAGAACGGAAGCTCTGAGGCCCCGTCATCTCCCAAGAAATGGTCGTCTCCGATGAATTTTTTCAGTATCTTGGCGTCAAAGAAGTCGCGCAAGCCCCACTCTCATGAATGAAGCAATTATTGATAGGGAGTTGGAAAGGAGTATTGGATCCAGGGATATTGTTAGTCTGACTAAAACGGTGGCTTGCAAGCTATACCTTTTGGAATGCATGCCATTGAACCTTGCAACTTGCCACTTGTTCGCAAGGGAGTATCCCCACGTTTGGCGTCACAGCGGATCCGGCAACGGGCATGGAGCGTACTATGACGTCGACAGCTGCAATAGTTGGCAGTTCACCGTGCAACAACTGTAGAATAGTAACTCATTAGTAACAAAGCCCCGTAATTAGCTTACCCACTACGTCTTTAAGCTGCGACAAAGGGACAAACGAAGTGCCAAAGTGACACGCGAGCTATAGATCAGCCCCGTGACGTCACCAGGCATCATCACCTGAGGTCAGCTATTAAACCTCTACTTTTCTCCTCTCTATTTCTCCTTCTCTCTAACTCACTCTCTACAATTTTCTCTACTCTCCAACTTCTTTACATACAACCTTCACAATGGCTCGTGGTAACGAAACTGCCTCCAAGATCTTCTACAAGGGCAAGTCCGAAGACTTCATCGTATTCGTCGACGACCTTGAAATCCTCCAGAAGTGGAAGAACGACCGCAGCATCGCCCTTGTTGATGTTCTGAACGGCTGGAAGATCTTTGTCACTCACTCGTATGCCACCCTCCCCTAACAAGCCTAAGGCTTTCATGCCACCACTCAATCGCTAACTTCTTTCCAGCCACGGAGCTCAAGGTGTCCTTGACACCGCCAGCAAGAACATGCTGCAGAACGAGTTCGGCACAGACAACGAAGATGTTTGCATGGTCAAGATCCTTGAGGGCGGCGAGTACCAGGCTTCCTCGGTAAGTGACCACAACGACGGACAATCGATTGAGTCTATACTAACCTATCTCTCATACAGGCCCGGGAACGTGAGGGCGGCAAGAACGACTCCAAAGGACCCATGATCGGCCACTAAATCTGACCATTACCTTTAACATGGTCAATGACAGACCATACGGGCAGGGTGTCTTGAGGCACACCCCGAACACATCCCGTCCTACGCCCCCTTGACCTCTTGTTGAGATATCCATATCCTTCAACAATACCTCGTTGCCTATTCGATGCATTGGTTCTATTGAACCGAATTCCTCGTCACTCTCCAATGATTCTATGAGCATCTGCCCTGAATGGGCTTGGGAGTGTTCGTTTGCTGCGATGTTCGGATTTGCATCTTGTGACTCACAGGCTTCTGTACCTGATATTATGAGATAATGAATGACGAGTGACTTGACTCGTCACGCAAATTACAGATATTTTGAAATCTCAAGCAATCCATCGTAGCTTCCTAGGGATCATTAAGCGGTTCAATCGTAACTCATTATGATACATCAACATCTATATCGACATCTAGCAAGAGCAAGCATCACCTATACGACACTCAGCTCAGGTTCCACCTTCAACCCCTCCCTCTCCTTCCTCCGTGAGACAACCCACTTCCCCAACTCCGCCCAAACAGCCTCCTTCTCCACGGGCTTCATACCAGCCGCAAGCCCACTAGTAGTAGTGGCCACAAACACAGGCGCACCAGCCCATCCACCCTCTCCTTCAACGCGGCCCATATTCTCCGCCTCCCCCTGCCACCCGTACCGAAACTCCTCCTTCCGAATCCCCCTCCCATGTCTAACCCTCCAAACAGCCTCCCAAATACTCTTCCCAACAAGACAAACAGCCTCAGGTCTCTGTGCAGCAACCTTAGCTTCGAGAACTGGCACACCGGCGTCCATCTCCGCGCGCGTGAGCATGCTCGCATCGCGCGTGGGTCTTTCCACAATGTTCGTGTTGCCCACGCTATATAATTCCGGTAGTTTATAGGTGTCTGCGGGGATGTGGCGGATGGGCGTTATTCCTGAGGAATGGAGTAGTTTCCAATATAGGTTTGAGGGATGCGCGTAGACGTAACCCGTTATTCCTGTCATTATGCCTGGGTTTACGCCTACCAGGAGGAGAATGAGGTTTTCCGGGATTGTGTCGCGGAGTGCGGATTCTGTCGCTGTTGGGCCCGTTATTGGGATTGCTGGTTGCGGGGTGTTCCGTCTGCGTTTCGGGGAGGGTTCGATTTGGCTTGAGGAGGATCGGGAGCGGGTGATTTTGGTTGTCATTGTATTTGTTGCTGCTTTCCTGCGCTTGGAGGGAGAGCTTGTGCTTGCTGGGATGGCGATTGTTGATATGGTTTGTTCGTCTTTGGTGTCGGTGCGTTGATTCGATATACTGGTGCTCTGTGTCTCTGTGGTTTCTTGCGCTGCATTTATCCCGTGCAGGTATTGCTGCAGTCTGCCATGGAAGCTGGTGATCTTGTTGACTGGTACGTCTTCCAGCTTGGGCTCAATGTCAGTCCGGACCGGTGGAGGCATCTTAATGTCTTGCGCGCTCAAGCTGAACTAGTGTCAGTTGCAACGGTTAGTTCTCGGCTTCGAGGTTATATTGGGGGTGTAACGTTGAAAACCACCTCGGGATTGAAGTGTAAGAGGTTTGTTTTCTCTTTTCAAGTCGAAGTAGATGAACTTGGTACGCAATGGCCAGTTGAATGCGGAAGAGATCACGTAATCATTATGCCTTGGTGCCTTAATGCAGTATACAAGTAACGTAACTTATTTCACATGCGAGCTGCGCAGCCGAAACACCATAATGAATGTACGATATGCTACGCCTATATCTCAACAATTAACATTTATTTATGGCCTTTTCATTTGCCGATAGCTATTGATAAGCTTCTTGAGCAGTATGTGTCAATTTCAAACAGATAGAAGACTTGCATTATTATAGTATCGAAAATTACATAGCCATAATCACTAAATATATATCTTTTTGTACGTGAGACATTAACTTCTTAGACCATAACTCCTTGAAGTGACAAAAGTTCTATAAGAAGCATCAGGCCATGAGGGAAAGTTTCATATAGACAAGTATTGTTGAGATATCCTGTTGTAATCTATCGCATTTACTATGCGTATCGCACTGCGCAGCTCGTCTGTGAAATACGCTAACGTTAGAGCTTTTTTTTGAGGATGCGACGCATGTTTAATTGAGTCGATTCACTTTCTAATTGATTCATTATCCTACTATTTCATGTTCTTGTTTTATCGTTAGATGTTGTCGAAAAAGTACTGGTCCATTTCGAAGATGCATACTTCAGCCTCTGTCTGACTTGTACCATGTGGATAAATTTCTTTCAATATTATATTCGTTAGGCATTAATGATGTACATGCTCTGGTCTGAATCGTTATGCTTTAAGCAATCCAGGGCGCTTCGGCAAGGTCCAAGGTTCCGGACAGACGACCTATGCAATCTCTGGTTAACATGCAAGCGTTTCAGTAGGCAAATACAAAAAACATACCTCGCCTTCACTATAGGCCCAGAAATAAACACCAATTCCAATAAGATAATATATAGCTGGATCGGTGCCTTGGTAGAGTAAAGCGGCTAACAGAGCGCTGAGTGGGTATATGATGAGACGGATTTCAATGCTGCGGTGTGGTATTGATCCAGCGAGGGGTTTGAGAGGCCATTCCCAGGCAATGCCAACGAGGCCCATAATGAGATTTAAGATTTGGAGTACGGGGACTGGTGCGACTGCCGCATCGAGATTCTTCGAGACGAAATCCCAGAATACCTTGGGCCAAATGAAGCCTTCGATTGCACTGGCAACTTGATCTAGATTGAATTATTAGTGTGCTCCAAGATGGATTTGGTTCGATAGGCACCTACAAGCTGCCGCGGTGAGTATTATTAACCGCCCCCAGTGGTTCTTAATGAGCCTGCCCATCTTGTCGGGCTATGAGATAAGCCGTGAATATTGTGTACGGAGCTTCGTCCAGCGAAGGCCTCGGAGTGAATCGCGCGGTAGTCGCTTGGTGTTAGGAAGAAAGGTGTGAAGCCAATCTGGGCTTCAAGCGTCGCGAGCTCGAAAATTGCGACAGATTATGCGACAGAATTATTTCACCGCAGAGCTAAGGTAGCCATGGAGAAGTTTGTCCGGCTCAGTATCGTAGAGGGCATGAGTCGTAATGTGTTGGTCAACATGTGTTATCGTGGCATGACTGCATTGATCTGGGGAAGAAAAACCATGTCCCGAGTGGCATGGTTGCAGGCGGGTCAAAGTATAAGAATCTATACTTAGTTGACCACAACCCCTCCGATAACCCAGAATACTCGGAAAAAGTTGCCAGGATGTGACTGGCAAGCGCCAAAAAGTGATCGCTGCACGTCCTGGGCTGCTGTAAGGTGAAAATAATAGGGCCAGTGATCCGCACGGATGCAATTATGCGCACTCCGCCAATCACTGAACCTAAGGTCATCTATTCTCTGACATCCCCTCCGTCTGCGATTCTTCAAGAGTCGACATGTCTGTGTGATTGGAGGCGGGGATGTGACGGAGCGGATCGCGAAGCAGCTATGGACGAATCAGAGTCCACACCGCTGACCTTGGCGTGATGAGCTGCAGCTCGTGGCACGCGCCTTCAGGGCTTTGGATTTCAATGTCTTGAAAATATTCGGATTGTGTCTCCAATTCCAGAATCCAGGGAGAGAGCTGTGTGGTCGAGACATGCGCAGTTTGGAATTCACTGGATCAGATGACCAACCCAGCCCTGATTGCAATCTGCCACCACCGCCCGCAGCGCCAAGTGAAGATGTGATGCTCACATTTTGTCGAGAATGGGGAATGGGGAAATCAAGAGAGTAATTTAACAATCTATATTTGGGCCAAAACTCAAGCCTGCACTACTTCTCACTAGCGATGCTGATACGAATGACAAGCGTGTTCACCGACTCCCTGTACCCTCGGAGCTCCCGAGTGACGAGAGGAAGCGCTTGCAGAAGAAGTGTGATAGGCCAGTCTCTCTGAAACCTTCTTTCTCTTGCTTCATTTAACCATTTTCCAGCCTCTCTGTCGCTTTGGGCCAATTTCTATTCAAGTTCGGCTTCGTCCCGTCCAAGTTCTCGTGGCGTCAGTATGCAAGTAAGATCAGATCCGATGAACATGGTATGCGTTCTATTTTTTTTGTCCTCTAGACTCGCTTCGGCGAGTGGCGCGGGGAACGTGGCACGATAGTCTCTAGGCGCACAATATGCGTGCCTTGATTGGTGTGCCTAGTGCGAACGGTCAATAAAAATAGCAAAATGATACATTAACGGCATCCATGAACGCAGTTTAAAGCCTTGGAAGTACAAGCCAAGACCAATAAAGATAGGAGAATAGGCAAAAATTGACGAAGGTCCTTCTCGTAAGCCCGAGAAACTCGGAAGATTCCTCCAGACTGACATTTCGAATACCTATCACACTGAGCATTGTCCCCAAGGAGATTTTCTAAAAGCACAGACATAGAATTTCTAAATAGTCCATTGGATAAGAGCCTACCTTTGGTTGTGCGTGCTGGAAGCGATGTAATTATAGATCGGCCCCCTCACCCCTGCAGCTAAAACCACAACACTGGGTTTTCTGAACCTCCAACTCTCTTCGGTTTTGTCATTATCCATCGGTTGACGTCAACTATGCTTGAAAAAACCTGAATCAATCTGCAAGTTTTCGTATTATCCCCTGAGTACCCAGTGACTCCTTGTATTTGACCACAAAGGCCACTTACAGGGTATTCGGCAAAAGGCCAACGGGCGCTTTCGCGACAAGCCGCGCGACTCAGTTTCAATATAAAAACCACAGTTTATTGATCCAGAAGCCACGGAGACTGTTAGAATTTGCACCGAAAGCAAGACAGATCCTTTCCGAGGCGCTCCCTCAAGGTCGTTGCTCGGATCAAGTTCATGGAGAACCAACGACGCCGACGAAATCTGAAGCTGCTTAATCTACAGTATTGATACCGAAGTCTTGATTTGAAAGGGGATCTCCTGATCTCACTTTCTGACGAAACTTCAGTCTCTATTACCGGGTTGCTGGTCAACTATCCGGGCTTGTCACTCCTTTGATTATCATTATCGCCTTAATCACTTGTCGCTGGTCGACATATCCCAAGAAATCGAAAATGGAAGCCAAACCACCTGATTCCTGGACTCAAAGGCTCGATTTGACCGTTGGCAAGGTTCTCTTCCATCTGTTCTTTTGGGGTGTACATATTGGTCTGTTTGCTGTAGGATGGTAGGTATTCAGGACTCAAGTCTATTTCAATGGTGGCTAATGTGATATAGGTATTTACAAGCATCAGACCCAAGACTAGCTGCTCTTAATGTTCTTCAGTACTCAGTATGGATATCACGAGGTGCAGGCCTTGTCCTTTCCGTTGATTGCACTTTGATCCTCTTACCCATGTGTCGGAATCTTCTGCGATGGCTCAGACCCCAGATCAGATGGCTTCCTTTGGATGAGTCTGCTTGGTTTCATCGGCAGATAGCCTATTCCATACTTGTTTTTACAGCTGTTCACACGGCTGCTCATTACGTCAAGTAAGTCCTTCTATCGCACAGCCGTCAATATTTTATTTGCTAAACCGAGACAGCTTCTACAACGTCGAAAAGAATCAAATTCGGCCCGAGCGGGCAGTTGAGATTCACTTTGCCCAAGCAAGTGGTATCACTGGGCATGTCATGCTTCTGTGCATGATGCTGATGTATACCACCGCTCACCATCGCATTCGCCAGCAAGCCTACGAGACATTTTGGTATGCGCATCACTTGTTTGTTCCATTCATGCTAGCTCTATACACACATGCAACTGGATGCTTTGTGCGAGATACCGCAGATCCCTTTTCTCCTTTCGCCGGAGAGCCATTCTGGGACCATTGCCTTGGCTATGAAGGATGGAGATGGGAGATAGTGGTTGGCGCTCTTTATCTCTTCGAGAGAGTATACAGGGAGATCCGTGCTCGACGTGAGACGGTTATTACCAAGGTCATCCGTCATCCTTACGGTTAGTCCATTCACAGCATATTGATCTGGCCTATAGTTAACCTGTGTGTAGCCGCCATGGAGATCCAGTTTCACAAGTCAAGCATGAAGTACAAGGCTGGGCAATGGCTATTCGTTCAAGTGCCCGATGTTTCCAGCACTCAATGGCACCCGTTCACCATCACATCCTGTCCCTTCGATCCTTACCTCAGTGTCCACGTTCGCCAAGTTGGTGACTTCACACGAGCATTGGGAGACGCCCTCGGTTGCGGTCCTGCCCAAGCCAAAGATCTTGAAGGCCTCGACCCGAACGGTATGTACGAGGTTGCTTTGCAAAACGGACAAACAATGCCTGCAATTCGTGTAGATGGACCATATGGTGCACCGGCAGAGGATGTATTCGAAAACGAAATTGCTGTCCTGATCGGCACCGGCATCGGTGTTACACCCTGGGCATCAATCCTCAAGAATATCTGGCACCTCCGTTCAAGCCCCAACCCACCTCGAAGATTGCGTCGTGTCGAGTTCATCTGGGTTTGTAAAGACACCTCATCCTTCGAATGGTTCCAAGCTCTTCTTTCTTCCCTTGAGGATCAATCCGCAAACGCTGCGGCCAACGAGGGACGAACTGAGTTCTTGCGTATCCACACATATCTTACACAGCGTCTCGACGCTAATACCGCTGCAAACATCTACCTCAATTCCGTTGGTCAGGATCTGGATCCTCTCACTGAACTGCGCAGTCGGACGAACTTTGGTCGTCCTGATTTCAAGCGTCTGTTCACGGCTATGCGGCATGGTTTGCTGGATCAGTCTTATATGTCCGGCTTGCAAAATGCTTCCACCACAGAGATCGGAGTGTATTTCTGTGGTCCGAATACTGCTGCCAGGCAGATCAGTGATGCTGCAAAGTCTTCATCGACAAAGGACGTCAAGTTCAAATTTTGGAAGGAGCACTTCTAGTTGTGTTTTTGGTACTTTTGCCTTGTTTTTCTAGTATACGATTGACATGACTCACGAATTTCTATTTTCTGTTTTTCAATGGACTTCTAGTGACCCATTTTGCATTGGAGCTATTTTGGACGGGAGCATCATATTCTTTGCTCACCAGATACGGGTTGGACTAAGCGAATGAACGGTCTTGCTGTGGTTGAGCAAGGACGGCATGGAGGTGTAGGAATATGTGTCAATAGACTTGGTAATTCATGAGCTGGAGTAACAAATATCTGGTCGCTGATAAAACTTTGGAACTGTACACCAGAAGATTCATGCCGTTGGGGTTTGCTAGAAATGAAAACCCTACCGTAGTTAACGGAACTCAACTTGGTCTGTACGCAATAGGGCGGACTGCTGAATCTTCACAAGGCCAGGAAAGGCAAAGATACTGACGGAAACATTAGGAACGGCGTCACAGCATAAAAATGTCATAATCTCGGTGGATTTCACAACGTAGTCCTTGATAGTCTTACATACATTTGCATAGTTCTCAGATCTGCTCTCTACTCACTGACTTTTCTTCATTTGAACCGTACGGGTACAAATAGCAATGGAGATACCTCAAGAATTCTCCTCCATCATAGCAGATTCCTCTTCGATAACAGTAGGAAGATGGTAGAAATCCCCACAGTGACTCATGCGTCGGTGGATCTTCTTAGGTGGCTGGTCGTCTTCATCATCGGAGGTATCGGAAAATTGGTCATCCTGGCCATTCCTGTCTTCTTTGCCCTTGCGGTAGAAGTAGCCGCTGATATTGTGATGAATTCTGATTCCTCGCAGCTGAGCATCGGAGTAAAGGGCCTTAAGCTCGGCAAAGCCAAATCCTGGAGGGTTGGGCTCGTTCTTTTTATTGATCCGACACCGGGGAAGTTGGCTGGTAATATCAGCACGCATGTGCTCGAATGCAATCATAAAAAGCTCCTTGGACCAGGGACACGCGCGGAAGGCGCGCAGGAAGATTTCCCGAGCGCGAGGAATGTTGTGCTCGGTGAAAAGTTCGAAGAATATGTAAAGCTTCCAGACAGTAATGTTGTTTTGAGCGCGACTGGAGCTGGAGAGGTCGTAAAGGCCCCGTTTCAGAGGTGTTTTGCCCATTGGGATGGAACGGTCACCAATTGCTCTTTCAAAGGCCGCACGGATAGAATGGGCAGTTGAGCCGAAAACGAGAGGGCGACCGAGCTCGGTATAAATACTCAACAGATGAGTTGTGATTGGGACACGATGAACATGAATAGATCCATTGCTCTCCTGGGAGGCGCTGCCCTCCGCTAGACTGGCAATATCGAGAATGTCGCGAGTACGGTCCATGAGACGCAAGCGAGCGTCGTTCCATTTGAACAGCGACAAGAACATGGTGTTTTGGGGCCAGAGCTGAAGGCTGTTGAGAAGTCTCTCGCGGACCTCAGCGGGTTTGAATTGCCCAGTTCGATTCTCCACATAGTAGTAAATGATTCTCGTGCGAGCTTGGTGAAGTAACTCTGCGGCAAAGACCTTGCTGGTTTCTTCGCTTTGGGGCAGATTCATAGATTGCGAACCTGCTTCCTCATAGACTCCAAGAACTTGTTTCAGTGGGTGGCCTACCGCGAAATGGAGGATAGCGAGACAATCAGTGTAAGCTGCAAATACTTGATGCTTTCTGTATGCAAGGGAATTTTGTTGGCCGACCAGCAAGAACTAGAAGCGATTAGCGTGAATGTAGAATGTTATTCAGTAGACACTTACCTGCTGGATTCGGAGGAACTTGGTCGCATTAAGTTCCCTTTCATCGGCGGTGTCGTATGACAGCATGTGCACCTTTTGCCAAGGTATAGCTTGCAACAGATACGCAACACGGAACATGTCCCGATCATGCAGCATCTCCCATATCCAGGAGTTCCACAGAAGAATAGCGTCTATGCGTTCATCCACCTCGAAAGTCTGGCTCATCGACAAAGCAGTTGACCAGATATTATGAGCAACATCACGATGACCTGTACGCCAGTGCATCAGTGCGACAGCATTATACAGTCTCAATTTCGACGCTCGCTGTTTCAACAGTTGCTTGCCGTATTTTTTGCCCAGGTTTTTGTCACACGCGAAATCCACAGCAATGGCATATTCGGCCAATTGATCGTCATCCGGAAACTCGTGAACTAGAATATGGAGAACCGATCGTGCAAATCCAGGATCAATCACTGAGGTGTCGCTAGAAGTGGTCGCGCCCCATTTCTCCAGTGCTGAAAACCACAATTTCGGATCGGCAAAGAGCGTCTCTGTAGTGTGAACAAAATTGTGATGTGGGAATTCGAAGGGCATGATTGCTGCCGTTTCAACATTTTGCTGGGGAATGATCCAATCATCAAGTGTACTTCGAGGATCATCCATGAATTCATTTCGAAGGAAATTGTCGCCGCTCCACAGTCGCGTCGTTAGCATATTTTCAGGTACAGTCAGATGAGGCAAATGACAGAAATATAAGAATCCATCAATAATGTCATCCATATTCTCTTGGAAATCCCAGAAGTACGGGAGTATCTGCTTGCAGTCTTCGGCAAGGACTACTCGGAATGCTTCATCCTCTTTGGATGAATTGAGGCTGCGTGTAGGTATGCGACTCTTCATGACATATTTCCTCTCTGCAGATGCCCAGGTTGAAAACAAGTTTGGCAGCGTAGCTTCGTATTCGTAAATCGAGTCGTCAGGAACGGTGACAGGGGAATTCCCGTTTCTCCAACCCTTGGCATTTGGCTCTCCAATACGTGGAAGATCGGATTCCCAGAACGCCTGGAACTCCTCTGAAGCTTTTGCTTTGTCAGAAAGATGAGAGGGTCGGAAGCACGTAAACTCAAGCACCGCTTGCCATAAACCGACGGCTAGTTCCATGAAGCCTGCTTCTCGAAGGAACAGCGTAAGGCGAAGGAGTATGTATGTCCGAATGTGGTTGTTATGCAGACCGGAACCGACGTTCGAATGGAGTTTCAGACAGTACACGTAAGAGGTGAAGCAATGATCGAAGTCGAAATTTTCGAAGTCCGTCTGACAGAAGTCCAGATATTTGACCCATAGGCTAATAAACTCGGAGTTATAGCATAGAGTTGCTTCCCACTCTTTGGAAAGCTTGTTGGAGTCCCAAACCTTCGTGCCTTCTTCCATGCGAGCAAGCAGAAGGTGATCACGCCGAGAGTTCTCACCATTCACCTTCAAGGCCCGTTCATAAATGGAGAGTTTAGCCTCCGCTACCAGCTTTGTTTCGGCATAGTTGAAGGAGCGGTCGTTGTGTCTCACCGGAAGAATAACGCGCTCTTGGTGTTCAGCAAGATGAAGCCATGCAGTAACATTCTCCGGCTCTCGCTCCGTTTGGCGACTTAACTCGGCGTTGCGGCCCAAAATTTCATCCTCGAACGCAGCTCGCATGAGCTTATCGCCATTGTTGTCCTCAGTGGATGCATCTTCAGACTGGCTGGGACCAAGGATGGAGCGGTAAGACCGACTCTCATCAGTGACATCAATCTCACCTGCAGATAATTGCCGAGGTGAGAGTTCGAGTGGGATGAAGTCACTTTGGTTTTTGATGCCAGATGCTGTGTCGGGGCGCGCGCAAAAAGTGAGAGCCGGAGACAATGGTGGCAGCTTGGCGGAGGAGAGGAGTTTGGGAGCGGGCACACCAGAATCGGCGCGTAGGACCAAGTTATTACTGTCTCGGGTCGCGATTTCGATGCGCTTGCCAGGAGCACCCATCACGAGCCCGCTACCAACGCGACGATAGTTTGGGACGTCATAACGATGTGTCGTGCCGTAGATGAGATTTTGTCGATCGCCTCTCGTGTCGACAACCCAGTCAGGGTTTTCATCGGCTTTTTCGACTCCAGCGTCCTTTACCGGCTGCGAATGGCGATCATCTCGGCGGCTGGTTTGAGGCCGCGGAGACCCAGTGTGATCTGCCCGCCGTCGATGGCGACGGCGGTGGTCCTTACCGGTGGGGGCGTCCGGAGGAGGAGGTGGGAGAGGTCGGAAGCTGGAGAAACGCGGGACATTGTCCTTTAGAAACAATTAGTATGGGAAAAAGGCCAAAACGAGGATTGACTGACCTGCGAGCTCATGGTGGTCAACTCGATCTGCTTATCGCGCGGCGGCCGGGGCTGATAACCCGGAGAAACGTAAGGCCGGCGGGCGGTCGAACTGAGTGGCAGAAAAAAAAGTCAACCATTTGCTCCAGGCCGCTTGACTTTGCCATTAAACACAGCTCAGACTTACCTATCTCGACCCACTGTCTTTCGGAGGACAGGAAGGCCACACGAAATTTGACAAGGGGAATGGGTCCCTACTGTTTTGTGTAAGCAACCAGACATCAAACAAAACGACAAAGACGCCGAAAACCCGTCGCAAAGCAACGACAAAAAGAAAACGCAATGGCGTCCTCTCTCGCCGCCCAGCTGTCGCAGATTGCGTCCAAGTCGTCGCACGAGCTTGACCTGAAGGCACAGAGGGTATCACACTCACAATCTCTGATTTTCGACCGGAAGGTTGCTGGATCGCAAGACTTCGATACAATTTATGATATTTGTTATGACGGCTTCCAAGAATTGTGCTCCCTGGACCCACGATTCACGGAGTTTGAGCGCACAATTTTCAGTGAGCAGAGCAAGGCGGAGGATCGCAGTCAGATGAACGTCGCTCAGAACCAGGAACTGGACACTGTGGTTGAAGCTTTTCTCGCTTTGGTTGGTGGAAGACTACAGTTAAGCCCTGCAGTAAAAGCTGTAGATTGGCTAGTGCGTCGATTCAGGTAAGTAGAGCCACTACGAGAAGGTGAAGATCGTGGAAAAGGGTAGCTGACCGATCATCGCAGGGTTCATGAGCACAATACGCACGCCGTATTGTTGACATTTTTGCCATACCATACGACACCACTCTTCCTGAACCTTCTATCCATCCTTCCGGACGACCTTACGCCAACATTCAAAGTCCTCAGCCCATACAAGAATAGTCTTATCAACCCGCCGAGACACCCACTCGTTCATAGCGCGGCTACGAATAAGGCTTTCTTTGCCGCATTAAACAACTATGTTTTGAAGGTGTGTCAGCAGCAGGCACAGAGCCATGCATTGCTCGCTTTCTGGGCTGGAATTGTGACGGAGGCCGTTTCAGCAATGTTGGATGCCTCGCGCTCAGGGAAGAGAGAGGCTGAGCAGCAAAAGCACGAAGACATCCTCTTGCGAGTCCTTCCAGTACTCAGCGCTGCCTTCACCATGAAGAAGGTGTCGGAGTTGATCATTGGTTCTTATATGATTTGCGTGGTTCTAGCACAAAAGGCCTTGCTCTCCAACCAGGTGATTGATGGTCTAATGGAAAGCATTGTTGGCTCCTGGACTGAGGAAACCAAGAACTCTGGTCTCATCTGTCTATCATTCCTAGCCCAACAAAAGGCAACTGTTGGTATCTCAAAAAAGGTGTTCAAGAGTATGCTGCGCCTCGAGAACCCCATCAGCCAGCTTTCTGAAGTGGCTACCCAATGCCCGACGTCGAATTTCTTGCTCGGTATTGTTGCCGGCTGCTTGAATGATCTCCACAAGCAAGACAATACCCACCTTTTGCTGCTGTCTTCTATCTTCGAGCGTAAAATGCTTGGCGAGAACGAGACTGGCAAGGCTATGAGCATGGTTCTTGAAGCTGCTTCTAGCTCAGATGAGACCCGTGGAATGTCCATGGATGCGCAGACACAGCTTGCTGAGTTGGTCCAAGCATTCAACCGGTCTGAATCCCTCCGGCCTATCTTCCAAAAGACTTTGACTTTCTCCTCGTTTAACATTCCTGCACTTGAGCACAACTTGCAGACTGTTGTGGAAGCGCCTGTTGCGGCGCCAGCCATTGAAGATGTGGAGATGGCAGATGCAGATGAGCAACCCGATGTGGATGCCTTTTCTCCAGCTCTAGAGTCTTTGAGCCGCGAGCCCTTGTACCCATCTTCTTTCCTTTGCAGGCAATCTATCATTGAATTTGATAACCTTGTACGAGTCTTCGCTTTGGCTGTTGAGTCGGAGGGAAAGGTCGAGCTATTTACCAACTTGCCAATCTTGGGCAAGGCTCAAGCCACCAAGGCTCCTCAATTCCTATCGTTCTTCATCAGAGTTGTCGCCGGTCACTACCCAATTGGCACAAAGATCGGTGCTCTGAGCGTCGTCTCCTCCGTCCTCTCATCTGCTCCCGTTGACTTCGACCCCCAGGCACTTCTGCCATTTCTCTTTGTTGCCCTGTCGGATGCTTCCGAGCGCATTCGCCGCGAGACTTCCGGCGTCCTGGCTATCATCGATTCTTTGTACAAGAAGAATTCGAAGGTCAGTGATAGCTCCAAGCCTTGGGCTTACGACACGATCTACGGCCAGGGTAAGCAATCCTCGGGCATTGTGTGGCTTTCTGCCAAGGACTCTCAAAAGGTCTTGGATCGTGCCTTGCTCCCAGGGCTGGAAGAGTCTATCCTCGATTCAAACCATGTTTCCAGGGCGATCGAGGCTACGCTTCGTGGCAACGTCCTGTCCGAAGCTTCAGGTGCATCCGAACTAAAGAAGTCGCTGCGCATCAACTTCTTCACTTTCATGTGCTCTCACACCGTCAGGATGCCTGTCTTCGCCCCCAAATTCGGCTTGCTGAAGCTTATCAACAGCGTGGAGAAGGTCTCTACCGCTACCCTTACACAGGAGCTTCTTCCCGTGGTCGAGGAATGGCGTCGTTTCAGCGTAAAGGAGGTGGAAGATATTTGCGGCAAGGAACATATCTCGGTGCCTGAGACAGAGCAGCTGGTCGCTGCCATTGTTACCCCACGGGCCCAGGATGCCGTTGATATTCTCCTTTCCAACGTCAGCTCTGGTGCCGAGTCCTTACGGCCAGCCTTTGTTGCAGCTTGCTTTGCCCAGATCAAGCACCTCTGGACTAAGATCCCCGAAGAGCGCCAGCTCTCCGCATCTGAGAAGTTGCTCGACAACTCTCTTGGTCAGTCCGCCAGCTCTCTCGCAAACAACTGTCGCGATGTTCTGCGCAGCGTGGAGCTTTCTGGTGCTGTTCTTGAGCAATTCGTCCAGAAGATCCCCGAGTCTCTTACTGACGTGGAGTCTATTGGCCCTGCACCAAAGCGACGACGCACTAGCCAGAACAACATGATTGCTATGACTGTCAAGGACGAGGCAGAGCTCAGCAAGTTGATGGATAAGATGACTTTCATCTTGGAAGTCGTGGACAGTTCTTCGCCTGAAAACCACCCGGAGCTGGTTGATGGACTATTCCAGACACTTGCTGCCCTCCATCACTTCAAGTCCCAGATCCAGAGTGGTATGAGCTACCTGCTCAGCTTGACCCTGGGAAGTCTGTTGGCCATCGTGAACAAATCCAAGGGATCTGGCAAGCCGCAGTTCGACACCTCTGTGATCCGGGCTGATCTGGTCGTGGATTGTGTGCGTACTACCGACAGCCCACAAGTTCAGAACGTGGCTCTCCTTCTCGTGGGCAGTCTGTCCATCATTGCCCCTGAGTTGGTCCTCCACAGCGTCATGCCCATCTTCACCTTCATGGGCACTAGCGTTCTCCGCAAGGATGATGACTACTCCGTTTCGGTCATTGACCAGACCATTGACCAAGTTGTTCCTGCTCTAATTCAATCTCTGCGTAGCCAAAAGAGGGATGTTGTTTCTGGAACTTCAGAGCTCCTGCTCAGCTTCACTGCTGCCTTTGAGCACATTCCCTCGCACCGTCGTCTCAGACTCTTCCATGCTCTTATCACCAAGCTTGGAACACAGGATTTCCTGTTCGCTGTCCTGGCCATGCTTGCCAACCGTTATTCAACTGACAAGGATGTTCTGACTTTGATGACTGGCCTGGTGTCGGATGCCTCTCCTGTTGTGGAATTGACCACTTACAGCAAGTACCTCAACCTTGTCACCGACTCTTTCAAGACCAAGCCAGGCATTTCTCAAGTGCTTCTGGGCATTGGCAGCGAAGATGGACGTGATCCCCAGAGGGTCTCTGTTGATCTCCTCCGCGACCTTGCTCACCTGCTCAAGCACTCTACTCTCAAATCCAAGCTTGAAACTGCCTTCGAGTTGGAGGGCCAGGATGCCGATCTGTCCCGTGCATGCTTCTCTCGTGTTCTCGAGCAGGTACTGGGTATCGGCGAGGCCGTGCAGAGCATGAAGCCTGTCAGCCAGGCTTGTGGCGAGGTCCTCGGCTCCTTGTTCAGCACCCTGTCTCTTGTCGATTTCTTGGATACCATTGAGGTTCTACTCCAAGGTCCCAACGATGAGCTCCGCCGCAAGGTCCTCCGCCTTCTCGAGACCCGTCTCCGCCAGACCCCTGAGCGTGACAACTTGTCCCAGATCCGCGTTCTTGACTTCATTCCCAACTTAGTTGGTATTGTCGAGTCCTCTCCGGATACGCTACTCAAGCACGCTGCTGTTTCCTGTATCGACCGTATTACCGACAAGTACGGCCGCAAGGACCCTTCCAAGATCATCCCTGCTGCTAGAGTTGTTGCCAGCGAGTCGTGTATTGGCCAGAGCGACGACCGTATCCGCTACATGGGTATCCTGTGCCTTGCCTCTATGGCCGAGGTTCTGGGCCAGTCTTTGATTCCTGCACTTCCCGATACTCTGAAGCGCTCTGTCGAGCTGCTCGAGTTGAGTTTGACACCGGAGAAGGAGAACTCACGACTCCATGATGCTGTCTACACTCTCTTCTCGGCTCTCTTCGTCCACCTTCCATTCATGATTTCCGCTGCTCATCTGGACAAGATTATTCTCCTCTCTTTCAAGTCTGCCAACGCGGATATTGAAGAGAGCAGTGATGATAGCCGCCAAGAGACTCTGCGCTTGATGGCTCGCAAGGTTGATGTCAGTGCCACTCTCGGTGCTGTGGATCGTAACTGGCAGAAGGCCGTTGAGGCCGGTCCCGCCGCCGTTAACGAGATCCTGCAAGTTGTTACATTGGCCGTTGAGAAGCACCCCAAGTCGACCATTGCCAAGAACATCACTGTGCTCACAAATATCATCTTCAAGGCCTTTGATCTGCGCCGTGAACAAGTCGCCCTTGGTGACGCCGCCATCTTCGAAGCCTCTGATATTGACGAAGCTGAGACTGCGGTTAACGACGTCACGATCAAGATGATATACAAGCTGAATGACAGCACCTTCCGTCCTATCTTCCTCAAGTTCGTTGAGTGGGCCACCACTGGCGCTCCCAAGAAGGATGAGCAAGCTCAGGTGTCGCGCCTTACGACTTTCTACAAGTTCCTCGAGGTCTTCTTCGGTACTCTCCAGTCAATTGTCACTGGATACTCCAGCTACATCCTGGAGAACGTGGTCCAGGTTCTCAGCACCGTCGGTCCATCCAAGGCCCACAAGTCTCTTTGGTTGGCAGCTCTTCGCATGCTCCGCAACGCTTTCGAGCATGATCAGGATGGTATTTTATTCCCACTCTCCCATATTACATGAACATCGCTAACAATTGAGACAGAATTCTGGCAGAGCCCCTCTCACTTGGCCAGCATTTCCGGCCCTCTGATCGCCCAACTCGGCCATGCAACCAGCACGACCACCTCGAACATGGTCATCGCCGATGTTGTTCCTACAATCACAGAGCTTGCCATCGCTGCCGACTCTACGGATAACCACAAGGAGCTTAACTCCGCCTTGATGAAGTACCTTCGTCCCTCATCTGCTCCCAATGCCCGCTCCGCTGGTGGTGACGACCCGCACACCCGCCTTGCAGCCCTCAAGACCGAACAGGCTCTTACTGAACAATTGGGTGAGGAGTGGCTTGCACTTCTTCCCGAGATGCTGCCCTACATCAGTGAGTTGATGGAGGATGAGGACGAGAATGTTGAGAGAGAAGTTCGGAGATGGGTTAAGCAGATCGAGAAGGTGCTTGGTGAGCGCCTGGATGATATGTTGACTTAGGTGGTTGTGTTATGATTGTGTATAAAAATTCGCATTTCTTGGCGTCCATAGATGAAGCCCGGTGGAGGGCTTGCAGGCAGTAATCTACGGATGGTCTGTACCAAAAATTGATTATTCCAATATTGTTTCTTGCATCTTGTAATGCGAATGCACAGCTAGACCTTTTACGAGTCGAGATCCTTTACTCTTAGTACAGAAGTGATTCGAACACTGAAGGTGCTGTACAGCCCTAGTTGGTCAAGGTACTGCTTAGGCCGTAAGTCATTCGATGAGTGCCTGCTTTGTATTGCTTTTGTATTTGGAGCTGTTTTGATTGCTCGGTTTTCCTGTTCTTGTTGCTCTGGCATCTTCTATCACCGCTTCTCCATCACTCATTTTGTCTGATCCATCGAACTCGACCTGGGCATTCCTGGCCTCTTGACTCAACCTTTACCCAGCAAAGTCATGACCCAGTGAACAGATCCTCCGGTTTAAAATGGAACATAACAGCCCCCTTCTCGCCAGTCAGCGTGCACTTACCACCGCTGAGATTCTCTGTATCATCTTCACATTTTTGTCGCCTCGCTACTATCGCACGCAGGAGAAGCCAAAGTCAGCCCGAGGACGATTTGCCTTGTTGAACTGCACTCTGGTCAACAGCACCTGGTCCTCTGAGGCAATACGTGCTCTCTGGGTTGAACCCACTGCATACTCCAGGCATACGCTGGGATGGATTTTCGACTGGGTTCCTGTACGTCGTCGGCAGGTCTATGCAGATATTGTTCTCAGAGCAACCATACACACTGTTATCCGCATGGACATGATTAGGTCTTTTGATGGGGTCAATCTACGTAAACTCCAGTCTCTGACACTGTTGGTTCATACGCCTGCACACAGTGTCATCATGATACCTCTAATCACGCATCCTTCGGTCGAGCACTTGTCTATTGGGTCTGTGAACGGGTATTTCGATAAAGACAAGGAAATGGCTGCCGCAATGTGGGAAAAGCTTTTCAAAAGTATTGCGGTATGTTGACCTACTTGATATGTTTCTTTACCACACTAACCAGCCATTGATAGGAGCTTTTTCCCAACCTGAGAAGCCTTCACTTTCAAGAAAAAGTTTTCAAAGACCTCCGAATCCTGGTCAAACTTAAGCGTGACCTACAATTGAAGTCCTTGAGGCAAAAGACATGGGAGGCACCAACTGTTGATGTTTGAACGCACATTGATTTCCCTTTGTCAGTCATGTTCACTAACCTTGATAGGTACCGCTGCTCGATTGGATGCGCGTTTGATACTTGAATCTCGTTACACATGATGCGCGTATCACACGCAGGATGCGTTACTCTCATAACATGCATGTTGAGTTGACCGTTTTGTATTGCGGTCCGTTAATTTGTCTTAGCAATAGTCAAATCATTGCAATGCTTGTTACACTGTGAATTCCCCTATTCCCATACCGCCTTTTCATTCTCAGATAGAATTCCCGAGACTCGAACGACTAATTTTGTTGAAATTCAAGAAAATCTGCAAAGGATTCCTAGTCGTTGTATCGCGAATCACCAGTTCGATCCCATTCATTGCTTTTCATGCGGGGGCCAACCCTTACACAACTTCTGACAAGAAGTGATCTGGTCCTGTTAAGCTTCTCACATTTGTCAGGTGTACAGACTTATATTGCAAACACAGCCAGTCCGATCTGCACCCAACCTTGAATTGACATCACCGAAACAATGCCCATCAGCGCTCTCCTCTATGTTTCTCGCAAACCCAACATCTCATCGGAAGACTTCAGAAAGCATTATGAAGCACACCTGGAGCTACTCAAGAAACTAGCAGGGGACGGTCTTCCTCTTTCGCACAAACGGAGCTACATCGCGCGCACGACAGTCACATCCCCTCCTGACGACGCCACCACACGCAACTCCCGCACGCCGGGCACTATCTGCCACGGGCAGCAGACAGAACTCGACTTTGATGTCTATGCTGAACTTACTTTTGCCGATCAGGCTGCGTTTGAAGCTCTGCATGCCAGGGTTACGGCCACGGATGCGGTCGCGCAGATTTGACGAGTAGAAGTTCTTGGACCCTTCGAGAACGGGAATCGCTATGAGTGAGGATGTGTTCGAGACTCATTCTTGAGTATTTTGGGTCGGATCTTCTTCATGGAGCCTCATTCGGGGGTATGTACGGTATCCGTCTTGGGTCCGGGGTGTACATGTACATCCGAATGTCGCATCTTCGAAGTTGTAGAGCAAAGACTATCAGACCTGCACTGTGATAAGTTGTATCGACCTAGATCACTCTAACGTGAAGATCTCTGCCAAATCTTGCCTCGGTCACATTCGGAGTACATGGCTACTTGGCTACTTGGCTAGAAGTTATACATCGCAAGTATACACACGTGAGCCCCCTGGATCACCAGGTTTTGTATCTTCACCCCCTTCATGCACATGTCCCGGTCGCATGGCTTGATCGTTACATTGGCTTATCTGGCGGACCTGGTTCCTGCATGAAACTTGTCCCTGTTCTCTCTAATTTGGCACATTTGGCTTAGCCCCTAAGCGCTAACTCATTGGCATCAATTTATTTGCCTTTGAATGCTACCTCTAGTTACATTCACCCCTAAGCCCGATAACAAGGTGTTGCTTCACCCTCTAAGCCCGGCATGAACTAATATGTCCCGAGCTCCTGTTACAACTTGCAGATGACAATGTCACCCATCCCCAGACAGGCCCTTGGCCGATTGGCTGGGATTTCTTCACTCCCCACGCGGGCAGAGATTCGAGTCGGCAGAAAGCACCAAAGCCTGATTTCAAACTGTAACACACATGGCTATGATGTTCGCGATCCTCGACTACGCGCATTTGTTCGGGGTTGTGGTGGACAGGCTAGTGGCGCTACCTCATTTCCACTGATACTCCGAGGACACATCGGTCCATGTGGACTAGACTAAAGAAGGTGACGGACTGCATTGTGATTGATTCTCCCGATGGATAGCGTGTGAGCGTATTGGTCTATTGTAGTTACTCTGCAGGGTCTCGTCTGAGATGTGTATTGAGGGGGTGAATAATGCCCTCTTGTATGTCACAATGATCAGGACAACCTCAGAAACTGTTTGTCGACCTCGACTACAAATACTTGTTTTCTCCCTTCTTTGACTTCTTCGGCTTCATCCTCGACAACTCTCTCTCTCTCTCTCTCTTCCCCACGCTGGCTGGACCGAGCTTTCTATCGGACACAATCTTGACACTCCTTCACCATGCAATTTGTCCTTCCTTTCTTGCTAGGCCTTGCGTGGCTCGCCAACGCAGCCTACATCCCTTCCTTGACTAAGACCAATGCCACTGATTTGGTTGCTCGTGAGGTCGACGGATATCGCTCCGTGGCCTACTTTGTGAACTGGGTATGTCCATCCGTCGACATATACTCCACACTCGACAAGACTAATCAAATACTATAGGGCATCTATGCTCGCAACTACCAGCCTCAGGATATTCCTGCTGAGAAACTGACTCACATTCTCTACGCGTTTGCCAACATCCAGAATGATGGTACCGTGGTCCTGTCGGACACTTGGTCTGACACGGACAAGCACTACCCCACTGATTCCTGGACTGATACCGGCAACAATGTCTATGGCTGTGTCAAACAGCTTTTCCTCCTCAAGAAGAAAAACCGCAATCTCAAGATTCTCTTGTCGATTGGTGGCTGGACCTACTCTCCCAGATTTGCCCCTGCCTTTGATACTGAGGGCGGACGCCAGAAGTTTGCGGACAGCTCTGTCGAGCTGCTCAAGGACTTGGGCTTTGATGGTCTTGATGTTGATTATGAGGTGAGTTTGCTATCCCGTCCTTTCTCCTGGTGATTGATGCTGATATCAGGCAGTACCCTGCCAATGATGATCAGGCGGACAAGTTTGTCGATGCCCTCCGCCGAACTCGTCAGGTACGTTCCTACTTCGGTTACTGATAACGCTGCTGACCCTGACCCTCTCAGGCTTTGGATTCGTACAGCTCAGCCAACGCCGGCGGCTACCATTTCTTGCTTACAACCGCATCCCCTGCTGGTACGTCTCTTTCCTGTCTTATATCTTGACAACGCTCACCAGACCAGGTCCCGCCAACTACCAGAAACAGCACCTCTCCCAGATGGACCAGTATCTCGACTTCTGGAACCTGATGGCCTACGACTACTCCGGAAGCTGGGACACCATTGCCGGCCATGACGCCAACCTCCACGCATCCAGCAGTAACCCAGCCAGCACTCCCTTCAACACGGACCAAGCGATCGATTACTACACTTCGCACGGAGTTGCTTCCGACAAGATTGTCCTGGGCATGCCTCTATACGGCCGGGCATTTGCTGAAACCGATGGCCCTGGCCAGTCTTACAATGGTGTTGGTGCTGGTAGTTGGGAGAACGGTATCTGGGACTACAAGGTCCTCCCTCAGTCTGGGTGTGCTGTCACAAACTTGGATCAAGAGGGTGCTAGCTACTGCTACAACTCTGCTTCCCGCTTGTTTATCAGCTATGATACTCCTGATATTGCCCGCCAGAAGGCTGAGTACATCAAGTCTCGGGGTCTTGGGGGTGGTATGTGGTGGGAGCTCAGCGGTGATAAGACTGATGGTGACAGCTTGATCTCCCAGGCAAGTTGCATTCAACATTCATGTGTCACATTGACCATCTTGCTAACAAGCGTTACAGGTTGTCAACACCGTTGGTGGCACTGGCTCTCTGGACAAGACCCAGAACCAGCTGAGCTACCCTGCCTCCAAGTACGATAACTTGAAGGCTGGTTTCTGATTGATTTCTTTCTATCTTCTATGTTGATATTTCAGTCCCTTGGACATACTTTCGCTAACACATGGAGTGGGATTTGTGACTCTTTACATTGTGTGGGCTCTTTATCGCCTTGATGGTTGATGGGTACGCTCATAGGTTTTGTATCTAGCTTCACGGGATCGGTTTACTGAATATGAAAGATACTTCACTCGTTTGATGTTTCTGAATACTTGTAGGACATAATCTGCCAAGTAAAATCAAAACGGTTAATATTAGAATAAAAACATCTAACCCGATCGAGATTTAATCTCAGACATTGCAGAACTCACTGGATAAAGACCATTACCTTTCTCCGCTAAGCGCTTTCATTTCCTGTGCCTGCAAAATCACTCCTTGACCTCTTGAGTATCACCCGTGCGTGTAGCATCGCTGATAGACCCAGCAGAAGGAGAAGCACTGGTGCCATCCTTCTCATGACTGAGCACCGTACCAGCAATATTGTCCCGTCCTTTCAATCCACGATAGACATCTCGAATCTGCTGAACACCGCCATCGAAGATAGGATAGAACATAGCGACCAGCATACTAAGCCAGAGCCAGATAATGCCGACAACAACCCAGGCCGTATAGAACTGCACAGTTGTTAGCAAATGCAACAAAGTACAACAACGAGAACGAGGCATACCTTCTTATTGAACACATAGCCTGAGCCATACATCGGCAACGGCCAAATAACCCACTGACCCAAGAATGTCGCAATAGCCCAAACAGCAGCAATTCGTTCCCACCGCTTCAACTCCTTATTTTCAGTCCCGCCACCCCCATCTTCAAGACTCTTACTCCCAGTTGGCAGAACGTGATTATGATGCACAGTAGTCAGATCCCACTCAAGTGTTTCAAGCGAGAGTTTCTCCTGCTTGAAATCATCCCAGTTATAATTCTGCGGTTTGACAAGCGTTATCAAGACGGAGTAGACGATTGGGGACATGCAGGATGCCACAGTGCCGTATAGACACGGGAGGACCTGGCCTGTTGAGGCGACAGATACTTCGCCGCTAAAGTGCGAGGCTGTTCCTAGCCAGACTGCTAGTCCTGTGGCAAGGCCTAGGACTGGTGAGAGGATTGCTGCAGCTTTGCTTTGACGCTTCCAGAGGATTGTGAATATCATTGGGAAGATTCCTGGGCAGGTTACGACGCCTGTGAGTTGTTAGTGTTTGTCGAGAGAAGGTAGGGGGGGGGGGGGGGGAGAAGTGAGTGAGACCGAGCATGTATAGTGTCCAGCCTAGATCGATGCCCACATAGTGGAGCATGGTGCTGAAACCAGCAGAGAAAGCAGCGAAGAAGATGACGCCGAAATGGCTGGATCGGATCAGGTCACGATCTGTTGCCTTCTTTTTGACGTATTCGCGGTACACGTCGAAACTGAGGATTGAGCTGACTGCGATTACTTGGGCTGAGAGGGTTGATGTGCACGCCATGAATGTCATGAGGAAAACTGCTGCTGCGCCGCCTTTGCCTGCCATTGTCATGGCGGCATAGGGGAGAACTAGGCCTCCAGATACTTCTGACGTGGTCATCCTCTGTAGATGAACGATGTGTTTAGATGCTGTTTTGTTTGTTTGGAAGTGGTGGACTACTGACCCGTGGGAATGTTGGGAAGTTAGGTTGATTCTCTAGTCCCAAGGCAATGGAGCTCATACCTGTTCCGAGACCCCATGGAATGGCAAAGTAGGCAATTCCACCAATGGTATATCCGGGGACTACTGCAGCTGGCGAGGCAGAGAATGCTTTAATAAAGTAACTCGTGTCCATCTTAGGGATGTTAGAGATGCTAGGTGTAGGAGGCATATACTACTCACGATGACTAGACCAAAGTTGCCAAGGGTGTGGAGGATCCCAAACAGAATCGCCTTTTAGGCTGTCAGTGAGGATTTCTTCGTAGTGGGGTGGGAGGTCAAGCTAACACTCTTCGATGTCATAGTCAAATAAGTCCCATCCTGGTTCCCAGAAACTGGATGACGCTGTGCAGCTGCCTGGACAAGTTCAAAGAGACGGCCTATGGACCCAACTTCTTCGATGGAAAAGGCCTTCACCGAAAAGTAGCAGGCGATGATCATGATAATTGCCGTGTGGAAATAGTCAGTCAGGAAGCTGTTGCGGTGTTAGCAGACCGAGGCTCGAGAGGGTACGGTTCCTTACGTTGCTTTAATTCCACCAACAAATGTATATACTGTGACTCCGACCGGTAGCAAGAATGTCGCCGCAATAATGTGCATTCCAGTACTGGCATCGTGGGTTAGCAAAATAATAACCAAAGTGGTTTAATAATCCTTACACAGCGGTAATGACAGCCGCAGCACCAAGCAACATATTAGCACAAGCAAAAATATTATTCACCAGGCACAGAATCATGAAGACCATATGTGCCACATGTCCTGTGTTGTAGCCATTATCAGCCACCATCTTATCCAGCAAGGGTCGCTGAAGACCCCCTACCATATCGAATCCGCACAACCTCAAGCGAGGTATGTGCTGCGGGAATTTTCCGTTTACAAGAGATACCGAGTAACGCGAAGAACACGATCATCGGACTGCAACCAGCAGCAAACCAGAAACCAGAATGGGCCGGCGACACCATAATCGTATCCGACAAAAGATGAGCCGAGTAAGGCGGTTGACCAAAGCCATGACTATATTGTCCACTTTTGTTAGTATTCTTCTGTGGTTCTGGCAAGGGGGCGTACCGAGATCACGGCCGACGCAGTCAGACCCGTGCGGACAGTGCGGTTCGCAGTCATGAACCTGTTCTCTGGGTCAGTCCTTGTTGGGCTTCCATTGAGCGAGTTCCATACATTTCCGTTTTCTTGTTATCTTCTCCGGTGGTTTTCTTTAATACCTTGGTGATGAGCATCATGACTGGGAACTATTAGCTAAGACATCAAGATCAAAGGTCTGAAGCACTTACCAAGGGCAATGATAACACCAATGACAACAACAACAACAACAACAACAACAACGACATAGCCAACAGCCTGAGATAGCGGAGGCTGGACACTTGAAACGCCATCACGAACGTACAAGTTCGACATTATGCAGTTTAGAGCTCACAGCTCAGGAGAAATAAAAGGGAAATTTTGATTAAACAGGGCACTGAGATCTGGAGTCATACATATATAAATTCAGGGTTCAGCATATGATCAGCGAGTAGTACCGAGGGCATGGAGCTGGACGGATCTATGCTCAATGGTGTTCGTCGGCTGCAATATGCAGGATTTAGTCTCAGGGACAGGGAGGGAGAAATGAGGTTCTTTCGTCAGAAGGGATCATGATAGGGCCCACAATGGCTTCATTTATGCTGGCGATGAGGTGCTCGCAAAGAGTTGCATTTGAAGTGTCAGCATATGTTATCATGAAGATTTGCAAATCTACGTAGATGTGATAAGTTGCTCAAGCACTGAAGTATCAAGGAAGACTGTATAAGTCGATAGATGGAATACATGCAGTTGACAATATGTAACATACAAGTCTAAATTCTATGTAAAGGGGATATCGTATGGATCTCAAAAATAAGCCGTTTATCTGGGCAGACCCGTGGACCTATATCGATCGAGACGATCGTGAAGAGGAGCATTCCAAACTTCAAGGAAATCACATCAGCACACTTTCAGCCAAATCTCTCGGGCGAGAGGAATCCCAGACACTGTCTGGCGATGTCCAGTATAAAGTTGTCGCAGCCAATGAGAGAAGCGGATTACTCCGATCTCCATCGCGCCATCCCGGCCCACTTTGATGCTATGAGAACATGTGCAATTTGATATGACGTTGCTTTCTCTTAAATGCTCTTGTTTCTTCTTTAGAATTCATGATCATCGTCTGGTCTGTTTACTCTCTCGAGCTTGAACATCAACTAAAACACCAACATGGCTAGCGCATCAGACACAAAACCTCGCAAATCACTCATTCTCAATGCCTTTGTGGAAATGTGTAAGTAAAGTACCATGAAATTCACAGTAAATTCAATCCTGACAAACTATACAGGTAGTGGTCATCAATCACCAGGACTATGGCGCCACCCCGGAGACGAATCGCATCGGTTCAACGATGTTGAGCACTGGACTGAGCTTGCACAGCTACTGGAATCAGCTAAATTTCATGGCATCTTCATTGCAGATGTTTTAGGTTGGTAACAACTAATCTACTCGAGCATTCAGATACTAACTAGCACTACTCTTCAGGAGGATACGATGTCTACAAGGGACCACGCAATCTCGATCCTGCAGTCATCTCCGGCGCACAGTGGCCGGTTAATGAGCCATTAGCTGTTGTTCCGGCTATGGCGGCTGTAACGAAGAATATTGGATTCGGAGTTACGGTCACTACGACTTATGAGCAGCCCTATCATCTTGCTCGGCGGTTATCGACTGTTGACCATTTGACGAAAGGACGGTATGTATGTATCTCAAAACTATGTATACATGCCTTTTGCTAATAATGCTACAACAGTCTGGGATGGAATGTGGGTATCATCTAGTTCACACAACCACCAATCCCACCATGAAATACTAACAATACAAGGTCGTAACAGGTTACCTCGACTCAGCGGCAAGAAACATGGGCCAAGCAGAACAACCACACGTATGAGCAACCAGACTTACAACCACAGTTCTCCAACTAACCAATCCAGCACGACGACCGCTACGCCCTAGCAGAAGAATACATCAAAGTAACCTACAAACTCTGGGAATCATCCTGGCGGCAAGACGCCGTGATTCGCGACCGCCAGCGAGGAATCTACACCGACCCAAAAAGCGTCCGGCAAATCAACCACAAAGGCAAATACTTCAATGTCCCCGGTCCACATCTCACGCAACCAAGTCCGCAGCGCACCCCTGTTATTCTCCAAGCGGGTACTTCGAAGGCTGGGAAGACATTTGCTGCACAACATGCTGAGGCTATTTTCGTTGCGGGGCATAGTCCTTCGGTTGTTGCGAAGAATGTTAAGGAGATTCGGGAACTTGCTGCTACTGAGTTTGGACGGGATCCCAAGAGTATTAAGTTCCTTGCTTTGCTTTGTCCTGTTCTTGGGAAGACGGAAGAAGAGGCCCGTGAGAAGTTTGAGTTTTATCGGAGTCTTGGGTCTATTGATGGGGCTTTGGCGCTGTTTGGGGGGTGGACTGGGATTGATCTGGATAAGTATGCGGATGATGAGGAGTTGAGGCATGTTGAGAGTAATGCTATTCGGTGTGTTTCGGTTTCTCGGTGTTTTGTGTGGAGATTGACTTTTTTTTTTCTTTTTTTATAGATCTGCTGTTGAGGGCTGGTCAAAGGCTACTCCTGAAGTGGACAAGTGGACCAAAGCTACTGTTGGACAGCATATCACTGTCGGTGGATTGGGCGCTACACCCGTCGGCACAGCTGCTCAGGTTGCTGATAAGATGGAGCGCTGGGTGGAAGAAGCCGATGTGGACGGATTTAACTTGGTACGATCTGTGTCAATCGGGAGATAGTATTATAATAGCTAACTTGAGTAGGCATATGTTGTCAAGCCCGGTTCGTTCAAGGATATCATCGACCTTTTGATTCCCGAGTTGCGCCGACGCGGCCTCTTCTGGGATGATTATGCTGTGCCCAGGGGGACATACCGCGAGAATTTGTATTCTGAGCCTGGTCAGTCTGGACCGCGTGCGGACCATCCTGCTTCAAAGTATCGGTGGAATGCTGGTGTTGATCCTTCGGATGCACCGATTCCTGATAACTGAAATCCATGATGCGAGGAGATATCCAATTCAGTATATAGACAGTATGAGATTTTCATGTTGAACTTGATACCTGAAGAGAACGTTGTTTACTATGTTCGAAGTGAAGGTATAGTGAACTACCGTGACGAAAGCCTGTGATGGAATCAAACAAATAAAAATAAAGTAGTTAAGAGTTAAGATAGAGACAAGAACAACATAAGAAACATGCTTTTGGTGCAATCAAACAGAGAATGACAATGGGTATATTCAAGCAAAAGCCAAATAACAAGAAAGACCGAATGCAAGAGATGTATATACTGTAAGCGCCGGGTGGAAAAAAAAAAAAAAAAAAACTTTTCATAAGCCAATGGTATTAGGGGTATCGATTGGCATTGCATAACTCGAGAACTCGATTAGTTCGCAGCTCGCACGGTCCGCGACGCCGGAGCACCAATTCTCTCCGAATATTCGGGTGGGGCGAGATCCACATTGACAACGACCTCCCTGGCCGGACTATCAGAGAAGTTGACGGGAGAGGTGACATTGCGAGGGTGGAAGAATTCATCCAGTTCTTCTTGTGTGACTGACACACCAAGGGAAGTCTTGAGGGACTCGGCGTATTTTGTTTGGCTGCTGAATTGGACTGGAATGCTTAGGGTGACGGTTGGTGTGATAACATTGGCCGCGGGCGTGTGGTAGGATAGGCAAAGATCCAAGGCGTAGGTGCGGGACATGAGACAGGTGTGGAAGGTTGGGACGAAAGCTTTGGATTTGGGGAGAGTGATTGGAATGACGACTGATGCTGTGTAATATGTGTTTCCGCTGAATTCGGAGGATGGGCCAGTAGAGTCCACTGATCCAGATGAAGAGGACGAGTCTGCGGAGTCCCGGCGGAGGGAGTCGTCTGTTGTTTGTTTGGTCCACTGTGCTGATTCCACGCACATGGTGGACAGGTGCACGTTCTCGCTGTAGAGACCGCGGCCGATTTGGGCAAAGGACATGCCAGTCGAGTTGGGGAAATCCTCCCATGGCGAAGAGCTGAAGAAAGTGTTTGCACGGAGCTTGCTCGTCATCGATCCCAGTCGGGGTGGCGTTTCGTCTGCGATAGGATCAAAGCGCAGATTGACGGTTGCCACGGTGCTGACAGTATCCTTAGGCTCGCAGCTGGGAGGAAGCAATTGGATGGGCTTCGGCTGAGATGATGCAGCGACAAGACGGCCAAGCTTGCCCCGCAAGGTTCCCCGCTTCACGCTCTTCTCTTTGCGCATGCAGAGAGAGGAGTTGGGGGGAATCTCTACGGGTGGCTCCTCATCGACAGTTGGGATGACACGGATCTTCTTGGCAACGGCGCCGAGAGCCTTGAGTGCGTTCCCGTTTTGCTGCCTCTTCAGCACGGAGATACGAATAATGTAAGCAATCTGTGCCATGTCCGGGGCCATATCATCCAATAGTGTCTTGCCATTGCTGGCGAGCATGGGATCTCCCAAGGTGGGAGGGAGCAAAGTGTGGGACCGTTCAATGTGCGCATTGTTCTTGGCGTGCGTGCAGACCTGGGGAAGCAAGCGATCTGGGACAACGAAGGTGAACGGAAATTGGTATGAACAACCGGCCTCTAGCATGCGAGGGGCGGGATATTCATTCTCGTCAATTGGTTGGCGCAACTTGAGGAACATCTGTTGCGATCCTGTACGGCCGGGGCATGATGCACGTTCAACTGTGGTTCGTGACGTGCCTGTCACGGCATTAGCTTCATTGCTGTTCAGCAGGGTCTTGTGTTGTGTACCTTCAAAGACAATCTCAACTTCGTCAAAACGCGTGTCTTGCTCAACACTGATTGTGGCAGTGCCATCAATGCTTTCTCCTGTTGTGTATGAATTGACTATGCCCGCCTTTTGTCCAGACAGATCAACCTTGATCTTGGGCGGCGAGCGACGAGTCCACGCATCCAGGGTCTCAGAGCCCGAACTGATAATCGAAGTGGCCGACATCCTGTTACCGCGTCACAGATGAACAGGACGGTTGTCCTACTGCACTGGCGATGTATCACGAATGAAGATCAGAAGATCAGAAATCAGATGAAGTTTGGGGCTCGGAGTATAAGTAGAAAAATAACGGGGAAAGAAAAGGTAGACAGTGGAGCCGTCGACAACCGTGATGGAGACAATGTGGAGGACCCCGTTTTATATAGGAAATGTAATAATGTGAACATTCAGTTCGCAACTTTTCAGGTCTTACAAATCGACTAGTGAGTCACAAGCCACAAGTGTAAGGCACTTTCAACTAGATGACGTCCACGTGTAGTCCCCAGAGTGAGCTCGTGTAGAAATCAGTCTAAGGAAAGCCGAGCCTGAGAGTCATCAGAGATACTGGAGGATGCAAGTGATTGGCTGCACGGATGTGAGCAGCCGACCCTCGCGCCCTTGGATTGACATTCTCCAGTTCGTGTCCAGTTCCAGTTCGAGGGCGTAGTTGCGAGATCTCCACAAAGCTAAGAGCATACTGCGCTTGGTATTCTACTTTCTTCTAGCCTTTGCCTTGCCTGGCCTGGCCTTTCTTTCACGATTCCCTATGGCTAAGAGATTTCCCTCGCCGAAAGAGAAAAGACGAGTAAGCTAGTCAAGTGGAGCGCGCCTTGCAGCGACATGCACGCCCTTCGAGTCTCCACTCGGCATACCAGAGCCAGAGGGCGTCACTGTTATGCTGATGTGGCCAATCATCGTGAAAGTCGGCTGAACTTAGTTTGGCCGACCAGTATCGATTTCAAAGCCTCGTGATATCTGATCTGCATACATTTAAATACATGGAGCATGCTGCGAAAATGAAGTTCAAAACTTCATACTCACGATCGCATGAGGTTTCCCGAGGGAAACAAACGGGTTCTCGGCCTAGTTTCGGGAGGCTCCAGAAATTTCCGACCATAACCGAGCTCAAGCTGGGCCGAGTGGGCAGGTTTTCGGCGTGTCGGAGTGAAAATACGGAATAAAAGGAGAAAAGCCTGAGATGGAATTGCGCAATCCATCTCGGTGTGCAGAGAGATGTCGCAGTAGACCTGCATTGTCTGCCCTGTGGGGATCAGGTGATTCGTATCCTCAATGTGGGGTATTTTATAGACTTTATAGTATGGGAGAGGAAAGTGGCGAAATAAAGATTGTTGTTCATTAACATGTTTGTTTACTGTTTAAAGATGTCCCGACTGATAAATTACGACACAGATCCGTTGTGCAATGCGAATCAAATCGTACTCAAAAAGCGTCGACGCGTTTGCACGCTTCTTCTTGTCTCGTACAAGCCGGTCACTATAAGTAACCGGGATGCATCCAGCTCAAGATTAGCCGATGATAGCGGCAGACCGAGCGAGGCAAGAGACTGGAGTCTAAATGGCCATGATTGGGGAAACTATGTGGAAACGAGGTGGGAGGTAGGCCTCGGTCTGGGTATCAGTCGCATGCGGTCAGAGCCGCATGTCGGTATCATTAACAAGTACTTAGGTATATCTGAAGCCCGTACAAGGGCAGCAAAAGAACGCCGTCTTTGACGCCAGCCAACCAGAAATCAATACGCCACCCGGGTTCGCATGTCCTAGTCAAGGTTAGTTCGATGTCATATGAATGGTGGAGGTCCCAAGACTTACCGAAATCTTGCGCTCGATCTCGCGGACAGAGCGATCAAGTTCACCGGCCATCATCATCTTTGTGTCATTAGGCAGCAGGAGATATTGTTCGCACAGGTCTCCATCGATGACGCCCTTCACGGGCGCATAGTAGCTGCGGTACATCATGTGGTCGCGTCCAGCCAGAGGGGGGGTCTGGGAGGCCAAGAGGGTCTCCAGGCTCTGGAAGAAGTCGACATCCTCACGACTGACAAAAGGAACAAACATTCCGATTGTGCCGTGGAAACCGGTCCAGACAACAATGTCACGGCCACCGGCTACCAGCTGGGTCTTGTGCAAGCTGGTGGGAATGTCTTGAGCATAGTAGTGAATCATCAACTCGAGACGGTGGGGGGTTCCGTGCAGATAACCCTTCTCATGAACGAGGTGAGCACCAGATCCATCCTCGTCAGCTTCCTCTGAGATCTTGCTGGGGCAACGCAGTAGCCATAGGTTTCCAAACTTGTCACCACCTGCAGTAGTTTCGTAGTCGACCATGGTCGTAGACGAGGTCCAGCGTGCGACGGCATCATCCGCGAAAGGAATCAGAATGTTCTCCTGATACTTGTAGACAACGTAGGTAACACTCTCGCGAACGTCGCTGACAACAATTCGGCTTCCCTGTGTTTGGAGACCGACAATGGTCTTGGGAACAACAGGAGCCTGGCATTTGCGAAGCAGTTGCTTCATTCCCAGGTCATAGACACGGAGAACGGGGCCAATGCCTGCTAAGAGACGGCCCTGGAAACCAAGAAGAGCAAGAGGAGGCTCATCGACCTTGGTCTTGTGGATGAATTCCAACTCCCGGCCATCCTCCTGGAATCGGTAGATGTGGATGAAGCCACAGGCGGATGATGGAGGACTGACTACCATGTCCTTGGCAGTTCCGACAACAAGGAAGGTTTCGTCATCCTGGCTGGAAAACGGAACTGCGGCAACGCTGACAGCAGCCTCGTTGTCTTCGAGGTCAAGAGTGTGGACAACGGACTTCGTAGTGACCGGGTCCACAACTTGAACGCAAGAAGCCCAATGTCCAGTGCCTCGGGGGTAGCCGAACTCAGCAGGTGGGAGCTCGACAATCTCGCCATTTTTACCCTGAGAGTCCTCAAGAAGTCTCTGGCGTGTAGCTGGGGAGAGGACATTGTTATCGGATTCGATAACATAGAACAGAGGTTGCTCGGGGTGCTTTACAAAGCGACGAGGTGTGTAAGAAAGGGGGATTGACTCTTGGAGCATGTTGTTGTCGAGCTTCTCGACAGAGAAAATCCTATTTCAAGTCAGCATCATGTCACAGTCCAAGAATTGGATGTCATGAGGGATGGAGAGTTCGATCTCAGCAGGAACAATTGGAATTAAATATAAAAGAATTGGATCCACATGGTTGTTCGGAAATCCGTTCTCATCATATGATCGAGTGTGTTGGGAGTGGTGGACGAAATATATATGAATTACGTACCGTAGGTTGCGACCTTGAATGCCGATCATTCCCTCTACACATTGCTCACTGGAGAAGTTCCATCCCCATTCGAGTCCGACATAGTCCAAAGGTGTAAGCATAAAGCTCTTGGTTTGGACGTCAGAGTATCCCAGCCAGGGACGGGCGCTTAGTGCCAGTACGGCGGTTTGGCCCTTGACCGAGACTTGAGACAGTTTCACAGGCTTTGCTCCGATGAAACGAGTTCTGGTGTCAGAGAGCTCACCGGTGACCTCGTCCAAGACAGTGCGAAGGTAAACACCGGAGTAAAGACCGATGTGAAGATAAAGGGTGGTACCTCCAGAGCTGGAGTCAGCCATAGCCATGATGTTGAGAGCTGATGGTGCAGACGTCAAGGCTTGAACAGACTTGTTCTCGAGCGTCGAGTCAGGGTCCAGGCTGAGAATGCGGACAGTAGAGTCATCACATCCAACGGCGAGGAAAGAGCTGCGCATGCGGCCCTCCGGAACCTCACCCAGACTGAGACAGGTAACTGTGCCAGACATTTGTCGACGCTCATCATATTCAGCCAAGGTTCCATCTGCGTCCATCTCGAAGTAGACGATTTCACCGGAGCTGAGTGCCACAGCGACTTGACGTTCGTTTGTAGCTGCAGCAACAATAGACCGATGTTGAGGAGCGGGCCACTCATTAACTCGGCGGTCGGCAAGGATATGACGAATTCCTCGAGGGTGAACCTGGAGAAGGGTATCTTCACCAAGCTGTTGAATGGCCAGGGTAGGTGCTGTAGATAAAAATCCAGTGTCTGAGACTTCTTCAACAATCTCTCCAATGCTCAAAACAAGGGTGCCGTTGGCAAAGGAGAGAATGATGTATGTGTCGAACTCATCGGAGCGTGTCAACTTGGTAGTCCAGACAGCAGAGGGGACTTGCTGAAGATCAGACTCGACAATCTCAGATACCTCAAGTCCATGCTTGAGGGTTCGGAATGAGCTGCGAGCTCCAGAGCCGCAAATTGTGTAAATTTGAGGTGCATCATCCTCACTCAGGTTGACAATTTTACTGTCAATCAGAGGTGTCAGGGAGTTCATGCTCTCCATGAGGTTGACGTTCTCCGCCCCGCGGGGTTGGAAGAAGATAGGGGCACAAGGAACGGTGGGGTCAGCGGAGAAAGAGTCGCTGGAGAACTCGGTCTCTTCGTCGTCATCGCCAAGCTTCTCGAATTGGTAGAAGTTGTGGTTGCCAGATTCACTTCCGACGTAAAGGAAGCCACTCTTGAGAATCAAAAGGCTTGTTGCAACAGGGACAGTGTCGAAGTATTTGATCTTGAGGTTCTTCACTTCACCGCTGGGTTGACCATTGTCATCCTCGACCATTTCCAAGGTCAACTTGAATAGGTCACCATCCTCCGTTTGGAGAAGGAAGAAGAAAGCTCCTCTCATCTTGTGCATGACACCGGAAACGATGGAACGCTTACGTTCGGGGTTTTCTGTAGCTCCAGTACGTCGGGGAAGGGGAACGCGGAACGCGTCCTGGTTCGAGTGCCGGTAGGTGACGTTGTCCTCGGCGCACACCAAAACACCACTGGGGCCGTCGGCTCCTCCAGGGACTTGGAAAAGCATGGATGCGGTTCGGTCAACAGGGTCAGACCACTTGCGAACAACATGGTTCAGACCAAGATCAAGTTCGTAGTAAACCAAGACCTTTTCGACTTCCTCGAAAGCTTGACCAGTTGGGTCCTGGTCCGACTCCGAGTAGTCCACCTCGAGAGCAGCGAATACAGGGTTCTCATAACCGACATCTAGTGAGATCATGGCAAATACCAAGGTCTGTGGCTTGTGTGCTTCCAGCGGCGAAGAGATTGTAAGCTCCGCCTGCGAGTTTCGGTTCAGAACATAGACCAGCTTGTTCTTCTCCACGGAAGCAATGAGACAAGCACGCCCCTTGGGGTCCACCGCGAGGTATTGTCCTGGAATTACCCGACGAACCCCAGATTTTCCAAATGTCTCTAAGTGGATGCGGTTGAAGCGATTCTGGGATGGGACGTATTCAATGATAGTGATGCGACCCGAGTCCGAGCCGATGATAATGTAATCTAAAATGTCTCAGCACAGTCCGAAAGAATGCGTTGATCAACATCGCTGTCCAGGGCAGGCTTCCACCCTCATTCAAGGGGTTGGTTCGGAGGAGGACCGTGCTGCCCGGGGAGCTTGAAGAATCACTAAGTTGAACTCGTGTAAGATGACGAGGGCAATAAAAAAACATACCTTTGTTGCTACCAGCTAGGCGGAAGGCTGCCAGAGAGCGAATGATGCCGAAGACATCTTGTGAAAAGATTGGTGTGATCTTGCCCTGTGTCGGGTCAGGCCGATGGATGGTCAATTTCGAACCTGACGCGGTGACGATCTGCTGTTCCTTGGTACCTGCAAACTGACCGAGAATGGCTTGAGTGATTGCAGTTGGAGGCTGGATCGTCAGGGAGTACATAAACATATGCGAGGTGGTAGCCATGGTGGGCGACTAGCTATCGGTTTCCCGGTAGAAAAGACGCGAAGCTTTGTACATGCAATTGCAGTCCAGGGGGTATGGATATTACATCAGTCCCATCGCTACTGGGTGGAGTCAAGGTAGAAAAGTACTCCTCAAATCCACTGGCCACGGAAGAGAGATGGTGCCGTGTAGTCGAATGGGGAAAAGAAGAGGGAAAAAACTCACTTTGTCGTGTGGTAGCTCCTCCACGTGACATATCACGTGTGATGGCTGCAGGCAGAAGGCGGTCGAACCGAACGGGGATCAGTTGGAGCACCTCCGCATAGAATGGTCTTCTTGTCTTCATTTGCCTGGACTTTTTCCCGTCAATTGTGAGTTTGGGATTTCTTCTATCACCCACTTTGCTTGCTTGTGTCTTTGGTTCCCCTTACCTATCATCGCCTGATCACCCCACCCCACCTTTATCATCATACATACCTCAACAATGGCCGACGATACGGCTGCCACAGAGGCGGCACCAGTCAGCTTCACTGTCAAGTCATCGACTGATGCCAAGTACAACTTGACTCTTCCGCTCACCACTTTGGTGTCGGATCTCAAGCAGAAGCTCTCGACCTCCGAATACGCCGATACCCCCGCAGAGCGTCAGCGCCTGATCTACTCGGGTCGGGTTCTGAAAGACAACGAGACACTGGAAACCTACAAGATTAAGGATGGCCACACTATTCATTTAGTGAAGAGTGCCCAGAGTAACCAACAGCGCCAGAATGCAGCTGCTCAGCCTGCTACTGCGGCCGCTGGTACCCCGAATCCCGCGGCAGCTGGTGTCCCAACCAACCTCGCCGCTGGTACTGGAAACAACCCACTCGCTGGTTTGACTGGTGCACGCTACGCTGGTTTTGCGCAGCTCCCTAACCAGGGCCTCTTTGGTCCTGATGGTGGGGTGAGTGACATCACGCCTTCGAAATGATAGATGCTGACTCTGTTGATTATAGATGGGCCCTCCTCCCGATACCGATACGATGCTGAACATGCTCGAGAACCCCCAATTCCAATCGAGTCTTAATGAAGCCCTGCAGAACCCCGCTATGATCGACATGATGATCCAGCAGAACCCCATGCTCCGCGACATGGGGCCTGGAGTGCGCCAGATGTTTGAAAGCCCCGAGTTCCGCCGGATGTTGACCGACCCCAGCATGCTCCGTCAAATGACGCAAATGCAGCGGGCCATGGGTGGTGGAATGGGTGGTGGTGAAAGTGCATTCCCCGCCCCGGGTGTGACCAACACGACTGCTTCGGAGAACCAAGGCTCTCAACAAAATGCAGCCAATCCATTTGGACAGACGCCTCAGAACCCTCTCGGAAACCCTTTTGCTTCTATCTTTGGAGCCGGAGGTAACCCCTTTGGCGCCCCTCCAGCTGCACCAGGCACCACTCAGCCAGAGGGCGCAGAAGGTACAGATCGATCCGCTACCGAGGGACAAAACCAGCAGCCTCAGAACCCATTTGCTTCATTACTTAACCCGGCTCTCTTTGGAAACGCTGGTGCTGGTGCTGGTGCCGGTGCCGGTGCCGGTGCGGGCGCGAACATGTTTAATCCCCAGGCAAATCCTTTCCTGCGCGATCCTGCGCTCCTTTCTCAGATGATGCAGGGTATGGGACAAGGTGGAGAAGGTGTCGGCGCAAACCCTTTTGCTGCGATGCTCGGTGGTGGTGGTGGCTTTGGTGCCCCTCAGCCTCCAGACAACCGACCACCAGAGGAGCGCTACGCCGACCAGCTCCGTCAGTTGAATGATATGGGATTCTTTGAGTTTGAGAGGAATATCCAGGCATTGCGCCGTTCTGGTGGCAGTGTGCAAGGAGCTGTGGAGTACCTTCTAAGCGGATAATATATGTCCACAGGTCCTGCGACGCAGGTTTTCTCTTTTTAGCACAGCTTTGCGATTTTAACATGATGTATTGAACTATGTCTTGAGCTATTAGTATTGACTGAGACCCTTATCTAGGTAATGTCTTGAGACCAGGGAAATGGGATAATGATTCAATTTCTATTTCCAGACCTTGGCATGCGTCTGTGGGACTACCTTAGGTCCAGATGTAAAATTGCACTTGTATAATACTTTGTAGCAGCTTGTCTCATTTTCAATTTGGAATGTTCTACTGTCCACTTCGAATGTATATTTAGCTTGTTTCATGGTAGATAAGCTAATATGTATATCGCCAACCATCAATAGGTTCAGTCTCTGATACAGGAGATAACTCAATACAACAGTATACTGTAGACACTTCTCGTATAATTTTAGTCAACATCATAGATTTGTATGCCCTCATTGTTACCAGCACTGGAGAACAGGCCGAATATTAGGTAATCTCAGTGTTGACACGCTGGACCTCCATGGCAACATTGTCACCCTTGCTCTGCCCCTGTCTCAACAGCTCTATATCATTGTGGCATTAAGTGCCGGTTTCATTCGTTGGCATCTTCACTCTAGAACTATTCGGTGATCCTCGGCGTATTTGTCGCCGCCCGTCCACCCGCACCATCTACTCCGCGTTGAGCTTTTATCTCCAACGAAGTAATCGAGGGATACCCTATGATCTAGTGCGATTTAAGTTTGCGATCGACACTTCATAGCCGACCTGCACCATCTCATACCTTTTTGCATGCTGCTTCGATAGCTGCCCGTTCACTCCGGGAGGGCAACGTTCTGAAGACATTGGATATGACTTTTGAGCCACTACGTTCCCATCAGTGGGTGCTGCAGTTCCTACTGCTGGCTTCCTGCGTCAGCGCATTCTATATTCCTGGTAAGTGCCGGCGCATTGGTGATCTAGACCGACGCTGACGCCTCTAGGATACTCGGTTACTCGATACAATGACAACGATCCGATTCCTCTCCTCGTGAATAAGATCTTCTCCGACAATACGCAGTTGCAATATGCCTATTACGACCTCCCTTTCGTTTGCCCACCGAGTGGCAAGACACATGGTGGATCACCCTTCGGTTCTGGCCAGAGTATCTCGCTCAACCTTGGAGAAGTACTGCGTGGTGACCGGATTATGACCTCGGACTTTGAGCTTTCTATGGGCAAGGATATCGAATGTGAATCGCTTTGCACTATCGGCGTCAGCCGCTCGGACGTGAAATGGGCCCGTCAGCTCGTTAAGGAGGGCTATGTGATTGAGTGGATTGCGGACAACTTGCCAGGAGCCACTAGCTTCGTGACAGTTGATCGCAGTCGCAAGTACTACGCTTCCGGATTCAAGCTTGGTTACCGTGACATCTCTCCGGCTACTGGGCAATCGCGATACTTCATCAACAACCACTTTACTATCGTCATCCGCTGGCGGAGCGCACCCGAAGGAGGAAAGGTGATTGTTGGATTCGAGGTGTACCCGAAGAGTATCACTGCCGAGGGTCGCAAGGAAGGCGGATGCCCCAAGGCTGTTCACAAAGACAATCAAGGACTGCCGCTGTACATCGCGCCTAATCTTTCGCGAATGCAAGAGAAGTATTCGGGGCTGTCATATATTCCAGAGGATGATGACGATGACGACGGTGCCAAGCTTCAAATTCCCTACACCTACTCTGTTTATTTCCGAGAGGAGACCAAGGTTGAGTGGAACAGCCGCTGGGATTTGTACTTCACCAACCAGGGCGAAAGTGCCATGACTCATTGGTTGGCAATTATCAACTCCCTGACAATCTGCACAGTGCTGGGTGTGACCGTGTTTGTTATCTGGAGCCGTACTGTGCAAGGCGACATCAAGGGCCGCGGAGATGGTGCGATGAGTGATCAAAAGGCCAAGGTCCGCTCCCGACGTAGAAGTGGGAAATCAGAGAAGAAGCGTGAAAACCTCCTGGACGGCGACGCGGATGTGGAACATGATGCAGACTTCTCTTCGGAAGATGAGGGTCTCGAAGATACCAGCGGCTGGAAACTCCTTCACGGTGATGTATTCCGCATCCCCGCTTACAGTGGTCTTCTCGCTCCATTGGTCGGATCAGGTATGCAGCTGTTGTTCATGGCTTCGGGTCTGCTCCTGCTGAGCTGCTTGGGTATCTTGAACCCCAGCTTCCGCGGTGGCTTCGTCAGTGTTGGCATGGGTCTGTTTGTGTTTGCTGGTCTTTTCTCGGGATATTTCAGCGGCCGACTTTATAAGACCTTTGGCGGCCAAGCTTGGCGGAGGAACACTGTTATCGTATGTACCTGACCCAGTATTGACGTGCGCTGCTAACATTTCTAGACTGCTTTACTTTTCCCTGGTTTGGCATTCTGCCTGATCCTGATCCTGAACTTGTTCGTTTGGGCTCAAGCATCCAGCACAGCAATTCCGTTCAGCACTCTGATCGGTCTTCTCGCACTTTGGCTGCTCATTCAAGTTCCCTTGGTTTACCTTGGAAGCTGGGTTGGTTATGTACGCGCAGCGCCTTGGGAGCATCCTCTGAAGACCAATGCGACCCCCCGTCAAATCCCAATCCAGCCTTGGTATCTGCGCAGTACACTTGGTCCTTTGCTGACTGGTCTTATTCCATTTGCTGTTCTCTTTATCGAGCTGCTATTCGTGTTTAAGAATCTGTGGCAGGATAAGACTGGATATTATTATGTCTTTGGGTTCTTGAGTGCTGTCTCGACTGTTCTGATAGTCACTGTTGTTGAAGTCACTGTCATCGCAACATACAGCCAGCTCTGCTCCGAGGTAAGACACCTGCAACAATTAAAGGACTTCACGCTGACTTTTTAGAACTACCATTGGTGGTGGCAAAGTTTCCTCACTGGTGGCAGCAGCGCATTTTGGATCTTTGCCTACTGTATTTGGTACTACATGTTCAAGCTTCACGTCACCGGATTTGTGTCTAGCTTGCTCTTCTTTAGCTATAGCTTCCTTGCCTGTGCTGTTTACGGCCTTTTGACAGGAACTGTTGGTTTTTTGGCCGCCTATGCGTTTGTTCGACGTGTTTATAGTGCGATCAAGGTCGACTAATCTCTACTTCTTAAACCGACAATCCAACTTTTCACATCTAAAATTTTACAATCGATCTTTCAAGCATAAGTGAAGTTACCACCACGGCGTATAGTGTTCCATTTGCATCTCTAGCCCGTCAATTTTGAACTTGCTTCCTTTTTGTCTCAAACAATTCTTGTCTTCTAGGGCGCGTCGTTTCGCCACATCTTCTTGTTTCTTATATACCTACCTGGGTTTGACAAAACGTCTACTTTCATATCAGTCTCCTTGCATATTTTTACCGCATGCACTGTAGACCACTAGGCTGCTTCCTGCAATTATTACCTATGTGCTTATCAAGGACTGCCGGTTATTTTGCATCATACGCGCACGCAGTGGAATATGCAGCCACATGCAAAAATCCCGATCAAGTTTGCAATACTTGATTTGTGTGATCAATCATTATTCGTTGCTTTACTGGGCTGACCTGCATCGATCTTTTATTTGCTACAGTGAGATCTGGAGGTACGTGAGGCATCTGCTGATCTAGGCCCTTCATGCCAGGATCATCAAACATACTGCTCAGCTTTATGGACGATCACACTTGATCTCCATTCACTGTATGGCATACTTATAAATCTCATAAATTTCAGAGGTTGTTATTGCGGATAAAGTAGATCGGTGGCAATTGTTTATCGAAGATCGGCCCACTTTCTACTGAAACAGTTTGGGTTGACTGTGGATACATCCATCCTCATGCGTATCTGATCCGATGGATCAAATAGCTATCTGATCGTCGAAGATGGTCCGCTAATGGCCTAGATGCGCAAAAATATACGTAGTGAACATGGTAATCGTCCGGGTGATGCTTACCATGTGAGCTAGAAGTTCAAGAGGCGCTACTCGAGCAGGATGAAGGAACCTGCCCTGTCATATGCAATGATTAAAACATCTCTAGGCGACCCTTGGACCAGGCCTTTGGTTCTAACTCGAGAGCAAGGGTGAATGGATTCAAGGAATGAAGATGACGGCATGAAGCAAGTCCAAGTCGAAACAGACCTGCTCAAATTTGGATATAAAATCCATACTATCGGCTACGCCGAACAACCACTCAATCATGTTAGCTACGCCATGACCTGTTGCATATAACCTGTGACCTCGGGGAAAAAATACCGATCAAGGCTTGCATATGGGAGATTGATTACGCCATCCTGCATCGGGCGAAATAATCCCGTGTAGAGCAGATGCAGACGTGGCATGTGGAGCAGAATCATCACCGAAAGCTAAGAAACGGCGGTGACTGTTTCGCCTCCCTAGTCAACTGGAAACTTGGGGATCGTAGACCGCTCCGCATGGCGTGCTCGGAAAGGGGGATTGCTCATTGTGGAGCGATGATACATTGCATTCTTCTATTTCATTGATATTTGATTGTATCTGGTTCTACTGTGGTAAAGGTTTACTCCCTTGTGTCAGAACTGGCGGTCTACTCCGTCTCGCACTTTTTGCGACGTCTCTTTTTCCTCTTTGCAGTGTACTGTGATTGGATGTCGAGATAAGCAAGTGGATCTTCTGCCCCTAAGCCTCCATTCTAACCTGATTGGGCTATCCCAGGGGAAACAGCTAATTGCTGATTGGGTGAGAAAGCGATGACACGATCCGGTGGAGTCTAGAGTTTCGCTGGTCGTCGGCTTTGGGATACGCTAGGCTGAAATAGGCTAGTAAGTACCAGGGTCTGTCACGCTGGAAACGCGGCCGTGAACCTGGCTTGTCGCTGCCGTTATCCACTCCGGGGTCGAGTGCGCGTGTGAACAGCACTGAAGCTAGACTCCATAGAAAAACGCTCAGCTTTGACGAGTTGTATTTTTATTAGCATTATTGGTTTCAGGGGGGTGAGATGGGCCATTCCATTACATACACTGCTGGTATTGCGGTTGTATTGTAATCCTCGAATGTAACACCTGGCCCATAAAGTGGCGACCCGACGCTTGTGCCGGCCTCCGGCTTGGACACGATTTCCTACAATTGATAATATTCACTGGTCGTGTGACTATCTATCTGTCTATCTGCCAAGCGCTATGAGTTTTACCGAGTGTTCCGTACGCTTTTCTATGTTTGTGGTAGTTGTAGATCATCTACTTCGGTATTGAAATTACGAACCGCATTCTCTCAATCACACCATCGCAGATACGAATGATGCCTTCAGACTTCGCCTTTGGGTACGTCAGTGCCGAGTCATTCCCCTGATCTTCGCTGCAGACGGGAACTATAGTAGTCTCATGTAGTCGAAGTCTCGTATCGAAGTTAGGTTAGTGAAGCTGGTGAGTTTGTGTAATTACATACATTACCTTTTCCGGCCCATTTGATTATTTTTTTTTTGGTTCTTTCACCCCCGACATTGCTATCTTTTTTTCCTCTTCTGGTCTCGTTCTTTTTTTTTTTTTCTCTTTTTTTCTTTCCTTTGTTCCCCACATACCTCGGGTTTTATATATCACCCTTTGCCCCCCGACATTTCGTCTTTCATTTCCATTCAGCTCAAGCTTCTTTTCCCCATACTTGTACTTGCCACACATATTCATCATGGCGACTAAGAAGCCCAACATTTTATACATTATGGCCGACCAGATGGCCGCGCCCTTGTTGTCTCTCCACGACAAGACCTCCCGTATTAAAACTCCCAACTTAGACCGCCTTGCCGAAGGTGGTGTAGTCTTCGACTCGGCCTACTGCAACTCACCGCTGTGTGCTCCATCTCGCTTCGTCATGGTCAGCGGTCAACTGCCCTCGAAGATTGGCGCCTACGATAACGCCGCGGACTTGCCCGCCGATACCCCAACTTATGCCCATTACCTCCGCAATGAGGGCTATCACACAGCTCTCGCCGGAAAGATGCACTTCTGTGGCCCGGACCAGCTTCACGGTTATGAACAGCGTCTTACTAGTGATATCTACCCCGGTGACTACGGCTGGTCCGTCAACTGGGATGAACCTGTAAGTCAAATATTCGCTCGCACCTTGTGAAACCATGCTAATTATGTAGGACATCCGTGCCGATTGGTATCACAACATGTCTTCAGTCATGGAAGCGGGTCCCGTTGTCCGCACCAACCAATTGGACTTTGACGAGGAGGTTATTTACAAGTCTCAGCAGTACTTGTATGATCACGTGCGCCAGCGTAGCGAGCAGCCTTTCTGTCTCACAGTCTCCATGACCCACCCACACGACCCTTATGCCATGACCAAGGAGTTCTGGGACTTGTACAACGACGTCGAGATTCCACTGCCTAAGAATGGAGCCATCCCACACGACCAGCAGGATGCCCATTCTCAACGTGTGCTGAAGTGCATTGACCTGTTTAATAAGGAGATGCCCGATGATCGCATCCGTGCTGCTCGTCGTGCTTACTACGCTGCTTGCACATATGTCGATACCAACATTGGCAAGCTGCTCAAGGTCCTCGACAACACTGGTCTTGCCGACGACACTGTTATTGTTTTCACTGGTGACCACGGCGACATGCTTGGCGAGCGTGGCTTGTGGTACAAGATGACCTGGTTTGAAAACTCGGCTCGAGTACCTTTCCTCGTTCACTCCCCCAAGCATTTCACTCCGAAGCGTGTCTCAGAGAATGTCTCGACCATGGATCTGCTTCCCACGTTCGCCGATCTTGCAGGCGCCAAGCTTATCCCTGGATTGCCACTCGATGGTGTGTCTTTGATGCCATACCTGACTGGCGGTGAGGGTCTCCGCACTGATACAGTCTACGGTGAATACATGGGAGAGGGCACCCAGGCTCCTCTGATGATGATCCGTCGTGGCCGCTGGAAGTTCATCTACTCCGCCATCGATCCGCCCATGTTGTACGACCTGGCCACCGATCCGGAAGAGAAGATTAACTTGGCAGACGGTCTGCCCATTCCATTCAACTCGTCCCGCGTTCCAGTCGCCAAGCCAACCAGTCTGGCAGCGGTCAACCTCCCAACCCCCATTGAAACCCCACACGCCTCGCCAATCCCTCAGCGTGTCACTCCGGCAGACTACGCCTTCCCCACGCCTACCCCCCTCGCACCCCGAGCCCAGCGCCAGCGCTGCCTAACACGACTGAGCCCGCCAAGATCTTGGCGTTCTTCATCGAAGAAACCAACAACCGTTGGGATCTGGAGAAGATCCGCCAGGATGTTCTGGTCTCGCAGCGTCGCCGCCGTCTGGTCTATTCTGCCCTGATCAAGGGAACTCCGTCGCTCTGGGACTTCCAACCCCACGTCGACGCGTCCGCTCAATACATTCGCAATCAGGGTAAGGGCGCTCTCGACGATGTGGAGCTCATCTCCCGCTGGCCTCGTGTGTTACAGCAGGCAGCCACAGTCAACGGAATCTCCGCTTAACTTTGACCATTGTATTGTGTGGTCTAAATCTGTTTCATTTCTCTCTGCATTTCGCATTTTAGCACTTCTTTTTCTTCCTTGCGGCATTGCCAATTCCGCATTTTCGGCTTTCATTGTTTTTTCTTCTTCTTTGATCATGTTTTCGTTACGTTCACATTGCGAGGCGCTATACCCGGGACTATTCGTTTCCCCAATTTGCATATGAATTCATTTTTGTATATAAGTTATGCTTTTGGTTTCCCGGGTTGGGTGTCATCGCCCTGTATATTGTTGGCCTTTGTTGGAGTGGTAAATACAATCAGACTGTCATGGGGATACATTTATTTTGGGTATATATAGTCGGTCGTGTAGTACAGTAATGTTTGTATTCGGTTGTACAAGATGAGAGTACGACGTGCGGTTATCTTCGAATCCTAGGTCTGAGCGTTGAAGCAGATGTGAATAATGTAAGCTTGCATCACTTCGTACAGGAAATTGCCAATATACATGGGTATCTTGCATATTCTGCAATACGGAAACTATATCTACCGATTTCCGTCTCTACCAGATTAAGTTGCAGCTTGAAGGCCATCACGCAAATTCAGTATCACCCTTACATACTGTCACAAAATACTCATATTCTGTTCTATGCCATCTTTCTGAGATCAACTTGACATCAGATTAACATCATATACTTCCCCGGACCCATTTCCCCACACGGACCGGATTTCCCCTCACACTAACCTTTGCCTGTCGTCATACGACCCATCTTCTCTCCACCTTTTAACACAGACTACTTGGTATGCATCGATTATTGGTACTTTACCACCAGGATACTATTAGCCGGATACTGACTACAGATATTGCATTTACGGGGGACATTTATGAAATACGAATGACATTCAAATATCGAGTCGAACGCTTGACCATTCATAGCAGTCATAAATCCACAGAATCCATGGATATCGATAAATCAAATCTCGCCCAATCAAACTCAATGGCAAACGAATCGGGATGTCAAGGGAAATAGGATATAGGCAGTCATGATCATAGTCGCCATGCCAGCATGTGACAGCTCCGTTCTGTATGTACAGCCTCCATCCATTTTATATCCAGCACTGCTTACCTACATTGTGAATTGTGGGCTCTACTCCACTAGCCACACGGGCGCCTTGACCAACACCGTTGCAGGGCCCTTGCCGCGCACTTCGACAGCTAGGAATGCTGCGAAGCGGATGCGTGGGCTACTGGGTGTTGTCTCCGCTGGCTCGATCTTCTCTTCTGGTCCGGGTACTGCTGGTCGACCCGAATCGTTGGGTGCGGGCTTGCGGCCCATCAAAGCGCCGAACATGGATTTCTTGTGCGACTTTGGTGCCGGGGAGACGTTCTCTGATGGTGCCACCGTTGAGCCTGATGAGACCTCGCCTTCTGTGGGCTCGTCGACCTCTGGATCTGCCACTGGAGGTGGTGGGTTGGGAAGGTGAGGGAGTTGGCCTTCAACCTTCATGTATTGCTCGGCGAGCGAGACGCCTGGTGGGAAGTAATCGACGCTTACATCGCGGGCCTCAAGAGGGACTTTCTCAATGATGTTAATTGAATTTTCGATGATCATGCGCACACCTGCTTCCAGGCCTAGCTGCAAGTTATCGTGCAGTTGAGATCCCATGAACGTGGCAAGCTCCCCGATGAGATGCTCGACTAGCCCGGCGCGGTTTTTATCGGCAGCAGGTCCGATGATAGAATCACCCAGTCCATCGAGGGTCGTGCGGCGCCAGTAGGAGAGTCTTGCAGAAGCGTTCTCGCGATCTTCCTCAGACGACGGTCGCTGCCGTCGCAAATTCATCTCGATGCTCTTCAACTGCACACTGAATGCGGGATCTAAACCCGGGTGGAAGTGGCGCTGGAACACTTCCTCCACCAGCCATCGGCTTATCACTGCTCTTCCGACCGCGGTCATTTCTTTCATGCCGACCTCCAATGCATCATCGGTCACCATCCCCTTGAGCCATGGAGGAAGGCCCTTCCAGTTCTTTCGCACCGAGAAAGCCAGATCTTTAATAGCTCCGTCCAGTCGTCCAAAGCGATTTTGATATTCCGAGTCGTCTAAAATCGTGCGAGAGACAGCCATGCGTTGGTGTGCCACTGTATTCTGGAGATGCTGAACCTGCGCATCTTTCTCGAAGTAGTAGCGTTTCACCTTGGAATATTTGGCCTCTACTATGGTTAGCATTGTCATTATCTCTGCTGAACCGTACTCACGGAGCTCATCGTGTTTTTGAATCAAGGCGCGAACATCGATGTCGCGCACGTCGATTTCCCCGGAGTCCTCGCGGCGGTGTGTAGGCGTGCCTCGACCGGGCTCTGGCATGGTGTCACTACCCCGCCGACTCGAGTCCGGGGCTGATTTCTCTGAGTGGGCCTGGGACTGTGTGGACTGCATGGCATCAGGATATGTCTCTGGGGAAAGCGGCTCGTAACGGGATGGGGGCCGGGAGTGCAATACCGATTCCTGGGGAGTGAAGGGTCGATAGGTCTGGTACCGCGGCGACTCCAAGTCGGTCGTCGATCGCTGCAGGGAGGCAGGCTGACTGGCCAGTTGTGTCTGTGACCAGTCGTGATCTTGATGGGCAGGATGAGTTGGTCGTGGACCTCGCACTGGTTGGATTGCAATAGACGCCGGGCGCTCAAAGGTCACTGGTGAGGGGTTCTCGGATTGCGGCCGAAAATGGGCCACAACTTCGTTTTCGTCTGCTTGCGCGACTCGGGGCGAACTGGGATTGGAGATGGGATTGGATATGGGTTTCCCTTTAAAGGACACGGAGGGTGGTCGTAGAGTGACAGTCGGTCGGTCGCGCGAGTGGTTCTGCGTGTTGGAGCGGCCGAGGGAGCTGAAAGACGACTGTGGGGGCTCGGCGAGTTGTTCGGTACTGCGCACAGCGTGGTGAGTGCGAGCATTCGAAGGCGACTTCTTTTTAAATAACTGCATTGCTGTGAACACGAAGAAGAGGAGAGAGTGAGGCTGCTAGGTCGATCCCATCGAATAGTGATTGGCTGCTATATATAGGCGTAAACAATGCGCCACTACTCTGACGACAAAGGATGTATACTCGATTTGATTTCCAATACAGTTGGACTAGGATTTCAATATCACTGATCACTTTTTTTTTTTTCACTTTGAACGATCGGAAATAATGAAGGTCAGTGTAGAGAACATACTGTTGGGATATTTACCGCTGTAGCCAGAACACGAGGCTTGTATGCGCCTACAAATGGCCCCCAGTTCAGTAACTTCAAGATCCACAGAGTGGAGTCAGCTAACTCCTGACCAGAGTCAGAGCTCCATTTCACAGCCCCTGGCGCGAGGTTCACCGGTTCATACTGTGCAATATATCCAACAAATAATAACCTTTGGCGGGGGATAGCGCGTTCCTTTTGCCTACTGGGGAGTCATGTCCCTATAACCTCTTCTTTCTATAGAATATGTACAATGAAATGCGGTAGTAGCTACTTCTTTTGGTGAGATGATACAATCTCTCCTACAATGATCGACGAAGTGATATAGCGTGTGTCATTTTTCGGTCATTCTCGCACATGAAAGCGATACTCATCCCCACGATCTAAATACACAACTTTGCCAGATAACCCCGCTGCCTCAACCAAGCGCTGGAAATATTCCAACGAGCTTCTAAATACGTCAAAGTCGTCGTAGTGAATTGGGATCGTAAGTCCGGGCTTCATCAATTGCATGAGAGTCACTCCATCCTCAGCGTCCATATTGACGGTCGATGCAAGCGGCTCCATTATTCGCCCTACAAGGAACGAGGGGAGCGTCGTACCACCAAGACGGGCGAGCATCAGGTCGATTGGCTGTCCCTCGTAGCGGCGGGTAACTTCTTGAAGTTCCTTGGTTGCTAAGATGTCCCCGGAAATGGAGATGCGATAGCTGCAGGTGAACTCTGGCGTATCGGCAGTGCCATATCCCAACTCAAGCATCCAGCCGTTGGTCGGGGGAGTCTTCATGTTGTTAAACCAGATCTGCTTGGATATGGACTTCGACGTACTGCATGAGTCAATGCTTGCAACACCCGCTTTGAAGCTACATTCTTCCCTGGCATCCCTGTCACACGCAGTCGAGGCTGTTTCGGTCCGTCTGTGCCTTGAATGTAAATATCAACATGCTCGAATGGTCGAAGTGCGGACACAGAGGTAAATAATTCTTGGTCTTTCGAGATGAGATGTGTCTTAACTTGTGGGGTAGTAACAATTGGAATATCACGCCTGAGCGAAGCCTCAATCTTTGGATCAAAGTAGCCCCTAGAGATGTCAGTTGCCCATTATGCTGAATTACCTTTACCGGAACATACTCGTGATAATGTGAGAGAAGAACGAGATCAATCCGGGGAAGGTTGTGTAGATCAACAGCTGGATTCGTGAGACATGTACTAGTGACACCTCGTTTAAGGTGAATCTTTTCCCCTTCAACAGCGAAGTTGGGCTGGTCCGGTTAGTCTGTGAATATGAACGCGAACTTCTGAGGGAAAACTAACATCAGTGATCACTCGAGTACCATGCCACTCTCTACCTCAGTTAGCCTATGCCAATGAATTCTCGCGCCGAACTAACATGATAGTACACGCCCTGCCTATGAAGAAGAGGGATGCATTTTCTGAACCTGGCTTGGACGGATGGAGCTTGGTCATTTTGGCTGGAGGCAGTTCAGCCGGAGATGGGAGCTCCCGCATAGAGGGAACTTGATTCCGCGGGCTCACAGATATATGCTGCATATTGAACTACGTAGTACCAGCGGGGCCCTTGGTGACCCGAAGTGTTCTGACTTGCACTTGAACTCTCCAGTTTCGAGATTCAGGTCATGAGAAAGGTTGCTAAACAGGCCCAGTAGTCGCTGGATGTGATTGACTGCGGTCTCGGGGCCGTCCACGAGGCCAACGAACGCAAACTGTGAGATGCGAGTTTGAACGATTGGCCCCTTTATTCTGTTTGGTGGACGCGTAAGAAACCGATTAAGCTTCGCAGAATGAACCAAGGCTCGCAGTAACTCGTGACTACAATTCGTATACATGACGTCACATATGCATTTGGGCATCTGAACTACATACGAGCATCCTCTGTCCTGACAGCCAACATACGAATATTGTCCAGGTTAGAAAGCAACAAGCGAGCAAAGGAAGTGTTCAAAAGCATCTGGCACCTAACATGCTCCATATGCTTTGCCTTCGTAAATGTAATAGTGAATCTGATTGACATTCAAATCCTATATTTCGAATCCACGAAAATTTTGTACCAACTACCTATGTCTCGAATGGATCTGGTCATGTCTAACACACACCGTGTGTCTTGCCAGTTTTTCCTTGAAGCGAGTGTTTCTCGTTCTTGTACGAGGCGTGGATTTGATGGCGTGGGTGATCGCGCTGACTCTTCATATGGCTAGGAGAAAGTGAGCTCAATAATCCAAAGGCATTGGGGTCACTAGGAGATACGTACGTCTGGTACTTGGCAATCATGGTTTGATCCATAGAGTCCAGGGTCTCAATGACAAGCTTGAAATCGGCCATCAGGGAATCACAACGGTCCATCGAGAAATCCTCACGGATAACGACACGCATCATGCGCATCTGTTCGCAGTGAGGGGCCATGGTATATGCAGGTACAATCCAGCCTCGCTCACGCAGCTGGTGGGCAATGGCAAACTCATCGTACACGCGATCGGGATTCTTGGGAAGATGGAAGGCCACCAGAGGCAGGCCACGGCCACGAGTCTGGCTCATAAGAACCATACCCATCTTCTGCAGCTCCGAAGCCATGTAGTCGCTGACGCGGGTAAGGTTGGTCATAATTGAACGGTAACCATGCTTACCCAGACGGATGAGTTGATAGTACTGACCAATAACGTGAGAAGCACCCTTGGAGAAGTTCAAAGTAAAGCTGGACTGGTCCGCACCAAGGTAGTTGATGTTAAAAACTAGGGATTGGTCCAGGTACTCGGGGGAGCGCCATATAGCCCAACCCACCCCGGGGTAGACTAGACCGTACTTGTGGCCTGAGACGTTAATAGAGACAACCTTTGGCAGCCGGAAGTCCCATTCCAGCTCAGGTTTGATAAATGGAGCTACAAAGCCACCACTGGCTGCATCAACGTGAATTGGACAGTCAATGTTGCGCTCGACCAGCAGATCGTTCATTGCTTTGACATCCTCATATTCGCCGGTGTAGGTAGTGCCGAGAATAGCGCAAATGCCAATTGTGTTCTCATCCACGCGGTCGACAGCTTCTTTGGGGTCCATCACGAACCGGGTCCGGGTGCAGTAGACAAAGCTGTTCGGGACGAGATTAGTACTTCCGCTTTGATAGAGGGCCGAATCACTTACTTTTCTTCAACGTCGAAATACCTACAGGCCTTCTCCCAGCATACCTTATGGTTTAGAAAATCGCGTTAAAAATGATCACAAATAGGGTGGTGACTTGCAAACCTGAACCGCACCTGTAATGTGTTAGACTGGAATACTAAGTGGGTGATTTTGGGTGATTGCTGAGAAGAGAGAACGGGGTGCGATTAATCAACTAAAACTTACTGGACATAACGAGATTCGGATTCGAATAATCTTTTCCTTCGGCTTTGCGCTTGTTTTGCCAACGCTTCTTCATTGCCAAGGTGCACAGCATAATAGCCTCGGAAGATCCGATTGTGGAGGTACCCATTGCATTGTCACTATCTGAGCCCGTGGGTGCATGGTAAAGGCGAGCAATCATGTTCACACAACGGTTATGCATCTCAACAGTGTGGGGGTATTCTTCGTAGTCGATGAAATTCTTGTTAAAAGAGTCGGCCATAATCTCTTCGATTTCCTCCTCCATGTATGCTATAGAAAAGTGAAGGTTAGGACAATGTGCTATAACGAACGTGCTAGAATGTTGAAAAGGACTCACTTGAACAGAATGAGGCAAGATTCAATCTTGGGTTACCGTCAAGAGAGAGGCCTAAAAAGAAGTTAGAATTGCGGAGATATATGGGTGCGCGTCAGACTGACCATCCTTGATCATGCGAGCCGCAATTTGACGAGGCATTTCTTGCTCGGGCATCTCGTGCTGAGGCAGATGCTCAGCGGCAAAGTGGGAGCCATAAACATTGCTCGTGTAGGTGTCAGCCTCTTCCAAGGCCGGAATAGTCTCGATGTCATTAAGCTTGCGGGAAGGCGGGGGACGGACGTCCTGGTCCTTCTTGACCATTGAAAGGTGAACCATATCGACGGTGAGAAGGGGTAAGAAGGGGGAAAGAAAAATAGGTAGAAACAAGTGAGACCGGAGGTCGGGATGGGAATATCAAGATAAATAAATCGCTCGTGTATTGATGTTCCAGGTAACCAGGTGCGGGGCCTAATGACGCAGCTGTATCAATCGAACCACCCACCAGCTTACCGTTTAACTTCCAACTCCCAATTCTACCAAGGTTCTCTTCCTCTCTTTTACGTACCTCGTTTTATAGCAATTTGGATGTCTTATACGCGCATATAGTCTGTCTATGTCATGCAATTGCTATTTAGATCTCCTGACACGGTCGATCCCTGATTCCAAAGCTTGGTCAAAGCTTGGCAGTGAGATCCGTCACTATCCGAGTCAATATTGCCACGTCACGACTCACAGTGGATACATGAGGGGTCTCAAGAGTTCACTTAGAGCTTGCTCTCACGAGGTTCCTCGGCAAATCGATAATAGAATTCTAGGCTTCCGGGATTCAATAGCGTTCCGCTTGGCTTGACCCGCTTCCCAGACACTATCTGTTTCACCGGTAGTTCGACCTTCTTGAGATTGACTGTCGTTGGAATCTCAGGCGTTTCCCAAATGAAGCTAGGCACGTGGCGAGGACTGAGCTCTGAGCGAATCGCTGCCTTTATTCTAGCCACAAGGTCTGGTGAAAAGGCCACACCCGGTTTCAAGAGCAGGAACAGAACGACCCGCTCATCAGTATCAGTGGGTCTCTTCTGTCCCACGCAAATAGAATCCGCAACCTCATTTGCAAACATAGCTTCAATAACCCGGTAGATCTCTGCACTTCCAAACCTTACACCCGAGGGATTGAGCACTCCGTCAGCGCGACCATGAAACATGAGCTGATGAGTGATTGGATGGATCGACACGAAGTCTCCATGAACCCACACGTCTAGAGATAGTCAGATAATCAAGCAATAAGAAAAGGCAAGAGAGGGAACCCTACTGTCAAACTTGGCGAAGTAAGAGTTCCTATACCTGGTTCCGCTCTCGTCACCCCAGAACTTCACTGGCATGTTTGGGAAAGCAGCTGTGGCTACTAGCTCGCCGGGAACTCCTTCATTTACGGGGAATCCCTGGATACCGTCACCCCCTTCGATTGTAGAGTCATAGACCTCCACAGGAACGCCCAGACTGCGTTCAGCACAGCCGCCTACATAGACAGGAACCAGTGGGTTGCCAGATCCAAAACAGCCGGCAATGTCTGTGCCACCGGAGATGTTGTTCAGACGAGCCATTGAAGGGAACCCTTCATCGTAGAACCACTCGAACAGCTCCTCCCGCAGGACCATGCCAGTGCTTGTAACAACTCGCAAATTGGACAAGTCGACCAGTTCTCGAGGTTTAATGTTAGCCATCTTCAGCTCGTGCAGCCACCGAGGTGATATCCCAAGATGTGTCACTTTCTCCTGTGCCGCAAGACGCACTAGGGTTGTGACGTCGGGGACGAATGGACTTCCATCATATAGCACCACTCGAGACCCAAAGAGAAGAGTCTGGACACAAGACATGTACATGATCCAACCCGTAGTCGTGTATTGCAGGCAGACACTGTCAGGCCCGAGCCCACTGTGCAAGCCACCTTCTTTGGATGAGCTGATGAGCACTCCTCCGACTGAATGAACTATACATTTAGGCTGGCCCGTGGTGCCGCTGCTGTAGGCAACCAGGAACGGATCCTTGAAGGGGATCCTGTCAAATTCGAGCTTGTCACCTCGCCCTTTGGAAATATAGCTGCCCAGAGTTTGGGTTTTTGAGATAGAACTGATATCCGCCGGCTTCGATGGGAAGCGTGGCTGCGAGACAACACCCTGGAATTCAGAGATTGAATCCATGCCTTGAACAATGTCTCGGATCTTGGATTGCAGATCAATGGCCTTCCCATTGTATACCGCAAAGTCATCCATGAACAGCCAACGAGGCTTGATCTGCAACAATCGATCTAGGATGCCTTTGACACCCATATCCGTCGAGCTGGATGAGAAGATCGCACCCAGAGCGGTCGATGCCAGGAATACCAACAGTGTGTCAATACTATTAGCTGCACATATCGCAATACGATCACCGCGGACGACACCGTTAGCTTTCATCGCCTGTATTAACACTCCAGTCCGACATCTAAGTTCTCCCCAAGTAACATGGACTGGTTCATGTGCAGCGCCTTCTCTGACTTCGGTCACGGCAATCTTCTCGTCCTCCTTTCCGGACTTATCGCCGGCAGCTCGTGAAAAAAGCAAGTTCTCGGCGAAGTTCAGACGAATACCCTCAAACCATGCAGGGATCTGATCCATACGGACAGATTCGTCGACAACTTGCGTGTAGGATCCTTCATGGATAAGATGGAAGTATTTCCAACAGAAATCCCAGAATTGCGACCTATTGTTAACCGAATAGAGGTACATGTCATGGAAAGACTGAGATATCATTAGTCAATTTGGTTTATATCGAATGGGATTTGGACTCACCTCCAATTTCTGGCCTGTTGATTTCTCCAAGGCTCGCCGAAATTGACCCATCTTGGTTGAATCTGGGTCTGGGTGCTCCCATAGCTTGCGAGGAACTGCAGTCATGATTATTTGCGTATGCTGTAGTTGTTCATTTTTGCGGGGGAAGGTCCTTTTATCGATCTCCCACTTCCGAGGCCCGAAATGAGCGGAGATCACCCCCGCCCCGGCTCACTTTTACCGCCTTTTTTTACCTTCGCATTTCAACAATATCAGGTTCTTACCGAAGTTCTCTTGGAAGCATTGTGGGTAGATAGCCTGATCACATTGTATAGGTCTGAGTTACGTGGATTAATCAGTCTATCCTGTGTACGAAAGAGCTGAGCTAGCGTACATTACCGTTCTTGGCGAATTGACGTGGAGTTTTCAGATCGAATAGCTGACCCCTTGTCGGGCATATCAAGCATATGTATCATAGATTTTAACGTTAGTCGCAATGGTATACATGGAGTATGTTGCTAAAGAGATACTTCCTCTAATGTTTAGCCGCATTATAGAAAGTGCTGAGCTTTTTCATTGGCATTCTTCATCCGTAAGCTAATCGGGCTCGCATAGGGGCTATCATCCAAATGTATTCATAAGAGCGGCACAACAATCTTAGTGCCACTAACACCATTCTTGAGCTTGTCCAATGCTGCGTTTATCCCGCACAGACCACCATCCTCGATCTGTATAGTCGGGCTGGGAATTACCTCACCGGACTGCAGTCCGGTCTTCAGCCACCCATTGAAGACCTTACTAATGTGCTTGTTCCTCGCGGCCTCGTCCATAGATGGTAAATTGAAAGTGATCTGCGTGTTTTCGAGGGTAGGGTGACCCTCTGGGAGAAGGGGTGAGTGTGCAACCATAGCGTGTGCGTCGCCTTTGGTCTCCCTGAGGATGTCCAATGTTGGCTGCAGAGCTCCATCGACGACGCAGTGTGCAGCATGCAGCTTCAGGCCATCATTTTTCACGGCGCTAACGATCTGAGAGACGACATCGCTTGCCCTGTAATCGAAAACTGCATGGGCTCCGAGCTTCTTCACGAGGTCATGATGCTTGGGACTTGCGGTGGCATAGACAGTGAAGCCGAGTGACTTGGCTGATTGAACGGCAAAAGTACCTACACTGCTCGATGCGCCCCAGATCAGGACTGCTTGTTTGTCCGCGGGAGTGTACTTGGTGTCGAGCGGAATACCGATTGTGGTCCAGGCAGTGCAGGCAGTCAAGACAGCTAAAGGAAATACAGCGCCTTGTTCGAAGGTGAGATTGTCTGGAAGTGGGATGACGCCTTCGGATTGTGCTAATGTGTACTTTTGGAAGGAACCATGATCGGGGGAGCCGTTCTGATAGAATGATGAGGCAAACGCAATGACTCGGCTTCCTGGACCAGTAGAAGTGACATTAGAGCCAACCTTGGCAACAACACCAGCAGTATCGCATCCGATGATAGTAGGATAGATAGGAACAGGAGGCATGCCATAGTCACGCTGGAAATGATCGCAGGGGTTCAAGGCAACGGCTTTGACCTCGATGAGAACATCGTTTGGACCGGGGTCCGGGGTGGCACGCTTGCCAAGAGACAAGGGACCACCCTGCTGGGGGAGAATGGCAGCTTCATGTTGTCCAGGCATAGTGGATGTTTGACGTGTGGATGTTGTAATTCCTGTTGTGGGTGTCTTTCTGCTGAAGGTTCAACCTGAGCAGGTGAAGCATGCAGGAGGGAAAAAATGATAGATGGTGAATTTTTGATGAAGACGAGAGGTATACTATAAAAGCTGTCTGCGACGTACCTGCAGATGAATTCTTCGCCTCGCTTTAAGTCCGATACGTCCCCAAAGCCCGTGCCTGTTGACACGTATTGGATCCCTGTGATACTGCTATATGACCCAAGTGGTGGCTGTCGAATCGAAGTGGCAGTTCGGTGTTAAATCCAGCCATTAAATCCGAATATTGTATGAGGATCTTGGAACGACCGGTGGTTAGGCGTTAGTCCGATCGGGAATACGAAAGGTGGTTAGCGTCCTTTTTAGAGTGGACCCAAGACCCACCGCGTCATCCCATCTGCAAATATGTATCTATATCGGGTCATCGGAATACGTATTATTCGCCTTTCTTGCTCAGTTTCCGTTCATTTATAATTGCGTCTTGTCCAAAGTTGTGGCCTTGTGCATGGTTGTGGTTGCTTTGGTTACCACTACTATTCATGTACTGTCTCCAATACAATTCTTTCAAACGCAGTCCAGTGATCTAAAAATGATATCAATGTTCATTACAATATTCTGCCCAGACCTAACATGTTCAACTTTGGTACTCCTCCCAGGATTGATACGGCTTAGATGGCCATCTCCAAATCCTCAAAATGTCAACAAATCATCGCGGGAACATACCAGCAGAACAAAACTTGCAACATCCTCTCGCCGCACGAAGCTAGAGCCATCCAAAACAGACGTCTTCAAATTGCCTTCGGTATTGACAACGCCTTTACACGCATAGATAGCGTCCACTCTGGAGCCTTCGTTGAAAAGGCCAAGACTGTGATCAGGATGTCACACTCCCGATGGAAAGATGTATCCTTTCTTGCGATCTTGCCCTAGGATGAACTGAAAGGGGCCCCCTAACCTGATTTACACTTGCAGATACATGTGTGAGCATGAGGATGTGAAAGGCGATTCACGTCGGATCAATATGACTAGTATGGTGCAAGGGTGGGTGCTTTGCATCAGATCTTGGCTTCTGATATTGAGCGGTGTCATAGCAGATCTGATATCTGGGGTCCTGATGCGTTGAAGTTCCACTTAAGACGTTGGAGGGCTTTGACGGAGGAACAAGGAGATGTATTGATGCCTTTTGAATCTTCGCCGTTTTGGTGCTCTGCGTCGCGGACATTGACACCGAGGATACTTGGTGTATTGGTCAGGTCACTGCTGTTTGCTTTTTTTGATAGCTATGGCAAAACTTGGAGTCCGCATTGTGAGGATGCGAAGAGATTACACCGGGTCATGAATTTGATGGGGATAGATACAAGGGATGACTATGGATGAATATGGAGATTTGTATCTTATTGCATCGGAGCAAGCATAGAGATGGCTAGCAATAGATTGAATATCAAGAAATTAGATCAAATCCTAGGAACGCAGTCTTGTTAAAAGAATTGATTGTGAAATAAGTCGCTGGTACTGTCGATGTCAGAGTAAATAGACTGATAGCCTATGTCGGCGCAGAGGTTGACAACATCTCCAACTGACTCGCAAGTCCAGAACCGTCCACCACCAATGGCTTGCAAGTATCAATACGACCTTTGATTGGCGTGAAACTTCCCATCCAACTCTCCTTCCCAGAATCCGAATCGGCATCCGAACTGTCGACACTATCCCGTCGGTCAAACTTTGCGTAGATCCGAGAGCCCATGAAGGTCATGTTGTTGAGCATTGATACCGCACGCTGTGCCTCTTCAACTGTTCGCATGGTGATGATACCCTGTGCCTGGCCTTCGTTCTTTGTTACACGAATTTGCTCGACGACGCCGGCATTGTGAAGTAAGTTTTCTAGGTCGGCTTCTTTGGTAGATACATTCAAATTCCCCAGAATGATTCCTCGGTATCGGGCACCACTGTGCAAATCTGGTGTAGGCGGAAACCTGTGATAGCGGCGCGTCTCGAAGCTTTCCTGGACTGGCGACATCGGATATCCGGGCATGTTCCAGTATGGCGGTTCATACCCACCCGTCACTGGAGACGGAGGGAACTGCATCGGCGCGAGATCTGGCATCATAGTCATGTACGGTGTCATGGGCATTGGCGGCATCATTACACCGTAATCGGGGTATGAAAATGTTGGACTGGCTTGGGTAGATCTAATTGGTTAGTCTACTATTAACGAAAGAGAAGGTGACATACTCAGGTAAGACTGGGGATGGAGGAAACTTCATATTCCCCTGCGGTGGCGTGGATTGATCAGAGTAGTGCATTGGGCTCCTGGTCGGTCCAGCGATGGGCTTCGTCGGTGAGCTTGTCCGCGCAAGAGTAACAACCAAACTTTGACCATCCCATCCGTTGGTGGATAGTCGATCTGAACTGTTAGATTGAACATCAAATGCCGAAGGAAAGGCCCAAGACGTACGATATGTTCTCCACGCTTCATCTTCGTTTTTGACAATAATCTGACCGAGTCCGGTAGGGAAGCCATGATTATCATCGTATACAACAGCTTGACGAATATGCAGAGCTGTCTGGCGCACTAAATCTTTGAGTTCCTGCCAGCGACAGTGTGTAGGAATCTAAATTGTGAGCCTTGCTCCATGCAGGAATTGGAGAGCTTACCCCTTGAAGAAACACGACGTATTCATCGTCCGATCTGCGTTTTGGACGAAATTTTTCACGGAAAGGCATGGCGTCTAGATGATGCACGTCGGGAAGTCTGTTCTGCCGTTAACTCCGAGGATGCCTTGAGACGTCGTCGTCTGCAAAAACCCGAAGCTTTCGTTGAAAAAAAGGCCTGTCCGACCAGTTGTTAGTTGAGTTCGGAATCTGGTATGTGGACTAGTTCGTTAGATATAAACGGAGGGATTAAATTATAGGCAATCGCCACTCACAGATGTAATGCAACGAATTGGTCTTACAATACGCACAGATAAACCAGCTGAGAACAGATAGTCGGGTTATAAAGCCTGGAAAAGCCTGTGGAAAAGCCTGGAGAAAAGAAAAAGAGAGCGTAGATGTTTCACAAAAGCTGCCATGACGACAATAAATTCCACATGTAGGATACTAGTAATTTCTACACGATAGTCCTCTTCCAAGCAAACCCAGCTGCATATCTGGACGAATGGCAACGCCAGACGAGGAGCAGCAGACGAGGAGCAGCAGACGAGGAGCAGCAACCAGTCAGATCAGCCAAATTCCCCTCCTGGTGCAGCGATATGTCATTTCCGTCTGCTGTATAATGCAAAAGCGAACTACAGGGAAATGGCATCTAAAAAACAGTCCAGGCATTGGATCTGTGGATTCTTTGCTTCTTGTTGCTCCATCTGATTGCCCGGGTAGACCCGTGTACACTGGGGAGGGGAAAGTCCATCTTCGAGTTGCATTTAGCCTGCGACTTACACCGCTAGATCCGGATCGGACATGCAGGGTGGACCTGCGCGCGCCTCTATTCATCACATTGGCTGCATATTCATCAGATCGGACTAGTGAATGGAATAAAAAGCAACGAAAGACTCTCGGGTCGTCGATCGAGCGGGGCCTGCCGAATGATTGCAGCTTATTGGATTTGCCTTTTGGAGCTATCCATTGTGGTATTTGAACGGTTCGTGAGCACCTGCAGAGGAACGATATGGCTGGCTGAGCTGCAATGAAGCCCTAAGGCGCACGGACGAGGTATTTAGGGGTTACACTGCAGCTTGATAAACTGGCATATATTAGCAAGATGTAGCAGATCTTCGTGTGCTGACTATCTTAAGCATGGCTTGCAGAAAAATACAAGTCAAATGTCCATCCAATACAGTTTGAGTGGCACAACCTACGAATGATGGCGACACGCGACCAAAGCACCGGAATCCTGTTGTGAACTCTACGTCAGAGGTGATGATCTAAGTGTAAGTAATATAAGTATATAGTAAACAGGCTAAACAATACAGTCGCTGAACAGTCGCTAACACGAAGAAAAGAAAGGGGTACATGTAGGATGCGCCTAGAACAGATAGGTCATAAACACCCATGTGCTCGGCATATAATTGCATATTGTTGCAATGCCGACCGAGGAATGTCTCCAAGCACGATTTCCTGTGCCCGTATCAGAGTGTTGAGATCATTTGGGGTTCTTCGAAAATGTGAGACTTTGTCTGCACAGCCACTTGAATTTGGGGATCGAAGTCGAAGTCGAAGTCGAAGGATATTCTGTGGGTCGCGTTCGGGAGAGAAAGGGATAGCCTCATCAGGGGGCGATTTTCAGAGATATCATCGACCAAAGCCAACTTTGGAGGCACATCGATTGCAATAATAGGAGTTCATGCCGAACTGAACCGCAGATCCGGAGTGCCCCGCCAGGCTGAGAGATTGTTGACATCTGCTACACCTGACGACATCGAGGACTGGAGGAGAGGTAGCCTCGGCAGGCCTTGGGAGAGGGGAAATCTGAAGAGGAGAAGTCATGTTTGGAGGCAGAAGGCAAGGTCCAAGGTCATATTTTATAGGAGCCCCTTTCAGCCCTCAATTTAGAGATTCGAGAAACTAACGAAATCTAGGGACTAGGGACTCCACGCAATTTATAACCTGAAGATCCGTCTGCCTGATCCCCCTCATGTGGGTGTTAGCGCTAAGCATATCCCTCTCTCCCTTCCCAACCCATGGTAATTTACTTACTTGACGACATAGACAAGTTCCACTGCTTAAACCCCGACGTCCTGAATGATCTCCCATGACCTCCAACCCTTCCGGAGATCATTCATTCATTCTGTCAACGGTCGCCTCTCCCTTGAGAATATGCAGAATGCCGTCATGGCTGAGATCCGGGTATGCGGCAGGCCTAATTAGGGAAAATACGTAGACACCAAGTACGCATCGTGCACGGCAGCACGATGAGGTCGAATAAGGTGTGGCGACACATGGATATGTTATGGAGACTCCCAAACCTGCGAATCGAGACGGCGGATACACGCTTGCCAACGTCATATCTCTTCATCCGGCTCTTGGCTTTTTTCTTTCTTAACTTCTCTCTACAATCATACAACTATCCAATCAATCATAGGTTCAATACATCCAATCATCTGATCCAATCTATTCTATTGAATCGATCGTCTATTGTGTCACTTTCACTTTGTTCTGATCACCCCACCATTGCCCCTCATGGCCACCGCACACCCCAATCTCTTCAGCTTTCCCAACTCTGATGCTTTGGCTCAGCAATTGCGCGTCTATGTTCTCCGTGCCCAGAACTCCGCCTTGAGTCGCCACGATAGCTTCCGCCTCGCTGTTTCGGGTGGTTCCCTCCCCGCCAACCTAGCCAAGGCCCTTCTCGCCCCCAGCAATGGCACCCCCGAAGACACCCCTCAGTTCGACAAGTGGCACATCTTCTTTGCTGATGAGCGCGCGGTACCCCTCGACCATGAAGAGAGCAACTACCGTCTCGTGAAGGAGGAGCTCGTCGCGAAGATCCCCTCGGAGCTCGGTACTCCGATCGTCCACCCCATCGACGAAAAGCACGTCCACGACGACGACCCCCAGGAGCTGGCCGACCTCTACCAGGAGGATCTGATGCGCGAATTTGCCGCCAAGGATAGTGTCAAGCTGCCCGTGTTCGATCTTATCTTGCTCGGCTGCGGTCCCGATGGCCACACTTGCTCACTCTTCCCTGGTCACGAGCTGCTCCGCGAAAAGGACGCCTGGGTCGCTGCCGAGTCCAACTCTCCCAAGCCTCCTCCCAAGCGTATCACTCTCACCCTGCCTGTTGTGACGCACGCTGTCAACATTGCCTTTGTCGCTACTGGTGCAGGCAAGAAGGAAATCCTCAAGCAGATCTTTGATCTTGAGGAGGGTAGCAGTCTGCCTTCTGCTCTGGTTAACCAGGGTGCAGGTGATAAGGTCAGCTGGTTCACTGATCACCCGGCAGTGGACGGAGTCTCTTTCCCCCGTCGTGGAAGTCTGTGAGATATCAAAAGTGGATTTACCAACTTGCTATTCATGGTAGACACAATTTAGAATGATTGTCCATTGCCTGTTTTTATACTGGAGCATATTTCCAACCCGGCTGAAGAAAGCTCGGACAAATTAGCCGATAGAACATAGCCCGATAAGACGTTTCAATAGCTGGGGGCATCTAGAAGGCCACCAAGAGCCCATTCAACACATTCAAAAGCTTATCCATAGATCTGTTCTTTGTTACTTACTGGCTGAGACATCGCTGGCCTCGGGGTAAGGTTGCGCACGGACCAAGGAGATCGCGACCCAAGATTCACTCGATCCCTGAACAAACACCACAGCGATGCCTTTATGACCTGACGATGCCCATTCCTACACGCTCGGCCTCGCTGCGCGAGCCACGTAAACAGGTAAGTGGAGAGATTTGTCAATGTCTGCAGAACCACACTAATTGCGCAGACCTTCAATATAGCACGACCTACCACGAAACCATTACCTACGGCTGGAAGAGGAACGACGCAAAATGAAAAGAGCCGCCCACCATCAAATACCTCGCTGGTCGAGGCCCCAAAAGACACTGGGTCTCGAGGGAGAACCCAGCTTCCTCAACGAAGTACCCTGACAGACCGTCCAGCGGGGCGGCTTCAGCCTAGCAAGCTCCCACGCGGGGATCCTTCGCCAACAAGACGAGAGATATCCCCAGAGAAGAAGCCGGGACAATCAGAATCTTTGGCTGCAAAGCCTACAACAATACTCAACCGCCGACAAAGCCTCATGAGGCCGGCATTGAAGCTCCCCGCTAAACCTATTGTCCCATCAAAGAGCTCAACTACGGCCTCGTCGCCTCGAAAGCCGCCAACTCGAGCTCCTGTCCAGCCCCCTCCCACCAAAAGACCTTCCTCGCCTAAGAAAACGGACATGCCACCTCCGTCACGGCCAACTCGCTCTTCTTCCCTCAGACAGCCTGTCAGTGCTACAAAGACACCACCTACGGTCAGAGGCCATGCCAGACATCGGAGTCAAATGGTGTCGAGTACAAAGACTGAACCAAGGCCTCCATCTCCTCAGAAGTCCCGGGCTCAATTTTCTACATATCAACAGCATTATTCTCCCAAGAAAATCTCTACACCTTCGACTCCTAACGCGGGTGAAACTGATCCGAGCAGTCTATTAATTCCTTCGTCATGGCCGGACATTACCGCTCTGCAAACAGAACTCCTTCAACTCAGCTTGTTCCATTCCGATGCATTACAGAGGCAGGCTGAGTGGAAGTCTGATTCAGAAACTCGTCTGCGCAAGAAGTACGACGGAGTTGCTCGTCAGTACCGTTCTTTGGTAGCAGATGAAACCCGACGGCAGTGTGAGCTCAATGCACAGGCTCTTGATATCTGGCTTTCCAATTGCCAGGAGCATCGTGGTCCGCATGATTCCTCTGAGCAGATTCAAATCCTATCACAGGTCCTTCAGGAGATCTCCAACATGGTGTCCTCCGAAGGGAGTGGAGAGTATGCCTCTGCTGTGGCGGACTTTGAGGATTGGATCGAGCAAGCCGAGCTTATTCGTCAGAACCGTGAAGTGGGCCGGACTGATGCTGGGGCCTTCATTGATCCGTTACCCCGTAGCTGGAAAGAGATGCTTCGAGAACTGACTCTCAGACTTGAGCTTTGCACACGCCATCTGCAATCCCTGGACATCCTGGGCTTCGGTGAAATTGAGCAGCTGGGGGAGGCTGCCCTTACAAGGGTGATTCTGAATCTCGGTGAATTGATACAGCTCATGGTACAGGAGATCCGTGTAATTCGGACACTTGAGGCTCAAGCTGTGCAATTCGAGAGAGATTTTATCAGTCTTCTCGCGACGAAGCTCGCGGGGTCTCCGACTGAGATGCGAGGTTCTCGTGTCGGGGTGTGGAACAGGTAGCTTACCATTGCTTGGACATCCTGTACATAATTAAAAGTGGAATCAGCAATGGTCTTGCCTGTTCACACGTGCCTCTTCTCCGGCGTTAAGCGAGCATTGTATCAAGCATGTGGTCGACTTCATTTGGTTGATCTTCCTCTTTCGGACTAGGGTCACTTTCGTTTATATATACAGCTCCTTCGCTAGCCATTCTCTCTTTTTTTTTTTTTTTTTTTTTTTGCCTCTCTCGTGTAAGTCAGGCGCGCTGCGATCATCTACGCCTAGGTGATTCATCACAAATCGGTCCCTGCATTGCAGTGGATCGATTTATTCGACGGTCTTCGGATCGTCGGGTGTGTAATTCTTGGCCCATTCCTTTCGGAAGATAGTTTTCATTATTGTTTAGGCCAGTGGCTCAAGCTCGGAGAAGGACACCTTGTGAAGTGAACATTCAAAATTCGTAGTTGTGTTGCGATATATAGGTCCGCGAGGCATAGTGATGAGTAAGCTCTCCAGACCCCGGATGACGCTCAGGTTGACAACCGTGAAAGCTCCACTGTTTCCTGATGTGCACTTCCTCTTTCTTTGCTTCTTCTTTTTCTCTCCATCTTCTTACCTTCATCTTGCCATCCTCGCGTCTTCACATCTACACCCGTGATGTGAATATCACCCACCTGACGTCACCTACAGCTCTGTTCACTGTAACCAAAGAGGTCCCCACTTCCTCATAATGGTCGATCATACCTAACAGATCTTGACTTTTTCAACACCATGAAAGACTCGCTCTACGACCGCCTTTGGCGCCGAGAATGCGGGGAGAGATCAGCATATGCCGGGCTTCGGGGGATTTATGGCTCTAAGGAATGGGTCAATGATCTTGACATCGTGAATGAGCTCGGTGGTCACACCGGATGTGTCAATGCTCTCAGGTACGTCAAGATTAGCTCAGATTATGTTTCATGCTAATGAACTTAGTTGGTCGCGGTCAGGTCAGCTCCTTGCATCCGGTTCGGATGATCAGCATCTCAATATCTACTCGTACCAACCTGAATCCTCCAATGCTCCTTTTGCGCTCAATACGACTGTCTTCACCGGACACAAGGCCAACATATTCTCGGTCAAATTTATGCCACAATCAAACGATGGAACGGTGATTACATGCGCCGGTGACTCGCAAGTTCGCGTGTTCGATATTGAATACTCCAGCGGGAGCAGGAATGCTGCCGCTACATCGGCGTTCGAGGCCTCCGCTCGCAGTCGGCGCTTTAGTGAGTTCTTCAGTGGTGCACGATACTTGAGTGATGGAAATACCAATGCGAGGGTTTATCGGAGTCATGCCGACCGCGTGAAGCGCATCGTCACGGAGTCGTCGCCGTACTTATTCCTCACCTGTTCTGAGGATGGTGAGGTTCGGCAGTGGGATCTTCGTCTTCCTTCTAGTGCATATCCTCCGCCGCGGGGTGGCCAGGGCTTCATGGCATACCGTCCCGGTTTGAATCATGATGACTCTAATGTGCCACCTCCTCTCATCTCCTACAAGCCATACAGCTTGGATCTCAATACTATCTCCTGCTCGCCCAGTCAACCTCACTACATCGCTCTAGGCGGAGCCCACCTGCACTGCTTTCTACATGACAGGCGGATGCTTGGTCGAGACACCTCCGCCGAGCAGGGTGCCGTAGGTGGCGATGACGAGGATATGGGAAAGGCGACGCGATGTGTGCGTAGATTTGCACCAGGTGGCAAACATCGCATGAGACATCTTGATGACGGGCACATCACCGCGTGTAAAATCAGCGATGCGAACCCAGATGAGATGATTGTCAGTTGGTCCGGAGATCACATCTACAGCTTCGATTTGATCCGCAGTCCAGACGCTGGAGAAACGAGGGATGAGAAATCCATCAAAGGCAAAAACGGACGGGCTCGTCGCAGCTCCCGAAATCGCAAGCGAAAACGCCAGAAACCTGCAACACCGGAGTCTCGAGGAAGTGGCGGTCGGCACGAATCGCGTCGTCGGTCTGCCGAGCCAGATATTTTTAGGATTCAATACGAGAATGGCGAGGCCGAAGATGTTTCTTTCCCATCGCTTGCTGATAGTGCGGTTGCTGAGACTGCTGAAGATATACTCGAGCAGGCTCGGTATTCTGTGTTGAGTGACGCTCAGCGGTTGAGCATGGAAATCGCAAAGGGGTTGGTGAAACTTCGAAAGACTCTGTTCTCCTTGGAAGCGGCTGCACGCGAGGCCACAGACTCGGACGATGAGTCTGACATATACCAGGAAGCTTTCTTCTCTGCTTCAGATATTGCTACTACATGCCTTTTCCAGATGACCGATGTTATGCACGAATGGCGATATCCTTTGAACCCGAGTAGCGATACAGTTACCTTCCAGCAGTCTCTTCGCCGAAACCGCGAGTCATCGTGGAGATTTGCCTTGGCTGCTGGTAATCTCGCTCAGGAATTGGGAGAGATAGATCCATGTCGTGAACTCAACATTGGAATGATCCGGCCTGCACCTGGGGAAGAGACAAATATCGATCAAAAGTCACAATTTTGCTATGATTTCCTCCGCGCGATCATTCTTTGGCTGCGGGGTGGTAGATCGGAACTGCTGGATGGCTTCCGCCGTCGCAATGGTCCTCGACGAGGTCGAGCTCATGACCGGTATCCAATTCCAGATGAGTCCGGGGCCGATGCCATCGACGAGGTGTTGATTCCCTACCTCCTCGAATTAGCCAGCGACACCCCCATTGTGAATGTGGACGCCTCCCGATTCGAGCATGACAGTACCCGCTTCCTGTTCCATAGTCAGCGAGCTGCCGTCACTGCATTTGGGAATGCCGTGAAATTGCCCCTGGAAGATCTCGAAGGCTCGGCAGCTCAATTTGACAGACGCCGGGTCTCGAATCCTTCCTCGCAAGTACGGTCTCTCGATCGTGCCTCGGCAAGGAGATTCTGGCTTCTTCGCGTGGGTAGAGGAATCCTGATGGAGGCTGGCAGTGGAGTAAACTACACTTTCGTGAACAATGCGTTTGGTGGATTACATACTATAACAGACTCTGAAAGTGACTCGGAGCCAGAGAGAGATCAAGAAGATATTAATCCTTTTGAGGACGAAGAGGTAATTCGACATCTTGAGCTGGTGGCAGCTAGTTCTTCGCAAGCCGATCAGGGCGTCAATTCAGACACCGATGCAAGTCAGAGCGACAGCGATGACGACGAAGGGGAGTTGAGTGGTGAAGGCGAGAATGGCTGGCCCCTGGACTCATCGGACGAAGACGAAGATGTAATTGGAGACGGCAGTGATGACGATGATGGTGACGAGGACGACGATGAGGCCACTACTCGGAGATATGCCATACGCAGGTCCCGACAAGAAAAGGTTGAGCTCAACACACCATGCTCGTCTCATATGCGGAGCTACCGGGGCCATTGTAACATCAAGACAGTCAAAGATGTCAATTTCTTCGGCTTGAATGATGAGTATGTCGTCAGTGGCAGCGACTCGGGACATATCTTCATATGGGATCGAAAAACCTCCCACCTGGTTAACATCTTGGAAGGCGATAGTGAAGTTGTGAACGTTGTGCAAGGTATGTGTCTCGCTCCGGGTACTAAACATGAGAATTAACATACCTAGGCCACCCATACGAACCAATGATCGCCGCTTCGGGGATTGATAATACCATCAAAATCTTTTCGTCAGACCGCACCGCTCAAGCCGATGCTAGTCAGGGTATCAATATCCTTGATCCCGACTTCAGAGGCAACAGACCTGGAGTTACCCATACCGGTGGTCTTGAAAGCAAGAAGCGGATTCATGACAGTTACCGCATTATGAGTGAAAATGATGTAGAGCGTCGTGGAGGCATGAGCGAGGCCTACATTACTGTATGTTTTGCATTTCCCATTAATTGTTCCGTCGTTCTAACTGTCTATACAGCGGAGTATGCTTGCTCGCCTGGCTGCTACTCTACGGGGTCGACAAGGTGGTATTGGTGGAATGGAGGGTCTGGGTTCACAAGATGGGGATACGCCTGTTGTTTTGGACGATAATTGCTCGGTGAGTACAATCTTCCCAGTCTCCTCGTATGTTGCCAGTGCTAATATGCCGTAGGTGATGTGAGCTGAATCTGCATTTGCAAAATATGGCGCAACAACTTCCCTTCTCTTCTTTATCAAATTACTAGGCGTGTACTTTTTTTTCACTTTATTCTCATATCTTTACACAGCCAGGAATAAATTGGCCTGAGGCGTATATTATTTACCACGTGACCCTTATCGTAGAAATTTCACGATAAGAAAATCTGCCCGCACTGGAACTACAGAGGGGCAGACATTTACGTGATCTCATGTTTAGTCGAGGGTTTAGATCAATTGCTTTGGTCTGGTGTTTGCTTAGCTTGGATATTTAACGCCGAACGCGATTTCAACCCTTGAAATTGAACATACACCTCTTTAATCACACAATATAAAACAGCCTTGACCATCTGCTGCACTGCAAAAGCCGACCCAATATGTCTGCCTCACAAGTGTTGGAGTCTCGCAATGCGGTGACCACAAAACTCTACGCAGATCCGCACAATCCACACATCCACCTCGAACGAGGCCTCATCTATGAAAAGTTAGGCTTCCCCGACCTGGCAGCCGCAGATGCCTACCGGGCATTATCACTATTAGAATCAGTGATTGACCCAGATGGATTCGAATTTCACGCAAAGAAGAAAGTCGATCCTTCAGCACCAGCCGCAGAAAAGGCGGATGAATCTGATGACGAAGAGGATGAAGACACCATTCCAGTCACTGAAGAGGAGTACGATGCCCTGATTGATCAGGTCTATGTACTCCTAGTGCGAAGTCTCATTCGATGCGGTTGTTACCGTGATTCATTTGAATTTGGCATGCGTGGACTGAGCCTGCTACGAGAGAAGGAGTTTGCTGCGGCGTCGGTTAATACTCTAACCGAGCAGATGGATCGCATCAAGCAGATCTATCAATCTCGCACTGGATCTGAGACTGACCTGGAATCGATTGATCCCAGTGTCCTTCCCGCGCAAGGCTTCGCTCATCGTGTTCTCTACCCTTGGAATGAGCATGAGCCTGATCGCAAGGCACCAGAGACGCTCAACTTGCTCAATGATAGACTAGCTGTGATTGCGCCCAAGTGTGAGGTTCGCGCTGTGGCTTTGCCTGTTCTGCATGATACGAAGGATGATTCTAGCATGGAAGTTTCCGTGCAGCTTGGTCTGTTCGCCAAAGAAGATATCGCTCCTGATGAGATCATCCTTCGTGAATCTTCCCTTCTCACTGCTACCAATCGCCTCCACGATGACCTGTGCGATGCTTGCAATGCACCACTCCCTGAACTATCGGCTGCGGAACCACCCGTTGCCTGTGAAGGCGGATGCGCAGACACAATCTTCTGTAGCCAAGCCTGCCATGACACAGCACAGAGCGTCTACCACGGCGCAATCTGCGGTTTGGAAGACGGTCTCGAATCTATCGGCAAGGATATCCCCGATCCAAAAGATAAGGCGGATTACTTGTACCTCCTGCTCCTTGGTCGTGCTCTCGCCATGTCTGCCACACAAGACAAGCATGCCCTCGAAATGCCCGAAGTGAAATACATCTGGGGTGATTTCCACGACTTCGATATCAACACCATTGCAACTGAAAAAGAATTAATACCTCAATCCGATGACACCGCCACCCTCCCCTTCTCCTTCCAACTCAATATTTTGCAGCCAACTCGCTTCCTGGAGGAAATGGAAATCGACCCCTATGCCAACCTCCCCCGTTATGATACCTGGATTCTAAATACATTGTATGCCAAGTTCCGTGGCACCGCATCTGGTCGGTTATCTACTTGGGATGGTGGCCCGGAGCTTTGTGCTGTGCACCCATTGTGGTGTCTTGCCAATCATTCTTGTGATCCTAATGTGTGCTGGGAATGGGGTGGTGAAATTACTTTCCGTGCGCGACGGGATGATGAGACTGCTGTTTGGTCTCGTGGAAGTGAAGTGAAGGAGCTTAAGCCTGGTGGTATTGCTAAGGATAGTGAGATTTGGAATCACTATTGTGATATCGGATTGCCGGTGCAGAAGAGGCGGGAATGGGCTTCTGGTGCTTTGGGTGGCACTTGTCTTTGTGATAGGTGTGTTTGGGAGGCGAGAGAGGTATAGATATAGATCAATAAAATATGCGAACACATACATCTTTTCTACAATTGACCACTGTATACTCCATCGTGGATCCATCACATGACCGGATGTTGATCAGATTATTCGATATGTCAGAATCAGTCAGATCTCTTTCCTTTGCCCACACACTACCCATGCCTCGAGTCCGATCACCAGGGGCTGGCTCTCAGCTCATGGATTCATTCATTGTCACACATGGGCCTGGAAATCCGAATGGCAATGTGACGCCAATAGTCGCTGAATTGGACGCGATGATGGCGTTCCAATCTTCGGGTTTGCTCCACAATCAACGCCACCAGGGACTTCCTGAGTTTCCACATTCATACGAAGTTCCACTGCCTGGAAATACTGCTGAAGACGAGAAAGCGCGGAAACGCATCTCGGAGGATGACAGACCCAAGTATCCGTTTGGGGATATTAAGATCTACCATGGGCGTAGCATTCGAGAATTTGAACACTGGATCTTCAATTTGACACGTTGTTTCGACGAAAATAAAGTGTGGTTTGCGTACCCTCCACACAGAATTATCATGGCAGCTACATATCTGTCCCGTGACCTGCTGTACGCATGGTCTCTCCATGAGAGCGCGTGCACGACAACCCCCACATGGGCGGAATTTGAAAAATGGAGCCGAAGCCTTGTCGATACTCGATCTGATACGAAACGATCCTTTGATGCTTCGAGAATTTTTTATACTATAAGACAGCGACGTACCGAGACTGTTCGAGAATTCAACGACCGGGCTAACGACCATTGGCTTCGACTGGAGCAGCCCCCTATGAATGAAGAATACAGAAAAGAGTTCTTGAAGAGTAAAGTCCTCCGGTCAATTCGCGAGGAAGACGCCAGGTACTTCCCTCACGACTCCTTAAGCTACATGGATTATATGCATCGCCTTCGCGAGATCGAAGATCGCCTACCGGAAAGACAAAAGGCATTACGCAAACGGAAGAAAGTACTGCGCAAAAACGCGGAAAGAGAAACCCCTGGTGCAACCTGTGTGACGCCTAACCGAAGCCTTCTCTGGCGTACTTCACGTCCAGAAACTGGGTCGCATGTTGCAAGTGCCGAGAAGAAGGCCAAGAAAGCCCGTGGACGCAGAAAAACACGGTATAGCGAACCATCTGGGGCAGAAATTGTTTTGTAAACGGCGTCAAAGAAGCTTGTTCGATGTATACTGCATATAGAAGGCTTGCGGGCAAAGCTGTGCGTGAACTTGGGTCTCCTGGTCCTTTTCGATCTTATTTCAAGAGCCATATTCAGAATTGTTCAACTGTATAAGCAAATTGACGGATATCGTAACATGCATTCTTTCGATCTAGGAAATCACAATATATCTCTATACACCTCATTCGATATTGCGGAGGCAAATTGTGGGGCTTTAGTAGCTTGTCACATGATATCAAAATGACTTTCTAAGATTGCTTCGCCGTCTATGTAGACATCACAATGATGTCGACACATTCAAAAGATATACCTGATTCCACAGGTCTGCCTATACGCCAACCAGGACTTGCACAAGATGTCAACGACCAAGAAGACCATGTCGACGAAGCACTTGCCCGACGCCAGGAGCTCCTGAATCAACTCTCAGAAGCTCGCGAGAAACAACGCAAACTACAGGAGAAACTTGCATTGTTGTCCTCCAACAATCAACAAGAACTTTCACACAAAAACAACAGTCCCCCACCGCCGAGTGAGAAAATCCCCACCTTTTGGGGGCGCACCGCCAGTGAACTCAATGCCTTCCTTGGTCATTTGAACACTCACTTTGACGAGTATCCAGACTGGTTCGCATACTCTCCAAGTAAGGTGACCTGTGCTGTGAAATGCCTATCCGAAAAACGACACGAGCAATGGAAGTCTCACGTGCAGGACCTCGAGACTATTCCCCCTTGGTCTGATTTTTTGAAATTCTGTTTGCGAGTGATACACGAGGATCCTGAAAATATCGATCGGGACTTCAAGGCATCAGCTGTCTATGAAAAAATGCGCCAGAAACATACGCAGTCTGTTCGTGACCTTGTTGCTGAACTGGAGGATCAACATCAACAACTCCTTGTGCCGTATGACAATACGCAACGAAAGGACCGTTTGAGGAGCGCTGTGCTTGTTGCTATTCTTATAGAAGCTGATACACACTCCGATGAACCGGAGGATTACGCGAGCTACGTTGAATTTCTTCATAATGCCGAAATGAACATTCCAGTCCGGCAGCAGGCATTACGAGAGGCAGAAGAGGCTTCAAGCTAGAGGAGGGACATTTGATACTCATGGTCTATACTCTGTACAGAGCCTATTGAATCAAATGTGATGTAAACAAAACCAGGAAAGCATGCATGGCTAAGTAAAATGTAAGAATTGACTACAGTAAACATCACATCAAGTCTTGCACCAAATCAAATAAGAGAAGTACAGCTTCATATTCCTTTTCCATTTCGAGTTGCGCTAGTTCATTATCAACACAGTAAGAGATATTGGCCATCAGTCAATATCCTAAATATCCAGGATAGAGCATCACATTTCCACCACCCGCTTATCTCCGACGAGGTGGTGTCCGAGAGAAGCTTCGACCCCGTGACTCTGTCCGACGTTTAGGGGTGGGCGAACGAGAAGCCGAAACGTCGCGTTTGCGGCGTGGAGGCGATACAGATCGAGAAACCGACCGTGTGTAGCTTCGGTTTCTTCTGCCAGGGCTTTGGCCACGACGTGGGGGTGTGACAGATCGGGAAATCGATCGGGTGTAGCTGCGGTTCCTCTTGGGGCGGCTCTTGTTGTCCGGTGTGACAGACCGAGTGACGGAGCGGCGAGACCGGTATGGACTGCGGCTGCGGCTACGACTGGGGCTTCGCGAGTATGAGCGTGCTCGGCTGCGCTTGGCCGGTGTGCGAGAGACAGACCGGGAGTGGGAACGATCTGAAGGAGTACGGGACCGACTGTATGATGCGCCACGACGGCGGCCAGCGGACCGAGAGCGGGAAGGTGTGTAGCTTCGTCCGCGGGAAGAGGGAGTAATAGAGCGAGAGTAGGAACGGCCACGGTCCCTGGAAGGAGAGCGGGAGGATGAGTAAGACCGGGAACGGCGGGAGTGTGGGGATCCAGTGCAAGTAGAGCACATGGATTGTGATCGGGATCGATCGGATGGAGTGCGCGAGAGGGAACGAGAAGATGCCCGTACAGGTAAAGCTGGTACTGTGGGGCGTGGGAGATTTTTGAGGTGCTCACGCATGTCCTCTGTCAACACACCCATACCAATACTGGTGAAGTAGTTGACCGAGAAACGGGTGTGACGAGGGTTCTCTGTGGGGAAGAGACCCTCGAAGCTTGGCCGGAGAATCTCATCTCTGAAGCGGGCCTGCAAACCAGGCAGACCGAGGTTCTCTGCCAAGTTTTGGAAGAGAATTTTAACGAAGATGCGGCTGCTGGATGTGGTCTCCTCTTCGTTGAGGTGAATCACCGACAAGACATGCCAACCGATGGCATCGTTGCTGATCAGATGACCAAAGAACTGTGCGATGTTTCGAAGGCGGTTCGTTTCGTAACGATGGATGGTATCATAGTATTTCGCAAAGGCAGCCTCGAACAAGTCTGACCACAGGCGGTTGATCTTGGCGAATCGCTCTCCAATCAAACCATAGAACTTGGAGTATGTACGCTCTTGGGAGCAACATTCAATGATCATTGATGGCAGCTCAGGCTCCAACCCGGCCGGCAGGTTGATCTTCATCAGCTTGTGACAGCACTCTTCGAAGTCAATACTGGACATGATCGTAAGGTAGATGGTTCGTCGAAGATTAACCAGGTTAGTGTTACTCTGGTCCTTAATGTCCATCTGTTGTTCTTCGGTATCTGATTCTTCCTCCTCGCTTTCATCAGACCCATCCTCGTCATCCTCGTCACTGTCTTCGCCCAAAATCTCGGCCTTCAACCTCTTGTAGGCCTCCTCGTGTTCTTCCCACTCAGTATCGAACTTGAAGATGTTGAGCGAGTCTTGCGTTTCTAGATCGTCGTCTAGACCGGCACGGTGGGTAATCTGATCTTCCTCCTCCACGAGATCCAGCTCCTCCTTGATCGCTGGATTGTCCTTGTACCGGTCCTTGCGCACTTGGAAGAGCACCTCAATCATGTATTGCACACGCTTATCAATGTCGGCCTCGTGTAGAATGTTGCGGAATTGGTCGAACACGGCGAGTGCGATCGGGGCGTTCATTTCTTCCAAATGCTGACCAACTTCTCGAGTCAGTCCCACGGCAATTTCCACACTGTCGTCCGTAGGCTTATGCAGGAGGAGTAGCAAAACCTGAGCCGCCAGCATCTCGTGGGCAACCTGCTGGTTGCAAAGATGGGCAATGAATGTGGTGGATGAGATGCACACTGCCTTATCATTTCGCTTGAACGCCTTGCGGAATTGAACAATCAACCGTGAAAGCAGTAAATCGCCAACTTGGGGTAGTTTTGTGTTCACAATTGAGGCCATCGCTGCATAGATCGGGGTAAATGGCAAACTGGCCGCCTGCGCCTTCATGATAGATCGACAGAACAAGCCACGACCCCGAATCAAGTTCTCGCCAAACAGCTCCGGCACAATAAACTTAATGTTGGAAACGTTGACCTTGTTGATCAAACCGTTGATTGATTTCTTCAATGCCTCCCAAGCCATGCGCTGATATTCCTTGCTCGTCTTATCCGTGATTTGCGCCTGCAGTGCGCGGAGTCGAGCTGGAGGGATGTAGGTACCGCCCGATCGCATATTGAGCAACTTTTCGTATTCAGCCTTTGCTGAGGCCTGCTTTTCCTCCTCACTTAAAGGCTTTCGAGCGGCCTCGCGCTTTTCATGTTCGCGAACGCGCTCAGCGAGTTGGCGCTCTCTATCGATGGCACGATCCGCATCGAGCTTGGGTGCCTCGGGGCCATCTCTGGCTAAATCACCGGGAGGCGACCGTCGACGATTCGGAGAGGGAGAACGAGACGGAGGGGAGCGCTTCCGAGAAGCTGCGGCTGGCGAGTATGACACGCCTGGGGGAGGCGTGGGCACGCGAACCGCAGACTGGAGAAGATCGGAATCCGACATTCTCAATTGTCAGGGTATCCTCCAGGGTATGGGAAAGGATTGGGATACACCGGAAAGACGGTGGTTGCGAAGCTCGACTGAGGTTGCAAAAGATTCAAGGACAGGAGAAAGCTCTAGCGCGTGGACACGTGACCAGAGGACAGACAGCGGGAGGAGCTCCTGAGACCCTCGTTGTTTTGTCAAGCTCAGGTTTCATCGACGTTCATTCTTTTCCTTTCTCTGATTTTTCTGGTCACCACTCCTTATCAGAATGGTAAACCTGTCATCTCATTCAATGGTGAATTCCCGCTAACCGCGTCTAGCTGGGCCAACTCGTGGGATCCGTCATGCTCTTGGTCGCAACCGCGATCTTTCTCTACTACACCGCGTGGACCCTGTTGATGGTATGTAAATTTACCTTCAATGTCTACGTTTACTGACATCCGCAGCCCTTTGTCGACCCCGGCCACCCTCTCCACGACATCTTCCCACCCCGTGTTTGGGCCATCCGCATCCCCGTTATTCTCACTCTCTTGGGTTCCGCTGTGGTGGGCACCTTTATTGGGATTGTGATGATCAACAGCAACAAGAAGAAGGCGGCCAAGGCCAAGGCTGCTAAGAAGAAGACCTAAGCGCGACATGGACGTCACATCGGGGAGGATCGCTGTACCATCATACCGGAAGGATCTCAAAACAATCTTAGTTACCTAATCAGCCTTGAGCGCTTTGTCCATGTTCAGATAATCAGATGGTCAAGCCTAGTGTCTCAGCAAATGACAAGTTGCCTTTTGATCGTCATTCCGTGATGCCCCGTGACCTTGAATCCGCGATGACGCCCAGCCACAAACAGGGAAGAGGAATGGGACGGTTGGACTCGGCCTGTTCCTCTGTTGTCAGTTCCTTGGATTCATTAGAATTCACTTGGTTCCCTTGGAAGCAGTAAGGAGGCAAAGAAAGAGGTCAAAGGACCATGCAAGCCTCAGGTGGAGGCGTAGATGACTAAGCCCTTATCGTGGTTTGCAACTTTTGCCTTCCCCTCACCACAAGGGCCTTTGTAGTAACAGGATTGGAGGGTTAATGCAGTTAGCTGAGTAGTGAGAACCAGAGGGAACTCTAGACTCCGATCATGCTCCATTAGGGAATGACAGCATCAGCCCTCTGTCTGACTCAGGCACCCCCTTATTTCCCCGTACCTGTAACTAGTGACCTTCTCCCCTCCCCCTCCTCTTATCGCAAACCATAACATCATCGTCCATCTTGACTCATCCTCCTCTTTACACACTTGTGCTCTTCTGCGCAACCTCTGACTTTAACTTAGAACTGGATTCAACTTGTGCACAGCTTGAGACACAGCTGTACGCGTATCTTATCAAAGCTTCCCCGCGTCTCTAGAGTGATCTCCGCTCTAGATAGGCTGCCACCCGGTGTCCCCATTACTTCGTTTACCTGTCTATAATAGACAGTTAAGCACAGGTATGTATTTTCTTCATGGCAACAGGGACTGTGACTGATTCCCATAGTCACTCCTTTAGTGCCCCCAAGGTCCCGGCCGGCGTTGCTCCGGTACGGTACTCAGGAGCCACTTCAAGCAGAGCGTATACTCTGCACCCCGTTCTCAGGCCTCAGTAAAGGTCCTGAGGGCGGTCTTCCTCGTTGTTTTCCTATCGCCTCCCTACGAGGCATCATCATTTGAATGCCCCCGGCAGCACCTGACGATATCATCCGCCAGCACAGCCGGTCCCTTGAAGACGATAGTTCCTTCACTCCGGATACAAACCGAGTTTCAGAGCATGAGCCTAGTGGAAAGAAAAAGAAGAAGGCAAAAAAGGCCAAGGCCAAGGCAGCGACAGAGTCACCACCGGATGAGATGTATGTATCCGGTGATTGTTTTGTTCCGGAGCGTGCGCCGTTAACGCCAGAAACCATGTGTAGCATCCAACCATCTGCTCCACCTGTGGAGCCTTCCTCCTGCCCAGACCCACCCCTGGAGCATCATGTAAAACCATCCGTCATGATGCCGGCTCTCGATGCTCTTGATTCGCTCGATGAACCTGCAGACAACGATCTTGCCTCCCGAACGGATACCTGGGCTCAATCAGTACCGTATGGAAAGAGCCCCCCCACCGATCTTATGGATGGAGATATTCCAAATGCATCGCCCCTCAATTTTCCCACTATCCAGGAGAGGGGTGGATTCAGTGATCCCTCCTCGGCATCTCCCCCACCTCGAACCCAACCATCCAGTTATGGCAACGGGTACCGGAGCAGCATGCAATCACGACAGCAGTCTGTGGATAGAAGAAAGAGTAATTCTTATGGGAGTCCGATGAGCAATCATGCCCCTCTGCCTCACCTCCCCCAGCCACACTTCTTCGGAGCCCCGGAGATCGATATTCATCCGGTTCAGAACCGATCCTCTACCGATGGGAATTACTCCTTCTGTAGCTTTGAAACGCTTCCTACTCTCTCTCCCAAAGCCTCCCGAACTGGGACGAACGTCTTGCTAGTTGGGACTGATGGGGCCGTGGAGATCCTCGCAATCGAAGATCGTCGGACTCGGCTTGTAGGGCAGATCACTGGGTTGAACGGTCGTGTGATCGAAGCCAAGATCCTGTCTGGTCATTCATCCAATGATCCTTTTGCGTCAGCTCGACCTCACGTTGCTGTCATCGTTCATGGACCCTTGGGCCCAAATGAGGAGGAAGGTCGCATCTCTTCAGCAGCGTCGGATGCGAACGAGATTCCTCCTTCTACAGCCCGTGGCCACTCGGGCGACAGAAGACCTCCCGAAACTCCTCGGTTTTACCAAACACGAGTGGAAGTCTATTCATTCCGGACTGGTGAACATGTTTCGACTCTATTTGCAAGCAAGCCCGTGCCGTGTTTGGACAGTCTTCCTGGCATGCCTTCCTTTGCCCCGCCGCCTGTTGGTAGCTTGAAGCTTTTCACATCCAGTGCTTATATCATGTTGGCATCTGGTATCAGTGGCGAAGTCTATATTTATAGACATGCCTTATCTTCGGGACCAGGTGAGAGTGCCTATCAGTGTTTGGGTAAGACGTGGACTGGTATTCAGGTCAAGGAAACTCGTCGTTATTCCACCTCTTCGAGCTCCACCACTGATCCGGAGGGTACTCGCAACGAGCCTCTTCATGGCGGCTCTGTCTTTGAAAGACCAATATTAGCCGTGCAAGGAAGATGGTTGGCATTTGTTCCTCCGTCCTCGGCCTATCGAGGCTCTATCCACGGAACTGTGCCGCAGAGCTTGATACATGGAAAGGTTCCTGGACTTGAAACTCGCAGCCCTCCTACTGTTCCATCAATATCTTGCGCGACAGATGTCGGGGAGGGAGAGAGTTTCTTCGATAAAGTGGCAAGAGGTGTTGCTCAAGAACTTGTTAAAGGTGCTCGCTGGATGGGTGACCAAGGCATGCAGGCATGGAACAACTACTGGAATACTCAGCAACCAGGAGGCACCTCTCCACGTCGATCAGCGCAGGGGATTGATAGTCCAGCACAAGGATATGGACTATTCCCACCAACTCATGGTCACGATACGCAAGCATCCTCGGCTGTTGAACCCGACACTGTATCCATTATTGACCTGAAACGATTTGAGGATGGATCCGATATACGAAATGTGTTCACTCACCCCGTGTCGACATTCCAAGTTCCCAACGGTTGCAGCTTCTTATCCCTCTCGCCAAATGGCCTTATGTTATTCACGGCGAGTAAGAAGGGTGATGTGCAATATGTCTGGGATCTGATGCAACTCAAGCATTGCCGATCCATGGCTTTCATGGCTGATGACCAGGTTGGACAGAACCCTAATGTGCGTCAGATTGCACGATATGCCCGTTTAACCACGTCAAGCATCGTTGATGTGATTTGGACTGCACCAGTGGGTGATAGACTGGCAGTCATTACACGCAAGGGCACTATTCACGTTTTTGATCTACCTCGAAGCGCATTCCAATGGCCACCTTTCCGACGTGCACGGCCTTCTGTCAGCAAATCGCCGGCCGTTGATCCCATGGCGGAAGAGGTAGGCCAAACAGCGGGTGGTAACCCCTTGTCAGCAGCCATGAAGTTGGTGGGCGGTAAAACGCAACCTTTCTTCTCTGCCGTTCGGGGTCGTGTTCCCTCTGGAGGTGCTGCATTTCCTAACATGAGTGGATTTGCGCTGCCCTCTGCCGCGAGCGTCAAGAGTGGAAAGGTTGTCGCTGCCGGTCTCAGCAAGTCCATGGGTGCTGCAACGGGTACTGTCAATACCCTTCGACATGTAGGAGAGAATCGTCTGCATCTTCCCGGGCTCGCTCGAGACCCTACACCATCGCGAGTGACTTGGATCTGTACTAAAGGTCTTATATTCCTGGGGGTGGTGGATGGCGGATACTTCAAATTGTATCGCTTGAAGCGTGCTGTGTCTAGTCACAAGAACCGACAGCCACACTCCGTTGTTGGCCCCAGGGAATCCCAGGTCAAGTTGCCCGAGAATCTACAAAGCCTTTGTGGTCCTGCTCCTGTTGCCACGTTTGACCCGGAACTTACAGTCCACGCTTCTCTTGTTCTTCCTTCGATTCCCTCCCAAGCCAGTGCAGGAAGACCACTTTGCCAGCCCCTCTCACAGGCAGAGATTGAGACCAACACTCCATACCAGCCGTTCCACACGGATCAACGAGTTGGCTTGAGTGTCTTCTCCTCCGGCAGTGATGCAAGCGAGCCTAGTGGACGTTGGGTTTTCGGGAATGATATCCCCATGACCAAAGTACACCTGAGATCTTTCAACAGTTCCAGTGACGACCATGGAGATGATGAAGATGAGAATGCCGCTATTCACGGACACTCGTTTGGAGCTGGTGGAGATATGGAAAACCTTATCACCCTCGGGAACAGCACTGGCAATGTCGAAGAAGTGGTCATCACCACCCGCCGGAAGAAGAAATACTCAGCCCCATTGAAAGCCGATGACGGTTTCTTCGAAGATGACTGCGAGGTCCTCGACTTCGCCCGGGACCGCGTCTGATTCGATTGATTTACACTTGCATTGATTTAGAAATTGCGTTCGCGCAGCGTCGTTGATCACAATCGGAGTTTGGTGCTTTTCTATTTGCTTTTGTTCGTACATATCAAACCCTTGCATAAGCTCATACTATCTTTTTCGAGAAATTAGGTGGTTTTCGGCCCTTTGATTTATATTCTCTCTCGGATTGACGTTCTCCGCTTGATATTCACAAACCCAAATACCCCGATCCCCGTTCCAGCACTCAGTCCAGTCCAGCTTCAGCTTTCGGCGTTTTGTTTTGATAGAAGGGAGGATTTTTGATTTCGGTTCGTTTTGCTTCAGGCGATGGGTGGGCTATTTTACCCCTCAACGGCCCTGGCTAGAATGGAATACAGTCACCGTGTATTAAGAAACAAACAGCTGCAAAGCACCAAAAAAATACATTGATTTCGATATCTGTTTCAGTCTGTATCCACTTCAATTTGCATTTCTCTAAACAATATGTAAAGAACATGTCCCTGTCGAAATATATACTTCACTCTATACTCATGTTTTACATCAACATCAAATATGCATCTCATCCTCCCACCACCCCTTGAAAACTCTCAACCTCTCCGTCCTAATCTTAGCCATCTCCCTCCCAGTCTGAGTCTTCATCATCCCTTCCAACTTCTCCAATTTATCCCCAAAATGCTCAATCGAATTGCCCATCTCCCACTTGCCCTCTTCACAATATTTCTTCCCAACAGCACCAAGAAAAGTAAAACACCGCCCAATCCCAATAGCTCCAATGGCATCAAGTCGATCAGCATCTTGTACAATCGCCAACTCGCCATACCCCTCTGCAATGAGGTTCCTGATCACAGATGGATCTTTGCATTCAGTTGTATATGAGACATGCGAGACGACGGTTTGGACCCGACCTGCGAGATCTGCACTCGCGCCTTGGGCCAGGAGTGCGTGTTTCACCATCGTCGTTGGGTCTACGGCTTCTGTTCCAGATGCGGTGTCAAGTTTGGAGATGTATTTCCTATCGCCGATGTCATGCAGTAGGGCTGCTAGTTTGACTTCGGCTTCGTTGAATTGTTTTGTGGGTTTCTTGCTTTGCTCTGAGGCTAGGATCTTCTCTGCCAGTGCTACTACCCGGTGGACGTGGGCTGGGTTGTGGGAGGGGTCGTGGCCTGACATGCACTCTGTGACGAAGGCTGACATTGCGCTGTACAGCTTTTGAAATTCTTGGCTTGATGTGTCCATGTTGAGGTGCTTGTATTGTTGGTTTGGGGTGTGCTTGGTATTGGGCTGAAAGTTGTGAGTCGCGTATATCGCGTCGAATCTGCCATTTCCCGCCGCAGTCAACAAAGTTTGGCGGTGAACTATAGCTGCCTACTGCTGCCTGTATCAACTGAGGGTGCGAACTTGGTGCATAATTACAATTCACTGAATCCATTCTGATTTTACAACTCCCCTGCCGGGTTCGCAAGTCTAGACTCTAGACTGGACCCTGGATGTGAGGGTTACAGACTATGCGGGGATCGATCTACACAGAAATATTTACTGAAGAATGTCCAACGCAACCACACGAGTACTCCAAATCCAGAGAAGATTGCCAATCTAGGAATCAATTTTCATTCACAAGGCTCCAGAACCATATCCAAAACATTGTAAGTGGAAGAAAGTACAAAACAGGTCCACAGCTACCCCGAACGATCCAGATCCGAGGCAGTGATCTGCACCCACAGTATTACATAATGTTAGAACCAAGACCCATTGGTATGTGCTCATAGAGCAAAAGCAGCAACAACCAGACCGATCAGGCCGGCGGCTGAGGCACCGACCTTGACGGCGGCGTTGGTGGTTTGGGTTGAGAAGCCTGAGGAGCTGGTGGCTGTGCCGTCTGAGGAATCCTCGGTCGAGGTGGAGTCGTTGTTGTCGTTGCTGTCATGTTCCGAGGCTAAGACTTGTTAGTGGGGAACCTGGAGCTTGTATCGACATGGCTGTGAAACATACACTTGGAAGAGTCAGTAGTGGAGGAGTCAGTGCTGGTCTGAGTAGCAGTGGCATCGGTAGCAGTGCCGGTATAGGTAGAACGGGTGGCCGTGGGGCCGTTGCCACCCCAGAAGTGGGAGCTGTAGCAGGTCTGCTCGCAATCGGCGTACTTCTGAGCATCCGCAGGCGAGCCCTTACCCTGAGGGCAAGCGGCGACACAGCTGTTGGTATCGTTGGCCTGGTTGTCGCTGGGGCAGGGGACGTTCCAGCACTTGGCAATGCAACAGGTATCGGTAGATTCACCTGGATCAGCGTCAGTATAGATTGTGAAACAGGATCTTTACATATGGAACTCACACTGCTTAGCACACTCGACGGAAGGGTTGCTGGTGGTGGTAGAAGCGTCCGCAGTGGTAGTCTCAGCGACAGCGAAGGCCAGAAGGGCAGAGAGGGCAAGGACGTTGAACTTCATTGTGAATGAAAATAAAAGATTGACTCAAAAAATCAGAATTTATATGAAACGACAGTAGCGAGTGACGGATGTAGAGATAGAAAGCAGCAGAGGGAGGACAAGTGATTAAATATAGCAAACTGACCCTTGGAATTCGCCCCAGGAAAACCCCAGAGACGAAAAAGAACAAAAAAGACATAGCGCAAGTTTCCATTCGACATGTCTCAGGTTTGATTCGAGGGTTTGGGTCATTCGACCTCATTTGCAATAAAGCAAGACTCTCTAGCCGATGCACGGTGGGAACCTTGCTTCCCCAGAGGCAATTGAGGTCGATCGCCCCTTTCGAGCAGGATATTGTCCTTGTTAACCCTAGTATGAGTGGATCTGTCAGATGCAGAGGGGCGTTAGCGGCCGAGCAAGGGACCGCACTAGTTGTTTCTCTCCACTATGTTGCTGCCGATCAAGGATATTGTTACAGTCTGATCAACTCTCCTTTAATATTCCGTGGAACAGATGTGAGTTTCATTTAGAAAGTATGCTTGAGGTGTAGCTGTCCACGTATAGAGGATTTCCCTATAGTTCGGGATAGACATCTGTAGACCGTATGGGCCCAATATTCCACGATGTTGTACAGTATGCCCAGGACGCAGCTTGCAGAACTATATGCAGTTTGACAAAGTACTTCCGACGTGGTTCAGGGGTGCACTGTCTGAACTATACAGAAGTAGACTGCAGTAGATGTTGCAGGGTCCAATGCAAACCACACAAACAGTCACCTGATTTCGCGTCGTGTCGCGCGTCGAGGTAAAGACGGGACATAGTCTCGACCTAGGCTTTATATACGCAATGTCTGCGACAGACTCCGAGTCAGATTTTTTCGACGATGATGACTTTATAGTCCCTGATGAACCCGTAGCCCGGGCCGCCAAACGTCGTCGTGTTGAAGCTTCGAAGCGGGGAGAACGCGATGACCACGATGGTTCCTCAATCGATTCGTTTTCTGATATGGGCGACTTGCAGCCGCAGCGTGGAGATTCTGCGGGCTTTGATGAGTTCCAAGAGCGCCCTAAGAATAGGAGCTATGTGTTGAAACAGAACAACTTCCAAGAAAATATGTTCGTCACGCAACTCACGCAACCGTCTTCGAGCCCGGAACACATACGAGGTCCACGATGGCAGAAGCCTGTTGCGAAACTTCCTCAGCCGAAATTCGACTCCGCTGGACAAGCAAATGGACAGGAAAATGGACGGGGTGCTGGACAAACGGTGCAACAGGCGCATGATTATAACCAAGATAACGAGCTGAGGGCGGCTATTGCTGCTTCGTTGGACTCATTTGAGGAGGAGAAAGAAATCAGAGGAGCATTTAGCCCACCGAGTTTGGCACGGAATCCTCCCCCCAGAGTTCTCGCACTCCCACAACAGGCAGGCACGCATGCTTCAGCAGACGTCTCATTCGAACTGGATGACATACCCGACGACGCATTTGATACATCACCGTCATTGTCACCTGTAGCACGGCCTACTCAACCTCCACAACCTAGTATTGCTAGAGCACCAATTCGACAAGCGTACATGCGCCAGACAACTTTGTTTGGCATGACTGCAGCCCAGGACCCGGCCCCGCGTGAGCAAGACTGGGGCCCGCCAGACAAAGCCGAAGCTCCAACCCAACACAAACTGGTCAAAGATGCTTTGGATACCTGGGTTTACCCCACCAATCTGGGTAATACTCGAGATTACCAGTTCAATATCACCCAGCGTGGTCTGTTTCACAACCTGCTTGTGGCTTTGCCAACCGGTCTGGGAAAGACATTTATTGCTGCTACAATCATGCTCAATTGGTTTCGCTGGACGAAAGACTCACAGATCATTTTTGTTGCCCCAACCAAGCCCCTAGTTTCTCAGCAGGTAACGGCTTGTTTGGATATTGCTGGAATCCCTCGATCCCAAACGACTATGCTCACTGGAGGTGCCTCACCTGGCATTCGTGCGGAAGAGTGGAAAGCTAAGCGAGTGTTTTTTATGACTCCTCAAACTTTGATGAACGACTTGAAGACTGGGATTGCTGATCCAAAACGGATTGTTCTGCTGGTCGTTGATGAAGCTCATCGTGCGACGGGTGCATATGCGTATGTGGAAGTGGTCAAGTTCTTGCGGCGGTTCAACAATAGTTTCCGCGTCCTCGCATTGACAGCCACTCCGGGTTCGACAGTTGAATCCGTACAGGCAGTCATTGATGGATTAGACATCTCACGAGTCGAGATCCGGACCGAGAACTCGATTGATATCCGCGACTACGTTCACGATCGTAACATCGAAATCGAAACATTCGAAAACTCAGATGAGATGGTCTTCTGCATGGATCTAATGTCAGAGGCCTTGCGGCCTTTGCTTGATCAGCTTCGCACACTCAACGCCTACTGGGGAAGAGACCCCATGGGTTTAACCGCCTACGGTCTCACAAAAGCCAGGCAACAATGGATGCTGTCCGATGCGGGTAGAAATGCCAACTTCGGACTCAAAGGCAAAGTCAATGCCATTTTTTCTGTCCTTGCAAGCTTGGCCCATGCCATCGATCTGCTCAAGTTCCATGGCATTGTGCCATTCTATCGCCATGTCGTTCACTTCAAATCAGGCACGGAAGGACAGAAAGGTGGAGGTGGCAAATGGCAAAAACAAGTGATTCAAGACGAGAATTTCAAGAAACTGATGAGCCACATTGAACCTTGGTCCAAGAATCCGGAGTTCATTGGTCATCCCAAGCTGGAATATCTGAAATCGGTGATCTTGAATCACTTCATGGATAGAGGTGAAGGAAAGGAGTCCGCTGAAGGGAACGTCGAGAGTGCGACTCGTGTCATGATCTTCGTGCACTTCCGTGACAGCGCAGAAGAGGTGACGCGGGTGCTTAAACGATACGAACCCATGATTCGACCTCATGTCTTCGTTGGCCAGTCTAGTGCCAAAGGCTCCGAAGGCATGGACCAGAAGACACAGCTCTCGATCATCAAAGATTTCAAGAAAGGCACGTACAATACGATCGTGGCCACATCGATTGGCGAGGAGGGCCTAGACATTGGAGAGGTCGACCTCATCGTGTGCTACGACTCCTCGGCCTCACCAATCCGTATGCTGCAGCGAATGGGTCGAACTGGTCGTAAACGGGCTGGTAACATCACGCTGCTGTTGATGAAGGGCAAGGAGGAGGACTCTTACATCAAGGCCAAGGACAACTACGAGAAGATGCAACAAATGATTGCTAGCGGCTCCCGTTTCACGTTCCACGACGATCGATCTGCTCGAATCTTGCCTGCAGGAATCCGTCCAGTGCCTGATAAACGACAAATCGACATACCCCCAGAGAACTCTCAACAAGACCTACCCGAGCCGAAACGCAAAGGCCGAGCACCGAAGCGACCCCCAAAGGTGTTCCATATGCCGGATGATGTGGAAACAGGATTCACCCGCGCTTCAACCTTCACTGGTGATAAGCCTCAGCCCGCGAAAAAGAAAGCCGCCACTCCTAAAAAGCGGCCACGGATCCCTACACCTGAGCCTGTCGATATTCCTTTACTGGATGATGTTACTCTGACTGCCAGCGAGCAGAAGCAGCTTGAAAGCCATTATCAGAACATCGGAGCCACCTCTCCTCAGTTCATTCGATTCCCTCGCATTGATGCTTTCCCTAGCCTTCAGCTTGTTCCAAGGCCCACGAAGCTGGTTGAACATGGAGCTTTGACAAAGCGTATGATTTCAGCGTTGCAGAAAATGAACGAAGTAGGACCGGACTGTGATCGTCGGTTCAAAGATATTCTGGCTCGCCAACATCTGTCTTCTGACGAGTCCAGCCAGCCCCGGCCGAAATCAACCAAGAAGTCTAGAAGTAAGAAGAAAGATTTCAAGTCCCCGTCAAAGCCTGCCTCTCGAAAGTCGTCAAAGAAATCCGCGACACCTGTTGGCGGTGAGGTTTTATCCTTGTTGTCTCCCAATCAGCCAGATAGCGTACAGCGGAAGCTAGATCCCCTAGATTTCCTGGATGACGACTTCGATGATGATGACGATGACCTGCCGGATCCAAGCCTTCTCCTGAGCAGTGTGACCAAGCCTAGTAGTTCCCGAAAGCAGAGCATGGCGTTTGTTGACAGTGACGATTTATGACCATAGCGACAGGCGTTGGATACATGTGTCTGGATATGGATTCACCAGCTCCCTGAATGTACATAATAACAAATTCAACTTCGTACAATCACCGATTTATTCAGGCGGAACTGTGTTAAGGAGTTTTGTCGACATAGATGTTGTTAATTCCACGAGCGACATGAAACCCGCACGCACCTCCGCCTCAGATCACCGCCATCCCGCATTGCAACAGAGCTATGTACAACCACCCACCGCAACCATGGCCGATGCACAATTTGACAGCGCGCTGTGAGTAACACATCTCAGAATCCCTGATGAGAAATCAATCACCCAGCCCGACATCCATGCCACCATGCACACCCCCAACCCGACACAACCCCGCCCCATGCACGGGGAACAACCAAGCTGACCACCCATTCTAGCGATCTCCTTCGACGCCTAAACCCACGTGATACCAAGAAGAACCTCCAAGCCATCACCTCAATTGTCCCAGACCTTACCGAAGACCTCCTCTCCTCCGTCGACCAGCCCCTGGAGATCCGCCGCTGCCCCAAGACGAACAGAGACTACCTGCTCTGCGACTACAATCGCGACGGTGATAGCTACCGCTCACCATGGAGTAACGAGTTTGATCCCCCGCTTGAGGACGGGACTGTTCCCAGTGAGCGTGTGCGCAAGCTTGAGGTTGCGGCCAATGAGTCGTTTGATGTTTACCGTGAGCTGTACTATGAGGGTGGTGTTGGGAGTGTTTATTTTTGGGATTTGGATGATGGGTTTGCTGGTGTCATTTTGCTGAAGAAGGGTATGTTCATTCATTGCTCGGGGGGTGGAATTGTAATTGGAGGAATACCTACTTGAAATCGCGACTGACAACTGCTTTGGATAGGTGTTACCCCCGGTGCTCAGAGTTCTGGTGAATGGGACAGCATTCACGTGTTCGAGGCTACCGATCGCGCTCGCATGTCGCACTACAAGCTTACCAGCACGGTAATCCTCCACCTTGCTAACAAGACTGAGGCCCTGGGCGACATGGACCTGAGCGGAAACATGACTCGCCAGGTTGAGGTTGATCTGCCCGTGGAGTCGGATGGTAGCCATGTTGCCAATGTTGGCAGGCTAGTCGAGGATATGGAGTTGAAGATGCGGAATTTGCTTCGTATGTCCCTTGGCTCTGTTGGCTTGGAGTATGCTAATCTTGAAACACAGAGGAGGTTTACTTCGGCAAGGCAAAGGATGTGGTTGGTGAGCTCCGAAGTAAGTTGGGCATGCTTTAATAATTAAACAATATGCTAATTCAAACCCAGGCTTGGGACCCCTGTCCGACGCAAACAGAGATCGTGCGACACAGCGGGAGATGATCGCTTCTATGCAGAAGTAGAAGCAGTCCTTTTTATTGTCTGATAGTTGTCACTCGGCTAGGCCGATGACCTCGGAACTAGACCTGTTGCGTTCTCGTTTTGCATAGCTTAGTTCTGTGAACATGCTCGAATACTGGCTCATACAATTGCTAATCCGATTACTTGTAAATGGTCCTTGAACAGGACTCAATGTATTCTGGGGTTTCAATGTCTGTGGCTACAGAGACCCCGGGGTATCACATAAATGCAGAAATAAATCACCACCTGCGCGTGGAGCACCGTTGTCCCTTCAATCCTCCTGCATCTTCTCCGAATCATTGACCTTGTCCTGGCAGTGCGGGAGTGAAATTCCATCAACAAACTCCCGAGCGGCGGCCCAGATCTCTGCCTCCTTGTCCATTGCTGTTGGATCCTTCCGGCTGTTAAGCCGACTAACATCCATTGGGTTCGCAGAGCTCGATGTACCAGTGCTGGAGTCGGTCCTGGTGCTTTTGCCCGAATCGCTATCTCCTCCAAGGGCACCGGCGTCGTCTAGTGCGTAGACCTGGCGACGTAGACGAACATCGATTGAAGAAAGAAGAGAGAAGTATTGACTGGTGGCTTCTTTGAATCGTGCTTTGTGAGAGTCGAGCGAGCCATCTGCTGCGGGGCAGGAATCGGTTGGGACTGGCTTGGAGCTGGTTAAAGCTTGAATTGCGAGGCCGGCTGAGTGAATGAGCTTGGTCACATCCTATAAGACTATTTTTAGCAGCTGTTAATGTCACGAATTGTGTTGGACGGAGTTACTTTATCCACTTCATTGAGCTGTTGGATGCGGTCCAAATACGTGAAGTCCTCTGGCTCTGGTGGTGCTTTGTCGCTCATTTTGACTGATGAGAATGACCAGAAAGTAATAGCAGGACCTGATACTCCGTAGTCGGATTGAAATTGTAGGCAGAAGCTCCTCGAAGCCAGTTCAGGTAGTAGATCAAAAGTTGAGATATTGAAGGAGATCACGTGCCGAATCCGGGGCAGCTTGATAGGCGGTGAGGCTCGGAGACGCGATAGCAATTTCGACCCATCTCCGTCATCGCCAGGCCGACGCCTTTACAATTGACGCCGACGACTCATCGTTCCTAACCTCGTCGCCAATCCCAATCACTCTGTCGAACGTCACGCCTTGCCCGAAACCAATAACGAGGCGGATCCGACCACCTTTCGTCCAAAATGTCCGGCCCAGGCGGGGCCCCGAGCCCTGCTCCTCGCAGTGGGAGCATGGGACCAGGTTCTAATGGTACTGGCATGTCGATGGCTTCACAGCAGCCCTTGTCTGGTACGCCCGTTCATCAGCCTTCCACGCCGGGACCAGGACCGTCTGCTCCACCCAGCGGTGCCATGTCGCAACAGAACTTGAATCAAATTGTAGGTGTTTGAGCCTTCCCTTGCCCATTTTGCAGTGTTTTTGTTTGTTTTCGGCGGAGGTCCTTGATCGCACGGACGCCATTATTCCCAACAGCCTGTTGTTCAGCCGTGGAACGACCTCGGTCGTGCACGTGCTTGGTATTGGACGACAACGACATCATGTCAATCCTGTGTCCATCCTATAGATGGTATGGGCTATATGTGAGAGATGGAAAGTGGCTACTCACGTTTCCGGCGTGCTGTCAAATTGAGAAGCCCTGTTCCTGGGAAAGCACAGTTGGAGATATTGCCATGGGATTCGCGAAAAGCATCCGGTGATCTCAACATGGCCTGCAGGGTGCGCCTGCCAAATTGAATGAATTCACTGTTCAAGCTCAACTTGCTTCAGTCGGGTTCTATTCTTGCTCTTCGGATTGACCGCCTGCCCACGAGCTTGATTTGTCTGAGGATTTCTTTACCAATCCCATTCGTATCTCCTCGTCACTTCTTCTTTGGCTTTATCTTGCATCTCGCACATCCATACTCTGCACCTAATCTTTACTTTTCATCTTTACCTTGCCTTCCTGTTTTATAAAGTCCGGAAGTCGTCCCCCTAGCCTCGATATTTTGCTCTTTCACTCCATTCCACTCGCTCCCGCGTCGAAATATCAATATCCTCCGCTATGGTCAAAAGGGGATCAGCCCGCGAAAGACGATTGAGAGCTATGTTCGCATCGCCTCCGCCTGATATCTCCAGAGGCCGCAGCCGTCGGGCTAGCCAGAATGCCCCTCCCAACGACCCCACTGAACCTCAGGCTATGGTGGCTTGGTCTCTAGATGCCACCAGGGAACATCAGGTTTCCGCTACTTCTCCTTCGCGCGTTTCGGGGAGACCTGGCATTTCTGCCGAGTCTACCGTCAGAGGATCTCCTGTGCGCACACATCGGGTTCCTTCACGGTCTGCTCGCGCTCGTCGTGCCAGTGCAAGTAACAGGCCGAGCGTTCCAACGCCGTCATCGTCACCGCTAGCTGCCCCAGACACCAGAAGGATTTCCAACTCTTTTTCGGGGCGACCTCCGATTGCCCGATCTGGCACATCATCTGCCAGCCCTTCCTCGCTGCGTGAATATTTACGAAACACTCCCATGGGTACTTCAGCATCTTCCGAGCGTTCTGAAGTTCGAAGGAATGAAGCTGTTTGTTTTCCCACTGAGATTACTGCCATTTCGCGATTACTCTTTTGTTTTTTTCTTGTTTTTTTCTTGGTATCTCATATTTGTCAACCATTCACTAACGTGCAAACTTCCTTAGGTCATCGATTACCTTGCAAAGAAGGGATACAGCCGCACCGAAGCCATGCTGCGAATGGAATCTGCCAATCAGGAGATCGATGGGCGTCCCCTTCCCCAGCTGGGAGAAGACTCTCGCCCCAAGACCCGACAAGGATTTGGTATGTCCATGATTACACGAACCTCTCTGAAAGCCCCACTAATACCTCGTTTAGATTTGTTGAAGAACTGGGTTGAGGAAAACCTCGATCTGTACAAGGTGGGTCAAACATGAATCATATCAATGAACATGTGCTAACATTCTACAGCCTGAGTTGCGTCGCGTTTTGTGGCCGCTCTTCGTCTACTCGTTCTTCAACATGGTTACATCCTTCTACCCGCAAGATGCCAAGAACTTTTTCGAGGCCAACAAGAACATGTTCCTGCCTGAGCACACGGATGATATCCGCCACTTCGAGCCTATCAGCTTGCCAGAGCATTTGCAGGACAACAGTGTTGCCAAACTCTACCGTAGCAACAAGTACCGCGTCGTTCTGAGCAACCCCGCATACACAAACCTGCTTCAGTTCCTGGAGAGCAAGGACAAGGAGGGCGGCTCCGTGATGAATGCAATTCTCAGCAGCTTCTGCTCCGTGAAGACCATGGACCGTGCCGCCGATGATCGATTCAGCTTTGCTTCTATGTTGAACCAGATGGCCCCTGGACAGAGCTCACCTGCCGAGGATGAAGGTATCCCTGGTCACCACCCTGGTTCCGCTTACACCGGTGACAACCCTGCTATGGCCGGAACACTTCCGCGTCTGAGGCTCGGAAAGCTTCCAATGGAACAGACACTGGAGGAAGATGTGCGCGCCGAACTTGCAGAGGTGGATGCGAAAGAACCTCCCGTCGCTGGCCGCAATACACTTTCCCAGGAGTTCGAACAAATGATCAAAAAGGAGGATGAGGATGAAGCCCCCTCTCGTGCTGATATCCCATTCCCGCCTTCGATTGCCCGTGACGTTGAAGTTGAGGTCAGACGGGTTATGGAGCACCGTGATCGCTTCGAGATCAAGGGTCGCACGGGTGGTGTAGGCCCTGGCGTCAGTGTTTGCATGTTCACGTTCCACAACACTTTGGACAAGTAAGTCTTTGGCGTGACCTTTTTCTATGAATCCACTAACAGTTCAACAGCATCAATTGCATGGACTTTTCTGACGACAACCAGCTCGTCGCTTGCGGCTTTGCCCAATCCTACATTCGTGTCTGGAGTCTTGATGGCAAGAACATTCAAGGTGCCCTCCCGGAAATTGACGACTTGCCGCCCGCCAACTCTCGCCGTCTGATCGGCCACTCAGGTCCTGTCTACGCAGTCGCTTTCCCTCCCTGCGCTTCTGCTCGCGAGAATGTCCCAGAAAGAGATGCTGTTCCTACCAATGCTCGCTGGCTGCTTTCTTCGTCTGCGGACAAGACTGTTCGTCTCTGGTCTCTGGACACTTGGCAGTGCATGGTTGTTTACAAGGGCCATGACCGCCCCATCTGGGATCTCCGCTGGGGACCTTTCGGACAATACTTTGTGACCGGTGGATCGGACCGTACTGCCCGCTTGTGGGTGACCGACCACATTCGTCAGCAGCGTATCTTTGTCGGTCATGACCAGGATGTGGACTGCGTCTGTTTCCACCCCAACTCGGCTTATGTCTTCACCGCCAGTTCCGACCACACTGTCCGCATGTGGGCTGTCACTACTGGCAATGCCGTCCGTATGTTCACTGGCCACGCTGGCAATGTTACTTCCATGGAGTGCAGCCGCGATGGCAAGCTCTTGGCAACTGCCGATGACCAGGGTACTATTATTCTCTGGGACCTCGCTCCTGGCCGACTCTTGAAGCGCATGCGTGGCCACGGAAAGGGTGGTATCTGGTCTGTCAGCTGGAGTGTTGAGTCTACTGTCCTTGTATCCGGTGGAGCTGATGGCACCGTTCGTGTCTGGGATGTTGCTGAATCCCAGGAAAACACCCAGGGTCGCGTGATCGGCGAAGGTGGCGCTGGTTCCAAGATGGATGCTGGCTCTACTTCCACCACTCAGAACAAGAAAAAGAAGGGCAAGGATGTTGTCGTCACTGCCGATCAGATCAGCGCTTTCCCGACCAAGAAGAGTCCTGTCTACAAAGTCAAGTTCACCAACATGAACTTGGTCATTGCGGGGGGTGCCTATCTTCCCCTGTAGATGGCATTTCGTCTCTTTCTTGACGACCTTTTCTTTCTTTTTTTTCTACCATTTTCTCAGACAACACAATACCCCATTTCTCTACATTCCAAAATTTGTTTTACTAAGCTCGTGTTTTCAACTCGCTCATCATCAGCGGGATCCTGGTGGCGTTCGGAATTTCACACTTCATCTACGGTGTTTTGCGGTGGAGTGGCATGGATCTTTCAGGTGCTTGGTTCAAGCCCTACCTTTGTTATCTTTTCAAATCTGTCTTCGCAGTTGGTGGCGAGACGTTTTCTTGTTTTCTTGCTGGTAGATCACTCAGTGTATCTTCATGTGTGTGTTGCTGAACCAGGACTGCAAGAAAGGGATCACTGAGTTATCATTACCTACTGTAAATGACATCCTTTACCTGTCAGATGGATCATTATTCCCACCTACTAGGTGTGTCTCTAATGGACCAGAGCCAGGAGAAGGTGCTCACTCAGTTTATTCTTATCTGTTAATGGTGGACAGTCTTTCTTTAGGTGCCCTTGCCATCGGTTCTTATAGTTCAGATGAAGCGGGCCCCAAGATTACATTATCTTCATTCGAAACCTTTCCCTGGGCTGCAGCCAGTAGAATATTTCACATACTGCAGCATCGAGTAGCCTTAAAAGTAGTTCATTACACCAACAAACAGATGTCCAAGAATCACAAGTGCCTTGTCCATTACTTCAAGTGTCCCGTCGCACCACCTGAAGCACCTGTCCCTTTCTTCATCGCGGCTGATGCCTGCATATCAGCGACCTTTGGTGGAAGAACCAACGCACTCCGATCATTCCGTCTGTAGAAGTCTGCCAATATCTGTGCAGTCTTTGCAGGCTGGTCTTCATGCACGAAATGGCCAGCTTCAGGGAATACTTGCAATTGATATTTACCTGGGAGTGACAGGCAAGTTAGCATGATATTTTAATGTATTCCAAAGGCTAGATAAGTGCCTACCTTGCATCTGGCCAATCATCAACTCTTTGTCTAATCGGTCGGTGCCAGCAAGCAATAGTAGTTTTCCACCGCGCGCGTCAAGAAACTTTCGACTCAAGCCAACAAACCAGTTCTCCCAGAATGGCTTTGTTGCAGAGAGGTTTGTGCGCCATAACCAGGGGCGAGCAGGGTCTGTGGGCTCACTGTCTTCATATAGAAGTGATGGAACGGAGGCCCTGGCGGATGTAGTATTGCGGATTGTACGGGAGCGAGTACTGCATGGTGAGCAAAGGAAAGAAAGTCATAATATGAAATACATACTGCCAGTCAATTCCTGAGGATAATGACGGAAACCGGGCTGGTCGTGTGGAGAGGTACATTTCCATGCTTTGGAGAGCATCCATTGCGGATCCTGGACAACATGGTCAGCATATACCAATAGAGATGATAGGAATTGACTATACCTTCTACAACATCCAACACAGCATATGCCAACGGCTTCACGCCTAGCTCTCCGTTCTTCGCGACATCTGTAATCACCGCACCACCCAGGCTGTGCCCGACAAGTACGATATCCGGGAGTATTTCCCAGCCCATCTTCGCCTGGGTCTGACGGACCACATAGATCAAATCTCGGCTCAGAGTCTCGAGACTGAGATCAAGTTCAACCGCACCGGAAGCTTCAATCTGAGCAGCAGCGGCAGTAGACGGGGCTTTGTCGTCTATTTTACTGTCTATTGGGGTCATAACGGTTCGACCATGGCTTCGAGCATCCAGCGATAAGACACCCGCCTTGGGGAGGATTCTTCGGATCTCTTCTGTGCAAGTCGCAAAGGAAAGACCCGATGAGCCAGCTCCATGATGCATCACAAACAGCGGACCCTTGTCAGTTGGTGGGGTGAGATATGCATGGTGGGTGATGTGAATGTTTCCCACTTCTTCGGAGAAAAAGAGCTCCTGTTCGAAGAAGTCTGTCCACGATAGAGATGCATGGGATGATTGCCTGCAAACCAATGTTAGTCCAAGTAGGCTAAGTATGTAGATGATCGTGTCTTGGGGGACTTGATAGTGACAGAAAGCAACGAACCGTCGGCCCGCTCGGGCAAAGAGCTGCCGTGTCGGCGATGGGACAAGTGTACCCGTAGAGGAGACTGAAGAGGCAGAGGAGTCTTCTTCCCATGCATCCTCATTCATTGATTCGGGCATTGGGGCTTCGGATGGAAGTTTGGCCAATTTGGCTTTGGCGAAGGATCTCTGAAGGTCGCTCATGGAGGTGGAGACTCGTCGATCAAATTGAGGGGCAAATTGGCCACTAATTCTCGAGTTTATACATTGAAAACATTCAGAGAACTCAACAAATACATTCGGGCCATTGTGTCGTCAGGTCGATTGCTGACTAATATCCCACCTGCCCAAGCGGGCGTTGGATGGTTTGATGCTCTCAGCAACCAGAAAAGACATTCCTTGGTAAGTCGGGCAGGCTTGTAGGCTTCTGGTCTCAATGTGAAGCACGTTCTTCGAGGTTGGGGCCCTACTCTTATGCTGTCGCCCACTCAGGGTCGCTCCTCAGCACTGTCGATGCGGTCACAGCATATTTGTCAGTGTTTGCGTTCGGTCTCTTCTTCTCTGAGCGATACTGCCAGATGTGTCTTTGGAATCATGGTTGAAGTTGTCAAATTCAAGTCTTCCAAGATTCCATACCAGGCCGGCCTAGCAAGCAAAGCTACATCAAGTTCTAGCCGAAAGTAGAGAGCCATGGTGGTGGTGGTACGTTATTATATTGCTGAACAAACGGCCATCTTCATCCTAGTTCTCGCATTCTTCAACCAAAGTCCGCAAACCATTCAACAGATCTTTCTGTAGGTCTTCAAATGTCTCAATTCCCACACTCACCCGCATAATGTTCTCCCCGGCCGTGGGATCGGTCATCTTCCGCCATTCAATCAAGCTCTCGACACCGCCAAGACTAGTCGCATGTTGGAAGATGCGCAGCTTGCTCGGCAGTCGCCGGGCCTGATGAGCATTCTTCATAATCATCATGAAAACAGGTCCAAAGCCATTTGGCATCTGCTTTTGAAGCCAATCCATATCCTTCTTCTGCAGACTAGCATGTTTGAGACTTTCAACTGTGGCATTCACCTCATTTGGCGTCGGAGAGTTGATCATCTCAGAAAGCCACGTCACAAGCTCCGTGCAGTTCTGGCTTTGTCGGATGCAGCGAATGTCTAGCGTCCGCAAACTGCGAAGACCGAGCCAGGACTCGAACCCGCCCATGATGTTTCCAAGTGCGCATCGATCCTCCCATAACTTCATGAATAGCTCTGGTCGCTCAGGAGATGTGCTGATAACACCACACATGATGTCACTATGGCCGCCAATATACTTGGTTCCACTGTGAATAACCAAGTCGGCCCCCCAGAGGAATGGTTCTTGCAAGGATGGTGGCCCGAATGTAGAATCAACAACGAGATAAAGTCCCTTTGCTTTGGCAATTTTGGAATACGCGGTAATGTTACGTGCCTCGCCAGTTGGGTTAAGAGGTGTTTCAAGATGGATCACGTCTCCTTTCTCGAGTTGGTCTGTCTCGTGTAATCCGACCTTCTTGACTCCTGTCAACCGCTCCTGAATCCGGAGTACATCGTGTGCGCCATGATAACCACCAGTGATAGCAACCTTCTTAGGAGTAAGGCAGGTAAGATAAGCGTGAATTGCGGCGAGACCAGTTGCATATGTCAAGCATTCTCCTTTCAGGATCGTTGACAGGACAAGCTCCAATCGCGAACTAGTCGGTCGTGCGAGTCTAGCATATACGTGCTTTGTTTTCTGAATGCCAGCATCGTTAGAATTACTCAGACCCCCGACAATTGTTTGTTTTGACTCACCGACAGAGCTTGCTGAGGCTCTAGTTCGTCGGAGTTATAAGGGTATCGGAAGGTGGTAGTGGGATGCATCGCAGGCGCCAACTCGGGCCCAGCGTATCGATCATCAACATGGATGGAGTTGGTTGCAATGGAGAACTGTGTCTCCAGTTCAGAAAGAGATATCGACATATTTATAGAGCGACAAGCAATTTATTTTGCGTCGCAACACCGTGAAATTGGGGACTTCAGCTACTTTATACTACGGGCCGTACAACCAGGCGGAACTAATAACAGCAAGCTGAATAGGATCATTGAGTCCATAGGCTCCCGTTGTGCCACTTGAACTTGTCAAGTATAAAATTTCCGCTCAGCTGAGCGGAGCGGGTCTCCGCCTCTCCGTCCGCGCGAGTCACGACTTCGGAGTTGCGCCGTGAGGAGAGGGTTGCGATGGCCAACACAACGGAGAATTTGAGCATCTTGAGGCGCAATAACACGATTCATAGACATTTCTCTGATTAAGCGATTGACTTCATAGGGTCTTAGCACTTAGTTGAGGTCGGTTGAAGCTCAATACAGGGGCTGGAGAGCTTCTCCAATACAGCTTTGAGGCCGGTCACCTTTTGCTATTGGTCTCGTCACCTGAGGCAAGCTAATTGTACATTGTAACACCCTCAACGTTTCTTGATGTGAGTGGCGTGACATAGTGCTCGTTGTAGATGGATTGCCGCTGCAAGCACGGAGCTTGTGGATACTAGATAGTCGACGCTTGATCACTTATAGTGCTAACAAAAGATGGCATTCTCATGGACTTTTCACTCCATGAAACTGCAAATTCAACTATAATTCAACCTTGAATGTTTTAGATAAGTCGTCTCAGTATCTTCCAGAGAAAATGGCAGTGCATCGAAGTGCACTGGCCGCTCGTGGTGACTGCCAACTCCGCACCCCACGCCGGGTGTAGATCGAAGTCGACGGCTCGGGATCCAAGCCGACCGTTTCTGTAGGAAGGCCGAGTCAGCTGATCGGTCCTCTCTTTTGATTACGGGTTGACAGTTGACCTCATGGACATCGTCTACTCTGGACCTATCTGAAGAAACACAATGCCGCCCAAGCGCAAGGCACAGCAAGCCGAGAACGGAGATATTGAGATAAAGTAGGCTTTTTTGACCAGAGTCTGCTGGGGTTTCATCTAACCAGAAATAGAAAACTTCGCAATCGAGTATCTCAACAGGCTTTTCGCCGTCGACAGTCGGAGTATATTAAACAACTCGAACGCAAGGCCAAGGCTTACAAACCGGACAACGAGCGCATTATTGAGCTTGAAGAAGAAAACACCTCGCTTCGTGAAAGCCTGATACAATGTCACACGAAATTGGAGAGCCTGCGCACGACAATATGCACGCTTAGTGACGGCGTTGCGCGCACATGAGACGAACCTGTATGATGCTTGATTGATCACGAGCTCTATCTATGATTCTCATCATTCTTCTAGGACGCATCTACGAAAAACTCCCCGAGTTGCAGGGAGATAAGTGAAATGCCGAATAAACAACCTCCTCACGCGCCCGCGCAGATCAACACGAATAAGGACATTACGCAAACTGGGCGAGATGTGCCATTTGAGTGTAAAAAGTCAAAAACGTTGGACACTCCTGTCGACATAGATGTCTTTCTTGATCCCAAGACACCCGAGTTCGCTCGCCCTGGATTGATTAATGAGCAAGAGCCGAGCGTTGTGGCTCCCCTGTCAGATATTTGGGCACACGAGTTCAAGATGGGGCCAGGCTCATACGTCGATTGCTTGGCTGCCAATGATGCGATCAGCGAACAATTGAAGATCGAGTGGGCTCCCAACACGCGCTTTTCTGAGCATGTTGGTACGTTGAAGAGCATTCTCAAAGCAAAATGGGACGGTATGGGACGGGATCTCGAGTCATAGTCTCATCTAGAAGCAGCAAGAGGGGGCCTAGCGGCCTGTCGATAGTCTTCATCCAAGAGGCAAGTGCCGAGGATAAAGCTGCGGATAATTACCATCCTTGCCAGCCCAATTGCACATAGATTCAGTATAATATAGAGAGCGGAACATCGTGTGGTATTCGGAAGTCGATTTTACCCTAGTCTGCCCTTCTGGATGACAGTGAATAACTGCAATATATATATATCAACCAACGCCAAGATTGCACATAGCTAGCCAAAGTACTTCCAAGGAATGAAACCTCCGTTCTGATCACCCGTAGAGATCCGACCATAAGCTGATAAAATATGGAAGGCATAGATTTGTCGTAAAGAGCCCTGATGGGCCTTGAATCGAGCGTGAGAATCTACCAATGCCGATGAAGGAATGTAAAAGGCTACCCAAACGAGAACAAACAAGACGAGATCGGTGTAGAACTCAGACTGCTGAAGACCAAGATTGAGATCGTTCAGAGAGCTACAGACCTTGCCGATTGCATTCTTCAAAGCTGCAAGTTTAATACGAACCGAGGTCTAATGTTACGCTTGCAGGTTTTGCAGTCAGGGATTTAGGACAATCATCGACGCGTACTCAAAACTTCAACGCTCAACGCGAGCTTCCAAGAATTTGTAGTTGCAACGACTTCTCTAATATCCTCTATTGCGACGCGGGTATGGTCTGGATCCCGCATATTGAGGTTGCATCTAGGCATACCTTGTTGCTAGAGCCACACAGAGGTTCAGCTATGACAGACATGCACATGTAGAATTCCAATCCGGCATTGTGATACGTGCAACGCAGAATGAATGTACATGAGCTGATCTCCCAGCTCACCCAATTATCAAAAGAAGTAGCGGCATTGGGAGCTCTGCCGTCTCTCTTCTTCATGCAATAATTATGCAAGGGATCGGCGATCACGATGATCTTCTCAGCCCAGCGCCGAGACGCACGAAGTACTAGTTTCCCCACACGGGTTTTCCCGTTCGAGAGAGATCAAAATACTCAGGGGAAGGCTATATAAAGCCCCTGGTTTACAATCTTGAGTGGAAAAGAAAGGTTCTATTCCGGGCAGCCATCATGGTCAAATCAACTACCCTCATTTCCGCCTTCTTCTCTCTGCTGGCTTCCACTGCCGCAGTGACTATCCCTGACACTGACTACGAGGTCATTGTCGTTGGTGGCGGGCCTGCTGGTCTCAGTGCTCTCAGCGGTGTCTCTCGTGTTCGTCGTAAGGCACTGATGATTGACAGTGGTCACTATCGCAATGACCCAACCCGTGAGATGCACGACGTGATCGGAAATGACGGTAAGAGCAGATCTGCTGTAAAATTTGTCATGTAGCTAATTGGCCCAGGAACTCCTCCCGCCAAATTCCGAAACCTTGCGCGTGAGCAGATCTTGAAGTATGACACTGCCACTATTCAAGATGACACAGTCGAGTCCATCGATCCGATCGATGGAGACTTCACTTCCTTCAATGTGAAGATCACCAACGGAACAACCTATACTGCGCGTAAGATTGTTCTCGGAACTGGTGTCTACGACGTCCTGCCCGACACCCCTGGTCTGAAGGAAGGGTTCGGAAAGGGTATCTGGTGGTGTCCCTGGTGCGATGGCTACGAGCACCGCGATCAGCCCCTCGGTATGATTGGTGATATTGCCGATCAGCTCTCTAACGTCTTGGAAGTCCACACATTGTACAGTGACATGATTGCCTTTGTCAACGGTACTCAGACACCGGAAGGCGAGGCCAAGGCCACAGCTAAGGTCTCTGACTGGAAGGAGCAGCTCGAGGCTTGGGGTACCAAGATCGACAATCGTACTATTGCCTCTATTGAGCGTCTGCAAGACGGTGGCACGAACCGCAGCGAGACTGAGCACGCCCAGTACGACAAGTTCCGTGTGCACTTCACCACTGGCGAGCCTGTTGAGCGCAGTGCTTTCATTATCAATGTGCCCACTGACCAGTACTCGTCGTTGCCCGCCAAGATGGGTCTGGATATGGACGGCACCAAGATCAATGTTACCAGCGGAATGCGGACCAGCGAAACTGGTGTCTTTGCTGTTGGTGACGCCAACAATGATGGTAGCACCAACGTGCCCCACGCTATGTTCAGTGGCAAGAAGGCTGCTGTCTACCTTCATGGTAAGTTTCTATTATAAAGGCTCAAGGTCTTTTTCTAACGGACATGATTACAGTTGAACTTTCTCGTGAGGAGTCCAAGTCCAAGGTCTCCAAGCGTGAAGGCCTTTCCCGCCGTGAGCTCGAGAAGGAGGCTGACCGCGCCATTGGTGACAATCTCGAGAAGGAGTGGGAGCGTGCTATGCGTGGGTAGTTAATTCATGACCCCTTGAGACTTTATCAAGCTTTAATCAAATGCGAATCACCAATATACGTCCGACTGTGGGTCGACGCCTCGGCCCGGAGCCGCCACGGTTCTCGGTATAACCTAATATTGTTATCCTTTCGTTATTTGCGTAGTAAACTTAATTCATCCATAAGAACACTAGCTCTACTCTAATTTGGCATCCTTGAGGCATATATATTCGAAGAGGAATGTTCACTTTATGCAAGGAGCCCGTGGAGTGGAATGTGAACGCCAGCCAGCCATCCCATCTTCCTCTCGAAGTACATGCTGGTCTCAAAATGAAACAGATATGTCTTCCGGGGATAAAATCAACGCAGGTCATATTCTACACAATCGGGCCCCTAGTTGTCGCCAGTCTTCCCTTTCTGATTGCCGTGCCGACGTTATACAAGGCTGATATATTCAAGGAGTCATCTACTTTCAATGACACAGCTGGGACAACAGCTTTCCGGTACGAAGATATGATCCAGAAATCCGGGAGAATAATAGTATGACCCGGAACATTTGTCGGTTAAGCAGCTTGGGAAGGGACCACGTTCAATTGCTCGACTCAGATGTGTTATCCATTCCTACTTCGCTTCACGTCGACCTCCGCGGAAGTAAGAAAGAGCTGAACTTCGTATCTGCCATATGAACAGCAATAAGAGCAGCCTAAATGATCCAATATCAGTTTCGGCCTCATTAAAGATTACCGAGGTAATATACTCACCAGTGATAAGTCAAAATTCTCCGCGACAAGTACTTCCAATATCTGTCGCGGTAGTAGCGAGTGATTGCTTGCAGCTCTGGCTCTGGCTGTGGGGAGAGATTTGTTCATCGTCAAGCTTTCACGCACATCAACGACTCTCTGGCCATCCACTATGACCGCATATTCCGTGTACGCCATCGACTCTATTACTTGCACCTGGATCGTCACATCCTTCTCGTCTCGAGATGCTGCATTGCGAAATTTGAGCGTGTAGCCTTCCCAGCCCATTCGGAAGTCTACCAGCTCTTCGTCTTCTTTGCCCGGTAACCGCACGAGTAATGGTCGTCTCCATGCTAACGAAGTCGGCCGCGACTCGAACATTGGGAGTCCTGATGCATCGCGGAACTCGCGCGCCCTGGTATCGCCGTATTTGCGACCTGTGACTGTGAAGATGGTGGAGTCGTCCCAGTATCTCTTCAGTGTATATTCATCCGGCGAGTGCGGGTCATATCTTGGTCGCAGATACAGCAGAGTTTCTTCTTCGGCGATATGCTCTTGTCGGATCCCTATAGGATGCGCGATCTTCTTGACGGTCTTTGTGGGCGGTTGGGAATCCATGTTGTGTTTTGTGGAAAAGGAGATGAGACGTTGACGGCGGGATCGACACGGCTCCATAGCTACGTAACCGTGATCACCGGGAACGTGTAAGAGATCTCATCAGTGAACATTGAGCATTATATTAAAAGAATGAGAAGGAGTGCAAAATTCACAGCATCAAAAGAGTATCAAAATACACCCGAGTTGGGGTCGACTGTAACCCCTCATTCCCCTCAGATAAGCAATTTGCTCTTTTCTTTTGATTCTTTCTTTGCATTTTCACTCTCACCTCTTGTTTTATACTGCAATTGACACTCCCCCCTCTCGACACCATGGATCCGTATCTCTTGTGGGTAGCTGGTAAAGAGCAGGAAGGACATGCAGACATGTGGGTATGCCGCGGTGTTGACACTGATGCTAGACTGACAAGACAACAGTATTCCCATTGAAGACCCAGCAACAGGAGAGATATTTGCACAGTAGGATTCTTTGCTTTCGAAACATGGGAAGCCTCAATCTGACAAACACAAGTTGTCATGCCGCCTCACCCGAGGACGTTGAGACCGCCATCTCAGCCGCCCACGACACATACAAGTCGGGCATATGGTCACGCGCAAGTCGCCATCATCGCGCAGATGTCCTCGAGAAATGCGCAGCACTGCTTTCAAGTGCAATTCCAGAATTTATCGCCCTCGAATCGAAACAGACAGGTCGAGTGATTCGAGAGATGAACGCTCAGGTCCCGTCATTGACGAGATGGTTCAAATACTATGCGTCGCTACTACGCGTTGAAGAACGGTCTGTCCTTCCGACGATGGGGAAACTACATAATTTTGTCGATCGTATTCCTTTAGGTGTTGTCGTTCAGATTACACCGTTTAATCATCCGTTGTTGATAGCTGTGAAGAAGTTGGCCCCTGCGCTTGCGGCTGGGAATAGTGTTGTCATTAAGCCCAGTGAACTGACACCCTTGACTACCTTGTTGCTTGCGAAGATCCTTGGCCGGGCTGGAGTTCCTGACGGAGTGTTGAGCGTACTACCTGGATACGGTGCTATTACCGGCAAAGCGCTTGTTGAACACCCCCTAGTCAGAAAGGTGGATGTCACTGGTGGTACTGAGTCTGGCAAAGCAATTGGGAAAATCGCAGGAGGAAACTTGGCCAAATACACAGCAGAGTTAGGAGGCAAGGCGCCTCTGCTTGTGTTTAAAGATGCCAATATCGACGCAGCGGTTAACGGAATTGCCTTTGGAAGCTTTATCGCCAGTGGCCAGACTTGCGTTGCCAGTACCAGAATTATCGTTGAGAACAGTATCTTGGAGGAAGTTGTGCAGAAGCTCACAGCGAAGATCGAGGGAATTACACGACGCATAGGGGCTCCAAGCAACTCAGAGTCAATGATGGGTCCTCTCATCTCCGAAAAGCAATTACGACATGTCGAAAATCTAGTTGAAGAAGCTCTCAACGGAGGCAATGCGATATCCCTTACCGGTGCAAACCGTATGGCTGGTCAAAGCTCTCTTGACGGATCCAAGTTCGACAAGGGGTATTTCTACCAGCCGACTTTGTTAATCTCTCAGGACAAGGCGAACAACAGCATTGTTAAGACCACTATCTGGCGCGGGGAGGCCTTCGGTCCGGTAATTGTAGTGGCTAGTTTCAATACAGAAGAACAAGCCATCGCCCTGGCGAATGACACCGAGTTTGGATTGGGGGCTGGCATATGGACAACCAACCTCTCCCAATCGTTCCGGGTGTCAGAACAGATTCATGCTGGAATCACCTGGGTAAATACCCATCATCGCAATGACCCCAGCAGTCCCTGGGGAGGTGCAACCAGTGCCAGTGGAGTGGGAAGTGAGAATGGCATTGAGGCTTATCAGGCGTATACTACAACTAAAAGTGTCATCATCAATTATGCTGATCCGGAGGAGTCTCTGGCTATGGATGACTGGTTTGGAGATGGGTCAAAGAAGGTCAGATATGGTTGATTTAACTGAAAGTATCTATATTCTAGTTGGGTATCTCAAAAAACTGTTCGTTTTGATGATGTCCAACTGTAGAGTGGAATGCATGATGTCATACCCGCAAGGTTGACCTGCCTTGCTTTCTCACGAACCTGATCTGCTTGATCTGCATATGTTTGGTCTTTTGTAATTAATTTGTGAATTTGTGAATAATTCATACTATCCATCAACATGTCATCTCTGTGGGGTCGCAAAGATCCAGGGAGTGAGGGACGCTCTAGCCAAGATGGAGAACACCGTGCGCCAGAGAGATCCCAAGAGCCCACTGAACGAACAAGACTTCTCCCGGAGAATCATCAGGCATACTTGAGTCCTGATGACCCAGCAGTCAGTCCAACCTCCGAATAACGGCATAATATGCTAACAGGCGAACCAGGTATCGCCGTACAATCTATGGAGTGTCCGCGCTCTGCGCGCCATCTCACTTCTAGCATTGGGGCTTAGTTTCGTCTGGTGGACGTTCCTGTTAGTATCTATCTTCGTCAGTCCACCGATGATGCACCCGAGAGGGTCGGGTTTCTTCGCGTTTTCATACACGACTCTAGCGACTGGATACCTAGTCCTGGGACTACTATTCTTCGCGGTACCGTCCAAACCGATGACCATCTGGGGCATCTTTATCGCCGTGCTTCTTCTGGTGAATATGTGTCTTATCCTAGGTGTGGCACGGATCCGTCTTGAAGAAGGATGGGTTGGAATTGCCTCTGTTGTCTGGGTGGCTCTCATCTCTATGTGGCAGGTTCTTTTGAATCGTGCCGTTGCTTGGGGGAAGAAGGAAGAAGAGGAGCGTTTGACTGGTCGGGAGGAGACTCGTCGCTCGCTTTTGGAGTGGATGGCTGTCGTCGCTGAGACAGTATTGCTTGCCATTATGGCTATCGCTGTTGTCTTGTTCACATCTACGCTTATCATTCGTGCGCGTGACGTTTCTCTCCCTCCTCCAGGTGAGCGATACCTCGTTCATGGAGACCTGTACCAAGTACATCTCGCTTGTGTGGGAAACAAGACCAACGACGAGAACTCCCCAACGATCCTCCTCGAAGGTGGAACTGGCCCAGTCGAACATACACTGCAGCCGTTCATGGACGATCTATACCTCCGTGGATCCATTGATCGATACTGCTACTGGGACAGACCAGGGTTTGGCTGGTCCGACAATGCACCCTCTCCCCATTCAGCAGGCATGTCTGCAGATGTGCTAGCAGAAGCACTAGCTCTCGCAGATGAGACAGGTCCCTGGGTAGTCGTTTCAGCAGGGGTTGGAAGTCTCTATTCCAGGCTCTTTGCCAGCCGCAACCTACTTGAAGTTCGCGGTATCTTCATGATTGACCCGCTACATGAAGATTACTTGGGTGATCTTGGGAAACCAGGCCGTGGTTTTGTGCTCTGGTTCCGTGGTATCCTGTCTCCGCTTGGACTGGACCGACTTGGTGGGGCCTTGATCCGGGGTCGCACTCGCCTGGATCGTATTGCTGGGCGCTCGGCGTATCAGACTGGGAAGTTCATCAAGGCAAAGCTGCAAGAGAATCTCGTTGCGGTCACGATGACTGCCGCTGAGGTGCAGTCTGCTCGTCATGTCCAGATGGGACATGCTCCGGTCGTCGTTGTGAGTTCTGGCCAAGAGGTTCGCAAGGATTCCCGCTGGTCAGATCGACAGGAGGATCTGTCGCACATCACTAATAATCTTCATTCGTGGGATGTTGTCTCCGATGCACCACACGAAGTATGGATGACTGGCGAAGGGAGGGTTATGATTGAGAAACGCTTGAAGGAGCTTATTGAAGCAGGTCAGTCATTTGAGTCATGAGTCATTTGTTGATTGGAATTCGGCGAACATGCGAAATCGGGAGATTGTTAGTCCTTACTTATTTCCATACACGAGAATGAACGAATACAGACTGGAGATCGACCTCGACCACGGATCGGGCTGAACCATGGATGCCATGGCTCGATTGGTAGAGATCTGATGGATACGTAGATGCATAAGGCTGTGTATTGCCCGATCTATCTACTTTACGTCATGGCCCTATGGGGCCTTCCCAGAGTATACAATGGCTTCAAGCACCTATGGTATTCCTTTGCACATATCCATTGACATGTTCACTTCATACTTTCTGTGTCAACATGAATCCCCCGGTAATCGACTTCAGCGCTTTCGCTCCTGGTCATTCACGACCTGGAGGTCTAGAAGCAGCAGCTGACCGAGCCCGAGCCCGAGCACAGATGGACCGACAAGCTCTGGACTGGGAATCCAACGACGGCTTTGATGAGACTACATCGATTGAGAACCAAGTCACCGAACACGAATCCGATGAGGCACTCGCTCCGAAGTCGACCAACGTGAAAGAAGCGGAGACATCGCAGACAAAACCTGATTTGATTAAATCCGAGAAGCCTGGCTTTTGGAATGCGGTGAAACGAAGGATGAGTCGGAGTGACCACAAGTCATGAACGCGTCGTGACTGAACGTCTTTCGTTGCTTGAAATATTCTGTTGACTGGATAGGAAGGCTTCAAGCATCCGGCGTCATATTGTTCATGAATAAATGCCTTTACCCCATAGATAAAGTACTGTGCAATGTAATTAACTACGGGTAGTCCCAAAGATGTAGATGCAATGCCGGTCATCGGATCTAAATGCTGTGTAAAACTAAGCCGACCTCCAGACCATGCAAATCTCGCTCAATCCAGCCAAATTCCACCGCAGGCGTGGGAGTCGTTGGTACAATAGGGTGAGATTTGCTACACTCCACATTTTCCGGGTAAAACGATAGGAAGACGATCGGACTGGGGGGACTAATGGAAACCGAGCGGTGATAGGACGAAGTCACTCTAGACTAGCTCCCTTAAACCTCTTAGCAAGCTGTTCACCATCCGCGTTGGGAGTATTGGAGCGGGATGTATGGGAAGAAGGGGGGTTGCGACGTCCTCGCGATTGGAGATCCGGGCGAGGAGACTCAACCGCGGTGGGCCAGGGGCGCTTAGGGGGCGCTCACCACTCTCCTCAAGGATGGTCATCAACGTTGCCCATCCTGATGTATTCAACAGTTGCATTCCTTCAGCGGGGGATTTGGTTTTCGCGACGCGGCACAGAAGGGATTCCTCATCCTGTGAAAGTTGGTCAGTATCTGAGGTAGACCAAGAAATTAAGAAGGGAACACACCTTGTTGAAGGTGCTAAGTCCGTGCAAGAAGCACAGCAAGTGGAAGTCGGAGACACCTTGAATGGCCCTTTGGGGGTCTCCGGGCATAAGCTTCTGGGCGACATGTCGCAACTCTTGACTTTCGCCAATAATTTCGCGGTTCTCGATGGGGAAGCGACTGTTGGTGAACAATGGGGATGACTCTGTGGGGAATCCATGGGTAAGAGTAACTAGTAGGAAGTCGACTGGGAAACTTGGCGAGGCGTTTTCTTGAACACTGGCACCGTACTCGTTGATGCGGCGGTAGAAAACCTCGGGGATGTACCGAGTTCTGGCTCCGATATCCTCGTCGGTCTCTGATTGTACCAGCATGACAGAAGGGTCGGCGGAGGGCTCAATAATGTCCCCACGGACCATCTCGACTGCAGACACAGAGGCTTGGTATGAGCTGATGCTGATAGCACCTGTTTCATCACCGCTGAGTACACATGTGACGAAGTCGGAACCGAAGCGTCCCGTGCGACTCCATTTGGTTGACTTGGGGTTTTGTGCCTGAAGGCGTGCGGCAAAGGCGATTTCCAGAGAGGACAAGAAGTATGAGTCGATGTGACGCTTGCATACCACCGAACCGTCTCCCTGGCCGCCATCGAGAAGATCTGTAAATATGACACCAACCTTTTGCAATCCGCAAAGACTAGCCACCTCATCTACTTCTTTCTCGTTGTGCCAATCGTGGAGCGTAACACCATCGACTTCGCCCATTTGTGGGGGCTCGTAGATTGCTTGCACAACAGCCTTGACACCCAGTGGTACTTCGGTGTACTCCTCATACGTTCCGTACAGAAAGCCAAGGCGCTGGGCACCAGACTTTCGCCAGAAGTCAAGAAGAGAGTTGATGAGATCTGGAGAGGCGAACTCCACGTGGTCAACCATCCGGAATTCCTGGGGTTGCAGACTAATGGCACTGGGTTGACACTTTGTGCAAATACCCTCCGGCCATGGCGAATGTCCCGATGGGCAGTCAGTTCGCACTCGGTAGTATGGTTCGTTGAGTGGTGGCATGAAGGAGGTTCCCATCTCGGGCTTATTGGTTGCAGCGTTGATCTTCCGCAGATATGAGTGGAACGAAAGATGCTTGATCTTCTTTTCGGCCATGTATTTCGCATCATATGGTTCGAGTGGCATGCAGTAATCACACATGCCTCGAGGGCCATGCTTGCACATCTTGTGATCCATATTCCGCTTGATCTTGCCATCTTTCTTGTCCAGCAGGTTGTCCAGCGGTGATTGCTTCACCACATCCCAGGGGTTCTTGATTGTTGCGGAGGAGGTTGCCTGGGGACGGATCGGAACAGTCTGTTGCTGGGGAATCGGAGCGCCATTTAATCGTCGCTCTGAGGCAGATGTGTCGCCGTTTGAAGGTCCATTCTGTTGTGTCTGTTCCTTGTACCCAATGAAGAGCTTATCACCGTGTCTTCAGGAGCATAAGTAATTTCCCGGCAATCTTAACAAGAATTAATACTTACTTCAGTCCGACTTGCTGAATTGAAACGCCTTGTAGGCCATCTAATTCTCTCTCCTCGCCGCCTGTGCCGATGGGTTTGTTTGAGATGGCAATGGATGAAGGATCGACACTTGCCGGGAGCTGCTCCACGATCTATCGTAGGCAGCAAAATCAGCTTATGAACTCAACCACATATTTCTGAGAAGACAGCGACAAAACAGTGACAGAAATACCTTTTGTTGAAGGGATGGGAAGAGCTCTGACGGGCTGACTGAGAATCGGAACTGTCCGTTGCGACTCTCAAAACGCAGAATGATCGGACGTGATGCCATGACTGAGAAATCTGGATCTCAAAGATAGAAGAGATGGAGTCACAGATGCGAAGGAACAGCTTAACTTGAAGCTTCCCTGGTCACGTCACAAGTCGGGCGGTGGGTAATCTGCTGAATGTCAGGGCGGTGAACAGACCCCGCCATAACTAAACTTTTTGATATTCACTTCGCTTGCTGTTTCTTGCATATTATGTATTATGGTATGTGATAATGATTCTCGCTTTTTAAGACTTCTTGATATAGCCCTCCTGCTGTATGACTAGAACACACTGGCTATAGTTTACTTCTATCGACACGTTGTACCTCAAGATCATAATACTGCCTGAAATGATCCAGACACCCTGGGTTCGCCACGGTGCTGCTGATAGTTTTTGGCAATTGACCCGATGAGATTACCTGCTTGACCAGGGTCTCGATCTTTTTGCCATTAACTGTCATGGGGACTTCTTTCACCCCAATCACAAAGCGAGGAACATGTTTACTGCTCAACCCTTTGCGAATTGCATCCTTCAGCTCGACTGCAAGTTGACCAGTGAATGAGTTGCCAGATTGCATGACCACAAACAGAAAAACCACTTCATCAGAATCATGAGGTCTTCTTCGACCGACGCATAAGGTTGCTGAAATTACCGAGTTGAGAGGAGCGGACTCAGTGATCGAGTAGATATCAGAGCTTCCGAATCTAATACCCTGTGGGTTCAGAACACCGTCACTGTAGGTATCAGTCAGTACGTGGACCACTAGTTTGACTTGGACTATCATACCTTCGCCCATGGATTTGCCAGCCCTTTGTTTGTGGATTATAGCTTGCCCAGTCATGCTGAGCCCAACAGTTCTCAAACCTGTCAAAATACGTACTCTTGTATTTCGCTCCATCTTTATCGCCCCAGAAAAAGACAGGCATTGATGGGAATGGCTTGCGACAGACAAACTCTCCATGTCTACCAGAGTGTTTGATTGATTCTCCAGTGACGGGATCAGCAACATCTACATCCTGCCCCAGCATAGGAAGCTGGATTTCTCCGGGATACAGCGGGCCAGCAGGATCGGTTCCAATCCAAGAAGTGACCAAGTCAGTACCTCCAGTGACACTGGTGAGGTGTACCTTTGGCGGGAATGCTCGATAAAACCAATGATATTGATCTTCACCAAGATGCGAGCCTCCTGTTTGCACCATGCGGAGAGATGACAGCTCAAACTCATCCTTTGGAACACAGCCAGTCATCTCGAGCTCCTGCAGATAGCGAGGCGAGCAGCCCCAGTAAGTGACTCGATGATACTCCGCGATCCCTGCCATTCCTTTCGCACTTGGCCACAAAGGTGATCCATCGTATAGAATCAGAGTCGGACCTACCGAGAGATGGCCGATCATGATATTCCACAATACCCAAGAGGTACTGCTATACTGGAAGACGACATCTTTTGGTGTGAGAGAGTTGTGCAGCACAGATGTCTTTTTGTGTTGTAGAATAACACTGTGGCTGTGGACCAGGCACTTCGGTTGGCCGGTAGTCCCGCTCGTATAGAGAATATAGAGGGGATGAGAATAGGGTACTCTCTTGAATCCGAGTTGGTCTTCTTGTCGTGACTTCGAGAGGAAGTCGTTCAGACTGGGAAAGGCTGGCTCGTGGGCGCCAGTGATTGGAATCAAAAACACCTGTGGCTTTATTTTCATGGCCTTGAAGATGCTTTGTATCTTGACAACATTGGATCGCATCTTCCCTTTGTACGTCGACTCGCCATCAGCAAAGAGTACGCGAGGGGTTACTTGCTGCAATCGAGAGATACAGCCCTGTTGTCTTTGATTAACCTGCACACCGGCATACTGTCGAATGATAACTCACTTCGTCACCCAAATCCGGCGCAATGCTAGTCCAGATGGCTCCAATGCTTGCTGTCGCCAGGAACAGGCCAACTGACCAAACGCTCGTGGATATAATTGCAGCCACCCGGTCACCTTCCTTGATTCCAAGTTGACGGAGAGCACTCCTTGCCTTTCGAACATTCTCCCTCAACAAGCTCCAAGTCCAAACCTCTCCATCTAGATCTTGACCCTCACGAACTCCAACAAGAGCAGTCTTTGTCAAGTCCCGACCAGAGAGCACATTCTCCGCATAGTTCACGCTTGCTCCACTGAAGAACTCAGGCAAACTTTGCATGGGCACACTGTCATCAAAGGCAGTTGTCACAGTCGGAGGCAACGACGGAATGATCCCCGTATATTGATGAAGATCGACCCAAAAGTCTTGTAAATTTTTAACAGACCATTGGTGCAAGTCTTGAGAGGAGCGAAGGCGCTGCTGGAACTTTTGGTTGATATGCGCTCGGTAGATGTTCATGGGAATCTGGTCTTGTGGCAACGTAGGTAGCCAAATAGGCTTTACTTGTGATGATTGGGCCATTGTACTTTCTTTATGATGTTTCAACAGTAATAAGCTAAGAATGCTGAGAGCGAATGCAGGGTCAGAATAGCCGCATTAATAGCCCATCGGCAATCGGCACATGCCTATGTAACCCCCACAGTTATGACCTCTGGAGGAGACGCGTCTCCAGGGAATTGTCATCCTACGGTATTCTTCGGTGATTGTCGGTGCAGGTCGGTGACACTTCTCGGTGACTTGTGTTGTAGATCAATCCCCGCACGGGGTAGACGGGGTACAGGAAATGGGATGAACTATAAGATTGGACTTGTGGCAGTCTGTATCTTAGCAAGAACGGGCTCTGTCTATTGTTATTGCCAACATGTCTGCTCCGCTGAAGTCCTCTACTGCAGACGAGGGGTTTATCCTTTCAACGCCGGCTTTGGAGAACCCGTACACCTCGGATGCAGTTTTTCTTCGAATTCTCCAGTGTAAGGATGCTTCTTGTGGTACTTTAGAAGTATTTCATACTGACTTTGACATATAGGGTATCTACCGCGTGATGTGTTGTCAAAAATCTTATCGGACCTGCAGCACTTCGGCTCCGAAGCAATCTCAGACGAGACCAACGGTTTGATTGGAAATGCCGAGACTCAGCTGCCATATATCAAGACACGCAATGTGTGGGGAGCGCGTTACCATGCCGATCGTCTGGTAACTAGTGCTGGTTGGAAGGGGCTGGGCAAATGGGGTATCAAGAATGGGTTGGTTCAGCTTGATGGTCATCTATTCCATGTACTAATTGCTGGTAAAGTGTAGTTGGGCTTGGATATGAAGAAACATTCGGGCCATATCGCAGAGTTGTGCAACATGCATTGTAAGTATGTTATCCAATTTACTGGAAGGTATACTAATCGTCCAGCAACTACATCTTCTCTGCGTCCTCCGCTGCCTATTCGTGTCCTGTCTCAATGACATCGGGAGCGGCACGTCTAGTTCGACACCAGATTCGGGATTTACCTTCCGATCATCCATTCCATGAACTCTATGCACGTCTCATTGCTCGCGAGAACAATTGGATTTCCGCGCAGTGGATGACCGAACGCCCTGGTGGCAGCGATGTTCGAAACAGCGAAACCGTCGCGGTTTACTCTCCGCTGCAATCGAAGACTGGTCGTTTTGGCAATATAGAAGAAGGGGACTACCTTTTGTCCGGGTTCAAGTTCTTTTGCAGTGCGACAGACTGCAACATTGTCTTACTTCTTGCAAAGACCGAGTCAGGAGAGTTGTCCCTATTTGTGGCACCGACATCTATAACAGGCACCGATGCCAGTGGGAAGAAGACTAAGTTATCAAATGGAATTCGTATCCATCGACTGAAGAATAAGATGGGTACGAAAGAGCTACCAACGGCCGAGATTGAACTCAAGAATGTCCGAGCCCATTTAATCGGCAAGAAAGATCGCGGCATTGCAACTATTGCCTTGTTGCTTAACACTACACGCACCCACAACTTCGTCACGGCTGTTTCGTGCCTGCGTCGCGCCTTGGATATTGCCAAAGCATTTGCCCGTGCTCGCAAGACCATTGATCAACCACTGTGGACATTCCCAATGCACTTGAATGTGCTTGCCCAGTTGGAAGTCAAGCATAGGGGTTGGCTCCAACTGGCTTTCTTCACTTCATCGCTTCTCGGCTTCGTCGACAACGGGTTCCCGAAAGAACTGCCTGCACATTACAATGTCCTTGCTAGATCTCCTACCGCAGCAACACTAGTTTTGCGGGCTTTGACTTCGACGTCCAAGGCTGTGATTTGTAAATCATCTACGTTAGCATTTCAGGAATGCCAGGAAGCAATGGGTGGAGTCGGATACATGGGTGAGTCTTTCTACTCAAAAAACCTCTCACCTAGACACTGACTATTCCACAGATGAGCCTGAAGAACCCGAGTTCAATGTTAGCCGGCTATGGCGTGATACAGCTAGCAACAGTGTATGGGAAGGAACAACCAATGTCCTTGCGAGTGAGACTGTGAGGCATTTGACCAATGGACGTAACTTGGAATCCTTCAGTGCCTGGATCAACGACTCAATTGGCTATATCACGGACGATGCTCTAAGAACCACTTTGAAAAATGTCTGGGCAGCCCTCGAGAAGAAGCTCGCAGTGGGACAAGACAACCGCAGTCTAGCAGGTGTTCTCGGGCTTGGTCGTCAGATAATGTTCACTCTTGCTTGGCTCATCAGTGGGATACTGCTCGCCATGGATGCCCAACGAGACAACGACAATGTTGCCTGTGAAGTATCTCACAGATGGGTTCTAGATGGACAAGGCGTACCAGCAGAATTCGCATTCCCTGAACTCATATATCAGCGCTCTGCAGACCAGCCTCGTGTTATGAGCGACCAGAGTCGGACTAATTGGGATTGTCTCATTGTTTGGGGAGCGGACCTTCCGACAGATTCTTCGACAGGATACCGGGCTAGAATTTGAATGGAGAGCATTTAAACATGTCTTACAATAGGGATCATAAATAGGTTCACACTGGCATGAACTATTGGACAATTTTAATACGAAATGCTCGAAGTGAGTTTATTATTTGATCCTTCTTTGTGCCTTAAGTTAACCTCTTTTTTGGCCACTTTCTCCACCGGTTCCGAGTGCCTTAATTTTACCACCTAGATCAGTTGAAAAGGATGGGGTGGGGTGCGTGAAAGGACCTTTGGATTCTGTTGTATGTAGCAGAGTAAGACTGTGGAGCTTTGAATCAGACAAGTCAAATATGGCAATGATGCAAACTATGGATTGGCTACTATGTTAGGCATAGAAGGCAAACATGAACATTGAGATAATACGACGTAGCTTAATTTGCAAATTGTTTCCAGTCTGCGAATAGCTTCGTTAACTACAGCTTTGCGCTTGCATTTTGCAACGACCGATGTCCAGATGCACGATTTGCAGGCAACTCAACACCCCAGGCGATGCGACAGTCCCACTGTAGATGCTCCTCGTCCGAAGAGACAGTGGTAGCAGAACCATGAGCTGTAGCGATATCATGGAATACCATGTCGCCCACGCCACCCTCGGCACTCAGGATCCAGCGACGGGCAATCTCCGTGCTTACAGGGTCACGATCACGTTCAGAGTCCAGCGCCAACAGGGCTCCGGAAACAATCCACGCAAGGGTGAACATGTAACGACGCGCATCGGCAACTATTGTAGCAGGGTCATTCTTCGAGAACCTAGCGCGAAGTGCAAACCAGGCAGAAACCAAAGCATCGCGTAGACTGGCTGTTTGAATAAGAGCCAAAGTACGATCAATCCATACTCTGAAGATGTTTAGATTATCCTTCTTGAGAAGAAATCGAACCATCTCACTGGCGAGGACATTGGTGGTTCCCTCCCAGATTGAATTAACCGAAGTATTCCGCAGGATGCGAGAGATGTTGAACTCGGGTTCGTCGGCCTCATCCATATAGCCGACTCCGCCCATGGACTCCTGGCATTCGATGATCCCATGGGTAGCCATCTTGCTTATTACAGCCTTTGAGGTAGCAGTCAAAGTACGGAAAACCACTTCGGCTTCTTTCCCAGGCTGTGGAAGGTGCGCGAGCTTCGTAGAAGCCGTCGATCTGTTCTCGACAAGCCCGAACAAAGCGACCGTGAACCAGGATAGTGCCATACCACCCCGGTGTTTCACTTCCAGATCTGCTAAAAGTCGGAGATGCATGGGAATCAACCAGAGAGGTTCTCCGACGGTAGTCCGGGCCTTGGCGAAGCTTTTTGTGATGCTAATGGCCCGACGCCAGCCGGACAGGGATCCGACAAAGGTATGGATGCGGGTGACATTGAGCAGTGGTGCGATGGTGACAATACCCTGGTCCAATTCACCGACTAGATGGGCACGCATATCCTTGAGTTCCAATTCAGCTGTGGGCAACTCCTTCGTCCCTAGCTTGTTTTTCAGACGGTGGATCCTGACTCCATTCGATACAACCTTGGAGACACCATCGGGTCCGACGACTGTCCGTCGGAGTGGCGCGAGGAATGTGCTGAGCTTTCCAGAGGGTGTTCTCGCGAGCAAGAGAGCAAGGTTGGCATCTGTCGCGGACGAAAAGAATTTGAATCCGTTGATGAGATAATCTCCATCGCCCAGCGGATCAGCCCCTGAGCCTTCGGGCAGGGGTAAGTATGTAGCCCAGGTTTCGGTGTTTTGCACATCACTTCCACCAGCTCGCTCGGTCATCCACTGTCCAGAAGTCCAATGGTCATCTCCCTCGGAAGTCAGCCCTTTAAAGGCAGCATGGAATGGGTGATTGACGGGAAGCTTTCCGATCCTAGAGGAAAGGATAAAAGCAGCCCCATCGGTCATACTGATCGGACACGAGTAAAGACCTGAAGAAGGGGAGTACAGGTAGTTTCTGTTGTCGTAAACAGTAAGTGACTATATCCCATCCATCTGAAAGAGTCCTCACAATGCATATTGAACTGTTCTCCTATCGACACCCAAGGCTGGATCATAACCCGCAGACACAATTCTAGTCACCTCAAGTTAGTCAACCTATGCAGTCTGATTTGCAGGGGTGCCTACCTGTTCCGAGCACCCCATTTGCCGAGTTGCTTCCAACCCTCAGTAGTCACCAATCGATCATAGTCATATCGTCTACCCCAAACATTATGGCTTTTCACGTAAGGTTGATTGCGCTCAGCGTCACCGCTCCATTCACGGATCTGGTCGGAAATAGCCTCGGCACCGAGCTGTGTGAAATGCTGCTCTACAGATTGCAGTGTCGCGGATGGAAGGTACCCTAAAAGAGTTAAGATTCGATCTTACTTCGTTTACTTCGTAACGCAACGAGTGCTTACATGAAAGCGCTCGTTGGAGGCTTGTATCGGAAGAGTATGTGTTGTCCAACGGACCAGGCTCGGTCATATAGCCAATATCCGCAGTCGCCGGCTGAGGGGCAGATGATGGAGACATTGCACGCTGAAGTTATTGAGTGAAGAATGTAAAACAATATCTGGAATGTCAAAATGCGGGGAAAGTTGAGTTGACTGACTCTCAGGTGTACCTCGGTCCCAGTTGACGTCGCTCGGCTCGTATAGCCTCCGCAAAAGCGCCGAAGGCGGCTCACTGCTTTGATGGTAGGCACGACAGGTCTGATAATGATATCGCTGAGGCTAAAGGAAAAAAAGAAACGTTGGCCTCCCTAGAGAATGAGTCGCCCTAGACCTCTCCCACGGCTGCCAGTCTACGTAATGTGCCGTCTTCAAGAGAATTATTATTTCATGACCTCAAAACTAAACTTTTGTTTTCCTGGCGATGATATAATGCCTTTCACATATCGTGTAAGGTGTTGTAACCAGTCTCGATCAGACTTCTGGGTCCACGGGCATCAGAGCAGACATGCCAATAAAACAGTCCTCCTAATTTCGACGACGTCACATACTTTGCTTTCTGTTGCACTGTGTCAGGGGTATCGTATGTGACAAATCCTCCGTCTCCTCCAACACAAAATGATGCTGCTGCCTGTTTGTCGTGGTACTCTTGGGTCCCTGGCCGCGGCAAATCGCGATAATCAAAGACACCCTCCTCTCCACCATGGCCAGTGTATCGTTGGCCTGGTCCGGTGCTACCTAGGAATGACCGTCCATAGACTGGAACACCAAGGATGACCTTTCGACGAGGTACTCCCTGGGAAACCACATAGTCCACTGCCGATTCACCAGAAACACCTGGTCCGGAAAGCTTGGCATGATGACCGCTTTCAGGGTCCCATGGACCAGCGAAATCGTATGCCATCAGGTTCAACATGTCCAAATATTTGGATGCAGCGCCGAGATCGATGTTCCGCAGGGCCCACTGACCAGCGGGAAGGCAGGTAGCGAGGACGTATCGCGGGGCGGGAAGCACTTCGCGTAGGCGTGCAAGCATACGGACATAATCTTTTCCTTGTTTAGGGTCCGCCGGGTGCTCCCAGTCAACTATGCAGCAACATGATCAGCTACATCTCTCGATTAGAGCAAACTGTTTAGGGAAGCAACACGGAAGCTTACCGTCGATACCGTCAAGTCCGAACTGATCCACTAATCCCCGCGCGGTACGAACAAACGTCTCCAGCGAGGACTTATTGCGGGCAACAGCAGCGAAGTTCTCACTTCCTTTGCCACCTCCTCCAACGGAGAGAATGACTCTCATCTGAGAGTACTGCTGCTTCAGCTGAACGAAGGCCCGAAGGCACCCCTCGGTGCCGTCAACCGGCATCTGGGTATCAGCCCACTCATCACTCAACTGCAACCTATCAGCAAATGTTCAATAGTGAATCATTTCCCTGCGTACATAAACAGTGCCGTCTTCTTTCACCCTGCATGAGACCAGTTCGAGGTTAGCGCGTCAGCCAATCTCGCACACTGGATAACCATGATTGGCTGTTCATACCAGGCAAATGCATAGAACACATGTGATATAAATCCAAGTCTCAATGAAGAGGGAGGCTCCTTTCGATAGATTCTCCAGTTTGGATAGTACGCCGCGTTAGTGTAAAAGGGCACCTCATAGGCGCTCTCCGAGGTGGGGTTGCGATCCCGTCGGCGAAACAGAGCACTGGCAGCCGAGAACATTGTGTGTTTGATTGATGAATCTCGCGACGAATATAAACAAAAGAAGAAGAAGAAGAAGAAGAAGAAGCTGTGGGGAAATGTGGTTTCCTGTTTTGGAATCTGTCACGTGGACTGTTTGCTCGATGATGCAGGAGTAACAGGTACAAAACTCATCTTTCTCCCCCTTTGGTGTGACCAGGCGATCAGTAATGGATACAATGTGCGGGGTGGATGCGCGGCATGAGTTCCACATGCATGAGGTTTCCAAAGTACCCAACGGCTAATACCTGCATCACTGCCACTTGTGATGCTTCTCGCGGGTTACTATACTGGGGCAAGGCTCAGGTCCCCAAGCGCTCAATACGGGGTAACGGTATAAACCCCGGGTTCCGGTGAGATCTGACAAGGGTAGTGAAATGAGGCATTCCAATTGGCTTGATCTGCATAAGCAAGAATGCACCCCGTGATACTTGCAGAGTTTGCGCAGCCGATCCCCGGAACTCGTATGTTCGACGCCTCGCGCATCCTGCGTCAATTCTGGCCCGGTGGACAAGAACGGCACTTCGCTACGATGTAGCTTGGAACTAAGATTTGCTTTTTTTCCGATCAGTTGGAAGATCTTGGATCGTTAAATCGGTTAGCAGCGGAGATGATTGGCTGAGAATGAGCTTATTATATGAGGCTAGGGAAGTATAGGCAGGGATGTCTATGGCCCCCAAAGCAATTCGCTTTTCCGCGCTGATCTCTCGGTCTAGAATGCTGACGTCTGCAGGGGCCCTGTCTAATTACAGCATTGCACACAACTGCGAACCATGTTCAAGCTAATAGCTTTGGGTAATCAACATGATGCCCAATTAAGGCAGCTGAACACTTAGCGCTTGTTTTGAAACACCAGTTCGGCCTAGAGGCGATGATCAGGAGATGATCAGGAGATGATCGGCCAATCTGTACATGCTTATGTATACCTCGCTTCTCTTTGGTCACGACAGCTTCATGGCCTTGTTCAGTTGCGCCCATCTCTTTTCTCTCTCGGAGCCAGACTGTGGTTCAATCAGGCCATTCATCTTCCACAAATCTCTCAAAGCCTCCGCAATGAGATATTCCCATTCCATTTCTTTTGTCTCAAAAAATAGATTCGGGATATTGCCAATGCCGGTCAAGAATTTCTGCTTCATTGCGTCACTCTGGAACGCACGAGCAACATGATAGATCGTCACGGCGGCGAAATGAGGGTGCACTTTGCCGCCAACAATGGCTGTACCGGGAACATCCTCGATGAAATGGACTTGAACGTAAAATGCAGGGAGACGTAGAGATCGGTGATTCGACTTGGCGAGTGGTTCTTTCTCGGTCGGGATGATGTTGTTTGGACTATGTTTGATGTACCAGACAGGTACTTGGAGGTTTGTTCTAATGATTTACTGAAACTGATAGAGACTGGTTTCAAGGTGGATGATCATATCGCCAGCTGGTTCTTACGAGATTGCTCTTATAGTTTTCGACAGCTGAAAAGCCCCTTCACGGAATATATTAGGCATGATCATCGTTAATCGATGCATTGGATATGCCGAGCTTCATAGAATACTCTAGGTGTCAGTTCGGGGAGATAGGGTGATATAAAATTATTTAATTCGTTGGTGACCCAATGGGTGGCACCCTACGGCTTTGATCATTTCATCAACCTCGGCCGAACTTGGATTACAATATCAAGCAACGTGGTTTTCTTTGAACGGTCATGCCAAAAATGAGTATGAAATATTTATCGATTACTCTTCATTAATTATTAGTCAATCTTGATTGTCCATTAGGACATGACACCACCGTCGGTCGAAGTGTGGGAACTGAAACTATCGGGGGTTAATTGCACCGTTCTCGATCACAGCTATTGACAGAATACAATAGATTTCAGATGACAAATTCATAAATTGGATCCATGTGTATATAAGCGACACTAATAACGGCCCCCAGATTTGGTCTCCTTCACCCCGCGGCACACAACAAAGGACACATCACCATGTCGAGAGGATTGATCTTCATAACTGGCGCCACTGGCTTTATTGGCAGTGCCACTGCTGTTGAAGCACTCAAGGCTGGTTATAAAGTACGACTTTGTCTGCGCAAACCCTCTGAGCAGCTGCAATCTGTCCTCTCCGAATACAGCAATCAAGTCGAATATGTTATCGTTCCAGATCTCACCAGTGAAACGGCATTCAATGGCAAGCTAAACGACGTGGACTACATTTTCCATCTGGCATCACCCCTTGTTCATGGAACCAACAAGGAGACATATTTCACCCCGGCTGTGAAAGCCACGACTTACTTGCTCAAGGCCGCAGCCAAGATTCCCAGTATCAAGAAGGTTGTTGTGACCTCTTCTGTTGCTGCGTTGATGCCAATGACTGGCGTTCCTGCTGGAGGAGTAATCAAAGGTAAGATGCCCTCGGAGATGTTCCTAAGTTCGTGTCAGCATGATGTTAAAAGCCTATATAGAGGACAATGACTGGGACTTCTCCGTCGATGAGAACGGCTCATTTGAAAATCCAGAGAACCCAGCAGCAACACCCATGCGTCTGTACCAGGCTTCCAAGCTCCTTGCCAACAAAGCAACCTGGGACTTCCGGGCAACAACCAAGCCACACTTCGCATTGGTGACGCTGCACCCAGTATTTGTATGGGGCCATAACCCTATGCAAACCTCAGCCGAGGAAGTTGCAGCAGGATCCAACGGCCTTCTCTGGAGTCTGATCATGCAAAACAACGGCGCTGCAAGCAGAGGTGTTCATATCCAGGATGTGGCCGAAGCGCACGTCAAAGTGCTGGACCCAAAAATTCCTGATGGCTCGAAGTATTTGCTGGCTGGACCCAGCGAAACTGGTCCTGCGATTACAAGCATTGTGAAGAGATTGTATCCTGATTCTGGGGCCAAGATCACCGAGGATATTCAGCTTGCTTCATCGCCACTCGATACCACCAAGGCGGAAAGAGAGCTTGGGATCAAATGGCGTTCTTACGAGACGATGATTACAGATGTGATGGATCAACAGCTTGGATTTTATCACAAGCTGTAGAATTAGAGCATACATCAGTCAAGCTATATCACGTCCAATCTCAATAAAGACCTGATATAAATGCCGTCCTGGTGGTATAATTTGTGTAGCAAATGATTTTTAATGCGAATGAATAACCAAACCTAGAGATTACGGCCAAGTTCCAGAGCTTGCAAAATCATATGAGACAATGGATATTGCTTGTAACCTGTAACAAATCGAAAACCGCTCTCTCACGGCCCGTAAATAGTGACAAATGCAAACCAGCCAAACATTTGCCACCTGATTTGTAAGGCGACAACCGGAGAACATCCTAGACAGCTCTTTCACCATGCGAAGAGTCGTTCCTCTCACACGTGAACATCTGCCTGCTGTTTCAACAAATTTAACTCAAGAAAGATTGAGACACTGATCTCACTATTTCCTCGCTGAAATTCTGCGCCCAAGAGAGTCGTGGTCGCGTCGAGCGCCTTCACTTACCTCTGCGCCTGTCATCTCCTTGAGCTTCGCTCAAGCTCAGAAACATCATGGCTGCTGACACACAAAGTGCCGCTGTGCAATTCATCTCCGCTGAACCTACCCGCGATCCAAGCTACAACGACTTCACTTTTACACCCTTTCTCCGCAAGAGCTTCGGCTTCGGACTCGCCAGCGATGTACCCGTCTGCAAAGCCTATAGTGAAGGACACTGTCCACTGGGGCCTGCCTGTCCAGATCGCCATCCTACTCCATCCCGTGTGACAACGTCGACCACCACAGCCTCCGGAATGGCACCTTCTACCACACACGGATCACTGGTCTGCAAGCATTTCCTCAAGGGCTTATGCAAGAAAGGCTTGAAGTGTGAATACCTCCACGAATACAACCTGCGACGAATGCCCGAATGCCAATCATTCTCACGATCCGGATATTGTACCAACGGGGACGACTGCCTTTACCAACACGTCCGGGAAGAGGCCCGCCTGCCACCTTGTGAACACTACGACCGCGGATACTGTGAGCTGGGACCTCTCTGTGCAAAACGCCACGTCCGTCGGCGCCTATGTCTTTTCTACCTGGCTGGCTTTTGTCCGGAGGGAAAAGGCTGTGCCGATGCTCATCCCCGATGGACAGAAAACCTCCCACGACCCACTATGCGCACTGAGAAGACAGAGGAAGAATTGGAACATGAAAAGGCCCTCATTCGGGAAGAACAAGAACGCGAGAAGGAACGGGAAAGGGAATGGCGAAGCGAGAGGGGGCGGGGTGGTGGTTTCGGCCGTGGGCGCTTCCGTGGGCGCGGCAGGGGATAGCTGGACCTCTTATCTGTCTGTTTTTTTTTATGGGCGACATTGCATGGCATGGAGTGTACCCCGGTAAGGGGGCTTGGTTTACGGTTTTTGTTGGGCCAGTAGATACCCCAGTTTGGATTTCAGATTCAAATAAATATGCCCCATTATTTTCCATGAGTTGGTTCAGTTGGATTCACCGCCATTGCGTACATCACTGTACTGTAGATGTATGTCCGTACCGTATAGTGCTGGCACCAGTATCCATTTTAGGTTCCCCCACCGGAGGGAACCCACCCGAGTCAGCTTACAAGAAACTTAAGAAGCCCAGCATATGTTCGCAGCTACAGGCTCATGCTCGCAAGCAGGGTGTAGCATCATGGTTGGAGTGTATGACATCATGACATCTCAAGGGTTATGTTTAGCAGAATCGCTAGTCCAGGATGGTAGCAAGATGCTAGATAAAATAGTATGATTCCGTGAGAAATAACAAGGGTTCGCAAAGAAACACTAGACCAACGCCCCCATTCGAGTAGATTTTTCATTTGTCAGTTCTCAGTAAGAATGGCCTAAACATGAGCTATATCCGGGTGGATCCTTTACAACCAATCATAGAGTGCATATGCTCTGTCATCGATGACTGATTTGCTCTGTAACACTGCGGGCAACGTTGCTAATCGCGGAATGCCAGGCGATGGCTTTTGATATAAAGTCCTGTACGTCCCGGCCCCCTCCTCTCATTCCTCAGTTTCTTCACAAACCCTGAATATCATTCATCATGGCTCCCAAGATTGCAATTGTCTACGTATGTATCACTCCAATCCCTACCTCGTCTTTCACTAACGGTCATAGTACTCGATGTACGGTCACATCAAGACCCTGGCCGAGGCTGAGAAGAAGGGCATTGAGGCCGCCGGTGGTTCCGCCGATGTTTTCCAGTGCGTGTCACCCTCATATCTGACACGACTATTGCTAAACATTGCCTAGGATCGCCGAGACCCTCAGCGAGGATGTGCTGGCCAAGATGCACGCCCCCTCCAAGTCCGATGTCCCTATCATTGAGCCCACCGAGCTCCTCGACTACGACGCCGTCCTTTTCGGTATCCCTACCCGCTACGGTAACTTCCCTGCTCAGTGGAAGACTTTCTGGGACAAGACTGGCGGCATCTGGGCCAAGGGTGGCTACTGGGGCAAGTACGCCGGTCTGTTCGTTTCCACTGGCACCCAGGGTGGTGGTCAGGAATCGACTTGCTTGGCTGCGATGTCGACATTGGCCCATCACGGCTTCATTTATACACCGTTAGGGTATCGCACTGTCTTCCCTCTGCTCTCCAACCTGGACGAGGTCCACGGTGGCAGTGCCTGGGGTGCCGGTACTTTCGCCGTAAGTCAAAATTCCACCCCAACTTCATGATATAGGCTGACAAATACAACCATAGGGAGCCGACGGTTCTCGCCAGCCTACCGCCCTGGAGCTCGAGATTGCCACTGCCCAGGGTAAGGCTTTCTACGAGACCGTCTCCAAGGTCCAGTGACTGCATGGCAGTGCCGAGTCGAAGCCGGAGAGCTCGACCCCTGCTACGGCGCCAAAGAAGACAGAGGCTCCCCAGCAGCAGGGTTCTCAGGAGCCAGCTAAAAAAGAGAAGGACAATGAAGGACCATGTGGTCTACCCAAGAAGTGTATCATTCAATGATTGGACCTTGTCTTTTCTTTTTTCTTAGCTATTCTCCTTGGGGCGTTCTCTAGGCGTTTCATTTAATGATAATATATAACGCTAAAGTATATAGTCATTCTATACCTCTCATGGAAGACAATTGAACTATTAACGCTGGCGTCCACAGTAGCTCGTAGTCCGAAGTATATAAATCTGGTGACGATTCTGCCCACTCTCACCGCCCGCTAGATCGTACTGTTCCTAAGCCCGTAGACTGCTTTGAATAGCTCTCTTCCTTTCTCTTCTCCATGCCATCCTCAGTATCGGAATTTCGTTACCTCTATTCTCCTCTTTATAGAGATTCTGATGGCTCAAGTCCCGTTTCCAACCCTATCGGTGGCACTTAAGCCATTGTTGAGCAATCGTAGCTCGGAAGTTCAAAAAAGTATATATTGAGAAGATTTTGAAGAGATATCGTATATATTATTACCCCCTGGCACCTGGAAGCTTTCCCCTCTTATCTGAGTGCTCACCAGTGAAGGTAAGCGCCTCGTTAGACATCCGCTTATTTAGTTTTATTTTCCACACAGATGTTCGCTTGCTCCGATCATCTCCAAGAAAGCACGCGTCACTAAATCCAAGATTGCTATTAATCAACTCGATCCCGTTATTTGGAAAAAAACCCGGAGACTGATGGCCGATGACCTGATAATCTTTCTTGAGGGAGAATAGGAAAAGCAAATCTGTATCGCATAAGATCGGGATATAAGACAGGAATCGAAGGTTGGCACAAACGCTTTCGTGCTGGGGAGACATTATTGGAACTTCGATTGTGGCTGTGTCAATGCAGTTCTTTGAACCATTTCCACAATCCTCGGCGCGAGCAACCAATGCCTGTGTCTCACGGCCAATAACGGTGGCCAATCCATGCTGGACCCATTGAACAGGCGACAGTTTCAAGTCACTTAGTCGCACAGAATGCGTCTCAGCTTTCTTCTTGCTTTTGCAGACTGGCCCCGCCGAGGATTCACGAAACGGAACAGTGTGCGTGGCCGTCTGGGCCAGCAGTTTCCTGGAAATCCGGTTGATTGTCGGCAGTGGCTCATCATGTGTGAGTTGGAACTCCATATTCACCGATAGGATCGAAGAGATCCATTGGAGGCTCCATAGGAAGAGCTCAAAAACGAGACTGGGTTTGGCTCCCATGCCGAGAATCTGAACTTGCCTTTCACAGTTTGCGGTTGACCTTTTCCGAGAAGACGCAATGACGAAGAAGGTTGCAGGAGATCAGAAACATAGGCAGGAGGCATGGTCTTTAGCGCGTGAATGATTCGAACTTGGTCAAACGCTGATCCCAAGAGCTGATCATCTGCATGCACAGGAACCCATCTGTCAAGACTCGATAGGGCTTGAACGCGTCATCCTCGATTGGTTGCTGTAATTCCAAGAATGTCCGTTGCCTGTATGTGCTGACAAGCGAAAAGATCGAGTTACTTGCGATTCGTGATTGGCCTGGGGAGGCACCCATTAGCTTCGAATATGAGAGCAGAACGTGTCAACCCCGAAGGGAAAGACTTACCACGAAAGGCAACCTCATCCGTTCCTGGCCGAAGAAGGTGATTCACAGTAATCCACACATAGCTCCTGATGGTTCTCCAGTCCTATATAAATCACGCTCATTAGCAGGATGCTCAGATAGCTTTATTTTGATGCTCTTGCTAACTTCTTTGCTGGGATGCCGTCGTGATGGTCAACCATGGTGATGCGACCAACTTCTTTCACGCCACAGAGAAAACATCGAAATGATATCTAGAGACGATTGACTACAGATCAATAAGCTTGATTGAACGTGATGGTTTCAGAGCTCGGAGAGGTGTACCGAGATCGGGTACATGCACCCGGCTGCATCGGGATCGAATCACACTAGAATCCCAAAGAAGCAGCCTGAACGTCTTCTTTATACTTCTCGATGGTTAAATACTTTTCAAGAGCATGCCAGTATAGGACGCTGCCAACTCACGGCACAGTCAAGTCGGTCCCCGTAAACCATCCAGGACGACCAAAGAGCGCAACAACAGCTGACATTGCTGTGATGAAAGTTTTGAAAGGATGTCAGAACTGACAGCCCGTTCGATATAACCAAAACGGTGAATTGTAGAGGTTACTTGGCTCATAAACGTCTACATCTGTTAAATGTCATTCATCCGCGGAAGCGGCAACCGAGAGCGAAGGCGGACGCAGCACCCGAACGTGCAATGGAAAACAAACCCCCCGATATCTCCAATCTCGTATGACTCCTCCACATTAGCTACACCATGGATATCGTGCAACAACTCGAACAGAATCCCCATGGGGAGGTTATCAAATGCATTGACATGCACACTACGGGCGAGCCGACCCGCATCATCTACTCCGGGTTCCCTCATCTTACCGGCACCCTCCTGGAGAAGAGAGACCAAGCCAAGAGCCAATACGATAATATCCGCAAGCGCCTCATGCTCGAGCCACGCGGTCATTATGCCATGTACGGCGCCATCATCATTCCGGAGACAGAGCTCGTTCAGTCGGGTGAGGCGCACGTTGGTACATTGTTTACGCACAATGGAGGATTCTCCACAATGTGTGGACATGCCACGATTGCGCTGGGCCGATTCTTGGTTGACACTCATGACTTGAACGTGTTTCCGCGACGCGATGAATTAAAGCCAGACCTAAACACCCGCGAGGTGAAGGTCAACCTCCATGCACCGTGTGGCCTTGTGCGCGTGGTGGTTCCAACTACCGCAGATGGACAGAAATCGGATCCATCTCGTTCAGTCACATTCCTCTCAACACCGGCGTACTGCGCCGCGACAAATTTGGAGGTACCTATCCCGCCTGAAGTGAGATGGCCGGAGCTGGGCGACAAACCCTCGATCAATATCGATATTTCGTATGGTGGTGCTTACTATGCATTGGTGGATATCCATGAGCTTGGATTCAATGGACTGCGCAATTTCGACTTCGAAGCTGTGACGGTCGCCGTGAAAAGGCTCAAACGCCATTTGGTTACTCTACCCAATGTATCTGAAGCATTGCAGCATCCAGAAGATAAGAGGCTGTCTTTCCTGTACTCTGTCATGGTCACAGATCTTTCCATCGGACATCAGCCCAATGGCGTTGACGGAGCTGAGACTGGCCTTTGCTTCTTCGCTGAGGACCAAGTTGACCGATCCCCGACCGGCTCTTGTGTGGCTGCACGTATGGCTCTGGCTCATGTAAAGAAGACAAGAACGACGAATCAGCCCTGGGCATACAACTCACTCGTCTCAAATCAATTCAACACCGGAGCCTTTGCGGCAACGATTGTTGAGGATAATATTCGCATTGAAGGCGAGAATAGCCAGTCGCGACAAGGAGTCATCGTTCGTGTCGAAGGCAAAGCTTATTATACCGGTACAATGACCTTCGTTGTTGAAAAGGACGATATTACAAGTGAGAGCGGGTTTGTTTTGCAAGCTTGTACATAGTAAACCTCGGGTTATTTTGACCCCAATCGTTCGCATTGTATCCGGGAATCACCATCCCAGTTGAGAGATTGACATCTCAGTCACTGCCATTGAAAACATCCAGTTGTTGAGCAAAAGTTGGGATTTTGTGTATGATCCACACCGAGATCTCTCATAGTTCGCACCCACTCGGTAAGAGGCTATCCCGACATTGTTTAGAACGATGGATGTAACGTGTAACGGCCAGTACCCTGGCCCAAAGGATCGAGGGGATCATTGCCGCAGGGAGTACTTGATATTGGACACTGGAAGAATTCAGCACGATAGAACAGTATAACGTCAAATGCCCTCTCCACCGTAATCCGTGAGAGAGGATGACATGTAAATCCGGTTCCATTGAGAAGCAGTAAAGAGGGGACATAATTATACAGCAAGGAAAAAATATAGTTGGATATCAGTTGAACTTTTTCCCGAAACGCCAATCGCCGAATATACCGATCAAACATTGAGCAGCCAAGAACCACTCCAGTCAAACCCAGCCCCTTCCCAGTTGTTGCTAAATGGGTCAAGACTAACATCAAGAGCCGCAATATCATAATTATCTTGTCCCGGCTGGTCATCAAGTGACCGAAGAGTATCATTTGGATCTTGGATTTCCGCTAAAGAGCATGTCGGCTCAATGCCCATGTTGCCATTCGGTTCTGATGATTGCCCGATCAGCCGCCATTGCTTGCACAATTTCGTGTCGAAGCCTTCGAAGAATGAGGCTGCGTCTGAGTCAACTGTAGGTGAGGGACCATCGAATGGACCCAGTTCTCGGACTTTACCGGTGAGTTTGTTCAACGCGCGCAGGGGGCCGACTGCCGAAAGCCACCGCTCAGATAGCTTTTGGAGGGCGAGCTTCATGACGGTTAATTCATGTTCGGCTGTGCTCTGGAGGTGTGTGTAGCGACAGCTGGAGAGAAGTGAGAGGCCGGCACATAGAGGATAGAAAGCGAAGACTGGGCCCAGGTATCTGAGTTCGTCTCGAAGCAGGAACTCTTCATATATTCCAGCAATAAATGAAGATGCGACCAGCGATGCTGCGGGTGGTACACTATTTGGTGTCGGTGAGCGATGTAAAATCGTGAGTACCACGAAATACATCACCAATAGTTGGTGGACTTCCAAATTACAAATATCTGCATCTTCTTGGACGGCGACACTGGCTTGCAGCTTGGGAATAGCCTGCTTTGCCCATCTGTAGACAGCATTCTCGAGATCGACTTGTCTTTGACGAGAGATTTCTTGCCGTAGATGAGATTCGACTGTGTCTCCCAGAAGACGAGCTATTGTGCAGTAAGCTAGGAAAAGTTGCGCTTTGAAGTTGTTCACAGGGAAATCATTAAGGGACGGCGGAAGCACGTCGCTGTCCCGCAGGTTGATAGTCCGTGGCCGGCCAACACCGACAGAGATAATATTATCTCGCACCTGAAAACGTTAGATCATGCTAATTGATTCAAGCCATTGATACTCACCACTAAAGACCACCACAGCCTCCGGCGAAGACCCCGATCGCGAGAATTGGGCGGTGGCTCTTTATGCAGTCCGATTTGAAACGCCATCGCGCCAGCGGTTCGAATCCAAAAGCCACTGGTATCAGTTGAGACATCCTCGGGTCCAACAGGATTATACCAATGCAGGAGACAAGCAGCGACAATAGAAATCAGTGGATGGTCGCATCCACCAAAGAAGAAAAGCAGCTTGGCGCGTCGATAAAACACCTCACTAGACCCGTAGTCCAAATGGGCTTTGGATACTCTACTTCCGGCTAAAAAGATTGCTTGAAGGAGCAGCATAGACGGTGGTGTGCTCTCGTCTAGCCATTTGGGGTCAACGACTGGTGTCCAGGGTGCACAGTGTGCATGAAAACTGGCCATTAATTCATTTTGAACGGATAAAGGTGGGACCTCAAATGCGCCTTGGTCGCGGAGCATCTGCAGGTCTGTTGTTGAGGCTTTGGGGTTGGTGTATGTGGTCTCGCGACCGGGTTTGACCATATTTTCATCGAAGGGGACACTGCCGCCTAGATACTCGCTGCGGCCGCGATAGCTCTCTTCCTTGATGAAAGGCTCATTGCTTGGCAGGGTTGCATTGTTCAATGGCTCAGCAGGCCTGCTGGATGATATGCGCCGTGAGGTTTGCTCTGAGGCGACGGGCTGTGAGCTCCGCGGAGTCTGACTCAACGCAGAGATTGAAGCATTCCGTCCTGGCGACAGGCTGTTGGTGAACCTCTTGCGCTTTCTTGTATATGGCCTGCATACGATCAATACTGTGTTACATCCTCATCATCGGGTTTACTTACCTGCACTCCACATCGGACTTTTTGCAGTTGGTGCATGGGTCCTGCGTCGCGAAGTCGCATTTAACCTAAAAACAGTCAGCAACATTCCTCACAGCTGAAGTACTTGCAACACCTTTCTCTTATGGCATATGATACATGCCGAGGACATGACGCTCCGATTGACAGCTCAGAGCCGAGTGACGGAGAGAGTTGGAGGTCAAGCGGGGGTTTGCCGAGGCCACGGAGTATAAAGTCAACGACAGTCAATGACAGTCAACGTTCATCTTCACCAACTTGATACCTTCGACAATGGACTTAGTAACGACTGATCGCTCATATCCCGGCGTTCTGGTGATTACTATCAATCGCCCAGAAAGAAAGAATGCCGTCGACCCTCCAACAGCCAAAGCACTCTATGAAGCAATCCGCGCCTTTGAAGATGACCCAAGCCAGAAAGTGTGCGTCTTGACTGGTGCTGGCAGTACATTCTGCGCAGGAGCCGATCTTCACAGTGTTGCGCAGAACACATCTGGCGAAAACCTGCAGCCTGTAGAAGGTCGCAATTTGGGGCCTATGGGTCCTTCCAGGCTGGTTATGCAGAAGCCTGTTATATGCGCTATTGCGGGATATGCCGTTGCAGGAGGGCTTGAATTAAGTCTACTAGCAGATCTACGTGTCGTTGAAGAAGATGCAGTGCTCGGTGTGTTTTGTCGCCGCTGGGGTGTGCCTCTGATCGACGGAGGGACGGTCCGTCTGCAGGCCATTGTTGGTCTTGGTCGTGCGTTGGATATGATCTTGACTGGTCGGCCTGTCGGTGCCCAGGAGGCTCTTGCGATGGGACTGGCCAGTCGTGTGGTTCCGAAAGGGGAATCATCGAAGGTGGCTATTGAAATAGCACAGCAGCTCATTGCATTCCCCGAGCTTTGCCTCAATACAGACCGGCGATCGTGTTACTACAGTGCTTTCGATGCTTCGTCTTTCCAGGATGCCATGTCGAAGGAGTTCAAGTCTGGGAGCAAAGTGATTACGGCGGAAGCTATTGCAGGTGCCGCCAAGTTCAGTAAAGGCTCAGGGCGACATGGCAATTTTAAGGATTACAGCAAGCTGTAGATCACAGTGCATATTAATAAGTTTGTTGGTTGAATTTGTGGCCAAGTCGACAGATACAGTCGTCCAAGGCCGTCTTCGTACTAATACAGGCCAAACGAATATCACAAAGATTCAATATGGCACGACTATTATATAACTACCATAGATCAACGACGTCTTTAGTTGGTCTTCTTTTCTTTGTTACCAAGCTCCTCTGCTGTAAATTGAACCCGCTTGCCATAGAGCAAGGGAGTGCGAGATACAAGGGAGCCAAGTGCGTATCCAATATAAGCTCCGACGAGGATTGTGATGGGGAATGCCTGCCATGGCCGGTCCCTGTAATTCAACATTAGTCATGCCGTAGTATAGAATCTAGCGCCGGACTCACCAGTCAAGAGGGATAGGGATGGCGCCAAACCACGCTCCAAGGCCAGAGCCAAGTGCACCACCCCAAACTGCGTCGGCTGGACGAGCAATACCCCAGACCTCGTTCCACACTCCACGGTCTGTACCGTGGGCGTAGATCAGGGATGTAGCACTTAGAACGGCCATGTGTGCTGCACATAGGACGGTCTCGGCATTGTGTGTTGTGAGCGGGGCGCCGAAAAGAACGAGTACGAGGGCAAGAACTGGAGTGGCCAGGAGGAAGGTCAGGGCGAGCGAGAGCGTGGCCGGCTAGAGAAAGGGTTAGCAATGAGTGCTTCCACGTAGTGGAATATCCGTACCAATAACCGGGACCAAATACACGTCCAGCTGTTGGTGTACTTGCGCTTGCTAGCCTTTCCATGGCGACCACCACTTGGTCCAGATGTTGACCGAGGGCTGGTCTTGCCGTCGGCCGGAGCGGACACGCTCGACTCTGTTGACGAGGTCGACCCGGCGGGCGGGAGACAGATCACCGCGTATGAAATTTGAATGGCAGTGAGCCATGGCAACGTTTTTAGGAGCTCCTTGGTAGGATTCTCCACCAATCCTTCAAATCGCGTAGCACATAGTGTAAGGAGGAGTGCTGGGTGCACAACGGAGTAAATGCGCGCAACCGGCGAGGAGAGAATATTGACAGGGGGAGCGGAAGGCTTTTCAGCAGAGACCGTCGGTGTTGGAGGCCCTGATGCAGAGGTATCTGAGGCCATTGCGCCGTAGAAGTTGAGACTTGAATAGCTCCGGCTTGTTCGGGATGAAGTGGAGGGTCTGATTTGACGTGTTGGCCGCTGTTTGCCTTGGTGCCTTATCGCCTCAATTCTCAGGCGACAACTCTACCACCAACAACCAATGTGCGACAATCAGCCTGCTTAACTATTGGAATATCAGGCAAAGTACATCCAAGCCAAATATATCACAGCTGCCTAATTGGACATAATTTTTGGAAATCTCGACACAAAGGATACCAAGGTGATATAGTCACACCGTCTACACAAACAAATCAGAATAAATGAAAAGCCTATTGTTGCCGTGGGGTTCATATCAATAAATCCCAGAGCGATATCATAAGCGTGGCCTCAGATTGAGAACTGATTGGAACGCGGCAAGAGAACAAAACAGACCGGCTGCAAATCGCAGAGACAAACGTACATTCATACCACATGGCAACATGATCAACAGGAGTCCGAGCTTTATAGACCCGGGGAAGAAGTCAAGGTAGAAGAACAGGGGGGTAAAGAATACAAGGGGTCATTTGGACGGCATCAACTTGACATCCGTAAACGCAGATAAGTCATGGGGAAATGCAAGGTCACATTTTCAAAGATCCCGTCTCAGAAAAGGGGGGAGAGACCTTGCTTGAGAGCATTGCTCTACGGATATGCCACTCTAGTGCAAATGCTCAAAGGTCTACTATACCATCGCGTATGAGGTGCAATCCAGAGAATCCCTGCGAAGGTGAATAGAACGCAAGCACAAAATTCAAACAACTTAGGCAGTCGATGTAGACGGTCCAGTTGCATCTTTCGGGGGGTCATGAGGTATTGTGGGCTCGGATGCGGGCATAGATTCGCTGGTCGGTATTTGAGCCGAGTCAACCTTCTCATCAACTGGCGCAGCCATACTCGCCACTGGGCTGTGTGGCTCCTCCGGGATTGGAGGGGGAAGACCTGCACCTGGCAACGGTGACACAGGCGACCGAATAGGCTCCTCCTTGGGCTGTTCTCGTGGTATTTCAATCGAAGCAGGCTTTCCATTTGCTGGCTCAGCGGCAGCGGCGACAACAGGAGACAAGGGTTGACTAGTGAGCGACGGATCGGTATCCGAGCGAGTTGGGCTCTTTGTGCGTTCACGCTCATCCTTGACACCGTCCCGAACTTGGGCAACCTTGGCCTTGAACTTCCCGAATAAGCTCTTCTTCTCACCCTCCGATCCAGCAGAGGAACTGGGTTGAATGCCAGCATCCAAGCTCAGTGGCTGGCTGGAGGGGTCTGAGACTGGATTGTGTCCACTCCCAATTGAACTGGTACTTTGCTCGGCGCCCGGGTTGGTCGCCATCAAGGGCGGAGAGGCAAGGCCGAGACCGAGTTGCTCACTGGCGCGTTTTGATGATCGGGGGAACCGCCAACTCCGCCGGTTTTCACGACGCTCTTGGCGAGAAGCGTCATCGGGCTGATCCAGATCAGACTGGTCGGTGAAAGAAGAACGAGAGTTCATTGAGGGTGTGCGCGATTGGTGGGGTTTTAGAGTGTTATCATGATGTTGGAGATTGCTCTCTACCAAGGCAGGGTTCGAGTCAGACGGATGGTCTCGGTTGGCAAGCGTGGCGGTATTGGGTGGCCTAGGAGTGGTGTCACCAATGGCAACATCCACAGACTGATTCTCGTTCTTCGGCTCGAGGTCCGCATTGTGATCAACGCTGTGGCCATGGAGGGAATTGGTCGAACTTTGGGCGCTGATGCTTGCGCTACCAGGTATCCGCTTCTTTCTCAACCTGTTTGGCTGCCGAGGCTCTTTCTCGCTCTCGGGGGGTGGTGACTTGGTGAAGAAGTTCGAAAGCTTACGTTCACGAGTGGGGGTTACGACCGCTGGAGGTGACAATACCGGGGTTTGTAAGTTCTCCTGAGGTCTCGGGGCCTCAGTAAGGCTCAGACGTTCAGCGGTTGCCGGGGGTATGGGGCCGTGGGTTGTCGTATGAACGTAAGCGTTGCCTCCAGTAGTTGAAACGGAAGTTGCTTGACTAAGCTTTTGCTCTTCCTGCTGCACCGTCGGTTGTTCGGCAGGCTTTTGCTCAGGCACGGGCACAGGTGCAGGCTCTGGCTCTTCACGCACTGATGGAGTGCGGCTGGTAGACCGAGAGCTCTGGTGAGAAACAACTAGCCCCGAGGGATTGCTGGAGGCAGTCTCGTTGGCCCGAGCATAGCGCGCCGAAGTGAGCACAGGGCCCATCTTTGATGGGAGGGTATTGCTTCGGTGAACACCACCGCCGCCGCCACCAGTCATTGAGTTAGGAGTGCCGGGGCTGGGAGCGTTGTTCGAGTGGCGAGAATTACGAGAGGAAACAGAGACATTTCTCCGGATGTTGTCCAACTTGCGATGACTTTCTGTGTTGGCACTGGCATTGGAGACAGATCGTCGGACGGTTGAATGGGACGGCCGCGAGGGGATTCCGGCTTCGACTTCCTTCATGGTCTGCTCATCGGCTGCGGTGCCGCTCATGCCGAATAGGAAATGATCCTGGTTCTCGATGAGGAAAATCAAAACATCCTGGCTCAATTTGTACTCCTCGGGAGACATGTCGTGCTGAGGGTGCGACAGCATGCCGGGTTGAAAGATTGCCGAAAGATTGCCCGATGGCATACGGTTTTGATCAGACTTGGATGCAAAGACTGCAAGAAGATCGAGGATATAGAGCAGGAGTTGTTTGTTCAACGGAGGCAGCTCGATGATGAGTCGTTGATACGTCTCCACAGCCTTTGCGTGATCAAACTTCTCGCCATCCGGTGTCTCTTTGTCCTCCTGGACTTGTCTCTGATAGATTCGCAACGGCTCGCGGAAGCGTTCGTAAAACTCCAAAGGCACGATCGGCTCGGGGAGCTGGTTCAAGTATCGGCGAAGCACATTTGCAGCATCGTGAACGGTATAGCCGGACCAGTCAAGCCCTTTTCCGTAGCGTTCGGGGGAATCGAAGACCTCCTGGAGGTCCTTGATGCGTTTGGCAGATCCATTGAGGCGGAAGATGCCCTCCACATCGGTTGCTATTGAATAACGGTCAGGGTCTCTTTATCAGGTCTGATCTGGGAATATTTGCGAACCTTTTTCTTTGAGGAAGACACCACACTTGGCGACAACAATCGGCACATATCCATATATGAAGCTTTCGCCGTGATCGTTGGTCAAGGAGATTGCCACATTGGCGTACTTAATGCTGACATTGAGTGGAATGCCGAAAATTCCGCGGGGAGGTTCTGTCGCGACAATCAGATCAGCTTATCGTGTCCGAGTTATGAAGGCGTCGATGCAAGAAGGGGGCAAGCGGGCAGCTTGCCCATCTGCCATGAGCGACTGCGGCCACTTCCTGTGCGACGCGAGGGCTATGCCCGGAAGCTCAGGGGCGTCGCGAACCACTGCCGAGGAAAGTCCACCAAGAGCGTTTTATGCGGTCGCGTTGGCCGGAATATCCCAGATACCAATAGGTACGTACCTTTCAGTTCATCCTTCCTGGTGCTTCGCTTGAATTGCTTCCACCATGAGGCCAAATCTCGTTTCGAGGGCGGGGAGTTGGAACCGGGCTCGGGGGACGTAGGGAGCGGAACAGAGTCAGCGCCCGAGTGCGACTTGCTGACGGTCACCATGGCGAATCCGGGGGACTCGAGAGGTATTTCGAAGACGTCGAGGATTCGGGGAGGCTGGATCACCGCCTGGGAATATAGGGCAAGGCCCAGAAAAGCAAGAATCGCGATCACAGAGAAGAGAGAGAATGAAGAGCAAAGAGAAGGAAAGTCAAGTCAAGTCAAGGGTTATGGCGGGGAAGGGATGCGAAAGGGGAAGTGTCAGGGTTTCGAAAGGGGGCACGAGCCAAGTGAGCCCTGAGAACAGTCTTAGGTGTACGTCGATGGCTTTGCCTCAATTCGATATGATCCTTGCTAGGCTACTAGCAGCCTTGTATGTCTACCTCTTGTATTTTGTATCTATATCTACATCTATACCCATAACTCGAACTATAACAATAGAACTATATCTCGCTAGATTCAGGACAGAAATTCCAGAATTCGGGAAATCTAAGTGGAGTGGAACGTGTCTGGGCCCTGGTAGGGTCTGGGATGATGTAATCTGTTCTATTCATGGATTTGGGGATATCTGCCTATTCAGATAGTTGCGATTTTACTGCCCGGCAATCAAATCAGTTCATACTGGCCATATTTCTGTGCTTGTCAGGTTCAGGGCCGTTGACACACAAAATGGGGGTTCTGCACGTGATGTCATTGGACTTGGGATCACGTGGTATCACCTGATGCCAGTCACGGGGGTTTGTCGGAACAACATTACTGCGAAACAGCTTCGGAGCTGGACGCTTTAAGTGAACCCGTGTTTTAAAGTATCATCCAAACACCATCATCATCTATCACAATGGAAGGGTGAGTACTCCTAGGGGTTTCTTCAACAATTGATGAATGCTTCCTTCAACTTTTCTCTCGTTTTTCCACTAACACCAATGAAGCCTTAACGCATCGGAACAGCGCGAATTCGCCGCCCGCATGGAGCGGAAGCAGATGAAGGAGTTTATGACTGTATGTGATCAACTCTGTCAACAGACAGCTAGCTCGAACATCCCTCCACTCCCTCGACCACCCCTCAACGCCCAATCTAGAACTGTTTGGCTGCGTCCCTTTTCGGCAGATCCTAACCTCCTCTTTCCCAGATGTACTCCAAGATGGTCCAGCGCTGCTTCGACGACTGTGTCAACGACTTCACCACCAAGTCCCTCATCAACCGCGAGGAGACCTGCATCATGCGCTGTGTCGACAAGAACCTCAAGAGCTCCGCCCGCCTGAACGAACGATTCCAGGAGCAGAACGCTGCCATGATGCAGAGTGGCCAGATGGGTGGTAACTAAGGGATTTGATGAGCATTGTTGATGAACTTTCCACGTTGGCAATATTTGGAGTCCCAGTCTCCACTTCAACTGCATTGGGGATGATATGGTCGATGACCACCGATTGGCAAGGAAGCAGGCAGGATTCGGCTCCTTTGCGTGTACCATAGTGATTAGCATGGGATCATTACCTCTCCCTGCTCAAAATACCACAGACTTGATGAAAATAGGTCAACTTCGAGCTTTTCGGCTGTGAACTGAACATATGGGTGAAGTTGACCTCGGATCTCTCCCCTATCTCATAGCATGGCGAGGGCATTTAACTAGATTGGTGAGCCCCTCTAGTTTCCTGAACCTCCTGCCTTAAGTATCAGAGCCTCATAAATATCATGTGTCGGGCCACAATGTATATTCAACGTCAGAGCATCTTGTGTGATCATGTTCTGTCGAACTTTCATACCTTGACGCTGTCCTGATACCAAAAGCAGGACTCCCCTCGGTTCTTAATCATTGAGATATTCTAGTCAGTCCTTGCTTTATTTCGGATCTAGCCTCAAACGAGGCGCTGGCATGTGGGTGCATTGTGCGCAACACCAGAGGTCCTAGACAACCATTCAAGGGCCGCTCCCGTGGAAACTTCACGACTGAACAGCTATGTACAATGAGCAGAAGCCAAAAATCTTGGCAATATATCCATCGGATGTTTTCCAACAAACTCCAAAACATCTCATAGCCAAGACTTTTGATCATGCTATGATCACCATCAGGTCGATAGTTTCACCCCACCTTTGCCTCACGGAAATTGTACTATAACGCCGAGCTGAAAATTTGACTCCGCATTGAGTCACAGCTGCAGACCGAGACTAGACCCTTGAGTTGCCCGAGATAGACCCGTGTCTTCTAGGATTTGGCACGGAGATCCTGATCCACAGAGCCTCATGGCTACATGTACCATGACGACACTTAGCTTTTCAGGTATCGGATTGTCGTTGAATACTCTTGAAGCGCTGTTGTTGATATCCAGAATGAACCAGCCTGGAATACTTGGCATATGTAAGTTTTTATCATGAAGAAAGATTTGTATCTAAGGACTCGAGGCATCAGAATAAGTGTTGACATCCGCCTCAGATACTTTCACCGAATATTCCAAATCTGTACATTGTCTCATTCAAAAAATGTTTCAGCCCCAACTTCCAACCTCAAATTTTCTCAGACTTTCTCCAACGGATATAGAAATATCGCCGTTCACGGGCCATGTTCAATTTGTAAGCATTACACCCGAGATATGTCCGAATATTAAAGGGCAGTACAGGGAATAGGTGTCCAAGGGTTAGGAACAAAGAGACCCTATTGTAGGCTAGATATGTTAAGTCACATATCAAATCTCAAACGCTTTCGGACAGCGTTCTGACATAAGACGGACGAGTCGGGACGGTAGCCGGTCATGAGTCGGAAGTGATTCCCTTATCTGTGGGGTGAGGAGTGAGGGGACGTCGCTTTCTACTGTACAAAGTTCAGTCAGCTAACGTTACTTGGTGAGTCTCCAACTGCGATTCACTTCTCCTCCCCCTCATAGCCTCTTCCGACTCCACACTTCTCTCATAAGCCCCTCTCTTCCTTTCTTCTCTTCGCATATTTCTTGGTGAGTGCTGTCAATTTTGGTTTTCTTTCTTTCTTCTAACTCTTTCTTAGCCGAATTTCATACAAAATGGCCGACACAGTAGGAAAGGTAAGCTCTTCCTCCCCCTCCACCCTACCCTCCCTCCCCCCTCCCCTACCCTACCTATGCTCTACCCTGGCCAGTCTGAATCAATCGAATCAGATCTGAGCCATATTCAATTTCTATGAACATTGCTAACTGGAGACAGACCATCACTTGCAAGGTGAGCCCGAGCCGACATCCCCGCCCCTATGACGCCACCACCTGCCGAGCTCGAAACTAACTGAAGCTTAGGCTGCCATCGCCTGGGAAGCTGGCCAGCCCCTGTCCGTGGAGGACATCGAGGTTGCTCCCCCCAAAGCTGGCGAAGTGCGTATTAAAATCAACCACACTGGTGTCTGCCATACCGGTAAGTTCCGACCCCGCCAGCCCCGCCAAGCGCGCAAACACGGCAAATACGGACCGTCCCCGGGCAACGCGTTAACACACACACACTGCAGATGCCTACACTCTTTCGGGCAAGGATCCCGAGGGTGCTTTCCCCGTTGTTCTCGGCCACGAGGGTGCCGGTACTGTCGAGTCCATTGGTGAGGGTGTGACTTCCGTCAAGGTCGGCGACTACGTGATCGCTCTCTAGTATGTAACCCCCCCCCCCCCCCCCCCCCCAAATCCCGGCGCCATTCGGAATGGAGCCCTGACTATTGTAGCACTCCCGAATGCCGTGAATGCAAGTTCTGCAAGTCTGGCAAGACCAACCTCTGTGGTAAGATCCGCGCCACTCAGGGTAAGGGTGTTATGCCCGATGGCACCTCCCGCTTCAAGGCCCGTGGCAAGGATCTCCTCCACTTCATGGGTACCTCCACCTTCTCTCAGTACACTGTGGTTGCCGATATCTCTGTCGTCGCCGTCACCCCCAAGATCCCCACCGACCGTTCCTGTTTGCTCGGCTGTGGTATCACCACGGGTTACGGTGCCGCCGTCGAGACCGCCAAGGTCGAGGAGGGCTCCAACGTCGCTGTCTTCGGTGTTGGCTGTGTCGGTCTCTCTGTTCTGCAGGGTGCGGTCAAGAACAAGGCTAGCATGATCATTGCTGTTGATGTCAACGATGGCAAGGAGGAGTGGGCCAAGAAATTCGGTGCTACCCACTTTGTCAACCCCACCAAGCTCCAGGGCAAGACCATCCAGGAGCACCTGATTGAGATGACTGACGGTGGTTGCGACTACACCTTCGACTGCACTGGTAACGTCGGTGTCATGCGTGCTGCCCTCGAGGCCTGCCACAAGGGTTGGGGTGAGAGCATTGTCATTGGTGTTGCGGCTGCTGGCCAGGAGATCTCCACCCGTCCATTCCAGCTGGTCACCGGCCGGGTCTGGAAGGGATGTGCCTTTGGTGGTATCAAGGGTCGTACCCAGCTGCCCGGTCTCGTCGACGACTACCTCAACGGCAAGCTCAAGGTGGACGAGTTCATCACTCACCGCCAGCCTCTGGACGGCATCAACCAGGCTTTCGACCAGATGAAGGAGGGTGACTGTGTCCGTTGCGTTGTTGACATGAAATAGATAGCAGATTCAAAAGTGACGTGAAATATGACTTAATTATGTGAAATAATGTGTGTAAATGTCGAAGGACAGAGTAAGAGGAGACAGCTTCCTTTGTAGGTGAGCATCCCCAAGGTCCTCAGCCCCCGCAGCACCTTGAGGACTACATTAGGTAGCATTGAGATCAATGACCATTCCAAGATCACTCTTCAATTCAAACTCGTACAAACTTGTAGTCACCAGCCATACCATATCATCCCATAGATACGTCCACGGCGAGAGTCCGAGACTCCCCCACCTAAGTTGACACAAAAAGAGTCGATAACAAGGCCGATGTCGGGTCTACTTCGGAAGAACAGTGTGAAACACACTCTGATAGGTGAAAACCGTCTATCCCCCAAACTGAGAGGGGCTATATCAATCCACATGGGATCCCGCTGCCCGCGGGAATCGCCGCGGCGTGAAGTATAGATCTGTATAAAGAGGCCCAACACAAGATGCAGATGCAGATGTAGATACAGTTGAATGGATTAATACTCCTTCTCCCTTGAATTCAAATCACAAAACTACATAGTCATACCTATAAAATGGCCAACCTCACTCTCCCCGAACCCTTCGCCTCCATCCCCCGGTCCTCCCTCCTTCTCGGTCCCTCGCCAATCCACCCTCTCCCCCGCATCACGGCCGACTTGGCCAAGACTTCTCCCCACCACGTCGCCATCTACGCCAAGCGTGATGATTTGAACTCTGCCTATGCTTATGGCGGGAATAAGACGCGCAAGCTGGAGTATCTTCTTGCGGATGCTCAGGCTCAGGGGTGTGATACCCTTGTTTCCATTGGCGGTGTGCAGAGCAATCATACGCGACAGGTTGCGGCTGTGGCGGCGCGGTCTGGGATGAAGGCTCGACTGGTGCAGGAGCATTGGGTTGATTGGGTGGATCCGGGTTATGAGACTACGGGTAATATTCAGTTGTCCAAGTTGATGGGCGCGGATGTTAGGCTTGATCCTTCCACTTTTGGGATTGAGCATAAGTCCACGGCTCAGGCGGTTGTTGAGGAGTCCAAGAAGAAGGGAGAGAAGCCGTATTATATTCCGGCTGGTGCTTCGGATCATCCGCTTGGTGGGTTGGGCTTTGCGCGCTGGGCGTTGGAGGTGAGGGAGCAGGAGCAGGAGATGGGTATCTTCTTTGATACGGTCTTGGTGTGTGCTGTTACCGGATCGACGTTTGCTGGTATGATTGCTGGCTTTAAGTTGCTGGAGCGATTGTACCCTCAAGACCCCAAGCGCAAGGTTATTGGCATTGATGCTTCGGCTACCGTTGAGGCTACTCGTGCTCAGGTGCTGCGCATCGCCAAGAACACTGCTTCCAAGATTGGCCTCACCGCGGAGGATATCACGGACGAGGAGATCATTCTTGACGACCGGTACCACGCTGGCATCTATGGTATCCCCGACAAGCAGACCTGGGATGCTATGGAGTATGCTGCTCGCATGGAGGCGTTCATTACCGACCCGGTGTATGAGGGCAAGAGCTTTGCCGGTATGGTGGATATGATTCGTCGTGGTGAGATCAAGGCTGGCAACATCCTGTACGCCCACCTCGGTGGCCAATTGGCCCTGAACGCCTACTCCGATCTTGGCCGGACCAGCGAGTAGACCATGTGATATAGAATAGAAGAATTACGATTATAATGAAGTGAGCGATAACATATTATGTTGCATTCAAGGAGTGACTAGAGTTGGACGTAACGATAACTAGGGTGCGAGACGTCTAGAACAGCTTGTGCTCAAGGGTCATCTCCGACTCGGGCTGGAGACCAACACAGGCTCGGAAGATGTTGATGAGAGCAGAACGCTGCTTGCCGAGAGCGTTGACCACGGGGGTACCGGGGGGAGTCAGAGGAGCCTTGAGCATGTAGCTGAGCACGCTCAGCACGCTGTGGAAGCCCTTGTAGTCGGCACCCTCGCTGTCAGCCTGCCAGCTGATACGGGTCATCATCTCGGCGAGAACGACAAGATCGATAATCAGAGGAGAGGCCAGCAGCGAGTCCTCACAGATGTTGAACAAGCTGATGGTCTGGTGGCCACCCATGAAGATCTCGGCGTAGTACTCGTCAAGAGCACGCTTGTTGTCTCCAACAGCGGGCATGTACTTGATGACAACGGTGTGATCGGGGTGCTCATCCTTCTCATAGAGAATGTGGTTGGCCGCAACCATGTCATCCACAACGTTGGACTTGGAGATCTCCTTGGAGCGGAACTGCTTCTGGGAGCTCAAGTTCTTGCCGTCGTTGTTGCCCAGGTGGTTGTAACTGGCAATGGAAGTGAGCTTGATACCGGCGTTGATCAGGAAGTCAACCAGAGCGGACTTCATCTTGGTCTGGCCAGACTTGAAGTCGTCACCGCCAATGAAGGCACGACGCTGCTCGGCCAGCTGAAGGGCACCGGGAACAAAGGTGTTCTGGGGCGAACCGTTGATGAACGGAGTGTTCTCGAGGATCGAGGCCACAGCGAACACGGTGGAAGGAGCAACCTCCAGGTGACCAGCCTTGATAGAGGCGATCAGGTTGTCGGCAGTGTCGTTGACACCGGGGATAATGTCGGCGTAACGCTCAGTGTTGGCGGTCCACATGACAATCACCTTGTCCAAGCCGTTCTGGGCCTTGAAGTCACGAATATCCTGCTGGATCTTCTCAACGTGAGCCCAGCAAGCCTTCTCGCCCTCGAGGACGTTGTCGGCACGATCCTCCTGGTTGGCGGCGATGAAGTCGGGGTAGTAAATACTAGGCAGCGGCTTCATCTCGGCCATCTCCTTGCGGACCAAGTTCTTGAGGGTGGGCTCCAACACCTGGGCACGGTCCATAGACTCGGACATGTTCAGGCTGCTGATATCCCAACCACCAATGGCGAGGTCATTGGGGTGGACCATGGGGAGCAGGTCGTGGAAGGGGATGTTGATCTCCTCACCGGTCTTGGCGTCAGAACCCAGCTTGACAGTGGAGCCCATGACGATAGAACCGTAGTAGTTGGAGGTTTGCTTCCCCTCCCGGGTTTCCCACGAGAGGTTACGGCGGTTGGCCAAGATACCGGCAGTGACGGTGGAACCGTTGTTTCCACCCCAACCGACCAGCATCATACCGACCTTGCCGACCTTGCGGTCAACCTTGAAGTTGTAGTTGGTGGCCTTGGGAACAGCCACCAGCTTGTTGTCCGCAGTGCGGGTGATCTCAGTCGTCTGGTAAGCGTACTGACTCTTGATCTCGTCCTCGGTATAGACGACATTGGGCGACTGGACCGTAAACAGAGGAGACGGTTCTTGGCGAGCCGACCCGTTCAGGGCGCCATTGGCATCCGAGCTAGCGTGAGGGGCCATTGCGTTCACAAGAAAGCGGGATAAATTGAGAGTGTAGGATGTGATAGCGCTTTAGCTTTAGCGGATGAAGGGTGCTGCGTCCGATGCTCCTCCACGGTTGGATGAGCGTCGGCCGTTGAACGGGTGGTGCCGCCTGGGTAGGAGTTAGCAATTGCTCAGAGAATTGGAGGATTCAAGGGAACTCACGAGTTAAGACTTGTGGCGAAAATTGTGGCGGTTGTATGTGACCACTGTCTCTACGAGAAGTGATCTGACCTGCTGACAAGGTTTATACGAACCTAAGGTAAACGAAGAAGTAGTACGGGGATGGAGAGGAGAGAGAAGGGAAGAAAGTGGAAAGGGAAAGAGCGGATTTATATGGGACGACACGTGCACCGGGGAACGGGGCCCCGGCTTCCCCTTTTTGTTTTTAATTTCTTTTCTTTCTGGTCTTTGGCGTATTTTTTCTCGTTTATTTAACCCGAATCTCTTTCTTCCGAGTACCTTTTGGCTCACCGTATACTTCCGGTGCCAGATTATCCGGCATTGGTCTGATCTTCTCCTTGTGCCGAACCACTACCGAGTCTGGGGGGGTTCCGCTTCCGGGCATCCGATTCACTGGTGCCTGGCCCCTTTTAATCTCTTATCTAGCTCCAGGGCTGCTGTGCCCCTTCAGTAAATGATACTTTTACACCGTATATCCCAAGAATCAGACCATCCTATATACTACTGTAAACCACCGCAAGGATCTCCCCAGATTGACAGCTGGACCGTGCGGAGGGGCACGCGGGGCAGAAATGGCGGTGAGTCTTGACCCCTGAGTGCTCCGAACACTCGGCTAGCTAGCTTTTGGTGCGTTTTGGTGCGTTTTGGTGCGTTTTGGTGCTTTTGGTGCTTTGGATAACTTTTGTGATTCCTTGGCGCAGTGGGGATAATATAGTCCGGTGTTTTGACAATATCTGGGACCTTTGGTAACCAAATATCCACTTATTCAAACTATAGGTAAACATTGAAGTATGATTTATAGGCGAAACCCTAATTGTGCTTTGTGCTTCGGCGTTCCATGTTAGGCTACTACAATGTTGATGCACCCTTAATCTACAATATGCAGGGAGGCGAGAATGTGACGGCATACTACCGACTAGACGACCCCATATCCTCAATATGCTCCTCGGTAGGGTCCTTCGCCGCGGTGGTCTTAGCACCCACTCGTCCCGCCAAATGGCTCTCAATTCCAAAGAGTCGAGACATTTCTTCCAGGGTTCGACCTCGTGTTTCAACTGCACATCGTTAATCACGGTGTTAAAGATCGGGAGAATGAACGAACCCATAGCATATCGAACAAAGAAGAAAGCGATAACACAAATCCCCGAGTAGATAATGTACAATCCCCAACCGATAGCGTCTGCGATAGGTGGACTTGCTTGGGCAACAATATAACATGCTGCCCACAATGAAGCTGTAGTCAATGCATTGCCCTTGGCGCGCATGGAGACAGGGAAGATTTCAGCTGCGTACGTCCAAGATCCGACACCCCAGCTAATGTTGAAGAAAACATAGAATAAATAAGGGAATATGATAATCGTGTAGTTAGCTGCGTCGCCCGGGTTATGTTCGGCATGCCATTGAAGCACCGTGATACCAATCATAGCCCCCATCATTCCGACAGTACCGATCTGAAGCCAAGTTTTCCGGCCCAGTCGGTCAAAGAAGAAGATTGGCACCCATGAAAAGACAAAGAGTACGATGCCTACCCCGCCAGTGGCAAGATTGGCTGTTTGAGGATCCTTGATGCCACCACGTTCAAATAGAGATGGCTGCTGGGGTTAGCTCATAGTCACACAAAAGGATCAACCAACTCACTGTGTAGTAGAGAATAGAATTAGTCCCGGTGATCTGCTGGAAGAATTGTACAGCCATTCCTAGCATTGTCACTCGTAGCACAGGTGACGTAAACATGTCCTTCCAGCTAGCTTCTGTGACGGTATGCTCAAACTCGATCGAAGATTGGATCTCTTGCATCTCGAGCTCTGCTACCTCGGACCCATGCAGTCGAGTGAGAACCTCTCGTGCACATTCGTGACGGTCTTGACTAGCTAGCCAACGTGGACTTGGTGGCACCCAGAACCAGCATCCTACCCCCAGGATGACTGCTGGAAGGATCTGGATTGCTAGCGGGATACGCCACCAGCCGTCAATCTGGAGAAAATTGAATCCATAGTTGAGCCAAAAGGCTACCAGTTCTCCAAAACATAGAATCATCTGTTCAATTGCCACGATTCGACCGCGGATTGCGGGAGGAGACAGTTCAGCAACGTAGAGTGGAACACCTCCTGCACATGCTCCAACTCCGTATCCTAAAATCACTCGGCCAATAATCTATGGAGGGATGTGTAAGTTCATATATTAGATAGACGTGGGCAGACAAAGACATACAATCTGCGCGATCGTGTATGATGTAGCTTGCAGCACTGCACCAATAACAAAGACAAAGCACGCGACGGAGAGCGTCCTCTCACGGCCGATAGGATCTGCCAGATATCCAAGAGACATGGCTCCGATGAAGCATCCAACATCAAAGAGCGAAACTACTGTCCCAGTAACCCCTTGTTGATATTAGCCAACAGTACTTCTATCCGGTTGGTCACACTCACATGAGTTCTTTGGGTGCATCAGATCAATCCATCGTTGATCGGCGACAATAACGCCCATCACACCTTGGTCATATCCAAATAGAAATGCACCAAGTGAGACAAATACAGTCACGGCGTAAAGGTATTTGGTGTTCCCCGGCCGCACCTGCAGCGGGTCAGTACCTGGAGGTGGTTGGATGAGTTTTGTTTGTTTGAGAAATTCCATGATGCCTGGAGAGGAATACCTCCTAGATGTCGCTCTTCGTGTTATATACTCCGGGATCGATGCGGGGGAGATCTGAAGTGACACAAAACCCTATGGGGAAGAGGTTTGGGGTATCTCTCGCTCCAACTCCGCTATGTAGTGAAGAATGTCGCGGGTCAAATTTGCCTGATCGGACGGAACGGGGATGCTGAATGCCGCTATGCAAGGTTAGCGTTGTCAAGTATTGCTTGAATTGGGTCGGAAATGGCAATTTTCAGAGCGGGAATATGCAAGCTACAACAAGTTGTGGCTTTAGCCGGTTAATTAGTGTGGGGGATTATCACGGTTTGCTGTCTGACCGCACTATCAAAGAACTGGAACGGAAGAAGAACTGGTATAAATATCCTACTGTCAACGACGTATAGCCATAAAGCCCACTACTGACCTCAAAGTTCAAGATGCAACTTCCATTTGAATGCCAACCTGGTCTTTTAGCTGTCAATGATGGTCCTCTAAAGGATGTCAAGTCTCTTCGCCAGTCACAACCAACCGAGCCTCTAGAGGTCTTGCGGCAACGCTATGAAGAAGATGGATATCTCTTCCTCAAGGGCTTGATCCCACGCGCCGATGTGTTAAAGGCGCGGCATGAGTACTTTCATATGATGTTACCAACCGGGGTTTTGGAAGAAGGGACTCAGCCCGTACAGGGGATCTTCAATCCCTCCAAGTCCCCCGAGGAGTTTCCTGGTATTGGTGCCGGTGGAGCAGGCAAGAATGGACGCCCGGGAGGAGAGAGAGCCACTCAGTTTGTGGATCTTGCCATAGAAGCCCATTATCGTCAATGGTATGCGGAGGACTTTTGTCGACACCCGGCATTGATGCAATTTATTGCTCGATTCACAGGCTGGCAATCGAATACATTGGGTCTTCGCAGGTCGCTTTTGCGAAATAATATCCCTGGTACGAAGCCTCTTGGAGTTCATTACGATCAGATCTTTCTCCGTCACGGAGAACCAACTAGTGTGACTGCATGGGTACCTATTGGTGATATCAAAGTAAGCGGCGGAGGTCTCATTTATTTGGAGAATGGTAGGTCCAGGTATTGCCACTCTGAATCCTATGTATTAACAGTCATCTTTGAGGCGATCCCGTCGGCATCCAGTGCGAAGAAGATTTCAAGAAGAAGGCTAAAGCTGCTGGATTTACGGAGCAGGAGGCTAAAAATGCATTCAACAATCACATGATGGCCACTGGATTACTTTCAGAGCTGCCTCTGGACTTTGCACGTGTGCATCAGCAATCCTGGCTGGTAACCGAGTACGAAGCTGGTGATGTTGTTTTGCATAAGCCACATGCCGTATGAATGGATTCCTCAACTGGCAGGTCTCTGCTGATCAACATTTAGATTCATGCTTCTACAATCAACAATGACCCTGACCGTGTCATTCGTTTAGCAACTGATTTGAGGTTTGTCGATTCTTCAAAGCCATTTGATACGGTATGTCCTCTCAAGCAGTGCGAATCTCCGGGGTCTGACACACAGCAGAGATGGAACAAGTTCTATGAAGTAGGAGACGGTGTGTAAAGTTCTTTTTTGGGGTTCTTAATTGCTTATTCGTACTTGAAATGCGTTTGCTCTTTGTCAAAGTGCTACATTAAGTAGGATAAAGCTGATGTACTACCAGTATTGAATTATACGAGAATTTCGTTAAATTAGAAAAAGTAGCGAGTCATTGTAAGGGCCGAGATTCGTATCCAAGAAGCTACCAATCTGAGTTAATCAATTATACCGAACCTCTTCTTCAATCGCTAATTCTCAAATATCGGTACGCCTCATTTTCTGGGACATCAGAAGAGCCATTGGCTCGCGAGTGAGCAAATTTCCTTGGAAGACTTTTGGCCACACAGACAGAGTCTAAGAAGCCGTTGGACTGGATGAATATCTCGTCGGTCTCTTCCAGAGAATGGCCAGAAGTATCTAGCAAGAAAAGGTAGATCACGGGTATAAGGATGACTCTTTTGCTCTTCTGCTGCTCCGTGGGAACAATCTTTATACTTAGCGTGAAGTTATCAAGACCTATCGTCGTGTTGCCTGGCTTTGTTTGTATAGATTGAGGACTACAACAAGTACATTTGCCCATTCCCTATGTTAATATGCTCCAACAACAGATAATTGGTCGGAAACGAGCCGTTTTGGTTAATTCTAATCAGACTCTCCTTTTGGGAATACTCTTCAGACATTCGTGTGGTAGGCATAGAGAGCGAGACTATGGTCATATATTATAGGTATCGACCACCTAATTCTCCAACATACTAATATCCTGGAGCAACGAAATGTAAGACAAAGAAAGTCCGACTATATACAAAAGTAAAGAGCAATGTGGTGGTAAATGTAGTCTAAAGTACTAGCTAAGCGCGATTAGGTCCCAGTCATGCGGGGAAGTTTCCCCAGTCAAAATTTATAAGAAACAGCTTCGTCATGCCAGGGACTAAGAAGTCTCAATGCTGGTAAGTCGAGTGCTGCATGTTCTAGCCCAGCTCTAACTCTAAGCGTCTAGCGATCCATGTCGAGATCTACACCACAAATGTGCGCCTATCCCTTCCCCCAACCCATTCCTCGCTAACGACCTACAGGTGACGGAATCGTGCCAAAATGCAGCCGATGTATTCGCACCGGACGAGCATGTACACGTGGTCGCCGAGAGACCAAGTTCCGACAGGCAAAGAGCCGATCTATTCGCGAACGGTTTCCTAGCAATCAGGTTTGGCTACGGCCGCCACCCAGAGGTTGGATCGCAATCTGGAATTCACGCGATATATTCTGACAACCCGGATTTACAGTCGACTTCGTGATCGAATCTGGCAGTGGAGAACCAGATGATTTGGCCGAGAGACCACCTTTCAATCCCTCACCGCAGAGGGAATCGCTTGGTGATACCCATGCCGATGCCGACTCGGTGCCTGTGCCGGAGAGGCCAGCCACAGCTCTACCCCGATACAATGTCGCCGATCAGCAAACACACAATAGGAGAAGCGGTCGACTCTCATCCTTGTCGATGGGCGACACCCTGAAGCAACATCACCAGTCGCGATCCTGGCCATTGAGAGATCCTCAAGAGGCACACCTCTTGCAACATTTCGTGGACAAGATCGCGCCATTTGTGAGTGATGGCCTCTCAAAGTCGCGGTAGCAGCCTTGTCTAATGCCATGAAATACGATATAGTTCGATTGCACCGATCGCCAACAGCATTTTGCCGTCCACATCCCGTATCGCGCCCGCCGATGTGAGACGCTATTCAATGCAATGCTCGCCATGTCAGCCCGTCACTTGAATCGCACCGCCTCTTTCGATCCTTTCGTCTCAGACCACTACTTTCAAGCATGTTTGGAGAAATTGATTCCCGCGCTGGATGATCACGGCGTCACGATGGATGATGATTTGCTCGCCGCGACGGTGATTTTACGCTTGCTGGAAGAATTTGATGGTGAGCAGAGGATCTACCCATGTGTCAAGAAATTTACTGATGGTGATCGCAGTTCCACTGGCGGGGTCTGATCTTCGTGGACACTCATTTGGAACAAAAGCTTTCATCCAGGGTCCGTCGTCTATGACCACGACGCCAAGTTTACGGCAGGCTGTCTATTGGAGCGGTCTTCGCCAGGAAATTTACAATGCAATCAGCCTCCAACAAGCGCCCGATATCGACATGAGCTCCCTGAACTCATACTTTAGGCCCTTGGGACCAGATGCAGGTGACTGCGCATGGGCAAACCAGGCAATTGCGCATTGCGCGGATGTGTTGGTATTCTGTTTCGGGCAAGTTCATCGCTCGGCTATTGTGCATGCAGAGCTCAAAGCCCAGAACCAGCAATGGAACGAGACGCGTCCTGATTCCTTTGACCCATATTTTGTCGGCGGCGAGGTGAGGGTGGGAACCACTTTTCCTGACATTCGTTTCGGATGTGCTTGGAATGGTATGTAGCCCCAGTGCGAAAAGCGGAATCCCCAATGTAAGAAAACGGGCTGATCGCTTCTGACTATAGCAGTTGGAAATCAGTACAACGATCTTGCGCGGATTCTCTTGTCTGTGCACGACCCAAGTCTGCCGACGGTTGGACCTTTGCGCAGGCGTCTAGTTCAGGAGGCAGATGTAAGCTGACAAAACTAATTTGCTTCAACTGACAGAGACTGACTGGTAACAGGACCAAATTCGCCAGAGAGTTTGGAAGGTATGCGGCGCTGCATTATCCAATACCTCTATTGCCCCAGCTATGGTTGTTGGATGCATGGCCATTCACCTTTGTAAACATCACGAACAAAATTGCAAAGAGCTGAAGCTAACTATCTCGCAGGCGGTGATCGGTTCACGGACCCACAGCAGCAAGACCTTTTGATTCATGTTCTGATCCAAATGGATGCACTTCATGGCTGGCCAACTGATGCGCTCCAGCGACAGCTTCGGGAGACCTGGGTCGTGCGCTGACGTTTCAGGAGAACCAAGGATTCTTCCGGGCCGTGTTGATGATACGAACATGATATGATGTAGTTCTCTATCACGCAATGTCAAGCAGCATTTCCCCCTCTCAACCTCTGCCGGTACATTTGGACAGACAATTCTGCCCAAAGCAGGATCCAGCCAAGCGGAGTGGTGGAGGCGGTTGTGCTACTGTATGAACAGGGGCATCTACTACTCTATTTGGCCAAGTGTCAAGGTCGTGCATGAGCGAATTGACAAGCTCAGGAGGAATAGGCTCCGCGGATCGTCAGGCAACACGGGCACATACGCAAATGGCGATCTGCTTCGGGTTCTAAGAATATCTGACTCGCCACATGAGATGATATGCGACCAATTGCTAGGGAGACCGACGGTGAAGAAGCAAAGACAGATCGAGGGAGTCTCCCCACCGATTGCAAGCCTCGAAACCGGGCTGTCAACTTTGATTGGCAGTAAGAGGGGCGAGGCCCGGGAGCAGGCACCAGGAATGGACCAGTCGCAGTGCAAGCTGATGTTGTTTGCGGTGATCAATTGTATGCAGAGGCTCCAGGGGACCCTGTGCTTTCTCCACCGTCGATGAGTAGATACTGGACATGGTGTATATATCCGGCATATACACAATACAGATAGTAAATTGCACTCAATCTATCCAACAGATGAATTCTATAGAAGTAATTACCTCCCTCTACATACCAAATAGCACAATAAAATGGGAGAAACCCCTGAGCCAACACTTACGCACCCCTTTCCGCACTGGAGCCGCTACGCTCACTAGCGCTGGACTTTCCTCCTTTCGGTTTTAGGCGTGCGATCGTCTCTCTCCTCCCTGGGGTTTTGACTCTGAACTTCTTCCTGACTTCATTGCAGGTGGGCCAAATGTCTTCTGGGATTTGATATGGCGTCCATGATCTTGCCCAGCATCAAGTGCTCGGATTGCGGCTGCAATGTCGAGATCTCGGCCCTGGGGGATCATGTCTGTGTGCAGACTGGCTATCGTGAGTGTCAATAGTCAATATATGTCCTCTCCTGCATGCTAATGCCGCCTATAGCCCCTGCGCTCCCATCACCACCTCCCTCCGCAGGGCTAGAATCCCCCGACCGACTATCGAAACAGAGAGGACCTCCCCCGCGGATTGATCCTTCGGTTGCCAGTATGTCTCAAATCGCCATGTGGGAGATATGCGACTAACCCCAATAGATAAAGCATTCCTGCAGCCGAATGTGCCTACGCCCGTCAGCAGTGTCGGTTTATCGCCCTTGTCGGTCAGCCCGGCACCGAAATCTCCAATGCCTCATAGCCCGGCTGATAACAATTCCGTGATCGACCTGGATTCGGTCTTCTCGTTTCCAATGCCTGGCAACAGGTCACCGACTCATGTACGGACCCCCAGTCCAATGACTGGAGGTATGGCAAAGTCACTACCGCCAATTCCACAGTCAACCTTCGCGCTGGGCATGCTACCGGAGAACATACAGCTCCCTCCCAGCCCACTTCCGCCAAAGTCGCCAGCCCCAGAACCGAATCACTCAAGAGATGAGTCGGTGGCTAGCCGCAGCAGCTATGGATCCTCTTTCGCCAGCAGTCGCTATGGTGACTCGACCGCTAGATCGTCTACAAATAGCTTTACTCGTGGCTTCAGAACATTCATGGACGACACACCGCCAGTGCCTCCAGCACCTCTCCGCACTCCTAACAAGAACTCTTTCTCACGCGATTCAAACATGTCCGTTGTTTCATCCCGGGTTTCATCGCGAAGTGATAGAGAGGAGATCCACGGCGGATTCGACTTTGGCATTCCTACAGACCAGAACTCGGTACTGCATGAACTCCCTGAAGAGTCTCCCTCTGATGAACAAAAGAACCACCATGAATACGACTTCCAGTCATCTACGCAGAATCACCTGCATCCCGCAGCAGCAGCGGAGCCAGGTAGCGATGCTCCCAGGAAAAACTCCGATGCAAGCACAGCCAGTGCATTGTCCGTAACAAGCTTTGCCCGTGCTCTTGGTCTAGAGGAACAGATGAACCACGACGGCTCTACCTCGTCTGATTCGTCTCCTTCAGATGCCCGCAGTGGCAGTTCGATGTCCAGCCTTCCATCCGATGTCAGCTTGAACCGACACAAGCCAACCGATCCTCTCAACCTTGGACCATTGGTTGAGGAACTACCAGCGCGAACCCGACAGACCATTTTGGAAATCCCCGGTCGTCAACGCAGTCCTATGGAGGAAGTCCCTACCATCCCAGCTGCGTACTTCAGTCCAGACTCACCTACTGATCCTGCCATCGGCCAAGGAGGTCTGTCCCTGATCGCATCCAAGATCGAGGTGATCCCAACTCCAACTGGTCGGACACCGACCGAATCAAGAGAACCTTCTCCTATGCCGCCACCCCAGCGATCTTTCACAGCACCGATCCCCCGGCCCCCGACTCGATCGCCAACCACTCGATCAGCGGGTCGCTCAAAAGGAATCTGCAAGGGATGTAACGAGCCCATCACGGGCAAATCGATCTCATCCTCCGACGGTCGTCTCACTGGCCGCTACCACCGTGGCTGTTTCGTCTGCTTTGAGTGTCACTCACCCTTCCAGACTGCCGATTTCTACGTCCTCAACAACCGTCCGTTTTGCGCACAACATTACCACGAGCGCAACGGTTCACTTTGCGCCGGTTGCCACACCGGTATCGAGGGTCACTATCTGGAAACCGTTGAACGGAACCCAGCACGGCCCGATCGTCGTCGATTCCACACCGAGTGCTTGCAGTGTCGCACATGTCACATCCTCCTTAAGGGCGACTACTTCGAATGGAATGGCGAAGTCTACTGTGAACGCGACGCACGACGTGCCGCCGGTTACTATCCACCACCCGGTCCCCCCGGTCCCCCTGGTCCTCCTGGCCGCCGTCGTCCTACTCTTGGATCGTCCCCGTTGTCTCAGTCTCGCGAATTTCCTCCGGCCGGATACCCTCCTTCGCCCATGCTAGGACAGGGACTGCGCCCGGGTCCGCGTCTCCCCCCTGGAGGTGGAGGAGGACGTTTCCCCGAACGACGAACCACCCGGCTCATGATGATCTGAGCAACGCTTTTCTTCTCTTCACCCAGGCAAGCCTTGGGCTACACATCCTTCGTTTCAGCACAAAGCGACAGACCTAGCGTCTGCATTCTTCATTCTTTTCTTAGACCGCGATATACCCTCTGTGCTATCTCTGGCCCATCTGGCTTTCGCTAACCATGGCGTTGACCGTCTGTTTTCATCCCATGCTCCTTCTGTTCATGGGGCTTCCCTTCATCCGTATCCATTGAACCCTTTGGTTAGCATATTTTTGTCCTTTGCTCTTTGGGTGTTATCATACAGCCCGGTGTTCTTCTGTTTTTGTTATGCCGACATGTTTCTAATGTATTTCATATCTATCGGCTAGGTATATGGTTGGCGATTTGTTCTTGCACAGGTTTTACAGGCTTAATGGATATAATGCTTCGTTTCCTTCTGAAAATTACCCGAAATTGTAGTCATGATCTCGTAACTCATCCGCTATAATGTTATACGATGAAATAGTATAACTCTATTCCAGCTTGCGTTCTTCGAAATGAACCCGCTCAAGAGGGGGGAAGTACTTGCGTTTGACGAACCAGCCAAACACAACAACATACATTGCCACCGCGTAGATCTGCAATCGCTGTTTAAAGGTGATCCGATCCAGCTTGGGGTCCGGCAGACCAGGTCCGCCCGAGTGTTCTTTCTCCCACTCGGCGCAGACCTGTCGGAATCGGCCTGGTTCGTCGGAGATGACGCCGTCGATCCTGTGTCGGATACACCAACGCATCAGGTTGGGGGCGTTTACCGTCCAGACATATACTCGACGCCGAGCTGCTTGGGCTTCTTCCAGGAAGCCCCGACCTAGCGGGCCCATCAAGGCCATCTGGTTGATGTTGAACGATAGCCGTGGCACCTGGAGGAACTGCCTGGCATAGCTCACGTCAACGCACACTAGTGAGACGGCATATCGGGGGAGATATTTTGTTCGGGCGGGTAGGTAGCGTGAAGACCAACAGCCAAGGACGACTCGTCTGTGCCAGTCCGGGCCGATTCGAGGAATGGGTACGGTCTCGATGGTTTGGGCAATCCGTTGCATTATCTCGGCGGGTTCATTTGTGAGCTGCGGGCGTGTTAGCTACTCCGTTCAAGTAAGTCATGGGAGATGAGCCTACCTTGATGTCCAGCATGACCCAGATATGCTCACGGCCCGGCTGTCTAAGGTATTCCAACACATCGACCAGCCGGGGCATGGGCTCATGGGGAGCTTGGATAGTGCGGAGAGTCTTGAGATACTCCCAGTCACATTCAGCGACCTTTTCCTTCACTCCGAAGCAGCGTTGAAGGTTCGCATCCTTTGAAAGAATAAGTATAGTTCTAGAAACAGAGTGTAGGCACTTACGTGCGACAGCACGACTTCTCCATCGCGGGAGATGTGAAGATCAAGTTCGAGAGCATGTGTTCCAGCCTTGATGGCTTCATCGATTGCCAGAATGGTGTTTTCCGGGTATTGGCCTTTGAAACCACGGTGGGAGATGGTATTAGGCAGACGGGTAGACTCGCGGTCAACCGGTGAGTGGAGAAAATGCGCTTGAAGCGGTCAGGTATACGGTCGACCGTCGAGGGGGTGTTACCAACCTGGTATATCATGCGCAGGCCCCTGCGGTACTATGGAGGAGGAGCTGGACATGACTGTGTATGTACAAGTTGAGTTCTTGAGGGTTGAATCTGGAAGACTGTCTCTCGGAGTTTGGCGGAGATACTGGCAACCCCCGCCAGGCAGATCTGACTGCTCACATCGTGTACCGTCCTGCATCTGCATGTGTGCACGAGGGCGAAAGAGTGGTGATCATCGTCTTCGGCGCATGATCGAGTTCAAATCTCAGAGTTCCCTGTTTGAAGATGAAATTCCCTCTTCAACTTCCCGTCGACAATGAATTCTTACCCCATGATTACTCATCACCTCCATCTCCACTGGAGGCATCTCCAACTTGCTCCATTTATTTAAGACAGAGCTTCTGTTCTCATTTTCTCACGCAAATTGAGCAAATTGAGCACGTTGGAAATGGCCGTTCAACAATGGACCACGCCCTTGAAGGGCTTGGACAGTCTCACCCGCACCGAAGCCCCAATGCCGGTGGCAGGCAAAGGTGAAGTCTTGGTGGAGATCCACGCTGTGTCTTTGAACTATCGTGACGTCGAAGGTTAGTCTTGTGCCAAGCTGTGTATGCAGCCTGCGATCCTAATTAATTTCTCTACAGTGACCAATGGCGAATACAAGCACCACAAAACCGCCGAACAAGATGCCACCATCGTGCCCTGCTCAGACATGTGCGGAGTAGTGACGCAGGTCGGACCTGACGTGACGAAGTGGACAGTCGGCGACCGAGTCCTTTCGACCTTCCTCCCAGCCCATCAAACCGGCCAGGTGACCGAGAAGATGCTTGCTGGTAGTATCGGACTGCCAAATGATGGAGTCCTGGCTACGCACCGCGTCTTCCCCGAATCCGGCCTGGTGGCAGCTCCGATGTTCTTGTCCGATGTGGAGGCTGCTACACTACCCATTGCTTCTGTCACAGCTTGGATGTCTATCAATGGAATGCGACCAATGTCACAGAATGGCACTAGCGGTGGGAAGGGCGAGTTTGTCTTGCTTCAGGGAACGGGCGGCGTGGCGATTGCTGGACTACAGATTGCTAAAGCCGCTGGCGCGAAGGGTAGGGTATATCCAGTGATGTACGATGGCTGTTTCTGACTGTCGAACAGTGATCATCACCTCCTCGTCTGATGATAAATTGGACCAGGCCAAGAAGCTCGGTGCCGATTTCACTATCAACTACCGCACCAACCCCAACTGGGAAGAAGAGGTTAACAAGTTCACCGAGGGCCGCGGTGTTGATATCATCCTCGAGGTTGGCGGTGCCAAAACCCTTCGCAAGAGCTTCGATTGTATCACCTTTGGTGGTCTGATCAATTGCATCGGCTACGTTTCGGGCAAGATGGATACTGACGAGGATCGTCTTAACGTCAACCTCCTTACCCTCCGCCGCACAGTTACCCTTAAAGGTATCATCAACGGCCCCAAGGATCGCTTCGAGGAAATGAACCGCTTCTATCAGTTGCACCAGATCCACCCGGTCGTCAACCGGGTCTTTTCGTTCGAAGAGTCCAAGGAAGCTTTCAAATTCCTGCAGAGTGGCAGCCACTTTGGTAAGGTGGTTATCAAAGTCCAATAAATAGTATATCATAATGAATATAAGGTTGAACATTCAAAGAGAAGACTCCTTGGCTTGGTTATTTCCACTTGGGGGGATAATGCCGGTCGCAATGCCCAATTCTTCACCCATTTCCTTCCCAGCCACAGTCAATTTCTGGCAGTCCTGCAGCACGAAGAGCATTCGGGTCCACTCGGTTTCGCTGGGGTTTCGCCAGCCGTGCATTGTAGCCCGCTGCACTGCGACATCTCCACGCTGCATGAGAGTCGGTTCGCCCTCCTCCAAGATCATTTCAATTTGGCCCTCGAGAACCACCCCATAGTCCAGACTCTGAGTCCGGTGAACGACAGCGTGATTGTTGGGGGCAAAGTCCACAATGCGGCATACGGTTCCGCCAGGGTTGACTAGACCCATAGTCTTTGAGCGCGCCTCGTGTGCCTTCAGGTCGGCATCATGGTTGAGGTCGGCGGGGAATTGGGAAGTAGTGTACATGACATTGAATGCCATGGAGCTTTCGTCTAGTGACTCCCATTGCCCCGCGTTCGATGAGTGGATCACTGCTTTCCCTTCGGCATTGTGGCCGGTAATGTGCCGAGTAATACCACGAAGAGGCGAGATCTGACCGGGGTTGGATGCCATTTTGCAGAAAGAAGTAGAAGGAGACAGAGAGAGGAAAGGAGAGAGTTTCAAAAGTGAGAAAGGTGGGAGCGGGACGACTCAACACCCCTCGATTTATAGTTGACTGATCGACGGGCCCACCAGATCTCAGCGGTGAGCTCGATCAATCTCAGTGTCCTCAGTCGGCGTGCTCCTTGTTGCTGTGGCCGTGTTCACAAGCTGCATGCCGGAGGTCAGATTGAAAGATTGGCGACTGATTTCCCCCATCGGGCATTCCAGGGTGACTTGCAAGTCCGAAGATAAATCCGAAGATAGACAAGTGCCTCAAGTTGATGTGGGAGAGAGAGAGAGAGAGAAGGAGAGAGAGAAATATGTGAAATGTGAAAGGGAAGAGATATCACAGACCGAGGAAGAGGTGCAAGCATAACGTGGGATATACAATATACATAGGCCAATTCGCTCACCCCCCACCCTGAAGATCGATTACATATAAATCAATCAACCGTCAACAACTTACCCCAGACAACCCCCACGCTCGCTTGGATTTGCGGGGGAACTTCGCGGGGGAGACGAGCGTGGGATGGAACCGTGCGGAAGTCGGCAAGAAGTTGGCTATAGACAGATCTTCATTCGCTAGGTACATCGCTAAGTACAGGGTGTAGGCTCCAATTTCCTTTTACAAAAACCAGCGGAATTCAGGAGACGAAGGCCCGTCTCTCAGTCGCTCAGTCGGGATATCCCGCGCATGGATCGTCACTCCGTCTCGGCGATCGCGGCGCTTGTTGTCCATCCACATGTAAAAGCCCAAGCAGGCGGCCAGACAGGCACCTGCGGCACCGAAGGCTGCAACGCTGATCAAGGCGGGCATGTACTTTGGTGCATCTTGTTCGCGGAACAGGTTGCTGCTCACCAGACCCATCAGGTTGGCCAGTGGCACACCAATACTAGTCAGTAGCACACGGCGACCTTCGTGGGCGATGTTGTTGTTATACCAGGTGCTCAGCAATACTGATGGCGCAGATGTTCCCCAAGTCATCATAAAGGTAGCAAAGTAGGCCACTTTTAGGTTGTTCTGAACGTCGTGGATGGATGCATAGATCATGAACCCAGCGAAAGTAAGCAGGAAACCCAGCACAATGAAGGGCGATCGAAGCTTGACCCAATCTGAGGTGAAGGCGAGAATCAGCAGCATTACTGCTCCACTAACATTCGGGGCCACGGTGTATAGGTTGGTCTTGACGGTGGAATAGCCCAATCCTCCGACGATCTGGGGCATGAACAATGCGACACCCTGTAATGGCACACCCAGGCAGATTTCGATGCACAGGAAGGCATAGGTAGTGGGGTGTCTAAAGATCCCAATGGCTTCCCGAATGCGGAACTTTTCGTTGACCACCGCGCTAGAGTCGACCTGGATACGGTGGAAAGCCAACGCCTTCTCCTCCTCGGACAAAAACTTAGCCTCTGCTGCACTGCGCGGCAGATAGAAAAAGGCAAATGTGGCAAAGAGCACAGTCACTCCACCTTCAATAATGAAGAGGTAGCGCCAGTTCGGCAGACTAGATCCCTTGATCTGGAAAACACCGAATGCAATCAGTCCGGAGAAAGCATTAGCGATGTTGGAGGCCGCGTAGAAAATAGCCAGACGACGAGCCAGCTCGCCACGACGGTAGAAGGTGGTCAGGTAGTAAATGACCAGTGGGAAGAAGGCAGCCTCGGACATGCCCAGGAACCAGCGCAGAGCGAACATGCCGCCAAAGTTGTGCGCAGCCGAAGACAGCATAGTGAAGGAGCCAAAGGAAAACATCAGGATTGGCAATACACGTGCCGGACTGAACTTCTTTCCGAGCATAGAAAATGGCGGTGCGAATACCACAAAGGGCACAAAGAAGATTGATAGCAGGAGATTGTATTCATTGGGCTTGAAGTTGAGGTCTTAGGAGAATGAGTTAGTATACAGCGTCGCTCATGGCATAACCTCACTTACCCTCAGTCATTCCATCAGTCTTTGCATTTCCTAGGTTTCCTTTATCCAGGGCATTGAACAGGTCTATCAAGTCAGCGATGGTCGAGGTATCATGGCATAGCAAGCTTACACATAATTGCCAGTATAGGTAGAAGGCGATAATCAAACTTGCGACAGAGACGGCGCTCAGCCTTGTGGTCAACCACCCGGGTGACCTCGTCAATGACTCCAGGAGCAGAGGCATAGCCCTGTAGTTTATTGGGTTCGTCCACGGTCCCAATAGTATCGGTCTTGGCCATGCCATCTGGCTGCTTGAGGCTGGACGCCATATTGAACAATAAGAAATATAGACAAGAAAGTAGCGGAGAATGAGAGCTTCAAGACAGCGGCGAAGACAGTCTTATCAAGGTAGCATCCCTTGGATTAGATAAGACGTTGCATGAAGATGTCACCCCCACGCTTCTCCGCATCGAAGGTTAGGGCTGGAAAGGCAAAGATCGCCAGATTCAGTAGAGTTGCATCCGATAGTTATCTATGGGAGATATGGAAGATATCTATCACTTGGCTACTCTAGTGCGCACCGTAGTTAGCTTCAACGTATGCAAAGGTATCAAAGATAAGCATTTCCTTTCCCCTGTCTCCCTTGATCAGCCCCTGCTGATCCTGTTTCACTTTGTATTTCACATTCCTTCTAGCAATTCTAGACATTTTACATATTCTGGATATTTCCGTGTGAAAGCTTGTTCCGTGAGGTTGCATTGCATGATCTCACCACAAAACGCCGGATTGAGGGGAAAGCCATTCCCCGGAACCCCAGGAACAAGCCTATTTCGGCATTCCCCTAACTTTCATATAAATGTCAGCGTTTGCCCTCAGAACATGTCAAGATTGCAGTTTTAAAGATTTGATTTCAGACATGTATAGAATCACTGCCCTGGTCTTAAGCTAACCAGGGATCATTTCGGCGAGTGATAGGATCATCATAGAAATGGGACACGTAATGATAAAAGAATTAACTTACTAGCAGTTATTGATATTTTCTGATATTGAGATCTAGTTCAAGTCTTCCATCCTGTGTTTATATATTCCTCTCGCATGTCCTACCTTCGACCCCCTGAGCCCGCGGAACCCCATAACTAAACATGACTGGCTAGCTTGTCTGCGATGATGAACTAAGAGTATTACTCCTAATGACTCATTAGGAGTCAATAGTGGATTCTTATATGACTGATTTTCCGCATTCCCCACGTTCCTCATCATATGCCTAGTCTGATTGGGTCGTGCTTGGGTCGTGCGAGCGGCGTCCCAATTTGGACACGAGATATACTACGATGTGCATGAATATAACTCAATTATGCTCCATTTCTATGAAACTAGAGGTGTGCATTGTTCACCGGTCAATCAAACACGGCGAGCCTTGGCATCGGCTTGGATAGCCTGGTCGGCACGGCCCTTCCAGTCCTCCTCCCAGCGAGATAGCGCAGGTCGCTCTTCGTATACATCGGCACTTCCCCATTTCATCCGTGCTTGATCAAGAGCCCGATCGGTCTCTCCATCTGGACAGATGATGTAGAATGATCCATTCTCTAAACCAGTATACAATTCCTCGGCTACCTGGCTCGGATACCAGGCTCCTGCGGGCTTTTTCACGTCTGACTCGCTGGTTGGGCCCACATTGCCCATTAGACCTGTCCAAGTCCAGCCGGGGATGAGTAAGTGAGCGGCAATATGCGCGGTTGCCGGGTCGGAGCGGAGATCGTGCGCCAGATGCTCTGTCAAACTCTTGATCGCGGCCTTTGAAGCGTTGTATGCGGGATTGGTCCCGGGAGGGTTGGTGATACCTTGTTTCGAGCCAGTGATCACGATAGACTTGGCAGATTGAGACCCCGAGGATAGAACCAGTGGGAGAATAACGCCAAGTCCATTCAAAGGTCCAAAGACATTCGTATCAAAGGTCTAATTGTGTGAGTCCCTCGCTCGGAAGGACAGGCCTAGCGTCTTACCTTGGTCCAATATTCCTGATCTAACCAAGCATTCATGCGACCTTTTTCAGTAGTTTGTGGCTTATATCCTTTGCCCGCGTTCAGCACGACCAGGTCAATATCCGCAAATATTGCCCCAATCTGGCCCGCGATCTCTTTCCACGCACCGCGATCGGCCACATCCAATACATAGGCCTCTGTTTGAAGACTGGGATCAACATTCCTCAGAATCTCCTTTGCTTTGACCAAATTGTCATTGTCGATGTCAAGGAGAGCCAAGTGCATCCCCTTGCTCCGACAGAGCTTGGCAATAGCAAAGCCAACGCCGGAGGCAGCGCCGGTGATCAGGGCGGTCTTTTGAGATTGGATAATGTTACTCATGGTGATATATAGTCGACACAAGCAGATTTGCAATGAGCGCAGAAGGAGAATCGAAACGCAAGAACCTTGGAAGAGGAGACATTAATAACTGAGATGTCATCGCGGGGTTAGCGGAGATAGCTTCGGACCACTGAACTATACACATGTTCGTTCCATTTGACTATTGAGATGAGCGAGCATTCTCCACGTGGAAATCAAGACAAGGGAAGGTTGAATATAGCCGCGAGTTATCTTTCTATAGGCAAATGTATATCCCTGTCGACTCGACATACTCCGCAATTTCACCCGGTGCGGAGAGTATACGCGGGGTATAGGGAAGGGCAATATTTACCCACATTATCCGAAGGCGCTGGTTATCCAAGGGAGATCTTCCTATAAAGAAGAGGTACATTCTCCCAGCAGCAATGGGTGTTAGTTACGAATTTGACTGCCTACTTTCATCATGACTGTGCTAATTAGGATTCCTTCGCTGCTTCTTTTATTGTTTGCGCAATCAGTACTCTGTGTGCCAATCTCAACACGAAATGGTAACGGTAAAGAAGATAAATCCTCACATTGGGTGAACATATGGACAACCATGCCTCAACTGGTCGAACCAGCTAATCTTCCGCCTGCTCCATTTGTGCGTCTTTGATACCATATCAAAAGGGTCAGGGAACAAGACTGATGGCCAATCTAGAATGGATCAACATCTGTCTTCGCCAATACAACTATCCGCCAGACTGTGCAGGTTTCACTAGGAGCACAAGAGTTTCGACTTCGTCTTTCCAACTCATTTGGGCTTAATCAGCTCAATATCACTAGGGTGACTGTTGCTTTGCCAAAGACGCAACAGGCAGGGACCAGTGCCATACAGATCGAATCATCGAAACCCTTGCGTTTTAGTGGAAACCCGAGTGTCCAGATTGCCAATGGTGGACTGGCAGTGTCCGATCCGATTAAACTCCCCACCAAGGCCCAATCTATTCTAACGATCAGTATTTATCTGGAGAATGGACAGGAGGGATTTGCTTTTACCGGTCATCCGGGGAGCCGAACTACCTCATACTTGGCTTTTGGAGATTGGACCGATGCACGTAATATCACGGACTCATCTGTTCAAACAACAGATCATTGGTAAGAAGAAGAATTGTCGGAACTGATTCGAATACTCACATATTTCAGGTATCTCATCAGTGGAGTCGAGGCTTGGCTACCTTTTACTTCCAGTGGCTTCGTGATACTTGGAGACAGTATCACCGATGGCCGGGGAAGCACTACAAATGCAAATGACCGGTACGAATCCACCAAATCCACTGCGTTTCTAATATAACTGAATAAGACAGTTGGCCGGATCTGCTTCTGAGAAAAATGCAAAAACATGACTCTACATTGAATATCGCAACCCTCAACCAAGCAGCTGGAGGAAACCGCATTCTCCAAGATGGCCTTGGTCCCAGTGTACTCAGCCGTATTGACCGAGACGTGCTAGCACAATCAGGTGTGCAGTATGCCATGATTTTCGAAGGTGTGAATGATATCGGTGTCGCGAATAACGATACTGCCACCCAGGTCGAGATCGAGAAACAACTTGTGGCGGCATATAGACAGATCGTGACTCGGATACATGCTCTAGGAATTCCGGTCTTTGGTGCGACTATTACTCCGTTCGGCTCACCCTCTACCTCTGATTATGCACAGCCCTATTCCCATCCAGTGCGTGAGAACACTCGGCAACGAATCAACACTTTTATCAGGGAGAGTGGTGTATTTGACGCCGTGCTTGACTTTGATCGAGTGTTAAGAGATCCAACCGCTCCGTCTCAGCTGTTGGAGAAGTATGACTCGGGTGATCATCTACATCCTAATGTCGCTGGGTATCAAGCATTGGCGGATTACTTCCCTCTTGATATCTTCTCAGGGTGAAATTGATGCCGAAGCAGCGAATCAGAGGTGTACGGAGCTACAGAACGAAATAATAAATATTTCAAATAGCTGGTCAGCTGGATTGTATTGCTCATTTTGTACGGACCATAGAACCGTCAGGACATAGACCCTGAAATTCATTATCAGGTCCAGATCATAAGTACATAATAGTTTACAGTTGACACGACTCGTAGATCATCACTGTTCTAAGAGCGACATCAATTAGCCGCGGCGTGCGAGGCGCTGGCGCTTCGACAGGCTGCGCTTCTTGTATGCGCCACTGTCCACAAGAGCCTCCTTGCGTCCGGGACCAAAGTCAGGGGTACCACCGAGAGTACCGAAAATATCACCAATGTAGTTGCTAGGCTTGACACCAGCGGCGAAGGTAGTGTTCCAGCCGTCGAGAATACCCTCAACGACCTTGATTCCAGCCACGTAGAGGTTCTTAAGAGCGGGGGTAAAGCCACCCTGGTCGGCGTACAGAAGGTTGTAGACAGCCGACGAGCCGGGGTAGGGGCGGTCAAAGTCAGATGCAGTGCGCATGACGATGATGCGGGAGAAGTCAGTCAGCTTGCGGGCCGACGAGCGGAGAAGGACTTCAAGGGTGGCGTTATCCTCCTGGGCAGTGGCACAATAGTCACCAGTGCCGTTAGTCCAGATCTTGGTGGTGTTTTCGAAAGTCGAGCCAAGGATGTTTCCGCTGTAGTAAACATCTGAGGTGGCGACATCGCACTCGAGAACACTGGGGGACATGGTAGCAGCCTTGAACATTCCACTAGGGGTGACATAGTGCTTGCGGTAAGCCTGAGCGGTGGCCGAGTCAGAAAGGTTGGCCTGGCGGGCAAAGTCGACAGCCATGGTGCGCAGATCAGCGTTGATCTCAAACACTTCGGTTCCATAGATGCTGGTGGGGTACTGATCGGGGTAGTCCGCTCCTTGAGGGATATATCCAGTGGTATAGTTGCTACCGAGCTCCCGAATATCAATCTCATGCTGCAAAGCAACCTGAACAGCGTACCGCGCAAAGGTCACTGATCCAGTAGTGGTCTTCTTGGGGCTCACACCGGCAATACCAGCAATGAAGAAGTATGTTTGAGTGAGATCGAAGACGGGGGAGAAGGCAACGGAGGTGACGGTGGTCGCGGCATTGATTTCGGACTCGCCGGTGATCAATTGGCAGATCTCGTAGTCCTCGGTGCAGTGGACATCGGGGTACAGAGGCGATAGGCCAGGAAGGGTGATGTTATGGGCCAACAGATCGAACTCGGGGATGTTCCACCAGGCTTCAGCTTCGGGTTCAAACTATCACATGTTAGTCATGCGACAGGAAGCTCGAATGAAGGGGCATACCATGGAGACGATGAACACCTTGGGCGCAATGGGCTTAGAGGCCTTGTGCGTGCCGGTAGCTCCGACCAGGGCCCTACCAAGCAGGAATGAGGCGGCCAAAGTCTGAAGGAAATGCATGGTGAATTGGTAGCAGAGCTTGATTCAGCTTTCCTGAGGCGCCCGCGCCTTTTATATGAGCAAATCCTGAAGAATCTGTAATGCGTCTTCTGCGCTAGTGAGACACCATTTGCGCATGAGTGGGCATCCTTGAACCGAATACAGTTAGGATCTGCATCAGACCGTGAAACCGCGACGAGAAAAACACCGCCGATTTTCCGATTGGCATTTTTCGACGGGACTCCATTGCTTAGTTCGAGATCCAGGTACCCATATGATAAAGGGCGGCCAATTGATAGGAACTGTCCTTATCACGATATCGTGGTGACGAATTTCAATCGGAGGTTGCCGAGGATAAAGCTGAGTATGGCAGAATATAGCCAGACGAGATGCCAATGGTCAATATATTCAGATAGGGACCAATATATTGAAGATATGTGAAGATATCGCAGATATCACGGGATCCAGAGCGGGTTAGTTCCATGCTTCCGACCGCACAATCTTCTTTTCTGTTGATTCAGCTTTCCTTTGGGTCTTCTCTTCTCTTCTCTGTTCTATTGTCCTTTTTACTGCTGTCAATTTGCATTTTTCAAGTCATTAAATGCTTTGGTCTTTGTTGATCAGTCTCTCATCAACACATGTAGTAGGTGAGATGAACAATGTGTCGGCCACAAACCTAGGAACATTGTTTCAGGCACAAGGTACGAGGCACAAGATGTGTAGACCGTGGATCTCAGATGCACCCATATCTCCATGGATGAAATTTCAGAGGTCGAGGTCAGGTGACCCAGGGCCAGGCAGTGACGCCGGGGGCTTCAAGCCACCGTGTGCCAGACGCCGTTGTACGTGGGGCATGACGCATGTCAAGTGCAAAATAGACTGACAACAGCAGTCAAGTGTCGATTCCCACGGGTGAAGTGTTGATCCCCGGAGATTAACTCCAACGTCATCTGACGTCACTTCATCTATATAAAATCAAGTTCGCCTGTTTGTACATCTAGTGTCCATTTGCCTTTGCGCTTAGCATCCCTACTGCAAATCTGCGCCTCTACTCCTATATCTCTACATCATGCCAAACATCCACGAACGTATTCGCGAGGAACTCCTCAACAAGGAGCGCGCCCTCTGGACTGCCCTCACCTCCGCCGATCCAGCACCCGCAGTCTTCAAGCTCAGCAACCCAGAAGCCAACTTTATGTTCCCTCAAATGGAAATTCTCACACTCCAAGATGAGGACACTTTCAAGAAAGCGCTTCGCCCACCTTTCCACCGATTTGACGGGTACCAGTTTGAAGAAGTACGAACAATCATTGTCGATTTAATGGCCGGTGTCGTGACATACAAGATTCGCGCCGTGAGAGGGAAGAAGGAATACACAGCTACGGGGTCGACAACTTGGAGTCAGGGATCGGATGGCGAATGGACTATTGCTAGCCACTCTGAAACGTTGCTGTAATGCGGTCTCTGCAATTTTGGGCTATGAACTTCGGACAGATGATCTAGGCGACCGGCGAATGTGTATTTAAGTGATATGGTGCTACGCATCACGAGTCAACGACCTTTAATGTCATGTGAATTTAACACTTCGATAATACAAAAAGCAGTAGTGTCTTGCAGTAGTCGCTGATCAGCCGCTTACGCCATCGTGTTTCTCCATATAACATTATCTGTAATGATCTACAGCCACGCATTACATTTTGAACCGATTGGAATATCTTTCAATATTACTGGCTAGCATTGAATGCAAAAGAATGTGGTATTTATTGTTTTTTGGGTGGGCCGAGTTGTCAGTGCATTATGGAGTGATAAACATGCAGGATTTCAATAGCGTAATGCAAGGGCTCCCTGTTTGAAAAATTGTGCTTTACAGTATACCCCAGGGAAACCGGAATGAATGTCTGTCAGACAGCGAGCAAACTCACAGACACGGCAATAAAACAAGCCGAGGGAGCTGACTCAATATGCATTTTCATCTCTTGGTTAGGGATCTAGATAATTATGCTAGTGAGCACCGACATGAACCCCTAGTGCCTAAAACCGAAGGATAATGCATGCAACCCTGCAGCAGGCGATCCATCGGCTGTAGGTGAGCCGTGAGTCAGCCTCAGCAGAGTGCATTTGTATCCAAGGGTGAGTCCCTTGAACATTGGAGCAAAGTTAGTCTGTTGCTAACCAGTCACCGAATTTAGAACCAAAGTGTGCTCAGGAACAGATCAATATGACACTAGACTATGAAGAACCATGGGGTCTCCGATGGCGATCATCCCCATACTTTATTGTCACAGCCCTGGCGGTGGCCTTGCTCACTGGTAAGCTTCCCGTCTAAGAATCTGGTTGTCACTGGACTGAATATATAGATGAATATCTCTATGGATTCCTTGTTCCAATCTTTCCTTTCATTGTGGAGACTCGCTTGGGCATTGATGCGTCGCTCACCCAGCGGATCAGCCTTGCGATGCTTTCCGAGAGTGCGCTGGTCAGTGTTATAGCAAGTCCAATAATTGGGCACTATGCGGACCGATCTGATAAAAAGCGGGCTTGGCTATTGTCTGGACTTGCAGTTGCCTTGCTAGGCTCGTTGATTCTCGCCCTGGCCAATTCATGTAGGTGACCTGCTGTATCTTACAGCGTCCCGAACGACTAACAAATTTGTAGTATTTGCTCTTTTTGCCGGGCGATTGATGCAGGCACTTGGAAGTGCCTGTGTTTGGGTCATTAGCTTTGCAACGATTGCCGATCAGGTACCAGCAGATGACCTAGGTAAAGTGTATGGCTTCGTGGCAATTGCTATTTCCGTCGGCACATCCGGTGGTCCGCTTGTGGCTGGGATCTTATTTGACCTTGGTGGCTATTGGACTGCCTGGTCTAGTGTCCTTGTAGTCATTGTGTTTGATATCGTTTTCCGAATTTTGATACTAGAGAAATCGCAGCCTGAGCCAATTACGGTAAAGGCGGGCACTGACGCAGAGAGAGATGCTCTCATTCCACCATCGACAAGTTCGGACAACCATGAACACCCAACTGTTGACGAAAAGACAGGGCTAGAGTTCTATCTCTACTTGTTTCGTAACGGTCGCTTCTTTGGTGGAGTGGTCAGCTATTTCTGCTTCGCCCTTCTAACCACCAGCTTCGATACGACTCTTCCGCTTCATGTGCGCGACACCTTTCACTGGAAGAGCCTCCCGGCCGGTCTCTTGTTTGCCGCATTTCAGGGTCCTGCCGTGTTCCTTGCGGTCCCTGTAGGATGGCTGAAGGATAAAGTGGGCACGCGACACCCAACAGCGATTGGATTTCTTCTCCTTGTCCCTACATTGTGGATGATCGGAGTACCAGGAGACGCGAGATTCCCCTGGGCAAATCGGGGCGATCTTGGCCAGATTTTATACAGCGTTGCGGTTACCTGTGCCGGGGTTGTGATTTGTCTGCTGAACGGGGTAGGGATGATGGAAGCCACTCGTAAGTTTTGCAAAATTCCGACTCTATCTTGTTACTAATGCACTCCAGAGGCCGTCGAGGAGATTCAAGAGGCCCACCCAGGAATCTTCGGCCCCAATGGAGGATATTCCAGAGCAATCTCAGCAGTCAGCGTTAGCTGGACTCTGGGGATGTTCTTCGGCCCCATTCTCGCGGGATATGCCACGGAGCAAATTGGATACTATGAGATGAACTGTTTGTTAGGTTTGTCGCCCCTGTCAAAATTCTTCAGCCTATGTCGGCGCTGACTAAACCCAGCGGGGATGTGTGCGTTGTGCTCTATCGTCGCCTTTTGGAACTTGAAGTCTGTGCCCCAACGGCCCGCAAGTAAAAAGTCTTGCGTGGAGTTTTAGCATGCAAAAAACCCGGATGAGCCGCCGGTTAATATTGGAAAAAGTCTACCGGCGTTTGGGGTTGGCCGTTAGATAGAGTAGTGAAGGCCCGAACAGGACCCACAGGGGTTTCTCTTACTAGAGATCAAAAGTACCGGAACAGGGGGAATCACACGTTGAAGACCAGGATGTTTAGTCGATGCGAAAAGTGGCTTTAGTGGAAGCGTTTACACGGTAGGCGCTTCAATGTGAGATGACGACGATGTTTTCGCCTATCCATATTTTGGTCGGGTAAAATTCTGAATGGGAAGAAATAACGTTCACATCTGCATTAAAGACAAGGAAGTGTATGCAGAAGAATCCACCGTAAGTGAAACCGCGTCCAACTAGTATGCTTCCGAGACGAATAGGAAGAGTCGCAAAGGTTCCAGAAGTCCAGAATGCAGATGGACTCAACTCCGTCTTCCCCGGTCTGACTCGCCTCGGCTTACAGAGTCTGTCCTAGAACATTGCGGTCTCAGATTCTGTCAAAACTAAGCGCCCTATCTAGACTGGACGCCCCAAAGCCATTAAACTCAAGCGTATACTTGTTTTGTGATCAATCGGGAACTCAACTGTCAACTTTCATAGATCGACTCCACCGGCAACCACGGATCAAGTCGTGAAATGCCGAACGATCGCCTCTCCCGGCCGAACACTTGGACTTCTTTTTCTTTTTGCGACCTTTATATTCACACAGGGGTAAAGCTGTCAATTTTGCAAATTGAGCAAAGATCCCGCGGAAATCAGCTATATAGCTCCTGTATGCCAAGCCGCAGAATTTATTCCGTGAGAAATTTGCCTTTCACCCCCAGATTCCAATGGAGCCGATTCAACCGCCGCGTAATATCCTCATCGCCGGTGCAGGCATCGCTGGTATCGCCTGTGCCCTAGCTTTGTCCCGAGAGTTGTCACCATTTGTGCCCGACTTGAAGATCACAGTTTACGAGCGACACGACGTACTCTCCACATCCGGCGGTGCTATCAATCTCACGCCTGTCGCCCAGCGCCATCTTGCTCAGCTGGGGGTTCTCGATGAGTTGGATCGCATGGGAGCTGACGGGGGCGCCGATGTGGATGCTATCGAGCTGTTCTCCATGCGTTCCGGCCGATCTATCGGCTCCATCGACTTCACGGATCACAATGGCAACGGATTTGGGGGATACAAGGGCCGACGAGTGATGCGCATTATTCTTTCAGTTGCGATGTTGACTGTGGTGGAGCGAACGCGCAATGTTGAGATTATCTTTGGCAAGAAAATCGTGAAAGGCGAGGAGGACGATGACACAGCTACTCTGCATTTCCAAGATGGAACAAAAGCCGTTGGTGATCTGATCATTGGCTGTGATGGTGTTCACTCTGCTGTTCGGACAAACTTCGTCGACCCTGATCGACAGTCAGAATATACAGGAATCTCATTCCTGCAGGCCTCAATTCAGACCGATACTATTTCATCACGCATCCATTTCCGATCTTCAGCATTGAACATCTCGCGACATGGCTCAATGTTGACTAGCTATTGCGACCGTGATAATGATCAAATCTTCGCTGCTGCCATCGTCCAGTTCGGCCAGGAAGCTTTGAGTCGCTATCGGATAGAGCCCGGCCAAGATTGGGCTACGCAGAACAGGATTCGATGTGCTCTCCGGGAGGAGATGAGAGATCGCTTTGGCAAATCTGCCATGCCTTGCATTCGGGAAATGATCGAGAGCAAGGCGGACTGGATGCTCTACCCCGTTTTCCAAGTCCGCCCAGGAGGGCGTTGGTGCACCGAGCGATCGATTCTGCTAGGTGACGCAGCACATGCAGTATGTATTCCACCACGATCCACTTGAAGCACGCTAACATGAAAGATGCCTCCACGTGATGAGTCCGCTGCGTATGCGTTGGACGACGCCATCTTGTTTGCTCGGATTCTAGTTCGCTATCGCTCAGAACCCTTGTCAGAGGTCTTCGACGCATACGAAACTCTTCGTCGTGACACAATCAATCGTGCATTCAAGGAGTCCCACCGCATGTGGGATCGAAACAGAGACATGGGCCTGTTAGAAGGAAGACTCAAGGAGTGGACGATGCCTTTGTTCCTCCGGAACAATCGCGATCAGCGGGAAGCAGCATGGCAATTTGATGCAGCTAAAATTGCACTTCCCACACCAGCTCCCAGTGAAGATTTAGTATCACTCAACTCTTTTTTGAAAGATCAAGCCCCATGAAGGGATAATATAGCATTGGGAAGGGATGTGGGGGTGTTTAGGTTGCTTGCATGAGCCGGAGCGTGTGAATGTTTTAATGGATACCCGTGAAGCAATTGAATCTTTACAGCCAGCTATTGAGACTTATTACTAGGAGTTTCCTCAAACAAATCAATCGAATTGATGGGTAGAATAGAGCCTGGCCACTATCTCACAATAGGAGTAAGCCGAATAACGAGTGCGGCTCGATCCAAAGAAGACAAGTCACTTGGTACGGGCATCAACGACTCATAGGATATTTCCTATCCGTTGGAGCGCTTAGAAAGTCAAGGTCTGGCCAGCAGTGCCAACAACACCGGCCTGGACCTTGGCGGAGCCAAGAAGGTTGTAGCTGTAGGGCACGGAGGTCAAGGTGCCGGTCAGAGCAGTGTTCGAGCCAGTGCCAAAGTCGTTGTCCTTAGCCACAGCATAGCCCTCATCGGTGGAGTAGAGAGGCTTCTTGCTGCCGCTAAAGACGTTGGACTCAACCAGAAGCTGAGCACCGTCACGGGTGTTGATTCCGTCGCTGACGTCCAAGAAGTAGCTGTTGTAGACGTGACCGGTACCGAAGCGGAAAGAAGGAGCGCGAGAGTTGATGTTGTACCAGTAATTGTTGTTCTGGGTGACGTGAAGGTAGCCGGTGTCTTCATCGCCGTTGCTGTCAGAGTGTCCAATGAGAGACGCCTTGTAGTGGTCGTGTAAGAAGGTGTTGGAAACAGTGACATAGTCGGCAGCGTGAGTGATCTACACCATATTAGTATATGTGACATTCTCACACCCAGTAGTATTACGCACATCGATCAGACCATCATAGTAGTCCTTGCCATTGTCCCGGTCGGAAGAGACATCGCAGTGATCGATCCAAACGTTGGTAGATTTTTCTGAAGCAAGTTAGTGTGTGCGATATATCATAACGAATCTCGGATTTGCACTTACGAATGCCAATGGCATCACCGTTGTCAGCAAGGACTTTCTTCACACCCAAGTTACGGATGATAACATTGGATTCCCCCTTGACCAAGCTAAGTAGAGTTAGTATATCCACTTCATACGGGGAGGACCAACATACATGCCGAAGCCAGTGAGCATGGCAGTGTAGTCCTTGCCAATGATACTGGTGTTGCTGCCAACACGGACTTGATCGGCAGTCTTGGTAATAGGCCCACTAACGTAGACAACCTTGGCGGAGTCGCCGGAGACTGCTGCAGTAAAGGCAGCGTAGGAAGAGACGGTGGTAGTGGTACCACCAGCACCACCAGTGGTGCCTCCGTTTTGGCTAGCATAGCCAGTAGCAGCCTGTTATATTGCCTAGTCAGTCGCTATATCACGAACCAGTCACCTAGCTGAGTCCCCAAGAATACAATACTCACGTCATTGGCACTGGCCCGCTTGCCCAGGTTAGCGTTGGTAGAAGTAGGGGCTCCCACTGCCAGAGTGGAAAGGCCAGCCAGCACAGCTGTCATAAATTTGAAAGGAGCCATGGTCGGATAGATATCAAAGATTGTAAGGTTCCGGAGGAGTGAGGGAGTGTGTGATTCTGTGGATGATGAGGTCAAAGTCGTGGTCGGTTGAATGACTTTATATACTATCCAAGAGCATCTGTATGGTATGCGCTTCTTGCACAGCCCCAGCCCGTCGTCGTTGGTATAGAAGGATTTCCTTGCTGGATAATCTAGTGCAGTTTATTCCACGCGATATTCAACCAAGGTGGACAAACGGGTACTAATTCTCCGACGCACCAAGTCTCAAACTGACACTTCAGGGGTGGTCAGAATTAGCAGGACCCCATTTAGTCTGGTTTCTCTAGAGAACGAGACTTGGCACTGCCAAACGAGCTATATTCCCGCCACGGAGTCGGAATATCCGAGAAATAGATTGCATTGGCATCTGATAGTCCCCCCACTTGGACGACTCGACACCTTAGAACAGGATGATTATTTCAGGAGCTTCGCATTGCAAAATTTCCACAAATAATCTGAAACATGTGGCGATATAGAGGTGACGAGTGTTGCCAAGCTTGCCGGGGTTTCAGCGCCGCGCTTCGATCTTGGCATTCAGGACGGAGATGCAGTGGGATATAATTCCATCCATTGATGTATATTCTGGAGAGAAGCGCCAAATAATGTTCGCGTGGTCGTTTCAAACACCCCATACGAGTGTCTAGATCGAGCCGAAATAATAATTTCAATGCGCCAATGTGATATGTATAGTGACACTGAACGGATATGGGCAATTTCCTCATCCACGAGAGATGTGAGAGAGATGACGTGATGATCTGAGCCTGACAAGCTCAACTGCCATTGTCCGCTTGCTTCGCCAATTGGAAAAAGCGGAATATCTCCCTGCAATCGAGCAGACTTCACCTGCAGCAACAGTGGCTGAGTAATCCCTGCTATTTGCGGGGAAATTGCGGCATCGGATCATTTGCATTTGTTCACTTCACATTGAGCAGTATATCATAGGCGGAATGGCAGAGACCTTTTCATCCGTGCCGGTAGTTGATTTCGCCCGGCTGCATGACCCTGTGACGAAGAACGAGGAACTTGGGAAGCTGCGTGATGCAATATTCGTCGTCGGGTTCCTATACGTGACGAATACGGGATTAGAGGTGCGATCTCTCGCCATTCGATGGAGAAATACGCTCACACGTCAGAGGTAGGGCATCATCAAGCGCACCCATGAGCGTCTACCTGAGCTATTTGCGTTGTCCCCAGAGGTCAAAGAGGACTGTAATATGATCAACTCGCCATCCTTTCTAGGATATACACGTCTGGGGGCCGAGACAACTGCAGCAAAAACAGACCTTCGTGAGGTTTGTTTTCTCTGAGCCATCAGACACGAACGAAGATCTAATGTTCCTAGCAATTCGATTTTGGCACGCCTGGAGTGAAGCCATGGATGGAAGGAGATCCCTTCTGGCAGATGCTTGAAGGACCCAACCAGGCAAGTCTATGTTGGGAGTCACAGAATACCAGTATTAATGTCCTTCAGTATCCAGATCATGCTGGTGCCAAACCCCTGGTCGAGGAGTACATCACAAACATTGATAGCCTAGCACAAACATTCGTCCGCCTAGTCGCCGAATGCCTGTCACTTCCAGTAGACACGTTCGATGGTTTCAAGGGCAACATGAGTCGTTTAAAATTTGTCAAATATCCACCAGCAGCGCAAGACTCTCAGGGTGTTGGTCCCCATAAGGACTCGGCAGGACTATTCACATTCCTATCCCAAGACGATGCAGGGGGACTCCAGGTACTCAACAAAAATGGACAGTGGATCGATGTCTCACCCATCCAAGGCAGTCTAGTGGTCAATATTCAACAGGGATTCGAAGCAATCACTGGGGGCATCTGCGCGGCCACGACCCATCGAGTTATTGTATGTTGCTGCGATCCACAAGGGACGTGCTAACCCTGAGCTATGCTGACCATGACTCGCAGGCACCTACTACCAAGACGCGCTATAGTATTCCATTCTTCCTGGGAGTGAGACTGGACCTGACGCTAGATCAACTCAAGGAATCTGCAGCGCATGTTGTGCAGCGCATCCCGACCACAGACGATAAGAAGAAGCGCGCCGTAGACGTGCCGAGCGAATTTCTCTCTCCCCTGTATTCTTGTGTAAGTGTTATGAGGTTGGTTCAGGGCCAGTACTAACTGGTTGCAGTTCGGTGAAGCGCACTTGAGGAATCGGATCTTGAGCCACCCTGACGTGGGACAGCGATGGTATCCAGAGTTGTTTGCGAAGTATTCTCAGCAGACTCTTAAATAGTGCAATATAAGTACTGCAATAGACAATGCACAAATATGAATCAGCCCAAATCGCGTCGATTCAAAGTGGAGATGTGTTTCCGGGCGGGGTTCTCTCTTCGTACATCATAAACATGTCTAACGCCATCCAAGAGCTTCAAAGCCGTCTAACAGCTTCGACTGTCTATACTCCTGACTCGGACAAGTATCGGGAGAGTCTCATCCGCTGGTCAGACACTGGAATCAAAGATGCGGTAGGAGACATAATCTCCGGGTAAGACGCCTGACTGACGTGTTGCAGGGCGTTGTAGTTCAGCCAACTGAGGCGAATGATGTCTCCGTTGCCATTTTGTGGGCCCAGGAAAACAATATTGATATCGCTGTCAAAGGCGGAGGCCATTCGACTGCCGGCACCAGCTCAAGTGATGGTGGCTTGGTGATTGATCTGTCGCGCATGAAACAAGTCACGGTGGACACCACACGAAAGAACATCACTGCCCAAGGTGGAGCGACCTGGAAAGAGGTCGATGAAGCCGGTGCAGTTCATGGATTGGCCGCTGTTGGAGGAACTGTGAATCACACAGGAGTTGGGGGACTCACGTTGGGAGGAGGTTACGGATGGCTGAGTGGCCAATATGGCCTCACCATCGACAATCTGCTCTCTGCGACCGTGGTTTTAGCGGACGGCAGTGTTGTAACAGCTTCTGCCAGTGAGAATCCTGACTTATTTTGGGGTTTGCGAGGCGCGGGCTATAACTTTGGTGTTGTGGTCGACTTCACCTACCAGGCTTATGACCAGACCGCACCAGTGTTCTCCGGTGTCTTGGGATTCACGGCGGACAAGCTGGAAGGCATTATTGAGCAGCTCAATGGCTCTTTGGCGCAACCTGATGCGCGCTCTGGGGCTATGTGTTTCTTTGCACTCTCACCCGATGGTTCTCCCATGATTATTGTCATCTGCTTCTACAATGGCACGCGTGAAGAAGGCCAGGCACGATTTTCGGGACTGACAACCCTCGAGCCAGTTCTTAACACGCTTGATATGATCCCATACTCGGTAGTCAACACCCTGCAAAACCCCCAGGCAACTTATGGTGATCGCAAATCCTTCAAGGGAGTTTTCTTTGAGCCGCCGTTAGATCCTGAATTCGCCCGAGTAATTTTCAACGATGTTATGGCCAAAATCCAGTCCGATGCAGATCTCAAGAGTTCTGCAATCATTCTGGAGTTTACTGACATGCGCAAGATCTGTGAGGTGCCACTGGATGCAACCGCACTCGCAAGCCGCAATTCGACTCAGAATGGCATTGTCTGTCTAAGATGGACTGACGCGTCCAAAGACCTGGAGCACCGAACTTGGGCACGCGAAGTGCAGTCTAAGTGGAAAACCGAGTTGGATGCCAGGACTGGCCAAAGTGCAGGATCGAGTGTGCCTCAATACATTAACTACGCCGAGCGTGAGTGCTTTCGCCATCTTATACATGATTATTGCTGATCTTATGTCTAGCTGGCGATGCTGCGGTGGCTAATATCTACGGCGAAAACCTCGGTCGATTGAAGCAAGTAAAGGCCAAGTATGATCCCAAAAATGTCTTCCACAAAATGCAACCCATTTCTGGTACTTAGGGGTTTTGATATTGAGAATATATAGCAATTTGAGACACAAGACATAGACAACAATTTCAAATTCGATATACGACGTATTTTCATAACTCACAGCTTGGGAAGAATGTGGTACTTGACAGCCTTCACACTAGTCCAACTCTCCAAGGCCTCTTCGCCCATATCACGACCAAATCCGCTTTCCTTGACCCCGCCGAATGGGACATTGGGGCTCAACATTGCCCAGGCGTTGACAGTAACCTGGCCTGATTCGATGGCCCGTGTTACGCGATGCGCGCGACTAATGTCGTTGGTGAAGATGGCAGCACTGAGTCCGTGATGGGAGTCATTGGCCTTGTAGATAACTTCGTCTTCGGTATCAAATTTGGCGATGCTCTGTAGTTCCCTCTCGTGTTAGAATTCAGTTTCAACGAGAAATTGAGGATGATATTAGTATTGACTTACTGCAACAGGTCCGAAGATTTCTTCACGCATAATCGTGGCATTGTCGCCAACGTCTGCAAATGCAGTGTTTTCAACAAAATATCCCTTGTCGCCAATTCGATCACCACCAAACAAGAGTCTAGCTCCAGACTCTTTGCCTTGACGAATGAAGTCAAGGATCTTTTGGTGCTGAACGTTGCTGACCACAGGGCCCTTGGTAGTTGAAGCATCCAATGGATTGCCAACAATGGTCGGGGCATTGGTGGAAGCTTTCTTATAGGCCTCGATAAATCGGTCATAAATTGAAGCCTGAACATAGATACGCGAACCAGCCGCACAGATTTGTCCGTTGTTTGCTGTGATTCCAATGCGGGTCCAGAGCAGTGCGTTCTCCAGATCACAGTCGTCGAAGACAATTGAGGGTCCCTTGCCACCGAGTTCCAGACTGACCTTTTTCAGATTGGTTCGGGATGCCGCTTGCATAATCTTACGTCCTGCAAGAGTACTACCGGTGAAAGCGATCTTGCGCACCTCCATATGCTCTGAGAGCGCTTGGCCTGCGCTGGCTCCTTCACCAGTGACAATGTTCACGACGCCGGCAGGAATACCAGCTTCCTTCACCAGCTCCGCAAGCTTCAAAGCATAAAGAGGAGATAGCTCGGAGGATTTGATAATCAAAACGTTGCCAGTCACCAAGGCAGGGGCAAGTTTCCAGATAGTAATCATTCTGTGGATAATTAGCCCCTTCTGTAGGTATGGTCTCAATGATAGAGGCTTACAGTGGAGCATTCCAAGGCACAATGGCACCACAAACACCCAAGGGTTCACGATGAGTATAAGCGATGCCACCGTCCAGTTCGAGCGTTTTCCCATCAATCTTGTCTGCCCAGCCTGCATAGTATCGAAGACAGCCGACTGCCTGAGGGATGTTCATTCCGATCGAGTCGGTATACAGAACACCAGCATCCACAGCCTCCAATGATGCAAGATCCTTGGCATCGCGCTGGATCAAGTCTGCAAGCTTAAGGAGGAGTTGAGCCTTGACATGTCCAGGAACTGCTCTCCATGCATTAAAACTGGCCTTGGCGCATGTAACAGCGTTGTCAATATCTTCTGAACTAGCAGCAGAGATAGTTCCAAGTTTGTCTCCCGTTGATGGGTTCTCTACTTGAAGGGTTTGGCCTGTGGACGAAGGTACAAATTCATTGTTGATAAATAGCCCGGTCGGAACTACTTGGTGAGCAGTGGTCAACGAACAGAGTCATACAAAGCCTACCTGTGATTTGACGGCCTTCAAAGCCGGTAATAGTCAATCTCGCCATGATCAAGGATGGTCAAAAGGGCTCAGAATTGAAGGACTGAGGCATCTTTTGTATGTGGAAGCTCGGAATGCATTCCGGCGTGCGGAACAGGGGCTAAACCAAACCCCCGCAATTCCCGAGGTGTGAGATATTGGAGATTGAGATATTAGAGACATAGGATCTGATATGGGGTAATAGTAATGGAAATCAAAGATGAAGTGTCGTGAAGCTATTACCTCCAGGGGAGATTGTCTGTGATTATGTCACCCTGTTAACTCCAAGGTTGTCAGGGGCTGAATCTGCCCCTCTTCTACAACACCCTGTGACTGTGACAACATGCCTTCTACCGATGCCCTTCGTATGAATATCCTTGGTTATTTATGACAACATACTGACTGTAGCAGAGCCACCTCTTACTCCTGCCGAGCGCGCCATTGTCAAAAGCTATGGCGGGTGGACGCAGTTCATGACTTGCTTCGGCCTCAAACCGTGGGAAACTGAAGACGAAGAGGAAGGGAAGAGGATCCTAGAGACATTTACCGCGAACTCTGAGGAGGAGAATGCATAGTAGCAATGCGGGCAACCAGCTGTGGGAAATCTATCTCTCTCACGACTATTGTCGTTTACCCACTGCCACCTACTCAAGAAATTGCTGCAAGTAATAATCAACTGGGGCTACTTTTCTTTCACTTCTTATTATATACTTTAAAGCTGTAAGCATGAGTGATGCAAGGGCAGAGCATCATGCTCATTATGCCCTGAACGACAACAACATCTAGTCAGGGCGGAAACCTGCAAATAGCAACTTCTACCTCGCCTTCCACAACCCCCAGGCTATAACAACCACGACTTTAATCCCTGCTGACAGCCACAGAGTGGGGGAGATCGCCTGTGTGGCTTTGGTCACCCATCCACCAATGATCGCCCCAAGCAGCGTTAGCACAAACGCGATGACCCGACGGTCGCGCTTCTGGTTTCGGATCAGGAACAGCTTCGGGTCGGACACAAGATCACAGAGAAGACTGGTAATGACCACGGTCGGAATCTCATTGAAACCTAAGGCGCGACTCGCCACAATCTGACCGGCGGACTGGATGCTGAGAAGAACAATCGGAACCTCTTGATCCCACGGGGGTGTGGTCTGCGACAGCCGGTCATCGAGTGCACTCGATATGGCTCCGCCTTGGACAAGACCGGCAGTTATGATAATGATGCTGGCTTGCAACATGAAGGACATCATCAGTGATCCACGCCTTCGTGCACCCAAAGCACTGTGTAAGCGCGCGAAAAGGAAACACCCGAAGACAAAGCATCCGATCGATGTGAGCGAGCGCGCCCAACCATACGGACGAGCGTTCTGGTTTGAGGCTCCTAATCCAACGAAGATTGTGTTTCCTGTGGCCTGTCAGATTGCAATTGGATTCCTTCCGGAGTTGAGGTCATACCGGTCTGCATGGACACAAAAGTGTTGTAAGCTGAAAAGGTTAGTCTCGCCTAGATCACACAATCAGGGATCAGTGTGGCTCTCACCGTTATAGATTGTACTGTCCACAAGTCCTGAGGTCAAACAGCATGCAAAGAGAAGAAGATCGGCATGTTGAGGCTCGATTTCAGCCTTGAAGGATGCAGCAAATCCTGCGAATGCACCTTTTTCGGTGTCCATGGTGGTATCTGAATGGATTGGAAGGGGAAAAGACTTGACACAGTCAGATAGAGCCCGAAGAGACCTTCAAGAATATTCGGAGAAACACCAGAAATACAAAGAGATAAAATAACAAACCTGCAGTCCACGGGGGATGCCTGAGGGACCATTCCTAGCCTTAACAAACCTAGCCCTACGAAACCTTCTCCTCCAGTCCTGTCGATCGCATCATCTTCCTCACACCAAATGCACCCCAAGACGGAGCCAAGCGCGTCCTGCAACTCCGTGGACTCCGGGATATATTAGCGATCTGCAGTCCTCGACGCAAGATAAGGGGGGATCATTACCACATGTAGCGTCCCATGCCTCTATTCGCTCCTCTGCGGCCTGTGAGCTGGCCGGGCCGTTGTCGCTACGGGATTTCTTCGAGCAAGGTTAGTCTCCGATGCGTGCCTAGAGCGCCAAGGATTACTCTCGGTGGAATCATTCATGGCGCCGAGCAGCTTGGCGCCGACTTTCTTGTCATGAACTCCACCCCGGGAATTGCACTGGTGTCACTGCGGATTTCCACTGAGGGGTTGATGTACAACCAGTGTTTGCTGGCCAAGTGTTCTCGCTTCTCAAATCCAAGCCTGTGGAGACAGCAAATCGTCTCACTGGGAGTCACTGCAAATGATACGATGTCCACAGTCTTGCTGACGGGCGTTTGGCTGTTGATCTCCCGCCCGAGAGATAGCGTGAGGAGCTTGGCGAACTAGGGTTCTTGTGAAACAATGCCATCTGCCAAGAGTCCTCTTCTGCTCAACATATTGCCACCAATGTGCAAATCTCCGCTTATGCAAGAGCGACAAAGAAGGCACACATCTGCAGCATGCAGTCATGATGCCAAGAGACCCTAGATTGATTACCCCCCCTGCTCAATACAGTAATTGTGATAGTGAATCAGCGTCGGAGTGGCCGTCGCCGACCACACTTGAAGCATCTAGACAAAATATTACACCGGTGCATAGTTTTGACCCTGGTCCATGCAGATATTGACCAAGACTTCAACGCCATTCACATGAGTGATTGATGGGAAAAGTTCTCAACAATTGCCCGAGCGGCTAGCACTGTATATCGCGCAATGTGTCTTCTGGTCTAACTGCGGCGGGGCTGAGGTCATCTGGTTTCTGAGGCATGGCCAGTACGACGCGAAGACAAGATAAGGTCATATTGAGGCCTTGGCAATTCGGGGAATGTTGCATCTCCGAGAACCCAAGAGCTCTTGGTTTGGTGGGAGTGTACTTTCTCTAACATCAGGCAGGCGCTTTCGGTCCCGATTTAGTCACTCGAGTCGAGCCGTATTACTCCGAAGACATTGCACCAGAAGGTATAAAGAGGGGATCTATCTTGGTCTTTGAAAGCTACCACAAGAATCACAGATCAAACAACAAAGCCAACTCGTCAATCAATCAATCACCCAAGATGACCATCACAATCACCGTTGAGAAGGACGGGTACTACGAGGTCAATGGCACACGCCAGGAGCCAACCGTGTCTCTTTATGTCATACCTGCGGCTTCCAAGCTGCGCCGGATGCTTAAAGATACCAAAGACCTCATTGTATGCCCTGGCGTATATGATGGCCTCTCCGCTCGTGTGGCCATGGAGGTTGGGTTCAAGGGACTCTACATGGTACGAAGAAGAAATATAAGACCAGGCGGGTGCAGATGTTAATCTTATCAACAGACTGGCGCTGGAACCACCGCCTCACGCCTGGGCATGGCAGATCTGGGGCTAGCTCAGCTCCACGACATGAAGACCAACGCGGAGATGATTGCCAATCTTGACCCATTCGGCCCCCCATTGATTGCAGATATGGATACTGGCTATGGAGGTATGTATAAGTTACAGACAATGGATATGCCTGCCACACATGCTAACTACCTGCTAGGCCCGTTGATGGTGTCAAAGTCTGTTCAACAATACATCCAAGCAGGCGTCGCTGGCTTCCACATTGAGGACCAAATCTCCAACAAGAGATGTGGCCATCTTGCAGGCAAGAAGGTTGTCAGCCTGGAAGAGTACCTCATGCGAATTCGCGCCGCCAAGTTGACCAAGGATCGTCTGCACTCGGACATTGTTTTGATTGCACGGACGGATGCACTGCAGCAACATGGCTACGAGGAATGTATTCGTCGACTTAGAGCTGCTCGGGATATTGGGGCAGATGTTGGATTGCTTGAGGGTTTCACTTCTAAAGAGCAAGCTCGACAGGCAGTCCAGGACCTCGCCCCCTGGCCCCTTCTCCTCAACATGGTAGAAAATGGAGCAACCCCGCTCATCACTACGAAGGAAGCAGAAGATATGGGATTCAGGATCATGATCTTCTCATTCGCTACAATTACCCCTGCTTACCTGGGTATCAAGGCGACCTTGGAGCGACTGAAGACGGAGGGAGTGGTTGGTGTCCCCGATGGAGTGGGCCCGCGGAAGCTGTTCGAAGTCTGTGGATTGATGGACTCGATGAAGATTGACACGGAATCTGGGAACGATGGCTTCTCTGAGGGCGTTTGATGGAAATTGTTGAGAGCTTTGTAATTATCTTGTTTGAATTTGTAAAGCAACGGAGATCTCTATAGCTAGACGTTCAAATTGCAACCCTTTCCGTTCCATGAGAAATCTTCATCAGAAGCAACTTTCCCCTTGTAACTCTGACAATTGATCTTCCGATTGCCCTTCAGATTCAGTTGTCAATGATAGTGTATTAAATGACGAAGAGGAAGTCTTGACGATCTCCTTTTCTATAACCGACCAGTTGCCCGGCTGTAGGATTTTGAAAAGTCCAGGCCATACACTGTAGTCTACAGTCTCATTTGCGCCCGCCTCTTCCATCAGGCTTCGCATATTCTGATCCCGGAAAGGCATTCGAGGGTGACTTGATCGAAGTATATAGATGCCATCTTGACATTCGATATTTTGTTTCAGCTGGATACATCGCTGAATGAGATTGTTCAGCTGATTCGTTCGCTGCAACTTATCTGTGGTAGAGTATTGAGAGAACCAGTCTTCCACCTGATTCACAATACGTTGTTGCTGAATTTGCAGCTCCACTGGTTTCTGGGATACTGTAGCGCTACTCATTGCGCACCTCCAATGCCACCAGATGTGATGGGGGTCTGGTTTGGTCAGTGCTAACGAAAAAATAGGTATGATCCAGTTGCTTCAACTCACAAAGTTCCTCAACTATGTTGTCCAGGTTGCAGAGATAGTTGTTCCACGAAGCTTCACATCCCACCATATATCGGACCCAAAATGTCGTGAAAATCAGGCGCGCGATGTAGGACTGGATCCCATCTATTGTTAGGACATGTGCGGCATCGATTGGCTGCATATTGTGGCCCTCTTTACCCATTCCATGTTCACCAAAATGAAGACATATCCAGTGTCGGAGGTCATCATACAGAAGGCGAATAGAGTGGCAGAATTCTTCCTCACTGAAAGACTTCATTCCAGCTTGAAAGTTTGCTAGTTGCGTTGTAAGGAGGTTGTTTTCTTTTCGGACGACGTCTACTTCCTGTATAGCGTCTTCAAGTAATTCGGCCCGTCGGCGTGCTTGTTCTTCTGCCATAAGCCAGCGCCTTCGCAGTGATTCCGCTTGTTTTCCAATAAATCTTATTCTCTTTCGAAGTGGTTAGGAGCAATCCAAGCAAGGAAAATACGAAACAAACCCAATGAAGAATCTCGACTTCGATGCGCATGTCGTCCAAGTCCGCGTTTCCTAGTCTGATCAGCCCCGTTAAACCAAATGCCAGAGGAACTAGTTACCTAAAGGAGACGACAGTGGACTTAGCGTCGACTGAGGTGCGTCAGCTGTCATGCTGTTCCGGTTCATGAACCTTTTTGCATGTAGCACTACATGTAGCAGTGAATCCATCAGTGGTACCTGAATGACTGTCAGCATGAGAAAGAACATCAAGGGAACCAAGCCTGTAAAATGTGATTAGATGATAATAATTCATGACAACTTCATGACCAGCTCTCCACGACAAGGTTTTGGTTTTGCTCTCTGACGTTGATCTTAGCAAGATCCTCAAGCCAATGACCACAACCAAAAGAAGGCAGTAGCTTTTGTCTTCCATGTAACTTATGCCGCTTCCATAAATACCCTAATATTTTAATCTCTTCTAAACCTGATCCAAATTTGGTGCGAACTCAAGTCACGATATCGAATGTCAAGATGACAGCCAAAGTGGAAAGATCGAGACTCATTGTGGGCATCGACTTTGGTACTACTTTTAGCGGGTGCGTAGCCTGTTCTCTTAAAAGTTTAACCAGCTTTTGGCCAGTGTTCCTGGGGAATGCAAGATTGCCCGGAAGACATCGAGGTCAACCAGTCATGACTAGGGGGTGGAAATAGTGAGTCTTGATCGCGAAGGCAGGTTCTTTGAAACTAACAGCATATCAAACACTCCCCAAAAGATCCCAACAGTGGTTCTTTATGACGAGAAACGGATGAAACGCGGCTTTGAAGCTAAGCAGTCAGTTCAGCCAGGGAATCAGCACCAACTTGTTGAAGGAGTCAAGTTTCTGATGGATGAGAGACAAAATTCCGTTATGCCCCCACGAGCGAGCCCGAGAGTTTTATATAAAAAAAAGGGCAAATCAGCTGTTCAAGTCTCCAGTGACTTCATGGCAACCCAGGTCACTCATGCTCGTGAAATGTTGAGGCGTGTGTTCACACGATCGCAATATATATATCTTGCTTAAATAAAGCTGTTACAATTTATCCTGATGATTTATAATAGGAAGGTGGCTGTATGATTGTCTGTGATGCTGGAGGTGGAACAGTCATCAGTCTTCGATAGCAGAACATGATTTAATCGATATAGGTATAACAATATCGAGTTTGATCTGTTTTGACACTAACATCTGCATCACTGTTATTTAAGCTACAGTTCAATTGGGTTTCTTGAGGCAGTGTCAAATCTCGGTATTAAGGTAGACTCGGGTGAGTGTGGTTTACAGGTTGTTGCTAAATTGGATGTGGTAGGGATTGGCTTCATTGCTGAGTATTAGCTGGTCAGAATATCTTGAAGAAATGCCGAGCAAAAGCAAGAGTTAGCTACGCCTATGTTTTATATTCGAGCTGATCGTGCCTGAGCTTGGGAATTTTGAATGGTCAACGTTATTGGACTTCAGACATGTCTGCTTCCATGACGAAGAGTAAGGTTGTGCAATCCGGAGCCCTGCAAGGTTTCGAGTGGTGCAACAAAAGCCATCTGACTCCAGGAGAAGACTTTGTTTTTTCCTCCGTAGACGAATACTTCAAAGCGCCCGGCAAAAGTACCATCCACCCACACCCGACTACCAGTAGTCTTGCTGGTGGAGATAGTAATTCGGGATTGCTGAGGAACTTGTACGATCTCATGGGTCGAGGTGGTCGTGTTGGCCCAAATTCGCCCCGGCTGAGTTTGATCAAATCCATCAGTCTCTGCGACGGAGCGCAAGGGGTACGGCCATCCGTCAGATGTGAACGTTAGCTGACCCTCCGTGGATAGAGTAAGTCTAGCGTCTGAAGAGCTCAAAGCGAATGGACCAGTAACCTCAAGATCAAGGGTGTAGTCCATGCCCTTGCTGCCGTGACCCAAGTGATGTTCACCAGGGTTCGATTGGGAGTCTGAGGACCACGACAACAGAGTTCCTGATTTCTTTCGTGACTCCACATCCAGGCGGCGATCGAGGTTTTGCCCAACAGCTCGAGAGGTCAACAAAGACATGGACGTATCCAACTTTCCTTGTTCCAGGCGTGGACCACGATTACCAGACCAGGCTCGCGATGCAACGACTGGAATGCCGTCACGAATCGCGTAATAAGCCTCAAGCTGGGTAGTCGCGTCTGGGCCATTGTCATTCCATGCAGCCATGATGGCACCTTGAACAGCCTTCGCATCCGGTTGTTCAGTTATGTTCACTGAATTGAACAACTGCGGGGCCCACTCCCACCCGGTCCGACCAGCAAAGCTAAGCAAACGAGTGTTGTTGAAGAACTGAGGGTATGGGGCCGGGATGATAGGGACATGGTCGTTTTTCAGAGACATGTAGGCCCACGTATCTTCAGAGTTGAGAATCTGGTACCCGTTGCGAGCCAAATCAACCGGATCCGATTGACCAAACTGCCAATGCTGGATAGTGATATCCTTATCAATCGTGAGATTTGACGGCTCATATGTTCCCCAGATACGGACGCTTTTTCCAGCTGTCTTTTGGACGAACTGAGACATTTCGTTGACGAATTTCACATAGTCATCACCAAGCGTGGAGTCATACTCGTCAGCGCCGATATTGACCTCCTTCGTGTGGAACCAAGGGAGAAACTCGGTCCAGATGGACTTCATCAAGGGAATGGTGTCTGGATGGGAGAGATTAAGCAGGTCCCTGGAGTCCAATGCCAGCTCGGGTTTCCATTTAGTGACAGTGAGGCAGTGGCCAGGGCTTTCAATCTCCGGGATGACTGTCACGCCTCGTTGGGCACAGTGCTGCTGGAAATCATCAAATTCGGCGCGGGACAGCGTTTCGTTCGGTCTCTGGACCAGGGGCTGAAGATTTGGATCTTCGGGATGCAACGCGAACTGCGAATATACTTCGTTCCATGTGACGTTGGGACCGCGACTCAGAGGGTAGTTGTCCGTGGCGTGGTAATGGAACTCGGACATCTTGAAGAATGAGGCATAGGTGCACAGATCCTTCAAGAACTCCAAAGAATACCACTTGCGACCAGCGTCAAGCAGAAAGCCTCGAGTGCTGTATGCCGGCGCATCCTCAACGTGACCAGCTGGGATAGATGAGCGTGTCAGGACAAGTTGCTGAAGAAGCGTCCGCGTTCCCCACCACATGCCGCGCGCACCGGATCCTCGAATGAACACACTGCCATCCTGTACCTCCAACTCGTATCCCTCCTCAGTCTTGCCACCGTTCTCATATTTGAAGCGGTCGGAACGCGATGCGCGACTCAAAAACACGCCTGACGCGTTGGGAAATCGGGTAACGGTTTGGAGGTCCCAGGAGCTATTCGTAAGCTCCTGCAGGTCGTCACGGAAAGTATTTGCGAACTCGAGGGCCGAGGGAGGGATCAAGGTCAGACCATTCTGGTCTCTCAGTGGTGCGAAGTCAGCTTCGAGGTAGATGGTTCGGTTGGCTGAGTCTAGAGAAAAGCCCTTGCCAGAGACAGGCTCAAGGTGTACTGGGGGTAACGTCTGCAGCGCGCATGCGACAGCAGCAAAGGAGAGAACAATCCACTTCATGATGCATGATGGGCATCGAGAGGGCCAACATGGTATCAATAAATAGTCAAGTCAAATAGCGTTACATTCCAGTGTTGATAAGAGAACAATGCAAAGCGTGGGGGAACGGGATGAAGTGGAGTACGGCCAACTCTACAGTTACATCTCTCTTCACTCCTCTTCTCTCACAGCTGCGACTTCATTCTATTTGGCACATGGAACCAAGCCTCACTAAATCCAACATGTTGCGGCCATGGAGCTGTCATTGGTTGGATTTTCACTGACACCATGCGGGGATAAGCATATCTCTTGCATATCATTGTCTGTTGTGCAGCTGATTCTTGGTTGAATTGCTTGGTCGAGTCAATAACTGCACATGTTAAATGTCTACGACATCTTTGAGAGACAGATTCAACTTACTCGTACGGGCCAATGTCAGGAACTGCTCGGTCGTGAGTGGAAATGATGCATGCTGAACGAAAGGCTTGGTGATTTGAGCAGTGGCCACTGCGCGGATCTGTTTGGCAAGATGGCCATCACCCTCATACTCACAGGCACGCTGAAAATTGGCTTCTATCCAGATAGAGCGAGTGGTCTGTATCGCATCAACTCTTCAGGGTAGCTTCGCGGTCCGCCACATTGACTGTATAGCATAAAGCCTGCTCGACTTTTCCACTCCAATAGTCGGAATTTTACGGTGAGCGGGATCCACGGCACACTGTTCAAGACAGGCCAGAATGACCCGGCAGTTATGGAGTGCATAAGGAAGAAATCGAATCGAATCTGTTCGCCCGGCCTCTGTGAAACGGCCGTCCAATATACTTCCTTTGTGCTTAGCCAGTACTTCTCTGTCGGTGTTTGAATTCTGTACTCGTTCTACTGAGACATACGGCAGTCTTCTCCTTCAGCTTATCAGAAGCCACCTTCCACGAACCCATCACGCGCACAAAGTCATCGCGTGCATTGGCAAGAAGGCTATCCCTAACCTGAAAGTCTCCATGCGTGTAGTCCATTGCTTGTCTCAGCTTGTAGTTGGTAAATATTTCAAGTTGGAGCTCAAGCAGCCCCTCGGGATAGGATACGCGCGAGTTTCGCGCCACCAATCTCAGAATCTCCGCAAAAGCCGAGTGGTAGATGGCGGTTGAAGCCAAAGCCTCAGCTACCACAAGTGGCTGAAACTCTGTCGCATATTCAAGGTGAATTGGAGAGTGTAGCAACCCTGTTGAGTCAGTCAAGCGGCAAGTTGATCATTAAACAGCTATTTTACCGTGTCTAGTTGCGTGGGGGTCGCCCCAAGCGCATACAACGCTAGAAGATGGTGCAAGATATGGTCTGGTTACATTCGTCAATAGTTGGGTACCAAGAGAGCAACATGAATACGATGAAGGCCGAGGTCATCGATATAGATGTGATGATTGTCATGATTCTGTTGCAGAAGTTGGGAAGCTTTTGAGGCGCTCGTGGACAAGGGGGCCTCAACGATGCCAGCAGGGGAAGTTTCCCATTTCTAAATATGATCAACAACCCCCATTCCATTCGTTGGAGTATCTGGGTGAATTCCCCCTGTATTGAAATATCTCAAGTCAACACCATTGCACATGTTCCCTCTTTACCGAGTTGCCGTCTTCCCCGCATATCTTCATGTTCGCGGGCCGACAGGGAATGAGTAAGGTAAGTGAATAGAGCACCTACTTGGAGAACATCTGATATCTCATCGAAGCAGTATCTGGTCATTCTTGAAAGCTAAATTCGGCATTCTAATACAAGCGTGCTGCCGATCAAGTGTTGAGCGGAGTGAACAATTTCATATTTTTTTCCGCATATCTTTATTCCGCCCTGGTTAGCCTTTCTTTTCGCCCATTTGTTTATGAACTTTGGAATGGGAGTTATCCAAAACGGCGGGCCAATGGAGTTCGTATACAACGGGGTGTGGATTAGTTATGACCCCATTTGGACGGGTTTGGTTGCGAGTGCTTGATTGGCTCTCTGAAACCCCTCAGTGCTCTGTCCAGCTAATGGAGAGTCGTGAAAAAAGACCACGACCAAAAGAGTGGGGTTACAGCGCACTAGAACTGTAAGTGAAGATACGCAAAACTGTAAAAGTTGCATGTCACGTCTCCGGTATATCCGGGTTGACTATGGCCTCCTGGACATGTAAAGGTAATACGAATGTATTGCTTAGTCCTGCCCAATGAAGCGCATCAAGACGAGCAAGGCCAAGCTTGACGAGCGGGAAACTTTGGCTTTGGCATCGCAGAACATGTAACCACGAGTCTACAAGATGCTTTGCTCGAATAGCATGGGCGCCATTTGGGGCCTGTACCAGCAACAACATGAGGTAGTTTGAAATAGTCGCAAACCCGATTCGCGACCCTAGATACGTTAGCTGTTGGCTCTTGATAGGCTGGGAAGCAACATCAACAACATACAGGAGTACCAGAAGCCCGTGAAATCACTGGAAGTCAGTCTTCTTGTAAAATTCACTAAGATGGACGCACACTTCTCTGCCGCATGTAGGGTGGCCTCGCCCGTCCCGAACTCGTCCGATATTTCAATCTCTGGCAAGGATTCGATTTCGGGGAGACCCATAAAGTCGAGCATTGATTCATTGACAGGCAATGGTGACGTAGCCGACATATCTTCCAGGTCAAAGATGAGCGGCGGGCTGGAGGATCGTGCCATCGGCCTCAACATGGCCCGGTACACGTAGACCACAAGTAACAGGTAAGCAAAGTGGATCGAGGTGGGATATGGAGCAAGGCCATTCACAGACTTGCTCCAATTAGGAAGTCGAAAGGTCTCCGGCAGAGAAGAGTACCAGTCATTCAACCTTTCGAGCAGGCCGCGGCCCAGCTCCGCCGAGGTACTGAAATTGGCATTCAAGATTTGCGAAGCTCGCAGCGTGCTGCAAATAAAAATCAGTAAACTGGAACTTCGCCGACGGAGGATGAACAAAAACATACTAGAATGTGTCATGGATCTCTTCGCCGATACGTGTGAGATTGACTAGGTACCGGAAAGGGATCTCAGTATCACAAGACAGTGTGGAGAATCCTTGTCGTGGGCCCACCAGGAAGTCCCCTTCATCCAATTCACTCACGTCCCATTCGGCAGGATGGATATAGGGCGGCCGGCCCATCAACAAACTTCGCCATTTATCTTCGGCATAGACAGCCCACCACAACCGCCGGCGTAGGCGCTTCTCCCATGCTGGGATACCCCACATACGGCATTCAATGTGAAGGCCGAGCGAGCAAGCCAGTCCAACGATTTGGCCGACAAATGACCACAAGAATGGAGTGTCGGCCGTCGTCAGGCGGGCCTCATCTCTTGGCTGCTGATGAATGTACAGTAAGGCTGCCTGTAGGACTGCCAATCGGGGGCTGTGGATCTCTTCGGAAATGAGTTCATAGACCATGCGCCACAGTGTGTCAACCGGGGATGCGTGGTAGGTGCTCAGAACACATAGGTAATCGTCATGGGCCACGAATGGGAAGGCCGCTGCGTAGATGGCGGCGAGCAAGTGGATAGGGACATTTTCTAGCGCGGATAACTCTGGCAGTTGGTATGACGCCGTAGTCAACCCCAGCTGGGAACGAGAGATAATCGGCAGAGCAGGAAACACATATTTGACAAACCTGAACTCTTGTTAGCTTCACATTTTAGCATCAGAGAGAAAGACTCACAAACCCACTAGTCTCCTTCCATATTCCGGGGGCACTAGATAATTCAGACGTTCGCGTGTTACATCGCCAGCACCAGCCCTAGTCTCTAGCTTGATGGCTTCTGCGAGCTCATCGGCCGAGATCATGAAGTGCACGGGGATTCTTTGGACGGTTGGCACGCCTCCAGCATTGCGAAAGTGGACCTTATAGAAGTGCTTCATTCCAGAATCATCAAAGCAACAGTGCCTCAACAACCACGGATCTGATTCGGCGGATGCGCCAAACAGTTGTGCATGGCCATTTTCTAGTTGGTCGATGCTCTGGACGAATTGGGCCGGGGGTCGCCCGGATGGTATGATACCGGAGCCTGGCGACAGGCCATTGCTTTGATCCAAGCCCAGGGAAGGGAATCGCGGTTCCCGGGATGCACTCACGCTGGATTCGCGAGTCAAGTCGCCATTGGGTGTCGATTCTTCGACGCTTGCAAAAGGAAGAGCCGAGTGTCGGGCCCTTTTCGGTGGAGGTTTATCAAAAGTACAATTCAACTTGGCCGATCGGCATCGTTGACAGGCTCCGCCGCCCGTTTGACATCCTAGCTTGCGCGCCCGACATTGATCACAGGGTCGCTGACGTTTTGACCGATATGGCCGAGTCGAGGGAGAAGACATTTTGTCGGCGAACGCGAAAAATGCAGGGTGACGCGCATTTTATCAGAGCGAACGAGTTGGCCGAGTGAAGTTCGCCGCGGTGGAGCGAAGTCGACCAAACGGCGTACGTCGTTGACGTCATCCGCCGGCCATCTATACACTCGAACGTTTTGATATCCAGCACAGGATATATATCTATATGAAGGACTCAAGATGAATATACATATTTATTCACTTAGTCGTCCAACGATATTATCACCAAGCACTTGCTCAAAATGCCGGAAAGCAGCCGACCACGTCGAGCCTCTACCCTCAAGTCTCTCTTCTCATGGCGCCGCAGCCAGAATACAGAGATCAAAGACGATGCGAGGTCTGAGATTACCCTTGTTGCAGAGTATGACACTCCCTCAAAGTATGGAATCAGATACTGATTGTATATAGCCAGACATATAAGCCACGGAGAGCACCTGAGATTCCCCCGAACTTTAACCGTGAGATACTTCACTCCTAGAAGGACTGCGCCAGCGCTAATAAGGAAACAGCGGCCGATATGTGCTTTGGCTCTTGTTGCAGGAATAGATAAATGCGTGTGTCAGTGCAAATATATCCCCGAAGCACTCTTTAGGAAGCGTGTAGAGATAAATGGAAGTCAGATATTAGTCAACTTATCTCGGAGACAGGCGTTGAAGTGTCGAATGTTGAGGTGTTCGCGTGTTCGTGACTGTGGGAATGGCTTGGCATTTCCCCTTCCAAACTACCTCACATTTCCCTCCTTGTCCCGACCCAACTACGTCTAAACGTAGCCCAGAAGCGCGGGGAACTACATGTGACAGAGTTATGCGTTTTATGTGCTCGCCCCTTGCCTCTAACCGACTACCGAGCTCCCCACGCCCAGCCGGAGCGGGGACTCGGATGAATGGCATCAAAACACTCAAAACTTGTGTCCCCCGGAATATGTCAGGGATCTATATCAACTTGCAATCTAGCATCTTCCAAGTGAATTGCCTCTCACAAGATGATCTTCGAACCCGCAGAGAGGACTTTGCTCCCCACAAAGGACCTCTTGTCGTACATTTTTGATGAGCCACCGTACGATCAGGACCAGCCAGTAAGTGGGGCTCTGTCCAATCCAACTTAAATGTGCTCGGGGTTGACATCTCGTATAGATCTATATTGACGTCCATGACCCCTCGCGCTCTATCTCCTGTAATCAGGCGCGAAAGCTAGTACGCCAGCTGATTGCAGGTCTACGGGCATCGGGCCTTCAGCCCGGCGATTGCGTTTTGATACATTCTTTCAATGACGTACGGGAAGAATTTTATATGAATCAAACTGAAGCTAAAGCTTTTGCAGATAAATTACAGCATTCTTGTGTTGGCCATCATCGGCGCCGGGGGGATTTTCACCGGGTCGAATCCATCCTACACTCCCCATGAGTTAGCTCATCATATCAAAGCTTCCCAAAGCAAGTTCCTCATCTCAGAGCCAGAGATTTTAGATTCTCTCCTGCGTGCGGCCAAGCTGACAACCATACCGGGTGAGAATATCTCGGTATTTGACAATCGTGGACAGTCTATTCCCAATGGAATGCGATCATGGAGAAAGTTACTCGAATTTGGCGAAGAAGACTGGGTCCGATTCAATGCCTTGAAGACGACCCAGGAGACAACAGCAGCCAGGCTATTTAGTAGTGGGACCACTGGATTACCCAAAGCTGTGACAATCACTCATCACAATCTCATTGCTCAGCACGAACTTGTGCTGGGAGCAAATCCTCGGCCTTACGCTGTTAGTTCCCGCAGCCTTTCCGCCTGGTACCTTCATCGAGTGCAGTGATGAAGCTTACTGACTGGAAACGTCTGATAGATCTCGCGTATTATTGCTGTTCCCGTCTTTCATGCATCGGCAGCTCCTGTGACGCACATCTCAACATTGAAAGCCGGATCGGCTGCCTACATGATGCGTCGCTTCGATCTCGAAGAGTATCTGAATACCGTTGAAAAGTACAACGTTACCGATCTTGCTATGGTTCCTCCCATTGTCATCGCCATTCTCATGTCCCCTCTTTGCCAACAGCGACCTTTCCTCAAAAAGGTGCGGCTTGCTGCTTGCGGGGCTGCTCCTTTAGATAAGGGGATCCAAGGTAGATTTCGATTACTGATGGGCGATGGTAGCCCATTCACTCAAGTATGGGGCATGACAGAGACTTCCTGCATTGCTACGATGTTCCCTTACCCAGAGCATGATGACACGGGATCTGTTGGACGGCTCATACCAAATCTTGAGGCAAAGTACATTATCTTAATTCCAACTTTGAAACGTCGGTCAAGCTAATCCATGCTGTCACCCAGACTGATTGATGAAGACGGCAATAACATCTCAGCATATGGTGTCCGTGGTGAGCTGTGTGTTCGCGGACCTACAGTGACACCGGGGTATTTCAACAACGCCGAGGCTAACACTCATTCGTTCGATTCCGAAGGGTGGTTTAAGACAGGTGATATTGCCTTTTGTGACCAGGCAACCAGAAAGTGGTACATTGTAGACCGAAGAAAAGAATTGATCAAAGTACGGGGGTTTCAGGTAGCACCTCCCGAGCTTGAGGCCGTTCTTTTGTCACATCCACAAATGGTTGACGCTGCAGTGATTGGGATCACCTTTCCAGGTGCTGATACAGAATTTCCTCGTGCTTATGTCGTCCGACGGCAGGGTGATTCTGGATCAAAGCTCACGGAAAGTGATGTTCAACAGTACGTTTTGGAACGGCTCTCAAAGTACAAAGCACTTACCGGGGGTGTCAAATTCGTGGGAGCCATTGCAAGAAACCCTAGTGGGAAGATATTGAAGCGAGTGTTGAGAGAAGATGCCAAATTGGAAATCGAAGCTGGGCTTCTCAAACCCAAGCTTTGATTCCTGGTTAGGGCGGACAAATGACCGGTAAATGACATTTATTTGTTTATTTTATCAAGTTTGCTCTCAAATTTAACGCTCAATGTCGTCGAAATAGTGCTGGACTTGTTCAATTCAACCGATGAGAGCCGTATTTCTTTGATCTTGGAATCTTGTTTGATAGTAACTCATTATTAGCTCTCTGCTAAAAAGATATCTCTCTCCCCAAAAATAATGACACTTTCTCATTAGCGGTAAATTAGCGCATGTCGAGTACAATATCTCTTACCCCAAAAGCAGCATTGAATGCTTTAGCCGAATAAATAGGAAGCTCTATATTGTACAATATCCTTTGGGCAATGGCAGGAATGGCGCCAAGAAAGCGATTGCATTATTGGGTGAGTGGACCCCATGTTAATTTTAACTGGTTTTGGCAGGAAACTTACAAGACCGGAAGAAAATTGCGAGAAATATGACGATACTGACATATTAACAGCACCAAAACCGTCTCAAATACTGTTGGAACCTTGCCTTGGCTGACCACTCGCCCGCCGATTTACCAAGAGCGTCACCTCCAAGCATATAGGCTTTGGCTTTTTCTGAGTGTTGTGTCTGTCTGTCACAAGTGGAACTCTCTTTCAAGGCAAAAAAGTTCCTGTTGGTGCCGATAGTACGACTTGTCTTGGATCTGGGTGGCATGTTAATGCTGGCTCAGAAAACATTGTATCCCCGGTAAAAGCTAGTTATACAGCCACTTCTACTTGTACATTTATTTGCAATTTTCAAAAAGCATTTCGCCTCCCGGTCCTCGATACCCGTGTTTTCGCATATGCTGCAAGGCCAAGGCTACTCGACTCTTACCCTGGAAGAAGATCTAGTGTGCGGTATGACCTAGATGGCCCTGTCAAGACCGTACAAAAACCTGGGAGAATACTTGATCTCGATCTGTGGAGCGACGGTCCTCTCAATGAGTATGTGTTGCAGGCAATAGTCTCTATCTAACCTTATCTGGACGATGCCGCCGGGTCCGCGGTCTGGTGAGCAGTTCATATGAATGTGGAAGTGCCCTGAGCATGCTTTTGTATGTCACTTCTCGAGTAATATAAAGGTATAGCTCACTGATATTCTTTGATGAGCACACTTGAATATCGATATGATGGTCTGCGACCGTTCTGGTTATGAACGGTGATATAATTTTAAATGTTCACGATATAGGGATACTCTGCCGATGATCCTATACTCCAGCGCTGGGTTGCTGCGACCATTTGCGTTGTCGGAATTGATCTTTACTAGTGAATCTTCTGGAAAATGGATGAGGTGTCTGCTGAGAGCGTTGCCAGGGATTTTCTATACAGTACAAAGGCGCCACTACGGGTTCGGGCAGTTTTACCTCGCATGAGGTTGACTACAATTGAACTGCTGCCTCCTCGATTGCAAGAAGCGTTTGGTCTGAACTGCAACAAGTCTAGACGGAGGTTCAACCAGATGATTATCCGGGTCATTAAATTTGCATATCCTCGTGTACCAAAATCTGTCGGACATCTCCCATGCAATATTACTTGAAGGACATGAGACGACAAATCCAAAATGTGGCTTGATGGAGCACAGATATATTGGAGGTGTCATGTTTGATATGAATCCTATGTTTGACATCTATAGGCGATATAGCAACTACTACTACTACAATACAGACTTCATGTGTGTTCATTAGCTTAGCCCCACACAGCACGTGGGAAGCCGAGTTCCGCGGTTATGTTTTGCGGGGTGAAGTATGAAGTATGAAGAATATGAGCTGTGAACAGGCTGGGGTGAATTGGATAGTCAAGAGTAGATTGATTCTGATCATACTATTCTATCTGCTACCATATCAGTCCTAAATTGTTATCATTAGTCCACGGTGATCTCTGTTTGGATGAATTTGTGCTGTTCTTGCAATCTTTGTACAAGCTGATGAGCTCATGTGGGCATACTTCGCTGATCATCTTAGCCGTGCTAAGATTCAGACCCCGCCTCTCCCAGTGTCCGAGCATCCTTGAGCAAATCCACCAAACAATCCTTCACACACGTCATGTTGCGGCGAACAAGAAGAGCACCAAACGCTTGCTCTTGGTGTCATCATCGGAAAGTTCGATGCGATGCCTCAATACTTGGATCTCCATGCACTCGATGCCGACAGGATGGTCGCCGAAGTTGTACGCTTCGCTCGAAAGCAACAAAACAGTCAGATTTACCTCAAATTCCATTGAAAAGCTATGCTAACATATGTTACAGATACAAAACCCCAGATCACCCAGAAGTTCCTACAACTCGTGAAGGCCAGAGTGAAGTGATATTCAGTCCCCTTGACGACCAGAGCTTCCCAGCTCCAACCCGAAGACGCCAACCATCTATTGAAACACAGCATGATGATTTTAATCGATTCAGCTATACCTCGCCATCACAATGCTCCAATTTTTCCCACAAAGAGTACAATTTCATTGATATCGACCAGTTGTTATCACTGTCGCCCGAGAACACGGCGATTCTCGACTGCAAGGGGTGTTTAAGCCTACCGGACCAGAACGCAATGGACGAATTTGTGCAGCATTACTTCAGAAGAATTCATCCACTTGTCCCTGTGCTTGATGAAGCTGAGTTTTGGCGCTCTTATGTGAACCCTGGCACCGGTCGCAAAGTATCACTCTTTGTGTTCCAGTCAATGCTTTTCGCAAGCTGTCCGGTGTGTGACATATCACTCTGAAAATTGTCCATGCTAACAGAGCCATTGCAGCTGGTTTGTTTGACAACTCTGCGTCGGTGCGGATTCAGAAGTAGGAGAGATGCCCGGAAGAAACTCTACAACAGAGCTAAGGTGCGTGTTTTTCTCCACCCAACACTTGCAGGAAATGATATTAATGAAACCCCCTTGTATAAAGTTACTATTCGAGATGGCAGCTGAGAAAACCTGCCATGCAAATGCGCAGGGGGCTGTTCTGCTCTCGCATTACACTTCGGCAGAAGTCCCTCGGGCCGGGAGTCTATGGCTCACAAGAGCTATCGAAAATACCATACGAATTAATGCTCGACCATCCCTGCGGCCAGAAAATGTGGATGAGTCACTTAAAAAGCGCCTCTGGTGGTCGATCCTGCTTCGCGACCGAAGTATTTGTATTGGCCTGCGCCGTCGTCCACAAATCACCTCGAGCGCCTTCTTTGGAAGCAAGGATTTGCCGAAGACAGAAGACTTTGAAGAAGAAATGCAAAATTCTCGTGTTTACGATTATGGAACCAAGCAGAGCCTGTTCATGGCGTTCCGGCAACAATGTGAATTAGCTGCGCTTCTGACCGACTTGTCATCTTTGGTTTTCGATACATCACAGACCAGAAAACCTTCGCTTTCCTTCATTGATTTTCAAAACTTGATGTCAACTATCAGAACGATCAAGCAGTCACTCAGCACTTGGGAAGAATCCGTCCACTCCGCTATCCCCCAGAGTCTGACTCCGGAAAGCGACGATGCGACCGCGACATTAATATATTTGACCGTCATGTACTATCAGTTCGTGAGCTCTGTACCGTCGTATTCTTGTCAGACCTAACTTTCGCTTCTCCTCTCAGCGCCGCCAGAGTTGATTTGGCTCAATACGCGGCCCTAGTCCTGGAAGAAAATCAATTCTACGCCAAAGACATCTATACCAACTGGATTCAAGATATCAGCAATGACCTGAGTGAGGCTATTGCGGGGCTGACAATAGTAATGGAATACTTCAGTGTTAATAACGACGCCGATAGTCTTCCATTGAGTGTGTTAGTACAGTTACCTTCGATTCTTTATTTTCTTCTCTCTTTTCTCTACTTCCGTTGATAGGGAAACCTCCGCTAACAAGACTTCTAGACTCGGATATGTCGGCATGCCACTCGTTCTAGCGGCTATAGATCTCAAGCTATCTCCCTCTCGCGAAGCATTGAAACTGAGGCAAAAACGTCTGGAATCGGTTGGTCTGATCATCCGTCATTCTGAAACGCTTTATGATGTAACCGACTGTGTCGCGGTAGGAGCAAATCATATCCTTCATCTGGCCTATATCACTACACAAAATCTCTTTTCGGGTGGAGAAAGCTCGCAGAGGCTATGTAACATTGCGAAGATAAAGGATCCATCCCCTCACAACCTTTCCAGCCTCATGTTCAAGTCCGCTCTGGCTCAACAACCACAGAGTTGGCAGGAGGCATTTGTCCGCTGTCCAAGAGCATACCTTTTGATATCGACGTCAATGGACTACAGCTTATCGCTTGGAAGGTTGCCATCTGCCCATGATCTTCCTAGAGCTGTTCGTGATCTTCCTGTCATCGGTGCTATCGCCAGGCTGCCTTGGACCGTCGAGCTCTGTCCATCTATAAGTGTGAAAACCTCTGTGGATGAGAAAAACTCACCCAATCATTTCTCAGAGATGAGGTCCATTTCAGTCGAAGCAACACGTGCCTCGAAAGCCTCCCCCACGGTGGGTGAATCAGAACCAGGACGAAAGCAAAATATCATACACAACCACTGCATCTTATTTCAACGAGATTCTCCGACTCGTGCGGCGAATCTCCCAGAAAGCTACGTCGAGCTACCTACTCAAAGGGAATCTCCTGAGATGAACTTGGATTACATGGAGTTCGGAAATCTTCCGAGTTTTTCAGGAGCCCCGGATAAAGATCATTTCCCTAAAATGGAATTATCGAGTCCCGAATTGCAGCACGCAGGCGTCTTGAGCTGGTCAGGGGGGGGGGTTCAGGCTGCTAGCTACGAACTCAGCCCACATCCGTCAATTGGTGCTGTTGGGCTTTCGGTCTTTGACACATTCTTCCATGAAGCCTTTGAAGGAAATTGGGCGTCTTGGTAGTGCCTATAAGTGGTAGATGAGACAAAAGGGAGAATGGAAACCACTATCCGTCACACAATCCGAATTAACAGCTTTTATGCGCCCAACGCACCTATGCCCATTTGAAGTGGTCGCCAATATTTTTCTTTGAGCTGGTGAATCTCAATTGTTTGCTCTGTCCCCAAGGAGGAAGCGTATAGCTGTCGCTTTGTTTCTGCGGCTGAGCCCGCCAATTCTGTCAAAAAGGCAAAGTACTCGTTGAAGTCGGGCTTGATTTCGTAAAACAAAGCTGTATGTCCCTTGTATTGAAGTCTCTGGTTCTTTCAAAGATCATGTTGCTCTGGTGTTGGCAGGGGCGCCGCATTTCTCCCAGCGAATTACCGGGCCACTGCAAATGCCTGGTATTCGTAGACTCGGAAGCTGATCCCAGCGCGAACCTGACTAACCAGGGCTAAGCAAGGGTCATTAATTTTGGAAATGTGCTACTAGAACCCTGCTATGTGTTGTTGGGACTGATGGGATTCAATACGATGAAAGGATAAGACAACTTGTACGCCGTTGCGAGAATGATCTTGTCCACATTCTCGAAGATCGTACTGTCGGAGAACTTGATAATTAGCCCATCTTTGTTTGCAAGTATCTGTTTAATTGTAGGCCTCTTTTGGAAATGGGCAATTCCGACGTAGACTGCCGGAGAGCTCGAGGGGAACTTTCACGATGACATGGAGGTCCGCGACGAGATCAGCGGATGATACACTGCCTCCGACTAGGACAACAAGCCTTTAAACATAATTCTGTGTTCCGGGATGCCTCGGGATCCTCGAATACCGTCGGACGAAGTGCAAGAGCCGCAGTTAAACCTGGAATATTAGGATAAAAGGGTCATCCCTCTTTCCCACTCTTTCCACGGTCATATTGAAACTGGCGAAATGAATGCGATCATTGGACCTATCCTGTAAGTGATTCCTCACAATGCAAAATGGGCTCGTTGGATTGCTACGTCCAAGGTGTCAGGTGGATGATGCAGAATTGTGGCTGGGAAAGGGGGTGTAGGTAAATTCCTTGGCCTGAATACCAACATTGCTGTCGAGGTCGTCATAAATTGCTGTACGCGAAGTAGGATCTTCAGCAGCTGGTGCCACCAGCTGTGGGATTTGTGAAGGCTTTTTTCCTCCTTGGCCTAGGTGAGATCCATATTTGGAGAGTAACGGGCCGACGTCTACGTAGGTCGATACAAAGCTACCATCGTGGGGTTGTATGTGGAGTAGTCCACATTATATACATTTTCGGTGCAATTTCTTTCATTCTTTAGAAAGAGCCCCCAAACACATGCCGCACCGCCACTTATCCTCGATCTTATCCTTCTGGCCTTAGGAACTTTCCAGCAGAATGCCTCACCTACGATCCTTCATCGACAGCGTCATAAAACAGCCTACACCAAGAAACTCAAGTCGGGAGAAATTGTTATAGTTGATCCAGAAGCCTAGACCGCAAGAACCATGCTTATGTTCTACGCATTTATCTATATCAGTGCACTGTTTATGCTCGCCACAACCAATGCTGAGAAAAAATGGGATACTGGCTGTCATTCTTGTCAACAGGGGTCATCTATCTGTTGCTTCCCGTTCTTCTGGCAGCTGTTTACAAAAAAAAGGAAAAAACGGCCAAATGGAGGATCTGAACTGCCTTGAGCATTCAAAATAAATGTCATGACACTACGCCAGAACAAGTCCCAGTTTTGGCTACGGGACTTTTGGGATGTGGCAGATCCTGCAGAATTGGTAAAGAGATCATCGTGAACTGGACTAGTTACAATGTGAATGATGTTGCTAGAACGGTCGGTCAGTGTTTGAACCTTTGACCCTCTGACTCAGCGAAATTCAGGCTGAATACATCAAAAGTGTGCAGCCAATGCGATTTCCGGTTTTTTAGATCAGGCGCGCTGACTATCGTTGTGGCGATCTCTATTCTGACATTTGGCATCTACCCGACGTTCAACCGCTATAAAATCCATGTGAGACTGATCAGCCGCACCACATTTGGGTTTTCTCTGGCCACGCTTTCTGGTATTGCATGCACGCTAGTAGAATGGCGAGTGTATACACTATCACCCTGCGGCCAAAATGCCTCGACGTGTGCTAACGTAGCCCATATAAGCATTTGATGGCAAATTCCAAATACCGTTCTCGGGCTTTGAATAAATGCTTTTGCCGTGTCACCGCATACGAATTGGCGTATTCAAGTTCGCCACCAAGTATGAAAGGCTTGGTAGTTACGATTTCTTTTGTTCATAAGTGCTCTGTCAAGTGCTACAAGCGAGATTTTATTAGAGCCACGAAAGACCTTCGGCTCCTGTGGATTTGGAATGCTCCAACAGTTGCTTTAGCAGTTCAAACGGTTGTGTTTTGGTTCCGATTCAAAAGGATTGAACAACCCAAGACATGACCTGAGATGGTTCAGTTCGCCCGACCGAGATAAGAGAGATACGAGAACCACCGGTTTAATATCCGAAAAGCCATGGCGCTCCAAGATGCCAATCATTTGCATCGGATCTAGGAGCTATTGGGTTTTGCTCTATTTTGTACCTATTTTTGTTGTTTCTTCGAATTGATAGTCCATATCCCTTATGGCATCAAGCCGCATGTATACAGAAAGCATTAACTGATGTTCAGTAGAAGATCCTTACTGCCACTTGAACCCAGGGGGCAATTGGACGCCAAGAAGTCAACGTTTAACTTTTCCCAACTGTGGCTAAGTGGATCCTCGTCGCATCGCTTCGAAAAGGGGCAGACCGTCGGGCCGCGGCCGAAAAGTAAACAATCTACAATGGGGTAGTACAATCATAGCTTTGCATTCAATTGCCACATGACAATTTTATGCCATTAGAAGAACCTATGGTTAACATAAAAAAAAACCGAGCGACGAATCTGTTGAGGCCGATTTCGGGAAAATCGTTGAAAAAAGGAAACGGCTAGTGCACAGTAGATCCATGGGTTAAACGTCCACCCGGGGACCGATGGTCCAATGAGATTGCAAATCTCCTGTCTGTGCATCAACTTTGACAGTTTTCTGGAACAAATTTGGAAAAAGGAGTTGAGATGGTTCCGTAAATCTAGCCCTTTTGCTCCTTTTGAGATTAGCGGATAGTTTCACGGGGAAACGGGAGAGGAAAACTTTTTTGGTTAAAAAAAAAAAAAAAAAAAAAAAAAAAAAGGTCGACTACAAAGTCTAACACATTCCCTTCTGGTAGCTTTTAGCTTCTGTGATATTTTGTACTCCATTTTCGAAATGTCTGAGCTCAACACTGAACCTGCCAAGCAGGTGGATGAGGTACATATCTTTTAAGTGTCTTTGGACAGTGAGGTGGTCTCGCATACATTGGCTAATACCTTTCATATCTTACAGAACGTCCCAAGCTTGAAAACCCTCAAAGATGCGATCCCGAAAGAGTGCTTCGAATCGTCTCTTCCTACATCCCTCCTATACCTGGCCCGAGACATCATCTACTGCGCGACACTCATTTATGCCACCTCATTCATTCATTTGATCCCATCTTTGCCTCTTCGCATCATTTCCTGGACCACCTACGGATTTTTCCAGGGCTGCGTTGGAACAGGGCTTTGGATTCTAGCTCATGAGTGCGGACATGGTGCTTTCTCACAGTATCAGAACCTCAATGATTTCATTGGGTGGGCTACCCATTCATTCCTCATGGTGCCCTACTATTCATGGAAGATTACCCACGCTCGGCACCACCGGTATACCGGCCATATGGAAAAGGACACCGTTTTCGTCCCCTGGACAGATAAAGACCTTGCGACCAAGAAGAACGTTCAGATCGAGAAGTTGAAGCATCTTGCAGAGGAGACCCCCATTGTCTCTTTCATGCAGCTTATTGGACACCAGTTGATGGGATGGCAGCTCTATCTTTTCCTGAATGTGACTGCTGGCACAAAGAGCGGACCGGATGGTAAAGACAAGATTGAATTTGCGAGTCATTACAATCCCTCCAGTGCACTTTTCGCGCCCTTCCAGTGGAAATATATTGCCTTGTCCGATCTGGGATTGTTGATCATGGGCTCTATCTTGTGTTACACCGCATCTATCATTGGAGCCTGGAATATCGTACTTCTGTACGTCATTCCATACCTCTGGGTGCACCACTGGCTGAGTATGTTTTCCCCTTCTACTGATATTGCAACCCTATCAATCAAATTACAAAGAATAAAAATCTAACTCAATTCACAGTTGCCATCACATATCTTCAACATACCCATCCTGCAGTTCCACACTATACCGCAGAGGCTTGGACGTATACGAAAGGTGCACTGGCAACAATTGATCGCACCACGGGTTTTATTGGTCGCCATTTCTTCCACGAAATTATTGATTACCACGTTGTTCATCACCTCTTCAGTCGCATTCCCTTTTACAAAGCGGAACAGGCCACCAAGGCAATCCAGCCTCTGTTGGGAGAAAATTACCATGAAGAAAAAGGAGAAAGCTTCTTGTACTCATTGATGATGACTTTCCGAAAGTGCATATATGTGTCAGAGAACAAGCGGGAGAGTGGACAGCCCGGCGTCTTACATTTTGTGCTGGCGGACGACAGGAGGTGAAATTAAAACATCATTAGAAGCTGCTTATATAGACAGGTGTACTAGACTTTGGTTAGACTTGAGAAGAGTTGGGGAGCAATACATTAATTTCTCTAGCTTTAATACCTATCATCCTTGTCATATCTAGCTCGCACCTTCACTGAGTGGAAGTCATTCTACAGGATGAGAACTCGGCCAAACGAGACTTTGATATCTGAATTTTTGAGTGATAAATTTACAACGAGTGTTGAGAACGCTGTTGCCAAATCTATAGTTTCATTGAGAGCTTTAGATTACTTTCACAAGCTTCAGAACGGCGAAACGGACAGGGGTGGCTTGGAAAGTGAAGTTCGAGGAATATTTACGCCAGACACATATTCCACCAATTCTTTTTAGTCGTTCATATCTTCAGAGGACGATAGTCTTGAGTCAGAATTTAACAAGATAATATTGTCTCCTCGCCCCTGGAACAGGAAATATTTTGAAAGTGATAGCAATAGCTCGATTTTGAACGAATTTCCAACTAAAGCGAGAAGAGTGGTAAGGGAATAGTCATGATACAGTAGCACTTGGCTTCAAGTCCCGCTAGATCATACCGGGTATTTATCCCGTTCGCTGAAGAACAGAACAGAAAAAAAGACACCTGGGCATCAAAACAAGGGGAGTATGAGCACATATCAAACCTCCATGTTGCTCTTACTTCTTCCCTCTGGCTTCCAAATAACCCATCCCAATGTGATTGCTAACTTCAAGCCCATGGCAAACCATATGCTTGAAGCCATGCCTGTGACCTTTGAAAGACCTCCTGCAGTCATTGCACCAAGGAAAAGAGCCAGAAAAGCCCCGATTCTTCGATTGCGTTTAGGGTTGAATTTTGCAGTGAGTTTTGGATCAACAAGCAAGTCACATAGAAGCGTTGTCAATACCACAGTGGGAATCTCATCCAGTGCAAGAATACGAGAAGCGCATATCTGACCTCCAGCTTGGAAGGATAAAAGGGAGATCGGGAGGACTTGCATCCATTCAATGGGGGCACGTGGGTCTTCCGGTTTTGGGGAAATCACACCGAGCTGGATAAGGATTGCTGTCGCCAGAAGTGCCAAAGTCTGAATAGCGAACGAGACAACCATTGTCGAGCGACGTCGTGGGCTTAGTAGTCGATGGAGGTGAATGAAGAAAACGTTGCTGGTAACAAAGACGCTGAGAGCGATGAGGGACTTGGCCCAGAGGTATGCCGGATAGGCAGGCTGACCGGAAGGACCTAGAGCTAGGAAAACAGTGTTCCCTACGTATCTTGTTAGATTTGTTCGCTCGGTTGGCACAATGAATTGAAGGTTGAGGTAACTCACCTGTTTGCATGCTCGAAAAACTGCCCCATGCATTGAATGACAACCCATCAACCAGGCCACCAACAAACCCACAAATTATGAGGACTATATCAGTATGCTTGGTATCTATATTTGCTCGGAAGTGCCGGTTCAGAACCGAGCCCACTGTCATGCTTTGTGCAATTTGGCTGCTAGAGAGGGAGACTGTTGTGCTGCCTCCGGACGACCAAAGTCCAGGTGTATACTTTGACTCTTCATTGGCAGAATCCAGATTGGAGGGGAGAGTAGAATTGTTGTCCGCAGATATGTTCTGACCTCCATGATCGGGTCTGGCTGGTGAAGTCGGGAACTGTATGTTCCGTGGAGAGGGAGGAAATTGTTCATGCATTGTGAAGTTTATCTTGATATATAACAGATCAACTCCAAGTTGAAAACCAAAATGCGTTCTTGCTTGAACGAAGCACGAAACCAAGAGGAGCGGGCGGTATATGTATATATATACTAGCTCAACGTAGCCATGTATTTATTCAAATTTCTTTTTTCTTGTTTTGCTTTTGGTACAGATCCCGTTTTCGTGCGGCTTCCGATCCTTCCCAACCAAGGAATAAACAGGGTGTCCGCCAAGAAAGATAAGAGCGAATGTACAAGACATGAAACAGAACTACTCGTACCATACACTGCGCGCATACGTGTGACACTAAGATCAAATATGCGGCGAAAAAAAGCATGCATTCATTGCAAAGATCTGGACCACCGTACTTTGCTGAAAGCCAATAACTTCCACAGAGGAACGAAGAGCTGATGGCAAAGGAGAGTCTTTCCTCGAACTGGGAAGCCTAATTATTTCCTCTAGCCATGCGATGGATCCATCGCGCATATACAATCTTGGCAGAGCCTCGGCGGGACCTTGGCATCCCGATCATCATCGCTGCATGCGAGTTCCGCCCTTGATTTTGAACATGAATGAAACTCTATGATGTTCGGAGGATTTCTTGCTCTGGATTTGCCTTCGCTAATGGAGCATGACAAGACTCGCTTCCTTACATCGGTGGGTTCTGAAAATCCAAACTGCAGCTCACTGATTAGTTTCAGCCCTCGGGCACCGGTAGAAATTTGCGGCGAGGTTATCCCCTGGCTGAAAATTGGGCGCCAATGCTCTGGATCCGAGTTCGCAAAACTGTGGATATGATCGATTTGAATGATCCTTGCAAGTGGCTATGTTATAGGTTTGCTGTGCAAACATACATGTGACCAAGCTGGCGTGTTGACTGCACCGCCAGTTCTGGGCCATAAGATCGTGAGTGCCATTTGCCAAGGGATCGACGCGTCCACTTTACCTAGTCCGGCTGTGGCTCCTAAGCACCACGGTAAGAAAGCTTGCCAAGGATGATCTTCAGCAGCGGTCGTCAGTAGTTCTTCACTAGTCAGTCTTATCTTGGGAAACCGAAGACGACCCTTTGATAACACAGCCTCGGGTGCTATGCTTTGTGACTGGACCGCAGAGACGCCGAGCTTTGCTGACAACATTCTCACCTTGGCATTCTTTGGATGATGTCGAGGTCAGCGGAACCCCGCCCCCTTTCTAACCCTATTTGGTGTGCTCGACTGTCTCCTTGATACAATAGCTTCTTCACATTTTGATTCGAATAGATGCGCCCACTGATAGCACGTGGGTGGCAGAAAAAGCAATACTCAAGGCCCAACCTCTATACAGTAGGTAGCTCGGGCTAGAACTGAAACATTTGGTCATCACCTAACGGCAGTATCATTCGCTGCCAAGGTTAGGTTGCATTAAGTCGGCTCTGAGATGAGATTCCATTCTCTTCCAACTTGGTGGGGTGCCGACTCAGCCATCCCCATGGGCACGTCAATCGTTCTGGGGAAGCGGAGTCTGACATCACTACCTGAATACCACCAAGATATGGTGGGTCCATCTCATACAGACTACGTAGGGTATTTCACGCCCGAAATCAATCCTTAATGTAGAACCACAGGCGATGCTTGATCCTATACGTGCCCAGGAGAATGCATTGAGCGTGAGGTTGTTAAGCGGCCATGGTCAATGGCGCCAAAGCAAGGGCTTCGGTGGATCTGCACCGTATGCCAATGAAGGGCCCCTAGTGGACAGTAATTGCTGGACATAATGTCACTGCTATTTGTCAACCTCTTATCGCGATGATCCTAGCCATATCAAGTCTCTAACCGTTTACCCTGTGTATCGGCTATAGTTGATCTCTTCTTGTTTTGAACCCCGCCCGAAAATATGCTGAGATAGAACTCCGCCACTGCGGCAGAGGTTCTCGGCGTGGGGTGGATGTCGATCATCCCCATCACTCCTTGCTAGGCACCTGTTTGAAATCTTGGGTACGACTGCGGGCTCTGATTTGTGTGAAATATCTACATCAATGTCATGCATTATTTCGCTGTTTTGCTTGTTTAGTTTCACCTTGATGTAAAATCTATATTCATATACTGTATGAGAATCGCAAGAATCGATTTCAATCACAGCGGTGTTGATTCTGTTGATTATAAATAGCTGAATGCATTGACCAAGTTCATTGCACATACTTTGTGCATTTAGTCGTGTCCTTGTCATCATTCTGTCGTGAGCCTACTGCCAACATGGCAATCGTAGTTGTAAGTGACCAGCATTGAATAATTGGCCGTAGATATTAGATTTCCAAAGTAATCGTGCTGTTGGCAAAGTACAGAAATTTAATCAATTATCTTGTCTTGCAATATCTGTATCGATGGCGAATTGGGTGAATCCCACTCCCAATGTGATATATAAGAGGGCCACATCGTTGAACGGAAGTACCAACATGCTTATCCATGAATATTGCCTAAGATCAATCGCTTTGAATAAGAAGAAAAAAAACCAAGCTAGATTTCTAGCAGAATATCAGCTTATTGATCAAGTAGTAAATGGTCAGGTGATGAACACCTAGGCTGAGACAGGAGGCAGTACAACGAGGACAACTTTGGAACTTCCATAGTCCTTCTTCGTCTTCCTCTCTAGATTCTTCTTGATTCTAGCCATTTTTCAAGTATTGTTCGAGACTAGGCACCTGGCTTGATTGATCATGCTTCATAACGATTCTTGCCGACGCGGAGTCGCATTTCACCAGTCAACGTTGATCTACCGATTCTCGCCTCCCCCTACCGCTTTCACGTGCTTGGCGCGATATGTCTTCACTTCATCTCTCCATTTGAGTGGCACCTCGCGAATATGGACGAGACCCCTTACCTACGGGGGATGCCATATTTCCCTGAAGCGGATGCGTCCATCTTGTCCTCCAGCCAACCGTCGCTGACACGCCCGCAGATTGTAAGCCCCATCTTTGACCCGGCCAAGTTCGATGAGCCCATTAGACTGGCGTCTCCAGATGTGGAAGCGTCTTTATATCCCCCCCTAAGTCGAACCATACGAGCCACCAACAATCGCAGACCGGCCCTCATGCTTTTTGGATCGATAATCTCGGCCCTTCCTGGTGAAAAATGACAGGCTTCGGCTGTCAATGCTCTAGTACTACACTCGCGATATAGAAAATGAGAGCATACTCCTCTCCGGGCTTCAGGAGAAGGCATGCTTTGGCTAGGAATCGATCGGATGGGAGTTTGCCGTGATCGGCATCCAAGACGTGAATTTTTACATACGTTTAGCCACGGTGGGACTTCCACTTGGTATTCTTCCCCGGGGTGAAACCATTTGTGCGCACATGGTCACTCAGCCTCCAAATGTAAGTCAAAAGGTTTCTTCCTCTCATCCAAAAAAAATAATCGTGCTTATCCTGCTTCCTAGAGCGTCTTCCTATTGCCGAACCTCATGGAAGACTGGAGATTCCAGGAGTCCCCATATTCCGAATGCGGGGGACTTCGCGCATATGCAGGTGCACCACTTCGTCTACAAGACGAATCCGGAGAGTGCGTTGCACTTGGATCACTTTGCGTGTTGATCACTTTGCGTGGCCTCTAAGAGCGAGTAGGCTTTGACCAAAACACAACAACAGACACTCGTCAGTCTGGCCGATTGGGCTGTCTCCGATATCGTTCAATGCGCAAGAGCAAGGCGACAAAGAGAAAGACGTCGGATGGTTGAGCTGATTTCTACAGTGCAACGTGATATGGGAAATACATTCTCAGAGGCCTATGTTCTTGGAACCCTACGGGTCGCGTATCCTAATGCAGTAATCACTTTGCAATCGTCGAAAGCTATGCATATCGAACTTGAAGGACGAAGCCCGGTTCCGCCGTCTCTACTTGAAGGCGGCCTATGGGAAGACACCGAATACATCGATGACTTTATCACAAACTCAAACAACAAGGAGCTTCCAACTACTCAAGTAGTTCGTGCTATCGATGCTCCATGCGATAACATGCCGGGCGCATCCCTACTCATAGTGGCAACCAAAGACTTCCAATCAATATTTGATGATGTCGATTCCTGGTTCGTTCACACCTGCGCAAGTATGATCTCCCAGATGTGGCAGAAAATTTTGCTGGCAGAAGATATGGAAACGAAGGAGAAGTTTCCTCGAGGATTTTCCCACCAACTTCGGACTCATCTTCATGAGATTCTTGGTTCTGTGGAGCTCTTGACCGAGGAGCTGTCTTCGCGGGATCTAGGCGAAATTTCTAATCTAGTACCAATCTCGTCGGAACTAACCCGTGTTCGCCATTTTCTTGGACCTTCTCTTCATCTTAAGACAATCAGAATCGCGAGCCGAGATTTGAACGCGATAGTTAACAGTATGATTACCCTGAACCGCTGGGCTGACACGGCTATGAGGGATCGCCGTTATCTCGTCCACTCCATTCATGAACTGGAACAGGGTCTTGCAGACGAAGTATTGAAGGTTTTTTTGGGGGACACACGCTATAAGGCGTGAATTGTCTTCAATCATGACCTACGAGAAATTCGGCATATATTCACCCGGTGCCGGATTAGGCCTAACTTTAGCAACAAAATCTGCCGCACTTTTTCATGGATCTATCAAATTGATGTCATCTACCATCAATCATGGTTCACACTTCAGAGCAACCTTCCGGGAAGTCGAGTATTTTCGCTCAAAGTCACCGGCGCAGCCACTGGTGTCACGAGTGAAATCTTTACCCACCAAATTTCACAACATGGCACTCAATCCGAATGGCAGACTGCTATGCGATCTTTTTATCAACTATCTCACGCACATTGGATTAATGCTTTGAGCAGCATAGAAGACAGTTTTGCCGTCACCGACTTTGGCCCCGAGTTAGAGCAACATTTTGAGGGATTGTCGCGCCTTCCATCGGATCGAGTGGTCATCTGTCTTGTTCCAGCTTCACAAAAAGCACCTTGCACTGAACGCACCCCTGATAATGTCGTCTATGTGAGCGGGCCATTCTTAACTTCTGTAATAAGTTCAGACCTCGAGGAGGCCGATAAGCTCCTTTCAAAGATCACCACGGTGACCACGCAATGTAATTGCTCCAGAACCTCGAACCTTCACTCAAACTAGCCACCATAGAATAGTTCCTGGTTCCAGGAAACCACGCAAGGTGCCGTTTCCAAGAGCGTTTCACATCCTATGGAACGATGGCCGGCTCACCTATCGCCACAAATCCCAGCTGAACCCAAGCTAGCCCTGAGATCACTAGGTCAGGATCAGACTCATCTTGATGTTTTAACAGAGGCTAATGCCATGCTGCCGAGCTCATTGGCACCGAAAATGCCCCAAATCTACAGCCTTGGTCGTTGACGATAACGCCGTCAACTTGCACATCCTCGAGATGTATTGTAGCAAGCGAGGCTTCTCATACTGCAGTGCAACTGACGGCCTCTAGGCAGTGGAAATATTCACTTAGTACCAGTTATCATACTCGAGTGGCGAACGACCTGCGATTCAGTTGGTTGTTATGGACCTTCAAATGCTAGTTTGTGACGGCATTGAAGCTACGCGACGAATCCGGTTACTGGAAAAGCAGAATCGATGGAAGGAATGTGCAATATTCATTGTGACCGGTCGGGATAGTCCGACAGATAGGACAAAGGCGAAAGGCGCTGGCGCCGACGAGTACTTTGTGAAGTCTGTTGGCATCAAGCTCTTGGATCGTACTGTCTAACAATATCTTCCAGCCATTTAAGCCAGCTAGTAATTTTATATACCCCATTTTGAATGAAAAGGAATGACAAGTGATGGAAAGAAGTGCATAATTTACTAAGAGAGAGCAATTACGTACGATGGCATTCCCAAACAGCACGGGTTTCATGCCTCGATGTTGATTATCATTAATCTACGCTTTCCTGAATGTTATTTATCAGTCTGGTACATCAGATGCTTGCCACTCGGACAATGCAATAGCTACTCATGTGCAGGCACAAATTGCACTGCCTTCTCAATCGACTATTCCGGAATAGAACACGTTCTACGGCGGCGCCGAGCGCAATGTGTGATACGTTCGATAAACTATGAAGACCGAACCAGACATATTTTCTAACAGAGTCCTGTTTTTAAACGTGCTAATTTGAAATGCTCAGCTCTACACAGATAGAGAATCATAGTCTTGACTCAATCATGAGATTCATTTAGATATTGTAGTAGTGGAACTAGGGACAGTAGCTCATTAGTGGCCTGAGGTATCACAAATACCCCAGGAGATATGCAGTCTTCTAACACAAGAGAGAGGAGGATCCTCCAACCATCCAAGATGACTACAATTATTCACCAGACTTCTTGATTCATGATATAGCATTAGGCTCAGTACAATTTACCCCTACAGAGACTACTCTCTACGTCTACCTCAGGCCATAGGAGTGGTTGTTGTGTGATTAATTCGTTGGTACCAACCCGTCTGCTATGCCAGACTCCCATCGTGCCATCCCCGTTTCAATGTGAACGAAGATTTTCGAGCAAAGGTTTCTTTATGTCCATGTGGGACGGCGCGAAATAGAGCATAGTGGTGGAAACTACGTATATTATGCACTGTGTCTGGCCCCAACGTCGGGCTCGGACTGGGAACCCCAGAGAGATATCTCGGTCTTCTCGGTTCCTCTACAGACCGGATTCTGGAAGTTATTCCTGATAGTGATTATGAGAACATCATCAATTCAGCGACTCAAGTGGGCTCTATTTCTAGCTATGAAGATGGTATTTGAAATGGTAGTTTGCAGCTGGAGAGATATGTAAAAGCTTTTTCAAAATCAAGGATTGTCTTCTTCGGTCATTCTACCTTATTTTAGTATTGCTTAAATTTGTATCATAACTTTACCAAGATGCCATGGTAGTCAGTGACATGCTGGCTGGAAGTGGAGTCAACGGTACTCTAAGGGGATTGACAGCCCCAGGTATGAAAATGGAAGGCAGTTGGTTCCCACAATAAAAACTTTCCAGTCCAGCGTCTGAAAGACAGATACTAATCCACCTTAGTCGCCGCGATTTTTTATGCCGGGGCCCACGCCATATGCCCAACCAGGCTCATAATCTTGGCGATGCGTCCGCTACTGGTGTTAGTATTTGTGAGAAATTTAATTAGTTGCCCCTAACTGGAATACTCATATTTGTATAAAAGTGCCCAAAAACGTCTAGGCAGATGCTTGCCCCTGCCTGCCTATCCAAACAGACTTCGCGACTTCTGCGATAACAAAGACGGTGTCTGCGACGCAGCTGGACCGAACTTATTAGCCCATCTAGCATATGTCACGATCTTGGATAACAGCGCAACTTTATGGGTGGAAGACACCCTACAGAGGTACATTTCACCGGATCCAACTAAATTCATGTTTCGCTCGTGGCAGTCCAGGTATTAGGATAGGCTTACAATAAGGGAAAGTGAACGCAGACAAGATCTGGCTTTAGGTTCAAGCGTCATCGTCAATTAGGCAAAGACGGCAAAGACGGGAAGTGGGTCTGACATCCCTGGTTCACATCATGAGCTCTGTCTACTCGCTGATAATCCCTCACGACTCTACATCATCTAGTATTCTTCTTGAAGTAGGCCCACCTGTAACTCTAATACACAGTTCGATCATGAGGATGACGAACAACTGAAACGCTACATACTCCGATTATTCTTTGATCGACCTACCAGATCACTACGCGTGGTCATCTTGTATTCACCATGATAAGGCTGATCCACGCTGCTCAGAGGTTGGATTCGGGAGGAATATCCAACTATCAAAGTGAATCTTACTACGGACAGAGGTGAGGAGACATCATGTTCCACCACGAATACTCTGGTTCTGACATTGGTGTAGGTACATTTCGAGCCATCGTTCCTTCTGGTGCGTTAACAGGTGCGAATGAAGCCATAGAGCTGCGAGATGGGGATGCTTTTGCGTATGGTGGCTTAGGTGTTCAGAAAGCTGTCTCAAATGTCGGACTAGTCATTGGTCCCGTTCTAGTAGAGAGCGGGCTCAATGTCAATACGGATCAGAAAAGAATTGATCAAATTCTTCAGAACTTGGATGGTAGGCAAAGCAAGGCGAGTCTCAGGGCAAAAGCTAATTTGGGGTGTCAGTATGGCGTGCGCCAGAGCCGAGGCAGCCCATTCAATAGGTCAATATACAGAAAGACGACGGTCAAAATGTATGGCTAAAATATGCAGGGCATTACTTTCTACGAGTTTATTTGACGAGAGCCTGGGGCAAATAAGCCTTTCCTTATGCTAGTGCCGTCCTTCAATGTCCTGAATGGGGGTGTGGATTCGAGCAACAAATTGGCTTTTCAAAAGAATATGATCGCACCTGTTGGAGCGTGCTTTTTCACAGGACCAATTAAAATGGGCAGTCAAGTTTACCAAAAGCTGAAGAAGGTCATCGTTGAACAGTTTGGATTACCTGGTTAGTGCGCTCTCTCCAATGCTCTATATTCCTTTCCCGCTTGTTACTGATAAAATCATCCAAGCTGTCGGTATCGGGGATGAAGGAGGTTTTGCTCCACCAATTTCACAGCCTCATGAAGCATTAGATCTTCTGATTCAAGCCGTTTCTCTTGCTGGATATGATGGTAAAATGCAATTCGCCATTGATCCCACATCAAGTGAGTTTTACCGGGATCGCGGTTACGATGTTGGGTTCAAGGACGATAAGCCGAACATGCAAAGCCCAAGAGAGATGATACACCTGTATTGTTTACTATTGCAAAACTATCCCATCTTTCTCTTTGAGGATCCGCTCGCCGAATCCGATTGGGGCAGTTGGACAGAGTTCAATACAGAACGTCCAATCGAACTGGTTGGGGATGATTTACTGGTCAAGAATACGCAATGCGTGCAAGAGGCTTACGACAGGATAGCGTGCAACTCTATGGTGCTGAAAATATACCAAATTGCGACCATATATGAGGCGATAGAGGCGTGGGTTTCCCCTTTCGTGATCAACCGTGCCGGAAATTTAGGTGCTAATTATTCATTGGGCAAACTTGGCCTACAGTTTTGATTGGGGCGTTTTCAGGTCCCACCGATCTGGCTAGACGACCGATGACTTCATTGCGGATCTGGCAGTGGGTTGGGGACAGGTCACCTTAAATATGGGAACCCTAGTCGGGATAAAGAGATTGTTAAGTATAATCGGCTGGTGGACATTGAGGCGGACCTTATGGGAAAGGGTGAAAAATGCATCTATGCTGGTTCCAAATTCAAGGTGGCATCTAAGTATTGAAGCCACGTGGTGGTTGATACAAATTAGGCCTTCAATTATACTACGTTCCACCGACAATAAGCTTAGCCTAAGGCGTGGAAAACCCATGTGTCACCAAGGTGGTGTAACCCTATACCTGAGAATTGATGCATTTTTTTGTTGTAACTATATGCCGGGCGGACAAGCCGGACCACCGAAATTGCCACCAACAACAATTTTACCAGTGGAATAATGCCAAAACGACGAAGGCCTGGGCTAGTCTAAAACCATTCTCCTCAAAATGTCGGAGGCAAATTCGTGGCAACAGATGTGTTGGATCAAAGATCTTGGAACTTGATAGATATACTTCTTGCAAAAAGCACCGTTCCCTTAGTCCGACTGTAGACTAAATTCCAACGATTGAGGCTTATCTTGTTCCGCCTTTTCCGAAGCAGAAGTAACTTCACTCGTCATTGGTACACAGGAGAACCCTGCGTATCATTTGAACTGAACTCCGCAATTCCAGAGCCAAGGAATCAACTAGGATAAGCTATGATGAGGAAAACTTTCCGCATATCCGCAGTCCCCCCAGTTCATCAATGATGAATTCAATCAGGTAGATTGCCATTTCCTTTTTACTCGTTCCAAATACTTAACATCTATTGAAAGAAATTCACTCAATATAATTAATTCTTGCTGCCAGCTTGAAGAGCAAGTATTACGAGTTCCACAGGTCAATATGCTTAACGAGATCAATATCATGTCTGCTCGTGTTCCGCAACAGCAAATATATTCAATCACCGAACAACGTGCCAAAAGAATAAAAGATGCATCATGGTAGAGATGCAAACAGCCTAGAAACTTCCTAGGCACGCCAAGGTACGATGATGTCCTAAGTGCTCCAGCCTCAGTTTGTGAAGCTGGCCAATCCCGGTCCTATTGAGCTTCTTTTATTCGCTATCACTACGTTGTTGTTGGCTTGTATGAGTGAGTGTGGAGCAGGGTTCGTAGTACGACTCGTTCAAGGCTAAATTAGACTTGGCTTAAATACTCTCCTGACAGGCTTCCTAGACAAAGCCCTGAAGGCAGTGCGGGCCCAGCCTGAGCCACCTTTAGCCTCATAACTTTCATGGGCAGCTCAGCCCAATTAGTTGCAGCTACTATAGAATGCAAAGGGAAACCCTTGGAACTACAGTGCACTGCCCCTATGAGGTCTGAGGCTTAGCTGCGCTATGTATTTGCTACCGTATCTTGGTATCTAAGCAGCCTAGCTACTGGGAAACTACAGAAAAAATGGCAAGATATTGAAGGAGAAAGATTGGCGAAAAATGCTCTCGCCGGTTGTTCATTATTTATTGGTTGGTGCAGATAATTTAAGTGATTTCAATTGTGTTGTGAAGCGGTGTTTGGGTCATTCAACCAAAGAGAAGAAACTTTGGACAACTCGTTTATCTGATTTGTCAAATCCCCAGAGAAGATTACTATTACATCCTAGCCAACATTGCTTTGCAGCTTGAGCGTTATGCAGGGTTTCTACATAGTCTGTCGGCAAACTGAATGGTTGCGGAAGGATGAGAATCCACTGAACCAAAGTTTTCAATCATATCCACTACATGCTCCTCTGAAAAGGGTTTCAAGAGGAAAAGGTTCGGGTGGAGGGCATATATCAATCAGATTGGCTTCAAAGTTGTCGTTCCAAAGACGGATGCTGTGCGGCATCCCCGTCTGTATGCGTTTCCACAGGCTCCGGCGCCGCTATCTCACTCAAAGCTTCATATCCGTCCTGATTGTTGCCACTTGAATGAGTTGGATGTGACAGGCGCTGTTCTAAAGAGGGATGACGTGCCAATTCACCTTCTGGGAGTCGCTCCACAGGCTTGGGGGCTGCAATTTCGCTAAGGGCAGCATAAGGGTCACCACTGGACTCGTCAAGCCCTTGTTGAGGGCATGATTGCTTCACATGTAGTTGATCGGTTTCTTCGTGATTCTCGGCATTTTGGTGAGAATCTGCATTCTTGGAGTTCTGCTTTGGATGTTTTAGGCCCATGAAAAGAACCCGGAGTTTTTCGAAAGGAGTTTTCATATTTTCAGTGGATCACTAATCCAGTTGAACGATCAGATGAGTAGGGTTGGACTGTTTTTAGTAAACATAAGAAGACAAAGCGGCCACAAATCACTCCTATATATTCCCTCCTTTCTGCCTTTCCGTCCAATTAATGGGGGGCTCTTAATTTCCTCCGTCTTTGCCGTTCTTCCACTGCACTACGAACCAATGATGCTGTTATGACGTATTATCAGATATTGGGGAATATGCGGTTACACTCTTCAGAAATTACAGAATGATCTCAACCCTTTCTAAACGAATCAGCAAACAATCTTTCCCAGATACATTAAAATGAATTCGAGCTATCGCATCGAGAGGCTGCAGGTTTCAGCAACCGGAGAGAATTTCCTGTTTTTCGAAAGAAACGGTCACAGGATTTCACCGTGGCACGATATCCCCTTGTTCGCAGATGACAAATGCGAGACGCTGAACATGATTGTTGAAATCCCTCGACAATGTAAGGCGAAGATGGAGGTAAGCTGATCACCATACCTACGCTACTGTTCCTACCGTTCCCGCGCAACGAACGCCGCTAAGGTATCATTCGCAAGATATCCAAGGAAGATAGGTACAACCCAATTAAACAGGACATTTTGAACGGGCGACCAAGACAACTGGCAGATATTCCTCCATTCCAAGGCTACCCCTGTAATTACGGTGCTCTTCCACGCGTAATGTGTCTCACTTACAATCCGGTGATTTGTGCTTCGACTTGCTAACATAGAAACAGACTTGGGAAGATCCGGATGCCATCGATGCCCTCAATGGGCTTGGAGGAGATGACGACCCGCTCGATGTTTGTGAAATCGGTAGTGCGCTTGCTATTTGTGGTCAAGTGAAGAGAATTAAGCCGTTGGGGGCTTTTGTTATATTGGATGAAGGTCAGACTGACTGGAAAGTTGTTGCTATCGATGTCAGCGATCCTCTTGCAAATGAGCTTTCGGAAATTTGTGACGTGGAAAGATGCTTGCCAGGTTTTCTACATTCCTTGAAAGAGTGGTATCGTCGATATAAAGTACCGGAAGGAAAAGGCGAGAACACGCTCGGACTTCGTGGACAGCTCATGGGCCGTCAGTGAGTGAGATGCGCCCTTCGACCCCATGAAATAGCTAATTCAAAACATAGGTTTGCACTGGGTCTCATTCATCATTTTCATACTGCATGGAAACCTCGGAATGGTTACCCAGATGCGTAGTGATTGTATCGGGAAATTTTCCGATGGAATGATAATTGTACTATGTACGAGATTTATCTGTATTACTTAATGCAAAGGTCTATGCAGGTGCTGCCTTTATTAAATTGATATCCCTGAAGATATTTCAGGAGCTGTTCATGAAAGAGAATCGACAATTGACCTATGCACGTATTATATGATCATTCTATCGCGGGTGTGATCTCAAAACACTGCTACAATTCTATGCTCATTTCTTACCTTGTCAACCTAATTTGCCGATACTCTCATAAATAGATAATAGAATAGAAAGTGCTCTGTGCGTAGTGGCAACCTTCGTCTTGTTTTCCAGTCTCGTTTCTTTTGGTGTCTAATAAAAAGCCGCAAATATTAGAGCTCGAGAAAATAGATTCCACGGGCAACGGCAAACCGAGCGGCAAACGTGGGTATCGCGAGATACGTTTAAATAAAGATCTTCTGATATCCAAAGTCTGATAAATAAAAAAATCGACTATTGTTCTGTAAGTGTCTTTCTGACTAGCCACATCCTCATATTCCTCAAACAAGACGTAATCGAAAATTCTTTGACTGTGGCATGGGATGATTCAAAAATATAAACTACTCGGGGTCTCCTCAAATAGTAAAATTTATGCCGACAAAGAGGACAGCTGGCATCCTCAGATAGGAGCCATTGGTCAATACAGGGTAGATGAAAGATATGACCGCAAGGAAGTAGTCGATAAGGAGAGTCGATGCCGAGTACCTCCCAGCACAAGGTGCAGTTATCAGGAATATGTCCCGGGTCTTTTCAATAGAGCGCAAAGAAAAAATGAATTTTTAGTATGGTATTATCAAACCAGCCATTGTAATGATGCTTACTTGTTGTGCAATCTTGAAATCCGAAGTAACATGGCATTTGGGCATACAAAAGTTCGTTAGCCGTCAAGCCTCCGCGTTCCGTAAGGGATGGTACATGCAGATAGTAGCCAGCCATAATATTTGATTCAGGTAAAGCATCCCTTTCAAATTAGCCAAGACCCTATTCAAATAACTAGTGACACGTGCATAAGAGTAGTTTCCCACTACTCTAAACTACAGCTCAGTGACGTAAACGATATATTCCGCATTTCCCGTGTTATCCGGCCAGGAAAGCAGTTGACCCAAACTAAATACTCATTTTCCCGGTTTTCCAGTCACATATGGGGTGTGTTACCCTGCTGATGGTGACTTCCATTAACGGTCTAACGAAGGCGCTAGACTGAAAGCCTTTTTCAAGCAATCTTTGTGCAATATTTCACCTGCTGGGTAAAACATAATTAGTCGCGTATTGGGTAAGCGGCTCTTGTTGGCTGTGGGCCAATGCGAATGCAGAATGCTGTTCACCTGAGGTGCTCAGCAAAAAGTGGGTCGGCCACAGCCAGCAAGTTACTTAGTGCTGAGCAGGTCACCTATGCTCTCCTGTAGGGAGGGGAAGTTGTATTTTCACTCGCCAAGTCATCCCGTTGGAAGAAATGTCATGACAGTGAAATCAACCTTTGGGCTCGAGTATCCCGGCTAGTTGACCTCGCTCCATGTAGCGGGGATATTGAAGACATCGATAGCCATGATGCTGGGTCGATATTTCACGCCCATTGACTGATGTGGTGATGATAATATCACAATGCCATCAAAATTGCCTCACCCTCCGCGGGCCAGTAACTCCAGTGGAGTAACTTTGATATCAGAATCGAAGGACTGTCTCGTTCAGCCTGTATTGAGCACCTGTAAGATAGCGCTTGCTATGAAGAATTTGCCCTTGGACAAAATCCCTCTAGGGCAGTGGTGCATACGATGTTGGAGATTCTAGATATTTTCCACGACGGCCACCCAATTTGAACCCAGTATACAGTATACTTAGCTCATAGTGTGAGTCCAATCTGTAACTTATGCAGTAAAGCCGGGCTCAGGGCTCCACTGTGACGACCAAGTCAATATACAATTCGATGTGGTCATATTTTTAGTGATGTTTAGTCATCACTAACATACACTCATAACTATCTCTTCAGAATGGACGCTCATCGCAAGTCTGCTACAACGGTTGCACGGGCGTCGCTACCTTAGTCTATCCATGAGTTTTCTTCTTGCAACAATCTCTCAAAGAATTGAACCTTCCCACGAGATTCGATGAAAAATTTGGCGGGATCACTAGGTTTATTTCACTACGAGCTTGATGCAGGTGACGAAATGTTCGGCAGCAAAGAGGACACCTTGTATCTCGATTGCAGACCCAGTCGTCAATGCACGGCCGGTGGAAAAGATGTTTGCATGGAAGTTGCCGGTATGGGAAAGTCTGTCCCAGTGCCTCCAAGCAGATGATGCAGACTCCGGAAAATAATAGACCGGGTCTGTGGATGTATAAACATAGCTCTATGAGACGTATATCGATGTTGATTGTCGACTCACCAGATATGAGATCCCTTCATAGACAGGCATCTGCGTCAAGTCCACCTCATATTGAAGGGAACATGATGTATACATGGTCTTTTTAGGGATCACTGAGCTTAAGGCACCTGTACCGAATTGTGAATGTAAATCACACGCGGCTTGTCCATAATCACAGGGCCGACTTTATAGAGCGGGCTTACCAATATCAAGTCATCTTATGTAATCAATTGACGAACATAACTTTGCATTCTCCCTACAGGCTGCGCCGGAACTATAGACCGTTTTACCATACTCTTCCCACCCAGCTAGAAGGCTGCCGAGTTATGAATCTTCTGCATTCAATGCTCATGCCTCTGCGTGTCTATTTTGCCTGTCTGGGATTGTTCATCTCGATTGTAATTCCCTTTACTACGCTGCATTCAACCGTCACCTTAGAGCAAGCACGCCGCGAAGTCACCGGCAAAAGCACTCTCGCGTGGTCATGATAGATCCATAGAAGCGCCTAGACGTGTCAGCTTGTAGGACGTATGTCTCGCAGCAAAACTTTTGACTCCTTGGCACTTGTTTTCGTGCAAGTTTCTTTTTCGGCCCCGATCGAGTCCCTGTATGACTTGTGGTGCTCGCCTGTATTCCACAAAGGTTGTTTAGAATGGTGGCATTCCACTTTTCATTTTGCTTGTCCACTTTGTCACCGCCCGTTGACACATGGCAAGGCTGTTCCTGAATGTGTATGGTTTGAATTGCAAGTTGAGTAAATTCAGTCGTAGTCAATGACCAAGTCGTCGACATCCGCATCACCTCAACTCGCCTCATGGAACTTGAGAACATGAGAGAATATACAGTAAGTACCAAAAGCTCCAGACGCCAGTGAATATGTTCCACTTTAAAAACATGAATTGTACGTTCGGCGCCAAGTGCATTTATTCATTCCGTCGAGACGGGGGGCCCAGGTTGCGTAAAGTGAGGGTAATCCAGAAATCGAACCGACCACTCCATGGCGTTTGAAATCTCGCTTGGCCACTCGCATAAGGATGGGATGTCGGCCGGTAGTTGAGGTGATGGGAAGAACGGGGCCAATTCCACCGGAAGGTGGGGGTTGGGATGTGCCAATTCGTTGCTGGGCAAACATGAGGCAGGCTGCAAAACAGACGGGGTATTTGCTGAGCCCGCTGGAAAATTTCGCAAAAGTCAGCGAGTCAGTCGTATAAAATGTATAATAGAGAAACATAACAAACCAAAGCTCACCTTCTTCGTTTGACCGACGAATTTGTGAAAGACCTTCCAACATATTGGCTGCCTTGTGCGCCGCAGCAGAGTTCACGCTGAGAGCTTTGAATACTTTGAGACATGTTTCTGCATCTTCCCGCATACTCCGAGCCGAGCTCCTGTGACCAAAAGAGCTGTTACTGCTGCAGAAACTTTCCGCGACAAACAGGATGGAGCTGGCGCAAATCAAGCAGGAGATCATTTGCCACCATGGAAAATCATGAACCAAGCTCTGCTCGTCTACTACGTTGTGAAGCAGGCGAGCGGTCTGTTGGGCTTCATGAATGCAGTTCACTTCTGCTTCAGCAATCCGGTCCTTGTCCTGAACAAGCAAATTCATAAAAGACTGATTGTTCATCTGCAGGAGGGGAAGACACAGGAAAGGCCGGTGAACGAGTGCACGCAAATGATGAAATTTCACCGCGAGCATATTGCGCTATTTCATCTTTTTAGTAAACGTGGCAATTTGCCAGGACAGCAATGCATTTAATGCGAAGAGGCACCCACCTGGCGTTTGAATGAGATTGATTTCTCAAAAGTGTGTCCCAGATCGAACCGCAAGTTACGTGGCAGACTATCCTTCCATTCGTTCAATCGCCGATCAAGACCAGAGGCGCTATGTAGCATTATATCCGGAGATAAGTCAACCTGTGAGGGCTGATATAGCCCTCTTATGACTAGACCGACAATGTGCGAGAACCGTATTACTTCCAAAAAATATTCCATCATGCACCCACGCTCTGAAGGCCTGGTTGCAATAGGCCCCTCGTTGCCAAGAGAACCCCATGGGGCTTCATCGATCGCAGAAGGCAGTTCCACGTGAAAATCGGCCTCGTGGATCGCCATCGGTCGTCCTAGTTGGAGAGCTAGCAATCGGTCCAAAACATACATAGAATACCACGTTCTTCGCCAATTAGCGCGATCCATCTCGGATTTACAGCCTGTAGAAGATTCCACGTGAAGTCCGATACTCTGCCCCATCCGAATAGCGAACCCCAACGTATTCCAGCATCTGCAGCGGACCTCAGCATCTCACGCAGTTCGCAAGTAACACAAGAAAGGGAAGGCGAACTTACCGGTCGGTGTGACAAACGGCGAGCAAAAAGAAACACTGTACTAGCAAAACCCAGATATTCATCAGCGAACAATCCGCGTTCAGTTCTCGTGAATAGTAGAGGCCCTGGTCATAGTATCGATAGTGGTCGCGGGTACTAGAGTTTTTCCCTTGTGGGAAAGACGTGTAATATGACCCGATCGCAAATACAAAATCTAAGGAAGGTCAACGTGAGGAACGGGCTACTTCCTGCTTGTGGCGGGATTGTAAAAAAGTCTATGGAACTTCGGGGCTTACTGAACATTGCGAGCCATGGCCTGAACTCGGGCTTATGAACATCCTTAGCTTGGAAACGCCGGAATGCTTCCAGCAAACCTGACTTGGATATGAACGGGTATGCAATGTGGATCGTCGACAAATACACTTCCAGAAACTGGTCTGCCTCCGCCGGCGAAGGAAACAATAGTGGGTGCTTCAACGCCGCCAAGCTTTCCGAGACATGGGTTTCGCTGTAATTTTGAGCCAAGGCGTCTTCTCCAGCGAACTGCTCGCGGCCTTGCACGCATTGACGTATACTGTGAATGAAGTGGATGTCGCTTGCTTTGCCGACATATGTGGGCGAAGACACCGCTGCCGTACCACGCTGGGGAATGTCTTCGGAGTTTGGAGTGGTAAGCTGCTCCCTATTTGCGTCTTGCGGCATGATGTGACGAATTTCTTCAAGGCTCTGGTCCAAGAAGTCCTGATGAGCGCCATCCAGATTGGTCCGAATCTCCTGAATAAGTGTTTCGTACGAATCTACCGCCCTTGTGTATGCTGGTAAGAAGGTCATCGACGGGGGATGTGCCCGGAGTGTAGAAGTACGACACTCTAGGTTTTCAGTACAAAAGCCGTCCGTACCGCTTGGGCCGGGCCGGTATGCTCTTCTCCTTGTTGACCAAGTGCAATTGAAACCGTACCCTTCACACCGGCAGCATACTGGCTGTCGCCCGTCACACTGCGACCACCCACAAGAACGATTAGATCTTCCACAAGCGAGAGGGAGAATTAATGGTCAAACCTTGGCTTTCAGCTCGCGGCATTTATCACAAGCAATCCCCACACGTTGGCGTTTCATCTTGATTGACATCCGCAGACGCGAGGATTAGGTCCAAGAAATGCACTTCCTTTGTGCCTGACTACTGATGCAGGCGGAGGTGGCGATTATACGTGGGCCGGGACGCGGGTCAGCCGACTAGCTTATGTAATCATGACGGTAACGAGTTACGTCAAGCATGAGTCGTGTTGGCAAGGGAGGAATAAAGCCTGAATTGAAGCACCTTTGTAATTCAGCTCTCCGGGTTGCTGGTCGTGGGCAACAGCTTAAACTGTAGAAATGGGTCTAAGTTTGAAAGTTTCACCCACCAGCACACTTGCATCCTTGCGGACTTGACCGGGCCGTCCGAACCGTCCGAACCGCCCGGGAAAATTAGACATTTTTGTCATTTTAGGAACGAGCCGACCTCTCCGTGTCACTCGAAATACTTTTGATCCATTGCGGTCGCATTGCATCTGATGTTCGGGGAACATTTTTGTTTTGCCCTTTTATACAATGTCACCTCCCATGCACGCACAATGCCATGAGCAAAGCCGCCCGCAAGACAATGATTCTGGTTCCACTCTATCGCCCATTACAGAGACGCCGAATCCACGCGGAGCGCATCTTCCGGACTTTGATCGCAATTTAGACGAAGTCGCTGCACCGCCCCCTGTCTACGACCCGTCGGAGAACTCAGTTCGACAGGAAGGATATCTGGAAAAGCAACACTCTCAAGGCGACCGCAATGACCAACTGCCGCACTTGGGAGCGGAAACCGAATCGCATCAGGAGGCAGAAAAATGGCCAAGCAAACGGCTGTTTTCCAAGGTCTCAAGGTCTTCGCACATTGTCTGCTACCTTGTTGTTTTCTCCTTTATTGGCACACTCCTACGAGTAGCCATTGAATGCCTAACGTTTTATCCTGGGGCCCCCGTGAACACAAGTGTTCTTTGGGCCAATGTAGGGGGCAGCCTCGTCATGGGCTTTCTGAGTGAGGATCAGGGGCTATTTTACTTTGAAGAAATTGAGGCCAGAATTCCGGAGTCGGAGAGACAAGACGGCGCGCGTCGGGCGGCACATCTGATGGCACACAAGAAGACCATTCCGCTCTATATTGGGTTGACCACCGGATTCTGCGGTAGCCTCACATCTTTTTCTACTTTCATGCGTGACGTGTTTTTAGCACTCGCCAACAATCTGCCCGTTCCTGTGGGCTCTTATGCCGATATTTCTTTGTTTGCTTCCGCCCCGGTCGGAACAGGAGCTCCCAATGGCGGTTTCAGTTTCATGGCGTTAGTTGCTATTCTCTTGACCGAAATCGGGCTATCTTTAGCTGGACTTATTCTTGGGGCCCACATTGCGATAGGTCTTAGTGCCTGGACCCCTAGCCTATCCCAACACTGGCTACGCAAATTCTTGGATCCCGTTGTTGTTGTGCTGGCATGTTTCTCCTGGGTCGCAGTCATATGTCTCGTGCTATTGTTGCCGCAGTATTCGAATAAGAGCGCGTTGTGGAGCGCGGAACTCTGGCGGGGTCCGGTCCTCTTCTCTTTAGTATTTGCCCCAGTCGGCTGCCTAGCGCGTTTCTTCATCTCACTGAAACTTAACGGCCGAGTTGCGTCTTTTCCACTGGGAACCTTTGTGGTCAATGTTGGCGGCACCATGGTGTTGGGCATGGCATACTCACTTCAACATGCCTCCATCAGTGCGTCCAGCCTCGGCGGAGGAAACTTAATCGGTTGCCAGGTCCTACAAGGGATCATGGATGGGTTTTGCGGAAGTCTCACGACTGTTAGTACGTGGGTTTTGGAGTTATCGGATTTACGCAGGCGCCATGCTTATGTCTACGGTGGTTTAAGCGTGGCGGTTGCCCTCTGCGCGCTAGTGGTGGAGATTGGAAGCTTAAAGTGGACCCACAATCTAGTGACCCCTTCATGTTTCGCTCAATGATCCGTTAGCCGTCACAAAGATTACTACGGATTCCAAGGAGACTTGCCGGTCCGATGACGATGACGATATATCGAATGGCCACTTCTGGTATGTGCGGATAGACCTTGACATTTCCCATGGGACCAGCGAAAATCTAGTCCCATGGGAATTCCTACAGAGGTCTAGTCCCGTGGACCCACTCCCATGGGAGTAAAAAAAAAATTTGGTCCCGCCATGGGAATTCCCGTGGGACTCCCATAGGACTAAAAAAATTTCCTATCTATACATTATTTTCATAATAATGATGGATAAATCGCTGAGTTATTATGATAGAATACGGTAATTTAAAGGTGTTTCAGCGAGTATCTAAACCAACCAAGTATTTATTATTTTTGATATATTCCGACTATAATTTTGTGATTATTTAGTATAGCTTTAGTATTATACCATATACGAAATCATGACCACGACTTGGCGCAACCATGCTTTAAAAGAGTTAAAATATATATTGTGCGTATAGAGAATTACCGTGGCATTCCGAATATTCAACGTTTATTTCGATAACTTGAATATTCATAGAGTTATGGTCGTTTGAATCTGATCATATTTGAGGCCAATGCGCTGATATAAGCATACACTAAACCTATTTGAATTTCGTGGTCAAAACTAAACCCTAGACCCTATCCCACGGGGGGGGGCAGTCGGGGCACCCTGCAGGTGTGGGTTATTTCTTAACTATGGCAGGAAAAGTGGGCCCGACCCCCCACTGCAGGTGAACCAGGCTTACCCCCCGACTGCCGCTGCCAAGCTTGAACCGATCAGTCTCAGAATTTGCTCAGTTCTAATATAGTATCTAAAGTACCCCCCATTTGAATTACAGCCCGATTGGACCGCTAGATAGGGTGTGGTTGGTTGGCAAAGAATTGGAAATTATTTTGATGGGGTGCGACCGACGGGTGTCAATACCGTAAGCACTGTATTAGCCTTAAGTATGGCGGCCACTACTAAATAGATTACGCTATATTCGTATCTTACACCGGACCATTCAGTGATTCAGGGGCTTTATACAGATGATCAGTCTTCACGATTTCACCTATTCTATCTACGTACAATATCTCTGCGAGTACTAAACATGGAACTCGAAATATTTCACCAGCCTTCGACTGCCCTAGTCATCATTTGTAAGAAATGCAAGGTCGTAGTTAGGCCGCAGTTTATTACCCAACACCTCCGGGGATCACACCATCGTTTAAACAGCGCAAATGCACAGAGTATCTACACTTAGATATAGCAATGGCCCAGTATTCAGCAATATATCGAGTGGGACGTTCCCGCTATTATAGACGAGCCAATCCCCAATCTACCAGTTTACTCCGACGGTCTTTGGTGTAGAAAAGACCTAGCTTGCCAGTTTATCGGACGAACCGTTAAGACTATACGCTAGCACTGGCGTGATCAACATAGCTAGACTGCACCTATCAACTATGGCGGTGGTAGAAAGCCGCCAGGGCCATCGGCCGCCGAGCAGCAGATTCAGCAGTTTACGCTTACGGTCCAATGCCAGCGCGCGTTTGCCTAGGGGCCAGGGTCTTATTATATCCGCGTACGTATAGTCGGAGCAGAGGTAGTCCCCGAGGCCGAATCGGCACCGACCGTACTCAGTGATCAGGTTTTGGATCAGATCGAACAAGCATTCATCGAAAAACAAGAACAGCCCCAGTTGATCGAGGCTAGTCAGCGTGACGACGCGAATCCATGGCTTCGACGGACCCAGTGGGCCGTGTATCTACGTGGAATCGACCCCCAAGACTTGCGAGACAGCGTTATGGCACCCGATACCGAATCGGCCGATTCGACCGAATTAGCTGCTTCCGCTATTTGGGATTCAATGGCTACAGTAGCCCGAATCAGCCAGTTGATTTGTACGAAAACTAGCCATTCCATTCGCACCGAGGCCGTCCGTACGGAGCGGGACCGATTGCCGCATCAGCCATTGCAAGCGTACATAGATGCCGAGAATATCGAGAGACATACGATCCCATGGCAGCAAATCTTGATGTTTTTCGTACGTACGCAGGCGTCGCACGAATGGGCTAGTCCGTATTACCGGTTTTCGAAACGCCAGCGTTTAGCGTGGAATTCGCTTTGGAAACTAGCCCAGCCAGGATTCAGCGCGCCAGCTAGTCCAGCCAGTCTAGTCAGTGCTAGTTCCGACAGGGCCGGTTTAGATGATAATAGTCAGCGAATCGCCAGCGAATCAATAGCGAATCGACGCATCAATAGCAACTCGCCGTTTCAACTAGCGCCCATTAACACCGCGTGTCTAGACTTTTGTATTGAGCTTCTGAACCATCGGACCAAGGTAGAAGACTACGAAAGTGCGCTGATTTGTGCCACGGCAGTGCTTGGTCAGGGCGAGGCTAGCTGGCGTACCGCGCAGAGCTATCCACCCATTTTATCGAAGCTTATTAAGATCGCACGGTTTATGGTGGTCTATAAGGCGTTAAAGCTAGATCCGACAGCGGAGGCAATGCTGTCTCAGCTTACGGAGCATCAAATGGCGGGCGAATGGGATACCGAAAGTCCACTAGATTCACCTGAATTCGCATTTTTGACGCCGCCGACGCCGATATCCAACGATGACTTTTACAATTTCGAGACTAGCCCAGTTCTAGTATCGACCCAGTCATCCCATTTTGTCCAATTCAGCCAGGCTCAGCAGGGCCAGCGGTCATTTCGTGAGTGGGTGGCTGAGATGGTCAGTCAATTTATGGTCCGTGGAACGAATAGCCCGATGCAATAGCTGTTAGATCTCCGTACTTACGGCTTGAAGATCCATTATAACAGCACGACAACTGGCCACGTTGGCTGGATGAATCAAGACTAGCTATTGTATCAGCAATACAACTTTTCCATGGGGGACTTCCGGGGTTTCGTCCACGGGCTGATTAGTTCGACACGGCAAATACTCCGTGACGAGCTATTATTGAGCACGGAGACTAGGTTAGTTCCCGCGATTCCGTGGCAGGATATCTGCGATGATCCCACAGAGACGGCCCAGGGATAGAGTTTTTTGAATAACACCCGTACGCCGTGGCCCGTGGCTAGCAGTGAATGGATGATGAATCAGGTGCGAAACGGACCGCTACGGCATCGTTTTATTGAAAGCAATATAGGCCGGCTACGAATGACGGCGATTGACGTGTATCTTCAACGGGTGGCCCATTTTCGGGAGAAGCTTGCTATTGCCGTTCATATCAGTGGGGGCCAGCCAGCACGTGCCCCAGAGCTACTAAGTATTCGACATTATAATACGAATAGCGGCGGCCATCGCAATATTTTCATCGAGGATGGGCTAGTGGCATTTGTGACGCAGTATCACAAAGGGTTTTACGCATCGAATGACACCAAGGTGATTCATCGGTATTTACCCCGAGAAGTCGGTGAATTAGTGGTCTGGTATTTGTGGCTAGTACTGCCGTTTGTCGAGAGATTGGAGGCGTACGTAGAGAAGGTGCGGAGGATGGGCCATTCCGAAATTGAAGTGTAAGTCATGTGGTCCATTGGCCACGGATCCGTTATATATCGGAATTGCTGGGTTTCCATTATATATACCGGATTTATTGGGCAACTGGCCACGGATCCGTTATATATCGGAATTACTGGGTTTCCATTATATATACTGAGTTTATTAGGCCACTGGCCACTGATCCGTTATATCACGTTTCGATGCTAATTCCAATCAGTCATCAGAGACAGGCGTTTTTATGGTCCCCCGACCCCAGTACTGGCCGGGATTGGTCATCCGAACGACTCCGTGAAGTGCTAAAGCGTGAAACCACCATTGGACTCAACGGGCACGCCATCAATTTGAACGCGTATCGTGATATTGCTATTGGCATTAGCCGTCGGTTTATGCGGCCATCTAGCGTATTCCCGAACAACACGCGTCAGGACGTACGAGCGGAGGCATCCCAAGAGGATGACGAAGAGAGCATGAATGCGGAGCAATGGATGGGCCATATTGCCGATCTACAAGCGGCCCATTCATCCCACGTGGCCGGCATGATTTACGGCCGTGGGATCACCGAACAGCCCGGTACGACGGCCCACCGGCGAGAGATGTTTCGGCTTAGCAGCACCGATTGGCATCGGTTTTTAGGGTTTGTGTCCACGGATGACGGGGGTGCCGAGAGCGCATTAGGACTGGGCCAGTTTTCGCCGTGGCAAAAAGAAGCCGAAATGGGCCGTATAGAACGTCGATGGCAACTAACCCAGGCGGCTATAGAGCCCGAAATGCAACGAATGATGGGGAATCGCGCGGTGCGGCTTCGGGGGTGCAAGCACCGGCGTTAGAAGCTATTCAGCAGGGCCAGAGTCCGGTAGTGGCAGTGATACCAACAGGGGGTGGCAAAAGCTTGCTATTCATGCTACCCGCGTGGATCAGCCCCCGTGGGGTGACGGTGGTGGTCGTGCCGCTAATTGCATTACGCGGAGACATGGTCCAGCGGTGCCAGCGACTCGGCATCTCGTGCGTAGAGTGGGAGAGCCGTCGGCCGGCCGATCAGGCATCCATCGTACTCGTGACACCCGAATCGGCCATTACAGAGGATTTTATGACGTTTTTGAATCGACAGCGTCTCGGCCATCGGCTTGATCGGATCGTGATAGACGAATGCCACGTGGTGCTCAATGATCAGGCCAATTTCCGGCCCGCCATGGCCCAGCTAGGCCGTTTAATCGTGGCTCAGGCTCAGATGATATACTTGACCGCTACGCTGCCACCGACCGCGGAGGATCAGCTTTTACAGCGATTACGGACGACGCGAGAGAAGGCCCATATGTTTCGAGCGCGGACGAATCGGACAAACGTGGCATATCGGATCTGGCAGCCCACGCTGTCGAATCGATATCGTAATAGCTACGATTGGATCGAGAGCCCCGACGTGACCAGCTTTATCAGAGACCGTATCACGCGCGCGCGTGTGCAGACAGGCCGAGTTGTGATTTACGGGCCGACC